CCAACCCCAACCCCAACCCCAACCCCAACCCCAACCCCAACCCCAACCCCAACCCCAACCCCAACCCCAACCCCAACCCCAACCCCAACCCCAACCCCAACCCCAACCCCAACCCCAACCCCAACCCCAACCCCAACCCCAACCCCAACCCCAACCCCAACCCCAACCCCAACCCCAACCCCAACCCCAACCCCAACCCCAACCCCAACCCCAACCCCAACCCCAACCCCAACCCCAACCCCAACCCCAACCCCAACCCCAACCCCAACCCCAACCCCAACCCCAACCCCAACCCCAATTTTAATTTATTTTGAGAATATTTTGATTTATTTTGATTTAGAATTAATTTTTAAAAAAGATTTACAAGCAAATATAATTTATAAATACATAAAATACAAAAAAATTAATTTAAAAATTATGATAATTTCTTCAATTTTTTTGAGTGGCATAAACAAATTTGAGCATTTAGAGACATTTATCTACCTCTTGTTTATGTTGCTTATTAAAAACAAATTTTTAAAAAACAATTCATTTTTAAAGCAATAAATACTGTGCAATTTTAATTGTTTCCTGCTTGTTCCTTTTAGCATAATATCAGCTTTCTGTAAATTGGTCTGCAACCAACTCTTAGAAGCTTTTTATTTAAATCAAAATTATCTCTTTCTCCCGCTCTCCACCATGTATCATCTTCTTCTTTTTCTAGAGCTTCTATCTCCTATTTAGTTATTTACTAGCTCATCTATCTATCACTTTAATAAATCGACTATAAAACTTTGAAAATTTTATAAAGATTTTTATTTTAAATATCTTTTGTAAGTATATTTATTGCAGCTAATCAAAGCTTTTTTCTAGAAAAATAAACAAAATTAATATTTAATTTATTTGCACATTTCAAAGTAAAAAGATAAAAATGAACAACAGTTCCTCAATTAATAATAAAACAGGTTTATCACATGCAACCGAATAATAGATCTACTTACTAAATAAAATAGTCAAAAAATGTTTCAAAAAGTGTGTAATTAATTTCTTCTCTGAAGAACTCGTAAACGATGAAGATGTTTGTCTTAAAAAATGCTCATAGAATTATTACGAACATTTAAAATAATTTAAAAATATAAATGATGAAATAATAGACTGAATTTTATATTCGTTCATATATTAGAAAACCTGTTTCGGAAAAAGAAATTTAAAAATCTGTTCAGCTATAGCTTAAATTCATAGTTATTTATTCATTTATAGGCATTTAGTAATTTGATATTTGCGCATTTACTAATATAAATTCTTTAAAACTCTACTATCATATTAAAGGTTAAATTTACATCAAAATAATTAAATATTAATAACAAAATTTGTTTGAAAGCATTTGGTTGATTTTATCTGTTAAATTTTAAGGAATTTTTAAAAATAAATAAAAAAATTTAAATAAATATTTTTAAAATAAATAAATAAATTTATATTATTAAGATATTTATTATTTGTTATTTTTGATTTTGTAATTTAAATTATTATATAAAAAAATCACTTACACTACAATTTTTTATATCATTTAACATTAAAATTTATATGCTCTTGTTATTAAATATATAATTTTTTATAGTTATTTTCAATCAATAAAAGCAAGCACTGAAAAAAAATTTTTCAATTTTTTACATTAAAAGGTGTTGTCAAAAAAAATTAAAATGTTAATATTTTATAATTTTATTTTAGGTTTTAATCATTAGTAAAATAAAATATTAATCTCTTATTAAAACTGTTGAATTATTAATATCTTAAGATTAATTTATGATAGCCTTTATTAAATAATTTGAAGTTTGTTGAAATTCGTGTTTAATCTGTTAAAATTTATTTGAGCCAAAAATTATTTTAAAGTTTACTTTTTAAAAAAAAATGTATAATTTCTAAGTTCTAAATATATAGAATCTCTAAATTGTTATCAATATTTTATGAACTTTATTTATAATTTTACAATTAATATATATTATATAATGAATACGTTTTAAATATAAAAAAAAGTGTCAATATTTCAAAAATTATAATACTGTATTGCTTCTAAATTAATAGAGACTTTAATTGGCAAGAAAATGTTAAGATATTGATTTTTATCATGTTATTTTAGTATTTTTTACTCATTTTATCTTATTTTAAAGCAAGTAATTATGGTAGATATAAATAGAAATATAGTGATTAAATTTCATAAAAATATATGAAAATAAAGTTAAGCTAGTATAATTTAATAACATTAAAGAATACGTTAATTTTTAATGATGATTAAATAATAAGAATGTATTATTTTAAGTTTACATAATTATTGTTAAAATTTTAGATTTTATTTAAAATTGTAGTCAATTAATTATTTTAGCATATTACAAGTATTAATAAAAATATGTATGATCTATCGTTATTGTATATTTTTATTAAAAGTATTTTATTTTTATTATATTTTTTTATAATAGAACTTTGATTATATTAATAATAAATCACTTTTATTTAAACTCCTATTTGATTTATTATTGTGAGTCATAATGAAATACATTTTTTATTTTAATAATGATAAAGATAATTTTTAAATTAAAAGATTTAGATAAAAAATAAGATAAAAAATACAAACATTCAACACATATATCTACGAAATTATATTTAATTTAAAACTTATAACATATTTTTAGATAAAATAAAAATTTAGGGTATTGAATACTTAAAATAGGATTTGTTTTTTATAACAAATTAGATTAGTTGAAAAATTATTTAATTAATTAATACTGATAAAAAAGATTTAAATAATATAGGCCTCTTATTTATACTCTGATGTGATTTATAATGAATTAAATTATGGCGAAATTAAGCAAGCAACCCTTTTCACTTGATTCTGATTTATTAATTTATTTTGATATTAGTATATTTATATACGATAAATGATTCTTTTGTTATTAAACTTGTTTATTTTCTAATTTATAATTTGTGTTTTGGTGATTTAATGATGGTTATTTATTCTAATTAAATAGATTTTATTTTGTTAAAAAGTAAAATAAAATAATATTTTTTCGAAAGTTTCTTAAAAATAGAAATTTCATTATTTACCGTATTACCTCTAAACTCGGCCCTCTGTTTTAGGTAAAACCGACTGAGGATATCAATATTTTAATCCCTTGATCAAAAAGTTTTAATATTCTAATTAATTTAGGGAAGAGGAAAAAACTAAGTGGATTATTCTGATCTGATAATTTAAATATTATTTAGATTTAAAAATCAAAGACCAACCTTTTGTTTTTTACTAATTAAGTTTTTAGAATATTTAACCCTCAATTAAATAATGAGAAATACAATTTTTATTAATAAATAAAATAATAATAATAGATTAATAAAAACAGTAAATTAATAAATATATTAAGTAAATGGGAAATACAATTAAGTAGAAATATCTAATTGATATTTCCGATTTAAATACAATAGATCTTATATTTGATCCCATTAAAAAGCCTTGCTAAATGGTTTCTATATTGGTTATAGGCTAGGCAAGTTCAGGAAAGTCTAGTTTCTTAAATTATTTGATGACTTAAGTTGGTTTAAAAAAACTTTGCGAAGTTACAAGCGAAGGTAAAGGAACATAGAATATCTAATGTCATTTAAATTAAATTAAAATTGAAGATATTAATTTAATGTTAATAGATACATAATGCTTAGAATATGATCCTTCTACCAGCAATTAAAAGAAAGAATAAGCATACTTTTAGCTCCTGATTAAAATTTTACAGATGACTACATTTGTTTTCTTTATTCAACATGGAAATAGAAATTTTATCCATTTCCAAAATTTCTTAAAAGAATTAAAATCGAAATAAATTAAACTCCCATAAATTTTTTATGTTAAGAATAAATTAAGAAAAGATGAAATTACTTCTTCATAATATATTTAAGATGAATAATATAAGATGCTATATTCGCCATTTAACCAAACAACAGGAGAAATAGAACAAGTTTTAAAAAAAGTAAATAATTTTATTGAAAAAGAATTTGATTTTAAAAAAATCCTAAAAAAAAAAAAATATCAATAAATTAATGAAGAAGAATTTTTAACATATTTACTTGATACAGTATCAGATTGGAATAAATAGAGAAGAGAGTAGGATGCTGAAGTTCTCGAACCTATATAAAAAAAGAATTAACCTGATAAAAAAAAATCTAAAAACTTATGCACGTTTTAGCAAGACGAAAATGGTAACTGCAAATTAGTTTATGATAAAGAATTATTTGACGAAGTTCTAAAAAATAAAGTGTGCTGTGAAAAAGTAAAAACAGTAATTTGCTGTGGAAATACAGGAGTTGGGAAATCTTTTTTTTTAACTGAGCTCTGTAAATAATTTGGATAGGATGACTTAATCTTCGACTATGAGTGCTCATCATAATAAAAAACAATAGGAATTCATTATCATAGATTCAAAGATAAAGATAACTATGATATTTTTTTGATGGACTGCTAGGGATTTGATTACTATGATGAAAAACTAAATGATGCTTAATAAATAATGCTATAATAATAATTGAAATTCTTGATAAGCTTGTTTTCAAAAGGTTTTGAATATTTCATATTTATGTAAACAGAAATTAGAGATTGTAAGTAATTTTATCACATAAAAACTTTGATGGACGAAAGCGCTATTAATTTTTTAAAACCTGAAATTTTCATAATTAAAAACAAATTAAATAAGAAAGAAACTCAAAACTTTAAATCTCAATCATCTGAAAATATCAATAAGGATGAAAATAAATAGTTTTTTCCATTAATTTTTTTAGAAGATGATGATAAAGATTCAAGAAAAACGTTCAATGAGTAGATGGAAAAAATCTAAAAAAGCTTAAAGAATGAAAAAGAAACATAAAACTCATTTTACAGCTTTTATGAAGTAATAGAATATATTCAATTGTCGATTACAATATTTAACAATGGAATTGACAATTAATTAGAAAATATATTAAAAATTCTCAAGCTCAGATTTTAATATAACGAATATATTAGAAGAGAAAACAATAAATTCCTTTAAAATATGAAAGAGTGCTTAGATAAATAAATAAAAAATTATTAAAAGTAGTATAGCACCTTCTTTTATTGCAGTCAAAATATTTTATATTAATCTTTCTAAGATTAATAAATAGAATTAATTAAGAAAGATTATATTAAATATAAAAATGAATGGGATGCCAAATTAAATTAACTTCTTTTAACTCTTTAATTTCAAGATGAAGATTCCAAAAATCAAATTTTACAAAAATATGCTTAATTAGAAAAAATAGCACCAGAATTAATTTAAGCCATTAAAAAATATGAAACAGATAAAGACTACAACTAATTAAAATTGATTTTTACTTCAATTGTCACAGGAATTGCAACTGCTTCTATCCTAGTAGGAGCTATCTCTCTAGGTAGTAGTGCCGCAGTTCTTGCTACAGCAGAAGTAACTACAGCTACACTTGTTACTGCTGTTGGACTTAGCGGGTTAGCAATTACATTGGGTGCTTCAGCTGGAGCTCTGATTACAGTAGGAGGACTGTCTATAGGAATCAAAAAGTATAAAGATTATAATAAAAATAAAGTTCTAAAAGAAAAATCATTAAAACTGTTAGAAAATTTAAAACAAGAAAAAATTATCTTTTAGTAAGGTGAATATAAACAAAAAGATAATTTGTTAGAATGTATTACCAAAAACTATAAGTAAAATGATTAACTTATGAATTTTTGTCAAAATAAAAAAGATGATGAAATGTTTTTTGGTTTGCTGCTCATAACATTTATGCTGTTAGATTTTTCTTTGGTTGATTTTAAGAAAGTTGAAAAGATCGAAAAGAATTTAAAGGATAAGGAAAAAGAATTAATCTCTGTTCATAAGAAAGTAGATTAAATGTTATCTGAATTAGGAAAAGATAATGCTCAAAATTTATGGGAAATACACTTTGAAAAGTTGTACTCAATGGATTTTAGTGATATAAAAAGCAAAAAAAACTACACGATTGATAAAAATGATGAAGGAATTGTACACATTAATAGTTAAAAATGTAGTTATAACTTCAATTAAATACCTAACTATAGTCAATATTAATAAATATATGACGGCCTTGCTTTTTTAAGAGCTTAATCAAAGATATTTATTATTTAATTTTTGTTTAATCACTTTATTGCAAATCATATTAGACATTTTAAAGAGTTAACTTCAAGTTAATTTAATATAATGTTATCAATTATTGATAAAATTTTAGAAGAAAATTCTTCCTGATGAGTTAGTTATTCTTCAAAAATTAATTCTATATATATTTAAAATTTTGCTATACTACAAAAGATTGATTATAAATCCTTATATTGAAAATGTATCTTAATACATATCTTTCTTTTAGTATTACCTTACTAATATAAAATTAATTAAATAAATTTTTTCTTTCTAAATTTATCAAATTAGCAAATTAGCATGTAATGGCAACTGTTGGTTGTGCCATATAAGGGTAAGAGGTCTATGACTCTTTCTTGTCTTATGATTGATGAACGATTGATTAGCAGTATATAGTGAAAGTTTAATAATTAGTAGCTTAAAATATTATAAACTAGAATTTATTAAAAAAAAGTTATTTAATATTTTTATTTCAAATAAATTTTTAAATAATTTAAAACAAACAATTTAATTTGTAAATATAATTAAAATTTTTATTATTTTAAGATATTTATTTTTGATAATTATTTAGTTATATTTAAAATAAATTATTTTACATATTTATGTTTTCTATTTATTGTTATTATATTTGATTTGGTAAAGAAATTTAATAATAATGAACGAACGTGAATATTAAACTGGTTTAGATATTAAAATTATAAAAACAAAAAATATAAAATTTTACACTTAATTTTTTTTGTTCAGAAAAGATTAATATTTTGTTTGTTTCATAAGAGAAAAATTTTAAATAAAGATTAATAAATGGATTTACATTAACTAAAAAGAAAATTATCTAACTCATCATCTGAAAATGAAGATAATGGGAGATAGGAGAAGTAGCCTTAATAACAAAAGTAGAAATAGGATTATGTAGTGAAAAAATAAGAAGAAGTTAAAAAAATTAAGATTAAAAATAAAAAGAATGATTAAATCTCCAACAAATAAAGAGATGATTATTCTCCTTAAAGGAATACTGGTTCAAATACTCCACCTGTGGATATCAATTTTGTTGATGGTATGATATTTGTATTCAACTCCATCAAATCCAAATAAATAATGTTTTTCAAATTTATAGAAAAGATAGAATACGAAACTGATAGTGATAGAGATGATTGGAAGCCTAGAAAATAGTATTCAGAACAAAGCGACAAATCAAATTCAAAGAAAAACTAAATTCAATAGAAAAATAACAAAACAAACATTGTTCAAAAATCAGCTTCTGATAACACTAGAGATGGAAATAGGTATTTTTTATATTGAATGAGACATCAATTTATAATTATTATTATTTTAAAAATCACAGGTCTGAAAAATTTGTAGAAAAAGTAGAAAAGTTTTAAGAGAAAAATGAAGGTTATGTTGAAAAATAAGATAAATTCTAAGAAAAACCTTAAAAATACCAAGATAAATTCTAAGAAAAAGGCAACGACAGAAATGATTACAATGATCATTTTAAAAATAAAAATTAAGACAAAAATAACAGAAGAGAAGATTAGAATTTCTAAGATAAAGGTAAAAAGAAATAGGAAGTAGTCTATGAGAGGAAAGATAATCAAAATAATAAAATTGAAGAAAAGGGTAATTAGAACAATAGGAATAGCAACAACAACAACAATAATAACAATAATAACAATAACAATAACAATAATAATCACAACAACAAAGACGTAAATTTAAAAATTTTGAAAAGTTTATTAAATAGTTTTCATTTAAAATAGGATAAATAAAACAAAAAGAATAAAGGAGAAAAGCAATAAAAGTACTACAACATATTTTTTTAATATTTATTTTACATAATAAAATTAATTTTATTTTATTTGAAAAAGGTTTAGCGAAGTTCAATATGTCAAAAAAGAAGGTATAAATTATAGTATTTAGCATTAATAGATATTCAATTTTTATTAATAGATTTGACTAAATAAGGCAATCAAGGAAATAACAATTAATAAAACTAAAACAATGGAAATAACAATAATAGCAACAACAATAATAATAACAACAACAACAACAATAGCAATAATTCTAATAAGGGAAATAATTAAAAAAAGTAGAATCAAAATTAAAAAAGTTAACTTGTTTTTGTAGAAAAGTAAGAAGACGACTAGGTTTAAAAGCCAAATCAAGACAATAGTAGCAATAACAATTAAGTTATTTAAAACAACTAGTAATATGACAAAAAGAATTAAAATTAGAATTAATATGAAAAGAAGGACTAATAATTTACCAATTAAAATGATAACAATAAAAAGAAAATGTTAAAATTTAATTAAAATGAACCTTCATTTACAAACAACAATAATAGTAATAGCTATAATAACAATAACACCAATAACAATTTTAATAACAACTAAAATAATTAGCAAGGAGGTTAATTTAACTACACAACAAACAGTAACAGATTCTAAAATAATAATGGTAATAACAACAATTTTAATAATGGAAACAATTACTAAAATAATAATAATAATAACTATAATAATTAAAATTACTACAATAACAACAATAATAATTACAATCAAAATTAATACGGTAATGATCAGCAATCTTATTAGAATAACAATAGAAACTATAATTAAAACTAATAAAATAATTATTAAGTCAATAATCAAAATCAAAGATATGAAGAATAAAATAACTAACCCAACAACTAATACAAAGAAAAAAAGGTTCTCAAACTTAGTTCCAATATTTAAGAATTCAACGCTAATGAGCAAAAGACGTAAATCAATTAATATATTTTTTATAAAATAATTTTTTCTTATATATTTATTAACAGGAAAAAAAGTCTTAAGATCTAATAACCTTTCAATATACAGTGAGAAACGAAGGAGAGTTTGATTAAGAATAATTGATTAATATTTATATATTATAAATTACTAAAATTTGTATATTATTTTATTTCATTTTCTTATTCTTTTTATGTATTTCATTCATTCATTTCATTATTATTTATCATACATCAAAATTCCACTCACTATCTCACTTTCTTTCTTTCTTTGTATTAAAATTTAAATAATTTTTTATAGCATTTATTTTGTTAATTATTTAATAAGCTCCCTGCTAGCTATTAGTTTGCTAGGTAGCTGGTTTTAAAACATTTTTAATTCTGATTAATTAAGGTTTCAAATAATATTTTCATTATTTATTAGCAATATTATTAGCTGGACTTAGCTCCATGACTGAACTAATTACTTCATATTTGCTCAAAATATCTCTTTTTATTGTTTATTCCCAATTTTCTTGATCTCTACACTCATCGCCTACTACAAAATAGCAGAGGATTTCTTTGTTTTTAAGCACTGACATGTTTATCAATTTTCTTTTTTTATAAATTAAAGTAAACAGCATTAAAAATTTAGCAAATTGACCTTAATTTGCATTATTATAAGTTTAAAACTAATTTTTTACCCATCATTTTAAACTAAATAATTATTCATTAACTCCATGATTTCATTTTTTGTTTCTTCTGGATCTCCTTAAGATCTAACTCTGAACATTCTGAATGAGCTTTTTAGAGAGGGTGATTTAAATACAACTTTATTCATTTTATTTTTAGTTTTTTCAGTCAATCAAAGAATAAATAATCAGTATTCTGCTACAAATTAAATAAATTAAAAATTCAAAAATTTTAATAATTAATTGAAATGATACTCTTTTAGATATATTATAACAACTATAAAGATAGTACAAATAAAAAACACAATAGAAAATAGAATTAATTTAAATAAGAACATTCATTTTATATTAATAATTTTGGTGATTTTCATATTTATTTTATTAATTTTATTATTTAATTATTTTATTTATCAATTTTGAAATCTCATTAAGAATTAATTTATTCATTCATTTATTTGAATTTTAAAATATGTTTTTAGCACTCTTTTTTTCAATTAGAATCATCTTCTGACTAGGAAAATTTTTAATAATGGGCTTCGGGAGTGTGAGGAGGCGTGTATTCTGATCTGTGTTTAGAACAATTACCACAGAATTCTTCTCCCAAAGTTTGATATGCGGCTTTGCATCTGCCACAATTAAAAGTTTTTAATTTTTCTCTATCTTCTTTTTTACGAGGATTTAATGGTCTCTAATTTTATTTGTTATACATGTTAAAAGTTTCAGCTACTTGAACTTCTTAGTTTGAAGTACCTCTTTTTTTATATTGAAACTGAGCAAATATATCATTTTATTAGGGTTAGTCTTTGTCCCCACTTTCATCATCTAATTCTATGTCTTTCATAAATTTATTATTAGCAACTCTACCTTTATTAATATTTAAATTTTTCTTTTGACCTAAGAGCATTTAATTGCTTTATTGATCTTAAATTTCATAATTTTAATTTTATTGTTAGTTTTGTAAACTAATAACACTAGCTGTGGTGTTTTCTAATTCAGAATTCTAGTTTGCATTTGTGGCAAAAGAATCTGATTTTTTTAATTGTTACTTTTTGAATCTCTTTTTGTTTCCACTATTGTTATTGCTTTCCTATGGAAATTGCTGCTATTATTCGTTATTGTTTTTCAAATCGATTTTTAAATTCCAGTTATACTAAGAGTCAGAACTCTCTTTTTCATTATCTTCCTGCTCCATTTTATTTTTTAATAAATCATCTGTTGCATTTAGATTATTTTCAGCTACCATTTTTCTATCATTTAAGCTTACTTTATATCTTTAAAGCTGTTATCCAGCACTAGAATCTTCTAATTCCATTCTTACACTAGCATTACTTTGATTATTAATTGAGCTTTGATCTATTAATTTAATTTAAATTTTTTTAAACAATTAGAATAAATAAATTTGTTTTACCAAAAGCTGTCTTATTGAATAAAGATCCCATAGAACTCTCTTTAGATTACTCAATAATTTTATTATTCATTAAATTCTAATTTTTATTTTTATCAGAAATTATTTTATTGTAATTCAAACTTGACATGTATTATTAATTCTTTAAATGTTCATCTTCCTATTTCTTTTTTTTAATTTCAGCTTCTCTTTTTTACATCATAAAAATCTCTTCATCTGTAATCTTTTTTGAACCTAAAATATTATTTGCATTAAGTGAACTTTATACATAGCTTTCTTGTAAATAAACTGAAGGATCTTGATTTGAAAATGTTTCAGGTTTTATCTGATTTATTTTGTTACTATAATAAATATCCTATTAGTTTTTTTGAGCAAGTTATGTATTATTTTACACCTCTTAATCAGATTGGTCTTACTTAAATTTACTTAAAAGGGAAGTATTATTCTTTTATATCTAATTATTATCCAAGCTATATATTTTATTTTTATTAACCCCGTTTTCTTATTAAAATACATTTGAAGGTTGTTCAATAAGAGATTCTTTTAATTCGTTATTTAAAAATGTGAGTTTATAACCTTAATGAAGAGTGGTTTGCTTTTCTAAGATTGCAACTTTGTTAGAACTGTTATATTAGTTAAAGAAAAGAATAATTTTTTAATATCTAAGCTGGATACTTAAAATTTTAATATATTTTTAAACTTATTTCTGATAACAAATTATTATCAAATTTATTTACTTTTATTATTCTTCAAGTAACTCAATTCTAGTCTGAAGCTAAGACTTTTCGCTGAGCAATTTCTTTTCATTTTCTTATAAATCAAAAAGTCTTTATTTATATGAACTTATGGCCTAATCCCTCTCTTGAATTGCCTGTTTAGAATTTCTATCTTAATCAGATTGCAGTTAAACTATTTTCAATTACTTTTAGAGGAATTCCAATTGCTCATCTTTTTATTGAATCATTTCCTTCTGAATCTTCTCCTAGATAATTTTCTCGCTTTCTATTGATAATAAAATTTGAATAACTTTGCATTTCTTTAATCGAAATTTCTCAAATTTTACATTTCTAAAACATTTCCTAGCGATAGTCCTTTAACTCTTCCTTTATTGATAATAAAGCGCCAAAAGTAAGACAAATATCTTTGAAAAGTACAGAATATGTTTAATTCATCTACCCAAATGCATTCATTAAATTTGATAAAGCAGCATCTTATATTTAATTTAGAGCCTCTTTATCTACCTACTTCCTGTATTCTTTAATAAAACAATTTTATTCTAACCCAAGCATTTTTGCTCAAAAATTTATATTTATTATTTATACCACTATACAATTATAATTTTAAAGTTTGTTTATACTGAGAGATAAATATCAAATTAGTAATTTACATGAGAGATTCTTGGTATATTTGTTAGTTAATGAATTCTTATGTATTTAAAATGCAGATTTCTTTCAAATTTTTCCACTTTAGCGGCTGTAAAAACATTATAATTGATTGTTCTTAATAATTAATAAAATAAATTAATTCTATCAATAAATTAAATAAAATAATAAAATTATTTTTAAATAAACAGAAAGATTTTTCTAAAGCAAAACTCTTTAAAAAATGAACTTTAAATAAAAATAATATTTTTTTAATTTAATAAATAAATGAACACATTTTATTGCTAAATAAGATTCTAAAAACTTAAATAATTTTAATGTATTTATTTTATCATTCATAAATAAATAAAAATAAATTTCAAAAACCATAAAAATAAATCTTAATCAAATAATAATAAACTTTAAATTGAAAAAAATATTTAAAAATAACATCTAAAGCAATCATTTTATAATAGCTTGAAGGTAAAGCAGATAAATAAGAGGTATAGTTTTTATAAAATTAAATTTTAATATAAATATTCAAAAAAATAATTAGATTTTAAGTAAGACTATTAACTATTTTATCATTTAAGTAAATTTATAAAATAATTCATTCTTAAGCTTGCTATTTATTCTAAAGCTGTCAATAATAAAAACAAAAAATGATTTCGAATATAAAAGTAATTCAAATTAAAAATATAGAGTATTTTTTTAATTTACATTTATTTTTATTAAAAAAGAGAATCAAAATTTTATATATTTTTTGAACATGATTTAACTTGAGTTTAACAACTATCTTTTATACATCAAAAAGAGAAAATTAAATTGAAAAAAAATAAAATATGTATCTGAAACATTTATAAAAGTTTTTCCCCTATATTTATTCTCTATCTTTTTACAAATTAGTTTGTAATTTTTAATGTTTTTAATTCATTTTAATTACAGAAATAATTATTTTATAATTTTTTTAAAAAAAATAAATCAAAATTTTAATTTAAATTTCCAAATAAAAATAGTTTTTAAAATGAATTTTTAAATTCAACGTTCAATTAGTTGATTTTATCTCCTACTTTACAAATAAATAAATAAATAATATTTAACAAATGGTTTTTTAGAATTCATAAAAAATTCAACAATTTTTAGCACAAAAAAGATTCTTATAACTTATTTTAAATAAAATAATTATTTTTTATAATTAATTAGCTTGAGTAAAATAATAAATTAATCAATGAATAATATTTTTAATTTTTTTATAAATTAAAAAATTGAATAAAATATGTTTTAAAACTATTAATTTAAATGAAACAACTATTATTTATGTTTTAATTAATTATGCTTGAAATTAAATGAATAGTTGTAATAATATAGCTAGAGAAGTTTTAAAAGAATCTAATTTATTAATTATTAATTAAGATTGCTTGCTTGTTTGCTTAGATTTTTTATGTTTAGAATCAATCAGTGATAAAACAAAACTTCATTGATTATTATATAGCAACAATCAATTAAGTAATTATAATTATCTTTTCGCTCATAATATAAAAACTTATACAAAACAAAAAATAGTTTATTATTTATTTATTTATTTCTGAGAGATAAATATTTATAGGATTAGTCAAGTAAATTAATTCACTGAATATTAATGGCTCAAACAGAAAGAGAATAGGCATTAGAGACATTAAGATAAAAGGCTCTTTAAGATTCAGATGCGCTTGGATCGAAATAGAGATTCGCCCTTTTTAGTTAGCCTCCTCCCTTAGCAGTAGGAGATGATTCAATTTACAAACATACAATAAGTAATCAATCAATTAATAATTATAAATTTCCTTTTACTAAATGAGGAATATTCATTTTATAAAGAATTATTTTACTTGAATTTATAATAATATTTATTTTTCTAATGAAAATTTTTATTTTTAGTCAAGAAAGATGAGAATGGAAAAGTTCCTACTCAGCCAAGAAATATGTCAATTAAAGCACCTCAATAGGGAAAAAGCAAAAGTTCTTTCTTCTCTCTACTGGGATTTACCACAATTGGAGATCCTTACCTTGAGCCCGATAGAATCTCGCGTCAATATGAACTAGAAAAGAAAAAATTGAATAAATAAGATTAGGTTTTCAAACCAGCTTCTTCATATAAAACAATGTAAAAATATTTGAAACTCTCTCTGTTTGAAAAATTACAAAAAACTCTTTATTCAAAATCAATAAAAATTAATTTTAAAAATAGTGTTACTTCAAGTTTTGAGCACCTAGCTGACTATGATAATAAGCCTAAAACAGTGAAAGATGCTGATGGTAATTTATCATTTACAGATTTATAACTTTGTTTATTTATTTGGAAGGTTAACAATAAGCAATTTCAATAAAAATTCTACGTTTAATTAAAGGTAAGGTCATTACATAACCTAAAAATATAACTACAAGTGTCACAGTCAGATAACTCTTAAAACCATATCCACATATGGTAGAGCCTTACGACAGAGAAAGGGAATTCAGAAAGGTTTTTTTAAAAATTATTTAAGTATTAAAAAATCATATTTATTTTTTAAAAAATAAAGAGAGAAAGAGATCGTCATATTTAGCTTTTAAAAGATAAAGCATAGTTTAAGACATACTCTCATGGTGGATATAATTTTTCTCCTGATAAAAAGGCTTATGGTTTTGATGGAACATTCCCAGAAGTAAATATTTTTTTTGAATTTTAATTCAATCAATTTAAAATATTTTCTAATTAGAAAAAAATACGTGACTTTTCTCCAAATATTTTCAAACATGATAATCCTTTTAAGCCTTCTCATCCTACTAGATCTGTAAGTTTTTTATTTTAAAATATTATTTAATAATGTTTTTATTTAAATTATAATTTATTTTTAGGGATTAGATGGATTTATTGGTAAGTATCCAGAATATAAATCTGATCCAATTAGATAGCCAGTAAGACAAGACCATTAAAAACAAAAAGATTCATTTAAGTAAAATAAAAACAAATTATTTATCAATTGCAAAGATTTTTAATTAATAATTACTATTCAAATATTTCTAAAATTAGAATCAATAGCCCAACAATCTTAACAAGACCTACTCCAAGCATAACGATTCATCCAGTTAATATAAGAAAAGAGATTGCAAATATGAGTTCATTCAAATGAATTCTACAAAAAAATATAAAATTGATTTAATATTAAATAAAGAAAAATTAATAAATAAATAAATTGCACAATTGCTTAAACGAAGATAAAAAGTGTGTTAATACAATATGGTTTTTTAGTTATGTTTATATTTACTTATACAAACTATATCGCTTCCTTAATAATGTTCATTTAATTTATAATTTGCTTAAATATTAATTCAATTCAATTATTTCGCACTATTTAAAATTGTAATAAAGAATATGTTTTCACTATTCCTTTAAATTAAAAGTGATTGTTGATTTTAAAAGTATTTCAGAATAGATTAACCAAATAGAAACAAAGTACGTATGTATGTATGCATGAATGATTGAATTATTATCTTTTTATATTTTCTTTTAATTTATTATTTTCTTGGAGAATCTAGAGATTTCTTTTATATAAATAAGATTATAATTATTATTTAAAATAAATTAACAAATTTCATTTTTTTATCAACAAAGTAAATTCTTATTTACATATAATTTTATACTAAAAATAAACAAAATATTTTCAAAGTAGAATTTTTAGTCTTTCTTTTTTAAAAAATATTTAATAGATTAATGTTGCCTTGTTTCACAAGATTTTTACTTTGTTTTGTCATTATTTAAATTAGATTTACACTTTAAAGAATTCAATTATGGTAAAAAAGTGATTAAAAATATATTTTTTAAAAAGTATTGTTAATTAATAAAAAAATAGGGTTTGTTGAGGTATCTTTTAGTGGGAAACAACCTTGAAATAACAAAATAATATGCAAGTAAATTTTCTTTCTAATTATAATAATTCTTTATATTCTACTTACAATAATTGTTTGATTCCGCTGGACTATAAGTACCAAAAAAAAATTAATATCAGAATATAAACAATTTAATTAAATAATTAAAAACACTCAAAAAAATATAAAAAATGGCCACTTATCTCAAGAGTTTAATTCGTGCATCTAGAGGAGCTTAAAAGACTTCAATGCTTTAGACCTCTATTACTTTTAAGCCTTCATTCTATGCAAGCTATGAAAATGTAAATAATTACTGCTATCTTTTCTGTGTTATTTATATGATTGAATCATTTATTGCTTCACTCATAATATTGATGAAGCAAGCCTCAAAATAGTTTAATCGATACTATATATATTGAAAATTTAATAATATGAATTAGAAAAATATACTCAAAGAACTCAACAAAGAAAACAGAGAACTCTATACTAGAGAGCAGAAATTGAAAATAGATGATGAGGAGCATGAAAAAGATAATCAAACCAATTTCAGAGAAAAAGATTATGATGAAAGATATATCGAGGACTAAAGCTCAGGATACTTTAGTAGAGAAATGGATAACTACTTTAAAACCTTAAATGGAAACAAGAAAATGTAATTACTTATCAAATAAACTTGGCTTTCATTTTAAAAATATTTTCTACCTAAATAATTTTTGCTCTATATAATTTTCTATTATTGAATATAATATTTTATCAAAAGGTAATAGTTTGATGTAGCAGAAGAAGAAGATGAAATAATTTCTATTAACTAAGAGGGAATTAGAAATAAAAAGAAAAAATACTGAAATAATTTTAGATAAACAATCAAATTATTTTCTTGTGAAATCAATCATAAATTATTTTTAGTTACAACCACCTCATTAAAAACCTATTTATAAATGATCTCTAATCACAAAAATTCTATCTATCTGATGTCTAAAAGTGATTTAAACGACAAATTTTTACACTTAAAATATACTTATATATTATAAAAAATATACTTTTACTTTAAACATTATTCTATCTATTTATATTCACTGTATCTTATTGACTGTTTATGAAAATTTTTAATATCTTTCTTATTTAAAATGTCGAACTATTATTACTTTTAAGATAAGCTATTTCAAATATTTAACTATTGAACGAAATCTTGCTTACGAAATCAATTTAATTGTTATTAAATGTATGTGAAAAGCTTGTGAAGCTGGGTTTTGGAAAAATTCACAGCGTTTTTCAAGAATTTCTATGGTGAGCGACCTTAAAATTATATTGAAATTAGATTAATAAATAAAAATTGAGTCATCAAAACTGATTTTTTGATATGAATGATGAAATATTATAACCTGTTATTTTTAAATTTTCTCCTACCAAATATTATTAATTTTATGTAGTATTTGAATGAAAAAACTGTTCAAGCATATTTTCTATAGCCACTTTACAGAAATATTTATAAATAATAATTAGAGAAATTTCATTTAAAAACCAGCTTAGCTTAAAATTAATTTTAATGTGACTTGATAATTCATTATTTAGACCAAGGAAAATTTATAAATAGTTCAGGTTATAATAAATAGTTTTAAAAGGTGGTCTCCTTCTGAGTATAAACACATATACATATCATAAAACAGAATAAAAACTAATAATAGCATTTTATTTCAATACAATTACTAAGTAAATAAAATTCTATTTTTATTTTAACATAAAAAATATTTTATTTACTTATAAAATTGAAAGTTTTAAAAAAGAGATTTTGATTTATAAAAATAATTTTGATATTACAAGATAATTAAAATAGTGAAACAAAATTTTAAAAATAAATTAATATAATTTAAAATAATATATTATTAATTTCAACGAGTTTTTTTAAACATTTAATGCTAAGTAGTCAGTCAGCCTTTCTTGCTTTTTTTATTTTTATATTCATTACTGTAATAATAGATTATTTTTATAAATTTAAATATATATATATATGTATATTTTTATTTAATCTTGTTATTTTTTATTAGATTTTAGCTTAATTTATAATTTGGTTCATTTTTTATTTAACTTGTTAGAGTTTAATATTTTATTATTTCTATTCTTAAATTTAAATACTTTTTTCTCATGTTAATTTCTATTTTATATATATAATATATTCTTAAATTCTATTTTTTTTAAATATTTTAAATATAAATTTTACGAATGCTACTCTAACTTTTTTGTGATATTTCTTCCTAAAAGCAAATTTATAAATTCATATTTGATGATTATTATAATTTACTTATTATTTTTATCTAAATTCTATTTACTTATAATTAATTAAATTACCATAAATTTTATTCAATATACTTTGAAAAAATAAAATGACATAATAGAAAAAATATTTCGACAATTTAGAATAAGTAATTATTTATTTATATTTTTATGAATATTCTTAAAACTTATTTTTATTAATAAAAAAGTTTTTAAACTCTTCACTTTAATCTCATTAGGTTCTTCATATAATTCAGAGGTATATTTAATTTATTAATATTATTGTTATTATTTATATTTTTTTTCATATTTAAATTTGAATCTATTTCTTATAATATAAATTTTCTAATAACATTTCTCATCAATAATAATTCATTTTTATTTGTTCAAATGTTTTTTTAAATATTTTTAAATAAATTTCACTATCAATTATTATTTTTATTATAAATTATAAATTATTAATTTTTTATTATTTGATATTTTTTTTCTTCATTTTTTCCTTTAACTATTTATTAAATATTTTTTTTCACTATTTAAAAAGTTTCAATAAAATTACTACTGAAGATGTATCAGATTTAGGTTCTGCTTTAGCAAATTGCACTAATCTCTTCAATTTGACACTTTAACTTAAGTAAAAGTGGTTTATTTGTTTTGGATTGTGATATTTTTTAATATAAAAGTGATTTTAAAACAAAATAACTAACTCTTTAATTTATTTATTAACTTTTATTTATTTGTTTTTCTTCATATTTATTCTGGTTCTGTTTTTTATCTACTTTCTTAGTTAACTTATCTCATTTTTTCATTTTCAACTTTTATTTATATTATTAAATAATTCATTTCTTATTATTTCATAATTTTTCATCATTTTTTCCTTTTAACTAACTAATTAACTATATAATTTTTCTTCAATACATAAAAAGTGATAATCAAATTGGTGTAAAAGGGGCATCTAGCTTAGCCTCTGCTTTAGCAAAATGCGCTAATCTCTCAAATTTGACACTTGATCTTCGGTAAAAACATTTTATTTGTTTTGGATTGTGATATTTTTGAATATAAAAATTAATTTAAAAGAATATAACTAACTCTTTTAATTTATTAATTAATTTTTTATTTGGCTTATTTTTCTTTTTTTATTCTGTTAATGCTTTTTTTTTTTTTTCATAATTTGTTAAATAAATTAAATTTTGATTTTCTACTTTTTTTTTTTTCTTTTATGGTTAATAAATTCATTTTTTCTTCTTCCTTTTCTCCCTCTTCCTAACTTTTTAATTATATATTTTTTCTTCAATATTTAATAGTTATAGTTAAATTGGTGCAATTGGTGCATCAGGCTTAGTTTCTACTTTAGCAAACTGTGCTAATCTCTCAAATTTGAAATTTAGTCTCTGGTAAAAACAGTTTTTTTGCTTTGGACTATAATACTTTTTAATAATCGATATTTAATAAGTGGTAATAAAATTGGCAATCAAGGTGCATCATAATTAAGTTGTGCTTTAGCAAAATGCAATAATATCTCAAATTTGAAACTTATTGTAAGGTAAAAACAGTTTATTAATATTGGATTGTGATATTTTTTAATATAAAAATGAATTTATATAATAATAAAACTCTTTTAAGAAATATTTAGTTAGTTTTTATTTCTTTTTTAATTTAACTCACTTTTTAATTTTAGACTTTTATAATTAATAAATTTATTTTTATTTAATATTTTTTCTTTACAGCTAACTAATTAATAAGATATTTTTTCATCAATATTTAAAAAGTAAAAATAATATTGGCACAATTGGCCTATCAAACTTAGGTTCTGCTTTAGCAAAATGCTCTAATCTCTCAAATTTGACACTTGATCTTAGGTAAAAACAGTTTATTTGTTTTTGTTTGTGATACTTTTTAATATAAAATTGATTTAAAATAATAAATATCTTTCTTATTATTCATTAGTATTTATTTGATTTTTCTTTTTTTTCTTTATTAATTTAATTCACTTTTATTTTTACATTTTTTTTATTATTAACTAATTCAATTTTTATTATTCCATATATTTACCTTTTTTTTACTTCAAACGAACGATTTATAAAATATGTTTTCTTCAATATTTAAAAGTAAAAATGATATTAATGACGAAGGTGCATCAGAATTAGGAAGTGCTTTTGCAAATTGCAACAATCTCTTAACTTTGATACTTTGTCTTAGGTAAAAATAGTTTATTTATTTTGTATTTTGATAATTATAATAAATCATGAATTTAAAACAATATAACTAACTAACTCTTTTAATTTATTTATAAACTTTTCTATTTGATTTTTTATTATTTTTATTCTTTTTAATTTATAAATTTTTAAATTTTACTTTTGCTATTAATTAATTAATTTTTTATTAATTATTTCATGTTTTTTCTTAATTTTTTCCTTCTTAATAATAATTTAATTATATATTATTTGTTCTATTTAATAGAGAAAATATAATTGGTGACCAATGTGCTTTAGGCTTAGGTTCTGCTTTAGCAAATTGCACTAACCTCTCCAATTTGATACTTGATCTTAGGTAAAAATAGTTTACTTGTTATATTTAGATATTTATAGTTATAAAAATGAAAAAGTGACAGTTAAATTGGCGTAATTGGTTAATCAGGCTTAGGTTCTGCTTTAGCAAATTGTACTAATCTCACCAGTTTGGCACTTTATCTTGCGTAAAAACAGCTTATTTATTTTGGATGAAATAATATAACTAATTTTTAATTTATTTATTTATTAGCTTTTAATTTGATTTGCTTTTCTACTTATTCTATATGTGTGTTTTTTTTTTATAAAAATTTAACTCATTATTTTGTTTTTAGCTTTTACTCTTATTATTAACTAATTCATTTTTTATTATTCCATATTTTTCTTCATTTTTTCCTTCTAATTAACACATTAATTTTTTATTTTTTTCAAATATTTAATAAGAGGCAATAAAATAGGTGATGAAGGCATATCAAACTTAGGTTAATCTTTAGTAAATTGCAATAATCTCTTAAATTTAGAACTATATCTTAGGTAAAAACATTTATTCATTATTTTTTTTTTAATTTTGGTTTTATTTTTTTCTTATTAGTTAATTTGTTGATGTAACTATCCCATTTTTTCATTTTCAAATTTTACTTTTATTATTAATTGGTTCATTTCATATTATTTAAAATTAATTAAATATATATTTTTTAATATTTAAAAAGTTTCAATTAAATTGGTGATCAAGGTGTTTCAAGTTTAGGTTTTGCTTTAGCAAGATGCACTAATCTCACAAATTTGACACTTTAAATTAGGTAAAAATAGTTTATTTGTTTTAGATTGTGATATTTTTGAAATAAAAAATGAATATAAAACAAACAATACAACTAATTCTTTTAATTTTTTTATTAGATTTCTATTTACTTATTTTACTTTTTTTTATATTGCTTGCATTTTTTAAACTTCTTAATTTGTTAATTTAACTCATTTTTTATTACCAACTTTTTTTCTTTTATTTTTTATTATTTCACAATTTTTCTTAATTTATTCCTTCTAATAAGTGATTTATTATATATATTTAAAAAGTTACAGTTAAATTGGTGATAATGGTGCATCAATTTTAGGTTCAGCATTAGAAAATTGTACTAATCTCTCACATTTAACACTTGATCTTAGGTAAAAACAGTTTATGTGCTATGCATTGTGATATTTTTTAATATTAAAATGAATTTTTAAAAAAATACAAGCCCTTTGAATTTATTTTATTAGCTTTTTATTTGATTTATTTTTCATTTTTTTATTATGGTTTTTTTTACTTCTTAATTTGTAATTTAACTTAATTTTTCATTTTTTACTTTTGCATTTATTATTAATTTATTTTTTATTATTTTATATTTTTTCTTCATTTTTACCTTCTATCTAATTAATTAATTATCTATTTTTACTTCAATATTTAAAAAGCGAAAATTAAATTGGTGTAATTGGTGCATCAGATTTAGGTTTTGCTTTAGTAAATTTTGCTAAGCTCTCAAATTTGGAACTAGATCTTCTGTAAAAAAGTTTATTTATTTTGGAATATGAAATTTTTGATTATAAAAATGAATTTAAAACAAAATAACTCTTTTAATCTTATTAATCTGATTTATTTTTCATTTTTTTATTTTCTTCTTAATGTATTAATTAATTTAACTCATTTTTTTCATATTCAACTTTTACTTTTATTGTTAATTTATTTCTTGTAATTTTATATTTTTTCTTCATCTGTTCCTTATAACTATCTAATAAATTATATATTTTTCTTCAATATTTAAAAAGTGACAATAATATTGGTACAGTTGGTGTATTAGGCTTAGGCTCTACTTTATCAAATTGCACTAATCTAACAAATTTGACACTTTATCTTAGGTAAAAATAGCTTATTTGTTTTGGATTATGATTTGTTTAATAAAAAAATAGATCTAAAGCAATAGGCTAATGTTTTTTATTTATTGATTTAAAATATAATTTGATTTTATTTTTTTAATAATTTACACTAAATTATAACAAAAGTAGGAACAATATCAATGAATCATAATAATTGAAAGTAAAAAGCAAGTGTCTTAAATCAAAAAGATTAGTAGTCTCTTTAGTAAATTTCTATTGAAGATAAGCAAGGGTGAAAGAAGGAAGAATAAATTAAATAATAATTGAATACAATATGTTCTATTTTATAATATTTTGTAGTAGGATAATTTTACTTAATTTATAGATATATTTATTATTATTTTTTTATTTATTAATATATCAATCATCATTTTTTTTTAAATGATCAATTCTTATAATTATCATAAGTAGAGAACATATTATTTAGAGTTGCTGAAAATCAAAAAAACGATGAGTGACCTCATATTGATTTAATTTTGATGAAAAACGAGGAAGAAAATGAAATAAATCAACTAATCTTAATGAGATTTTTATCATTATAAAAATAATATTAATTAACTAAATAATTATTTTTTTAAAATAGATAGAAAGTTTGATAGTTCTGAAGTACGTAAATATATATATATAGAAAGTTAGATACATATAAAAATAAATACTTAGATAGTTAGAGGTTGCTAAATAACATGATTGATTTATTAAAAAAGGCACCATAAAAACTATTTTAATAAACATCAATAATCTTGTAATTGGTTTTAGGATGTAGTTTTTGTAAACCTAACTGGGGATTTTTTCCAATTTTCTTATTTGATTACATTATTAGTTTTATTTTCTGATTAGTCTTAGGAAATATCTTCATCATCAAATACTTATGATTTTAATTATTAATTGACTTAATCTTTCATTTTAATTGTTGCTGTAAGTTTCTTTATATTATCTTTATTTTTTGAGTTATTCTCTTTTAGTTTTTCATAGACTTGTTTTAACTTTATATGTTTTTCTTCTAATTGTATTTTATCTTAAAGTAGAAGGTCTTTGCGAACAATATCATTTTTCAATGAAGCGATCTATTCTTAATATTTTTTATTATCATTTAGTACTAATATAGCTTCCTCTTTCATTTTGTTGTATTTTTCTTGCATTTCTTTCACGTAATCATCTTTTCTTTCTATTTCCTGTATTTGCTTTGTTAATTTTCCAATTTAATCTCTTTAATTTTTTATGAGTTTTTCATTCTAAGCTATTTATTCTTCTTTTTTGGCATTATCCTCTTTTAATTAGTCATTGTATTGCTTTAAAAATGCTATTTTATTTAGCTCTTCATTTTTCTACTCAATAGTATTATTTTTAGCCTTTAACTAAGCCTAAAGACTCTTTATTTGTTTTTGAATTTCATCTTTTTCTTCTTAGATTTTATCAGCTCTTTATTTTTCGTTTTGCAAATCTTCTTTACTTTTTTGAATGAAAGCAGATTGTTGTTTAATTTTTTCATCTTTTTCATGTCCTTACTTATTCAAAGAATCTATTTCAGATTGTTTCTACTCTACAAGCTGTTTGTATTACTGAATTTCTGTGAATAGTTTTTCGATATCCTGCTTTTGCACTATAATTTTAGCATGCTCAACTATTGTCTCCAAAGTATACTTATTGCTTGGTTTTACAGCTTTATTAACAGCATTATTTGCATTGTTTACGTTATTTGTTTGATTAGGATTGTAATTTCCTTTATTTTACTGATTTTCAATTTCGTTCTGTTTCTCTGCTAGTTAATCTTTAAGAAGCTATATTTTATTTGACATAGATTTAATCTTTGCTTCTTTTTCAGATACAGTTGGTATTTCCTCTAAATATCTCTCAAACATTTTCAACACTTTAGACTTAACATCAACTTGATCTTTTTTTGCTATAAAAAACTTTATTTTAGCGTTTACCTACTCAATAAATTCTTTGTAATCTTGATTAAATTTGCTTTTCACTATATTTATATGTGTTTAGTAAATCTACTCGCTATCTATCATAATTTGGTGCATTTCTTCGATTTTCTAGTGGATAAATTCAGTTTTTATAAGTATGTGCCAAAAATAAATTAATAAAGAAAGAATAAAGAAAATAAAAATCAATGTAATTTACGATTTAAAGAGCCTCTTTTTCTTAGTAAAGAATTTCGTTGTAGTCTTTTTACTCTGCGAATTGAGATTTTAAAGTTTACAATTATTTCTTTTTAGTTTTGTCATATTAGCTGAGCTGAGCTTCTAAAGTTTTTGATTTTTGCTCTTCTTATATAAGCCTGGCTTTTAAATCTTTACTTTCTTTGATTTGAGCAGCTAAGTCGCTGTTAATTGTTTAGTTTTTATCATGAATTCTTTTGTTTTCGAATGTAAGTAAATCAACTTGCTGAATATAATAAGAAACCTAAGAATTTAAATCATATGATTATCCTGTAGTTTAATTTTCAAGCTCTTGATATTTTTGCTCTAATTCTTTCATAAATTTAATTAAATCTTACTAATACTCTTTGCCTTCTTGAATAGCTTCGTCTTTAAGCTTAATTTAAACAGAGATATTGTCTTTTTATCTTTGTATTTCTTATACGTATTACTTAAGAGCTTCTAGTTCTTCATTTATTTGCTCTTTGTATTATTATTCTCTTTGGGATCTTCTTTTTAACTACTCCATTTCATCTTCAATAGCTTTGTATTTAATTATCTATTATTAGCTTTCTTCATACTTTTGTATAATTTCATTTAACTATCTTTCAAGTTAGAATGCGCTTTCACTGACATCTTTTAGTTACAGACTCAAATCCCTAATTTATTCTCTAGCCAAAATCACTTCTTCTTGCAATTACTAAACATTTCGTGATACTTTTTACTAATTGATATTATCATATGTAACATCTGATGAGTTCACTTTAATTATTGAATAAAAAATTTAAACTTATTTTCTAAAATAAAATTTTTTACGGTGTTTAAGCTCTTGAATTTTTCTTTACAGGTCATCTATTTCATTTTTGTAAAGCATTTCTTTTTCACAAAACTGGGATTAAATAATCTTATAATTTTCTATTTCTTCAAAATACTTTCTTTCAAGTTCCTTAAAAGGTAATTTAAAATTTAATTAATTAATTTCCTTTAAAAATTATTAAAAATATTACTTTGTTCTCAATTCTGAGCTACTTCAGAGTTGATTCGAATAATATTGTCGATTTATCAGATTCGTTAAAGATTTAATCTTCAAACTGCTTTTTCTGTGTTTCAATTTCTTATATTTTCTTTTCAAAATTTTGCTATTTCTTTTTAGTAGTTTTCTCAATTTCATCTTTTTCAGATTTAATATCTTTTAACTCTTTTTACAATTCTTCTATTTTACTTTCTAATCAAAAAAAATTTTACACATAAGTTATTTGAATGATTAATTAATATTTATTATTTTTTACCTTTTTAGCTTAAGGCTTGATTGAGACTCTTAACTTTTTAGCTAAGGTCTTCTTTAGGCTGCAAATTTTTAGATGACTTCTTTTACTTCTCTTTTTATTCTTAAATCTATACCTTGAGAGAATTGATATCTTCATCTTTTTCTTAAATTGTATTTTGTAGCTTTTGCAAGTCTCTCATTTTTCTTTCTATTTCAGCTTTCAAATTTTGTATTTGATCTGCTTGAAGCTGTAGTTCTTCTTGATATTTTTATTATGATTGTTTAAGCTAGTCTTCAAATCTATCTTTAATTTTTTCTATCATAGCTATCCTGCTGTTTACGTTATCTTTGTTTGACGACTAAAGCAAATGCAATTATTAGTTAGCTTACTACAATTGATGATTATAATGCTATATTTGCTAGTTTAATGAGTTTATTTTTTAATTATTATCTATATTTTCTTAAGTCATTTATTTTAATTCTTCATACATATTCTTCATTTCAGTTTTTAAGTTTTTGTATTTCTATTTTTTAGCCTCATACTTCATCTTATATCTGTTAGATTCTATATCTTAGACAACTGGTTACAGGTTTTATTCAGGTTCTTTCTATTCCAATTTCTCCTTTTCAATCTTTTCTTACAATTCTTTTTGATGGGCATCCTACTGCTTTTTAAGATCTTCTAATTTTTATTTTTCATTCTCTTCTAACCTATTTATTTTAAATAGTATTTTTTTAAAAAAAATTATTAATTTTATTCTTGATGTATTTTTTTTTACAGCTTTTATAGGTGATTATACTTTTTAGTCAAATCTTCATTCTATTTTTTATACTATTAAATAAGCTTGCCTTCTTCTGAATAAATATTGAGTTAATTTTATCTGAGCTGTTCAATTTCGTTTTCTAATGATTGAATTCTATTTCTTTAAAATATAATTTTTTTTCTTCTTCAAGTTTCTCAGTTAATAATTTATTGAAATTACCTTTCGTTAGTAGCATTTGCCAATTTAGCTTGATGGAGCTTCTCGAGTAGCATTTCAGCTTCGTTTTTAGCTTAGTAATATCTTTGTTCAGATTCTTCAAATTGTTGCTAGATATAGTCTTTGTCATTTTATAAAAGTTCTGTTTGAAGTAATATCTATTAATTTTTCTTTTTTTCAGCATTAATAATTCCTTTCAAGCTCTCTATTTCGCTTCTATAGTTTTGAATCTTTTCTTCATATTTGAACCTCTATTTATCTAAGGCTTCCTCTATGTTTTAAATTTATTTATTTGACAATAATTAGCTTTGAATATCTTGTGTTTATAAAATCCTTAATCTTTCCTTCAACTCTGAATTTTATTGATTTAAAATAAATAAGTTATCCCTTAAGCTCTATAAATCTCCGTCTTACTGCTTCAATAAGAGATCTTTCTACTTAATAGCATTTTAAAATTATTTCTCTCTATAATCGATTTCTCTTTAATCTCTCTCTTTAATTTAATTAAGGAGAGTTTATATCTCATTGTAATTAGAATTGTTTCTTAAAATATGCTCTATTTTTGAATAATATGAGTCATTTCTTTATATTTTATCTTCTAATCTTTGGATTAAACGATCTTTCTCTTCCAATATCTAATGCAGGGCTCTTTCTTATAACTGGCTACTTCTTAAACTTGCTGTTAATTTAAAAAATAAATACATTAAATTTTGAATAGGAAATTATAATTTTATTTTAATTGCTGTGTATCTTTCTTTAATTTTTACATGCAAAAATTTAAAATTTTTGACACAATATAAATTCAAAAATTTAAAGCAGCACAAATAGTTTTTTGAGAGAACATTTTACTTATTTAAAGCTAAAATATTTTATTATCATTACAAAATAATGAAAAAACTTCATAAATTTAAATTTAAGCATTACTTTTATGAACATCAGGCTCTAATTGATATCTTGATGTATTTGTATCAAAACGTTGCAAAGATTTATGATTAATTTGAATTGATATACGCTTTTCAAACTCTCCTTAGTTTGCAGTAACAAACATAAAATCTTAAAGTTCTAATCTACTAGTAATCTCGCATGGAATCAATTCTATAATAACCTCCTTAATTTCGTTTGGAGCCAAGACAAAGCATTAAGGACTTAAGCGAATCTTTTTGGTATCAAACAATTTAAACTCTACATGCATATCCTTCAACTCAGGATCAGAGTTTTTGATATACATTTTCTCAATCCTCTTTTCATTATCTTCATACTGATCAAAAATAATCTAAAAAGGCTCTATTTCCATATCTTTTTAATATTTTAAAGTTTCTCTGGCACTTCAAATAAATTTATATTGCTAGTGTTTGTTCAGTAAATCTTCAAATTACTTCAAACAAAATTTAAGGTTATATTTTATTAATATCAAAATAAATTCAATTTATGCATGAAATTAACTACTATTTTTTTTCTTCAAAAAAATCCTAATTATTTATCAAATACCAAACAAATTTTCACAGCAAAAAAATATGATTTGATTTGATAAATAAGATTTTTTTTAATTATAAACATAATTTTACTATTTAAATAAATTAGAATCAAGAAATCTTTAGTAAAATAAAAATGATTTTTGAAAAAAAGTTATATTTTTTTCAAAAACGAATAATTGATGTCTAATATTGTATAATAAAAAATATATATATTGAGAATATATAATACTAAATGGTAATAATATGGAAGGAATTAAAAATATTTTTATCAATTAAATCAATGAAATTTAATTTAAAATCAACTCAAGAATATATTTTATGTGCCCAAAGATTAATAAATATTTTTGTTTGTTCTTTCTTACTCTCATTTAGTGAATTAGTAAAATGTAAAAAAAAAATGATTTGGAAGTTTTTAATTATTGTGTTGAAAACAAATATTTCAAAAATACAATTATAAAATATAAAATTTGATAAGTTATTTATATAAGATGCATTTCATAGTAAAATAAAAAAGAATTAATTAATTAATTTATTTATTTAATAATGAATTAATATTCTTATTTGAAAATAAATGATTGATATTCAAAATCAAGATACAGTAAAGTTAAATTATCCAAATCCATTATTCATATTACCCATGTTGCCAAATCCATTAGTCATAGGATTCATCTGTGGGGTATCTTATATTCCTTGAGTGGTAAATCTTTCTTGATTACTTGTGAAATTGAATTATTATAATGAAGGATCTTACTTTTATTGATTTTAGTTTTACTTATTTTTCTTGTTTTGCTTGTTGTTATTTTTATTATTATTTTACTATCCTTGATTATTATTTAAACCGCCCATAGGACTCACCATGTTATTTTATATTGCGTTCATTTACTATTAATTGCCAAAGTTGAATGCGTTTTATGCCTAACCATTCATGGCCATTGCTGGGAAATTAGTATTTCCCATAAAGCCATTATTTTATTAGTTAGGTGTTGCATTTACTTGATTGAAATTAGTCATGTTTTATTATTAATTTTACATTTAGTTTTGTTATTAGAATTAATTTTATTAATTCTTACCCTTGTTAGGATTATTCATGTTCATATTATTATTGTTCATATTAAAACCTTGTTGTTAATTTCCCAAGTTGATTTCTTGTTCTTCTTGTCCTTCTTCGTCATCATCTTCTTCATCCTCTTCTTCAGCTTAGACTTAGTTGTTCTAAATTGGTATTTAAGTGTTAGGTGCTTAATTAAGTTATTTATTATTTTAATCTTTATCCTATCTCTGTAGAACTACTTTTTCATGAACTGGATTTCTGAGTTCAGACTCGCCATGAGCATATCTGCAGCTATCTCCGTTTTAGCAGCTACCTTTAGTAAATCCAACACAGATGGTAGTTTTAAAGAATGAGTTAGTTGAGCGCAATTGTTCAAGACCATGTGCAAATGAACAGTGATTTCCAAGATTGCATTTTCCCTTTGCAAACATTTGGCAGAGCTTGGTCTTCTTAAGATTGGGAGCCTCTTTCAACTCTTCTTAGCTATGAGCATAGACGCATTTGTCTCCTTTTGTGCAGTTTGCATTCAAAAAATAGGGGCAAATTTTAGTTTTGTGGAAAGCATTGTTAGATAATTGCACTTTGTTTTTAAAAATAAAAAATGTGTGGTTATATTATTTCACCTATGATTAAAAAACTTAAATAATTCTATTGAGAATTAATTACATTTGCCTTCGCGATTTTAAATTTGGGGATTGGCTTTCTTGTTAAAAACTTTGGACATTTTAGGGACGAAATTGCTATTTTCCTTGTTGTCCTGTTTACCACCTTTTTTAAAAAAAGGCTTTCCTCCTTTTTTATTTTATTGTTATTGTTATTGTTGTGGAAATTTTCCCATTTGTGTGTAATTTTTTTTATTCTTTTAGTTTGTTTTCTATTGAAAATAATTGGTATAATCTAATTATTTATTATAAATCAAAAAAACAAAATAAATATTAATCACTCTCTCTATTAAATTGAAAAGAACCTCAAAAACCCTCTAATTATATCTTTGAAATCTGTGTGATTTATATTGGGATTACTAATATAATCGCTAGCATTCTGAACAAATTTCCTCTCTTAAGAAAAAATTCAAATTTTACTTTTAATCGCAATTTTAAATTTGAAAATAGATACTACAAATGGTTATATTTTAATAAATATAAATTTATTTGAATTTGAAATAAATTTAAATTAATCTATTATTAACAATCCATTTTACCAAAATATTTTGTACTCACAACTTCTAATAAAAGTCATCATTATTTCACCATTAGAAAGAAAATATTCTTTCTTTTAGATTAATCAAAAACAATATTTTTAAAATCATTTTAAAAATGAAAATAAAATTTAAGCATGCTTTTTTATTGTCCATGTAAATATCTCTAAGATTTCATATAATTTTTTACATAAAATAGAAAATATTCCTAATAAAAATTATGTTTAAGTAAAAGCATAATTTCTAACAAAAATGAGTTTTGTATGTGGTTAATATTGCTCCTAATTTATAAAACAAAAATAATTCTTTACAACATTACTTATTTGAAAAAACTTTGAAAAAATAAGCATAGTGTTAAAAAAATTATCATTTTGCAAGTTTAATATATATATTCTCTATTAAATATGATAAAATAGATCAAAATCTATCATAAAAATATATACTGAAAACACTTACAAATAAATATATAAATTAAAAAACAAATTATCACTAATAAATAAATATAATCAATATTAGATAAAATATTATGTTAATTTATTCTGATCTAAGTATATCACTTACTTTTAATATATAAAATTAAATTGATTAAATTATTGAAAATTATTAAAATAATTTATTTGAAAATATAAAAAGTAAAAAAGCAAGTAATAATAATTTATTTTAAACCAAAAAATAATTTTTTGATGAAGAATAGAATTTTTTTAGAATCAAAAGAATACAATTGAATACAAATAAAATAATTATTTATTTATTTATTTAATATTTTTTCAAAATACAAGTTTGTTTTATAAATACATTATAACAGAATAATTTTTATACTTTTAAATTTTCTTAATTATTTATCATATATATTAGGTTTTAAAATTACATGTTTCAGATTCCTTCTCTAATACGTCTTAATCTCTCCTCAAGACTATCAGTGCCACCTACTTAATTGTTACCACCTTATTGTTGAGGAATATTGGGTTAGAAATTAGGTGGTTGGTTATTGATGGGTTATTGTGGTTATTACTATTGAGGTTAAATATTAAATTAAGGAAGCTAAACTTATGGGAAATTGTATTTTGGTTGGTTTTAGGCATTATCGTTAACAGTAGGATATTGTGGCTATTGGGGAGGTTATTGAGGAGGGAATTGAGGATATTAGGGTTGAGGAGGTTGTTGAGGTGGGAATTATTAAGCAGGGAATTAATTCTAGGGAGGATACTATTATTATTAAGGGAATCCAGATTACTAGGGAGGATATTAATATTAGCCTTATTATGGAGGATACTAACCTTATTAGGGAGGGAATTAACCTTGTTAGGGAGGATATTGTTATCCCGGAACTTCTTAGACTCTAATATTTATATTTAGGTTACCAACTTATTATTATTATCCATATTAGTTAGGATATTAAGCATTCATAGATTGCTATATGTTAGGAACAAAGATAGGGAAATTTTATCCACCGTTTCCACCCATTTAATTTTAAACTGGTGGCTAATCTGAGAATTCGTGACCAACAGTATTGATTTATGAAAGTGTGATACCAGTTTTTTAGCTTAGTTTGATAAAGTAGCTGTTGATATCTGCATCAGAAGGCATTACATTTTCAAAACACTTTTTTAATTAAGGATCGACTTTAGTTTCATCACAGATAGAATTAGGAACTTAAGAGCTTCCAAAGAACATGACCATCATGTTTGTGAATTCCTAAAGGCATGACAAATTTAAGTGTCTAGTACTCCAAATAATTGTTTCAATAAATGGAAGTAATTCCTTAACTGCAGCAGGGTTTCCCTTAGACTCACAAATATGCATACTTCTATCTTTTAAAATGTCGCAGCATCTATTTTATAAAAAAGGAATTAGAATATATTAAGATAAGATTATATATATATATATATATATATATAAGGACGAGCTAAATTTCTTTCTTTCTTTATTTTCTTTTATCTATTTTAATATGTGATTGACTTAAAAATTGTATGATTTGCCAATTATTTAGATGCATGTAAATGCATTTATGTAAATTTTTTCTGGTGAGATTAGTAAAGAAATAAAAATTTTTAATCAGCAATTTATTGAAATTGTAATATTTATTATTATTCAATTTAGTTAAAGTTTAATAGAAACATATTAAATACTCCATTAAATTTTGGCTCCAACATTAAAATTCATAAATTTCAGGAAAAAGTTGTTTTTCTTTATACAATTTGCTTTAAACGCATAAAATTGAATCCTAAGTTTTTGTTTTTAATTCAAACAGAGGATAGCAGAATCTAAAATTTATAATTTGCTGATTTATAGAGTGTTTAATATTTTTAGTTAAAATGATTTAAAATCTCATCCTAATTATAATATTTAATTGAATATTTACCTTATAACGATGTTGCAAGCGTCTATGAAACTAATATCAGAAACTATAGAAGCTGCTTTGTGCTTTTCTTCAACCATAGATCTTGTAGGACTGTTAATCATAACTATAAGTTGTTATTCTTTGGCATTTGCCTATCCCATTCTTCTATCTCTTTGCAATTCCAAATGACCCTTTACTTTCATACATGCTATTTCTAATTTTTACTTTTCCATTCTAGGATTATATTATTTTGGAGGAGGTTGATTGCCCATTTCGTTTTATTTTATTTATTTTATTTATTTATCAAAAAATTAGCTTGAACTTGATTTTTTATTAAAGATATCTATTTTCTTACTTTTTTTTTGTTTATATGAGTTAAGACTATCTTTCTCTTCAAATAACCAAAAATTTTAATAAAATAAAGAAATAGTTGATTGCTATATTATTTTTTTCTTATCAAAAATAGTGTTTTAAACATAAAAGGGACGCTAATATTCATCAATAGCAAAAATTGATGAAATCAAATAAAAAACACAAGAAATAATTAAATATTGTTTTGATTTTATCATTTTAATTTAATTGTCTATTCTTAATTTTTGAAAATTAATTTAGAGTTAATTAATACTTTAAACATATTAACTTTAAGATAAAATTTTGAAATCACCTTTATCAGGATTTAATAACTTTCTGATTGGGAAGAAAATATAATTTAAAATTTAAAATAATCATTAAAGTAGAACAGTTTGAACCTTTTAATTATATAAATTTATAATTGACTATCACATTTTTCAAAAAGAACATTTGCTCACTTATTTTATTTTTCTTGAAATTAACCAAATATGTATTTTCTTAACTATCCACACTCATATTTCTCCTTAAAATTATTTTTTAATCTAAAATTAATTTAATTTCATAAAAGCCTTAAATTTTTTTGCTTTCAAACTCAAAAGATAATATTATTTTTTCAACAAACTTTACAAATTTATATTAAATTTAACTTTATTTGAATTAAATTAAGAAAATTTATTTCATAATTAAAGAATATCATTTATAATATATTTTATCACAATTTTAGTAGTTATTAAAATTATTTTCTAGCAGAAAGGTGATGTTTTAACAATTATTAACTAAAAAGTTTAAAAGATATTCAAAATAAAAAAATAATTTTTAAAATACAAGGAATAATTATTAGTTTGTTTTTAACAATACTTGGAATCCTAAAAAGCAAATTAATTTTTGTAAAGATAACTTTATTATTGAAATCGACAATAATTTAATAATTGTTTAATCATAGATTTTTAAAGTTGGCTACTTTACTGATAAAATCAAATCAATAATCAAAGCATATTTTATTATTAGAATTTTATTAAGTATAAACTATCTAAACATTTTTTTCCAAAATTTTAAGTAAAAATAATATTAATAAAATTTATCTCAAAGTTTTAAAAAGTTTCATTTTTATTTAACTATGTTGAAGATTAAATAGTATTTTAGAATACTTGACAAATAATGATATAATTTACTTTTATAAATTAAAATTATAATCTTAACTTAAGGTAGTATTATACATTTTCAATTTGTATTTTTTTATGAAAAATAAAAATATTAATATTGTCTTTTCGATTTTATTAAGAAGAATTTTTCTCACAAACCACATTGTTTTTATTTCAATTAATTATCAAAAATTTAACTATGTTGTGTTTATTTCATATTTTTTAAAGTTTTTAAATATATAGTTTTTTTTTTTTGCTAAGGCTCAAAATTTAAAAAAATCATATTTTTAAGTCGATATATTAAAATTAATAAATTAATAAATATATTTCAATTCTAAAATTAATTGTAAGGGCTTTCAAATTTAGCAGCTAAACCAAATTCGAATTGAGAGTTTTAATTTACAAAAACCTTTTATAAATCTTAAATTTTTATAGTTATTTAAAAAAATTAGTATATAGAAATAACATAATATCAAAGAAGAAAAATTTAATAAATAACAATATCTCAACTATACTTATCACTACTTTATTTACTATCTTAAAGTTTATTAGATTAAACTGTGCTATTTTTATTAACAGGAGACTTAACTTACAGAATAGAATTAAAAGTATAGACTTTATTTTATTCTTATTCTTCTTAAGAAAAAAATATGCTTTAACTTGTTTAATTATTATTACCCTATCTACCAGAAAGCACCTATATTTTTATATCTTATATACTATTCCTCTAAGTATTGCCTAAAATAATAGATTCGATTTATTTAGGCTAGTTTAACTTGGATATAACATGATTAAAATCGTATATCTTATAATTTTGCTAATCATTCTCTTCATTAGGTATTATTACTTTTGAAGCTTCAACTTTTTCTGCATTATTTAAATTTTTATTCATGTTTATCATACAAATACCATCTTCAATGTTTAGATTGTTGGTTGAGATTTATTTTGCTAAATTATTGTTAGATCTGCTAGGGGTTGAGTCTAAATCGCTGCAATATCTGCTTAAATAAGAAGTATCACCTTAAGGCCTTTTGGTAACACAGTAAGTAGATTTGTTATTAAATTTTTTGATACTATTTAATTCTGATTTTTCAAGTATACAATCAGTAAAAGGAATAGATTCTATTCTATTAGTATTTAATGTTAATTTTTTATTAGGACTTTTAATTTCTGTCTCATTTTTCGCTTACTAGCTCAATACAAATTCATTATCTAAAATTTTATTAAATTAATTATTTGTTAAAATTTATTTTATTTTTAAAATAAATATTTTTTTTAATGATGAATTGATTGAAAAATGTTATAATAAAATAAAATTACATGATTAAAAGTTATTGTTTTCTAAGCTATTGAAAGCTGCAGCGATGAAAGATTTCTTTTAAGATTAAGCTTAATTGATTTAAGTCAAGGTAATTTTTAAGTTTTTATATAAAAAGCGCCACTTTCTGAGTGAATTATTATTTTAAAATTTACTCTTGAAGAAAAATTTATAAACAATTTCTGGAAAAATACTTTAAAAGCACTTTTTAAGCTTCATATTTATTGTGCTTTTTTGAGTATTTAATTTAATCCTGAGAATCAATAGGATTAAATAAGCCATGAAAGTATAATGAATAACTGCTGTAAAATACTAAAATGTATCTATTTAAAGAGTTTGGTAAAGAGAAAAAAAGATAATACAAGGAATAGTTATGCAGTAAGAAAATATTTCAAGTCTGTTTATAAACTTATTTTCGAATGGCTGTACTTTAATTAGTATAATTATGTAAATAAAAGCAAGTACCAAATAAAAGGATGTGATTTGTGTTAACACTTCGCTCAGTAGAGTAGACAACAAGACAAAAATAATTTTAAAGTAAATTCTAATAAATTCCCAATAGTAGTAATTTGTTTTATATTCTAAATAGAAGTATCCAAACATGTATTTTGTTGTGCAATAATTTAGCTTTTTTGTGTCTCTTCCTTTTTTGTAGCGGAATATCAATAAAATAATGGATGGTGAAAGAAGCCAAAATATCAAATTAGGTAATATAAAATATAGACTAAAGAGCTTGTACTATTTATCATCACATGAAATTAGCTAATTAATTTACTGATATGACTTTGTTCCAATTTTTCTACAAGAGATTGCTTTTGTAAAAAATCCTATTGTATCTGGTTAGAAGAATAGAAAAGCTACTATAATCATAATGTATTTGTGATAATATGATACTCTCCATATCTTAAAGAACCTCAATACTGTTAAGACCAAAAAAAGTATAATGACAAGTGTAATTGGAAAGATGCACATACTGTACGCTCTAATTCTTTCAATTCCTATATTGCTAGCACCTCCACTGCCATACAAGCAAACACTGCTTACAACTATTTAGCTACCAGGCTTGCCGGTTGTGTTAGGAACAATGCTTAAAAACTGGGGTGCTATGTTAATATTTTGGCTATACAGTAGGGTAGAAATTTATATGTAATTAATTAAAATTTTCATAAAGAAAGTCGATTGATCCATTGTGCAGCTATTAGAAAAGGGAAGAAATTTTAAAAATCTTGAATAGTAGCATGTGGAGTGATATATGTATCTATCCATGAAAAATAATGTGGAGACAAATAAATAAATAAGCAAGACTATTATGGAGATTACCAAGAAAGTTATTTGAGTTTCAAATGAGCTACATTACTAGCATTGAAAGTTTTACATAGATTAGGTGTATCTTTTACCATTCCAAATCACTCCTGTTGCATCACAGGATTCACAGAGTGGACCTATATAGCCTTCGATGCATCCATCTTTGCTATTTGCATCTTATTCATTACAAATTTATGGATTGAAGGAATTACATTCAATAATTTCATCAGAACTGTTGCTACTTCTCCAAAATCCTTTTTAAAGTGTGATATTATTGGATTGACATTAAAAGGCCTCTTGGGGACATTTTTTACATGCTTGAAAAGCTTAATAAGAATTATCTTTTAATTAATTAAGCGCTTCTTAAGAATATTCAGTCATAGGATCTATGAATGAGTACGTTCCATATGAACATTCTTAACATGTTATCATTTAAATCAGACTAATTGAATTATTCTAGTTAACATAATTTTTTGATTAATACTCTAAAACTTCTCCTTATAAGCAAGCTCTGAACTTTAAATTTATACTGATAGAGCTGGAATAGTTTATAAGTTAGTAATTAATTAGTACCATAGCTTAAGCCTAAGTATAAAGAGGCTGAGAAGAAACAACTAGAGAAGTGAATTGAAACATGGATAAATCAAAATTATATTGTTTAATGCTAACTATTGTTTAGCCTTTTATGTCTAGTATGTTGTTAAGGTTACTTTTTTCACTGTTGAATTCTAGTAAATATGAATCAAGCTCATTCTTAATGTCTTAACTGTATAGGTTATTTAAATATTTCGTTTGATTAACTTTTAACTGACTACCTTAATTATCAATTAATTATATAAACATATTTATTTATCCACCACTTTAAATATTTTGTATTGAAGCTTTGTTGCTGCTATTGATAATTGACCCCTAGTAAACCAATTTTAGATCAATTTCTTCAAATTTCTGACCAATTTACAAAACTTTATCAGAGTAGAAAATTGATATGCTATCCAATAGATCTCCAATGTTATCACCATATAATTCAGCTGTGTTATACTTCATTTGACATAGTATTTAGTATTTTAATGAAGTAGCCATGTTTTGATTAAATATTCTGATTCCTCCTCCGATTATTGCTTGGCTTGAATTAATAGAGCTTAATGAATCTATTTATAACATGTTAACATCCTCCAAGTAAATACTACCTCCACTTGATTGAACAATGTTTTTGTCAAAATGTGAATTCAATATATAAAGATAATTATTAATTTTAGTTATTTGCAAAGCACCTCCTTTAATTCCTTAATTTAAGAAGAACTAGCTGTTGCTAAAAACTACAGTTATAGAATTTTTTACCAAAATATTGGCTTTATTATATTTAAACACCAGAGAATCAACTTAAATGATAGATGATTATAAATTTAAAAGATTTAATTGCTAATTAGATATGAATGTAAATGTATTGCTATAGATCGAACTGTTTACAAATTTTATCTCATCTTTTTGTAAATAAATAATTTATCCATTTTGATAAAAATTATTTGAAGTAGAAAAGGCAAAAATATTTTGATTTTCAAAAATATTTATTAAATTTAAATTAATTGTGTTTATTCCAATTAAATCAAAAGCATAAGAGTTTTGGTTTTAGTTATTATTAACACTTTTGCATTTAGAGATAGTCAGATTATATATTTCTAAATAATCTACCTAAAAAATCTAAAAAATACTGTCAAATTAGCTATTTTAGATAGTTAAGCTGTTTATTGTTAGATTTGTAACTTAATTTGCAATTAAAAATTTTCCTTAGAAATTTATGAAATTAAGGTTATCAATGATAAAATTTTATATTACCACATTATTTGTATTTTATATGAATATAAACGCGCTATCTTGACTATTAGAGCTTAATATTCTAGAAGAACCTCCTGTTATGTTAACATTTTATACTTATATATTTTGTAAACTTACTAAATTTTTATCTTTGAAAAATAAAGTAGTTTAATCTGTAATATTTTGTTGTTATATCAAGATGTCCTACAATATTATTCTACTTGAGTTAGTATTAGAGCTGATTTATTAGCCTTATTCTATAAATTAAAAGTCAAATCCTTGCAATTAAACGTCAAAATTTATGTTGTTAAAAGAGTTTATCCTAATATTTAATTAATTATTTGTACTTGACTAAGGCCTCATCACAACCGATGTCTAGCTTTAATTAATCGAATACATAGATCTAATTTCATTATAAATTAAAACTTAAAGAGAGTAGTGCAAATTAGGATTATTTGGGTCATAAATATTTTTGTATTAGTTTTGCAAATTAGCTTAGTTCGAAAACAAAAGTTGACTGTAACAACGTTTTTGGTTTTTGTTTATTGACACCAGTTAGTTTTATAAAAGACTCAGTGAGAATCTCTTTTCAAAAACAGAGTTTTAAGATGTCCCGATAAGTAATAGCTAGTTTGAAAGAGTATTTATTCCTGAGTATATCAAAAAAGGATTTGAAAGAGTTATTGTGTCTTGCAATATAACCAGATTTTATGTTTTATCAATTAGAAGAATTTCTATGCGAGTAGCAAAAACTGAAACTAAGATATTTTAATTAATGAGTCTTAAATCTGTAATTTGGTCCTTTCTATAATATCTCCTAGCTTTTGCTATATATGAATAGTCTTAACTATCATGAATATTTATTTAAAAAGAGCAATAGAGAATAATAAAATCACTACTCAATATTATTTGCTTCCACTAATCATCAGGAAAGATTAAATATTAAATAAATTAAAAATTTTAGATATTCCAAACTCCTACTTTTTTTTCTGCATAGAAATTTACAAAGAACCTCTAATTAGTTAGATCTACCTTTACTAATTAAATACTTTTTGTTATCAATGATCCGTTTTCTTAAGTTATTTGTTTATTTATTGTGTCCATAAATTATTATTATTAAGTGATTACTAAATCTTATGTGCTTATCATAGTAGCTCCTCCATTTTTATCAACACTGACAAATATACCTTCGCTAAACTAATAAAGGTATTATATTTGAATCTGTTGTTTTAAGCTTAAACTGTTGAATGTTTAAGACATCAAATTGTAGCTGAAAATTTTGCCTGTCTATGTCCCTACGAGCAAGATCCAGATTGGACCATTGGATGAACCAGTAACAAGCTTTGCAGTTATAACATCAGCCAGATCAAGTTGTGTTGAAAAGATTTCTTAATTCTTAAAAAAGTCAAAATCTACTATTTTGTTATCAATAGTGTTTATAATCAGTTTAGTTTAGTCTTCAAGCAATAGTCCTTTAAAAGAATATTACTAGAGTATCAGCAGTGCATTCTATTCCTAAACCATATCTTGGTAGTTATTAAAGACTAAAATGCTGAATTAATAAAATATTATATAAAGTATCTTGCTTTGTTACTAAATAGTCTGCATATAAATAATCTCTTAACTGAATTGGCAAAAATAAGTTACTTAATAATTTTAGTAAAAATATACAGTATTATAGTAATCTGCTATTAAAAATGCTGTATTTTAGTTATTCTGTGAACTCTAGTTTAATTGGAAATAGTGTTTGTATGGTTTACTGATAAACTATTTTGATGGTCTAGTGTGCAAATTATAATTAAGCTTCCATGTTTTAATACCATTATGAACAAGAATTGTGTTTGTAATGAAATCAATTATAAAATCGACAGGTTTTGGTTGTTAAAATTGCTATATCTCTTCAATTGAAAATGTGTTATCAATACCCAGAGAATTTGTAATGATGTTTTAGCTATTTCCATAGCTATCAAAATAATTTACCATAGAACTATCTTAGTCATAAATAGCTTTCACTATCTATCCTAAACCAACTTGATCATAAGTGTTCACCATATAACCATTCTGTTAGAAATTCGTAGTACTCAAAAATATAATTTAACCACTTCTTATATCTGAGCAATAGAACCCTATTTATTAAATATCGGGTAAGTAAACCATGCCATATAATGTTCCTCCTGGAGCTACAAAACTAGATAGTTGCTAAAAAGACAACCTATTAAACATGTATGCCACTGTATTAAATAAAATTAAAAATAGATTAATTTATTTATTTATTTAAAATTAAATTTGCTCAGAAACTCTTCTTAAGATATTTAAACCTATCAAACTTATTAATGTAAAATAAAAAGTTTAAGTGAAATGAATTTACTTGAAGAAGTTTAGGCCACAAAAAAGGAATCACAGTAGGTAATTGATTTAATATTTTAAGAAATTTAGTTTACAGATTGCAAAAGTGTGCCTTTATAAGAATAAGAATAAATAGAAGAACTAAAAATTATAATAAATTAATTGGCTGTGTCGAGTATGATATTGAAAGAGTTAAGATTTGTTAATATGGAAGAAACTTATTTAAGCAGAGCTTTATTGTAAATTACTAATCTTTAGCTTGAAACTCTACACGCAAATATTTCTTATGTAAATTGGCAGTTAGCGAAGTTAGTCAGAGTTTAGTCATTCCCAGAAATGACTGTCCTTGTATTTAAATCCATTGAAGATTTTAAGATCTTATCCCCATAGATTATAATATGGTATTGCGCTTCATCCATATAAAATCCATTTATATACTACAATTCACTTGTTAAATTTATTGTATAGGAAACCATATTTGAGTTAAAATTTCTTATTATTAATTCCTTTTATATAAAAGCAATAACAAGGTTATGCTATTCTGATATGTAAAACCCTTAAATACTTTGTATTGTCGGATTTCCAATAGTTGAAGGTAAACTCAAAGTTTCTAATAGAATATCTGTATATATAGAATAGCAATGGACTTAGCTATTAATAATAAAATATTTTCCTATTTAAGCACTAAATTATATAAACTAAATTTTATCAGTTGTATTTATATTTTAGCTATATACTACTTGCATCTCATTTAATTAGTTGTTCGGAGTTGGCTAAACTCTTACTTATCCACTTAAATTTCCTGATAAAATTAATGATTATTAACTGTCTGTTATAGCACTAAGAAGAGTTTGCTATGTAGAAAAAGTAAAATGAGCGAAGGCAGCATTCAATATATTTAAAGAAGGAACCCAAAATACTTAAACTGTGATAGCCGTATTCTATGCGGAAATAGCATTTGTTAAAACAAATGTTTATTAACCTAAATTATTAGTTTTTGTCTTAAATTAGACAAAAAATCCAGCCACAAATAGTTATCCTACTTGCGTTTGTTAGTTTTTTTAGCTATCAAATATGATTAAAGTAAATTAATTGATTTAAGTAGAATTAGTTATATAAATTGTAAAAATATAGTATTGCATGTATTTATCTATGAATAAAACTGCCCCTAAAGTTATGCGGAAAGCATTCACAATATTTAACTAGTTATCAAGAATTTTAACAAATCCAAGATAATCAAATAACACAATTCTAAAACCTATTTAATAAATAATTATCATTATTTTACATTTCTAGCTTACTTAATATTAAAATAAAATACGAAGGAATTTTTTTTAATAACTTTTTAATTAATCAAAATCCATCAAAATAAAAAATCAAAATATTATCAAATAAATCTTTCCTTAAAATATTTATACCTTCGTTTACATTTATTTCTTTTAAATTATGGAAAAAATAAAACGCAAAAATTTTTAAGTTTTAATAAAAATATTTTACTTTATTAGTCTAAATTAAATATTTTAATGGAGTAAATTGGTATTTTATTGGCATAATAAGAAAGATAAGTTCCATTTATTATCTAAGTGGTTACATCGAAATTGTAAACTAAAATTTCAGATAGCTTTGTTTACACAACTATCAAGTCTGCTTATGGAACAAATATACTCTGCATATTCGCAAATTATGATGGATACAGCGCTTTTTATGATTTAGCAACAATTGTATTATAAGAACTCAAAATCAAAGCACTTGCATCACAGAATATGTAAATATAGTTGCTTGTTGAAGCTATTAATGAATAAGTAGTAGCTGATAAAATAGGATAAGATTTTGTTTGCAGGATATTTAATGAATTGGTAATTAAAACTTCAAAGGCAAATTTAGCTACTATGAAGGAATTGCCAAATTAAGCAATATCTAAACATGGATAAGGTCTTTTAATAGAAAGTATGTATTGAGGATCTAGAGGATCAACTGCTTACCATAGTATTAATTTACCTTCAATGGAACAACTGGCGATAATTCCAATATTCTCTAAGTAGACAATTTTAGATATTGCTTTTTCGTTTGCAAATATTTTGTCTTAAAAATCCCTAATAAAAAGAAAGGGCTAATCAGCAGAAGGAATGACGACTTATATGTCATAAGAAGTTAAGATTACTTATTAAAAATTAAGTTAGCCTACTAATTCTTAAAGACTGTATATAGAGAAAGGAGGATTTAACTTAATATTGAAGGATTATTCTTGCTAGATATTTAAGCTGATCTATTATTAACAAAGATACGAATTAATCTTATGGATAAAAACAGTACTATTTTATGTGATCGAATATAAGTAAAGGAAGTTTTATTTAATCACAGGTTTGAAATCAATTATTTAGTTCGAGATAATCACTTAAAAAAAGACTTCTAAATAATTATTTGGCAGTATCTAATATGCTACTAGTTTTTGACTAGAAAGCAGAATTATTATTAACTGAATATTAGTATTATTATTACAAAAATCTAAACTAACTGAATGCATTTTTAACGGAAATGAATTATCTAAGGTTGGAATGCTTTTGCATTAATAGTTTCCATCTACTTAAAAAGATGTAAAAATTGAGGTCGTATTTTGAAAAATCATATAAAAGAAATATTGTTCTTGTTGAGTATTCGAAAAAGAATCTATGATTGTTCCTTAAATATTATCGCAAAAGTAATCTAAACTGAGAATTAAATTTGGTTAATTAAATGTGTTTGTAACGTAACCTAATTTAATTTTGAAGTCGTTTGTCCTTTGTATTATTATAAAATTGTAAAAAGTTAAAAGCATTTCGAACTAAGATGGGACAGGAATAGTAGCTAATGACTCACTGTCTTATTCACTCTGCTAAACTAAACTTACAAATATGTTGGTGCCTGCACTGTCAAAAGTGCAAATGAGGTATTTTTAAGAGTCAATAGCTCTGAATATTTTACTTGAAGATTTTATATCTCCATCAATTATTTTCATGTAAAACTATACTTAAGAAAGATATTGATCCCACAATAGAAGTTAAGAAGAGGAAATATTAAAAAGGAACAGCTAGTTGTCAATAACATTTAGGGTAGAGATGCCGCTATCAAAAGAGAATGTTTTAATAAAAGTACCCTTTAAACTGTCAATAGCATTTAAAAAGGTGTCATACACAAGGTAAAGTAGATTATCATTAGGACTAAATATCACATATTGTACATTCTTGCCTTGATTTGTTTAGAAGTTCTAAATAAATGTTTAAGTGCACATATAGCTAATATCGCATATATTTGTATAATCATTGGCTATTTGGTTTTAAGGACAGATGGATAAACATTAAGCTGATTGTACATTTGAGCTGAGCGACTAGAGCTAATAGTATTATTTATTCTCTCCACAAACAGTACTTCTACATTATTAATCTTAAGTTAGTGTGAATTAGTCTGAGCAACTATTACATACACACTAGCTTGTCAATGGTTAATACTGCGAATCTAAACATCCAACAATTGAGCACGTCTAATTATATACTTATTTAAATAGTGTGATCAATAAAATAATTATATGAAATTTAATTGTAATTTTTTGCATCGTTTTTTTATTTATTTATTCAGCTTTTTGCTTTGAAATTTTATATTATTAATAATAAATAAATAATTAATTAAATACATAAGTCTTTTATCTAAAATTAGCTAAATAAATAATAAAATAATCTCTTCATTTTAATGAGAAAATATAATTTTTTATGGTTTTAACAAACAACGTATAAGTACATAAAGAGGTCAATTAAATTAAATTTTTATTACTCCTCTAAATAAAAATAATAAATTATTAACTAGAAAATAAATGAACCCTATCTAATAATATTATGATTACTTATTTTTAAACATTTGATGTAATATTAATAAAAAACTCAATAATGATATGGTAGGTTATTGATTTTATTAGATCTCAAAATTTAACTTTTAATAATTAATTAATTGGTTAGTTGTGATTAAGTAAGAGTGTCAATTTATCATTATATAAATATAATTACTGGTGATTTGTTGAATGAACTATCAATATGTTTTTAACTTTATTTCTAATTATAATTTAATTATTTATCACAAAATCTAATTCATTTTGAATAATTTAATATTGTTTTTTCTTTTAATTGTTTAAGAAAATGATAAAAAAATTAGCAAGTATTTTTTAATCTTGAAGATAAAAACATTTTTTCATAAATATTCTATATTATTCTGCTAAAATAAATAAATAAATTATTTATTTTGATATTTTAAATTCATTTACTTTATAATATAAAAAATATTTTAAAAAAATTATTTTAAAAGATAGTTCAAATTTAGAATAAGCCATTTGAAATTCAATTGGTAAAATAATTCTTAATTTAAAAAAAATTATTAAAGTTATTTTAAATTTATTTATAATGTGTTTGTTAATTGTATTTAATTAAATATTATATAACATAATTAATATAAATTATGGTATACTTAAATTCAACTCTTTTTTTACAAGCCCAGCTATTTAAAAACTCATCTTTAACAATTTTTTTTTTTAAGTAAATTAAAATCAAAAAAATAAGTTTAGAATATCATGAAATAAATATTTTGAGTACTATATTAAAATTATAAATTTAAAAATAGTTAAAATATTATCTTTTGAATTAATAATTAAAAAAATTAAAATGAACTTTAATATAATAAATTATTAAAATATTTATATAATTAGTAATTATTTGACTAAGAATTTATTCAGTTTGAACATTTTTTCAAAGAAGAAAAATAAAATATCTTAAAGATATATTTCTAATAAACTTTAAAAATTTTTCTAATCTATAAAATGTAATATTTGTCTACTTATATTTAACATTTGTTGAGAATATTAGAGTTTTAGATTATTGACAGCATATTAATAAAGTTTCAAAAAATTTCTTTATTTTTATCAAGATTATGTAAGTATATCTTGATAGAATATTGAAAGAAAACGGAATAAATTTTAATATTTAATTTGATTAGTTTGTGAACAGAAATGAAAAGTTATACATACAGTAGAGAATTTCCAGAACAAATACTATTCTTTAAATAACTAACTTTTTTATTATTTATAAATTAATTTTGTTAAAAATTAAAAAATTATAAAAAAAAAAAATGAAATTTGTAATTTTATCTTCTTTATTAGTAGTTTGTACATTAACTCAAGTTACAAATTAAATATCATTATCAAATGGGTTTGTCCTGAATTACTAAATTGCTTCTCCTAATATTTCTTTCACCCTTACTGGTTCCAACAAAGGATATGTAGCTCTTGGATTTGGAGGTAGTGGTATGGACTCTATAGATGTTGCTGCATTTAAATGGGATGGGACATAAGTAGTTGGTGAAGATAGAACTAATCTTGACAACAAAAAAAAAGTGGATTTAGATGTAAACAATGGATGTATTAATAACTTAACTGTAGATCCAACATCTACTTATGACTCATCAACAGGAAATTGGAATATTATATTTAGTAGACCATTAAACACAAACGAGCCCAATTGTGATTAAATTATATAAGCAGATACAGCTTAGAATTTAGCATTTGCTATCTTTAAAGACTTTACTTGGTAAAAGCATTCATCTTCAAACTTTTGGACATTGACACTCTCATCAGGTACTTAAAATGATCCTTCTCTTTCAGGTACTTAAAATGGTCCTTCTCTTTCATCATTATTAATCCAATACTCTTATTATCTAACTTTGTTATATATGTTGATGATTTTCGTCTGAAAATAAAAGAGTTAAAATAACTATGAAGAATAAGAGAGAAATTCTATTTTTTAAGTTTACATTTTATTTTATAAGAATTAAAATGAGATATTTAGTATAAATATATATTACATTTTAAGCATGTTTAAAATTTAATGATTCTAATTTTTCCATTTTGATTAGTGTATGAAAAGAAATTTTTAAAATAATTGTTCATTAGATTTTAAATTAATTTTTTAATACAAAAATTATGTTTTTATTTAATATTATTCATAAAGATGTTATTTTTTTTAACAAATTTATCTTAATTTAAAATCACTATTTTAAAACTAATTAAAATATACTTATTTTACATTATAACTATTGGAAAAATTTCAATAAATTGATAGAATGATGGAGTTATTTTTATGAATTTAAATTAATTTAATAAATTTCCTCAAATAAGAAATTAGCTTTTTTATTGAAATAAGTATGTATAAATAATGTAAAAAATTGTGCAGAAAAAAGAAAATTAGAATATTTATTTCGCAAAACTCAAAGAAATTCGTTTAAAAAGTAAAATATTTGTATTGTTTTACCTTATTTTTACTTTTTAAGAAAAAAAGTAAAGTGAAAACTACAAATATACAATTAAAGAATATCTATTTTATCCATTTAAAAAGATAAATAGAGTTACAATAAACTATAAAAAAAATTAATTAATACTGTTCAATAGATCTGTTTTTATAATATTGACTTTTATAATAGATTCTATCTTTGGAAAGAAATTAAAAAGTATTTTTATCTTTAAATCTAAACAAATATAATACCAATTAAGTATAAAAAAAGTAATTTCGTTTAATAAAACTTTATGATCTTCTTAAAGAATGTACACTTAAATTTTCCAACATTACTTATTTCTTCTAAGATAATTTTTCTTTAATTATTCTAAAAGATTCTTAGTGAATATTTGCTGAAATATATAATAAATTATTCTATATGAATTTGTAATATATGTTTTTGTATTTAAAATAACTTTTTATATTAATGAAAAATAAAAGTTTTTTAATATTTTCCATATAAATTATTTTAAAATTACTATCGATTTGAATATTTGATGAAAAAGAATTAGTTTACGAATAAATTTTTAAATAATTTTTATTTAAAAGTTAAATTTTTCTCTACAAATTTTACTAATAATATTTCATTTTTTATATCATAATAAACATTCGCTATATTTAATACTTATCTTAAACTATTGAAGACTTAATTAGCAATTTTAAGTATTATTTCTATAATAAATTAGATAGGAATTATTTAGAATTATAATATTGCTTTTTTTGAAAATAACAGTGATTTTTTTTTCAGTCAAATCTAAAATAAGATAAAAAACTTATTTTGAAGGCTTTCATTGTATTTATTTAAATATATAAAAAGGATTTTGACAATATTTCTCCCATATTATTAAATATCTATCTATTCCTTAAAAATAGAATTAAAACCTTTTCTATTCTAATCAATTTAAGTATCCAAAAAACTCTTTATTAAATTTAAATATTTATTTAAATATATAAAAAGGATTTTGACAATATTTCTCACATATTATTAAATATCTATCTATCTATTCCTTAAAACTGAATTAAAACCTAACCTTTTCTATTCTAATCCATTTAAGTATCCAAATTCTCTTTATTAAATTTAAATAATTTTAAGTAAATAAATAAACTTATTTTTTTAGCATTTTTATAAATAAATGTTATTATTAAATTCTACTAAATTTTTATTTTAATAAAAATACATACAGGGTAGGGTTTTCGGAAAATATTTGCAAAAAAATAAGTATATAATATATTCTTTTTTAAAAGTAAATATTTAAAAATGAAAAATTTTTTTAAAAGAAAGCCATAAAAGTTATGTTTAATAGTACATAATATTAATTTTAAATAAATCAATGTGTGTATGTTATTTTACGTCATCAATTTAAGGTACAAAATAAATTAAGGAAGGTAATTAATAGTTTTGCAAAATTTATGTTTTTAGCTTACGATTAAAATATCTGTATCATCCTATCTAAAAATTATTTTATGAATTAATAAACTCAAAGTTTAAAACTTAATTTTTATTTTAGAATAAATTTTTAAAAATAATTTCTTTGAATAAAAATAATTTGAAATTAATTATTTCATGATTAGGAACTATTAATTTTCGTCTTAATTAATTTTTACTCTTCTTTATTTTTATCTTTTAAGAGCTGACTTTAATACCTTAATTAATTAGAAAAGATTTGTTAAGTGTAATTTTCTAACTTTTTTACTTGATTATGATTAAATATTTTGCTAAATTTATTTTTCGTATGCTTTATTTAAAGCATAATTACTATATTATTTATTTTACACCTGATGTTAGTAAATTTTTATAGATTATAATGAAATTTTAGTGATTTAATGAAGAGTCTCAAGTATTTGCAAAATTGTTTCAGTCATTTTCTAATTCTTTTTTTATTTATAATTCACTCACTTAAAGTTATTCTATTTAAATTTTATTATTCAATAATAGGAAGTAAATTATATTTTTAAGTTTTTATATGGAAATAAACATTTTTAAAGGTATTTGCCAATAATAGTATTGTTGATATAAAAAAATATTTAATCTAAATGATTAATTTTAATATTATATTTTTAAACAGATTTTAAATATGTAATAAAGGGAAGGAAAAAAGTTTAAAGAAAATCTAATGTTGATTTTATCAATTTTTAATACTTAGCTAAATTTACATTAAGTTAATAACTCTCTTTATTAAAGTAATATTATTATGCTATATTTTGCTTAACCTTAAAACGAAATTTTTGATATTACAGCTATTTGAGTTAATTCGATTATGTTGTTTTAATTTGATTTAAATCTAAAAAAATTGGTAATAGTCAAGATATAAAAAAAATTTTAAATACAGTAAATTCTTAAATATTATTTCCTCCTACTCCTTGTTTTTTTATGGAAATTGACTTAATAAAAATGGTAGAATTTGTTAAATTTTTAGTTTTAGGGATTTAGATAAAAATGAAATTATAGTATATTAAAATAGATATATAAATTATTATTATTTAGTATTGATTTAATTATGACATATCAACTGTTGTTATTTTTTTTGAAGTTTTATCAAAAATTTATAAATTTATAATTTCATTAATATCAGCTCAGATGATTTACTTATTTTTATTATTTTGATTGAATTTTCTTAATTTATATCTTATTTTTGTAGTAAAAATAGAATTTATTGTTTTTCCTTTTTTGAAATCTTCTTTATGTTTTTTAATAAAAAATACTGTAATCAGCAGCACTGTTTAATAAATAATCATACAGTAAAAGTTATTATATAAAGCTAACAATAAAATCCATTTATAATTTTTAATAATCTTTTTAGAAATATCTTTTTACTATGAAAAAGTAATAAAATCTTTTTAAACAAAAAAAGAGCTTTTCAAAAAAAAAAGATTCAAGTATGAAAAGAGATATAAAAGAATTTAAAGAAAAATAATAAATCAGAAACTCTGTAAGAAGTGAATTAATTATTAAATTTGTGCCATTAAAATATTCATTAGGGTTAGAGACCACTAATAAAGATTTGCTTATTTTTAATATTAAATTGTATTGAAGTTTTCTCTAAATTAAAAATAATAAATTATTTATTAAAAAAAAAAGTTTCAAAGATATAAATGAATTAATTAAAATAATTATAATAAATATTCATTCAATATAACAACAGAGATATAGTCAGTTTCAATTGAATCAAACATCTTACTTTTTTTTTATAGCTAATTAGTAAGTGATTTGTTTATAAATAACTTGCTGCTTCATACCCAAAATTATTAATTAATAAATTTCTGATTAATGCGGATTTAAAATTCTTTACAATTAAAATTATGGATAGTATTTAATTGAGAATGTGTTTATTAAAGATCTGAATGAAAGAAAAAAATCAAACATCAAGCAATCTAATTTTTTACTAATTAATTTTTTATTTGTAAACAACCTTTTAGATGTGGGATATAGTCTATAACAAACAAAAATTTCTCAAAATGTAAATTCATGCATATAAAATCCAACCAAAACCAATTTTCTGTGTTTTGAACATAAAAATATTTTAAAATGCTTAATATATTTTCTAAAAAATAGCAAAAAGGACTTTAACAAAAACAACATTAGTAAATTACATTGTTTTTTATTGTTTTATGTATTTTTTTGGATAAAAGAAAATGTTTTTTATCAGGAGTTTTTAACCTTAAAAAGTATTTGTTATAAAATAAAGGGTTTAAGTAATATTTTGTAATATAGAGTATATATAAAATATATAAATATAACTAAAAGTAGAAATAGTATTCTGATTTAAGTTATTTTTATATGGTTACTAAATTTCATTTTTTATTTGTTTCTTTCGTAAGTTTTTTGGATTTTTATCAGATTTTTGGATCTCAAATATAATTTGAATTAAATAAGACAATAGATCGATAGATAGATAAATTTATAGTCAAAAATTTGTAAAATACTAGATGTTTTTCCTATTCAAGGAGTAATTGTCATTCATAAAACAGAGATATTAGTTCTATTAGCAGCACAGAAGGTAAAATTTAACGATGCACAAGTAGTCAGATTTCCTATCACTAATGTTTTATTCAATCCAATCAGCTATTTCATTATTAAGAAACTCCTAGAAGAGGAAACCATAGATTTTGTTTTCAATAATCTGTTTGATATCGTTGTTGCTGTATATTTTGCTTGCTATGAATTTATTAAATTTCTTTTAAAATGAAGTTTTTTCTTAAGGGGTGGGATCTGTAATAAGTTTAACAGGTTGGTTTTTACAGCTTCTAAATTAGTATTTTTATTGGTCAGATTTTTCGTAATTTAACACGTATTTTACCTAAGAGTTTACATACAACTTATACTGTTTGATGAAATTTCTATTGATATTCTACCTGTTCGTTTAAATAGCTAAACGAAGTATTTCTCTTTTACTGGGATCCAGATCTTCAATTAGTTGTAATTTAATTTATTCTTCTTGCTGTCTGGCTTTTTCTACAGCCAATTTTTAGTTAATTAATTTTTAATCTTAAGATTTTATAATTGAATTTTAACTATTTTATTTTGTGTCCAAATTATTGCTTGTAGAGAAACTTTTTGATTCGTTCATGTTTTCATCTAAATTTTCAAATTTTATTAGTGGTTCGCTTTGCTTAAAAAGAGTAGACTCAAATTCAGTTTTTAATTATTGCTCATTTTATTCAATTTTAAGTAGAGTTTATGTGTGGTTTTTAATTAAATCATCTTAATTTAACTGTGCTGTCTATTCAATTATATTATTTTAATTTTATAGACTAGTAATGTTATTATTTATTACACTTTTACTAGAGTTTCTTTGTTTTTAATTTTTACGGACTACTTATTTTTTAATATTTTTTTATTTTTGGCTAACCAACAACTATTAAGGGATTAGATCTTCTTAAAATATGGTTTGTATTTATTTACTAAATATATTTGCTTATTCTTAATAGTCGTTCAATTAAATATTATGAGTAATATTATCGATTACTTCAGGTTAAGAAAACGATGTGCTTGTTTGTACTAAAGCATTATCTCTTAGTAAGTTTTAGTCCATTAAATTGTTTGAAGTATTAATATACTAGATAGGCTAAAAATCATTTGAAATCTACAGCAATTGCTATTGATTATCTACTATAGGCTTGTAGTCATACTAATTTTAGAAACCAAAGAGATTGTTTTAGTACAATTATTACGAGTTAAATTGTTATTAAGCATTTGAGATTTATGATATTCCAAGTAAATCTGTTTAGACATTCATCTGTAATTATTATTAGTTATTAAACAAATTAAGTTGTTCATAAGTAAAAGGATTTAAAGGGGTTCTGTAATTGCATTGGGCAGGTATTGAGAAATATTAATTTTATTGAGTTTAAAGCATATTTAAGATAGGAACTTACAAGGAAAAAGGAGAAGCGTATTAGAGCTACTAATGTGTATAATTAAATTACATTTGTAATTATTAATTTTTTTAGTTTTCTTTAATTTATTATTTAATGTTAATTTAATTGAAATTTTAATTTATATTAAGTATCAATGATTGTTATTGTTGCTTTTTAAGAATATTTTAATCTTAGCTTTTTTTCTTTCAAATATTTCATTCTTAAAAAAAATGCAATTTATGAATTTTAAGTTAATCATTTTTATCTAATTCAGTGAAATCACATGTATTTATTCATTTAATAATCAGCCACTAAGAAAAATAATGTCAAAATTTAAGTTATTCAAACCTAAAATAAATAAATAAATATGAGAATTTTATTTTCATCTAAATGATAGTTTAATCAAATTATTATTTAAGTATAGCAAAATATAAACATTAAGTTGTATTAGATAAAGTTTATAATAAAAATTTTTAAACTATTATTTGGAATAAACCCTCCATTTTTTTTATTTTCTTGCGCTTTAAGTTTCATTTATGATTTATTAAGCATGAATAGATTTGTTATATTATTTATTTAAGTTTATTTATAGTTAGTACTGATTAGTATTTTGTAACTTAAAAAATGTAATATTTTATCATCAATAAGTAATTTATTAGATTAATTTACAGAGAATTAGTAATCTTAGCAAATAAATAAAGAATAATTAAATTACTTTTTATAGACCGCATAATTGATAGCAATTATTCAAGCATTCAAATTTATTGAATCTTTTATTTATAAAAACAAGAATAATCAATAAAAATAAAATAAGTTGCAATTATTTGTATTAAATAAAAATAGACAGTATTTTCTTTCTCATAAAAAGAATCATAGTATTTAAGATTACTTTTGAAATAATCTTCGAATTATTTTTTTTAATTTATGATAGATACATTATTAATAAATCTTTCAAATAGTATAACTATAATAATTCCATAAATTGTAATTTTTTGATAATTATCTGATTTTTCTATTACTAGGTAACTAAACTAATTAAACGAATATTACTAAACTTAGTAATCAAATTAACAAATTTATTTATAATTTATTTTTACTATTAATATAACAGATTAGTATGTTAGGTATTTCTAAATATTTTTAGATTTCTTTATAATAAAAAATATTCATTAAGATTTTGAGAAATGTTTCAAATAAATGAAAAGGAAAAACTGAAGTTTGCGATAAAAAGATCATATTATATAATAAAAATAAAATATTGTAATGATGCTTCAAAGTGATACATTACATGTTACATGAAGACATATTTTAAATAGTCTTTTATATTTTTATTAAATATGCTGATGATTTCTCTCTATGATTTTATGAATTAAGTAAAGTGTAAATAAGCAGAAAAGAACTAGTCAAAGTTATTTTATTTTGGTAGTACTATTAATATTATTTAATGATAAAAATAGTATGATAATACTAAGTAAGAAGCAATGAGTTAATTTAACTAAATAAATAGTAACAAATTAATGTAGAACAATCTATCTATATACAATTTATTAATTAATTAATTAAAAGGTTGATTGGTTGATTAATTTACTTATTTTTAATTAAGATATTTTTATCTATTTATTAATTTATATAAAGTACATATATATATTTATATCTATATTTATCATTGTTTCTTTGGTAATTTAGAAGAGCCTAGAAATTTCTGTTCCCAATCAAAAGGTTTTGTTTCAGAAATACGATAATCTTGGAAACCGTTTTTCTTGGCATCTTCCAAATATTTCATCATGAGAGGTTTACAAACTTCTTAGATGTAATATCTGTTGCAGTAGAAATAAGAAAACGATCCACTTGCAGCAACAAAAAATCCATAATAAAAGTTAGTGTATTCTTCAGCCAGAATGTGTAATGTGCGCAACCTGGAGAATACTTGATTCTTTTTCATAACATACCCTAATCCTAATGATCCTAATACTGATAAAGTTACTCCTGCCATGTACATAAAGTTAGCTTGAATGACTTTGTTTTAGTCTTGTTCGCTGAAGTGCACATGTTTTTTAATTTCTTAATATTTATAAAATACTTTAGTTTCATATTCTAACTCTTCGTAATTGCAGCCATAAGGATTTCTAGGATCAGTTTCACTCATAAAGGGCTGAATTTAGTTATTAACTAAGTTTTTGCCTGTATCTTTAGCTTTTTTATCATCCTTCGACATTTTATTGTTACTTTTTTGTTATTTTAGCTATTTTAATTTGTATTTGTTTGAAACTTTAGTTTGATGCTACTTTATGAAGATAGAAATTTGTTTTTTTAATATTTAATAAAAGATATTTTTATCAGCTAAAACATTCAATTTGAATTAGTTATACTTGCAAGATATTATAAACGATATCCTTATCTGCTTTAAATTAGTAGAATTACATCTAGTTTTATGAGGATTTTATTTTATAATGGTATTTATTTCTACTATTAAAAAAATCTTTTGAGAAATATTTAAATTGGATAAATTATTTTTAAAATTTATCTGACCATAAAAAGTATATTTTTTTACTAATAATATCTGATAGAGAGTATTTTTGATATTGCTAATTAAACAAAAGAAAACAATATCATTATTAATTCGTATCATCAATTTCAATTAACAAAAATAAATAAGCAACGAAAGTAGAAAAATGGGAAATTTTATTAGTGGCCAAAGGAAATAATAAGCTATTTAAGAGAGTATTTCAGAATAAGAGATTCAAAAATATTCTCATATAAAAGCAATAGCCATAAATTCACCATAGAATTTTACATTAGATGACGCAAAATATAATTGCATCGAAACTATTAACTTCCATTTAGCGTAAACTTTAAATAAAGGGAGATCTAATTATTAAAGCTTTAAAAAAAGATTTAGAAACCTTAATGATGAAGAAATCATACACATTTCTAATTTGCTTTATATTCTTCCTCAGACTCTTCGTGTAGCCAATTTCATGTTACAGTAAAAACGCATTTTAAAATATTTAAACAAATATAATTTATTTCTATTAGATCCAATAAAGTATCAGAGAAAGGTTGGAGTTGCTTTTTCTCTAATATAAAATATTTGAGTTCCCTCTCTCAGTTAAGTTTATCACTGAAGTATCAGATTTTAAATTCATAAAATTTTAATTTTTTAATTTCAATAATTATATAATAGTAATAGTGATAGCTTGAATATAAAACCAAGCAACTTTAAAACCCTTGGCAAGAGTTTGCCAAAGAGTCTTACATTGATATATTTAAATTTAAAGTAAATTATAGAAAATAGATTGAATAAATGTTGAATAAAAAATGTTTTCATATTAAAAAAGCACAATATAAATAAGTTTGAAGTGCATTGAAGAGCTTTTAAAAGAAGCTACATAAAAGCCTAATTTAAATTCAGTCAGATTGTTAGCAAAGTAACTACTAAATAACTCACTCAATTATTTATTTTTTATATTAATGGGTTAAATCTTTGTTAAGAATTAAATTAATAAAAATTAAGTTAATTAATTGAAGATTATAATGGATACTTTTTTGAAAAATTTCATACATGGTTTTCAAAGTCAAATGTGAGTGTAATTGATTTTTATTTAAGGTAATTTTTCCATATTTATACTTATCTTTAACGAAAAATATAAATCAAATAGTTTTTAAACAATTAATGACTATGATGTAGCTACTTCCTTTGAGTAATTCTTTGCTAACATTCCTAACCACTTATAAATGATAAAGCTGCAAATAAGAATAAAGTAATTATAAGCTGCTTTTATTTTTTAATTTGTTATATTTAAAATATTTTTTTAGATTAAAAAAAGAATTTTTTTTATTGAAAATATAAATTTATAAATAGTTTAACTGCAACAGCATATTTGAGCATAACTTAAATAATTAATAAATTAATGAAAAAAATTAATGGAAAGAAACTGGAGATATTATAACTTGAAATATTGTAAAATTTTAAAATAATTTTATACTTTTCTTAATTTTTTAAAATAAAAAAGAAGCAAATAATAAAATAATTTTGAGTTTAAAAATCAAATAGCCTGCATAAATAATATATTGCTAGCATTAAATACCTCTAACTTAAGTTACTTCTAGTTATTTTCCTAGTTTGGGAGTTTCACTTGTAAAAATTCAGAACTATAAATTTCAAATATTAGGTAAATTATTTTACTTTTTATAAATGTGATATTTATTATTTATTTAAAAAAGCCACATTGAACTTTAAAAAGGTGATATTTTTGAAACTGCTTTAAGCACACGTTTAAGCTTTCATTATGAAAATATACCTGAACTTCATTATTTATTAAACAAATAAAAAATTATATAAATGCTTCAAATAGCTATCTATTCAAAATTAGTTTAGCCAACTCTCTTTAGTTATTCTAAAAGTTTTTAAATGAAGTATAATTGTTGGGATTTGCATTTTTGATTCAATCACTTACTCAATTTTATTTATTTATTTATTTATTTATATTTTATTAATAATATAAAAAAAATTAAACAGTAATCTATCTTTTTATAAAATTGTATAAATTTTAATTAATTATTTTATTCATTTTTATTTTTATTCAAAATTTAAAAGTCTTTGTTGTTTTAGTTAATTAACTTTGTTTGTTTGTTTTTTAATTATTTTTTTAATTTTTTGTTTTAATTTTTATTTGATTACTTTTTAAATTTTTTATTTTAATAATTTTATTTCTTTCTATTTTTATTTTAATTTATCTTTTTCATTCTTTTTATTTCTTTTTAAGATTTTTCTTATTTATTAAAAATTTCTTTTTATATTAATATCAGATGCTTTATTCTTTTTTCTTTTTATTTTTATTTTTTCGAGTTTTCTTGTTTGTTCTTTGTCTTCCTGTTTTTAAAAAATAGCTTTTTATATATTTTTGGAAAGAGATGCGAGATTTTAATGAGAGCCTTTGTGAGTTTATGAAGTGATTTTGATAATACAAGCGTAACCTTACTTTTATAATTTAAAGTAGTTACTGTTTTTTTCTATGCAAAGTGAGATGCAAGTAAAATGTTAATTAAGATTATTTATGATAATCTAATGTAGGTGGATTGGTTTCTTCTTCTGTGATTTTATGTTTAAATCTTATTTAAAAACTTATTTCTATTTATATCACATGATGCGGTGGAAATGATAATGCAAAGTGATAATAAAAAACTAATTCCAACTATAAAAAACTTTGAATCGTATTTAAAAACTTCATTTTACTTGCAATTCCTCACTTTTTCTTTTTTGACTAAGATTAATTTATTTTTTCAATTTTAATTAAAATCAAAAAATTATAATTTATTAATTTTCCTTTTTATTTATTAATTGTTAATTTATTTCCCCGATCTAAAGAGAAAAAGGAACAAACAATCAAGTATCTTTTTAATTATTAAATTCAAAAAATTGAATGAAAGAAATATTTGAATAATTAATTGAAAAAGAAATACACATTTTCTTTATATTTATATTTATTTACTTTCTTTTCAAAACATAATCAAGAAAGAAATGAATTATTTAGTAACTAAGAGCTTAAAATCAGAAATTTTTCTCTAAAAATTCTACAGAAACTATGAAAACACTATTAAATAACCATTAGTATAAATTGTTAATTTTATAAGTTATTAATAATATATTTGTGTTTATATATTAATAATTAGAATTTAGTACTAGCATTTTTGTATAATAAAAGAAATTCATATGGAACTTGATTAACATTCTGACAAGCTATTTTGTGGATAAATTATATTTTTGTATCTGTTAAAAATCTAGAAATATTCTTTAGAATTTCTACGCTATCAAAAATTATGATAAAAATCATCAGCTTAAAAAGTTGTATCAAAATCTTATTGATTCTTATTATTAATAATCTTCTTAGAAAAAATATAAAAATAAACATTTAAATGAGCAATTTAACTTAAAAAAATCTTCCATCTGTATTTATTTCTCATGGACTTGTGGGAGAAACATTGAGACCTGGAACTGATCTTTTTGAATAGCTAAACAAATTCTCTAAAAGTTAATCATATCTCCCAAACGTAGAAACTGTTATTATTGTTTCTGGGCATTGGGAATGTGATGAAATCACTGTAAATTTAAACCCTTAACCAGAATTAGATCACGACCATCCTAGTGAGTGGCTCTACAAATTTGATTTTCGCCTAGAAACTAACGTCCCATTAGCAAATAAGATAAAAGATAAGCTTAAGAAAAGTGGAATGACTATTAAGACAACTACCACAGCAAGTGCTGACCATGGTGCTTGGGGAGGCTTATTTGCTCTTTATGATATCAACACTTAATAAAAAGTATATCATAGCCAAAATAAATAATATGTTCCTAAAGTCGTATTGGTAAGTCTTGATACTAAAATGGATCCTTAGAAACACTATGATCTTGGAAAAATTCTTGGTGAATTTAGAGATGAAAAAACTATGATAATCTGTAGTGGAGCCTCAACACATAATTTTAATTATAACAGAAAGCCTGGATTTACAGAATAATCTAAAATATGGGAGAAATGGCTCTAAAGTATTGTTACTGATTAAAATGTAGAGATAAGACATTCCATTGTAAATTTCAAACAAAATAAATTATATCACTACATGCATCACAGTGATGACCACTTTATGCCTTTAGTAGTAGCTTCAGGCTCATCTAGAGAACCTGGATAACTTATTTGTTTAGAGCTCTAATTTACATCTATGTGCAGTTGCTATTTATTCCCTTGAAAAAATCTAAATAATATGATAAATCTACTAAATACCATTCATTTAGCATTTAAACAAACGCTTCTATCTATTGCTAATATCTATAATGAAATGCAAACAATAAAGAATACTTCAAATATAAAAATACTAAAATAAAAATTATATATATAAATAAATAAATTTTGTTGTTTTTGTTATTGTAAATGTAAATCCTCATTTGACAATTCTCATTCTGGGTACTTTTATTTTATAAAATATCTATTTAGTAAAACAAAAGTCTAAATAAAAATAAAATTAACTTACATTTATTCAATTCTACAAATTCTAGAAGTTCTTCTTACAATTCTTAAATTTCTTCTATAAATTACTTTTCGTGGATGTCGTATGTCTCATCTTTAATTGAGAATCTTTTATTATTCATTTCTTTAGGAATATTTAAAGAATCCAAAGATCTATCAAAATATTCAGGAGCTATTTGGGTGTTAGAAAGGTAATTTATAACAGCTTAATTATACTACTCTAGTGCCTATTTTAAAATAAAATTTGTTAAATAGATTTTAAAATTTGTAATTGTTACAGATTAAAATAATTTAGCATTTTATAGGTTTAAATATTTTTCACTAATTCTATTTTTTCCTTTTGAAATATTCCACTTTATAGGAAGTTTTCCTGACTGAAGGTCGATCGCTTGTTAAAAAAGTCTACTTTTGAAGCCACTCATTTCTTCCTCTTTCATGTTGCCTTCCTCATCCATATATTATATCAAAATATCAGTATGTCTTTCAACTTAACTTTCAATTCCAAATGTGCTAGTACACTCCTCAAAATCTTCTAGCTTTTGCTTTTTTGAAAATAAAGATTAATGATAGATAGTAAAGAAAATATTAGATTATTTATTTATTACATTTGATATTTTAGTAATTTTTGGATTTAAATATGTATCAAATTTAACATATTCGCTATCATAATATTTATTTTCAACTATTTTATTAGAGAAAACCACAACGCTCTTCTCTATTCCAATTTGATTAGAAGATAGGTATGGCAACTAATACACAAATGCTGTTTTTTTCATATCCAGAATAGATTATTTTAGCTATTTAGTAGGATAGCCTGTTTCTATCTATGGGAGTAGTAGAGATTGCTTGCTCTACTCTTTAGAGAAAAAAAATAGCTATAAAAGCTTAGCTGTATATTTTTTCTTTTACATGATGTCTGTCTGTCTCTAATCTTATAAAAATATTATATATTAAAGCTACTTACTAAAAAATCTAGAAATTCCTACTAATAATAATTTATTTATACTATTTTTGAATATCTTGAAACAAAATTTATTTTTGATAATATTTACCATAAATTAATTAATAATTTAATCTTTTTGAAATCTACTACCTTAATTAAGCAAATATATTCTTAATTAAATTAAAATAATAATAGAATTAAATAAGTAAATAGCTATATTAAGTGTTTAATATACCGTAAATTCTCCTTAATTAAGACACTCGACTTTTAAATGTTTGATTGAAAAATGGTGTCATCCAAACATAAGCCTTCTTATTTACACCTTTTTTATATTTAAATTTTTGAAAGTTTTTATGGAATATTCAAAAAAATCAAAGAAATAAGTCAATATATATATATAATAATTTTGGTTTGGCTTGGCTTTTTAGATATTTTATACGAAATTAAAATGAATTATAATTTAATAAAATAAATGTCCTTAGTGATGGCTTTTTGGATTAAAATTATTTATTTACAAAATGAATCTACTTAAATTGAATTAATTTAAGACTGATACTATAAATTTTGAGATGTGAAAAATATGAATTAAATTTAATTCTAATCAATATTTAAATCAAAATATAAAATTTTTAATTTTAATTATTTTGATAGAAACCTTAAAATATTAAGAATTATTTATTTATTTATTTCATGAAATTTATTAAATCTTTTTGAAATGCGATTAAATTATTTTTAATAATAATTAAATTATATTTCATTTTAACAAAATTTACTTAGAAATAGAAATAAATTGCCCAGGAATCTAAAGCATACAAAATAAAACTGTTTACTATATACACATAAAAAGTAACTACTTTAATAATTTATTAAACGCTAGGAAAATGATTTAGACCTTTATTATTTTATATTTATTTTTTTTTTTTTTTGTACCTAGATTTGCTTTTTAATTTGATTTCTTGATGAATTTTATTTTTAATTTATTTAATTTTCAAGATCAAATTATAGCAAATTTTGCTAAACTATTTCAATACTAAAAAATAAAATTAATATTAATTAATTGAATTTATTAACAAATGAATTAATTTATTGATTTATTTATAAAATAATAATTACCGTAGTGTAATAGTTATTTTAGTATTATCTATTGATTTTTGGATCATAAGGATCTTGCTGATACTCTTGATCTAAATCGAATTGCATTCTCATTTTTTCTTGCTGATCAAGTTTATCTTTCAAGTCTCTATATTGTGCTAAAGTGAGATCTGTTTCTTTTTCGAAGTAATAAACACCAATAGGATGGTCTTTTCCAAAACCACATACTGCTATCATGTGATAGGTACTATTCCAGGAAACATCTGATATTACACCATCAATATTATACTCAAGAGCATTGATTCTATCTATTTTAAGTTATTTAAATTCTATTAATATCTACAAAAATTATTAAATTTACCTAAATTTGAACGAATGCTATAATCGTCATAGCCTTTGTCTTCTAATCCCCATAAGTGAAGTTTACCTTTATTATAAAAATTTTAGAATAAAAAAATGAAAGTAAAATTATAATTATTTACCATCTTCAGACCCACTTAATATCCATATTTCATCTGGAGAAACGCAAGAGTGCACAGGAAACTTTGAAGAAAATGAACCAATATACTTGTTTGTAATAGTGGGTTTATTTTATATTTCTACATTCCAAATGCAGTTATTTCTAGAGTGGACAATCAGGTATTTTTTATTCTATATATAATGCAACTAGCTAATAGGATCTCCTTTTAAATTTGGGTTTTCAATAATTCTTTGTTTTTAAACACTTCTTGGATCATCCAACACACTCTATTTAGTTTAAATAAAACATATTATAACTATCCCCAATATAAAGAAATATTATTACAGTCACAATATAAAGATGAATAAGACCAAGAGAATCTCCAACAAACATAAGCGATTGTGAATCGAACTCTATGCAATTTGGATGTCTATGATCTAACAAATTATTATATTATTCGAATTCTCCTCCTTAACTTATTAAAATCTTGTGCTAGCATTCTATTTATTTATTAAATTGATTAATTGTTTATTTAGTTTTACAAAATTCAAAGTAATAAATTTTATATTACCTAGTTTTTATCCTATCGCTTCTTGGTTTATGAAAAAGAAACGAACGTAAGAATCAAAACAGCCTGTTACTAAGAGAAGATTGCTACTTCCCTTTCTTAGTGGATAGAACTTACTGCAATAGACATATGAAGGATGGTGGATGTTTGCTGATAGATAATATTCTTCACTGTCATCTTCATCAATATACTCATCAGTTTCTATTCGTAAATATATATTATTTATTTATTCTTCCATTATAATCAATTTATTTTATTTTATTTACATGAGTAGAAAGGAACTTTCCATACTTTATTGGAGAAATCAGAAGATGAAGTAGAAAGTAAAGTGTAATTTTTTGTGCTTCTCATCCAGTCCATACAATGAATCAAATTAGTATGTCCTCTATACTGATAAATTTAAGCAAAGCTTTCATCAACATCGAAGAATTTAATTATTGTCTCACCATTTTTCTTTGTGCAAGCAGCTGCCAATATCTTTCCATTCGGACTAAAAGACAATCTAAAACAACCTTTTTTAATTTAAAACATTTAGTTAGCTTTAACATAGAATCATTTATTGGTTAATTATTCTACCTAATTCAGCTGATATGAATTTCTTCATAAGTTTATCAGGGAATATACAAGGTTTGTTAGGTTCACGAATTCTCCTTCCCTTTTCTTTTTCCTTATCTAGTATTTCATCTTCGTATTCTCGAGCCATCTAATCTTTAAGCCTGCTTTTAGTAATTCTAGACCCTCCATAAAAATGATCATCTGATTCAATTTCAAAAACATTCATTGCTTTATATGGAACTCTTATTTCTGGAGGTGCATCAATTGGAGAAATTTAAACAGATAGAAATCCTTCATAATTGGTCTATTAATTTTTTAGTAATTTATTCAAATATGCTAGCAATAAATAAATAATTCTATAGTTTCAAATTATTTTACTTTGTTAGGCCATATGAAGTCAAAGTAAACGAGAGGAATAAAATGCCTTCTTTGCTTGGGGTTAAGCTTTTAAGAATCAAATATATACTTGTATAACTAAACTTTTGATAATCCGAAGTGAGTTTTTGCTAAGCCTATTGGTCTAATATATCCCCAAGCTACCTTATAATAATGATCTTGGTCTAGATTGTTAAAATCTCTGGTTTAAAGTTGCTTAGGATTAAAATCAAGTACTTCAAATAGGATTATAATATCTTCTTTTAGTATATTATCAATCTCCTCATTGATCAAAAAAGCTAATTTATTATTGATATTTTACTATATATGATTATTTCAACTGTTAATATTACTTTCATTCCATCTAGCACGGGCTCCTCCTGCCTCTCTCAGATCAACACAATTTGTAGCGAAAGAGTAAATTAAATCATTTTCTAAGTTATGAAAAGTTATTAATTAACAATGTTAATGTGTATTGCATAATTTGTAATTATCTTACTAAATGATTCATATTCCTTTTTTGTTTCATCAAATATTGCTAAAGATTCACCTCTAATTAAGCAATCGCGATCATTTTTAGATTTTTAAACATAAATACCGTTTTTCATGTCAACTATGTGTACACGAACAAACGGATGAGATAAATTAGGATCAAGCTCCTGATTTGATATTTCATTTATTTTTAATTATAAAATTTTATTTGGCAATGATGGCTTATCGTCAGGAATATCTTTTTAAACTATTTTTTTGGTTTCTTCTAAAATTTAAACATATGTATCTCCTTTTCTGAATATAGATTTGAAAGTTTAAGAAATTTTAGCTCCTAGAGGATAGCATGTTGTATAGATCTTATCTTGCAAATAACCAGTATGGTCTATCAATTAAGTACGCAACTATGTATGCTCTTTTAACTCCTTTACTTTACGTTCTGGTCTTGGCTCATAATAATCAATATCATTAGGAGATTTATTTTAATCGTATGACCCTCTTTCCATTTAACTTCTTGAATATCTCCTTTTGTTATCAGAATTTAATAATTGCTGATTTTCAGAATAATTAAGACGATCTCTGCTATTCATTTTATTCTAATTCCCTTTCTATTATCTAAATTATCAAATTATTTTATAATTTTCTTTTAAAATTTACAAAAAATTTCAAAAAAATTAAAATCTTATTGAATAAAAATATAATTGGCGAATATTTTATTTTGAATATTGATGGATAAAGATATAGATAGCTTTTCTATAAAAATTTGTAATAAATGCACTTGCATGCAATTAATTTATTTTCAGTAATTATCAAAAACAAAAAAATTTAAATTTTGCAATTCAATAAATAAATAAATCAAAAATCTTATTTTTTATAGATATTTTTTAAATTAAATCTATTTTTATTCAGCTTCAATTTCTATTTGTGAAAGTAGTTAATAGTATATCAGAATATAACTGAACTGGCATTTAATTAATATTTCTATTTTTTTAAATTATAAAAAATAGCTTAAAAAAAATAATATAATAAATTTAAAAAGATTTAAATTTCTTTAATCTTTATTTTAATTTAATAATTTATTTTCTAATATAAAATTACAAAACAAGATTAAACCTTAAAAATAACCAAAATATTAAAAAATAAATGAATTAAGTGACAGCAATATAAAAATTGAGAAACATAAAATAAATAATATTAAAAAAATTTAACTTCCAAAAGACAAAAGACAAAAATACAGAAGCTGAAAAAATTCAATTTCAAGCCATGGGATTTCATTATGATCATTTTTATTAATTTTATTTTGTCTTCGTAACAGGGTCTTTTATTATGGAATGAAAAATAAATTCTATTTTAATGATGTTTAAGAAGCTTTTTCATCACTAAAACAAACTTTCCTTAAATATATTTTTCCCTTTTTTCATAAATATTTTTAAATTAAACTTTTTGATTAAAATATTATACTAAATACAATAAATAAATATGAAAAAATGATTCTATTTTTTAACTATCTTATTTATAAGATATGAAATAAATTATTTTTTATTTTACTTAATATTTTTTATATTATCTTTATTAAAAAATCTATTCAATTAATATTTGGTTAATAAATTCATTTAATACCATTTTAAACTATTCATCTTATTTATTTGATTCATCAACAACTTTCTATTTTTAATATTTATTAGAATTTGAAATTATTATTAATTTTAAATGTAAAAAAATCCCTTTTTAACTCTAAATTTTGAATAATTTTATGTGTGTGATCACCTAAATCAAATACTAAGATATTATTAAATTAAAAATTTTTAAAATTCTTTAAAAACCTTTAGATGGAGACTGACAAGGTAATAATTTTTAATTAAAATTTACTTATTTAATTTAAGTTTTTAATTAATTTTCTGTTTAAAAAACTTATTTATTTTTATTCTCAATTATTTTTATGAATAAAGAAAAATTAATTTTAATTTTGTTTTAAATTTTATATTTAAACAATTTAAATATTTTAAAAAGCTATTTAAAAATAATTTCAATTTTTTTGATAAAATTCCTTCTTATCATATAAAAAATTTGGTTTTAAATTTATTAATAAATATTTATATTTGAAATTTGAATGTTAATTAATTATTTAAAAGGCTTTTGCTTATTAATTTTTTTAACATTTTTATATTTATTTTGGGATTGATTTTTCGAAGTATCTATAAAAATGCTAATTTGTGCAAATAATAAGATCAATAAATTTATAGCCAATCATAATTTTTAATAAAATAAAATTTATTGATTTTTGTTGCTTAAGCCCCATAAGCAACTCGCTTATGTTTAATAATATTTACAAAAAATTATGAATTGAATGGCTTTTATAGAAGTAACAATTAAATTAATAGATAATTGGTATACTTATAAAATATCAATCAATCAATCTATCTATCTATTTAGCTAATATTTAATAGATTTGAAATATATAATTGATTAAATAATCTTTTTTTAGTAAGAATGAAGATATTAATAGTTAATTTCTACAAAAATAGTCCAAAAGGAACTAAAAGGTTTTCTAATTATTAGTAACTTGTGAAAGAAGTAAATAGATTTATTTCATATTAACATTTCAACATATTTTATTATTACTTGATCTGTAATATTTAATGTAAAATTTACTTATTTATTAGATGGTTCTTTCGTAAAAGGATTTTCCTGATACAGAGACTCATTTCTTCATAAGGGATAAAAATAATTTAGGAGATGTGCTTTATGAAATTGGATCTTAATATAAAAATAAAAATAATGTTAATTTCTTTTAAACTATTGATTTTATATTTATGGAGGGAGATATTTCAGTTTTACCTTGGTCATCGCATTATGAAACTGTAATGATTTTGTAAATTATATTTCACTGTTTATTTTATATACTCATTTTGAATATTTATTAATTCAAATATAAAGGCTCATATTTTACTGAGAATGTGTTTGAATTTCAAAAAAAGATGTTTTATAAGTGGTGGCCTATCAAATTGTATCATCTATTAATCAAGTGATAAAATTTAGGGATATTAACCTATTGTGCATGTCGATAGAAATGCAGAACAATTATTTTAAGATTTGATGCTAAACAATAAATTAAACGAAAATGATTATATACTAGATTCAACAACAGGAGATGTTTATCAATATTAAAAAAACTATGAAAATAAATATTAACCAACAGCAAATTCAAGTGATTTCAAAAAGAAAGATGAGATTGTTTAAAAAGGAAATTTGGGTTTACATTAAGAAAAAGATGCTGAAGATAATTAAAATATGGGTATTTCTTATTTTTTTTTCATTTAAAATAATTAATTAATGTAATTTCTCATTTAATTTCACCAACATTTCTTCATTTTATGAACTAGAATTAATATAATTAATAAGGATTGATAGTACTTTAATTATTTATAAAAGTTGGATTTAAAATGAGGATTTACATTGATTAAAATTATATTTTTATTTAAAATTAAATAGTGTTAAAATATAAAAATAGGAAAATTTGTTATTAAATCAAATGTTTATAGAGATCAGCAATAATATGGATAAAAGTTGGTTGTTTGTAGAATAACAGAGGAGCTCATTTATATTCACAAGAAAGACAATTGTCATTATATAATAAATTAATTACCTCACTAATTAAAGATAAATTCTGATAACAGAAGATGGAATGTGCATCCTTATATCATTTAAAATAACTCATTTAGGTATAATATAATTGCAGAAAGCTAAAAATCAAAAGTTTCAATAATTTAAATGTCTAATAATCCAAATATGTTTGCTTTATTTTTTGTTATTGATTAGCTATATGACTAATCTTATTAGCTAATGAAAAATTTTTTCAATGAGAAAATACACGAAATGGGATATGATAGAAGTGTTTTACAATCTCCTGTTAAAATATTTGACTTTAAGCAGTAATAATTCAGGACAGTTTAATAAAAATAAGATAATGAATTTTTATTGAATACTGTCTAAACTCCAATATCTTTTATCAGAAATGGTAAATCGCCAATATCATAAAAAAAGTAAGATAATAATTTTATTAATGAAGTACCATCAAGTTCCAGTCTATCTAAGAGAATAGGAATGAATCCCTTATATAAGGATTAATTAGCATAAACTAATATAAATTAGCAAACCTTCTCACATGTCACATAAATAGTTAACTTAAAAAATAGCGGGTTGATAAGTCTGCTAAGTAGGACTTAGCCTGTATCAAATAATTAAAAATATAGCATTGACCAAAAAAGTCTTTCTCCAATAAGATCAAGGAATGTAAATAAATAAATACATTTTAAATTGATTAAAAAGAAAGAATTGTATTTATTAGCTTTGATATTTTATATTTCTTTTTGAATTAAAATAAAAGCATTTAAGATATAAATAATGTGTAAATAAAAGCTGTTATAAATTTAACTTTTTTAAATTTAAAATAATAGTCCAACAACAGAGATTTAGTACAACAAAACAGATCATTCTAAAATGAAAATGATAGAGTGTTCATTCATCAAGGGATAAATCCATTTGAAACAATAAAAAATTAAAAATAAAAAGGTGAAAATACATTAATAGATACTAGTACTTTATTTACTACAAGAAGAGCAAAAGAAGCTTTGTAAAAGACTCCAAAGCAAACAAGAGATATCAGTCTAATTAAAGAAAAATAAACTTTCAATAAAAAACTTTTACTTATATCAGATATTCAGCTAGAATAATATTCTTAATTTTCAAATAACTCTGGCCCTAAAATTGTATCATAAAATAGACCATTCGTAAAATATAAAATAACTTTTATTGTTGCTTAATAGATTTATTTTTTTTAAAAGCTAAACTTGAAGAAATATACTGAAGATGAGTCTACTTTAATTCCTTATGTTAGTGTTACTGATCATAAATTTAGAGATGAAAGTCCCAATAAATGGGTTGGTTCTCCATGGAAAAAAATTTGATAAAATAAGCAATTAGTAAACACTAAATTTAAAAGATATTTTCACATTAGAAATAAACTTTTTAAAATTAGCTACAAAACTAAAATAAAAATAAAAATATAAATCATAAAGAATAACTTCTTGATCCAATTAATTCTTATTCTCTCTGATAAATTGTAAAGTAATTTTATATTATCTAGTTCGAAATTTTAAAAAATTTAAAAATATTTTATGAAATTAATTATGTTAATATATTTTTAATACAATTTAATTATTTTAGTATATTTTTATCTAAAATAATAATTATAACAAAAATGTATTTACTTGAGAAATAAGTATAATGAGTAGTTAGATAAATAGTTACATATTGAATCGTATTTCCTTAAAATTTAATTAATGCAAAACTATTTATAATATTAAATAAAATAAAAAATAATTTATTCTAATAAAATAAAATGTATTTCTTACTTTTATAAAATACCCTAAACCCAACTAAATTGACTTCGATACTTGTTAAAATAAAATTACTAAAATTTAAAATTTTATATTTCTGAAAAATAGGGGTTTTGGAAGGTTGTATAAATTAATTTATTAGGATTTACAGTATAAAAGAGATACAACTGAGTAAAAGAGGTTTAATAAATGAATATTATGGAAATTCAAAAGTTTTAATGTGAGTTATATTTTATTTATATCTAATTCAAAAAATATATATAATTTATAAAGAATTATTAATAAAAATATATAGATATATATAATATAAAATAGTGAAAATTGCTTTTATTTTAGTGAGTTTATAATTGACTCTATTTATAAAATTAAATTACATTAGGATAAATTAAAATATACTTATTTATTTTGCTAAATTTATTTTAAAAAAATAATTTTCTTTCAATAAAAGCAGTTGCTTTGTTTTAAAATATTTTATAAAAATAATTTATTCGTCAAGTGTAAGCTACTATCTATTTTAATCTGATACATTTTTTTAAATTGTAAGAAAGAAACAGTATTTTATTTGGTTTATCATTAAGCTTCATTTTTCAGGATTATTAATTATTTCACTTCTTTTTTTATTTCTAAAGTTTTAATAAAATAATTTAGATTATTTTTCACAAATTTTAGATTGATAAAAAATGTGTTTTTAATCAAAAGTTTACTTAATCTGCAGGTATTGCTGTTATTCTTGCAGTCTATTGTCCTTTGGATTTAGAAAGGGATTGAGATTTTTTATTTCCTCTTTAGGTAGAGAGTAATTGTTGCTGATCTGAAGTTAATTCTTTTGGCTCTCTTATTATCCTCTTGGTCTTGCTTCCATCTTTACTTTTCTTTGATATTTTTGTTGAATTCGAGGTGTTTATCAGATTATTAAGGTCTATTTTTTGAGATTAGGGCATTTATAATGCTTAAGGTTTTTCTGAGATAGCTATTTATGATACTATTTATGGGCTCTGACTGTTTCTCTCTGATTTATTATCTCTATTACTAATTGCTTCATATTATGAAACAGAAATATTTTAATTATTGCTATTGTGCATATTAGATGAGCTGTTCAAATATCCTTGCTAACTGATAAAAGTGTGTTAAGGTTAGCTCTACAGAGGTAAGTTACTAAAATTCATGTTTTAATGCGAGGTAGGGATAGTTGTTATGTTTTATATACTTTTCTACAGAGAGCTATTATGCTAGGGTGTTTACATTTTCATTGCTATTTTTTACTCTTGATCTACAGTTGATCCGTAATTATTTAATAAAGAGTATTCCTTCGGATTTTAGCTCTATTTGGTCTTATAATAAAGTAAACTTTATTCGATTTGTTTAATATTTTTATCACTCTAAATCTAATTTAATTTAAATAAAAAAAATTAATATTTTTATTGTATTTAACAAGAAAAAGTAGATTACTTATTGAGAGATATTTTATTAAATTATTGAAGAATTTTTATGTTGTAAAATAACTTTGTCTGTTTTAAGTTACTTATTTTCAGCCTCTAATTCTTCTATTTTATCATTTTAATCAGCTATTTGCTTTCTAAAATTATTAAGATTTTCTTGGTTTTTCTTTTAAACTTAAACACTTGCTTCGAATTTTGATTTCATTTAAGAGAGCTAAGATTTTAGGAGATCAACTTCTTACATAGCCTCTGCTAATTTTTTTTCATAAGATTAAATTTCAACAGATTTAGATGCTTGAACCTGTTTTATTGCTAATTAATTAAGTGCAAGTTGTCTTTCGAATTCTTCTCTTTTAATTCTGAAAAAAAAATTTAAATAATAAATTAAAAATTGGTTTAAATGAATTACTTAATATCGTTATCAAATTATTATGATTTAGTATTTATTTATGATCTTAAGTCCATCTCACTTTGTTAATTTCTTTTGATTATATCACTTAATTTTTCTATTTATATTTTTTGATTATCACTTTGCTCTTCTATTTCTTAAATTCTACTTTCATAAGATTCTTTTATTTCCTAGATTTGCTATTCAAGATTTCTTATTATTTTATCTTGTTGCTCATTTTATATTTGCAAATTTTACATCTTTTAGTTTTATTATTATAATTATTATCTGCTTTACGTATCACGTTAGTCCATCTTCTCAAATTCAACTAATTTATCATTCATTTCTTTTTTTATTAGTTGTTTTTCTCTTTTTTTCTTTATGTGCTTTCTCTACAGAATGTTAAATTTTTCCTCTTGTGCAAACACTTCTTTTTGCAATTCTTCATTAATCAAAACTTACTCTTCTAACAATTTCTATATATCATATGATCTATAATAAAATTGGCCAAAAATTAAAAAATATTCATGAACTTAATATCTAATTTACTTTAGTAGTAACTTGTGGTAGTTCTTGATGAGTTCTGTTTGGTTTTCTTTACCTTGCTATTCAATAAAGAATTTCTTTTCAGCTTCAAAGCTAAGGTCAAACTCCTTAACTTTAGACTAGAATTTAAAAGACTTTCTCAAAGGCATGCTAGGTTGAATACTGCTGATTTATTAAAGAAGATCATAGTCAGACTCTTCTGAACTAGATTCAACCAAGTCTCTAAATGTTTTTAAATGTTCTTTAATATTTTATCTAATTTAAGCCTATGTGCTTTGCCTCGCAGAGAAAAGGTTGTTTAGATTATTTTTATTACTTAATAAATTAGTAGCTGAAATGGCTTGACTAAAATTTCCAATATTCTAGTTGCTCATATTTCCCAATAAGTTGTTATTTTATAGCTTCAAATGATCTTTTATCTTGACATTCTAAAAATTTTATTAAACATTATCTAGAGGAGTTGCTGCTATATTACCATAACTCTAATTTTAGCTCTCATCAAGTGATTAAGTATTAAAATCTCTAGACAGCGATCTTCCTCTCAAAACAGGCACATTAAGCTATCTTGGAGTAAATTTAGGAGATTTGCTTAAACTTGTCTTTCTGCTATGAGAAATGCTAGGAGAATTTTCTGTTTTAAGAATTTTAAAGTCCAATTCCTTCAATAAATTGTCTTTAACTTCCTTGTAATTCCTCCTAATTTAAAAATAAAATAATAAAATCATTAAAATTGCAATATATTTACGTTGAATCTCCTTGTGCTGAAGATCTTGATCTATTTAAAGATTTAGGTGATTTTACTACTTTAAGTTGCTACTATCTGTTTTGACCTAAGGTATTAAGGGAACTTCTTTTGGAGGTTATATTCTTGCTGACATTCAGGTTTGATGACTTTCTTTTGCCAAGCAAGTTATATTATGAGCTGCTGTTTAGAGGGTTCTTTTTTTACTTAGAAGCATTTGATGTAGCACTTTTTTTGGATGTTTTAGAATTTACAGATTTTTTAGAGTTTTAAGATTTTTATGAGAAAGCAGATTTAACTGATTTTTAAGAAGTGGCAGATTTTTTAGAAAGAATTGATTTACGAGATTGTGTGGATTTTCTAGATAAAGTTGACATGTTTACTTAGCTGTTATTATTATCTTCTTTATTTTAGGTTGTGCTTTTTTTTCTTTTAGGACCCTTTGATAGCGAGCTTTTCCTTTGTGTTAAAGGATTTGCTGATTATGATTTATCAGCAGACTTTTTAGCCCCTTTAAAATTTATAGTTTTTTGTTGTTATTTTTTCTTCATTGCTTTCATATATATATCTTATTCATCTATACTATCATTCATCTCTTCACTCTTCCTGATCTTTCTCTAGTCATAAACAGGTTTCATGTTGTTATTGTAATAATTTGAATATTCAGGATATCTCTAAAATTAGTTAGACGCAGCTTGTGTAGGAGTGCTTGTGTTTTTGCTTGAAGGACTTTTAATCACACTTTTTATCTGGATAATAATGTTTGAATAAGAATAAAAAATGAGTTAAAATTATTACTGAAGTATTGCCAGACATAATTTTCTAGTCACTGTTTGTTAAAGACACCCTCTTTCCATAATTCATTCTTCTTCTTCCATCTAATTCAAATCTAGGTGTCTCAAAATATTCAAATAAATTATCTTTGTGTGATTGCTTTAAATCTGGTGAACTTGATGTTCTTTTCTTAATATGATCACTGACAAATCTATCTGGAAGACTTCTTGGGCTTGAATTTTAATCTAAAAAATTATTTAATAAATAATTTTTCTTAAATCGAACTATTTACTTTCATTTAAATTTTATAGTTGGGACTTTAAATTTAGCACCTTGTCTAAGAGCAAATTTTTGTTGTCTCCATCGATTTATTTATTTTAGCAAATGTTTGTTAAGATGTTTTCGATAAATTCAGCTTTACTTTTAATCCATTTAGTGAAAACAGCAGATTAAGCAACTGGTGGGTTTTATATTGACTCGTTTACTCTGTCTATCTCTTAATTTATTTAATCAATTTAAGGATTTTTTAGTTAATAACTATTAAACAGGCTATTGTTATTTAGAATATTTTTGTCAGCATCTACAAATTATAAACTACTCTTTGATCTACGATGAGTCTAACCAAACATAGGAGGATAAGACTACTCTTCATATGGATTTATAGATTGAAAATTAGAATTCTGGTTGCTAAATAAATTATACTTAGCTGGACTTGATTAATTGTTACTGCCATAAATATTTTTAGCAGCTGAATCTTAAATTAAAGGATTGTTTTCTCTCAACCCTTGCTAATTACTTAAATTTGGATCGTTTGTGTTATAGTTAGTTGTCAAAGCAGATGTCTACTTTGTTTAATAAATCGAATCATCTTCAAATTTAAATATATTTTGAAACCTCTTTGTCAACTTTTAAACAAAAATAAAAAATTTTAAAAAATAATTTAAAAAAAAAATGTTTTACTTTCAATCCCTACAAATTATCTAAGTGCTAGCTAGAGTCAGAAACGAAGGAGGATAGTACAACTAAAGCAGAATTTTAATTAAATGCAGATTAAAGCAGTTAAGTCATTCTACTGAAGTTGTAGAATTTAGTGTTTTTACTTTAAATTATTCCTTAAGTAATGTAAGTATCCTTTATTTCTTTAAAAAATCCACAATAATATTCCTCATTTTCTTTGCTCATATAATCAATTTCTTCAAGATTAATAAAGTTCATTTCACAATTAGAGTTAACACCTTGCAGTCTAATCTTGCAAATTTAAGTCTTTCCCTATATTTTAACATAAAGTAACAAATAAAAATATTCTTATCTAAATAAAAAGTAAATATACCTGCTTTTCATTAATACTTAACAAATTGTTTTCCTACACGTATTAAATAACCTCCAAGAAATCATCTAAATCAAATATTTCTCTTGAGACTATCATATTTTCCATATTTTAATAAGGTGAATGGTCGTTTAAAAAGTCTACAATATTTTCTTGAAAATTAGTGACCTCAAAAAAGCTCATCTTAACAGTAATTAATTGCCTTTGATTTTAAAAAATAGATTAAATATTATTTATAGTAAGCAAAGTTTCATTTATTTATTCATTTTTAGACACTTTTCTTATGAATATTTTAAATATTTAGATTGACATTTCATCAATTATTTATTTTTACTTGCCTTTAAAATAATAAGTCTTTTTTAAAGATGCACAATTTGAAAGACTGTTTACAATTAAACCATAATTAATAAATTACCCATCTCCATTTTGAATATTTTTTAAGGTGATTTAATCAAATATGTTGTCAATTAGCCTTCCATAGAGACCCTCATCGACTTAATTAACATCATTTATCCACAAATGCTGCTTACTCCTAAATTTGATTATTTAATTTATGATTACAAATATGAAGAAGAGCTTTAGTTAATATTATACTTTAAGTTCCCATTATGAATTATTGTAATATTTTTATTCTCAAATACGAACTGATGGACTAAAGGCTAAAAGACGGCTTTGTACATTTCTTGAATACTTTAAAAATTTTAAACTTATTATTTCAATTTCATAGAAGTAAAATTTAATTTACGATTAGCCTTTTTCAAACACCTTGTCAAAAGAAAACGACTCCTACCCTTTAGAGAGTTTTTTTCCTATTTAGATTAAATTTCCATTTACTTTTGGCAATAATGAGTTTTAACTCGTTGGCTTTTTGTCTTTCGACTTAGATCTCGAGCGAGAAGGAGTTTTACTTACACTTTTACTTTTTAAGCTGTTATTGGATTTCTTTTTTTTTAGAGGAGACTTTTTTTATGGAGCTTTTTCCAAAATTTTAGCTATAAACTAAATGTTACAACCAGGCTATTGTTAAATATCCATTACAAAAGTTTTTATCAAACTCAATAAGTAGTTATGGCAATATAATTATTTAAGTATATCTTACTAGCTAACTAACTAACTAACTAACTAACTTTAAAAGCGCTAAACTTTATTATTATTAATAATATTACTATAGTGTTAAAAAGTAATTTAAGAGTTTCTTAAATATTTATTTCTTAAAAAAAAATATTTAAAATATTGATAGATAGATAGATTGATAAATTGTTTGTTTTTTTTTTCAATGTTTCTAAGATTAAATTTTAAAAAATAAAAACAAAAGTCGTTTAAAGTTTTTTTATTTCAAATCTTAATATTTTATTTGAAAAAATATCAACTAAATTTAATAAATTTAGTAAAACATTTACTATTGAGTTGCATTTTAAAAATAAATTAGAATATCGATATTATATTTTTTTTTAATTTATAAGGATTACCAATTCTGACTACTTTAATTATTTGACAGTTAAAGCGGTAATTTTATTAACAAATTTCAGACAAACTTTTCATTTAATCAATATTTTTTAAATACACAAATAATTGTAAAAATTAAAAATAAAATAATTAGTAAATAAAACGATTGCCTTTTAAAATAATCAATAGAAATGAACAGATAAATAAGTCTTCACAAACTTGTTGACTATCTTCCAAATTAAAAATTTAGTGTATATGCTAATTATTTGGGTGAATGCTAGGAGATATTTCTTTAAATTACTTAAATAGTTGAAAGAAATATTTCATATGATAAAATTTTTTACTTATTTAGAAAAATAAAAACTTTAGAGCTATCCTTTTAAGATTTTGAAATTGAAAATATTTATGAGTTTAGTTAAGCATTTAAATAATTAACTGAGTTAAAAGATTTGTAAATATCTCTTAATAACTGCAAAAATTAAGCAATTTACAAAGTTGTAAGAGAAGTTTTGCAATATTTCAAAGGCCTAAACAGTCTCTCAATTACTATTCAATTTTGTTCAGTGCCAGAAAAAGAATTTTAAAATATCATAGAAACGATATAAAACACCTAACTGAATCTAGAGTAGATAAACATTTAAATTTATTAGTCTTTAATTAATTAAAATAGCTTTGCACTTTTAGCCAAGGATATTAACAATTTAACTTTATTGAAGACATTCATTTTAAATTCAAACAATAAAATAGGTGTTTAAGGGGCTATTGAATTAGCTCATTTGATTTAAAATATAAGTTAAATTTAAGAATTAGATTTGGTTTTTGGAAATGAAGATAAAATTGGAGAGAATGGGTTGGTTGCTTTATCTCATAGCATTCAAAAGCTAGTTAATTTAAAGCAACTTAAACTTGCAATTCTTAAAAACGATGTCTAAACTTAAGGGCTAATTGCATTAGTAAATTCTATCAAAATACTAAAAAATCTTTAAATATTAAGTTTAAATTTTATTGAAGACAATATACAAAGTGAATTTGCTGAATAATTTGGAAAATGCCTAGAAAATTTAAGTTCCTTAAAAGTTCTTTTACTTAACATAAAAATTCAAAACATTGGACATTAACTAGGTTTAGCTCTTGGCAATAGTTTAAAATAACTAAATAATTTACAGAATTTATAAATTAGTATCGATGCTGCAAATAAGATATAATCAATTGGTTGCTGCGCTCTGGCCTAGTCTTTCTAGAATATAATAAATCTTTAAAAATTGAAAATTTTAATTAACTAAAATGAAATAGGACCAGAAGGAGTAGCTTAGATTGGAGAAGGATTAAAAAATTTGTCAAATCTGTAAAAATTGCAACTTTCTATAATAGGAAACTAGTTTTTGCCATATGGAGCTCAAAAATTAGGAGATGGATTGAAAAATTTAGTTAATTTGATAGAATTAGAATTTAGAATAAGTTAAGAGTCTTAAATATAAGCACAAGGTGCAATTTATTTAGGAAAAGGAATATAAAATCTAAAAAATTTAAAATAATTGCTTTTTTCATTAGAAAAAGTAGATTTATAGGACGAAGGAATCGTTGGTTTTACTAGAGGATTTGAAGATCTCTCTAATTTAATTAAGTTAGAATTTTGTCTGTCTGGAAACGGCATAACAAATAATGGATATAAAGGATTAGGATAAAATATATAAAAGCTAAAAAAAATTAAAATTATAAATTTTAGCTCAAGAGATTATAATTTATCTGCTGAAAATATTGATATGCTGGCTTAAGGATTTAATAAGTTAGCAACCTTGAAAAAACTTATTTTGAGAATAAGTTTACAGAGTGTGATGGGAGTATGCAATTATTTGCATTAAATACCTAATCTGGAATATATTTATTTTGGTGTCATGGAGTATTTTCTTACCAACAACAAAAGTGAAGAATTAATTAAAATTTTAATAAATTCAATATCAGAGGTTAAATCTCTTAGAGTGCTTTATTTCTCTTATTTAAAGAGATTGTAAGAAAAATTCATTAGCAAAAATATATTCAGAAAAAATTTGAAGCTCGTTTCGATTAGTTCCTAAGTTAAATTAAATTGAAAAATTATTTTATAATATAATTTATTAAAAGCATAATAAAAAAGTTTCCATTTTCTGATATTTAACTAAAAAAGTTGATTGATTATTTATTTTAATTCATAAATTTATTCTAAAAAATTTTAAAAATAAATATTTAATTTTTGTTTGTTTAAGAATTAAAAAAATCTTATGTTTTAAGAATTAAAAAAAATCTTTTGTATTAAGAATTAAAAAAAATCTTTTGTTTTATAAATTAAAAAATAATAATTTAAATTTTATTTGATGTTAATTTAAATTTTATTTGATATTAATTTATAATAATAATATAATTTATGATAATTATTTTATTGATAAATACAAAATGGTTTCTTTGGATAAAAAAAAATTGATATATTATTAAAATGATAAAAAAGTAGTTTTAAATCTTTGAGAAATTTTTGAGTTTTTTATTAATTTGTTAGTTTGTTTATAAATTTTATCCTCAATACAAAATTTAGATATACAGAAAATTAATAACATTAATTTAATTAATTTAGTGGTTGGTAAATATCCGTCAACAAATTTTATTAAAATATTGCAAATAGTTTCTTTTTATATCAGTTAAATATTTTCAAAGATAATTAAGTAAATAAGTTAGTTAGTTAGCTAGCTGATTATTTAAGTTTAAAATATTAGTAGTATATATTAGTAAAAATGTCATAGAATGGTAATAATAAGTAATAATAGGTGAGGGAAGAAACTCCCGTTATAGTAGCTCAAAAGGTATGCATCAATTTTTAAAAAAATTATTTGATTTGTGCTTGACATTAACTCAAATTTTTATTACAAATTGATTACTTTTTTTGAAATAAATTCAAAAGGAGATATTTAAAACATTCTAAATGACAAAACGATTTTATTTGTAATTAACATATTTTGAAAATAAATAATTGAATAGGAAATAAAGGAAAAATGGTTATCAGAAATAAGCGAAAGCATAAAAGATGAAGAAAGAAAGTTTATTTTTAATTTATGTTTTTAGATTATGAGATAAAGATAAAACTTAGAGATTTTATAGAAGAATCCAAGTGGTGATTAGCGAAGCTAAGATTTGATTAAGAATAATATAAATGAAATTTAAAATGTCAGCTTATCAAAATCTCTTGATGATTAACAGAGAAGTTCATATTAAATTATGAAGTAGATTGTAAATGATTATGTTGTTTTAGAAGATGAAAAGTATAAAATTCAAAAATTTCGTAGAAATTACCTTTTAAGGAATGCAAAATAAATTGGAGAATCAATTCAAATATAACCAACTACATAAGGGAAAGCACCATAAATTTTACAAATCCATGATTATATTTTATGGCCATAAAAAAACAGCATAATTCAAAGTGAGGCAGTAGAAAGTGCTGTCTTAGATAAAAATATAATAGAATTTAATAAAACCTCTATTTTGAAATGGGAAGAAAAAACATCCAAGTATAGAATAGTGCTTATTCCTCAAAATCTAAAGAAAAATTTTAACTAAAACGGTGAATTCGACCAGCTGACAGCCAAATAAAATATTGAGCTGATTTATATGATTTATTTCAAATCATTCTATAAGCTTCAAAAAATTATGAATTATGCTTTAATAACGTCTAGATAAGATAGCATTGATCGTACTTTTTATAAATTATGTTAATACAAATCATAAATTATTTATTTATTTATTTAAAAAGAATAAACTTATGTTTTTAATAAATGTGCTAAGCTCTTTAATCGGTCTTTAATTAATGCATTTTTGTAAAAGTTAAATTAGTATGCAGAAGATTTAGCTATTAAAAAGAGGTAAATTATTATAATTAATTTTCTTAGACATTAAGATAAATAATTTTAAAATAGAAATCAATAAATTGATAAATTTCTAGATTTGCCTACAGTTATAAGTTAAGAAGACTTCAGTTAAACACCATTGAGCAAAAAAAAGATGGAAAGTTCTTTAGGTATGCATTTTACAAGAAAAAATTAATATTAATTTTAAAAAATACAGATCAAGTTGTAAAGGGATCTCAAAATGAATTAAAAGAAGAAAGTCCTTCTAAAGATAAAAAAAGCTTAGAGTTATAGCAAATTCCTGAAGAGAAAGAAAGTGACTAAAATTTTAAATCTGAAAGTTAAAATTAGTAGATGAGCAGACATTTATAATCTTCTAGTTTTTCTAAAAAATCAAGCATTATATTGCATAAAGTAGAAAACAGTGATATTGACTAAAGAGTTTAACAGGATTTAGAAAGCAAATAAGGTAAAAAAATTAAATATATTTTAAAAGTAAATTAGTTTTAAATAAGATAATTAAGGAGAAATAAAAAGGAATCAAATACTTTCTAACAAACAAAGATAGTAGCCATAAAATTCAAATGAAAGTTTTTAAGGTGATGGCAGCGATAAATACTAAACCCTAACATTTCCAAATTCTCCAACAATTAAAATTATGACTTCTAACAATGAAAATATTTCATGTATAAACAAACATTTTACATTTCAAATCTTAATCTTATTTTATAAAGCATAAAAAGTTTTAACTGATAACCAAACTTAACAAACTTAAGCTGCTCTTGCTACAATTTAAGGCATGCAAAGAGAGTTTGAATAATCCTAGAAATTTAATTTAGATGCTCCAAAACAGAAATTAGATGATTCTGGGCCCATCACTAAGCAAATTTTTTAGCAATAAAAAGGCTACGATGAATAACAAATAGCAAATAATTTAATAAATTAAGATTCGAATAGCATAAAGTAATTTTTTTTTCATAATTTAAATGTTTATTTATTTGTTTTAATTTTATAAGTTAGCATAGTTAGAAAGGGATTGTTGCATAAACTAGTTCAGAATTAAAAAAATCAGAAAACTCTCCAAAAGAGAAATATTTAAAAGTAAATGATATTATAAATAATAAAGTCTAATAAGATGGTTTACAAGAGAACAGAGAATAGATTAACTAATTAATGAGTTAAAGCTAAAAGTTTAAAGTTTAATAAAAACTTAATCTTTAAGATCATAAAAGGTCTTCTCAAGAAAAAATAGGGTTGAAGAGTAGGCAAGGAGAGTATCAATCATAATAAGAATTTCATTCACCGATTAAATAAGGCAATAGTTCTCCAAATAATTTTCAATATGAAATGTATTTTAATAAAGAATTTGGACAAAGTGGTTTCTTAGATTACGATAGTCCTCTATAAAATGAAGAGTCTCTTTATGAGAAAATAATCAATTCAAAAGAAAAGAGAACTCTTGCTAATCCAAACAATTAAAAGGGGTTTGATACACCTGCAAAGTAAATAAATCAATAAGGGCAAAAGAAAATGATTGAAATGAAATCATAAGTAGAATCTTATATGCAAGATCCAATGGTGAAATAGTTCATAGAAAACGAAAATTTACAGGAACATATGAAAGTGTCTTCTGAAAAGCTACCTGTTTAGCTTTAATAAAATAGCCAAAATTAAGAAAAATAATATTGCATTACTAAAATAATGATTTATTGGTATGAAGAGGAAGCTTTTGATGATTTTTATAATGAAGTCAAAGATCTCGTAATTGGTAATAATGTTGTACCGCTTTAAGAACTTACATACAAATTCTCCAACAAAAAAGAGATAAATAAGAGTGAAAATGTCTGGCAATTAGATTCAAGGATATAATTTAGCTTGGATGATATATAAGCTTAGGCTGTTCCTAAAAAAAGAATGAGTGGTAGTGGATTAGGAATTAGCTAAGAAATTTAAAATAATCAAAGCTTCTCAACATAAAAATTGTTTGATGCTTCTTGGAAAGTTGCAATTAGAAACGAAAGAGGAATAGGTATAGTTAATGGAGAATTGAAAATAGGTGAGACTTTACTTTCCTGTAGTGAATATGGAAGAGAATAGTTTTTAATTTTGAAATCTCCTTTTGCAAGCTTAAGCTAGAGTCTCTTTGCAATTTTACATCTCATAATTGAAGTTTAAGCAACAGAAAAACAAAAAAATCCTTCATAGTAACAAGAACAAGCATTTGATAAATAAGAAAACAAGCCACAATAATAGGAGTTAACTTAGAACAAAAATAGCCCTAATAATTTAAAAAATTAACAAGTTTATACAACTTCCTTCTTGAAAAACAGTATACAACGAATAAGGAACGAAGAGAATTTCATGTACTATTTAATTACAAATAAAAAAGTAATTATTCCTAAAAGATGTGTCTGGATTAAATTTATAAATGACCCTGAAATCAATAAAATAAGGCAATTTTATCAACTTTTACAAACCGATATTGAATACAAAGAAGTGTTAAAAAAATGTTAGAAAAAATTAGAAGATTTTAATCTAAGAAGAATTCAAAAGATTATTGACTGGTAAGGTAAAATGCAAGCTGAATTGCTGATGTTAAACGTTAGGAAAAATATTTTTGATACACTTATGTTAAAATCTGATAAAAAAGCTATTAATAGTTATATAGCGCAAAAGGGAATTCCAAATGAATATCGCTTTTGCATTTACTCATCTATTTTGGATCTGCATCAATAATTAGTTAATACAAAGTAATTACTCGAGGAACTTTTTAAAAAACCTTGCACAAATGTTATTCAATACTTGATATACGAATCTAAAAATTATTGCAATTCTTTAGTAGTCTCTGCATCTTCTTTTATTTACAAGAAATTCCCTTACGAACCAGTAAAATCTTAAGCTATTTTTGATTTATATTAAGCATATCTCATGTATAGCTACATAACAAATGATAAACCTAATTAAATGCTCATTTCCCCTTCTATAAATCTTCTAATTAATATTTATGAAAACTTTTTTGAAGAAGAGCAACAAACTCTAGCTTAGAACTTCTAAATATAATCTTAAAATCCAAAATTATAATAGATGAAAGTTAGCATACCACCGAATTTAAGCTAAAATCAGTAATTCAGGATAGCTTGTTAGTAGTTTCAGTAGTAGTAGTTTTTCGTCTTTGCTTCATTAATGAATTTACTCAAGGATGTTGATTTTAATTTCATTTTTTTCAGTTTGATGAACAGATTGAGCTAAAGTTATGCAAATTTGAACATCGACAACTAAATTCCTTCCCTTAAAGATTTAATTTTCTAGGGATGCTATTCATTTTTTTCTAGTAAATCCTAATTTTAATTTTATATTTTCAGATTTGAACAATTTATTTTATAAAAAACATAGATATTTTAGTTGGTGAGCTTTGGAATAGAATAATTGATAGCGTGTTCATAGAGCTAATTGCTATTTAAAAATTGGAAATTAATTTCTTTTTGTTCTGTATTTCGAAGACAATTTTTAGTATTTACATAGACTATCATATCGAAGAGAGCATTTAATTAAATTAAGAATTTGCTATTGGTGAATGCTTCGATGAATTAATCTATGATTTTTACAGTGTTTACTTGAATACCAAGAGATTTTTTGAAGTTTTTTGTAACACTATCAAGACAGATATTTTGATATATTAGCAAATAACAGCTTAATATTCTGATTACATGACTAAGATTAAACTGATAAACAGCTAGAGTGTGTACAGATAGAATTATACATATAATAATTCCAATGAATTTTAGATTGAAGAAAACAATTTGAAGGAATAATTCAATCTTGAACTTGTAAAATTAAAGGATTGCGAAGAATATGCAGATAAATAAATAAGTGATCAAAGATAAGTAGATCTATTTATTTACTTGAATGACATAGCGCCACATATTTTATAAAATTCTGTATTAATTGTAACTTATGAAGGAATTAAACAATAAAAATTTATACCTTATTAAAGTGAAAATGGTAAAAAGTTAAAATTATCATTTAAAACAAAAATACCTTTTTTAAAAACAAACTCTCTTTATAATGAAATCGAAGGTAGAGAATAAATTAAATTTGAACTCATTATTTAAGTTTCATATTAAGATATATTTTTTACAGGATTTATAGAATGGGATCCTGTAAATCTCTTTTACAATAAGACATTGGTTTATTTGAATCAAAAGAATAACATGGATATCGAAAAAACTCTATTATTATCTATATATTTAGAACCTACTTAGCAATAACCTAACCAGCCTTTGATAAGAAATACAGTTCAAAACAAATATTATGATTAAAATTTTATTAGAAATGATGTAAATACTATGGGACAGTGTCCTATTTTTATGAACGAAGGTGTTTCCTTAATTATGCATAAATTTGATTATAGGAGCTTGTTGATAACTAATATTTCCACTACAATTGATCCTCTTAGATTTTCTGTAAATAATATCATCTAGAAAAGTTAAAATATTTCAAGCAAATATCCAATCAATTCTAATTTAATAAAATATTCAAAAGAAGCTATAAATGATTGGTATGCAAAAATTTCATTTTTAATTGCTAATAATTCAGAGTTATCTATAGACGAAAAACTGTAGTTGTTATATTTAGCATTGAAAAGTGCATTTGGGTTTGAAGTTTCAATTAAGAATGTTTTACTTCTTTTTAAAGAAATAGCAAGAATACAAGGATTTATATTGAGCTTTGAGAGTTTGATTGAGAGAATATCTCAAATAATAGGGAAAAGATTGAAAAATTCTATTGTAGTTTCTATTCAATTTATTGACGAAAATGGAAATAAATAGCAGTTTATCGCTAACAATTAACATTAAAATTATTTACTAGATACAAATGTATAAATTCTAGAAAAAGAGTATGAAGAAGTAATAAGCCAGACTCTTGATGAGGGTATTCATTTAGTAGATATTAGGACAATAATTAGTTAAGTCCATTAAAATTTATTGTTGAAAAATTCTATAACTTATCTAAGTCCAACAAATATAATACACAATTATCATCTCTAAGTTATGGTTGATGGATGTAAGAATAACTATTTTATAGACTCGAATGGAATGATTGTCATAACTAAAAGCGTTTAAGAATAGCAAATACTCATCACCAAAATCCCAATTTTCAAAAATTTATCAGTTAGTCAAAGCATGTTTTTAGGGATCATGCATCAATCTCCCTTTATGTTAAGCTACTTTTGCAAATTTCCTAAGCTGAATTACTTTACAAGATAGATTCCTCTTGCACTCAAATTCCACTTTTTTGACTTAAAGAGCTAACAACTTTTCAGTACAGAGCCCATCCAAAAATATACTCTAGTTGATTCGATTGGTTTAATCATAGAAGATTTACTTTCATAAGACATTCTACCAAAGCACTATAGTTTTGCTACATATTCTTGTCTAACTGCAGATCGATAAATGTTGTTCTTAAATGATAATTTGATAAATCAAATAGATGTGCAGAGAATAAAAGAATTATAAGATAATAACTTATTAATAACACTAAATGTTTATATTGGGTAGGAGCCACAATATAAGTTACCCTATTCTGAAATAGAAAAATGTAAGATTCTAAAAAATAATTATAGTAGGCTAGATTCTGTTAATATAAATAATTCTGAGGATAGTTACTTGTAATTTTAAGCAGCAATATTCACAAAGCAAGGTATTGATTTTTAAAAAATTTATAAATTACCTATAAATGATCTTTACTAATTTTCTGACAAAAAGAGCAGAATTTCTGAATAAAACATCTATATAATATGAGAAAAGAAAATAATTATTTTCAATATAATACTCTTTGCTTATTTGAGCTTATTTTATCCTAGTTTCTTCTCCAAATATAAGCCTAACATCAATAAAACTTGTAAAAACCAAATAATTTTTAAATAAACAAATTAAGAGATATTTTTAAATCACTATTTAAATATTTAATGTAATTTATTAGTAAATAATAAAAATTATCATAGCCAGCTATAAAAAGAAATATTTTGCTATATTTGAAATTTAATTATCTTCATTTATTTACTTTATTTTTATTATTAGTAAATAAAATAAAAATATTCTTTTGTATAAAATATTTAGATTTACTTAACTGTATATTCATGCATAAATAGTAACTAATTTAAATATTGTTAAAAAAAAATACTTTTTAATATATCTTTTAATCTTATTGTTTGGAAAAAATTATAAAAATTTGATGCCTATTAAAATTAATCATTTTATTAAAAATTACTTAAGTATATGTAGAAAGTTAAAATATATTGATAAGTGATTTTAAGATGTAAAAATTTTAGAGCTATTTATTAGAATTTCATATTTTTGAACTAAGTTAATCTACTTATTTAAAAATGAATAAAGAAGAATTAAAATTATAAATTGTAGTATGTATTTGTAATTATTTCATTTTAAACTTTAATAAAAAATGGGTTTTTACTTTAAATGTTCAAACAAAATCAAAAAATTAATTTTGATTATTGGAAAAAGTGTAAAAAATGAAAAAATTAAAAATAATATTAATAATTATTTGGGTAAATTAGAAAATAATAAACAAATTTATTTCAAAATTCTTTATTTAAGACATGTTTTTAGATAAAAAAAGTGAATTTCACAATAATATATATGGTCTTTTGAGTTTTTTTGAATTTGATTTAATTAAAGTCTGTAAGGATATATTTAAATAGAGCATAGAGGTGATTTAATTTTTGAATCTTTAAGATATATTAAATTACTTAATATTTAATAAAATTTTGCTTAAATTATTATAAATCATTTTTTTAGAATCAAATTGTAGGAAAGTGAAATTTTAAAATTTACACTAATTATAAGTCAAGTAATTAAAAAATCTTAACTTGAACAAATTTCACAAACAAAAGATATGTATTTCCCTTGCTTTATTTATGAAATTTAAATATTATTTTTAGAGTTTAGATGATTCATTTAAAAAATACCTAATTTTCTAAGTTTATTTACTTAAAATCATTTTCTTATATAATATGAATAATAAAATAAACCAATTTTTATTTGATTTTATTGAAAAAATTACAAAAATCACTATCCTTCTTCTTTTTTGTTATTCTTTAGGTCAAGGTTAACTAAATTCTTATTTTGCATATTACAGTTACCTACCTACCTACATAACATTTTATCAATTAAAAACTATTAATGAGAATAGAATTACTATACTTTTAAAAGATATAATCAAAAAAGCTAAAAATTTCACAAATAAAAGATATTTTTTCCCCTTGCTTTATTGAATTTGAAACAAAATATTTTCCTTAAGTTAAAAAGAATAAAAGAAAATACTTAATTTTATAAATTAATTTACACAAAATTGTTTTCATATACTATTTAATTAGGAAAATAAATCATTTTTAATTTGAAATTTTATTGAAATAATTGCAAAAATCATTATTCTTCTTTTTTTTTTATTGCAATTTAGTTCAAGATCAACTAAATTCTAAAATATCATATAACACATAAATACATTCCTAGCTACATTATATTTTGTAAATAGAAATTCTTAATGAGAATAGAATTTATTAGATTAATTATTATTGTAAAAGATATAATCAAATAAGCTTTAAATTGAAAAAATTTTACAATTAAAAGATATTTTTTTTAATTGCCCTATAGAAAAAGAAACAAAATATTTTTTCTTTAAGTTAAGAATGAATTCAAAAAATACTTAATTAGATAAATTTATTTACACAAAAATGTTTTCGTCTACTAACGAATTAAGAAAATAAATCAATTTTAATTTGAAATTTTATTAAAATAATTGCAAAAATAAGTTAGTTAGTTAGTTAGTTAGTTAGTCACTCACTCACTTACTATTCTTCTTTTGTTGTTTATTATTCTTTTATGTCAAGGTCAACTAAATTCTTCAACATGTCAAATACTTAAAATTTATGATCGAACTCCATATCATACCAGAAATTAGCTGCTATGATAAAGTCACTAGATTGAGCTTCGTCACTAAGCTAGTTTTATGATGATGTAAATTAAGTTACTTAATGGAACCAGAGAGCTGGTAAGTATAAAACCTCTCCAGATTTAACAATAACATGATAGACTGGAATGTCTTCAGAGAAATATCTATGGTAATCTTCTGGTAAATCAGGATTATGAGAATACCAAACTGTGCTTGAATTTTAATTTTTTTCATTATCTTGCTAATCTGATTCATCTTCTTCATTGTTTATATCTTCTAACCACCACTTTTAAAAGTCTGGAGAGCTATTCCATTTAGTATTTTTGTAAGTACTTATTCCACAGTAAGGAAATATAGCAGGAGGAGCTAATGTAAAGTGTTTTTCGCCTTGAATAACTGCATAAATATTTTCATAAGGGTCTTTATGGAGAGCTGAGACGGAATCTGAATATCCCATCCAAAAGTTGATTGAATCTGGCTCTTGACCATTGAAAAAAGTGTTTTTGAAAAACTCTTTTATGTCTGGTAGATTTTGGGTTTTATTACTAGGCGATTTTCCTTAGGTGTATTAAGATTTTATATCTGATAAGAAAAAGTTGAATTCACTTGTTAAATTTCCATTTTATTTTTGAATGTAGGGAACCACATTTCCTTGGTTTTTATATTTTTTCATATTTAAAAAATCCTAAAATGTGCCTTTCACTTATTTGGGTTAGGCAAAAAACTTATTGTAAATAGAATCAGCATAACCATCAGGTGTAAGATCAATTGTAATTTCATGATCTCCAATTCTCTTTTTCAAGTATTCTAAGTCTTTCCAATTCTTCATCGCAGGCCACTAATTGATTGCATTAATAATTTTGCATGGTTTGTTAACGGCTATGTACTCCTTGTAGAATTTCAGAGGGTTGTTGACAATAGTAGAATATTCTACTTCATCTATCTCGCCTAAAGGATATGTGGTGCTTCCTAATTCTAAAGTTTACTCAAAAATATGACTGAATTTGCTGCTATAAGGATCATATACTTAGTCTCTATCTACTCTTTCGTATTCGTAGTCCTCAAACTTATTTTCCTTCTTGTTGTAATATTTAAAATTTTTTAGCTTGTCCTTCTAATAAAGAGTTTAGCTAGCACAGTAACAATCCATTTTAGGCTATAAACTAAATCTTTTAAATTTCTATTTTAATTAAAGTATAAGAATGAATTAAAATTTTAGATTTATCAATTTTTTTGGATGGATCCAAAAGCTATTCTCCAAAACATAAATGTTAATTAATTTACTTTTATAAAATATCTTCTCATAAACAATGAACACTATCATATAAATTAGGCTTTTTTTGTTAAAATTAAGTAACATTAAAGCAATTTGATATTTTATTCATTCAAAAAAAATTAAACCCATAATTTAAATCTATTACAAATATTTTTAATTTATTGTTAATAAATTTGTTATGAAATCACCCACTTTTATATTTTATAAATTTATCTTTTTAAAATATTATATTATTAGCAAATTTCTATTATTTTATTTAAAATTTATGTTTACTTAAAATATTTTATATTATCATTTATAGACTAAAATATTGTTTTTATATTTTTTTGCAAAATCAAAAATTTTATCTCTCAAGACATATTAATTTAGGAATAGATATTATTAATTAAATTTGAATTATTTATAAAATACAAAAGTATTTTTGGATAAGCAATTAGTAAATTATGCTCAATTAATTAACAAACAAATTACATAATAATAAATATAAAAAGTTTTTTTAATCTGATTTTATGTAATTGAAAGATAATGAATAGCTTTTATTTAAATTCATAGTTAATTCACATTTTATTAATATTTAAAGATATTAAAATCAATTTATTTCTAAATTCAAAATTATTGAATGCACCTATTTATAACTGTGATGATATATCATGATTTTTATTCTGAAAAGTTTTTGTGATAAATATTACTTTGATAAATGTTTTTTAATTTTTTTTAGGATTTTCAGAAATCTCAAAATATTAATTGTATGGTAAAAAATAAAACATATAACTAGACAGATTAAATGATAAGGTAATAAATAATTAATAAATTATGTAATACATATGTTATGAAACAGGCAATAAATAAAACTAATTGATTATAATAATGATGATGATGATGATATTGATAACTATTTTTATCTTTATTTGTATTTTATTTTATTATATACTATTAAAAATGTTAATTGTTGATTGAATGAATAATTAGTTAGCAACTTTATTCATGATTGCCTAGAAGGGCTAGTTATAAATGGTGAATTTGTTTTTTCGTTTTTCGGAGACTTGCTGTACGTGGTAAAGAAGTTAAATTCTGTGTGCATATTATTAACCGATTTATTGCCTTATTAGGAAGTAGGCTGTGTTATATCTTATACTTGTAACTCTTTGGTTAAGTCGAGAGGGATTTTTTTAATTTTACTATTTTTTAAAATCTCTCTGATTTCTTACTCTTTTTTAGAGAGGGCGAAGTTGGCATTATAGTTTGTAATATTCCATTACATTTTTGTAAAAGAGAGGTTAGTTAACTTTTTAGTTCTATTTTAGCTATTTGGCAATCCAGGTCTAAGACATTCATAATATAATATAATATAATATAATAAAATACAATTTATTTTTTTGAATTAAAAAAGCTTAAAGTAAGTTGTTTTTTACATAGAATAGCCTCCATCTTGGTATGGAATTATGACACTTTTTTTACATACGTGATCTTACTTAGATTCAGGAGAAATTTTCCTTATTTTTTTCACATTTTGGTAGTGGATATATGGCTGACTAAAAATCTTCTTGATTGTCTTTTTTTATGTGAAAGAAAAATGATTTAATTACATGATTTGTTGAAGAGAATCATATTAAATTCATCTTTTTAAATTACCTCATTTGAAATAGACTTGTCTTGCAATAAACTCTCATGAGGCACGCTTGCATATTATAAAAATAAACTATTTCGTTCAGTCATTTATTGATCACGAATTGATTTTTATATTTTTGGAAACACTATGAATTGCTTGTTCTTTATTTTATTGACACTTTATGATTTTTATATTTTAAACTCTTCTTTTTAAATTTCTATTCTGCTAAGCGTATTATTGCTGGATTTAGGTGAGTCATAACTAAATAAGTTTGCATCCATTAGCTATTAAAACTTAGTTCCTATACCTGATAGCTTCAACTTTTACTGCTAAACAAACTTGGGAGATGAATAGTCTTATTTACGAAATCTGCTTGGAAACTACTCATGTTTCTAGTTATCAAAGTAATCTCCAAATATTCCCTTGCTCGGAGGAGCTGTCATCTATCTGTCTATCTATAGAACTTTTTTATTTAATAAAACGCTTGTTAGATTTTAAAGTTTTTTTTGACTGACTATATAAAGTGAATTGTATTTAATTGGTAAGAAAATCTCTTATTCTAAAGCAAAAATAGGAAAGAAGATAATCATCAAACAAGCAAACAATGAATATATTACCATTCAAAAATAAATATACAATTTTATTGTTGGTTAAATAAAATTATTATCAATTTAAATAAATATTCCAATATTTTCCATCAGAAAAATTTTGTTATTTTGATAAAAGATTCATCTTGCTTAACAGTTTTATAATGTTTTAGAATAGATAAAAATAATAAGCTTTAAAAGCAGCTTACTTTTCCACTTAAATCACTTAAAATAAGACTAATTGTTTATAAAATTTTATTCTCAATCTCTTAATCAAAAACTTAATACAATAAAAGTCTCGAAATGGTTTCTAATTTATAAATTTATTAAATAAATTGCATTAATGTTTTTATTATTTCAACTAAGAAGATTAAAACAATTAAATATTTTATATTTCTTGTTTTAAGCAGTAAAAAAGAAACTATTCTCATTAAAATAAGGGCATTTTTTATTTAAATGTAATCCATATTTTATAAAATTTATAAAAACTGTAAAGTAAATAAATAAGCTAGCATGATTAAAGCTTAAAATTAATTAATCCTCAACTTGTTTAATCTAATCACAATTTTCTGAGAAAAACAAACAAAAATTAATAATCATTCATTAATTACTTTATAAAAATGTATAAGTAAGAAAATTTTTTTGTTAAAAATTAACATTTTAAAATAATTTTTTCTTTGAATTTCTTGTTTAAGGAGAAAAATAGGAAAATTTTTGTTTTTAATTTTAAAATCATTAAAATATAGAGGCCATTAGTATAAATTTGTTATAAAAGTAATTCTGGTCTTAATTTTTTAATAAAATTGTAATGCCTTCTTTAAATAACATTGATTTAATTTTCAGAAAAATTAGAATTTTAAAAATTTAAACCTAAATAATAACTTCTCCTAAGTAAAAAAGCACAATCAAAATTTATGAGAGAGATAATAAACTTTTTGGGTTTGAGTATTCCTTAATAGATTAAATTTAAAATCTTATAATAAGTAAATTATTTCTAGATGCTTATTAACTTTCCTTTACAAATCATGCGAAAATTAGATCAAACAGATAATATTTATTAATCATTAACTTAAAAATACGTAATTAGGATTATCAGAAAGTAAATTAACTAATCATTAGTGGGTTTTTTTATTATTGCTTGAAATCAGTATTTCTATTAATTGAGATTAACTTTTTTAGGATTCCACTTTTGCCAAATCATACAAAAAATTTACTTCTTATTTATTTGATCTAAAAAGATTATAGATAAAAAGCTAAGAATGACATTGATTATTCTTTTACATTTATATGATAAATTAAATTTGTGTAATTATTTTGATCGATCATATATTATATTCTTAAATTAATTAATGATTAATTTATTCATTTCTTTATTTATTTATCTAAATTCCTTAATTTTTTTATTCTATCTTATGCTACTGATTGAATTTATAGAGAGTCTTCTATTAAAAAAAAAAAATTAATTAAAGTGATTAGGGTAACATTTTTATTTGATCAGGAAGATATGCTAAATATCTTTTATAATTAATAAGTATTTGACACTTTTATGCAAAAGAAAAATTGAAGAACTATTTGAAATACCTTTCGTTTAGTAATTATTGAATGATACAATTAAAATGGAATATAAATAGAATGAAACATTATTATAATTATTTTTTATATTATTTCTTGTATTCTTTTTATCAAAAAATTTCTTTTGATTAGAATTTTGTTCAATATTACATTTCTTACTTTGATAAAAATTTTAGGGTTAACAATTTCTTCCAATACTGAGTAAGGTAGCAATTTATCCAATTAGCTTTGAAATATTATGACACGATTAAATTTAAGTTTAAGATTAATAGGAATGTTCCTAAAAATTTATATAAATGTAATAAGATAGCATTTAATCTTTAAATATCTTAAAAAATTTATTTATTTTAATTTCGTTTTACTAGGTTTAAAAAAAATAAAAAATTTTTCATATAGATTTTTATTTTGTGATTTTTAGGCTTACAAAGATTTAAAATAAATTAGATTGTTTGAAATTCAATATGAAATTAAAAAAAATTTATGTATTTTCTCATTAAAAATCAAAAAAAAAAAATTTAGTTTTTCAGAAATTTAAAGATTGGTTATACAGTTTTTTTTAATTAAGAGTTTGAAATATAGTATAATTAATACTTTTCAAGAAGAATAAAAAAAAGCATATTAGAAGAAAAAATAATTAACAAAAGAACTTCACTGAAAGAAGTATTAAATAATTAAATTGAGTTTTTTTATAGACAAAAATAAAGGCATATTTCGTAGCATAACAAAATGATAGATTGTAATAATAAGCAAATAGAGCTTGCGATCTTAGAAGATAAAAAAATGAAAACAAGTGATATTATCAATCCATAAGAAATTCGTAAAGGCAGTAGCAACACTTTTAGCAGCAACAGTTCTAATTTTAAAACATCTAACTAGCAACCTTAGTAGCAATCTTAAGAAGATCAAAATGCTAATGGCAGTAATCATCTCAGCCAAACCTTGGAATTTAAAAGACCTAGAAATAAATCATTTGCAAAGGTTTTAAGCAAAAGACAATAAATTAGAGAAAAATTTAAAAGTAATCAAAAAACATTATCACCTTTAAATCATTTTTATTATTGATCTTTCAGAATCGCACATCGCGTTTGCATTCATATTGGTTTATTAATTAATTTATTTATTTATTTATGCTGACTATTTAATTGACATGAATTAAGTCTAGATAGAGCGATATTTGATTACTCTTAATTTTGGAATGGGAAAAATTGGATAAAATATAAAACATAAATTAAAATTAGTAAATAGAAGAATGAATAAAAATTCTATTCATTTTTTCATTCATTCATTAATAAATAAGTATATTGATAGATAAGCTTTGCATAGATAGATAGATAAATAAATAGATAAATATTATTCAAATAATTTTGTCCTTTCTGTTAAATAACGTTATTAATTGCTTTTATTTTATTAATAGATGATTTTTTTAGTGGAAAAAAAAGCCCTTAGAAAAATCCTACTGAGTAGTAATAAAATCACGTAGAAATATCCATGTTTACAGAGAACACAGATGTAGAACAAAGTTAGAGTAGATAAAAAGCTCAGGAAAATTGTGCTCCTGTTACTGATGATGCTCAAAAAGAAAATGCAAAAGAAGAAAAAGTTTAAAGCTTCAATGAAGAAGATATAATCCAACCTATTTTCTTAAGGGTAGCAAGCAAACAAGATTCTGTAGATATTGATAAAGACAAATAAAATAATATCTTTCATTTAAATAGAGGAGGATGTAGAGAAAGTTTCGAAAACTACTACGAGCTTTAGGATGTTTTAGGCGAGGGTTGCGTTGGATTAGTCAGAAAAGCAATAAAAATAACTGACTAATCTGAATATGCAGTTAAAATAGTAAGAACTAGAGACGAAGAAACAATTATGAATGTAAGGTTTTAATTATCTTTTTGAAAATTTAACTAACTAACTAAAAAAACAATCTATAATTAAAGAACTTGATTTATAGCCAAATAACATTTTTAGTACAGTAAATTATAATTAAATTCATGAATTTACAGAAATTTGAATATATGAATCTTAATTACCACATATTTACACTCACTCTCTCATCCATTGATATAATTATTCTTTATTTTTTAGCATCAATCTTATAATTCTGAAATTTCTTCAGGATAACACAAATGTTAATCGACTGGGGAATTATTCGAAATAACCAAATTTACTTATTTTAAATCAATCAGTCAATCAAAATAGTAAGTAAATCGCTTAGTTTTGTAGTATTTGTTTTCTGCATAATTTAGGGAAAAAATTTAATTAAATATTACGTTTCGAGATAGAATTTTTAGTTATACAAATTTCTATAAAATATTATTTCTCAATATAAAATGTAAATGGGTGCAAGTGACAAAATTAAAATAGTACTTGATTTTTCTATGAAATTAATTTGAAGAATAGCAAAATTATACCAAATTTATCTGATATTTTTTAATCTTTTATTAATGATTTGATAATCTCGTTTACTAATTTATTAATTCAAAATTTAAATTTTTAGATAAAAAATGAATTCCTGCATCTCAGAGAACTGCAACATAAAAATATTGTCAAAGTATACGAAATTTACATTGATAAGACTAAAGGAAAAATATACACTATTATGGAATTGATTAAAGGAAGGGAGATGTTTGAGGTCATAAATCAATTAGGTTCATATTCAGGTAATTTCATTCAATTCTTATGTTCCTTTAATAAAATTTCTCATATATTTTTTAATAAAAATTCAGAGCAAATTGCTAAGAAAATTTTCAGATAAATTGTGTAAGCAATAAGTTACATGCATAGTAAATATGTTTGTCACAGAGACTTAAAGCCTAACAATATTCTATGTGACGAAAGTAAATTTTAAATAATTTTTTTTTACTTGTCGGTTTGAGCAAATTTAATAATTTTTCTTTTCTTTAAATATTTTGTCTGATCAGGAACATAAATTAATTAATTATTGTTTTTGACATAGCTGGTGATAATGTAAAAATTACAGACTTCAACGTTTCGAAATTTTGCGATTCATACAAAGATTATTCAAACAACAATTTGCCTTTCCAAGGAATCAAAATGTGGACTTACACAGGAACAATAGCTTTTTCTGCACCAGAAATTTTCAAAGAAAACTGCTATGAGTAAATTATTAAATAAATATATAAATCTATTTCAAAAGGTTGATAAAAGTTGTCGAAATCAATCTATCAGCATTGTTTATTTATTTATTTTTTAACAAATTCATTCTATAAAATATAGTGAAAATATTGACATTTGGAGTGCTGGTGTTATTTTGTACACGATGCTTTGTGGTAAAGAACCTTTTTAAGCTGAATTGTAAGTTTTTTTCATATTTTGACTATTCAAAATTCAACCTTTTAATTAGTACTTAATTAATTTTGTCTTTTTGTTAAACAGCGTTAAGGACTTGATTAATAAAATAATTGAAGGTGAATATAGCTTCCCATCAGATCCTTGGGATAAAATATCAGAAGAAGCTAAAGATTTGATTAAAAAATGCCTAACAATCAATCCTGAAGACCGTATTAAGCCAGATATGATGCTTCAACATCCTTGGCTCCAAGTAGAATATTATATAGATATCTAATTGATTTAAAAATATTCAAATAAATAATTAGGACGACTAAAAGCAAAAGTTAGAACTTGATAGAAACTAGCTAGTTGAAAATATTGACAGATTAGTAAAGGGTAGAACAGGCTCTTTTGAAAAGAGTGAGGCTCGTAGGGTCAGATCAAACACCCTTAACTTGGTTGCATTAACTCAATTCAGATCAAGCAATTTCATGTTTTCAAATTAGCTCTTCGACAATCCTACAAACACAGATCACACTGAAGACTCAGATGATCAAGAAGAAGACCACAGAATCTAGAAGGATTAACATTCTCCAGCTAGAGCTGCTAGCTATAATATTAATTAGAAACCTAATGACGGCGCCTGGTTTGATATAAATCAACTAAAATAAAAGCAAAAATACGTTGAATTCCCTAAGATCGAAGAAGATAACTTCAAAAAAATAAAATTCCTAAATTAAAACGCTAGCAATAACGAATTTAATATTTTTCCAAATAGAACTTCAAGCTATAATATTATAGAAGGGAATGATCCCTTTTTCAATTAGTTTTAGTCACCTACAAAGCTTAAAGCACAAAACAATTCAAAAGTAAGCAACTGATAACTAACTAAATAACTTATTAATTAATTAAGTGATTGTCTTCCTTTCTAATGATTCAACCTATCAATCTCTACTTTAAAACGAGATCAAGTACAAAAAAAAATAAGTCTTTCTAATTTACAAATAAAAACCAAACATCCCTAATTAATTTATTGAAAATTTTTAAATAAAAGACCCTTTTTATAAAATATTAAAGACATCTCAAAAAACTACTCAATAATATATTAATAAACTACCATTTTAATTTCTAAAATTTCTAAAGCAAAGCTGTTTGCTTCAACAAGCTAATTAATTACTCATTATTTGTAATGAATTATTGCTTGCTCGGTAAATTACCAAATCTCATATCATAAAATCTTACAAACAAACAAAGAAAAAATCAATCAGAATTGTATTTATTTATTTTAAAAAATATAATTAAAATAATATAAAAAAACTATTTCACTCTATAATTTTGTAATATATTTGTAAATAAGCTTAAAATTTTACTCCAATTCATGTATTTATTTATTGATTTCAATTTAACTTTTGCATATCTTATTTAATTTTAAAGGATTTAAGTGTCTTTTTTAACAAAAATTTACTTTATAATTTGTTAAATTCTAACTAGAATTAAGTAAAATTAGATATAAAAATTTAATCAGTTCAAATATTAAATATTATGAGTTGGTCTTCTTAAACAGACTCATAAGTCAACAATATAGACAATTTAGATTGGTATAGCAGTTTTTTTTAGAATGACTATATGGAGAATAATTATATCGAAGAGCTGAATTAGCAAGAAATTTCAAATCCACTTACATGCAAGCATGATATCAATGCAAATTAGGTCAATTCTACTAAATTAAATTCTTCTATTCAGTAAAATATATACACGATACAAGAAGAGTCTTAAGAAAATATTCAAAATCAAGCCTCAAAAAAAAATTTAAGCACATTTAACACTCCAAGAAACAAATCACAAGTTAATGATATTCAGAATTTAGTTCATGATTACTAAGATAATTCAAACTAATTGTAAAAAACTAATTCCAAATTCATTTTACAAAACAATCAAAGCGAAGATTTAGAAATTCTAAGTAAAGACTTAGAAATTTAAAAGTAAAACACTGATGATACAGCTAAAAATAAGGATGAAAGCTAAATAAAGCAAAATTTTAGCTAAAGTAGATTAATATTAGTAGAAAATAAAAATGAAGAAGAAATCATTCAGAAAGAAGCAGATTAGTAGAAATAAAGCAGTAAATAATAAGATGATTATATTTAAGAAGAAATTCAATAAAAAGTATCTTGCTATTAACCTTAATAGTAATAATAAATAACAGAAATTAATCATAAGGAAAATGAAATAGAATTACATATCAAGAAAAAAAACAGTTCAAAAAAAATGTAGTAATAAAACAAAGATTTCATTTTAGATTGCTTTATTCATATTCCCAGCAAAGTATAAAAGTAGAAAAATGGGGAATGCCAGATGAGTGAGAAAAAAAAAGATGTTTAAAAAGAAGAAAATACATTCATTAAAAAACAAAATCTTCATCAAAATTTAATCTAAATCAATTAGTATTTTGATGGAATGAAATTCAATTTGCAAAAGAGCTTTACATTTAAGACTGATGAAAAAGAAAATTGTAAACTAAATTATGTCAAAGCTAACATAAATCAATTAAAGTCATAAATTAATTTTGATAATGAAAAGTAATCTCAGAGCAGCTAATTGCATTAAAAAAATACTTGCAATCTTAATCTAAATAACTAAAAAGTTGAATAAAAAAAAGAAAAAAGTCAAAAAATTGAAATTTTTGAAAAAAATATTTTATAAGCCTAAAACAAAGATGTAAATATTTTTTTACCTGAACTGGTGTTTGAAAAAAGCCAAAAAACCAAATAAAAAAGGATGCCAAATGAAGAAAATGGCAACTATTTTTCGTAAATTAACATTAAAAAACAAACAAATTAGGATTAAATAAGAGAAAAAACTAAAAGCTAAACATTCAAAGAAAAATCAAGTTAGAATGAGTTCCATATTAGTAAGAATTTAAATTTTGATAATATTTTTAATGAGAAGGCAAAAAGATCTGAAATATCCTTTAAATTTTAGAATGAATTTCAGTAAATTTTATTTATTTTTATTAATTGAAATAAAAGTTTATTCTTTAAAGAAATTTAAGTTAAGACTAAAAATGTTTACAAATAAATAATTTGGATTTTAGAAATAAAAATTTATTGAAAACTTTAAAGAAATTTCAAGATTAATTCAGTTCAATAAATGATCGGCTAGACTCTATTCTATGTAAATTATTTTTTTTTATTAAGAAATTTTATAATTTTATTAAATAGAAAAAAGTATAGAGTAGAAATGGGAAGCACAGTACCTTTAAGAAGAGAAAAATAACATCACTAAAGACATTCATGATATTACATAAATTATTAAAAAAATAATTTGATTAGAGGAGATGATAAAAAAAAAAAAAAATTATAATTGATAAATTTTAAAATACTGAGTTTGATTTTTCTTAGCTGTTAGAAAAAAATTAAATTTATTTAAATATCATAAAAAATAAATTTAAAGCAAAAATTGAAGTTTTATTGTTTATCTAAATTTTATTTAAGCTTTGTCCGAAATTAAATTGAATTATTATTACTTTATCGTTTTTTCAAATGAATAAATCATAGCTTATTACATTTTTTAGATATATTTCTTTACATTTGATGGCATAAAAATATTTTTAATCGATATTAGAGTCGCTAAATATTTTATTTAAAATTTAACAAATATAATTGGTCAATTTTGATGTTTGGTAGATATTTTATAAAAAAATATGAATTAAAATCTACTTTTAGAGCGGCTAACAAATAGGAAATTTATACATTTTATAATTTAATAACTAAATAAGAGACTAACTAAATAAATAATTAAATAATAATAATTTTTAAAGTGATAAAAACTTTATAATTGAAAGAAAGAAAATGGTAGATTTAAAAATAGTAAGAGCAACAATGAAGAAATAAGATATCAATCAATAATCATAGAAGATAGTAAATATAACTATTTCTTAGGATATGACGAATAGAGAAAAATAATTGTAAAGATAATTAATTAAGAAATTAAATGGATATACTTACTGTGAATTGTTTAATTCGAAAAAGCTTTCCAGAATTTTTTGAATAAATAAATTAATTGAAAATAAGGTCCAAATATTTGTTAAGTAAAAGAAACAAACCAAAGCAATTAAAAATATTTCGCGCTTATCAAAGAAATAAAACACAAGTTAAAGTTTGGAGTAAGGCTAAAAAAACACATTTAAATAAGTAAGTAAGTTAAAATAAGCAGAGTGAAATGAATACATTTAGTGAATAAAAGAATAGAAGATTTGAGTAGGGTTTTTTGGGGGACAAAAGTTATGAAATATCTATGCATAATTTGAAATCTCCAACTCTTAAGCTTTCGTTTGATATGCATCATTTAAGCTTGAACAAGCAATCGAATTATCTTGGCTTGAGAAACCAAAAATACTTTAACTCAAATTTGACATTAAAGGATGATAATTCAGGACGTAAAATTAGGGCTCACATAACACCTTACAGCTAATCTAACTATGATTTCTAAATATCTTAGTTATTGAAATCAACTAAAAAGTTTGAAACAAAAATATTAGCAAACCTAACTAAAAAGTGTGATGAGCTGTCCAAAGATCACTATAAAGATTACTCGCTAGGAGGCTAGATAAAATCGAATAGTTTTTATAATAAAATATTGTGCAACTATGATGAAAAAAGTGGAATTGGATTAGAATTTTCTGTGAGATTTTTTAACTATAATAGGTACAACATCAAACTTAATTCTTCTTCTAAGTAGGAAGTATAAAATGAGTAAGAAAATTAGCAATAAAGTGAACACAGTAGCAATTAAAATAATTAAATAAGTCTTTTGTAAAGCGCCTCAAATGTACAAAATGTGGAAAAGCCTTTTAAATTTGAATTTAGTTTTCATTTTAAAACAAAATCAGATTTGGATAAATTTTAATATAGCATTTTCACAGATTTATTATTTAAAAAGTATGAAGCTATGATAAGTGCAAACTTCTAAGGCAAAAGCCTGAAAGAAGTATTGTGCTTGCTAAGATATAACTCCTCTTTGTGGCTTAAGCTAGTTAGCGGTAACAACGATCCAAACAATTATAATTAGGGAGGAGTAGAACTAGTTTACCAACACGACTTTAATAAATTCATCCACCTAAAAAATTATATTAATTCTAATTACACTATCGCTACTCAGCTCTCATATAATCCCTCAGATTTTGTATCTCTTATTTATTCTGCAACTATAAACATACAAAAATTTAAATAAGACAGCGAAGACTATAAAGTTGGATACGGGATACATTTTAATTTTTGAAGAGCTTTTTTACAATTAAATTCCAAAAAATAAAAAACAATAAACTATTAATAAATAAATAAATAATTTTGTTCCAAAATAATTCAAACTAATTTTTAATAAAATAAAATTTATTTTATAAATCATATTATATATCTTCTTTATTCGTCTACCTATTTTATTCCATTCCCTAATTATGTATAAAATGCTAAAAATATCCTTCCCGTTTAGAAATAATTGTATGTAACTCTAAACATCAAATACATTTTTTAAAAAATTCATCAATCAATAAATAAAACTCAAAAAATAATTTAAAGCAATTTTTCTCAAAAAATTTAAAAACAATTAATTTTTTAAGATTTACACAAGACTTTTCTCTGCCTTTTAACATATCTAAAAATTAAATAAAAAATAAGCAAACAGACAAACTATTTCTCCAGAAAGTTCGCAAATAATCTTTTTTATTTTTATTTTGAATCTGATAAACAAAATTATTTAATTTTCTTGCAATTTTAAAAATAAAAGACTATTGCTTAAAGAATTAATTACATATCTGATATTTAAATTTCAAAATAAAGATATTCACATTTTATTTATGATAAATTATTACTATTTATTTCTCTCATTTTTTTGAACAAATAGCATTTAAATTAGATATGATGTTATTTATTTTAATAAAATTATACAAATATATAAAATATAAATAAATTAATAAATTAAAAATAAAATAGCATTGAAATTTATATAAAAAATATAGATAGATATATAGATAAATTTAGCTAATTTTGCGTATATTTTATACTTTCAGATTAAGTTTTATAAATGTAAATATGCTGGTTTGTATTTATGTGAGTCATAAAATAAAATAATAAAACATGCAAAATACTTTTTATTAATTTTTTATTTAAATTTTAATTGACAGAATCGGTATTAAATTTTATTAATTGATTAGCTGTGCTTGTTTGTTTGCTTGGTGAATCTTTTTTTATTTATTTTTAAATTGTAATGTAAAATTATTGATAAATTTAACCTTTTATTTGGGTAATTAAGACTCTGTCCAAAAATATATAACTAATAGACTCGTAAATATTTAAAACTTCTATTTGATAAATAAATATAAATTCTTAGATAAATTCGCTCAATTTTTTTCTATCTAAACACAAAACATATAAATAAATAAATGTATTTTCATTATTAATAAATGTAAATCTAATGTATTTATTAATTTATTTTTTTATTTTTACAGATAAACAAAATTATTTTAGTTAATAGATCAAAGAAATATTTAGAATTTTAATGCTTAATTAGGAAAATATGAATAGCCTTTAATTTAAAAAAGGGTTATTATTTACCATTATTTAATTACAATTATAGAGATACTTTAATTTGAGGTGAGCATTTTAAATCACATTTAGAACCATTAATAACTTATTAAATGTAAGTTAATAGACCCAAATTAAAAAGTTGGGGGATTGTTAAGCATACTTTACTAGACCTTAAAAGCTAATAAAAATTTACTATTCAAAAATTTTTGATATACTGTTATGTGCCATTAAAAATGGCTATAAATAAGATTAAGAAAGCCAAATTTTTTAAAAGATTATAAAACAAAATTTAATTTATTTGGGGAACTAACAAGCCAAATATTTATTTGCTTGATTTTTATGGGGATTTGTTTATATCAAAATAGTTAAATTGCGTTGGGAGAGCTTTAATTAAAGTAGAAGTATTTTAGAATTAATTGATTAAATTTTGATAAATGATCGTGGATAAAACCTGTTTATTAAGTCAATGATTACTTTATTTCTAAAAGATAAAAATAAACTTAACAATTATCAAATAATTAGGGGGATCTAATTCCCAAAAATAAAATATTCATTAAAAAAAAGATTTTTCAGTCATCAAAAATCACTTAATTTAGCTTTTGTTTGCCACAAATCATTGGTATCTATTCTAACTTTAGGATTTTCTAAATAATTATAAGTAAGGTAATCCAAAATTTATTCTCTTAATGTATGTGTTCTCCACCTCAAGCTTAAAGTGGACTAAATTAACAAAGAAATATACAACCACAATATAAAATAATAATTTCAACTTTTATTCAAAGGACTACTTAACAAAATACTAATTAAAATGTGTAATTCATTCATTTTTAGCAAGTAGAACTTACTTACTTTTCAAAAGTCAGAAAATTTTAACTTGAGAAAGCTATCAATTAACCTTAAAAAAAATTAAAAAGATGCTCAGATAAATCACTGGTTTATTATCATAAAAATAAATTTAAATTAAACCAAGTAAAATAATATTTACTTGTCCAATTAAATAAATAAATAGATTAAAATTTACAACAATTTACTAACAGCGTTTAAGTAGTTTGAATATTATGGTATTTTTAAAGACTTGAAAGCTACATAGTATATATTAACGATTGATTTGTTCATATTACTCAAATTTAAGTTTGATAAAGATGCAAGCAAAAACTGGAAAAAATATTTATGCTGACTATTTCGCTGAAAATCCGCTTAATTAAATGAATATCTTAAAAGGAATAAGTAGCATGAGATTTCTATTCATTTCCATAAAGAAAAATTAACACATTTCCTAAGAATTCAATGCAAATTAATGCAAATTGTATGCAATTTTCTCATGCTATTCATATAAAATTTGAGATATAGTTTTGAAAAAGAAGGAAAATGATAAAAATTTAATTGCAGAATAGCATTGTTCTATATTAAAATCAAAGAAAAATAGAAGTAAAGCAAATGCAATCTATCAATCTAATAATGAATGAATGTAATTATGAATAAAGACTAGCTTTTAATTGGTCCCCTTTTTATTAAAAAGAGTGAGCGTGACTTGGGTGAATAGGTGAGCGAGCAAGCGCATAGACAAAAAATTCCACTTGAAAAACAAAGAAAAAGAAAAAAATTTACATATGAATTGATTGAATGTGTTTTTACTATTTGTTATTTATTTATTAATTTGTTTCTTATTTGTGAGAGGAAAAATTAATAAAGAGAAAGAATCAAAGAAAAATTATAAAGATTAAAAGTATACTGCATAATTTATGTCTTTGCAGGAAGAATTAAATACTAGGGTATCTTAAGGATTGCCTTTAGCTGAAATCGCTTTTCCCGAGCAAATCAGCAATTCTCACGAATAAAGTAAGGGGTTAGAAGATTCCGATTCAGATATCGATTTCTAAGACGTTGTTCATAAGCTCAGAAAAGTCAACTAGAATTCTGTCAAACTTATGATTGCCAGTAATAATGATTAATCATCAACATAATTGAGCTCTAAGAAGAAGAGAGTTCTCAAGATCGATGATGATGACGATGAATTTGAAGCTTCAGCTTAGTTTGATATTTTAACTAAGGTTTCTACCAGTTATTCATAGTCCTCTTCTTCACGTGCTAATTCTACCTTTACAGGCTAAGAAGAGCTTAGTACTGTTGGCGATTACAAGGGAGCTTAATCTTTTATCTAGCTCAATTGTGAAGAACTCACTCTTGAGTAAATCATTTCAGATACAAAGAGCGGCATCCCTTCTCTCTACGAAGAAAAGGCTCGTTAGCAAAAGATTCTCAAACAGAGATAATAAAAAAATATGAAAAATGGAATTGAAGAAGAAGAAGTTGAGGCTCCAATCGCTGTATAAACTTAGGCCCCCTCCATAGATCCCAAACTAGTTAAGGAAAAAATCAATGCTCGTATGAATGGCAGTACTTTCAATGCTAAAAAGTAGCACACAAAGAAGTGGTCCGATGAAGAAACTCTCAGATTCTTCAAGGGCCTCCAAGTCTTCGGTACTGATTTCTCTCTAATTTAAAAGCTTTTCCCCTATAGAACCCGTGCATAAATCAAGGTATGTTTTGTTACTCATTGGATTATAAGACATAGAATTAAATAGATATAAACATTTAATTGAATACTAATTCGATAGAAATTGTGAAAAAAGAAAAAAAATTAATTTGTTTAGTTAGCTTTTTAGTTATTTTGCTAATCAGCCAATTAACCTTCTATCTATCTATAAATCAATCAATCAATTATTCACTCAAATCAATTAATATTTTGTTTATTTGCGAATAAATTAAAAAAAATCTGCAAATCTTATAAATTTGTAATCGAATAGCTTAAAGGGATATCATCACCAATTAATTTCAAAAAAAGCGATGACGAATTATTTCCACTCAAACAGTTTTTTTGTTGATGTGGTTTAGTCTTATTTGCTTCACAAAAATATAATCTATTTATAGATATTTGCTTGTTAAACCAGACAGAGAGATGCATTAGGATTGATAATTATACAAAATTTTCTTTTATATAATTTTAAATTTTAATGGTAGCTCCCCACCATCCTCTGAACTGAACTGAACCGAATCTAATAAAACAAACAAGCAAGGAAAGAAGGAGTGTATTAATGAATGAAAAAATTAACACGAATAATTTTAAAATATAATTTCAAAAATTTAATTTTTTAGATTTTCATTAAGTTAAACGAATAAAAATAAACGTAGGGGTCTTCCTTCACCTTGAAAGAATTTATTTAATAATAGCAATATTGATTGCTTAATTAGAAAAAAGAAAGAAAAAAAGCTTGTTTTCAATTTAATTTTTTTTCTTTCTACTTTTAATTTCTTATAAAAAATTCTCTTAAAGTTCGTTTGTACATTATAAATAATTCTTTTTATATTATACTAGAATAAGTTCAGAAAAGAAGAGAAGGAAAATAGCAAATTGGTAGAAGAGAGCATCCGCTTGAACTCTAAGAGAAGATTCAACAAAATTCAAACAAAGCTTGCTGCTGAAAAGGAAAAAATGGAATCTATAACGCAAGAAACTGATGTGACAGAAAGAATTAATTTACTCAAATAACAAAGAAAGAAAAGGCTTAACTCTTTCGAGTCAGTTGATTCTTAAGATATCGTAACTATTTTTGCTATTATTTTAAATAATATCAAATAACAAACAAAAAATACAAATAATAATCCTTAGACTTTAATTTTTAAGTCTAAAGTGACGTATTTCTTTGTTTGTTGACAATTTAAAAAAATGCATATTATTAACACAATTTTTATTTAAATTAATAGGAAGTAGCTGAAGACGTCAACGAAATCTTCAAGTAAGAAAATATTCCTGCTTTTTTGATCTGAGAGACAAACAAGCTAAATAAATTTAAAAACACTAATCTGGAAATGATGACTTTCGTCTATCTTTTCCAATAAAATAAATAAATAAATGAAAACACTTAACTCTCATTTTTCTTACAAACACACACACAAACACAAAATAAAAAAAGCAAAACATTAATAATAACAAAACAACTTACACAATTACAAAATACACTCATGCACGCAGAAATAAAAACAAACACAATGAGAACTATGGCTTTAGATACATACAAGCTTTATAACATGTTGACTGATATTCGTAATCAATCAATCAATGATTAATAATTTATTATTATCAAATTTATAATATAATTAAATATGATTCTAACAATTAATGGCGAATATATTTTTAATCTGATTCAACACTGGAAAACCTTTTGCAGAATTTTGGCAATACCTTAAATAATATTTATCATACATACTTCATATAAGTATTGCTAAGAGACTGACTGAGGTCAAATTAAACATGTATTTCCAAAAAGCGAAGCGAATTCTATAAAAGAGTGCTAAAAATTAACAAAAACAAACAAACAACTAACTAACTAATTAAATGTGAAATTCACAAATAGACTACTCTTGCTGGAGCTAGCTAGCTAGCTAGATAATGTACCTAATTACTTACCTATCTACTATTTACAAAACAGATATACAGCGTATTGTGTTAAAACATAAAATCTTTCTCAAATCATAAAAAAGTGTTTCAATTTTACTATCGCACATATCATGTACTTTTAATATTTTCCCTTAATATTAAAAACAGAATAAAAAAGTATATGCTTATGTATTTTAGTTTAAGTTATTTAAAATTTCAAAAAAATTACCAAAAAGTCTTTTTCATCTATTTGTATATAATTCATATTCTATTTATTACTCATTTAACTATTCAAAACATGCATGCAATCAAATGCAAGCTTTTCAATCATATTTAATTGCTTTATTTTCTTTTTCAATCTTAATCGAGAACTAAATATTTTCATTCACTTTATTTATTGAATGTATTTATTTTTTGTAGTCTCTAGATTGTATTAAGAAAATATTGATTAATATGCTGAATCGCATTATATTTATTTAATTTTTATCTATTTCATGCGCCTTTCTTATTTTTAAATTTCTCAATTAATCAATCAATTTTGATTTTCAAATAAAATAATCAAAAACTTAAAAAATTTGTTATTTTATTCATTTCTGATCAATTTATTACTGATCAAATTAAATTTTTGAAATCTTATAACAATATTCCGCGAAATCCAATATTTAATTACATACAATTTAAATCAATTAATAACTTTGTATTTAATTTCACTTTCAATCATTAAACAATAAATAATTTTAATTTGGTGATACGTGATACTAATTACCCAAAAAAAATTATTTAAAGTAATATGTATTAATACAAAAAATTAATTTAAATATTTTAGAGTATAAAAAACTTTTTAAGTTTGAGAAATTAAGAAAAAGCATATAAATATTTTAGATTTAAATTTTTTTAAATTATATATTTTTAAATGATTTTAAAAAACTAATTAGCAATTTATGTTTTAAAAAAGAAATTATAAAAACTTAAAATATAAGAGGAAAAGTGTGGTCTGGCGAACAATTTTTTTACACCCAATTTTTAAAATCAATTTTTTGATAAAATTTTAAAAAATTGATTTTAAAAATTGGGTGTAAAAAATTGTTCGCCAGACCACACTTTTCCTCTTATATCTTAAAGCCTAAATTGAGAAGAAATGCATCATATTTATATAATAATTAAATATTTTTAAATAGATCAATTCAAATAGGAAATGGTTTTTATTTTTTAAGTAAATAATAAAATAATTATTTGAATAAGGGATTTATTTTATTTTAAAATTGCATAATCAATAACAAAGTATATCATTCTATTTGTATCAAAATACTTTTTTGATTAGTGCTTCTTCTTAATTTATATTTTTGGATGCCATCAGAAAAAAATTCTATTTAAATTTTTGAGATAAAAGTTATGATTATAAAATAAATAATGCAGCATATGGCTTCATATGCTATTTATAACAACTTAAAAATGTTTAATACATAGATTTAAATAAGAAATATTTATATTTTTTTTTTAAATAAATAAATAATTTATTATTATTAAATTTAATAAAATTATTATTTGAATAAGAAATATATTTTATTTTAGAATTATCATTAACAATAAATATCATTTTGTTTTGAACAAAAAATTTTTTTTTCTGATGATTGTTTGTTCTTCATTAAAAATTTTTAACAATAGGATTATCATCAGAAAAAAATTTAATATCAATTTTTAACTTAAAATATAACAAAAGTTCAATTTCTAGAATAAATTTTTAATGCTGCCACTTTTAAAAAGATTTTTAAGTAATTAATTATATATAGATATAGAAATAAATAACTAATTACAATTAAATGTAAAAGTTTGGTAATTTATGTATTTTGCTTAATAATTATGTTATAAGTTAAGATATATAGTAAAATTATTAGAGATAAAATAGTTTGTTTTACTTACTAAAGACTTTTATTTTTTCTAGGAAAGTATTTTATCTCATAATTTCTTGAGATTAATTAACAAGGTAATTATAATTAAAAGGAACCAAGTTCTATTATAAGACATCCAGATATTAGAATATAAAAATAGATTGAAAACTTATTATATTAGATAGATAATTAAATTAAATAATCAAATTTAAAACAAATCAAAATTTAGTTAATTCAAATACAAAATCTTAGTATAATGAAGTTTTTCAACAACTTAAATAACTAACAACTGATATTAAATGAATCTTTTTACTAACTTAAGGAGACATAACAAGTTAAAACTATTCATAAAATAAAAGATAGCTTGGCTTTAAAAATTTTGAAGTATGATTACATTAAAAATTTAGAAGAATTGGCTAATCAGTTATAAATTTAATACTTTATTAATTAAGAGTAGAGTTTTATTGAGATATATGAGTAGACTAGTTATTAAAACCAATAAAATAACTATTAAGACCAAATGGAGATGGAGTCGACATAAATATTTATAGAATCGATTGAAGGTTTGATTTAATAAGTGAAGAAAAGAATTGTTTCATAAGATTTTGATTGCAATTATGACGAATTTATGAAAATAAAGAAAGTAATTTAAAAGAATAGGCAAATTTCATAATTAATTTCATAAAATGCTCTTCTTGAAATGGTTAACTTAGATGCTTCTTATAATTTATTTCAAGTAAACGCCTGCTTGCCTTAGGTTTTGAGGAAATATGAATTAAAAGACTCTTTGACTGTCAAAATATGCAAAATAGATAAACCAGATAAATTAAATATAAATTATTTTGATTTCTTGCTAGTAAATATGTCTTAATAAGGAATATTTATTGACTCATTCGGACTCAATTTGTATCAAAGTAACGCAAAATTCAAATAAGCAATTAAATAAATAAAACCTCTTCTTTGTCATCACGACAACTTGTTAATTGAATAAGTATAATTAGGTGACTAATTAAATTAAGATCAAATTAACTTAGCTGATGCTTTCATGATTAATGGAGTTAAGGATATTGAGTAGACTAATATTAATTTGTTTATTCAAACAGCTAAAGATGAATATAGTTGCATCTATAATTTGAAAAGAATTTTCGAAACAATATAGTTCAGTGATAACAACTAATCTAATAGAGGTTTTTTCAAATTCGGACTTTCTCTACACAGCACAATAGGAGAAAACTACTTGCAAAGTATTTATAAATTTTTAACAACATAAACATAGAATTTTAGTTATTTCTAACATCCTTCGGAATTGTTGATGCTAGTGTCTGATGGAAGTGAAAAAAAAGTAATCGAAATATTTGATTAAATTACTGGCTCCGCTTCAAGCAAAAGTGGTTTTAGATATTCTGGATTCTACAGCTCATAAAACCCTGGAGCAATCAAAAAATTTTCTAAAGAATTAATCCCAGTTATAAGTAAATCAATATAATTAGGAAAAACAGCAGCAAGCATAATATTGCATTAATCTGATTTAAATTAACAAGAAAAAAACTCATTAAATAACAAACAACAAAAACAAGAAGAGTAATTGATTGAAACTATGGTAATAGATATGAATGATATGCTTATAATAAACAAGCTACAAGGATATGAATCTCCAATTTTTATTGATAATGGACAGTATACTTATCTGGATACTATCATGATGCAACAAAAACCTCTTCCTTAAAATATTGTTTATTTAATTAAAGAATATTAGAGTTTAGGTATAAATTAGTTCAGTCTTTAATAGAATCTTCTTACATAATAATTTGAGTCATTAATTTATGAATTAAATCTGACTACTCATGAAATTACTGTAAAAAGTGGCAACGGTTTTGTTTAAAATATTCCTCCCAATCAAACAGTAAAGTATTTTGCAAAGCTAAAATCAAATGAAAAAGATGAGTGTGAAGATGAAGAGATTGACGAAAGTCTAAGTAAGGCAGATGAGCTAAAATCAAAATTAGTTGTTAGAGGAAATCCTGAATGCATAGATATAGTCAAAGAAATCAAGTTAAATATAGAGAAAGATAAATATGCTCTATTTGAAATTCCTAACAAAAAAGTTATTCCAAAGGAAATTTAAAAATTATTTACTTTGATTGAGTTGCAACATAAAGTTTGGATACATATTGGGATTGATACAATCACAATTTAAGGATACAAAAAAACTCTTGGAAGAATTGTTCCTTAGATTTACAAATACTTAAACAGTATAGAACCTAAGGAAGAGAAGGATGTATAGATTTAGCTGAAACAGGATCTTGCATTACCAAGCTATTGGGAACCTTAGGAGTAGAACTTAAAAATGGTGAAATTAGATTTAAACTCAAATGAAGGTTAACAAGTTGTTTAGCTCTTTAGAAAAACTTTATAAAAGCAGATAATTTAAATAGAAAGAATATAGAATCAGGCCTTGATTAAGAATTATTTATTTGAGAAGTAGAAGCTCTTGGAGAAGGGCGACTCAACAGAAAAACTTCTATTCCATGGAACAAGAGCAGTAGATCCCAAAATTATATATAATAGCGAAGAAGAAGGGTTTGATTTTAGATTGTCTAATGATGGTACGTATGGTAGAGGAACCTATTTTCATGAAACATCAGTCTATTCAGATGGTTACAAATTTTTAACTCCCCAAGGAACCAGCTAAATGTTTTTAGCTACAGTTCTGATAGGAAAACCATATGCAAGTGGTCCCTAAAGATATACTGCACCTCCTTTTATTAACAATTAAAACGGTGTTAGGTATGATTCTGTAATGAATAATCTAGCTTAAGGAAATAACATGTATATAGTTTACCATAACTCTAAATCATATCCTCTTTATTTAATTACATATAGGTGAGTCAGTAATTTAGTAAATATTTTTAACCAAAATGTTTTGAAGTAACAAACAAACAAACAAATTAACTTATTTTACGAAAATTAATTTGATCATAAAAATAAAGAAAATACTTATCAGTAAATTTCTGATATCTAAATAATTTGCATCATAATCAAATATGTTCCAATATTGTATTTACTTTGAAAAAATACCGAGATAAATTAATTTATTATAATAATTTAATGTTTATTTGATTGAATAATATCAAATTAGCTTTTTCAAAATATAAAAACAAAATAATTATTTATTTTTTGGATAACTCTTAAAATATCTTTTAAGTTTTTTAAAAAAATTTAGGTTTTTAAATAATTTTAAATATTATTAAATTTTGTTCTATTTTTTATTTAAATTGAATAAAATAAGCATAAAAATATTTTATATTTTTAAAAAAGTAAATCGAAAAAAACAAATTAATAAATGTTCTCTTATAAAAATCAAGTAAAATTTAATATTAAGAAGTACTTACTTATCAGCTAATAATTGATGATCAATATATTTTAGATTATTTTAGCTTATTAAATAAGTACCAATAATCAATCCAACTTGCTATGGAAAAACACAAAAATATTTAAAATAATTTAATGTTTATTTGATTGAATTGTTTTTAAAATCTTTAAAAATAAAAAAGCAAACTCATTTATTTATTTTTTGATAATTCATAAAGTAACATTTTAAAGTTAATAAAAATTTTAAAGTCTATTTAATAATATTGAAAGCTATAAAATATTATACATGTTTTAATTAATTTCTTTTAATTTATAAAATAAAACTTAACATTTTTGGCAAAAATCAATTGAAAAAATATTTAAATACTCAAACATTAAAATAATGTTAAAGATATATATCAAAACATTAATATTCTAATAAACTGAGCAATAAATTAAATAAAAGAATCTCAGATATTTTGTAAAATTCTCAATTCGTATTCATAAAAAATATAAAAAGAAATAGAGAAAAAATATTTGATTATCGGAATTAATAGAGGTAAATTTCTACCAAAAAAACTTAAATTATTGATTGAAAAAGGTATTATTTTAAAAAGGAAAATCTATAATATTGACAACAAACCTAAACTGTACCATGATTATATTTTTTTCATATTTTCATTTAGTAAGTCTAATTATTTTTTTTTATCATTTATTTGTTTATCAAAAGTGGTATATATTTTTAAACAAAGAATGAATGAATGATGCATAATAACAAATCTAATCAAAGTGTGAAAAAAGAGAAATATATTTTTCTAATGAATTTAAAGGTTGCAAAAAATATATTCATATATATAATAGAAGATATAATTACACACATACATAAATGTATTTTGTTCTACAATAATAAAATATTTTTACAAGAAAAAAGTAATGCGATCAAGATTAAATGAATCTCTATCTATTAAAAACTTGGCTTCTGAAAATACTTCTTCTAAAATTAGTTGAAATTCTTATTTAGTGAAGCTACTTAAAATCAAATTCATAATCAAAGTCAAAAATTTTGAGATAAAATTTCTGATTAGAATCTGGATTTTAAATAAAAGTTTCATAATATTAGTTAAGTATTTGATTTTATTCCGGGTTGTACAACTCCCACTTTTATTAATCATTGTTATACCAAATCCATCTGTATTTGATTAAGGTTTGTGGCTTGGAGTGTTGTTTTCTGATAATGGTACATTACTCATTATTTTAGCATTTGGTGGCTTTGAGGGAATTATGGTTCGAAAAGTCAAAAGTATATCTTTAATTTTACACATAGTGATTGAATATTTTTTCATTATTTTAATATTTTTTTTCCAAATATTTGATTAATGATTGATCTAATTCACTTTTTACACCCTGTTCAGAGAGAAGAATGAACTCATACATTATTTAATTTTCATTAGGGTATAAATGCTCATGTGATTTAAAGTTATCAATTGTATAGGGACTCAAGCAACCAGGTGATTAGCATTTAAACTAAAGCCTAGATAATATCTTTTGATATACTTTGTGAGGTTTTTTAAGACTCCAACCATCATTACAGCAGGTTGGACACTTGCTAATCTTATTTTTTTTTTTGTAATCATTGATGCATATTTCACAAAAGATTTATCCACATTAGACGCATTCTGACGCTTGAACTGAAATTTCGAAGCAAATGCCACACATTAGTTCCATAGTAATATCCTTTGAGTTGAAGCCTACAAGCTAATCCTCCTAAAAAGGGTTTTCCTCTATAGTATTCATTTTTATTAATCACAAACTTTCTAAATAAATATTTTTTTTGCTAAGAAATAAATATATTTGTTTCTTACAAATATTAACAAATTAAATTAATTTATTACTTACTATTTATTAATGATTATTCTAACACATATTTCAAATCTAAGTCTTTTTGTAGATTTGTGGAAAATTGTAAATTTTTTAGTCGAATTACACTTATTTATTAAATTAAACTGTATCTTTTTATCTTAGCATTATGTTTATTGACATTAGCTTAATTAAATATATGAAGTAAAATTATAGTTTTATTTTGATGATTTAAAATAACAAAAACTCACTCACTTCAAAGTTTTCTTTAAATAAATATTTGCAAAAATTTTTTCTCTTTCCAAATTGTTTATATTTATTTTATGGAATTTTATCGTCAAGCAAAAATACTTTTATTTTACAATTTATTACTAAAACAATATGATTTTATGTTCATTCATTTTCTATTCACTTTAGAATTTATTTGCCTTTTATACTGATTATTTGTTATAAAAAGAATCAAAGAAATTAATATTAAATAACTAAATTAAAAATAATTTAGGGTCACTTAAATTATTTAACCAAAAAAATCCTGTAAGTAAATAATATCAATATATAATCTATATAAACAAATTTGAAAGGAAATTAACTATTTATGAGTTAATTTTTTTTATTTTTGATTTTTTCTATTAAATTAAAAGCCAAAAAAAATTTTTCACACATACACTTTGTTTAAGAAATTAAAATTTTTTAATTCTAAATACTTTAAAAATTATTCAATGCAATAAATTAGGTGACAAGATAATTAAATTTTAAGTTTATCTTTTATATTTATAAATACAACTTTTTATAAAAAGTAAATAATAGCTTTAAAACAGATAAATCTAGCTACTCTTTATATTAATTAATTCCCAAAATATAAATAGACTTTACTGTTTATCTAAATAAAAATAAATAAAATTAATTGAAATAATTTTTATTTAGTAAAATTTTTATACTAGTTGAATAAATACATAAATGAAATAAAGCTACTAAATAATCAATAAAATGCATGAATCTAAACTATAATGCTTCTTAATACAAGAAAGAGTTAATTATAATAAATTTTATTTAGTTTATCTTATATGTTAGTTGTAAATGTAATACCTCATTATTAAATTTGACTATGTCAACTTCAAAATTTTTCATTTATTTATTAATACTTTTAAAATGCGTGCTAATTTCTGATCTATTTTTATTGAGGTGCTACAGTTTTTAAACAAAGTAAACCTACTAAATTAATTTTAATGCTGATTTAATAAAAAGGTTTTGATTAATTAATTACTTAATTTATTTAACATTCATATCTTAAGTTTTTTATTAGAGCTGTACAAATATTTATATAAAAAAATATATTAATATTTACTTTGAAAATAAATTAATAATTATTATACAATTTTATTAAATAATTTATAAATTTTAAGAAGATAATTAGGAAAACCTTATTTTATTTTATTTATTTATATGTTTGTTTATTTATTTATTTGTTTAGTATCTTTTTATTTGTAGTATGTACATATTATCTCATATATTTCGTTGTGTTTCATTTTTTTAAATATCTGTTAAGACACTGCTATTCGTTTATTAATTTATTAATTGATTGATGTATCAGTAGATTCATTTTTTAGAAATGTTTTTCATTAGAAAAATTCGGGATAACAGTACGATAACATTTAAGAGAATGGTTCACTCTCAAGAAAATGAATATGAGCAGCTCTTCCAATCATTTTATCTATTGAACTTTTATTGAATGTAATTTGAGCTAAGTTTATTGTTAAATTATTAATTTTACCTATCTAGTTTAAAGTTTACATCAAGTCTATAGATATTTTCACATTTAAAATTTCTGGAAATATTTTCTACCATTTAATTGTGATATTTCCTTTTATTATGATTAAGATAAATTTGATTACTTACTTATTATATTATTGTAAAAATTACGATCCGTTAGGAATGGTGAGTACTCTTGCTGATTGAATTGGGACATATTAATCGTCAAAGCTTGATATAAACATGACATTCTAGAACCAGTTAAGACCAGGCTTTGTAGATAATTTGTATAAATAGGTGTCTTCGATATTATCAGAATCTCTCATAGATAATTGCAATAAACTTTAGCTTTTGTGTATTTTTTGCATAATCCATAAACCTAATAATTAAATTAACATTAATTAAATGTTTTAAAGTTAATTTATTATGATTGTGTTTATTATTTATTACCTGCATCGATTAGCTTGTTGGAGTTTGCATAACATCCTAAATGAGGTGAACATATAGATATATAAGAGTACATGATTGTAGAATAATCTTGCAAATAAGGTAATGCTGCACGAGCTATTACTCCTCCCATTGAATGTCCTATAAAAGTCATTTTGGTCAAACATTAGATGTATCTCTTACCAATATAAGCTCTTATTTCCAAAGCTAGGTTCTTTCCAAGAAAATCTAAATCTTTGTCTGTATGATCTTCATTTATTTTAGAGCTTAAGCAGTAAGCGGTAGGATATTGCTTAATCAAGTTATTTTTTATCGATCTCAAGTCATAGCTATTTCCTTAAAATCCATGACACAAAATGATTAAATGATTTCCTTTAGATAAATAAAAATATTAATTACTTAATTAATCATTCTTAAAATAAAAGAAATGAATTACCGAATTTCTGTTGATTAGAAAGGATATTTGGGTCTTACAAAATCTCATCAAACACATAACTAGGTTATCTTTTCTAATATATTTCTTGAAAGAAAATAGGATGTTCTTGGGCACTAGGAAACATCTCGAGGTTCTCAATAGTTAACGGCTCTAGGTTGTTGAAGTAAAATTTCTTTCTGAATTATTTAGCTATTTAGCTATTTGTTGAAGTGTAGTCTTCTAAAGAAGTGAATAAGTCAGTTGTTGTCAATTTCTGACGAAAGATCGATTCTCCCCACCTTTCGCTGATTTATTTATTATTCTCAACCATGTATTTTTGTAACAACTTGGAGTGCTTTTATACAAGCAAATCAATAAACTGTGACCAAATTTGGAATAAACTTCCACTTATCTAATTAATTTCTCTTTGTACATCATTTATAAATATATTTTATTCATTTTCATTCAAATGTTCTTTCTTTTTCTTTTAAGTGACTCCATGTTAAATAGGTGGCCTCTAATGATGACTAAAGGTTGAATTACTATCAAATTTAGTGGAGAAAGATGAAAAATTATGGTTTTTATTCTAACTTTCGAACTCTTGTTAATCTTTGATCTGTTAATTGTAATATTCTAAGCTATTTGCATCTACATCTTTTATTTATATCAGCGAAGGATGAGGCATTTAAATTATATCCTCATTAGAAGGATCTGAATAGTCTTATACTTCATCCAAAATGCGTTTAAGTTTGCTGAATTAGTTCTTGAGATGTGCAACATAGAATTAATAGAAGCTTTAAACTGATTCTTTTTAAACTAAAAAAAATAAAATATTGAGTTAGAATCACTAACAAACAATCAATATCTTACAATTAAATGTGACTTCTTAAATAAAGTGATTAATGTTCTTATATTTAGCTCCTTTTATAACCTTTTCTTTCTTTTTAATTTTTTCAGAGTTGCTAGAAAGAGTGTCTTAGGTCAGTTAATTGTCATCTTCATCTGTGTCTTCTAGATCCTCATTCTAACTACTTCTACTTTTAAATATTTTTTCAATAAATGACTTTGATCTTTCTCTCTTCTCCTGATTAGATTGTATCAAATTCTATGAAAACAAGAATTCTGGATTCCTAAATTTAAAATCTAAGAAATTATTTAAGTAAAATTTAATAAATAGATTAATTTTATTTTTCATAAAGAAAACAATTTGTATTAAATTTATATGTAAATAGACTGCTTAATTGATATTTGTAGCTAATATGCTATTTTCAAAATAGCATGAATTCAAAAATATCTTAGCATATTATAAATTATTTATTTATTTTAACCTTTCTTTACATTTCGTTAGTAAGAATAATCGTTGAGTATTTAGACAAAATTTACTGGAAATATATTAAGTTTAAAATTTTTTTAAAAGTATTTAATTTATTACCCAAAAGCAGAGAATGAAAGCTGCATTCTAGCACACAAAAGTGCATTTTATCAAAGACTATGGGCAAAAACTCATGCAATCCTTCTGAGGAGTATCTAATGATGCTTCTAAATTTGGATAACTTTTCGAATTTCTTTCATTTTTATAAAATATAAATCTCTATGATATTTTAATTAACCAAAAATATTTGAATTTTTAATACTAATGGCTCTGTTTTATATTTATCTGGATCTGTAGTAAATGCTGCAATTAGATCGCATTCTAAGTAAAATTCTGTTAATTTGTAATTATTATCTGCATTCACTTCTGATCTGAAGCAGCAAAGATCATTCATACGAACTTCTTCTTCGCAATATCTAATACTAAAAACCTTGCTTTTGAACTTCTGTTCGCTATCTAAGATAGTTGATTCCTCAAATATACTTTAATCACTATAATGGCTCTATGATTTAAATCCTAAATTATTCTACGTGTAATGATAAGGAGTCGCATATTGCTTGTTCTATTTAAAATTATAACAAAATAATTAATATTAAATAAATTGATTCTTTCATCTGAAGACGTTGCTTAATAACAAAACCAATACATTAAAATACAAACTCTCGACCTTATTCTAAATTTGTATCAAAACAACATCTTAATGGCAAAGATTAATTGTATAAATTTACTTATTAACTGTCTTAATAGTATATACTGAATTCCATATAGTAAACACCTTGATCGAATAAATCGATGTTTCTAAAATTTTCAAGAGACAAAATGAACTCATAAGTAGCTTTCCAACTCATTTCTCAGATACTCTATAATTTTTTTTATACCTTAATCACGCTAATGTATGAATGAAAAAATATGTGTGTGAATTAATTATGTTTGTATATTTGTTTGCTTAATTAATTTTAAAATTTGTGAATATTTTATGATAAATGAATTTGTTTATTTTAATTAGAAAAGTTAAATATTGATTATCATTTTGTTTTTTTTGATTATTTTAATGCAGAACTAGAATTTAATCAAAGCTAAGTGTTTGAACATTCTTTTTACATTATCGTTAACTGGGGCTAATCTATTAATACAAAAAAAAAATTAATTTCTATTAACTCTGAATTAAATTTATTTAATATTTTAATCATATGTTATTATTTGAGAAGTTATCATAAAATTCTTAAAGACATAAAGAAACAATAGAAAACATAAAATTTTAAATTAGTTTTTATTACTGATCAAATTTTTAAATTTATTATTTTTCAGTCATGCTTTCTCAAATTTTTATTTGTTTAATTAAAATAATTTATTTACTCTTCTTAGTAGTTCATTCGAAAAAATTTTCCTTTATTATAATTATTAATTAATTTTTGGTTATTTTAAATTAAATATTTGATTGATTAAGGAAGTTAGTTTCATCATTTATAGAGTGCATTTTTTTTATTTATTGAAAAGTGTTTTTTATTTAACTCAATTTAGTTTTTCAAAGAAAAAAACCTCCAATCCTCATTAATTAAAACTCTATTTAATTAGTACCATAAAAAATGTTTTAAGTATAATAAATAACATCTTAAAAAAATTTTAAAATGAGGAGGTTTATTAATTAAAGAGGATTGATGGTATATTAATTGATTCCTTTTCAGCTATTTTTAAATCGATTTCTATCATTACTAAACTATTTCTAATCAAAAAAAACAAGGAAAGCAGTATTTAAATATATTATTTGATCTCTTAAGAATGATTTAATGAATTTGCTCATCAATTTCTTAGTGATTGCCACAAGCTCTTCGACTATTTTCTAAATCTCTAGTATCTAATTTACTCTCATATTAGAGTAATATTTGAACAATATTCACATATCGCCATCTTGCAGCTACTTCTAAGCAAGTATCTTAGTTCTTTTTATAAATATTTATATAACTTCTAATATAAATTATTATTGAAATTACTTTGGTTTTAATACTTGGAATTGCCCCAATTTTCAATAAAAACTTTACAATCTTTTTATAAATAAATCAAATTAATATAGACAGTTTATTTTGATTACTAAGTGGGATGTATAGATAGATTTATTTATTTACTTCTATATTTTAATTCATGCACGCAATGTAAAGAGGGAAAAACCCTTAGCTATTTAGTTTATTTATTAAATGTTCTGGGTCATCTGGAGATCTGATATATCTTTTAAAAAAATCTTTATTGTAAGCTATTTTAAATGGTAATTCATAATGCCAAGATACCTTTTAGGATCGTTTTAAATGATACTTTTTATTTTCTCAAGGTCTTAAGGTGATCCATTTTTACAAAGTTAGCACAATTCTTCAATTCTCCGATAATTATCCAATATTTTAATCATCTCAAAATCCTATTTTATATAATTGTTTCCTATATTAAAGCATTACACTACATTTATAACATTTACTTATTCATAATTAAAGACTTTATGGCTTTCCTCCTTTTTTTTTCTTGGAGAGGGTGAATTTTTTATTTCCTCCTCTATATCATTTGGTTAAATGTTTTTTATTTCGCTTTTTTGAAAGGCTTGAATGCTTTTCATTACAATAGATAGCTTTTTCCACCTCTTCAAGCCTGGTGAAGCATTGCTAGAGATGTGGGAATTCTATAGCTCTTCTCCATCAACCTAATATACAAAAAGATAATTTGAAATGTATATAATAAATAATCAAATTAATTCAAAAAAAAAGATAATGAATAAAATTACATTTGTGTTTGTAGAGCGCTTTATTTGAATTTTAAGAGTTGGCAACTCATAAGTGTTTCTTTTTTTGCTATTTTATGGCTTTTAAAAAAGATCTATTTCATTATTAGCTGATTCATTTTCTTAGCTAATTCCTTTAAAGCAAATTTTATTTTAATTAGGAGATACTTTTTGCTCAATTCTTTGTTATGAGCACTGAATTGCTTGGTATTCTATTGTGGATTTATCATTTTCTTAAAGGTGATCCTATAATGTTATCTCTTTTTATTGTTATTCATAATTGTAATAAATGTCTTGAATTGCAAGAGATTTCTTTCTTTTTTTTCTCTAAGATTTTGAGAAGGAAACATTGTATCTATCATCATGGGTGTAATTCTGAATGTCACTATTATCTAAATGCTGCTTTGATGTATCTCTAATGGCAGAAATGTTGGTAGTTATATTTTATTCTTCCATTGAGCTTATCGAGATGTATATAATTAAGTGAATTAAATATTAAAATTATAAAAATATTGATTGAATCTAAAAAACACTATGAAATCAAAAAAATAAATATATTTGTGATTATTATTTACTTCAAAAGTTAAATCAATATAGTATTAAGTATTCAACTATCTTCATTCAATTCTAATTTTTTTCTTATTCTCTAAATTGTTTATTAATTTCTACTTGATTTAGTCAACTCAAATCAAAGTATCAATTTTTATATTTATTCTCCCTTATAATTCGAGGTTATTTCTAAATCTATAAATTTCCTGATTATTTAATCTTAAAAATAATCAAAACTATTATAAAAACCTATTTTTATTACAAAAGGCTTAATTTTTAAGTATTTATTTTGTTTGTTACTTTAATAATTATTTTCTTATTAATCTTATTTATTCTTCCAAATAATTTGAGGTATTTCCAAATCAATAAATTGCCTGATTATTTAATCTAAAAAAATACAAAACTATTATAATAAGCTATTATTATTATTAAGACTTAACTTTTAAATATTTATTTTGTTTTATGAATATTTATTTTTTTATTTTTTCTAATTTATTCTCCCATATAATTTGTCAATAAATTGCATGATGATTTAATATTTAAAAGAATTCAAAACTATTATAAAAAGAAATTAATTTTTATTTTAAATATTTATTTAGCTTCTTTGTATGAAATTTCAAATTCATAATCAAGAAAATAATAAGTTTAGTGTCTATAATAGATCTATCCCACTAAAATATTATATTTAAAAAAGACAAAAAATTAATCAATGCTTCAAAATTTATGATATAGAAAATCAAATCAAAGTAAAATCGTTTCATAAGGATAATCATCATTTCAAATTAATTTTTTAAGACTAACGCATTTAATGAAAATAAAATTTGGTATAAACTTGCTTAGTATTCAAAATTACCTAATTTAAATTTATTATGATAAAGGAAAAAAGATAAAAGCTATCTAAGATAGCCTGACGATAACCAACGAATAGAGTTCATTTTACTTGTAAGCTTAAATAAAATTGTGTTTTAAGTGAATAAATTAAACTATGTAACATTTAATTTAACTAGTTGTTTTGAATGTGTGAACATAAGTTTTTTATATTAGTTAAAAGTAATAACTTTAATTTTAAGCGACTGAATGTGATCACTTACTTTCTTTTAATATATTTTGTAATAAGTAAATATATTAAATAGTAAACAAAAATTTAATACTTTTATTAAGAAAATTAACTTATAACAGCTGGTTTATAGAATAACTACAAATAATTCAATCATTCTATTAGATATAGTCAAGTTTTTATAGTTTAAGCTTTTCTTCTCATTGTTTTTTTGAGCGCTGATATGGGAATATAAATTTCGTAATGCTGCAGTTCTAAAAAAAGCATAGTTAATGAGGAAACATTATAACGAAAAACCAAAAATTAAATGCCATTAATTTCTGCTAAAAAGTAGCAAAAGGAAAATTCAGTCAGAAGTAACTAATCTTCTGGTAAAATGGCAAGCAATACTTTGATCAATGAGGCTTAACATGATTAAGCGCGATCAGTTTAAGGTATTAAAGATAAATTGCATTAAATTTTGTTTAAAATATGATGATAGATTTATTTAAGACATTAACATTCTAGTAAAATATATTTAATTCTACAAATTCATTAATTATATAATAGATAAAAATGCTATTTTTACAGAAGACATTTTGAGTAGAAGGATATTTCTAGCGGATTTAAAGTAGTCTGATTAGTAAAAGTAATAAGAAAAAATCACACAATCTATAAAAATAAACGAAGAATTATAAAAAAGTCTTTCAGATGTTGATGAATAAAAGGAATAAATAGACGATTTTAACAGGGCTTTGATAGTTCCTGAGGATTAAAATGAATAAATTAAATAAAACTCTTAAGAGATGCAGCAATATCCATTAAAAAAAGTAATAGATTTGGATAAAGTTCATATCAAAAGCAACTGTTATAGAGATAACTTTGAAAAAGTTTAAATTCCTTTGCTAGATATGATTATTAGTGGCGAAAAAGATTTAAAAGAATGTAATTTATTAATTAATTAATTATTTATTTTTGATAGAATTTATAATTAATATATTATCAAAATTGATTTGAATTCTGATCATTGCATAAAATTTATTCAGTAAAATAACACAAACAAATAAAGAATGAATTAATGAAAGAAAGAAAGAATCGATTATTTTTATTTCAAATCTATTTTTACCAATTAACGTGCTTTATAATTTTTACTTTAGTTGATGAAGAGGACTCTAATAGCGATAGTGCTGAAGAAGAGAATAAACGAGATTCAATAAAAAAAGGGGTTAAATCTCTTCAAGCCCTATAAAATTATGAAAGAGGAGATGGTAGTTAAGACGGTTAAGATGGATAAGATGATGACGAAGAGGAAGAAGAGGAGGAGGAAAATTCTGATGATGAAAGTTATGATTTATTCGATTCAGGTGGAGTATTAGAAAGAATCATGAGAGAAAATAGGCATAAAAAAAATGGTTTAGGTATTGATTCACATAGCGGACAAACTTACGTTCTGAAATAGGTATTTCTTACTTAATATAAAAAGTTATCAATAATTAATTGTGTAAAAATAAAGTACTCACCAGAAGATGTTTAAGAATTGATTTTTGATTATGATTTAGCTCAAAGGATAAAGTAAATTTAGATGCAAAACAACTGTTTTTGCATGATACATGCTATCCGTAAACAAAGTGATGGTAAGATTTAATATAAAGTTTTTCTTAGATAATTATTGGTAAAAATAAAATTTAGAGGGTCTTCTTATAGTGCAAAACCATGAAAAGGGAGGGTCTTTATCTTTGTTTTTAGACACAGCATTCAATGAGAAAGAAGCCAAAATTTGGATGATAAAAATTTTATAAGCTTTGCAGATATTACACGAAAGCCATTTAGAGCATGGGTAAAAAAATAAATTTAATGAAAATTTTTAATTTAAATGATGAAAATAGGAATTTAAAACCAAATAATATACTTCTCGGCTAAGGACAGTTAAAGCTAACTGATATAAACATGTTCAAAAACAAGAAACATCTCCATAATCTTTACAGTGCACCAGAAGTAATTTTTGTTTTTTTCATAAAAAATCCTTCAAAATAAATTATTTAAACTATTTAACAGCTACTATAGAGAGACTAGCTAACAGAAAAATCAGATATTTGGAGTGCATGCTTGATTTTTATAGAAGTACTTTCTAAACTTTTTTATAGATTAATCAAAATAGTTTTTTGAATTAGAATTTTTTGTATTAAAAAAAATTCAATTAATAAAAAGATGAGAACTGGTGTGATGCCATATCTTGAAAAAGATCCAGATATGACAGTAGAAAAACTGAAAGAAAAAATTGAAAGAATGGAGTTGAGATTGCCATTTGACATTGAAACTTAAGAGTTCATAAGAATGATGAATAATATTGATCCAAATAAAAGAAAAACAGCAAAAGAGTTATTGAATTCGAGATATCTTAGATGTATGATAAATATAAAATTTAAAAGCTGTTAAATCATTTATTTTTAATCTTTTTAATAATTTTAAATAAAAGGTGAAAATCATAATTTCGATAAGCAGTACTTAAACTAGCTATAAAAAAAGCAAACTCTTAGGAAATTAAATAACACAAAAAATTTTGATCAATCAATGATGATGATGTCTAAACCACTGCTTAGTGAGCAGTAAACTTTTATGTATAACAGCTAAATTAAACCAGGCGGAATACAAAAAGGGACTACAAGTAAGTTAATCTGAAATTCATCATATATTTAAAACTGAATTATTTAAAAAAGTAAATATTGATAAACTGAATGATAAAGGGACTAAATAATATGGTATAACAAGTGTTTTGACTGTTGTTAACATAAAAGAAAGAGATTTGTAATAGCAGGAATCTTACATGCCAATATCTGTAGCTAATTTGATGACTACACAACTAACAAATAACGGAATGGTGAGTCAGCAAATCTCCAACAAAGACAACAAAGATGATAGCTCAGTATTTTATTTTATTAAATAATTACTAATCTTAACTTTAAATTAATAAAACAGGGACCTATTTCTTAAAACTTAAAACAAGAAATTCAATATAGAAAAAGTGCTGATTATAATAAATAGGTGTCCAACAATGTGCAGCAATAGCAATAAAAATAGATGCAATAAGAAAATATTTCAAAAGTGTGTTATTAATTTTACTTAAACTGTTTGAAACAAATTTATTATTTATTTATTTATTTTTTATTTTTTTATTTAAAACTAAGGTCCTTAAATAATGGATTACTGTGAAGACAACATTGGAGCAATAGCAGGAGCAAGATGAAAAATAAAAATAGTTTTAGATGCAGTAAGAAAAGCTTATCAACTAAATAAAGCAAAGGGAGAACGAAGAAGATGATGATGAGGAAGGTGAAGATGAAGAAGATGATGAAGCAGAAGATAAAAATGGTGACACTTAAAATAATGGTTAAGTTAATGATTTAGATCATAAGTTATAGTCGAAAAAAAGTGAAATTAGAAATAATTAGAAAAAGTAAACAAACAAAATAAATTTATAAAATAACTTAATTAAAGAAAATGAAGCTAGAATGAAATAATTAGAAATAGAATAAAAGTTATTGGATATTCTTAATTAAAATTTAGGAGGGGAAGGAAATTCATTTGTTTCCGATACAAGTTAAGATTTAAAAAACTCTTTTATTGATGGTGGCAAAGTTAAGTATAAATCTTCATTTTAAGATCTTTCTTTGGTTTAATCTGGTAAAGTGCCTTCTTCGTAAATGAGGTTTGCAACAAAACTTCTTGAAAAAGCTTAGAATCCTCAGAAAAAAGAAGGAGATATTATTTCAGATACAAAATAGATGTAAAGTATATAAATTATTTCGCCAAAGGATGAGGAAGTTAACGCAAACAATGCTGGTAAATCGGCTGCAGATTAAATGATAGAAGAAATGAATAGAATTTTAAATGAAGGAGTTACTGTTTTCAGCTAAGAGTCACTTGATGATTTAAAGAGGTAAATCTCAACATAAAATTTTGTAGGTTTGAGAAGACTATTAACAATAAGTTCTTAGCAAAAAACAAGCAACTCACTCAAGACATTAAAAACTCTAGGTAACTCAAATGCAAAACAAGGAAAGTGCAAAACTGAAAATGTAATTTAAATATTGACTTTTAAAAGTATTTTATTTTTATTAAATACAAAAACAGAGTCCCATGAGAGATGAAGAATAAAAATAATCATCCAGACTTTAGGTTGACGACTAAGGCTACTATTTCATAGAGGATTACATACAAAAAACAAAGAATATAAAAAAGGATGAGAAAGCTGAAAAAATTAATACATCAAAAGATATTAAAAACACTAGTGTTAATAATTTTACATAAAATGATGAAACAAAATAAGATGATAAAAAATAAGAAGAAGATAACTAAGACCCAGAATACCAAAAATAATTGCTTTAATAAGAAATAGAATAGAAATTATTAGATATTTTAAATTAAAATGGAGACTGTGAAGAAGGTTCATTCTTATAAGCCAGCTATGAAATAATAAAAACAGATGATAAAAATAACTAAGAAGAAAATAAGATTCCATCAATTAATTAAAATATACTAACATAAAAGCAAGATGCTTATCAAAAATAGTAAAGTACTAATTCACTCAGAATCATTAAAATGAAATCAAACATGAATTCAAATACTAAAACACCTGAGCAAATCGCTGATGAAATGAACCGTATACTCAACGAAGGTATTTCAGCTTTCAGCTTGGAGTCATATGAAGAGATCAAAAGATAAATATCTACTTAAAACTTTAACACTCTAAAGCGAACACTTTCAAATAATAAACAGTTAAGAACGCTAAACTCCATAAAAACTTAAAAAACTTTACAAAACTCCTCCATAATAAATAAAAGCCTAAACTCAAATAATTTGGGTTAAAATAAAATTAAAATAGATTTAAATTCTTAAGAATGATTGATTGATCATCTATGAGTTATTTATAAAAAATCCAAATTAATTTTTGAATAAATTCGATATAACATATCAAAGAAAGCATAAAGAAAAAATTCATAAAAAGGAGAAGTAAGCTTTAAATAACTAAATAAAAAAATAAATGAAAAATAAAATACTCTAATCTAAATATAGATTTACTTTAAAAAACCAATTTATTTTTACTAACACGAATATATTTTAAATTTAAAAACAAGTTGAAAATTATCAATAAAAATATTGTTAATTATTAATATTAATATTATTATTATTATGATGGAAAACAAATTTGTACATAAATAAAAAAAAATTTTGAGAATTGTAGTATTTATAAGATCTATATTTATTATCATAAAAACATAAAAAAAAAATATTAAGAATTTTAGTGTTCATTAGATCTATATTTATTATGTGCTTTTGCATTAAATAAAATGATAAATAATATGGTTCAATTATTTTTAATTATTTATTAAAAATTATTTTAAAATGATAGAATATTAGTTGGATAAAAATATCTAATAATTATTTATTGATACAATAATATATTTTAATCAAATCTACTTCAACAGACAGGAATAATAATTATATTATTACTATTTATTTTTTAACCAAAATATTATGATAATTTATTTATCAGTGAGTTTTTTTAAGTAAATAAATTAAATTTTGCATCAATTTGGTAAAAATAAATCAAAGTAAGTAATCAATTGAATATAAATATGTATATTGTAATAAATTAATGAAAAAATTAACAAACATAATCTATACCAATTTACTACTAAAATGAATATAATTTAAAGTTAAAAACAATATGAAAAGTTTCAAAAAAATATAATTAATTTTTATATTATGATGGCAAAAAAATTTGTAGCAAAATATTTTGTAAATAAAAATGTTTAAAAGATATATATTTATAAAATGTTCATGCAAAAATGAAAATAATTTGGTGGTGAAATTATATTAAATGTTAATTTATTACAAAATATATTTAGTTATAAAAAGACTATAGTATGTAATCTAATTAAGATGAAAAATTTCTTAAAAAAATATTTTGAATGCACCTTAATAAAATTTTTAATTAAGGTGCTTAAATTCTTAGTTAAAATTGATTTCATTATACACCTTAATTACAGCATATAAGCTATTATAATTGAAAAAATTAATATAAATTTATTTTCATTCAAGTAGTTTAAGTAAAACTAATAGTAAATATAATGTCAAACAAACATAAATTATTGATCACTTCAGATTCAATTATAATTATATATATATTAGCTATAATTTTACTAAAATACTATTTCAACTTACTTGTGAGCACTTAAATTTTAAAGAATTTCCTGTATTAACCGTTTAAACCATAGAAAAGTATAGACAATTATCAAAATTAAAATAAAAATCTAACTTAAATTTTTTTTATTAAACTTGATAGAAATTTAAAGCTAAATTTATACTTTTAAATGTTTATTAAGTTAAACTTTATTAAAATTTAATTCATTTTACTTTTTTATCCTGCATTCCTTTTCCGTTTTATGAAAAGAAATTTAATTTTATTTAAATATTTTATATTTTAAAATAAATTTAATTTATCAGTTATTCACAAAGAGAAAATTACAAAATTGAAAAAATAGTACTTTGAAATATATAAAATTTTTAGCTGATGAATAAAATTAAGCCCTTTATTTGTATAAGATTTTTATTCAAATTTTATAAATTTATGTAATAATGAGAATAGAAATTAAAGGAATGTTAAATAAGGCACTATGCTCCACTTTACATTTTTTAAATGAATAAATAAAAATAAATTCTTTAAGTTATAAATTATCTTTCTTTAAATTTATTTTAAATTTTTAGAACATTTTTGCAAATAACTACTAAAATTAACAATTAATTGAGATAAATTAAATTTTATACTTCAAATTTTATTGACATAGCGCAAACAAAATACATCTTTCATTAATTATTAATTTAGGTTGGAAATTAAATAAATTAAAATATTAAAATTTTATCTTTAATTAATTTAATTTCAATAAAGAACGACAGACAAACAATCTCTTACAATTTCTAACTAAAATTTTAAGAAAAAAGAGGTCTAAAATAAAATGATTATTACCAACTTTTAACAAGTAAAATATTTTAATTTTAATAAAAACAACTGAATATAATTTTTTTACTATCTAAAGTTAAATACCATAGGAATTACTAATGTTTTTACTTTACAATTCTTTCTAAGGTAATAATTTTTTTAATTTTCAATGACATAGCAGTAAAATAAATAAATTTACTATAAAACTCATTGTTTGTTTAATTTAGAGCCTATAAAATTGGTGACCAGGGAGCAGCAATCCTAGGATAAGAAATATCAAAAAGAATTAACCTTTCAAATTTGTCCATGGACATTAGGTAATATTGATTCTTCCTTGATTTTATTTGATCTCATTAATTTTCTTATTCTAAAGTGAAAATTGCTTATTTGATATTGGTACAAAAAATTTAGCTTTCGAAATCTCTAAGCTGAAGAATATAACAACTCTTTCTTTAAATTTAAGGTATTTAAACTAATCAATTAAATTATCATTCATTAATTTTTTCTTTCTTTCAAGTTTTAACTAAATAACTGATAATGGCATCATAGCTCTTAGTTAATAAATAGCATTTTTCCCAAAATTAAATTCATTAACGCTAAATCTAAGGTAAATAAATCAAAAATGATATAAACACCCAAATATTAAATTACATTAATATTATATAGTAGTAACACTATTACTTATAATGGTGTATTAATGCTTGAGTAAAGTATTTCTAATAACTAGAATCTTACCTTTTTATCTTTGAACCTTGGGTAGATTTAATTCTTATCATAATTCAACACTTAAATAATATTTGTTATTTTATTTTAAAAGTAAAAATTAAATTGGCAAAAATGTAAGTGGAAATTAAAAATTTGGACAATTCATTGGCAATTTAACTTGTTTGACATAATTTCTTGTGTATTTGAAGTAAATATTTTCAATAAAATAAATAAATTTATATTAATCTTTTTAAAGTTAAAATGATATACAAGCTGATTAAGCTGCTTAATTTTGTTCTGAAATATCTAGATGCCGCTCTCTCAAGACTCTATCTTTAGATTTAAGGTAAATATTTTTCTATCAATAACAACTAATAATTATAATAAAAAAGTGGAAATCGCATAGGACCTGATGGAGCACATAGAATTGGATATGAATTTTCTAAAATAACAAATCTTAATTTTTTAAATCTTTACTTAAGGTATTTTTAATCTATTTTTAAAAGTTAACTCAATATTTAATTTAAATTAAGTGATAACTAAATAGGAACTTAAGGTGCTTAAAGGTTTGCTCCTGAAATAGCTAAATTAAAAAATTTAGTCACTCTTTAGTTAGATTTAAGGTAACTTACTTTATGCTATTGTCTATAATTTAAGTCTTTTTAAGTAACAATAAAATAGGAGATGATGGAACACAGGTTATAGGATTTGAAACAGTTAAACTTTAAAATATCCATAGTCTATCATTAAATTTAATGTAATAAAATATTTTCTATATGAAAAATTCACATTATAATTATTAAAAAGTGAAAATTAGATCAGTGATCTTGGAGCTTCGAGGCTTGGACAAGAAATTTCAAAATGTTAAAATCTTACTAGCTTAAATCTTGAGCTGCAGTAAACAATAAATATTAAAAATTTCAATAATTTGTTAATTAAATCTTTTATTTATAGAAAAAATAACTTTGGAGATATAGGGACTTAAGGTTTAAGTTAGAAGCACCTCCAATTAAAAAAATTAGTTTTATATAGTTTTAGAAAGTGATTAATTTAACTAATTTATTTATCATTATTTGTTAAATAATTAATTAATTTCTTTTCCTTTTATAATATAAAATTAATTAATTGCCGTAATCAAATTTACTCTTAAATTTCTATTTATTTAAATTACATCTTAAATTTATTGTAATATTTAAAAAATAATCAATTAAAATTAATTATTCTTGATTAATAAATAATCAGGATTTTAATTTTTTTCAAAAATCATCTATATCAAAAAAATGATTTATAGTTTTTGACCAATCTCAGCTCTAGCTTTAAGCTGATTTGGAGGAGTGATTTTAAATTTTTTCTTTAAATTTTGTAAATAAATAAGTAATTAAAAAATAATTCAGATATTTATTCACCAACTCACCTGTTTACTAACTTATCTCTATCAAAGAATTATTATTATATTTATTATCCAATTAACTTCATGAAACAAAAAAAATATATATGAAATTTAAAATGAATATTAATATTTATTATTGTTATTATTATTATTAAAAATTATTTTCATTTCTTATGCTTTATTTGCTGAATGAATAAATAATTAAAGTTGTGTATTAATAATATTATACAAATTTTTTAACATTTTGCAATTTTAAATTTTAGAATTAAAATAATTTAATTATAAATTAAAATGATTTTAAATGCTATGCTATTAATAATAAAAACGATTTTTGTAGATTTTCAAATATTTTAACTTAATTTAGAAACAAACTTTATATTTTAATTTAAATTTTTCTAAAAAAATTTCTAAACCAAATAAAATTTCAATAATTTATTTTTAAATTAAATTAAATTGAAAAATACTTTCAATTAAATCTCAGATGAATGACAATTAATTAATAATAAATATAAATAATTTCGAATGAATGTATGTATTATGCTTTTGAATTATAATAAAGCAATATAAAAATTTAAAATAATATTTTACAAAATAAAAAGGATTAAATTCAATATTTGAAGAAATAAATTTTACTAATTTAACAATAATAAATAAAATTTAAAGATAAAAGTACAATTATTTTATTTATTTATTTATTTATTTATTTAGGTAGCATTTGAAAAATAAATTTATTTTATGTAGACCACTTTCAATTTTTGAAAATTAAAACTAATCTAATAGATTTCATCGATCTTTAGAATACTTTCTTTTGATTATAGCAATGAAAAGCAAATCTTACAATCAGAAGATGTTTTAGTTTAGGTATGGTAGATGTTAAGGATTCATAATAATCTGTACCTAAATTATCTTCAGTTATTATTTCTAATTATTTTAGTTTCAAAAGATATGAAAAGCCTTCTGATACTAGCTAATATCCCTTTTCACCCATATAGCTATTCCTTAAAGTAAATGATAATTTTTCTAAGTTTTAAAGACTCTAAAAGCCATCTTTGAAAGCCTATCCGCCTTAATACCCTAATTTGCAATCTCTTATTTAAATGGCAAGGTGTCTTAAACATGGTAACTATTACAGATATGTCATAATAACTTCAATACCTTTATGCTGAATATTTCCAAATTCAAATCCTAAAGATAATTAGACTAATTTATTTTGAACTTCCAATTATTGAAACATTAGAGCCAAGTCTAATTAATCTTAAGGACTGGGATAAAAATATAATTTTAAATTTTTAAGATTTTTAATCTCCTTAAACTCACTTCCAAATATTTCCATTTGATCTTAAAATTTAGCAAAATTTCGAAAAATTAAGGAAAGACTGCTTAAATTTTGTAGCTTATTAAGACATTTCAAAAAAGAAGTTAAATTTAATGGCTCTATATTAATTCCTTAAGATTCCACTGAAAAATTTAAGCTCTGCAAATTCATTGAGTTTGAAATAGCAAGACTAAATTGGTCTAAGTATTCTTAAATTACAGTGTTTTTTTAAATGTTTAATTGAACATCCAAATTTGATATTTGATATAAAAATGAAATCTATTTATTTAGTTTGCTTATAAATTCTTGAGGAAAGGAGGTCGTTAGATTAATTATCAATTTTAAACTTTTTAAGTAACTCAATGTATTAGCTACTTTAAAAGTGTAAATATATTGATTGACATAATCTATCTTATCTATATTTAATGATAAGGATTCTAATTTTTCAATATCCTCATAACAAACATCTAAATTCATTTATTCTTTTATAATTTGACTAAATATTTTTTTATTTACTCCAAATTCTTCAAATGCATCAAACCTCTGATTTTCATTTTCTTGTTAATTACTTTATTCAACTCTAAGTGAAGTTGGCAACTAATTTAACTGACAGTCTACTCCGTTATTTTCTTCCTAACTCTATCCTTAGTCAATATTTTACTAACAATTCATCAACTTTACTACCTATTTTTAAATAATATTGGTAATAAGTCAAAAAAATATTTATAAAATCTATTTTATTAGACCTTAGTTTTATTATGGCTATTTCAGAATTTAATTTATAAACAAAATCTTCAGTTTTAATTAATTAAAAAATTTGTACTTCAAACAAAAAACTTTACTCAAATAAGCTTTTCATATTAATTAATATTCCAATAATTTATAAATAAAATATTTTTTTATTTCTAAAAGTTTTATCTTCTTTGAATTATGAAAATTACTATTTATTACTCTCAGCTCTAGCTTTAAGCTGATTTGGAGGAGTGATTTTAAATTTTTTCTTTAAATTTTGTAAATAATTAAAAAATAATTCAGAAATTTATTCACCAACTCATCTGTTTATTAACTTATCTCTATCAAAGAATTATTATTATATTTATAATCCAATTAACTTAGTGAAACAAAAAATATATATATGAAATTTAAAATGAATATTAATATTTATTATTGTTATTATTATTATTATTATTATTATTAAAAATTATTTTCATTTCTTATGCTTTACTTGCTGAATTAAAGTTGCGTATTAAAAATGTTATACAAATTCTTTAATATTTTGTAATTTAAATTTTAGAATTAAAATAATTTAATAATAAATTAAAACGAGTTTAAATGCAATGCTATCAATAATAAAAACGATTTTTGTAGATTTTCAAATATTTTAACTTAATTTAGAAACAAACTTTATATTTTAATATAAATTTTTCTAAAAAATTTCTAAACCAAATAAAATTTCAATAATTTATTTTTAAATTAAATTAAATTGAAAAATACTTTCAATTAAATCTCAGATGTATGGAAATTAATTAATAATGAATATAAATAAATAATTGCGAATGAATTTATGTTTTATGTTTTTGAATTATAATAAAACAATATAAAAATTTAAAGTAATATTTTACAAAATAAAAAGGATTAAATTAAATACTTGAAGAAATAAATATTACTAATTTAACAATAATAAATAAAATTTAAAGATAAAAGTACAATTATTTTATTTATTTATTTATTTAGGTAGCATTTAAAAAATAAATTTATTTTATGGAGAACACTTTCAATTTTTGTAAATTGAAACTAATCTAATAGATCTCATCGATCTTTAGAATACTTTCTTTTGAAGATAGCAATGAAAAGCAAATCTTACAATCAGAAGATGTTTTAGTTTAGGTATGGTAGATGTTAAGTATTCATAATAATCTGAACCTATATTATCTTCAGTTATTATTTCTAATTATTTTAGTTTCAAAAGATATGAAAAGCCTTCTGATACTAGCTAATATCCTTTTTCACCCATATAGCTATTCTTTAAAGTTAACGATAATTTTTCTAAGTTTTAAAGACTCTAAAAGCCATCTTTGAAAGCCTATCCTCCTTAATACCCTAATCTGCAATCTCTTATTTAAATGGCAAGGTGTCTTAAACATGGTAACTTTTACAGATATGTCATAATAACTTCAATACCTTTACTCTCAATATTTCCAAATTCAAATCCTAAAGATAATTAAACTAATTTATTTTGAACTTCCAATTATTGAAACATTAGAGCCAAGTCTAATTTATCTTAAGGAGGATAAAAATATAATTTTAAATTTTTAAGATTTTTAATCTCCTTAAACTCTCTTCCAAATATTTTTATTTGATTTTAAAATTTAGCAAAATTTCGAAAAATTAAGGAAAGACTGCTTAAATTTTATAGCTTATTAAGACATTTCAAAAAAGAAGTTAAATTTAATGGCTCTATATTGCTTCCTTAAGATTCCACTGAAAAATTTAAGCTCTACAAATTCATTGAGTTTGAAATAGCAAGACTAAATTGGTCTAAGTATTCTTAAATTACAGTGTTTTTTTAAATGTTTAATTGAACATCCAAATTTGATATTTGATATAAAAATGAAATCTATTTATTTAGTTTGCTTATAAATTCTTGAGGAAAGGAGGTCGTTAGATTAATTATCAATTTTAAACTTTTTAAGTAACTCAATGTATTAGCTACTTTAAAAGTGTAAATATATTGATTGACATAATCTATCTTATCTATATTTAATGATAAGGATTCTAATTTTTCAATATCCTCATAACAAACATCTAAATTCATTTATTCTTTTATAATTTGACTAAATATTTTTTTATTTACTCCAAATTCTTCAAATGCATCAAACCTCTGATTTTCATTTTCTTGTTAATTACTTTATTCAACTCTAAGTGAAGTTGGCAACTAATTTAACTGACAGTCTACTCCGTTATTTTCTTCCTAACTCTATCCTTAGTTAATATTTTATTAACAATTCATCAACTTTAATACCTCTTTTTAAATAATATTGGTTATAATTCAAAAAAATATTTATAAAATCTATTTTATTATATCTTACTTTTATTATGTCAATTTCAGAATTTAATTTATAAATAATCTTTTTAGTTTTAATTAATTAAAAAATTTTTACTTCAAACAAAAAACTTTACTCAAATAAGCTTTTCATATTAATTAATATTCCAATAATTTATAATTAAAATATTTTTTTATTTCTAAAAGTTTTATCATCTTTGAATTATGAAAATTACTATTTAAAAATGATATTTTTACAAAATTATAAAGTATTTATCCTAAAATTTATTTGATGCAAAAATCAATACATGAAAAATTCCTAAAAAATAATAGCTACTAAATTATTACATAAATCTATAGTTTTAACACAGGAAATTATGGTGGTTATCATGGTTTATTTTAGAATTTCACAAACTGGTGAATGCTAAATAAAGCTATTTTAGACTTCTGACATTATTTGGAGTGTTTATTAATGAGGGTTTTTAAATTCTATTTTTTTATAATATATAAATATATTAATTACAAATAAATTTCATTAGAAAATTAAATATAAGAAATTTAAACAATAAAAAATAAATTAAAAAAAAAATGAATTAAACAAAGAAATAAATGTAGCTTGTAGTAAAAGAAAAATAAAACAGTTTACTTTAAAAAGACTAATGGTTATAAGAAGAGTAAATTGAAATAATAATTAATAGATTAACAACTAGTTAAATTTATAGAGACATAGAATTTTTTGAAATTAAGAAAAATTTCATAAGCTTTAGTGTATTTAATGAACAGTTTCAAAAATAGAACTTGGTAGTTTTTGAGAAGGGAAGTAAATGTAATTAAATTAACAAACTATTAATTAAGACTATTTAAATATTTATATTTTTAATTCATAAGAAGTTGATAATACAAACATACCACATTGCTACTTTTAGGAAGAGATCACAATTGATATTTCAATCAAAGAGTTTGATAAAGATTAATGTAATTTAATCTTCTCGAAAAATAAATAATAAAAAATAAAAATGTTTTTTAATTTTAATTGTATTTAATAGATTAAAAAACACAAAAAGTATATAGCCTTAAAGATGTAATTTTATTTAAAAAGAAAAATTCTATCTTTAATGTTAATAAAATTATTCATGTTATTTAAAGCTCGAGAAGATTTAGGATAATTAGGACTTCTAATTTGTTAAAATTATCAAATAATAAGTAGAGTAATATTTTTAAACAAAAGTATTTTCATTTATTAATTATAAAAGATTAGATAAATTAAAAAACGACCACCTACCACTCTGCACTAATTTAATTAAGTTTAGTTTAAGTATAACATTTTAATAGATTAAAGAAGAAGATGAATAAAATTTTCTTTTACATATTGCTGAGAGTCTTAAAAATTGTTATCATCTTAAATATATTGATTTATAGTTGTTATAAGGTTTTAATAAATATCAAATTGAATAGTTTGTAAATATTACAACTTAATTTGAAAACATTACAAAATATGTTTTGTCTCTAAGGTAATTTTTATTTATTTAACTTATAAGCAAAAAATTTTTAAAAAACTCAGTAATAATTAATATTTGAAAATTTAAATGCATTTTTAATCAAAAAACCTTAATTTGTTAGAAGTTTTGCAGTATTAAATAATATTCATAAATTTTATGACTAAATAAATTTATATTTTTTTTAAACTTAAATATATAGTTAGAATTAATTAGACTTAAATAGTCTTGAAAATATTGGAAATAGTTTTAGGAATTTCAAAAAGCTAAATAATTTCTAAACACATATTTGGTAAATATTTAATTTAAATTAAAAATAAATGAATGAATGAATTTAAAAAAGGTCTGATCATTTAAATCACGAAGGAGTAAGCAGATTTTACAGTTAAATTTCTAATATCAAGTCAATGAAGAAGCTCACGATTGATTTACAGTATTTTAATTTAAAATAACTATTTAACCTTCCTAATTTATTTTTATTTTAGGGAAAATAACATTTAAAGTTAAGGAGCTATTAATTTAGGTAAATGCTTAGAAAATTTGTAAGGTTTGACAAAACTCAAAATAGATTTATGGTATTTTAATATTAATTAAGATCTGTTTAAAAAATAAATGTTGTAAAATTATAGGGATAACTAAATAGAATAAGATGGGATAATTTATTTGGTTAATTAGATTTGTAAAATTTCATCTTTAAGGCATTTGACGTTTTTAATTTGGTATTATGAATTAAAAAAAATAATATTTTAACATATTTTATAATTTCAAAGGAATAATATTATCACCTATGAAGAAATAGCTAAAGCCTTGGAAAATTTGTCTTGCTCTTCAAGTATTTATCGCTTAGACCTAGTGATTTAGTAGATTTATTATTCCTTTAAAATTATATTTATAAATTAATCTTATTTATATAGATAGGATTCGTTGCAACCATCCAATATCAGTTAGATTGTTAGAACTTTAAGAAATTTTAGCAAAATATATTGGTTTTAAATAGATTTATTGTAATAATTCATTTTTTAATTTTATTTATATATTTCTATAATATTTTCTTTATGAATAATTAGTTCATATTAATTAAATGACGAAATCAAACTTTTACAGGCCATTAAAAAGAATAAAAGGCTAGTATACTTTAAGCAACTTGACGGACTTAAATATTGACTAAATATTTATTTATTTTGTTGGAGATTTATTTGTATATCTTAATGATTATCAATATTTATAATATATTTATTAGTATTAGTTCATATAAATTAAATGAGGATAAAAATTTTGTAGACAACTATAAATAATAAAAGACTAGTTTTCTCTAAGCAAGTTTACAGACTTAAATATTGGATACATATTTATTTATTTTACTTTAGATTTGTATATGTTCATTTTATATTTTTTAATTCTTTAAACTAAAGTATAATTTTACTCAATTAAATAACTTGAAAATTTTACATCAAATCCTTTTATATTGCTCATTTTTATAAAATAAAATTTTTTATTTTAAAAAGAATGAATATCATTTTAATAATATTAATTTATCATCAAGGGAAAAAAAAGGAGGTTAGTAAGGATTTTATTTTTGTCTTTTTAGATTTTGCCAATTTCCATATATTTTATTTTTATTATGGCTATTTCTGAATTTAATTTATAAACAATCTCCTTAGTTTTAATTAATTAATTAAAAAAATAATACTTCAAACAAAAAACTTTACTCAAATATACTTTTCATATAAATTAATATTCCAGCAATTTAGCAATAAAATATTTTCTCATTTCTATAATTTTATCTTTTTTGAATTAATGAAAATTACTTTTAAAAATATTATGACTTTTACTATAAATATCAAGTATTTATCCTAAAATTTATGTGATGCAAAAATTAATACATGAAAAATTCCTAAACAAGTAATAGATACTCAATTTTAATACAAATCTATAGTTTTAGCATAGGAAATTATGGTGGTTATCATAGTTTAAATTAGAATTTCACAAACTGGTGAGAGATTAATAAAACTATTTTAGACTTCTGAAAAATTTTGGAGTATTTATTGATGAGAGTTTTAAAATTTAATTTTTATAAACCGTTTTTATTTATTACAAATAATTTTCTTTAGAAAATTAAATAAAGGAAATTTAAACAATATAAAATAAATTAAAAAAAAAAATGAATTAAACAAAGAAATAAATGTAGCTTGAAGTAGAATAATAACAATACAGTTTATTTTAAAAAGACTAATGGTTAAATGAAGAGTAAATTGAAATAATAATTAATAGATTAACAACTAGTTAAATTTATAGAGACATAAAATTTTTTGAAATTAAGAAAAATTTCATTAGCTTTAGTGTATTTAATGAACAATTTCAAAAATAGAATCTGATAGTTTTTGAGAAGGGAAGTAAATGTAATTAAATTAACAAGCTATTAATTAAGACTATTTAAATATTTATATTTTTAATTCATAAAAAGTTGATAATACAAACATACCACATTGCTACTTTTAGGAAGAGTTCACAATTGATATTTCAATCAAAGAGTTTGATAAAGATTAATGTAATTTAATTTTCTCTAAAAATAAATAATAAAAATGTTTTTTAATGTTAATTGTATTTAATAGATTAAAAAGCATAAAAAATATATAGCCTAAAAGATGTAATTTGATTTAATATATAAAAAATCTTTAATGTTTATTAAATTATTGATTTTATTTAATTAAAGCTCAAGATTATATAGAATTATTAGGACTTCCAATATGTTAAAACTATCAAATAAGAAGAAGTGTAATAATTTTTAGCAAAAGTATTTTCATTTATTAATTATAAAAGATTAGATAATTTAATAAACGACAACCTATCACTCTGCACAAACTTAATTAAGTTTACTTTAATTATAACGTATAAATTGATTACTTTATTTTAAAAAAAGAAATTATTTTGGTTCAAAACACTTTTAATAATATAATAAGGGAAATCTAATTTACTAAAGAAGAAAATAAATAAAATTTTCTTTTACATATTGGTGAGTGCCTTAAAAATTGTTATCATCTTTAATATTTGGATCTCTAGTTGTTAACTAGAATTGATAGATATCAAATTGAATAGTTTATACATACTACAACTTAATTTGAAAATATAACAAAATATTTTTTGACTTTAAGGTAACTTTATTTAATTAACTAAGAAGCAAAATATTTTTTTAAAACTTAATAATATTTAATTTTTAAACAAATATTTCTAATTTATTTTTTAAGATATTGATTTGAATATAAGGAAGGAAAGTTTATTTTAAATTTCAAAATTCTTTAATTCTTTGTAAATAACCATATAATTTTATTATTTAATGATGATATTTTTTTAGAATAGAAAAAACTCTGAATAAAAATTGCGTTTTAAATAAGTAATTGCCTTTCCCCTTTAATCCAGCTAGATTTTATGCTTATTTGAAAGCTTAATTAATCACCATTTTATTCTTAAAAAAATTTAGGAGGGGAATGAATTAGTGAGAATTAATAAAGATTTAAAATATGTAATATCAATTGGAAATAATTTTTTCATCATTTTTAAAAAAATTTCTTATATTCTCATAATCACAGTAAATAAATTGATATTTTTTTAAACTAAAATATATAGTTAACTTTAATTAGACTAAAATAATCTTTAAAATATTGGAAACAGTTTTAAGAACTTCAAAAAGCTAAATAATTTCTAAATACATATTTGGTAATCATTTTGATAAAAATTAAAGATAAATGTTTGAATGAATTTAAAAAAGGTCTGATAAGTTAAATCACGAAGGAGTAAGCAAACTTTATAGCTAAATTTCTAATATCAAGTCAATGAAGAAGCTCACAATTGATTTACAGTATTTTAATTTAAAATAACTATTTAACCTTCCTAATTTATTTTTATTTTAGGGAAAATAACATTTAAAGTTAAGGAGCTATTAATTTAGGTAAATGCTTAGAAAATTTGCAAGGTTTGACAAAACTCAAAATAGATTTATGGTATTTTAATATCAATTAAGATCTTTTTAAAAATAAATGTTGTAAAATTATAGGAATAACTAAATAGAATAAGATGGGATAGTTTATTTGATTAATTAAATTTGTAAAATTTCATCTTTAAGGCATTTGACGCTTTTAATTTGGTATTTTAAATTAAAAAAAAATATATTTTAACTTATATTATAATTTCAAAGGAAGAATATTATCAACTATGAACAAATAGCTTTTGTTTTGGAAAATTTATCTTGCTCTTCTAGTATTTATCGCTTAGACCTAGTGATTGAGTAGATATATTATTCGTTTGAAATTATATGTATAAATTAATCTTATTATATATAGATAGAAATAATTGCAGCCATCCAATATCAGTTAAATTGTTAGAACTTTAAGAAATTTTAGCAAAATATATTGGTTTTAAATAGATTTATTGTAATATAATTTTTAAATTTTTATTTATTTCTATAATTTTTTCTTTATGAATAAATAGCTCATATTAATTAAATAACAAAATCAAACTTTTGTAGGCCATTAAAAAGAATAAAAGGCTAGTATACTTTAAGCAACTTGATGGAACTAAATATTGACTAAATATTTATTTATTTTGTTGGAGATTTATTTGTATATCTTCATGTATTATTAATTTTTTTATTTGTTAGGAATAGTTTAAATTAATTAAATGAGGATAAAACTTTTGTAGATAACTACAGTCTGTTCTTTTGAATAAGGTATTCTTTAATATAAAGTGATTTTTAATTAAAGTGAGAGAATTTTTAAAATAATTATTTTCAACTTGGCTCATTATAATTTCAACTAAAAAAAAAATTTAAAATGTAATATTCATAAAACTAAAATAAATGAGGTAATTTAAATTTTTTTTTAAAAAAAAATAAAAAAAGGTTTAAATGTATAAATTTAATAATTTTTATTTATTATATTAATTGTGAATGAATGTATGTGTTAAAAAATTTGAATTATAATAAAATAATATAAAAAATTTAAAATAGTATTTGATTAAATTCAATATTTGAAGAAATAAATATTATTTATTTAGCAATAATAAATACAATTTAAAGATAAAAGTGCAATTATTTTATTTATTTATTTATTTAGGTAGCATTTGAAAAATAAATTTGTTTTATGTAGCCTGCTTTCAATTTTTGAAAAGTAAAACTAATCTAATAGATTTCATCGATCTTTAGAATACTTTCTTTTGATGATAGCAAAAAAAAACAAATCTTACAATCAGAAGATGTTTTAGTTTAGGTATGGTAGATGTTAAGTATTCATAATAATCTGAACCTATATTATCTTCAGTTATTATTTCTAATTATTTTAATTTCAAAAGGTATGAAAAACCTTCTGATACTAGCTAATATCCTTTGTCACCCATATAACTAGTCTTTAAAGTTAACGATAATTTTTCTAAGTTTTAAAGACTCTAAAAGCCATCTTTGAAAGCCTATCCTCCTTAATGTCCTAACTCGCAATCTCTTATTTAAATGGCAAGGTGTCTTAAACATGGTAACTTTTACAGATATGTCATAATAACTTTAATACCTTTACTCTTAATATTTCCAAACTCAAATCCTAAAGATAATTAAACTAAATTATTTTGGACTTATAATTATTGAAACATTAGAGCCAAGTTTAATTTATCTTTATAATTGGGATAAAAATATAATTTTAAATTTTTAAGATTTTTAATCTCCTTAAACTCACTTCCAAATATTTTTATTTGATCTTAAAATTTAGCAAAATTTAGAAAAATTAAGGAAAGACTGCTTAAATTTTGTAGCTTATTAAGACATTTCAAAAAAGAAGTTAAATTTAATGGCTCTATATTGCTTCCTTAAGATTCCACTGAAAAATTTAAGCTCTGCAAATTAGTTAAGTTTGAAATAGCAAAACTAAATTGATCTAAGTATTCTTAAATTACAGTGTTTTTTTTAATGTTTACTTGAACTTCCAAATTTGATATTTGATATAAAAATGAAATCTATTTATTTAGTTTGCTTATAAATTCTTGAGGAAAGGAGTTCCTTAGATTAATTATCAGTTTTAAACTTTTTAAGTAACTCAAGGTATTAGCAACTTTAAAAGTGTAAATATATTGATTGACATAACCTATCTTATCTATATTTAATGATAGGGATTCTAATTTTACAATATCCTAAAAACAAACATCTAAATTCATTTATTCTTTTATAATTTGACTAAATATTTTTTTATTTACTCCAAATTCTTCAAATGAATCAAACCTCAGATTTTCAGTTTCTTGTTAATTATTTTATTCAACTCTATCTGAAGTTGAAAATTAATTTAACTGGATGTCTATACTGTTATTTTCTTCCTAATTCTTTCCTTAATTAATATTTTACTGACAATTCATCAACTTTACTACCTATTTTTAAAGAATATTAGTAATAATTCAAAAAAATATTTATAAAATTTATTTTATTAGACCTTAGTTTTATTATGGTTATTTCAGAATTTAATTTATAAATAATCTCTTTAGTTTTAATTAATTAATTAATCAAAAAATCTATATTTAAAACAAAAAACTTTACTCAAATAAGCTTTACATATTAATTAATATTCCAGCAATTTAGCAATAAAATATTTTCTCATTTCTAAAAGTTTTATCTTCTTTAAGTTATAAAAATAATTTTTTAAAATATTATGACTTTTACTAAATTATCAGTTATTTATTCTAAAATTTATATGATGCAAAAATCAATGCATAAAATTTCCTAAAAAATAATAGCTACTCAATTATAACACATATCTATAGTTTTAACACAGGAAATTATGGTGGTTGCCATGGTTTATATTAGAATTTCACAAAATGGTGAATGATAAATAAAACTATTTTAGACTTCTGACAAAATTTGGAGTGTTTATTAATGAGGGTTTTAAAATTCTATTTTTTTATAATCTATCTATATTAATTACAAATAAATTTCATTAGAAAATTAAATAAAAGAAATTTAAACAATAAAAAATAAATTAAAAGAAAAAATGAATTAAAGAAAGAAATAAATGTAGCTTGTAGTAAAAGAAAAATAAAACAGTTTAGTTTAAAAAGACTAATGGTTAAATGAATTGTAAATTGAAATAATAATTAATAGATTAACAACTAGTTAAATTTATAGAGACATAGAATTTTTTGAAATTAAGAAAAATTTAATTAGCTTTATTGTATTTAATGAATAATTTCAAAAATAGAACTTGGTAGTTTTTGAGAAGGGATGTAAATGTAATTATATTAAAAGGGTATTAATTTAGAGTATTTTATATTTTATTTTTAATTCATCAGAAATTGATAATACAAAAATACCATGTTGCTACTATTAGGAAGAGTTCACAATTGATATTTCAATAAAAGAGTTTGATAAAGATTAACGTAATTTAATTTTATAGAAAAATAAATAAAAATATTTTTTAATGTTAATTGTATTTAATAGATTAAAAAGCACAAAAAATATACAGCCTTCAAGATGTAATTTGATTTAATATGTAAAAGATCTTACATGTTTATTAAATTATTGATATTATTTAATTAAAGCTCAAGATGATATAGGATTATTAGGACTTCCAATTTGTTAAAGCTATCAAATAAGAAAAAGAGTAATAATTTTTAGCAAAATTATTTTCACTTATAAATTATAAAAGATTAGATAATTTAATAAACGACAACTTATCACTCTGCACAAGCTTAATTAAGTTTACTTTAATTATAAGGTATAAATTGATTACTTTATTAAAAAAAAAAATTAAATTAGGCCAAAAAACTTTTAATAAATATAATAAGGGATATCTAATCTATTAAAGAAGAAGATAAATCAAATTTTCTTTTACATATTGGTGAGTGCCTTAAAAATTGTTATCATCTTTAATATATGGATATCTAGTTGTAAACTAGAATTGATAAATATCAAGTTGAATAGTTTATACATACTACAACTTAATTTGAAAATATAACAAAATATATTTTGACTTTAAGGTAATTTTATTTAATTAGCTAAGTAGCAAAATATTTTTTTTTAATTTAGTAAAAATTAATAAGTATTTCTAATTTATTTTTTAAGATATTAATTCGAATATTAGGAAGGAAAGTATAAATTAAATTTCAAAATTCTTTAATTCTTTTTAATAGCCATAAAATTTAATTATTTAAAGAGGATATTTTTTTAGAATTGAAAATACTTTAAATAGAAATAATCAATTGGAAATAATTTTTTCATCCTTTTTTTAAAAATTTATTATTTTCATAATCAGGTAAATAAATTTATATTTTTTTAAAATTTAAATATATAGATCACTTTATTTAGACTTAAATAATCTTTAAAATATTGGAACCAGTTTTAAGAACTTCAAAAAGCTAAATAATTTCTAAACACGTATTTGGTAATCATTTTTATTAAAACTAAAACTAAAAATAAATGAATGAATGAATTTAAAAAAGGTCTGATGATTTAAATCATGAAGGAGTAAGCAGACTTTATAGCTAAATTTCTAATATCAAGTCAATTAAGAAGCTCACAATTGATTTACAGTATTTTAATTTAAAATAACTATTTAACCTTCCTAATTTATTTTTAATTTAGGTAAAATAAAATTTAAAGTTAAGGAGCTATTAATTTAAGTAAATGCTTAGAAAATTTGCAAGGTTTGACAAAACTCAAAATTGATTTATGGTATTTTAATTTCAATTAAAATCTGTTTAAAAAAATAAATGTTATAAATTTATAGGAATAACTAAATAGAATAAGATGGGATAGTTTATTTGGTTAATTAGATTTGTAAAATTTCATCTTTAAAGCATTTGAAGTTTTTAATTTGGTATTATAAATTTAAAAAAATATATTTTAACATATATTATATATAATTTCAAAGGAAAAATAGTATCAAATATGAACAAATAGCTTAAGCTTTGGAAAATTTATCTTGCTCTTCTAGTATTTATCGCTTAGACCTAGTGATTGAGTAGATATATTATTTAATTTGAAATTATATTTATAAATTAATCTTATTAAATATAGATAGAAATAATTGCAACCATCTAATATCAGTTAAATTGTTAGAACTTTAAGAAATTTTAGCAAAATATATTGGTTTTAAATAGATTTATTGTAATAATTCATTTTTTAATTTTATTTATTTATTTCTATAATTTTTTCTTTATGAATAATTAGTTCATATTAATTAAATGACGAAATTAAACTTTTTTAGGCCATTAAAAAGAATAAAAGATTAGTATACTTTAAGCAAGTTGACGGACTTAAATATTGACTAAATATTTATTTACTTATTTATTTATTTTGTTGGATATTTATATGTATATCTTAATGTATTATTAATTTTTTTATTTGTTAGGAGTAGTTGAAATTAATTAAATGAGGATAAAACTTTTGTAGATAACTAGTATCTTGTAAGCAAGTTGACAGACTTAAATATTGAATACATATTTATTTATTTAACTTTAGATTTTTATTTGTTCATTTAATATTTTTTTATTCTTTAAACTAAAGTTTAATTTTACTCAATTACATAATTTAAAAATTTTATATCAGATCCAAAAACAACATTCACTCCAACACATATTGAATTCTCTGGTTTAAAAAAATTGCAAAAATTTCACCTTTAAAACTTTATAGATTAAATAACGAAGTTTTTTTAATAAAGCAATTAATTTTTTTATATAAAAAATTACAAAGAATGTACAATTTATTTGTAAATAGATTAACCTTCTATAAATTTATAAATTTTTTAATGATTTTTTTCATTTTTTAAATAGTCTCTGAATTTTTTTAATTAAACCAAATCTTGTAATAAATCAATAATTTATAGTCATAAAGTTTTTGATTTGGTGTATTTTAATTCAATACATATTAAATAAATTTCGCCTTTTAGCAGTCATAAAAATGTTTAACCATAGATAGATAGATAGATAGATAGATAGATAGATAGATAGATAAATAATATTAGAAATAAAAGTGTTAATTTATAATTTTAATTAAAAAAAAATTAATTAATTAAGGTTATTTAAAATGCTTAAAAATTACACTAATATATTTTTATTTATTTATTTAATATAAATTTTACAATATTGAATTAGGTTTAATTTAATTAAAAAAGTATTTTTGTTAATAAATTATCTCATTCAAATAAAGTTGTGTTGATTAGTTAAAGTTATTGAATGTTTTCGATTTTATTTTCTATAGGGAAAGTAACTTTTTTATTTTTAGCAGCATCTATATATAAGCGGATAAAGTGGTCATATTGTACATCGGTAAAGCTTTCTAATTCTATAAATTAGGCTACGTCTAATTTTGTACCTAAGACTTTAACCATTTTTTCAACTTCATTTAAGTAATGGTTTTTTATAGATTTTAATTCCCATAAGAAAGATTCTTAGGCCTAGCAATTATCTAAATCTTTTTAGTCAGGGATAAAGCAATCTTATATTTTCTCTTTCAATTCTTGAGTATCAAGCATGGCAACCAATGTAGGGTTCCTAAACAAATATTTAAAAAAAACTTAGTTTAGCTAAATAGAATAGAATTTGATTACTTTTTTATAATGTTGATGGTTAATGAGACAGCCCATAAAAGGATGTTTGGAGGATGGACCATAGCGACTCTCAATATTTTTTTGATGAAAGATGATAATATTTTATGAGAGAGTTTAGTTGTTTTTAAAGAGGTTTCCACTAATTTTAAGAACTTAGGAGTGTGAGAAGTTAAGAAAATAGTTTAGTTTCTTTAGTTAGCTTTCTCGTTTTGATCGAAAAGAGAGAAGAGCTTATGGTAATATTTAGGATATTCAAGTTAATGTTTACCAATTAAAATAAATAACTAAGACAAACTTATAATTTGCATATTGAAATCTTTTGTGCTATCAAAAACATCCTTTTTTATTATAAAAAATTATATCAATCAATTTCCAAAACAAAATGCTTTTAAATTTCATTACAACTAAGAAATTAGCGAGGAGAAGAGGATCTTCCATCTTATGGAATATATATTTACTGAAACCAGATATAAAATTTAGTAAAAGTTATTAATTATTGCTTTATTTTAACTTCTAAATAATCGAAAATATAAATTCAGAGAAGCTGTCTTTCCACTTTCTTAAATATAATTCTTAATCGATTTCTGGTTTTTCAATTTATTTACCATCTCTATCAATATCGTAAGCAGCTTTACGTTTGATCAAATCAACTTTTTTCCTAATTCAAAAGAAGTTTCATAAGTAAGATAACAAATGATGAATGAATGAATTAATTAATTTACTTCTAAGCTTCTAATTGAAGAAATAGGGAGTTGAATTCTAAGTTTTCAAGTGAAGGAATGTATTAAGTGAATGTAATAATATTTTATTGCATATCAATATCTGTAGAAGAGGTTTTCTTTGTAATTTTTGATAGTATTTTCAATATAGCAATTGAAAAATCAGGATAATTTTAGATATATTCAATAAGCACAAAGAGAATGTCATCAAATTTATCTATTTCACTAATAATGCTAAACATAATATCATAAAGCATAGTTTAGTCAGAATAATCCATATTTTATGAATTGCGAATGCTTTCAAAGTGGTAGCGAGATAACTCAAAAAGAACTCTTAAACTCAATTCCTATAAATAAATATTATAAAATAAATAAACAAAAATGATTTAAATTTTACCTTGATGTTCTCTCCAATACGAGTAGAGAAAATATTTGATTTTAAAATTTCAACGTAGGCAATAAACTTCTTTTTTAAAAATTCTTAGAAAACTTCATACTAAGTGTTATTGACTTAGATTTCAAAAGATGTCAAATCCTTAAATTCTATAAGCTTCTTTCCTTTAATGAAGAGCTTAAATACCTTTCTTAAATACTTAATTGCTTCTTCTTAATCGCCTTGATCGTTAGACTTTTAATAGTATTGAAATTAAATGACTTAAAATACTATTCTGATTAATTTAAAAGAGTTGCATATTTGATAATAAATTAAGTAATTAATTATGTCAAAAGAATAATTCATATTTACGAGTGCAAATTTAAGCAAATCATTAATTTTATTTAAATCATTCTTCTAAGTTATAATGTCTTGGCATATTTATTTCATGTCGGTGCTCATTTCCCTTTAATTTACTTATAAAATAATTCTATGCTGCTTGTTTGTTGAATTCTACTTTCTGAAATTCGATTAATTTATAGATTTTATTTGTTTATTTATTTATTAAAGCAATATTCTTTAATAGGTTTTTGTTCAAAGAACTCTACTTACTTGAAGCTATCTAATATTTCTTGGTTTTAGATTAATCTTTTAACAGATCTTATTTTGGTTTATAATTAATTTGGATTTAATTTTGCTTCTTTTTATTTATCAAAAAATTTGATATGTTTCAATCAATTTTTATTTTTTGTTTTTCAATCAATTCTACTTGCTTATTTCTTTGTTTTTTTATTTCTTATTGCAGATAATAAATTATCATTTTGCTTGGATTATTTAATGTATTTCTAAAATATATCTTTCTTTCTTTATGAATCTTTATTAAACAAACATTTTCTGCACAATTATTTATTTAATTTAGATTATTTTTGAATTATTTTTAAAGATTAAATGACAGATATTTATATTCCTGCTGAAGATAACACATAAACCAAATTCAAACCAGATCCATTTTTCAATAATTTTAAGACTAAAACAGTTTAAAATTCCTATAGAAAAGCTGAATAATATTTAGGGTGGAACTGCACGGGAAATATCATAGCAACAGCTTCAAATAAAATTAGATTATTCAGATTAAATAATTCTAGTTTCGAAGTTGACAAAAATGAGCAAAAATTTCATGATTCATAAACAGACTATTTAAGCTGGCATCCAACCAACCCTGATTTAATGGCATATATTACAACAAAGTAGCCAATTTACTATATTTGGGATATAAGAGAGAAGAATCCTAGAAAAATTTCAAATAAAGTCCAACCAGATAACTTGAATGTAATATTCTCTCCTGATGGAAACACAATTGCTTCATGTAAAATTTTAAGTCTAATACAATAGAATTTATAGCTAAAAAATACATAATGCTAGTTTGTTAGAATATATATACAGATAGTTATAAATTATCTCCCTAATTGCCATTGATTTAATATATAAAAATTTGCTTACTCGATGAGTATCTTTAAAGATAATTTGTTTTTAATGTACACTAAATAGGCAGCAGGGATAATAAACTCTCTTTTTTCGATTTGAGAAAAGAAGAAGAAATATTTACAGCAACATTTGACTTTGATATAAACGAATTTCAATGGGATCCTTCTGGTTCTGTAATTATGATAGTAGGAAATCAGTAAGTTTTTGATTAAGTAAAATAACCATTCTTACTAACTAGACATAAAAATTATAATATGCAGAAACCAATCAGGAATTCTTCATGTCTGTGATGGAAAGGATTACTCCAAGGCCAATATTGATTTATTAGAAAAAATTCATGTAGATTGTCATAGGTATCATATATAAATTTTGTTTAGAGAGGATAAAATAAATATATAATTTTTAATAAACAATTCAGTATGAAAATCTAGTGTATAGATGTAGATCCTAAAGGAAAATATTTCGCTACAGGTTCTACAGACACCTTAGTAGGTTTATGGGATCAATCTGAATTTGTAATGCTTAAAACATTTAGTCAATCCGATAATCAAATTGAAAGACTAAGCTTTTCTCATGATGGATAATTACTTTCTTCATTGTGTGGAGACAAAACAATATAAATTTATAATTGCACTTCTGGTAAAAAAAAATTTTCTTTGTTTAATATAAAAATATTTTTTTCATTCCACATTATTCATAAAAGAAATCTACTAGTTAAGCATAAATTATTCAAAAGAATCTTTGAAATTTTTAATATAATTTAAAATTAAAATTAATTGCTTACTATATTTAATTTATAATTAATTTTAAAATTAAAAACTGTTTTGATTTTAGATTTAAACGTTTTAGTTTTAAATTAAAATCAAGGATTATTATTTCATTTTTAAAATTGGTGATAGTCTTCATCATAAGTGAAAAATAAATAGAGAAAATAATTTTTGACCATTTTCTATCATCAAACTCTTAATATTCCAAAAAATCATGGTCAAAAATGGATAATCAGACAATTTTGATTACCAAAAATCCTGATAAAAATTTAGATGAATTTTAATATTTTATACTTAAATTGCCTATTAAAATATTATTTTTTGGCTTCATATCATTTATCTTCTATTATGCTTAATAATATGCTTCTAATAATTTTGGCAATTTATTTTGTATTTTTCTTTAGAAATTAGTTGAGATATATCCTCTACGACCAGATTTTAATATATTTTAAAACTATTTATCTTATTTCTTCTGCATTATTAATATAAATATAAGAATATTCTAATAATAACGTTTATTATTTAAGTATTTGAAGGTTAAATCTTTTACAAGAATTTAATATTATAAATTAGTAAAAGTATTAACAATATTTTGACTGTATTTCAGAGTATTAATTAGTTTTACTTTAAATTTTTAATTATATTTTTTCTTAATAAAATTTTAGTTTATTTTTATGCTAATTTAATTTTTTATACCATCATATAATATCAATACAAATTAGAGTTAATAATTTTATTGATTGTGTTTAGATTTAATTTAAAAAACAGCAAAAACCTTTTTATTTATTACTTTGAATATATATGAAAATAGAACAATAAATAATTTAAATTAATTTATTTGCTATTTTTTTAACTAATTAAAAAATAAAATAGGAAATCTTGTTAATATTATTGAGAGAGAAAATACTATCCATAATTTATAATGGCATCCTCGTGAATATATTTTAGCTTATTTATCAGATGATAAAGTAGATAATGAAGGCAATCTTCGTTTATATGGTGCTTTTTGATTTATTATAAAACGTTCATTATCATGTTATAAAATTGTTTACTTGTTTTTTATTTGCTATTCACTTAAAATTATTTTACAATATTTTAACTAGAAATTAACTTATGAAATAATCCGCGTAATTTTTTTTAGCTTGCTTTATTTTTTTGTTTATTTGCTTGTTTTGTGTCTAATAAACAATCAAAATTTATTTGTTATATTTTAACAAGTAAATTTTACCAAGCTAATTTAATTTTATAATAATTCAATATCTCAAAAAAAAAAAAATTTGATCAATTTTTAGGTAGCTCTTAGCGTAAATAAGCAAATGGCAGATTTTGATTACGATGAAGAAGAACAAGATTTTGAAAACTACGATGAAGACGTTTACAACGAAAACATCGAAGTGAAAAAAATAATTCCTCCAAACGATTTTAAAAGAAAACTGTTGGCATGCACAAACTGCTATTTCATATTAACTCAAGAATAGGTAATAAATTAATTTTAAAATGAAAAAGTTAAATAAAAATGACGAAATAAATAAAATGAAATAGTGGAGAGATTATCAAAATTGTCCTAACTGCGATGTATCTAGCAATAATCCTAAACCAACTGCAAAGTTTACAGGGTAATTTATTTTAATAGTTTTTAGAATATGAATATTAACTATATATATTGGAAATTTTTATAAGTATTACATGCATCACTGATCCAGCAAAAAGTTGGTAGACAAACAGAATGAGAATAGTCAAAAGAAAAGGTAATAATTAGAATATTCTAAACAAAATACGTTCTATATTTATTTTTCAATTAATTAATTAAAGATGTAAAAGTTCCTGGAGCTTATGCAGTCAATATAAACGAAGATTATGATTATTAATAAGACACCTTTGAATGAGATAAACAAACTAAACATATAAAATTTTTACTAAGTTTTTACCCTGTTAATATAAACAATCTAAATAATTAATTGATTTTTTAATATGTTTTGTAATAATAAAATCATATTAATTCATTCAATTCTAATTGATAATAATTAAACTCTACATGAAAATTTTCATTATTTACAAAAGAAATTTCTCATTATATTTCAATTATAAAATAGGTCTTTATAATTATTTAAAAATAGAGTTTTTCTTAATTCATTTTTTTAAAGCTTTTTTAAACAACAAGAATTATATCAATAAATTAATTTGATTTTAAATAATTCAGTTTTTAAAATCTAATTTAAAATAATTTATTTTAATGCATTATTCAATATAAATAAAAAGTTAAAATAATTAACTCAGTAAGTAAGTAATTAACTAACTAACTAAGCAAATAGTTGAATATAACTTTTTGAACAAATATATTATAAGAATACATCAATTATAAATAACACAAATTCATAAATATAAAATTTTAAACTAATCACTTTCAAAAAGCATCACTAATAATCTTTAAACCTAATTTAGAAACAGCATTTTTCATTTTCTTTTGGTGAGCTTTTTTATTTTAATAAAATGAAATAAATACGATTTGCATTAGTGTAATAAAATACATAAAATTAATTATAATTGATAATATAAAAGTGTTTAATTTTATAATTAATTACCTCCTTTGCATTTATAGTAACCTGTGAAATTACCTCCTACTAATATTGTATTTATCATGCTAAGTGTGAACTACATTTTGTTAAAATTATTATTCTCTTTAATTTACTTTTTGTTAAAATTTTTAATTTTACATAAAATGGACTGATGGCTAACAGATTAATAATGCAGCATAGAATCCAGAAAACTAAAGCACCAGTTTATGAAAACCAAAAGAAACCAGAATCAATTGCATTAGGAGGTACTCCATCTTCGTAACTTTCGAATCTCCATTATTCAGTACCATCTTCATTAATTTCACTCCACCATCTCAACTTAACGAGGAATCTAAATTTTAATTAAAGAATCAAATTAAAATGGTCTATTTTATTTTTTTTCATTTTGGACACTTCTAAGGTCAATTAATTTGCTCATTAAAAGTAGCAACGTTTTTAAAAAAGTAAAAAAGGACTAATTTAGAAAAAAAAAAAAATTAAGTATTATTTGTTTGCAATTAATTCCTCTATTTCAACAAATTTCATTAATAAAATTCTTGATCTGCAGAATATAATTATTGGTTTATTTACCTGCCAGTAAGATTTTTGACAACCCAGAAGTCAAAGGCAGCTGAGAGAACAATAATAACAAATGGGAATGTTTTATTAGTATCAAAGAAATCAAAAACAAAGGAAGTTAATAGTAAGGTTGTAATCGAAGATGCTTTGAATAATAATTATAATATGCACATTTTAGGATGAGATGCTTAACTAAGATAAGATGTTTCACCTACTCTTACAGTTTTTGAATAATCAGGAAGAGATTCAGCAGGGATTGTAATAGTTTGCTTTTATTTTTGAAGCTATTGCTATTATTGGATTTTTGCATCGCTATCAATGGATTTTTTTGCTTATTAAGAATTATCATCCATAGAGATGTTAAAATCTAAATTTTAATCTCCATGATCAGTTTCTTCTTAAAAGGGCTAAAATTTATCTGCCTATTTATTTAATAAAAACATTTTAACATATTTATAACTATACTGATTGAAATTTTCCTAAAGCTAATTCAAATACTGTTTACCATTCTATCTTATTCTATCGTGAAATGAAAATATTTTTATGAGTAATTAATTGATATTATCCTGCTCTTTTTTTTAGAGTTGCGAAATATATTAATAAATTTGAGTAGAAAAAAAATTAATTATCCAAACAATTTATTTAATTATTAATCAATTGATAGTACTTTGAGAAATTTATAATTACCTTTTCACTTCTATTTTTATTACACGAATTAATATCATCATTAAATCTGATAGCCTTTAATTCATTATTTGAAATCAGCTTGTTTTAAACATACAAAATTCTTTTGCTATTTCAAATATTTCTAATTGATGAATTTTGTCTAAAAAAAATTTAAAAATCAATTAAAAATAATTAATTTAGATTTAAAAATCTTAGATTACATTAATATCTAAAATAATATTTTATTTATTTATTTTTAAGAATTAAACGATGTTCTTTCTTAGCTGTTTTAAACATTTTTCTAAATATTAAAAGCTTTATTTGGTTAACAATTTAAAAATGAATTAAAGATAATTAACTTAAGAAAATTTCCATAAATTTCTTTAAAGTTGTAAAGGTTTAATAGTCTTAAAATTTTTAAGTTTATTAACTTAAGAAATTTTCCATCCATTTATCATCTAAAATAATATTTTATTGATTTATTAATTTAATAATCTAGCAATATTTTTGTCAATTTTTAACAAATTTCTTTAAAGAAGTAATAATTTCATTTGTTTTAAAATTTAAAAAATCAATAAAAATTATTAAAATAAGACATTCTCATTGTTGCTAAAATTATATTTTATTGATTTATTTAATAGCCTAAGAATATCTTTGTCAATTTTTTAAAAAAATTTTAAATAAGCAAAAGTTTTAATTGGATTAAAATTAGAAAAATCAATTAAAAATTATTAAATTAAGAAATTTTTCATAATTTAGCAAACTAAAACATTATTTAATTTTATTTATTTATGTTTAGAACCAAGCAATATTTTTATCAGTTTTTTCATTTTCAGACTTTTTTAAATAATTAAAAGTTTTAATAGCAAAATAATTTATTTTTTTATTTATTAAATCTGACTAAATAAGTAGAAATTAAGATATTTTTGTGTTTACAAAATAATATTTATTTTTCAAAGCTTCTTTTGTAAAATGTAAGCAACATATAAAGTCTTCTTTTCTTCAAATTCTTAAAAGATTCTAGTGCCTTTAAGTCCACTGAACTTTCTAAAAAAGGGCTTTAAGACTTTATTATTTATAATATTTTAATATGAAATTTATATCTAAATAGTAAATATTATTTACGCTTAGAAACATTTCCTTCAATTAAACTGGATCTTCTCTTTTCATCTTATTTTAAGCTTTAAAGGACATTTACTGTGATGTCTTCACTCTTAATTACTTACTAATGTTTTTAAAAATACAGATTAAATTAATTTTTGTTGTTGTCGCCTTCTAATTTTTCATATTTACGAAATAAGGTAAGGACTTGAAGTAAGTATCGAGTTATTAACATTCTAATTCAGTACGGAAATCTGTGAAACAGAAGAAACCACCAGGTTTTAAGGCTCTATTTATTTATTAAATGAACTAGTCGAAATTTCCATAACAGTGGCTACTTTCAACATTGATAGCTACATCAAATGAATTTTCTTAAATTTCAGGAATTTAATCTAAGGCTTAGCTATCTCCCTAAAATTTTAATAAAATAGATTAATCCAACGTCATTCATACTAATTTTAATAAATCTTAATATTTTACTTTGAAGAATTAGAGTTTTTTGTTTTAGGAATAGTGGTGTCTGCAGAATCTAATTTAATTTTCAGAGAAATCAACACCAAAGCATTCTTGAGGATTTAAGTATCTTGAGATGTAATTTAAACCACCACCTCTGCCGCTACCGACTTCCAAAACTCTCAAACCATTTAAGTTCTTAACTGAACCAAATTCTTTTTTATACAAAATAAATTCACAATTATACAATATAATTTGATAAATGTAATTAGCTATTAAAATGAAATAATTTTATTTCACATATTATTAATCAATAAATAAATCATTTTATTTACAGGTAGCAATGTAGTGATAAAGTTGTAAACAGAATCTTTCATCTTCATCTTCAGCTTGTAAGTTTTAGATAAGATGACCATTTCCACTCAAAACAGAATATCCGTAATTCATGGCCTTCCATTAGGTGCTGGGATAAAGTAAACACATGGTGTTGTAAATGAGACTCCACATGAATTTTCTAGGTCTTTCAGACTTGTAGAAAACCCAATCATATGCCTTGTAGTAGGCTTATTAAAAGGGAGAACCAAGCTATTTATTTACAATATTAAGAATTAATTATACCAAAACTCAATAAATGTAGCATTATAATTTTTGTTTTAAATAAAGCTTATGTGGTATTATTGAAGCTATTTATATTATGCTTAGATTTAAGCAATAGTAACAAAATAAAATAGTTAATGCGAAATATGTATGGTATTTTATAGTTGCTTTACATTAGTGAATTTGACCAACAAACCTAAAATAAGGAGGATAGGGGAGGTGATTATAAGCAAAGGAATCCAAAAAATGGAAGTGACTATGATTAAAGCCAAGGTGATAACAACTACCAAAGCTACGGCAACAATGCTAAGAATGAGCTGTCTTTTACTAAAATTAATATCGTCCATTTAATAATTATGGCTATTTTATTTACTTTTTGTTTTAAAATTCTGAAAATTTTAATTATTAATTATTTGATTTTTTAGATTTTTCCTTGAATGTAAATAACAAACTTTCAATATTTGATAATAGTTTAGGGCTGTATCTAACTAATTGTTGTCATCAAAAAGATATTTTTAATATCTGCAGCTAGCATCATAATGTTGGTATATTTTATCTTAATGCATATTATAAATTAAAATATATAGAAACAAGATCTTGCGCAATAGATTAAGCTATTGCGTATGAATCTACTAAAAATACTTATGCATATTATTTATGAGTATTGCAAAGTCTCAGCATCATCTGAGCTCTTTTAGTTGAAGAAGCAATTTTTTTAGCTGTTTCATCATCAATTGTTTAAAATAAAAAAATTACTTGTTTAATTAAATCTAGCATTATTGGCAGTATCAGTAAAATATTTATTTATTTTAAAATATTCTTAAAAATAAAAGAAATAAATTAATTATTTGATTATAAACAAATAGTTTTAATAAATATTTACTAAAAATTTATAAGTCATCTTTTATCTTTTGTTCAATTTGAATATGATCGTTACAAATTAATAATAAAACTAGTGATTAATTTATAATATTAAACTAAATTTATTCATTAATTTTTGTTACTTAAAAAACATATTTTTCTTTTTTAAATTTTTAATACTTTGAATAAATTATTTTCAAATAAGTGAAACCCTAAAAAGGTTTTTTTTTTATAATTTTTTATTTTAAGTTGATTTATTTCTTGAAGATTTTATTTTATGTAATAAAAAATTTACATTTTTAGTTAAATTATTGTTTGTCTCAGTAAAAAATATTTATTTAATTATGAACAAATAGTTTTAATAAATATTTGCTAAAAAATATAAATCTTCTTTAATATTTTGTTCAATTTGAATATGATGGTTACAAATTAATCATAAAATTAGTGATTAATTTATAATACTAAACTAAATTTATTCATACATTTTTGTTACTTAAAAAACATATTTTTCTTTTGAAAATTTTAATACTTTGAACAAATTTTAAAAATGTGAAATCCAAAAAAAAAATTTTTTAATTTAATTGTTTTTTATTTGGATTCGAAAGATTTCTTAAGATTTTAAATTTATTTATTTTAAGTTTTTATTATTTGTTTTGAAATTAAAAAATACTTTAAAATTGTTACAAAATTAATGTTTGTAATAACAATAAAAAATTAAATTTTAAGTTGGTATTAAAAAGATATGAAACAGACAAAATTAAACAATTTTTAGCTGAAACAATAATTTGTATAGCTAATTTAAGCTTTATGATATCGGATCTGTTATCATAAAATTATAAAAAATCTAGTGAAATCAATATTGGGCATAGTAAGTTTATTGGGGATATCCAACGCTGACAGCGGAATTAATAACTCTAGCATGGATAGGGGTACCAATAGGAGCAGTTGATTTAATAGATTTAGTAATTTGTTGAATAGATTCGACTTCTCTGGGAGATCTAACAAGGTAACTAACAGTGGTAGTTTAATGGGGCTTAATGTAATCGGAATAGGGTTCTTCTTATGGGACTTTAACACCCTTAAGGAGGCAAAGAATAAGAATAACTAATAAGAAACCTAAAATAGCACCAACAATGATGAAGGGAATTCTATAGTTGTTGTCAAGGGTAAGCTCAGAGGGAACAAAACCATGAGAAGGAGCCATTGAAATGAGCTTCTTGTCGAAATTGTAAATAGAGTAGTAGTTTTGTAAGAAAGAGGTACCGAAATGGAAGTCCTTTGTTTCAGAGTTATCAGCGGAAGTAATGAGGAGCAAGCATTAACCAGATTTAGCACCACCATTAATCTTTTCAAGATAGTCACTGGGTTAAATGGTAAATTTAACGCTGTTATTTTCAGTGGTTTTCTTAGAAGGATCATTAATAAAAGAGAAAATGAGAGGAACATAAGTGCTAGAACTGCTTTCACAGTCGCAAATATAGTTACCAGATTAGTCAGCACTGCAACCATTGAAAGAGAAGATTTATTTATTTAATCTTTGGAATACAACCAAGGGTAAAACAATATATTTGGATGTGCTGTCGAAGTAAACAGTGTTAAGATTGCTTGTTGCTTTATTAATTAATAAAAAATATTTTAATTTTTATAATTTTTTATAAATAAAATGGCTGTTTATTATTTTTAACTTAAAATAATTCCTCTTAAATTCAAAATATTTTAAATATTTGAATCAGACAAATAACTAAAGCTATCTTTTTATGAAAGCATGAATGAGGAAATTTATTTAAATTAATTCATGCGGCTTTAATAGTTATTGCCTTTTGAAGCTAGCTTGATTCTATTAACTAACTTATATGTTTTTATTTATTTATTTATGTTTGCTTTTTGTAAAATTTGGTGAATGTATGTTTGTTTATTTCTTACATTGAGCATCAGGAAGAGTGCTATCAACAGTTGAGATGTCTTTTAAGCCCTTAGCGTTAATGTAAGGTCCAAGGGTAACACCGAAATTAATTTGTCCTTCTTCGTCTTCAGTAACTTTGAAAGTTTAGAGATCTCCGTTTTGGAAGAATTTTTCATTCTTACCAATCAACAACTAAGTATTTACGAAATTAAATTCAATATTTTTGTTAAAATTTCAATAAATTTTTTGAAGAAATTTTGCAAATATCTTTTGTGAAGTTAAATAAAAATTTTTTAACTGAGTCAATCACTGATTGATTGATAGATAAATAGATTAATTCATTTATTCGTTCACTAAGTGAACTCTTTTAGCCAATAAAAAGAAAAAACTCAATTTAATTTGTCTTTCTCAAATTATGGCAATTTGCAATGATGATAAAAAGATTTCTGCATGTTGGAATGCGATAAATTAAAGAAATTTAAGTTATATTTTCTTACTCTACCCATTTCTTAGTTGAAGAATAAAGAGAATTGCTTGTCAAGACCAGGATTTTATACTTACAATTTTTCGTAAATCTATGACAAGGGGGAAGTGGGAGCTTGCAAAGCAGGAGCGCCAAAACCTAAACCTGCCTTGACTTAATCTAAATAGCACTTGTTAGTGGGGAGAGCATAGTTATCCTTTAATTAAGTAATATCATTGACACTCTAGAGAGAGATATCATAGTTAGAGAGTCTAGCTTGGATATTTAAGGAAATGTACTATACAGTAGAAATCTTGCCACCGATGATGTGGTAAGTACCATCAGCAGGACTTTAAGGTTGGCTGCAAGATTTGCCACAGACGAAAGCATCTTAAGCTGTGGATTTACTATTAAAACAATTATTACAAATTTAATCAATAAGGAAGTTAGAGGCACTTTGGATATCAACAATAGAATTTAATGTTATTTATTGACCGTTTTAGTTAACTACTAAATCGAAAGTATAGACAGAATCTTGATTGTATGTGCTGCCCTATAAGCTAATAGTTCTCTTGGTAAGAGGAATACTAACCTAACCAAGGCAAACATTTACTCCTACTAAAAGCAAAAATAATAAAGCTTTTTATTACTGTTGCATCTTATTTCTTTTCTTTTTCTTTTTTCCTTTGAAATTCAAAATCTTTTGGTGATCTTATTAATTAAATTTTATTCTTTCCCTTTTATTAGCTAATAAAGACTATCATGCTTGCTATCCAAAATAACACAAAACCAAACACAAAATCAATCAATCAAAAAAAAAACAATAAATAAATAAATAAACAATCAATCAAACAAACAAACTCTCCTCCCGCCCCTCCGTTTATAAATTAATGATGAAAATATAAATAAATTAACATATAAATACTTGAATATATGCTGTGATAGTTAAAAAATATCTATGCATAATAAGTAAGAATAACAAATCCACAAATTCTAAGCAAAACAAAATCTTTAATGGCACAAAATATTTATAAAACATACGAAATTTTTCAGCTAAAGGGCTATAAAAAGCGAATATGGAAATTATTTTGTGTTTCCTTTATTTTAGATTTGCTATTGGTAATTAATGGATAGTGAAAGAAAGCTAAAGATGCTTTGATTATTTATTTATTTGCTGGACTCTGTTTTGAAAGAATATTAGTTATTTTGTTTATTTTAACTAAAATAATTAAATTTTGTTTTTCTAAGCAACTGCGAAAGAAAAACCAAACAAACAAAAGAAAATTTCAAAATTATTAATTAATTAATTGATTGAAATTTTTTTATTTTAGATAAATCTTATTATTTAATTAATTGATTTTGAAGATATTTTTTATTTTGACTGGATTAATCTTGTAAATATATTTTTATTTTTTCACTAATATCTTTCATCAAATAAATATCTTTGTTTGATGATCAATAAGGAGATATTTCCAAACATACTTTTTAAAAAAAATCTATATTGCTCTAAAAATTAAAACTTTTTTCATTTTCAAAGGAAATATCTTTAACTATTTCAAACTATAACTAGAATTACTTCTTTTTTATCTAAATTGTTTGTTAAATATGATTAACTCTTTTTTATAATTTCGATATAATAAAAATATAACAATCAATTTTAGTGTCTATTTGCTAATTCTAGCTAAATTATCTCAATAAAATTCTATGTTATTTTACTTCCAAATTATTAAAATTTCATTTTACTTTTATAAAATTAAATTTATTTCTAAAATATAAGAGTATCTTTTTCATTTGCATTTAAAAGTGCTTCTTTCAAAAAAATTAAAAATTCAACAAAAAACAAAAGGTTCATAAATTTAAAGAAAAAGCTAAATTTAATAATGTAAAAGAAAATATTAAGATTATAAATTTAATCTTGATAAACAAAGTAGAAGGATTATTTTGTTTAATTTATAAAAATAAATGTGTTGAAATAATAAAAAAAAATTAAGATTTTCATTTGATGTTAAATAATCATTTGTTAAATAATATTTTTCTGTGTTTTCTCATTAATTAAATATATAAATTACATATTAGTTTATAAAATATTTAATTATTTTTATTTATTCTTATTCTTAGTTATTTTTCTTAAAAAATTAATTTTAATATATTAATTAGACTTAAAATAAATGAAAATAATTTATATAAATAAAAAAAAAAAAAGTATTTTCTTATTTTATATCTTGAAAACTTTAACTGTAGTTTTTTCTTTATGATCTGTTAAAAATTATATTTAGAATATAGTCAAACCCTTTGACCATTTTTAAAACATTAAAAATGTTTTTTAAACTGAATTAGGGTACTTTTTGTGATTGTTATACATTAACATAATAATAAAAAACAATAAAAACATTAAAAAAATAAAAATATTTAATTAAAAAGATTTTATATGATATTAATAATAAATTATTAGTGTTTATTGCACAATAAATATTTGATAATTAAATAAAGTCAAACAAAAATAACCAAATATGGTAAGTTTTATTTACTTATCATGATAAAAATTGGTAACAAAGCAATAAATATAAGCTGACTTTTTTATTTTGAATTTTTTTAAAAATAGTAAAATATTAAATTTATAAATTAGAATCTAGTGTATTGCATTTTAATTGTTGTTTAGTTTCTTAAAGATAATTTATTAGAATTAAAATTAAGCTATTATTAATATTCTAAAGCATAAACTAATAAATAAAAAGTTCTTTACAAAATATTTAACTTCTTAGAAAAATTATTTATTTGTTTATTTGTGCATGCTGATTTATTGTAAGAGAAGTATAGTATCTGTTTATTGAATAGAATAATATATAGATAGATTAAAATCAATAGAAACTTTCTTTAGTTTTATAAATTTAATTAATTATTGCTTATAAGTAGAATATAGAAGTAGATCGTACTATGAAATATAAAAATATAGATTACAATCTAGATGTGCTATTTCATAGATAAAAGTAATCAAACAAACATTATTATTTCTACATACATTTTTACTTACTTAATAAGAGTTTGGTCAGTATATTTTCATTTAATATATATTCTTAGATTTTTAGAATTGCATAGAAAGAAATTAGAAGACATAATAGTAGAAAAAAAGGATTATAAAGAAGAGTTCAAACATATTTAAAATATAGAGTAATTCAAAAATTTAAAACAGAGAACTATCTAATTCAACGAAAGAGGTTATTGAATTAATTTTTTTTGAAGAAGTTTATGCTTTAAATAAGAAATAAAATAGATTTTTTTAAAATATTTAGAAAAATAGGTTTAAATTTAACGAGAAAATGATATTCTACTTACTAAATTGCTTGATATATAAATGAAACCTGTACCTAAACCATAATCAGTTAATATTACTTGCTTTATTCTATCCTAAAAATTATCAATCTTATTTTCAAAAACTATAACAAATATTTTATTGTACAATAGAGATCGCTAGGAGCAGAGTATAATGTAAGTTCAATAAAGCATCATAAAAATTATGTAAAAATGAAAAATGAAATAATTGGTGTGATTTAAAAGAACGACCAAATAGCAAAAAGAATTATTAATTAGTAAGTAAATTACCTTTCTATTGAATAATTAAATAACACAAATAATTTTGTTTAAAAGACAATCAACTATAAAGCACTAAGAATTTGAAAAAGATTACGAAAAAAGCTAGTACTACAAAAAAATAATAACCCGTTTTAATTCAAATATGCAATCAGAAAATACTTTAATTAACTTAAAGTAAATTATTTAATTATTTTTAAAATATATACTTACTTACTACATTCTTAAATCATCTGCCTTCTTAAAATATACAGAGGAAGTGAATTCCATTTAAATGCTTTTAGGAAGTCCTAGAAATATATACAAAACTCTCCATCCCATTTTTAAGTCTCTCCAGTGAGAATCCGTAGTAGTTCTGTAATTATTTATTTATTTGTTTGTTTCATTCTCTTAATATCTCTAGAATAGAATAGAAATGGAATAAATGCCTTTTTAAATTATTTATATTAGTTTAAGCAGAGATATAATATTATCTATACTTTTATAGCTATTGATAATTTTAATTTTAACCCTCCAGTAATATTTAAGAAGCTTGATCTTGTTTTAAGCTTTTTTTAGGTGATATTAAATAGCTTATTCACTTCAAAAATATAAATTAGAAAAAATTAGATTATTACACAAAATTAAATCACTTAATACTATTTTTAATTGCTTATAATTCATTTTTATTAGTATATTAGGCTAAAAATATCATTATCAAATCAAATAAATTTTCGATATTTATGAATGAATTACACTTAATATATTTTAATTATCATATAAAATAGCTATTTTTAATATAATTGCCTTAATTAAAATACTTAAAAATCATAAAAAATAAAAATGCAAAACACTTAAATTAATTTAATTTTTAGATTGATATTAAGTATTTAATATTTTTATTAGCCTCATAAAGAAAATCAATAAGAAAAGAGAGGGAGCTACTCACCACAAAGATTGCAAACTGCTCAGTCTCAAAGTTCTGCCAATTAAAATTAAAATGCAACATCGAGTCAATTTTTTAATCCTGTTAAAACATACAAATATAATCCAAATTCATCTTCAAACAAATCAGTTTTGGAAAAGTCTTAGACTTAACAGAGTTTTTTTAGGGCTACATCTCCTAAATCAAAAAATATTAGAAACGAATTAAATAATTCAAACATAGTAATAAAAAAGGTAGTCTCTTCAAAGGTCAATAAAAATTTAAATTAAAGTTGCCTTAAAGGAAGTAAAAAACAAATAAATATAGAAATACCTGCTAAAAAAGTAATTTAGATTTTAGATGAACAATCTCCAGTTAGTCCTTATGTAGAAGTTTTAGTTAATAAATACCTGATATAGAAAGAAATAGAGGAAAATAAAGATTAAATGTAAGCACTAGTACTCAATTAAAAGCAAAATTAATCTCCGAAAAGCAACTATAATAAAAAATAATCATTCAATTAAGACCAGTAGTAATAGTAGTAAATAGCTACGATTGAATGTTAGAAAAATATTAAAAAAATAGTAGAAGAATAAAAGAGTTAAAGATAAATAATGGAGCAAATAGTAGAAGAGCCTCCAACAGTTAATTCAGAGCATGAGATTAGTTAAAAAAATGAAGATGATAAATAAATAAGCTAAACTAGCTCAAGGAACTTGCTTAAAAAAGAAATGGACTCCGACAGCTAACCTAACAAAAGTAATTAGGAGAGTTAACTAACTGTAAAAACATTCACAGAAATAAGAACTTTTGAGAATAATTTAGATGTTAACCTGGAAAATAATTTAGAATATCTTGATCAATAGTAGCAATTTTAAAATAAAAATCAGTTAAATAGCAAAAATCAAATAGACAAATATAATTAAAACAATTAAAGATAAACAAATTTTTCTAATAGTTATTAGACAGCAGATTTCAACACCTAGAACAAATAAAATGAGTCTTAATAAAAATCAGAGTTAAGTAATTAATTTTGTTAACATTTGATCAATTATTTGAATTTAATTTAAGCAAAAAGCATGGAAAATTTAATTGGATTCTTAATTTAAAAATAAATAAATTAATTGATTTGATTTGGTTAAACTTAAATTTCTAATTAAATTTTATAGATGCTTTAGAACCAATTTATAAATATTGAATATAGATTTAAGGTGGTTTTTTTAATAAAGGTCAAATAACCGATGCAGAAAATAGCTAAATTATAACTAAACATAGTGGAATAAAAGTAAAAACTAATAAACAAATACATCATACAGCTAAGAGCGTTGGTTATGATGAAAAATAAAACAGATGGAAAAAAAAATAAGAAAGTGAAGAATACTAAAACCAAGAATAGATTGAATACGAAGAGTTTAATAGCTATGGGATAGAAGGTAATTTTTGCAAAAAGATATTAATCGATGCATCAATTTAAGAAATTTTAATTAGGAGAATAGGACGAAGACGCAAAAGAAGATCAAGATGAAGAAGAAGATGAAAATGAATACGATGATTGTGATGAAGATCTGGAAGGAAATAACTATGAATAAAATGATGGTAATAATTTGTAATCAGATATAGAAGAAAATTTAATTTAAGATGAAGAAAATACTTTGGTGAAATCCGAAAAGCTGTTAAGTGATTCTAATAATAAGAAATCAAGTAATTTTTATTTTGAATTAGTATAGATTTTTTTTGATTATAATAACATTTATTTATACTTTAAATTTTACATCAAAAAATAATAGAAACAATTTAGAGCAGCAAACCAAATATTTCAAGAAAAAGTAAATAATTACATTTAATAATTTGCATTGTCCTAATAGAGTTTTTTTATATTAACAATGATGCTACATCTATTCTAAATTAAAATAGATTCAAGTAGTTTTCAAGTAGATGATCATAATAATTATAAAATCGCTTAAAAAAACTAAAGGGTAGGTTCTCTCTCTCAAACATCCAAAAGTAAAATAGACATTTTAATCTATTATGATAGAAACTTTATAGACATTTTTTTATTTTTAAAAATAGATTCTAAGGTATAAAACAGCTCCGAAATTCAAATTAATCAGTACAATAACTCATAGCCTTTACTATAATAAGAGTCTGACAAAAATTTAAAAATTTCTAATAAATAATCTGAAAAAGACATTTAAGAAGAAATAGAAATAGAATGATTTGAAAATTCATTTTGAGCCATTAACTTAAGAAAATTTAATCAATAACTAACTGGCTTATTCATATAACCTTTACAAAAAGTTGAACTAAGGCAGAAAAAAATGTTAAAAGAAATATTTAGCTTAAGTGAATGAGTTTATTATTTATAAGTTTAAATTAATTTATGCTAATTATTATTAAAATTATTGTAATTTTCCAATAAAAGTTATTTCTGTTTAGTAATTTAATGCTCTAAGAATAGCAAAAAAATTCCTATTTTTAGCTAGCAAATTATACATAAAAATTAAATAACCCATCAGTAGGAGTTTTATTTTTTAAATATTTGGCAAAACTTTATCATAAAATTGAATAAAATAGACAAAATTAATTTGAATTAGATATTTATTTCATTGGTTAAGATGTTTTACTTTAAACTTCTTCATTTTTAATCATATTTTAGTATTCTTAAGTATAAGATTAAGCAAATAAGCTCCCTAATTTTCTATGTAATAGAATTATTTTACAAAATTTTCACGCTAATATTATATTTTAATTTTAATTTTAAATTTATTTGAATGTTATTTTAAAAAATTAATTTGTATTTGGGTAGGAAAAATATATTATTTATTTAAATCTAATATATTTATGATTTTATTATTTAAACTCATTCAAAAAAAATGTTTTGTTATACTTAAGTTATTAACATGAATTGTGGTAAGAAACATGAACACCAGGGTAGGATATATAAAATTTGACTCACTCAACAAGAACTATTAAATTAGGTATTAGGTATTGTGCAAATTTAAAATAAAAAAACACATTCAGTTGAACCCTGATGCACAAAAATTTAGAAATTACAAAAGTCTAGAGAGTTTATTGTAAGTATTTCTTATAAAAATACAAATTAAACCTAAATTTCATCATATTTTAAAAATATTTGTATTTTATTAAATCTAAAGTACTGAGAATATTGATTTTATTCTATTTTATAAGTATTTAATAACTAATTTTTATGCTATTATTTTTATTTTGATCAGCCATATTTTTAGTAAGAACAATAAGGCCTAAATTAAATAAATTCTATCATATTTAACATTTTTAATAAGATTTTACTTCATATAAGAATTGAGAAAAACACAAATTTATTAAAAATATTTAGTCAGATTAACCAACCACATAAATAAATTAATAAAATTATAGAATATTATTTCTTGTTATTAACTTGGTTTTAATTTTTTCAATAAAGACATAAATAACTCCACAAATCTCTTCATGTTGAAGATAACTTGAACAAAAAAGTCCTCATTATTTTTTTTATGTGAATTTTTTTCTCCAAAAATAATTAAGAATTTTCCAGATTTGATAAGATATTCTTTGGAAGTCTTTAATATTGAGTGCTGCCATATTATTATTATTATTCTATGAAACAAACTTATTGTTTTTCAAATGGAAGGAAGCTAATTCTTAAATACAAAATAAATGAAGCCTTACATTCTGCTTTGAATCATAAAGAAAATAAAATAAATTCTATTTTATAGATTAAATTATTTTTTGATTGAATTTTATATTAAAATTTGAAAAACCTTTTATGCAAATAAAATAAAAACCTGATTATCCGTAATAGAACCTTTTTAAATTTTGATTCTAATAGAAATTATTTATTTATTATAGTAAAAATTGTTGGATATGCATTTAAGGAGTAAGGTGAAGAGAGAATTGGCATTTGATTTAAAATACTTTGATTCAGTAAATATAAGAAGAAAAATTGTAATTACTGTAAGATAGATTAGTAGTCTTGATAATATATATAAGAACTGCAAAGTTTGCTCTAATTAATAGGCACTATTACGATATAATATGCAATATAATAATTAAGTTTTAATCAAAGTTAAATTTACATATGAGTTAAAAATAAAAATATCAACCAATCAATCAAATTTACAACAAGCAAGCAAACAAACTAATATAGATTGTAATTTTTAATAAACCTGCTGTTGAACAAATCTATAAATTTGTAATATCTATTTGTGTAATATATTTTATCTTTGGTGATTGATTTCCCAAACATACTCACATTAATTCAAATTTTAAATACGCGTAAGGGATTTAACTTTTACAACTTAACAAAAAGTATAAATTTCAATCTAAAAGATACAAATTAACTTTGTATATCTTGCAAAAGTTTTAATTTAGCTTTCATTTTATTTATATTTTTGCTTGCGCACACATACATTCATAAATTAATAAATAAACAAGATCTTTTAAACGACATTGTAAAAGTGAAAGGTGTAAATAAGGAAATTTCTAAAAGCTGATGGAAATTTTATAAGAAAGATAAAAAGAAATAAAATTTATCTCTAAAATACTTTGTTTTTTTTGCAATTCTTTTAAGCAATTCAATGGAGTAACTTGAAATTCACTTACTAAATATTGGTGATTTAAGAAACAATAAATTAGTAAAAGAATTTAAAGCTGAGGATATTAATCGCTTACAATTTTTTTTCACGCAGACTGTAATTCTATTTTTAATTACACTTATATCCAATAAATTAATAGATCACCAAATGTATAATAATTTCATAGTAAATTAAAAAGATATTAATAGGAATCGAATTTGTTAATTTTTGTTAGCAATTGTAATTATGTAGGCAATTTTCTATTGAAAAGGCAAACGAGTTCTACTATCTATCATATCAAGATGTATTTTTTATAATTTTTATGTAAATTCAAAAGGGTAAAGAAATAAGTAAATTTTTATATATCTGTTATGAGCTTTTAGACAAATCCATAATTACTCAAAATCACTAATTAACTAAATAAATTAGTATCTCTTAAATATTTATTTAGCGTGAGAAATAATTATTCTTCCTATTTTGTATTTATCAAAATACTTCGTTTGTAATTTTTTTTCAGAAATTTTTTCGAAGAATATAATTAACTTTTATCAATGTATGTAAAGTGTGCTAAAGAATATTTATTAATAAAATTAAATATACAGAGAAATATTATGCTTTGAAGGAGAAAAGTAGTGAGAAATAATGCTGAATTTCTATTGAAATTTGCTAGTCATACCTACCTATAAATATTCATCAGAAAAGAAATTGAAGGAAATAGAATTAGATAAGCAATTACTTGTTTTTTTTATTCTATCCTTTTATATTATTTTCTGAGAGAAAATATTACCTGTGAATAAATACATATCTTTATACTCCATATTGTATTTCACTTAATATTTATCTCTGTCTTAATGCTTATTTATGTACTGTCAATCTTTTTAATGACTGCGCAGGAGTTGTGAATGCAAAATACAAATATATAAACAAATAGACTAACTAATATAAAAAGAGAAATTAATAGTTAAAAATAAATACAATTATTTCATTTGACTTATTAAATGACTTTACTGTCAATTGTTTTCTCCTATCTCCTTTCTTTTTATTCCAAGTTCTATCTTACAGAGCTTATTTGTTTTGTTGCTATATATATCTCCCGACAGACGACACGTTTAAATCTACAGCTAAATAAACCACAGATAAAAAGCTCTGCAGCTATCTTAGTGATTACTTTTTTTGAATTCTATGGGAGCTTCTCTATTTAACTATATCATTAGATGGTTTAAAGAAGATTTTTAAATTTATGAACTGATTCTACTTAATAGTATTATTTGGATGGATAGCTTATTAGAGAAAATTTAGTTGCTAATCGAGTGCGTTTATGTTTATTTAATTGATATTATAAGTCTTTTACTTGACTATAAAATAATTTCCATAATTTTAACTAGCAAATAAGTTAATAAATGTAAAGTTAAATCAAAAATCTGTTTCTCTTCTCATTTTTATTTATGTTTATTTGAAATGATTAAGAGCGAATAAGATTCTGAAATAAATTAAAGTAAATAAAGGATATCGATAGAAATAAAAACTGCTGAAGTTTCCTAAAATAAGTCATGATTAAATAAGCGAAAATAGTTGCATTATGAAATATAAAATGGTTGAATAAACTCATATATCTTTGTACGCTACATATAACAAGAAAAATACAGTGAATTTTATAGAATTAAAGATAAATAATGAGATTTTGATTGCATTTTTTGGTACAAAATTTTGGTGTAGTACTAAATCAGTGTTTACTTTTTTATTTTTTTCAGAATTAAATTTGGTTAATGATAAAATAAAACAATCGCATTAAAAAAAAAGTTAAAATGAGACTAGTTAATAATTTTCTAAAATAAGGTGTTGAAATAACAAAAATGTTAGATTTTGATATTACTTTGAAAATTTTGCTAAATTAATTCTAATACAAAGCATAGCATAAACACAGAAGAGAACACAAAAATGCAAGGAGAAGAGAATTACTGTCAGGGAAAAAGAAAAGGCTTCATTGAGAAGTGAAAAAAATAATCTATATTTGAGTGATTCTTACATCCAGATTGTTATTACGTAAATGCTTATGATCCATTTGTTTAAAAATATGAAATAAAAGATTGCGTCAAAGAAGTAATTATGCCAGAAGAAATGCGAGGAATTCGATTAGCTAAAAGTTATACTTATTTTTTGAATTAATGATGGGTAGGGTAAATTATCAAAAAAATAGTCTATTGCTTTTTTAAGATTCATAAAAATTAAATGATATAGAGGGGGAAATTGAAATCAAAAAAAACTCAAAAATTTGGAGGAAATTAATCAATCAATTTATCGGAAGAAGATATTAATTTAATTAAAGCTTATTAACTGTTTAGACAGGTAATTTATCAAGCTGTATTTTTATTTTAAAAGTTATTGCAAATATCTTGAAAATTTAATAATTAATAATTTATCACAATATTTGAAAACACACTTTTCAAACAAAAAAAACAAAAAAACTCGGGCTATTAGCTAATAAAAACTAATTAGAGTTTACCACCTGCTTAAAAAAAGTTAATGTAAGTGTACCAAAAATGCCTTCAGCAGAAGATTCCACTTGAAACAAAATCACTATTTGTTTCATTGAAAAATAACATGAGTGAAACAAAACCCCTGAACAACAACAATTTATACACCAATTAATGGTCCTCCAACAACAACATCTTGACAAAGAAGCTCACTGCTGCTTCTTAGGCTAACTTTTCTACAAATGCTTAGTCTACCTCTGCCAACACTTATTTCTTGAAGGGATTAGATTCCAGAATCTTGAATGCCGAACAAAGAGAAGAATTAGTCTCCTTTGTTAACCAAGATCCTTTTGGTCAATCTTTCCTCGTTTACAATTCTCATGAAGCTTTGCGCAAGTTGAATGCTTGGCGCTCCAAGTTATCATGGATTCAACCTTTCTACGCCTTAAAGTCCAACCCTATTGATCCTCTCGTTGAAGATCTCTGCTCTAACGGAGCTGGTTTGGACGTTGCTTCCCAAGGTGAAATTAAAAAGGGATTAGAAATGGGTATTTCTGCTTCTAATATGATTTACTCTAACCCCGTTAAGGAAGAAAAGGATATTCTTTATGCTGCTTAAAACAATGTCCTTTACACCACTGCTGATACTTTTGACGAAATCGTTAAAATTCACACTCTCGCCCCCAACATGAAAATTCTCTGGCGTATTTCTATTACTGAAGACAATTCTTAATAACTTGCCACTGTTTTCTCTAACAAGTTTGGTGATGACATTACTTCTCTCGAAGATGCTCACCAAAAGTTCAAGTTTATCGCCCAAGAATTAGGCGTCCGTCTTCACGGTATCCATTTCCATTGTGGAAGTGGTAAGAATGGTTCAAGCTCATTCTTAAAGGCCGTCAATATGGCTCGTAAGTGTATCGAAATCGGTAGATAATATGGTCATGCTATGGAAATCCTCGATTTGGGTGGTGGTTATCCTTCTGGTGATCTTAACGATAAGTTCATTGCCAACTTGAAGGACACCTGCAACGATCCTCTTGGTTACAGAGTTATTGCTGAACCTGGCAGACACTTCTCCTCCCAAACTTGCTACCTCTTCACTAGAATTTTAGCCAAGCGTTCTAAACAAGGAAAAACATGCTTCCATGTTAACGATTCTCTTTATCACTCTTTCAATTGCGTTCTTATGGACGGTGTTTCATTCGAAAACGATAATGACTAATTCTACTCAGTTGTTAACAACAACACTCTTGAGCAATCAGAAATTAACAAAAATTCTATGATTAACTCCTCAGTCTTCGGAATGACTTGTAAGAATTTTTTCTCTCATTCTTATTTATCTATTTATTAATCTCGATAAGCTTGCTTAATTTAATATTTTTTAAGCTTGCTTAAACTTAACTTAACAAATGTTATTTTTGATTGAAAGCTTAACTTTTAACTAAAGTTAAACATTTGATCGAAGAGTCAAAAATTTAATTTTAAACCACTTTAAAAAAGCATATAATTAATTATTATTCAATTAAATAGGTGATGGAGCTGATGTTATTGCACGTAATGTAGGTTTCTGCGGTGATGCTAAAGTCGGTGACTGGTTATGCTTCAGCGGTATGGGTAGCTACACTTTTGGTCCCAAGAGTGCTTTCAACGGCATGGAAAGCACAACCAGAGTTTTCAAGTGGAGCTCTCCTATCGGAGTTCCTGAATCTCCCAAAAAAGCTGCTGAAACTTCTGAAGAACCTTCCTTAATCTGGAAGCCTAAGTTAGAACCAGCTTTCTGAAATCTATGAATATTTCTTACCCTCCCTCCTAATGATAAATTAAAATAAATGCAAAATTGATAGAACCTTCAATTACTATTACAAATATTGAATGGCTCTAAAAAAGCATATTATTGAGTTATCATAAAAATATATTAAAAATATCTCTAAAACTATAATAATACCAAATATCGTTAAAAATACTAATCTAGAAATGTGTCATTTATGCATATTATATTTATCTTGTTACCTATCAAAATATTTTCATATCATCTATAATCAATCAATCAATCAATTAATTTCCTATTTAATATTTCTCTTTCCAATATAAATATTAAGTATGAAAATTAACTAAATAGTAGTTAGATAAAAATAAAATCACCTAACAAAATGTTTACACATTTAAAATAACTTATTTTTTTTAAAAATGGGTCAATAGTAGTCTACTTATTAAAACCCAATAATAGATAGTTCTTTAAATAGATTTATTTAACATTTTTTAGAAATAGACTATTAATTTGTTTCTTAAAAAGATCTTAAAAATATTGTTTGTTTTTTAAAAATAGCTTTGAAAAATTTATCTAGCACAAAATAGTTTCATTCGCTTTTACTAAAAATAGCTTTAAAAACATTTTTTCCTTTACTATATCACTTCAAAAAATTTTTTTTTCTAAGAATTAAGTTTAAAATTTATTTATTAAAAAAGCTATGCTAGTATATTTAAAAATAATTTCTAAATTTAGCATGCTTAAAGTAGCTTCATAAATTATTTGTTCTAAACAGATTTTAGATTGTGCACTTATTAAAATAGAATAAAATATTTGCATACTAAAAATATCTTTAGATATTTATTCTTAAAATAGCTTTTAGATTTTGAATCTTTCAATAGCTTCAAATTTTTGTTTGCAATAGAATACGTCAAATGAAATTTATTTATTAAGGAGAGCCTCAAGAATCTGTTATTTGTTTATAACTAGAGAAATTTTTTATCTATATTTTTGTAAGCAGCTGGCTTTTGAACTTAATTAAATTCTTTTGGTTTCAGCTTTGTGGGATTGATACGTATTCTCAATTTTATGATGGAGCAATTTTATTTATAGTGATAATATGTGTTGCAAATATTTCATACAAAGATAAGAAAAATTGCTAAAAATATTAGTACAAAAAAGGAGCTAAAAAGATCTGTCTTAGAAGATAGAAATAATTTAATAAGACTTCAAAAGGAATAAAAAATAGCTAGCAATAACAAATAATTCTGAATTTGAAGATGTATTATTTGTTTTTAATTTTTTATTTGTTTGTTTGTTTATTTATTTATTTGCATCCCTACCCTATAAGCACTTCAACATCAAAAGTATTACATCATTAATCATCTACTTTACTTAGTATAAATAACTGATTTTAATGTAAAATTCCTATATGAAAATAGCTCTATGTTCCTTTAAAAATATTTTCATCTGTTTTTTCATCAATTGTAAATTATTTTAATTGAAATATCATTGATTTGAATTTAGAATTCAATTCATTTTTCTAGCTTCCAAAATTTTTTTGCCTTGAGATTTATAAAAGATTTTCAATTTGCAGAACAAAATGATCAAATAATCAAAGCTCGTGAATATGTTTTACATTATTATTATCAAAATTAGTCATAAAATTTGATATCTTATCAAATTTTATGTAGTTGAAGATATGCGTCATTACTTTAATTATTTATGTAAGTAAGTCTTCTTCTAAATAAAAATGCAACAAACGTTTTAGTTTAAACTAAACATAAATATCATTTTAACATTAAAATATCAACAGCACTCATTTTTTCAAAGATATCAAAAACCCTATATTGAAAAACTTAAATGTTGATTAGCTCTATAACAGTCTTGAAGGTAAAATTTAGTACATTTTTCATAAAGTGATCATATTAAGTACTAAAAACCCTTTTGTTATTTTCGAATTTAAAAAAATTTGAATTTATCTATGCTAACATCAACATCAGATAAAAAGAAAAAAATCTTAAAAAAATTAATTGCTCTTTTTATTTCAATTTTTTTATACCTAAAAAATTTGCATTTAGATTAATTTTTTTTTTGGTTTCAGTCTTTAAAAAATTCAATCTAAACAGTTTTTCTTCTTATTTTTTTTTCTTCTCTGATCTCTACTTAACCACTCAACTCAAAATTAAAAGGCATTACAAAATATTATTTATCCTCTTAAAAATTAAAAATATTTTACATTCTGATTCAAATAAATAGAACCAAAAATATATTTCTTTAAAAAATTGCATGCATTTATGTTCCATTTGTAACATGTCAGCCGATTGCGCATTTCTTAAATAAATATTATATTTTTAAAATTATAACAAGCAGAGATTGAAAAGCAGTGATGGAAAAATAGTTGTTTACTAGACTCAAATTTTTATAAACAAAAACTTTAAACAGAACCTCAATTTTCTACAACACAAAAGTTAGAGGTCTCGATAGTTTGTTTAATCACTGCATTTTTGAGGCTTTCAGTTTTCTTTCTTTCTTTCTATTAGTCATCGCACACATATACAAACCTTATAACTAATTTTTAAATGTTAAATATGTATGTATGTAGAGTATTTATTTAGTTAAAAGGAATTTTAGCAAATTCATATTTTAAATTCATACAAAATAAAGAAGAAGCCATGAATATACAAAGAATTCTTTCATATTTATAATCAATATCTTCATGACATTCTATATTTATTTTTGTAAGAAAGATATCATATCATATCATATCATTCAAAAGTTACAGAAAAAGCAAAGCTTTTTTTCATGCGTGCAGTAGCTCTAAGCAGCTAAAGAGAATATTATATAACCATCTAGCAATTAATTTCAATCGATCTTTGAGGAGTTTTTCAAAGCTTGAGTTTCTAAAGATAGTTTAACAGCTGCTTGTATTTAATTAAAATCTTAGGAATGAGAAAATTAATTGAAATATAAATTAATAGTGAATATTTGAAAATATAAAAATTAAAATAATATTATTAGCAAGTAAAAAATAAATCAATTTATTTATCTATCTGCATATTAAAATATATTAATGGTCAAGCTGTTAATCAATTATCTTTTTTTTAAAACCCTAATTAAACAACTAGATTCCAAGTTATGTGAGGCATAGCAAAATCTAATAAATACTTAGGAACCAAGCCGCTTATGAACGAGTACAATTCGTGTATTGCTGTACCGCTTGCATGATTGGTTTTTCCAATTATACTAAAAACTCCCTTTTAGAACTATTCAGTAGTCACAGTGAAGGGAAGAGATTTAAAGTTAACCATCTATGTTTTAATAAAGTAGGGACGAATAGCTAAAATATCAACATAGTCTTTGAAATCATCTTAGTGAAGTTTATATGTTTTATCTAAAATAGTTGTAAAATGGAGAATGTACTTTTTAGTTGAAGAGTATATTTAATAAAATGCAGAATGATTTTCAGCAGAAAAAGAACTCATATTTATAATTATTGATTTTCTATTATCTTTCTTAGCATCTTAATACAATTTTTCATAAAGGATAGAAACCATAACCGACATACTTATCATATTAATCTACATTTATATTTGAATAAAATATTTTTAAAATCCATTCAATAAATAAAAATTAAAAAATTTTTTTATTATTTCAACAATAATTTTAGATTATTTTTTCATTTAAACATTTTAAATGTTGTTAAAAAAAATTTTTTATTTATTTTTAATAATAAATTAATATACGAAATCATTATAAAGGAGAATAGATTATAATTATGATAACAATAAGTTATTGTTATTATAAAAATGTAAATAATATAAGTTATAAGAAGAATAGACAAGACAATAAGAAGAGTTTTTTTTGCTTTTTGTTTGTTTGATTTTAAAAAATAACAAAAGTAATTTATCCAAGTTACATTTGAAAAACATTCATTTAATTAAAGGGTTGTAATTAAATAAAGCAAACAAACAACCTTATTAATTAGTTTCGTAGTGGATTTTTCTTTGCAATAACAAAGCAAAAAGCTTTTAAAAATATTAGCTAATCTTTAATAGATTGCCACTAAAAATATCACTAATTGTATTCAAAGATTTAATTGCCAATCTAAAAATCTTTACCTTAATATGGTTAGCAATAGTTTAAGCAGAGATTTTTTCAAAGCGCTCAACATCAATAACTCCTACGTTGTTCACCAAGGCTGCTATGTTAAAATCTTACAAGTCTTTTTTCAGCTCAAGAGCGAATTGCTCGTCATCACATTTTGAAAAATCTTTAGGCAGAATTTTGCTTTTTACTGCTGGGTTAAGTTCTTAAGCTACTTTTTCAAGTTTAGAGACTGTTCTTGCTATAAGAATAATGTTAAAGCCTCTTTTACTTAATTCAATTGCCCAATCTCTTCCAGCACCTTCGCTAGCACCGGTAACAACTGCCCATACGTCTTTTTTTCCTTTGATATATCTTTCGTTAACATCAACTGGTGCAGTGAAATATGGGGCTAATCTTTTGTACAGTTCGAATAGCTTAACTGCAAAAATAGCTATTCCTGTCCACAAACAAATAGTGTACAAATCCATAGTGATTTAATTTTGAGTTATGGATAAGTATGGTTAGATGGATAAGAGGTTGAAAGCGATAGAAGTATTAAAGATTTATGCTTTTATTAGAATACTTCTTTTATTTTTTCTTAATAATTAATTTGTTTGATACTAATATATTTAATAGAAAGTTTAGCTTTATTTTTTTCTTAATTATTGATTTTCTCAATGAAAAATAAATATAAATTCAATGTGATTTAATGAAGAAAAAAAAATTAATAAAAATAAGCATTATATTAATTTTTAATTTGATTGATATATTTGCGTGTTTTTGCTCATATTTTATCAATTTTTTCTTTTGATACTTTTGAGAAAATTTAATTTGAAGAGTAGACAACTTTAATTGTTTAGCTATTTTCAATTTATTAGATTTTCATTTCAATAAATATATTGATTGTCCACAATCAATATTAAAAAACAAACAAGTCCCCCCCTTTTTCTACTCTTTTTGCTTAAGTTATAACGAAATAACCTATTTTAAACCTTCCCTTTTTCATTGAAATTTCTTATTAAATAAAAAATATTCACTTTCTTATTTTTTAAGCTTTATAAAATTTAAATAAAAATAATTCAAAAAAAAAAATATATTTAAAATTATATTAAAAAATTTTTAATTGAAAAAAATAATTAGATAAATCAATTAACTAACTTTAATGTCTCATAATAGTTTACTGTTAAATATATTCTATGCTGTGTTGTTAATATTAAAGTAGTAGCCTATAAATTTATTAGTTTAGGTATAAAATATAAAATTAATTTACTGGAAAATATAAATTTTTAAAGTGGCCAAACAGAGGATTAAATACATTTGACTTACATTATAAACTAAGCAATTTTTTATTATGATACTATAAATTAAATTAATATTTTTGATATTTATATTGATTGATTGATATATTATTATTTTTTATACATCCTTTCTAAAATAGTTAGATAGATTATTTATTTGTTTGTTTGTTTATTAGTTTTATAATTTTGTTAGGTTTCTAGATTAGGAAGATGATAAGAAAATCATTAGATTTTCTATTTTTATTTTCCTTTTGATTTCAGCTAGATAACACTTCACCTTCAAATATTTAGCAAGAAAATTATTCGTAGTTTCCTTTATTATTTTTTAGCTTATCTATCCTGAAAGCTTTGTATAGAAGCACTGCTCCATGTAAAAGGAACAAGGAAGTAACTATCATCAAACCAATAAAATACCCAGTTTGGTTAAATACATATAGCTCCTTTAATTAGGGATTACAATTCTAATTTTCTAATTATTCATATTAGTTTAATTTACTATTATTTTATTGTTCGGCTGAAGAGCATATTTTTTATAATGATGACTGAGCGAGCACAAAAATAGAATTGCTCTTTTGCAAGGAGTTGAGTCCATCAAAATTAGAGCACTTTTTACTATCAGAGGGAATGTTTTCAATAATATATGCTCCTGTAAAATTGCTATGACATATAGCATTTGAACATAAAATATTAGATTAAAATTAAACGTAGTACATAATAAGACTAATAATTGCAGTTAAGATATTCATCACTCCTATCAATTTGTAGGACCAAAGCTGCATTTTAGAAATTTTAATATTATAGATAAAGATTCCGAAAGTAAGAACGAATTGTAATAGTCCAAAATAAAATGGAATTGAAGACACAACCCAGCAATTCTAAAAATACATAGTTGCTGATGAGAAAATTAAGAAAGCTAATCCGACAAGAACGAGCATCATCAAAATCTTTTCTGTAGCTGAAATACTCTTGGAATGTCTAATTTGTTACCTGATTCTTTTTCTTTCAAAGTTCTCAGATCTACCATAAATAACTCTATCATCTAATACATCTTAAACTTATTCCTCACTACTAGTCATTTTTCCAATCAATCAATCAATTAACAAATCCTTAAAACCCAAGTAATATTTTAGATAATCTTCAATTTGTATGAACTTATTTATATTTTCTTGCTATAAATGCTATTTTTTAGTCTACTCTTTTTGAGTTATCAATAAAATTTGTATTAATATTTTAATTATTATGATTAGAGTCGCTTTACTTGTTTTGCGATATAACAATAAGCAAATATTTGTTTTTTTTATGATTAATTATGAAATTTTCTTCTTTCTCAATTTATTAGTCAAAATTAGATATTTATCTTATTAATTTAATTAATTAGAAACAATTTCATTAAGATATACCACATTTAAATTTACTTTCTCATATAATATTATTAAATCCTTTAAATTACAATCATCTCTTTTTATACATTCATTACAATATTAATTCTATGCATCAATCACTCACTCAATAAATCATAATTTTTTAATTAAGTTTTAATCTATCAATCACTCATTTTCATCTTTGTTTTACTATGAAAATAAATTAAAAATTTTAAACAAATCTCTTTTTAATTTAATTGCAAAACAAACTCTTACATAAAATAGATAAAAATATAATTTATTATTAAAATAATTAGTATATCAAATGAGTTTTTGCATTTCCTTTACTAAGCTTTGGTTTTTTAACAAAAATGTAAAGTTTTATCTTTAATTTTGCTAAAAATAATTCTTATTTTAAACTAAATTTGTGTAGCATCAATCAATTATTTATTTATTTACTAAAAATTAAAATAGTAAAAAAAACCAAAATTATTTTATTATTACTAATAAATGTATAAAATAAATTATAATTGTTATTTAATTAATCTATTCTAGTTAACATTGAATCAATAAATAATATTAATTCCAAATTATTTAGATTCATTTATTTATTCACACATTTATAAATTTGATTTCCAAATGATGAATTTAATTAATAATATTTTTTTTACATTTTAGAAAATAAATTATGTTCTTTTTCAAAATCTTATGCAAAAGTAATTAATTCTACTACAAATAAAAATGAGAAAAAATATTGGCAACTGTGAGATTCGAACTCACGCGGATTACATCCAGGCGATCTTAAGTCGTCCCCCTTAACCAACTCGGGCAAATTGCCTTGATAGTATTATTTGAAATGAGATATTTAGATATAGAGTTTTACTCTTTATTTATTATCAATATCAATATTTTGTCAAAATTGAAATATTTTATTTTGAAGCTTTTGGAGCTTTGAAATTTATTGTAATGTTTTTTTTTTTTTTGATAATATTTGACTTATTAAAATTTTAAAGTTTAACAAAAATCCAAATCTACGAACGATTGCTTTTTAAATTAAATTAAATTTTTGATAAGTAAAAATTAACAGAAATATAAGCAAATTACATTTAGAAATCTAGTTAAATGCATAAAAACTTAAAAGTACAAGAGCAACAGCAAAGAATTGCTCAATATTTCAGGGAGACTAGAGAATAAATATTACTGTAGCAGAAAAGTTAGTAAACTACATAGCCAACTTCTAAGCTTATTATGCTGAATATAAATGATGACTATTATCTGCCAGGATACTTTCATAGAATTAAAGAGTTTATAGAAAATGGGGAAATAGCGAGAGATAAAAATAATGGTAAATATTAGATATAATTTTTTTGATGTTTATTGCATCATATATTAGTTTATTACTATTTTAATTGTTATTTATTGTTTGAATTTATAGAATCTGATGATTTAGATAGCAATTTCAATAATGATTACAGACTACCTAACAACTTCTTTGATCGAGTCGTTAAGGTATTAATACAATTATGTCTTCCAAATAAAATTCTTTTATTATTACTTTAAACTATTTTTAGGAATTAGAGCCAAGGGCTAATGATAAGGAGAATTAAAAATCGTTTTGGAAAAACATTGCTAAAGAATATGATATTGACCCTAATGATTATGAAAATATCGATAGACTCATTGAAGATTAGTATTAATTAAAATTAGAAAAACTATCTTTGGATGAGAATCCTGTAGATGAAACACCATTTATTAACGAAGATTAAGACTTAAAGTTAATAAAATCAGAAAAATTTAGAAAAATGTCTGAAATGCAACACGAAGAAAATGAATAAAAAGACTAAGAAGGAAATGAAAATAAATCTAAAGAATTTGACTCCAACGACAGCGGGTATGATAGTGAACGAGAAGAACTCAAAAATAAAATTGAGTAGGAATAATTAGAGAAAGAACTAGCTCTCTAAAGATATTTAAATGATGAATAGATACAAGAATTATTAGATATTGATTCTGACGAAGACATTATATTTAATGAAAAGGATTAGGTTTACTTCACAGACATTAATAAAAGTCCCTTTGATGATCTCAACAAGAGTATCAAATTTTTATTATTACTCTAATCAAAAATACCTTCTTATAATATTTTTATCAAGTGTTTGTTTGAAAAAATATTTCAAAATAAATTTTCTTTTTTAAAATTAATTTAATATTTAAAAAACATGTTTTGTTGAATAGTTTTTTGTCTGCTTTTGTAGGACAACAATTATGGTTAAAATTGCTTAAATTTTTTAATAAATAGTTTATGAGAGGAGAGAAAGCTTGCACCAAGATAAAATTAACTTTTAAAAATAATTTTAGAAAGTTATTATTAATGCTTACAAGGAAAAGCTTAAGAAAAAGTTGTATTCTCGTTTAAAATAAAAAGATTAAGATGATAACGATGATGATGATTTGGAAGAATCTTTCACATGGAAAAGAAGAGAAAGCTAAAGATCTTAGAAAGATGCACAGTAACAATAAAAAAACCAAAAAAAAGATGACGAAGTTTAAAAGTAGCCAACTTTAAGGGGTAGTTTTGGTATTGATTAGAAAAAATAAAAAGATATATAAAAAAAATAAAGTATTGATTAAAATGCCTCTACAATCGCTAATAAGCAAAGAGCAAGCAAAGAAGCAAATATTTTTGAGAATAATTAAAGAAAATCAATACATTAAGACAAGGTAATAGCTGATAAGTTAGTAGGATTATAATAAAGTGTTAATCTTGAACCTATTAAATAGGTTCATCCAAATCTCTTTGATCTTGATCAAAGTCACTATTCATAGCAAGAGTTTATGCAAAATACTTTCGGCTAAATTAACAACAACAACAGATAGCAAAATTAGCAGAGTGATATGAAGCAAAATAAATCTAGGGCTTTAATTGATTTATTGAGAGAGGAATTACAGAAAGAAGATGGTTATATCTCTGATGAATTGATGGAAGGCAAAAACAGAAGCTATTCACCTATACAGAAGGATGAAACTTAATTAAAGAAATTAAATAATTATTTTGGTGATTTGTCTAAAAAAAAAGAAGAATCACATTTACAAGTAGAATAAACCACCAATTACTTTTATTCTAAATATTAGCAGGAATACAAGCTTGAAAAAAAGAAAAATTTTATAGAAAACTTAAAGGATACTCTGATTCCTAAATAAAATGATAAATAATTAGAGGATAAAGACCTTAAAGAATACGAAGACGATTTATATTTGTAAAAGAGGAAGCAAGATAAAGAAAAAAGAAAGGCCGCCTTAGAAAAATCTCAGTAACTTCAAATGTAAAGATAAAAGCAAATGCAAGTTGCTGAAATAAGTGAGATAAATTAAAAAATTTATGGCTGTGAAGATAGAATAACACAGTTGGGATTGAAAAATAGTCCATAAAAAAATTAAAAAAGTCAAATCGTTTAAGAAGTCCAATACTCATAAACATAATCATAAAGCAAGTAATAAATCTAAAGAAATATGTAAGGATAGTAGATGGTATAGTAAAGTTCTGGTTCATTCAAATATCAATAGAATGGAATTAATTCTGCAAATGGCTTATAAATGGGGTAATAGTAAAGTAATTTAGCAGGTAGTGCTTTCAATTAAAACAAAAAAGGAAGTTAAACAAGTTTTCCGATAGACTTACAAAAGTTATAGTCGATGAATACTCAATAAGCGTATTAGCAGTAATAATAGCTCTATAGCTATTTAGATAAAAAGAGCTCATAATAAGATAGCAGAATGTAATCACAATAGGTCTTCAATTAAAATTAAATGTAAATGTAACAACAGTAGTAGCAGCAGTAGTAACTTATTTCTCCAGAAAGTTCATTTATATAGAATAGTTTTATGCAATAACTACCTTTTGAAAATATTAATACTGCCAGAAGCAATTATTCATAATTTTTATACAGTGCAAGGTAGGATCCAAACTAATAATAAAGCGGAGCAGCAAGTAAACATGATTTAGATTCGGCTGAGTAGTAATAATTCGAAAGAGCTTGTATGCTTTTGTATTCTGATTTGAAAAAAGTCTTGTAAATTTTGCTAAAAGATGCCCAAAAAAATCAAGATTTTAGTTAAATAAATCTCCTCTTTTAATATCAACAAGTATATTTTATAATTTAATCCCATCAATTTTAAATTTTTTATTAATTAATTTAGGAACTAGAGGAAATTATGAGCTTTAAGAACAATATAACCTATAACTTTTTATTCATGAAATTAAAAATATTTAGAGATGAAAAAAAATTAAAAGATCACATAGAAAAAATGTCATTTTATCAACTTTGAAAGGACACATTAATTTTTATAATGTTTATTTATCGAAATTAATAAGAGTCAATTTTAAAAATATTAAAATTAATTAATTAAATAGTTATAAAATATCTACAAAATAAAAGAAGAAAACTAAAACAGACTTAAGCTTACAAAAATATTTATTTATATTTTAAATAAAAGTATATTTATTCAATTTTAATCAAAGTTTAATTGAAATTGATGCAAAAAAAATTTATTTAGTTTAAAAATACAGTTGTTGCATAGCTAGCCACGAGGATATTAAATGCAAATTTTTTAAATAGGATCAAAAAAATAGCCATCAAAGCATGAGCTACAAAATTTCTATACATTTAATCATTTTTTTTGTGTTTAATCTTGAGTATATATCAAACGAAAAAGATTTTAAAAAATACTATTTTTAGTAAAATAATAAAATTAATTTTATAAGAGTAAATTATTTATAAATAAAATGCAAATATTAAAACCTTAGAGAATTTGAAAAGAGTAAAAATCTCTCAATTGATTTGTTTTATAAAAAACTAGCTTTAAAGTCTTTATAAAATTTAACAAATTAATTATTTCAAAATGAATTTCTAAATAAAAGAATTAGTTGTTCATGAAATTAATTCAAATAAATTTAAATAAATCATTTTATTTTAGAAATAAAACTATTTAATTTTAATTTTGAATATTGAAAATGAAAAAAAATTACTTTTAAACTGTTGTAAACAAATTTTAAAAGAATAAAATTGAAATATAATTTGACTTATCATAGATTTTTAAAACCACTAAATTTACTTAATAATTTAGAATAAAATATCTTCACTCAAAAATTAAGAATATTAAATGATTCATACATTGAAATATTCACAAATAAAAGTATTTCTAAAAGTATAAAATTTTGATAGATTTTTCCTTTTTTATTCATTTAAATACTTATTTTATGATAATTTAATCACTATTTCTTAAAAATTATATTTTTGTTGTATTTTACTCTTCATTTGGTATTTTAGTGGCGATAAATAACTGGATCAAAATGTTTATTAGATCAATTAACAAAAATTATACTTTTTAAACTGCTTTTTTTATTAAAAATTTAAAAATATTAAATTTATAAAAAGCTAATCAAGATAGTTAAAAAATTTATTTATTGATTTATCTATTTAGATATGAGTGAGAAGTTTGATTAATTTTTAACATTTATTGAAGAACTTGAATTAGAAGAGTATTTGCCTGCAATAATAGAAAATGGATTTGATGATTGGGATTCACTTAAAGAACTGACTGAGGATTTAATTTATAAGTGCGGGATTTGCACTGAAGAAGTAAAAGTTTAGTAGATAATTGCATGCATTAAGGGAGCAGAGTAGTATGAATATTAAAAAAAGGCACCTTAGCAAAAAGAATAAATAAAAGAAATAGTTAGAAGACCTAACGAAGTATCGAAGGTAGATATAATAAAATCAGCCTCTAAGAAAAAAGATAAGGATGTTGGAGATAACAAGTTTTTAGCTAGTATAAATGTGCTCTCTATTACAGATAAAAATTTTTAATACATTGGAGAAGAAATCAGATTTTGCTAAAATTTAAAAACATTGCATTTATTTTCAAATCAACTTATTAAATTGGACAACCTCTAATCACTAACTAAATTAACCACACTTTAACTTGATAATAACTTCTTGACTAAAATAGAAGGATTGAATACTCTCATAAATTTAGAAAAATTGTAAATTGATATTAATATAATTAATTTTAAATAAGAGCAATTTAAAATTATCTTGAAATATGGAGATTAAAATAGTATTAACCAGGAATTAATTTATAAAAAAAATAGGTATCTTAATAAGAATAGAATTGCTAGGCTAGAAGGATTAGAGAATTGCAGCAATTTAAGGGAAATATAAATTAACAATTAGTAGATTGGCGATGTAGTTTTTACTTTTGATGAAGAAAGCATGAAGGGAATAGGAGAGAGTTTATATTCTATAGAATGCGAGAAAAACAATATTTAAGAAATAGATTCCTTTGTTTACTTAGTAGGATTGGCAAAACTTAAGATATCAAATAACACCATACAAAAATTTGATGTAAATATTCTTATCTCCTACTAAATAAATAATTGATTATGAAATTTTAATTTCTATTTTATTTCAAGAATTTACTTGAGCCTCTTTCATCAATGAAGTATTTAAGCGAACTTACAGCTAAGGGAAATCCTATTTCAACCATTTAAAAATATAGAGACAGAATTGTCTTAATGTCTAAATCTTTATGTAATTAATTATTCATATTTATTTATTAATTACATTGAAGCTTAAATGAATATAATTATAATAGAATAGCTTGATGACAAGAAAATATTGCCATCAGAAAGAGAGTTTCTTCTCAATTTGTGGAGAAAAAAGCAGTAATATTTTTAGATTCTATAATAATAGGTATTATATTTTAATATTTATTAGTGGTATGCTTGAGGAAAAAAAAGAAGATCCAAATGAGAAATCAAAAACAAAAATAGATCCTTCTAAAACATTGGCTTCAGTTGAGGGAAAAATGATTTAAGCTATGTATACAGACGATTAACAATTTAAAAATCCATAAAATTATCAAAAGTTAAATGTAGCCAAAGATGTAAGAGGTAACTAAGCAATAACAGGCACTAAGCACATTCCAAAAATATAATCAAGGCCTTCAAATTAATTCTTCTGAAACATATTTAGTTAGTTAAAACTAATTTAAAAATTTAAAATTATTCTATTTATTAATCTAATATAAATAGTATATTCTAAAATTAAAAAATTAACAAAAAAAAATGAATAAGCAGGTTTATTCAACTAAATCATAAAATTATTTGAAAGACTATTTAACCATGAGGATTTTCCATTGAAGTGACTGAAAAAATTTTTATTAATTAGTATTTAGATAACATTTAAAATTAATTCATGAAATTGTTTATTCATCTTATTATAAGTATTTTTAATTACTAATTCTAAAACTGAAATAATTAATCATAAAATAGTTATAATTTATGAATATTTTATTTTAAATACATCAAATATATAAAGAAAAAATTTAATTTTATAATGTTTGTTAATTTATCAAGAAAGTTATTTGATATGTATTTTAAAAGTGTATCATAAAGAATGAAATTATTTTCATCTAAATAAATTATAAAATCATATTTTTTACAACATAATTTTATTTAAAATATTAAATATTTAAAAAAGATATTTTTTCTAAAATTTATTTGCTAAAATTTAAATTTTGCAATTAAAAAAATTACTTACTATATATCCATTTAAAAAGGATACTTTAATCAAAACATTCGTCTGTAAACTCTATAATAAAAATATTATTTTTAATATATACTTTCTATTTTGTTTATTTTTTATCTACAAACATATATTTATAAAACGAAATAATAAATTCATATTTTTGATATCATAAATATATTTTTTTTAAAACTAATCTTAATGATTTAAGACAGATGTTCTTTAGTCTCAATTTTTACAATTAATCTATTTAGTTATTTCTTTTAATATAAATTATAGTTAATTAAAATCAAAATTAAATAAAAATAAGGTTTAAATTAATTATTAATAATAATTTAAATTAACAATAAAAAAGTAAATAAATAGCTGATAAATAAAAATAAAAATGAATTAAAAGAATTTAATTATTTAATTCATTTATTATAAATATCTGAATCAAAAACAAATAATAAAAATGTTAAATTAGAAAAAGAGTTAAATTGAGAGAAATAAATAGAACTAAAATCAAACTTAAAAACTAAATAAACCAAAGAAAAATCAATAGCAAAAGGAATTAATAGAATCTTATTTTTTAAATACTTTAAAAACATTAAAATTAAAAATACATAAAATATTTTTACCCAAGATTAAGCCTCAAAATTGAGAGATTAGTGCATTTTGCTAAAAAACAACCTAAAGATGATGCACCAATTGCGCTAATTTAACAGCTACTTTTTAATTATTAAAGAAATATAATTATTTATTTAGTTAGTTAGTAGGTAAAAATGAATAAAAAATATCTAATAACTAAAGCAAAATTAGAATGTTAGAAAATGAATAAAATTAAAAGAAATAGAAGTACAAGAAGAATAATAAATAAAACAAAATGCCAATATTTATTCTAAAAATTAAATTAAAAGAGTTTTTTTGTTTTAAATTCATCTATATTATTTTATTATAATCCAAAACAAATAAACTATTTTTACTAGAAAGTAAATGCCAAATTTGTCAGATTAGTGCATTTTTCAAAAGCAGAATCCAAGCCTAATACACCTTTATCACCAATACTATTAAAACTTTTTAAATATTGAAGAAAATATAATTTATTTGTTAGTAAATAATAAGGTTAAAATTAAAAAAAAATGAAATAATAAAATATTAATTAACAGAAAAAGATGTATAAATTATAATAAGAATCAAACAAATCAAATGAAAAACTAATAAATAAATAAAGTAAAAGAATTTTATTGGTTTAATCCTTTTATATCTCTAAAACATATATATTATTTTTACCTCAAATCTAAGTTCAAACTCGAGAGATTAGTATATTTTGGAATAACAGAGCATAAACGATATGCGCCAATTTCACCAATAAGCTAACAACTAAAATAAGGTGAAAAAAATTAAGAAAAATATGAAATAATAATAAATTTAATTAATTAATTAATAATCAATCAAAAATTTAAATTAAAAATCAGATAAATTAAAAGAAGTAATTAAGTACAGAATTAAAAGCTAATAAATAAATTAAAAGAGTTTATTGTTTTAAATTCATTTTTATATAAAAATATCAGAATCCAAAACAAATAAATAAATAAATTAGCTATTTTTACTTAAGATAAAGATCTAATTTTAAGAGATTAACACACTTTGCTAAAGTATAACTTAAATCTTATGCACCTTCATCACCAATTTCATTTTCTCTTATTAAACAGAAAGAAAAAATATTAAATACCTTATATAACCAAATGCCAAATAAAAATCTAGTGGTTTGGATATTAATGAGTTTAAAATTAAAGGTAGCTATTTTTTAAATTTTATTTTTTTGATCCTAACTTAAATTAGAAAGCAGAAGGTAGTGAGAAATTAATTAATAGTCAAATAAAAAAATGAGTAAAACTAAGAGAAATAAACTTTCAATAAAAAAAAAGCAAATAAATAAAATTAAAAGCTAATAGAAAAATAAAAGAAAATTCTTTTGTTGTTCTAATTTAAAATTTATTAATTATATAAAAAAATACTCCTATTCAAATAAATTAACCATGCCAAGGTTAAGTTTTAAATTTTAGAGATTAGAGCAATTTATTAAACCAGAACTTAAACTTTTTACTCCAAGTGCACCAATTTAATTATCACTTTTTAAATATTGAAGAAGAAGAAAAAAATTAATTTGCTTGTTTTGTTAATTAGAATGAAAAAATGAAGAAAGAATATGAAATAATAAAAAATTAATTCATAATGAAATTAAAATTTGAAAATTAAAAATGAATTAGATAAATAAATTAAGAGAAAAATGAAGTATAATCAGAATAAAAAAGCAAATAAATCAAATAAAAATCTATTAAATAAACTAAAAGAGTTTTATTATAAATTATCCAATCCAAAACAAATAAAGTGTTTTACCTAAGATTCAAATTCAAACTTTTGAGATTATTACAATTTTCTAAAAGAGAAACTAAGCCTGATGCACCTTCGTCACCAATTTAATTGCTTCTTTTTAAAAATAGAAAAAATATAATTAATTAGTTAGTTATTTTGAAGGAAAAAACAATGATAAAGAATAAACTAATAAGATAGTAATTAATAATCAAAATATGAATTCAGATTTAGAAATTAAATTAAGAGAAAAAGAAATACTAAAATAAATAATAAACAAATGAATCAAATAAAAAGCTAATAAAATAGAGTTTCATTGTTTATATAAATAAATATTAAAATCATAAAAAATAAAAAATTTTTTACAAAAGATCAAGTAACAAATTTTAAAGATTAGTGCATTTTCCTAATGCAGAACCTAAGCTTGATGCACCAATAACATTAATTTAATTATTTCTTTTTAAATATTGAAGAAATCTTGATAAATTAAAAGTAAATAATGAAGATATTAAGAAATTAATATTGATCAAAGTTAAAAATTATAAAATTAATTAGTTAAATAAATTAAGAAAAAAAGAAATAAAATAAAAAAGCAAATAAATGGATTTAAAAATTTTAATTGATTTAAATTAACGTTTATGTTAAATGAATCCTAAACAAATAAACTGTTTTTACTAAAGAAAAAGTTTCAATTTTGAAATATGTGTAAAATTTGCTAAAACAGAACCTAATTCTAATCCAACATCTTCATCATTTTAAATGGAACTTTTTTAAATATAAAAAATAAGAAATAAGTTAATAATCAAAGAAAAGCTTAAAATAAATTAGAATATGAGTTAAATAAATAACTTTTTACTTTAGAATAAGTTTCAAATTTGAGAGATTAGCACATTTTGCTAAAGCACCTAAGCTTGATATACCAATCGCACCAATTTTATTGTCACTTTTTAAATATTGAAGAAAATATGAAATAATTATATATATAATAATCAAATAAAATTAGAAAATTTGAAAATAAATTAAATTAATAGTGAAAAAATTAAAACCAGAATTAAAAAACAAATAAATCATGATTTTTATAATGTTAAATTAATTTTTATATTAAAAATATCACAACACCCAATAGAAATAAACTGTTTATACCTTAGATCAAGTGCCAAATTTGAGAGATTAGTGCACAATGTTAAAGTAGAACATAAAATTGATGCACTTTTTTCACCAATTTAATTGTAACTTTTTAAATATTGAAGAAAGTATAATTAGTTTGATAGTAAAATGGAAAAAATGAAGGAAAAGTTTGAAATAATAAAAAATTAAACAAATCCAAAGAAAAACTAGTAAAAATAAAAAAATTTTCATGATTTTAAATTAAATTTTTTATATAGGAACATCACAAATCGAAAATAAATAAACTCTTTTTACAAAAACTGAAGTGTTAAATTTGAGAGATTAATGCAGTTTGCTAAAGCAGAACATAATCCTGATATATCTTCGTCACTGATTTCTTAATTCCTTTTTAAATTTTGAAGATTTTTTTAGTAGTTAGTTAGAAGGAAAAAATATGGAAAGATAAGAAATAAATTTATTTAAAAATCAAAAGTTGAAATTTAAAAAATGAGTTATAGTAAGAGAAAAATAATAACAAAATAGAATAAATTATAAAATAATCAAATAAAAAATTAAGAATATTTAAAGAATAACGGTTAATGTATTGTAATTAGGATCATATGCCATAAAATAGATAATTAGGGTTTTTTGCATAAAGAACATTATTTAGGACCTGGTCCTAATTAATAAGTTTATTATTAAAAATCCTAATTAATAGAAAAATTGTATCATATATTTAAAAAACTTCATAAATATATTAAAAATTGCAATATTTTAGAAAAAAATTATTTTTAGTTTAATCTTAAAGTGCTTAAAATTTATTAGAATTAAATATTTTATTTGTTTAGGGTAGACTTTTAAGATCTATTTTTAAAATAATAAGTTTAATATAATTTGTTTTTTAATATAGTATAACTCCTTTTAAATTGGAAAATATTGGATACCCTACCAAAACTTTGTATTTGGCAAAAGTAAAAGAGGTTTTTTATTAATAAACATATAATAATTTTTTTATAAGACTATGATAATTTTATATAAAAAACTATTTAATTATTTCAAAATTCTATTTTTACAAATAATATGTAAATATTTATAAAGAATATCTTCACTTTAAATTGTATTAAAATTAATCAATCAATTAATTTTCTAAATATATAAGTCTATTTCTTAAATAAAGAAAAATATTTGTGAAAATTTATATATGTAATTTGTAATCAAAAAGTAATAAAATTTATTTATTATTTGATTGGTCCAATATGAAACACCACAATCAATTTTTAATTAATTTTATTGGCTATTAATGAATTAGATGTTTTTACAATAATAATAAATTGAATACTATTGAGGAAATTAATTATTAGCTTTCAACAGTAAGTATCTTAAGGTTCATACATTATTAAATTTCTTAATAAATTATAATCAAGTTTTAGCTAATTAATATTAATTAATTACAATTTAACTAGATTATTCAAATAATATGGAAAAGAATTAGTAAAATCAAACTTCAATTGACACAAGTGAAGGTTTTTATTCTAAAACTCCTGCTTCTAGATTAGCAAATAAGGAAATACTGAAGGGGAAGAAGTTAAATGTGCTTACTATTTCAAAAAAGCTGCAAAAAAAAGATATCGAGCCAAATAAAGTGGTTGAAATTAATACTATGAAATCAGAGAGCAGTAAAGAAGATTTAACAAAGGAGGAGCTACCTTCTATATAAAATAGGCTTCAATAGAATGTGAGCTCTAAAAGTCCATACATATAAAATAAAGATACGTGCTAAAGCGCACTACTTAAAAAAAGTAAGACTAAAAAAGATGATACTGAAAATTAAAAATAAGATCATTCTTAATCTGACAGTAAATCTAAAATAGAATATATTTTACCGACAAAAGATTTGAATTTGTTCAAGAGACTTGAGTAAAAGGCCTTTAAAGTGATGAATACAATGGATGAAAAGATGATTGATGCTCTTTAAAGAAAGGAATATGAAATTGTGAAGAGTTTTTAAACAATTATAAAGAGATTAATGGATGAGTTGAGTTCTTTGAATGAGAAATTAAAAAATGAAAATCTTGCTATGCTAAGAGATAGCACTATTAATAATTTAGAGAAATAAGTAGCTTTTTTCAGAGACCAATCCTATCAATTGAATAATTAGATAAAAGATTTGGAGTATGAGTATAAATTAGTCATGCAAATTAATAATGAAAAGGATGAAGAAATAAATAGTCTTTAAAAGGCGCTCATAAATGTAAAGGCTAAATTAATTAACAATTCTGCAATATTAGATCAATAGCAACGCTCTTAGTCTCCAATGAACTTAAATAAAAACACAAATTCTTCATTGCTCATAACAGAATGTAATTTTCAAAATGAAAAAATTTAAAAAGTTAATGCTTAAGAAACAAGTAAGAAATCTCAATCACCTTTAAGAAATAATAGAAATAATGATCAACTAAATTACATTCAATCTGGAATTAAAAACGAAGAAAATGATTTGTATGGCTAAACCAACTCAGAGATTTTAAGGAGATAGCCTTAAAAGACACCAAATAAAGCTAATTCAATTCAATAAATAAAATCATAAACAAAGAAGGGATCTCCAACAAGTTGCTAGTCTGTAATGGTATCTGAAGAAAATACAGAAAGTAACCATAAAATGTAAAATTTTGATTAGGGTACAAGCTAAAATTTGATAACTCCTAATTTTTCTATTGGAGGAGTTTTAGATGCTTCATTGTATATAGATATAGAAGCACTTGTGAGTGTATACATTTAAGATAAGGAAAGCCAATAAACAATAAAACATGCCTTAATAAATTTTATATCAAATAAGCTTAGACCTAAAAATTAAATTATTTAAAACTTATAAAAGTAACTTAACGAATCTAAATAAAGTTTGGCATATTTTAATTAAATTTAAAATGGATAAAATGAACTGGAAGCACTGTTTGTTGCTGCTGTGGAAGATACAAAAGCTCAAGTTTTGAAAAGAAACAATTATCAAAGTGGTAAATTCACCTCTTCAGATAGAATAGATATTATATATAAATTTATGTCCTCAGAAAAATTTTTGTAGATTGTTCAAGCGAAAATATTTAACAAGAAATGCTGTGAAAATCAAAACTGTCTTTTCAACATAAATACAGTTTAGAAGAAAGCTAATTCTCTACTAAAAGAATATGGCACAAATGAATAAATAAAAAATTTGTATAAAGGTTTAAAAGATTTGACAATTGACGAAAAAATAAATAGCATCTTTGATGTTTCGATGGAAAGAACAGGTTAAAATTCTCCCAAAAGCAACTTTGATTAAGAAACACAGAGTCTCTTATAAAAATGGAAGATAATGAATAATATTAGTGGGAAATATAAGAAAGAAAACAGCAAGTCAGCTATGAACAATAGTACCTTTAATGACTCTAAAGAGTATTCTTCGTTGCTGTTTGATCAAAACTATTTAAAGGAGCTACAAAAAAATCAACAAAAAATATATAGAATGAACAATTAATTCAGAAGAATGTTTAAAGAAGAAAAAATTTAAGATAAAGAAATAGATGAGAGATTAACTGGTTTCATAAATGAAACTATGCATAAATTGGATTTCGATGATCCAAAAAGAAAAACATCAGATTCCTAACCAAACAATTAATTTTTGAACTTAAATAATACTTTAACATCTACATTTTCTAGTAAATAACAACAAATACCTTAAATTCTAAATTCAACTGAAAAACCCCGTTCACACTCTATAAGAGTGACTTACAGACATGGAAAAATTTACAATTGAATGAATATTATTAATAAATAAAATCTAAAAATAACTTACTTGTAAATAATTCTTTTAGAAATATTGATTAATAAAATCATTAAAAATATGATATTATTAATTGATATATTAAAAAATAAATTTAAATTTATTATAATATCCAATTATATAATTAATTTTTGTGTAAATATTTAAAAAACCAGATATATATTCACTTTAATTTTATAAAATTAAACTTTTGTTTTTCTACTAAAAAGGGGTTTAATCAACTTTAATAATAGTAAATACTTTTGATTAAGATAGTAAATTTCAATTATTAGTTATAAGATATTCAACGGTATGTATATTTATTATAAATATTAAATAAGTATTATCTAACTTTAAAAATAATAGAATTTTATTTATGTAGTAAACTTAATCATTTTTTTAGCCCTAAATAGCTTTAGTTGGTATAAATAAGATATATTGTTGTATTTTATTAAATAATATATCAAAAAATATAAGATTTAATTCATTATTCAATAAAATTGTATTTTAAATACTCAATTTTTTATATAAATTAGATTCATTTTTATATAAATATATTAATTTTTTTTATGAAGAAATATGAAAAAAAATTTTAGAAGTTTCAATAAAAATGATTTTGAATTAAACAATCATTTTAGAAATATTCATAGAAAATTAATTAATAGATTTATAGAAAACATGTATTAATAAAATCCATTATAGCTTTATCTAAATATCTAAAAATGCTTAATAAAGGAAAATAAAATTATAATCAGTTATTTTATAATGTTATCACTATTGGGTATTCATTATTTTAATTTCATATCGCAGTGGAGATAATGCTTCATATCATAGGTGTTAGTGGCAAAGAAAACATCATAAGAAAGAGTATTATCATGCAAACTAAATACTCTTTTAACTTTTGTCACGTATGGCTCTTTAGCTGAAGAAGTTCTAATAATGTCCTTAGAGTTAAGCTCAAGCTTATTGCTTTAACTAATAACACCTTCTTCTATTTCACATACACCGAAAGGATGACTTAAAAGGAGCTCAACAACTCCATTGTTGGGATTAAATCTAAAATATCCAGTTTCAGCATGCAATGGTATGTTATCAATCTATTTTTAAGTTGTTTATGTATATAAGTAAAGGTTAGGTTTTATTTAAGTAATGCTAATCTATTCATTGTATGCTAATCCCTTTTCAACAAGCTTTCCTTCTCCGGACCATTATCCAGCCATAAAGAAATGATGATTTACTTCAGCCATTTTTATTTATAACAACTTTTTTTTTGTAATTTTTGATATTTTAATTTTCTAATTAATTAAATTAAAAAGATATCTCAATTGTTATTCCAAATATTTAATTTGAGAAATTACTTAGAGATTTTACTTATTAATTTTTGATATTTTGTACAATAAATAAATATCTTCTAAGATTCTAATGTGGCTTTATTGAATATTAACGAATTAAATTTCATTCTTAAAAAATAAATTTTTATGGAATGTAATATCACTAACTTGAAAAGACGTTTTGCACTTTAAACTAAGCTATTACTTACTTAGCTTAGAGTAAGAAAGAGTATTTGTTTTAATTTATTTACTTGAAATGAAATCTATGAAATTATAATTTTATCAATTATTTCTAAAAATATTTTAAGATAAAAATGAGAAATCATTTTGAAAAATTGATACTTTTATATTTTATGTTTATTACAATCTGATCTATTATTAAATAAATATATAAGTTGGCTGATAATAATTATTTTTTGTTTATATTTTGATAAAATATAATTTAATTAAAAAAAACCTGATGTTGGTTGTAATAATTTATATTTATTTTTATTTTATTAAGTTCAATAAAATTTAGAAAGCAAAGATAAACAAATAAATAATTATATAAATAGGAATATAGATAAACTTATAGATGGCTGAAAAAAATTAGATTACATTAGGGTATTGGAATATAAGAGGTTTAGGTTAGCTAAGCAGATATCTTCTTGAATACACTGGTCTTAAGTACAAGGAAAAGAGATATTAAAAGCTTGAGGAATGGTTCTAAAAGGATAAGTAAGGATTAGGAATAGAATTTGCAAACTTACCTTATTTAATAGATGGAGATTTAAAATTAACCGAAAGCCACGCAGTAAATCTGTACATTATAAGAAAGAGCGGCAAGAATGAATTGCTAGGAACTAATCTGATCGAGGAATCTAAAATTAGAGAGCTTATTGGATATTTAGAAGATTTTTTCAGATAAATATTAACTTTGTGCTTTAATCCTTAATTTAGTATCATTAAGTAACAAAAGTATAATGATGACTTTAGCCTAAGATTGCAAAGATTGGAAAATCAGCTCACTAAAGACAACAGAAAATGGCTTAATGGTCAATCACTTAGCCTTCCTGATTTTATATTCTATGAAATTAGTTAATACATTAAAGGAATCTATCCCGAAGAATTTAAAAAACTGCCAAAAATCTAAGCCTTCCAAGCCCGTTTTGAAGAAATTGAGTAAATATAAGACTATATGATGTCTGAAGAGTACATTTATGCTCCATTCTTAGCAGTTGGTCATGGAGCCTAATGGACTGGCTTAAAATAAAAATGATTAAATGAAAATATATTTAAATATAAATGGTTTTTAATTATTTAAATCGATATTTTGCATTTAAATTTCAAAGAATTCCTGTAATCAGTCAGTTTTTATTTTATGTTAAACAACTCAAATTTGTTTCAGTTTAGTAAGTAGAAAAAAAAATATAAAGATTTTATTTTGTTTTATTTTTTGAAATATTGTATTTTATTTCAAAAATATTAAAAATATTTTTATTTTGTATCCAGCTTCTATTTAAGTTAAAAATTAATTTTTTAATTGCTAAATTATATTTTATATTTTTATTTAATAATTTTTTTATAATGAACAAAAGTAACTTATTTAGTTAAAAATATATAGTTAAATTTATTGTTTCTAAAATAAAATTGATTTTATCTTTTGAAAAAATTTTTTAGCAAATAAATTTCTACTCCTTTATATAAGAAAGATTTTACTTACCTTGAGTTACAAAAAAATATAGGTTAGTTACTTTTATTTCTGTAATCAGTCAGTTTTTTATTTTATATTTAACAAGTTTCAGTTTAACAAATCGAAAATATTAAAAAGATTTTATTTTCTCTTATTTTTATTTTTTGAAATTAGAGTGTAAGTTATAAAATATTTAAAACAAATACTTTTCAATTACAATTTTTTTTAAAGACTTATTTTTTAATTTCTAAATCAACATTTTTTATTTAAATTAATCAATAAATTTTTTTTAAACATCACAGACTAAATTATTTTAAAATGTAAAATTAGTTAAGTATTGAAAATGATTTAAACTTTTTGTTTCCAAATTAAAGATTTTTTATCACTAGAAAAAGATGATATGTATAAAAATTTTTACACCTTTCTTTAAAGGGAGAAATTTACTTACCTTAGGCTATCAAAAAAAAATACAGGTTATTTAATTTTAACTGTACTAATAATTATTTTTGCTCTTGGTAAATGAATCTTAACAACAAAGTGAAAAAATCTCTTGATAATTTTCTATTTCTAAAATATTTTTACAAAATATAAAGTTAAATTTTGTTTTAAAACTCAATTTGTGTAAAAAAACGAGAATATTTTATTAACTTAAAATCTAAATTAAAATTAAGCTTAAAATTAAAGTTTTTAATTATAAAATTTTATTATTGGCTTTTTTTCTATTAAAATAGAATATTAGATGCACATTTAAAAAGTTTTAGCATATCAAAGCATATTTTGAGGTATTATCTTGTAATTAAATAAAGATAAAATAGATTAATATTTATAAATGTTTCAATAAAAATCAAAAAGATAAGAACTTGGAGAAATGAATAACTAGTATTTGACTAGATTAAAAATAAAGTCATATTCATTTTTATTTAAATGTGAATAAATTCCTACTAGTTGATAAAAATTGCTATCAAAAGGATGATGTAAACTCAGTATTGCAGCATGAGTGACGAAAGAGAAGTGTTTTATTTTTATCATCTATTTTTCTTAAATATTTGAGAATTAAAGTACCTACCAGTGAGGGAAGGAATTATTTTTATCTTCGAAGTACCAATACATATAGTGCATGTAAATTGTTTATATAGTTTTACAAAATTTATCAAATTTTGTTTTACATTATATTGAAGAGTAAAATTTTTTATTGCAAAATCAGAATTTTAAAATTACTAAATAGAAATAAGAAATGATTTTAGTTATTTAAATTTATAGGCAGCTAGCTATTCTTAGGTATGCTTTGTATTAGGATTCATACAAAGCTATTTATTTACATTTGAAAAAAGAATAAAATTAATTAGCATCTTTTAAATATTTATGTTTAACTTTTTTGGTGGGGGTTTAACATTTTTGTTATTTATTGATGAGGGTACAGTATGCATGTATGTAAATATACATGTAATTAAATTAAATGTTTTTTTTTAAAAAAAAAAAACAAACAAAGATATAAATTGGTGGGTTAAAAGATATAAATTGATTGATTAATTATTAAAATTAACATGATTAACTCATTCATTCATAAATCTTCACTAACTCTCAAATTTAAAATCTATTTTCTCTATTAAATCTCTAAAAAGATACTTATTTATTTGCTTTAATAACAGTCAAAAATATTAAGTGTAAAATAGTTAATTTAATAAATTATTCATAGAATGTATTTTAATTCTTAGAAAGTTCAAAATTTAAAGAACCATCCCTTCACAGTATTCATTATGGATTTTAGAAATTTTTAAAAAATTTGTTTGTTTGTTTATTAATTTATTTATTTATTTTTTAGTTTATTTGTTTGCTTGCTTGTTCGTTTGACTATTTAGTCAATCTTTAGAGATTATTGAAGTATTTCTATTTTTTGTCTGCTTTAACATTTAAAGAAAAATCTTACTAACTATTAAGTTGAGTAATTTTAATTGTAGAAGGGGGGACTTTTGCTTTATAGGTAATGAGGAAGATTTTTAAGATAGAAGAAAAGTTGGTTGAAAAAGGTGGGAGGTCAATTGATCATAGAGTTAAGTGTTCGAAAATGAAATATAATATTATTTTGCTTTACTTCTATCAAAATGAAAATTCAAATATCTTATTATTCAAAAGAACAATCAGTTGAAATATTTATGACTGAATTAATGAAAGAGATAGTTTGTAGACAATAAATGTATGAAAATATATTTTTGATCAATAAAAAATTTTTAGAACAATATAAAATAAATTAAATAAAATTTGAATGTTCTAGCTAACTAGCAGACTGCATATCTATCTGATTAGCTATATCTTTTGGTAATAAGGTTTCTTCATTCATTTTAAACCAATAATTAATTATTACCTAACTAGCTCGGACGTATCTTATTCAATTCTGTGCATAGATTTTAAATTTTACATTAACTTTTTAGATACAGCTAATCCAAATAAATAGTATTAGCTCTGCCTTAGTGCTAAACTGATAAATTTTATGATTAAAACACAGAACGTTACATAGAAAATCAACCAATCAAGAAAAGAAATAAAAAAAGTAAAATAAAATAAAGAAATAAGAATGGAAAGATAACAACATTAGAGGTGATCAGAATTAAATGGGATTAAAATAAATAATATGATAATTAGTTTCTAAAATACAAGATTGGACACAGAGTTTGATGCGCTATTTTGATTTCAGCTTTAAGATGATGTATTATAATTTAAATAGCTTACTAATTAATAAACACTTATTTCGTTTTGATGAATCTATAAATATATATTGAAGCTTGAAAGTTTACAATCATTTAAAAACTGTAATGAAAAGCTTTTTAGTTTCAAATTTAGTTCATAGCTGGATTTAGCTTAACAAAAAATAATCTAATACAGGAATTATAATTTTATTTTGAATTAATATTCCTATTTTTAAAATAAATGTAAGTAAACAAAAGCTTTGCGTATTTTCTCAGAAATATAAAGGAAATGATGAGATTGTTAATTGAAATTCAAATTAAATTACACTTTATATAATCATCTTGATTGAAGATGAACGAATATTAATTTTTTCTATTCATATGAATAATTCTGAAAATCAAAAACTACTGACGAAATGTTTATTACATCTGGGATATTATCTGTGATTGATTAAAATATTATTTTAATCAAAAATTAATTGTTTTTAGTTAATTGATTAGTTAGTTATCTATCTTATTATAAAATTAATTTTGATTTTGCTATTTTTATACTACATAATAATAATGAATGAGAAGAGTTTTATAAAAAAATGCTTAAATCCAAAAATCCCATAAAATTGTTAATTATAATTTATCAGTTACTTGGTTTATCTAAGAGCGCATTCTAACATAGTGAAATTATGTCCATTTAATATTAATGTTAATAGAACATTTTATGAAATAATAAAAGAATATCAATTTTTCCTTGTTTTTCAAAGGCTGCAAATTTCAAATAAAGCATTCAAGTGTTATATTGAATTTTTGCTCAAATATGAATTAAATTACACTTTGATATCCCAATGCATTACTCTTAAATTTTAAATGAAATTTGTTACTTTCCAAATTAAAAAGATATTTCAATTCCAAATAAGTATTTTTGATCATTCAATTTAAATTCCTTTTATTTTAACTATCATGTATATCTTTTTTATCTGCTGTTCTTTTTGGAAATTTTCCTCATCCCTTTTTAAATTATTATATTATGTCTAATAACTTTAAAGTTAAGCACTCTAGTATATCTATCTATTGCTATTAGTAACTGGATCCCCTCCATAGATTTTGCTTGAGGAAAACAATTTTTAAAAGATTTGTACTAATAATAATGCTAGATTTAGCAACTTTTTGTATGATTTAGTTTACATGAAATATAAAACAAGCCAAGTTGGATTATTTTTTTAAATTATTCAAATCTTGTTTTCAAAAGATGGATAATCCTGATTTCTTTTATAAACTAACTAGTTAACATTTTGTATTTATTATGAAAATTAAATAGAGTAGTTAAAGATTTACTGTTATTTAGTAAAAAAAATAAATAACTCTTTTATAAATCAATGAGAGGGTGTAATTACTATCTTAATGGATTAAAATTTTTTGAAAGATGCTAATCGAAATAATATTTTTGATTGTATAAATTAAAAGAAATTAGAATTGAAATGTCAATATACAAATTTAAAAGATAGATTTACATATTAATAAATGGTTTTTATTATTAACGAGATTTGATTGAATTAAGATTACAATTTTTATTATTATTAAGTGGTAATTGAATAGTTTTTTTTCAAAATAAATTTATTATTAAATATATGAAATGATATGTTATATTTGATGTATGCGTGTAGAGAAACAGACGAGGAGATAGAGAGTGTGTGTGTTTGTTTTTAGTCAACTCCTAGTAAAACAGAAGAGTTTAATGCTATTACAAAGCGCCTGTGTTTACAGATTAAGTTTGTAGCATTAAAATATGTTTTTTAAATTAATTATATGAGTTGAATACAAGTAACTAAATTTCATTACAAGATTAGCAACCAATAAATAGATAGATGATAAGGTTGCAATTTTCAGCTTTTGATATTTAATAAAGGATTCTTTTATTTCTTGAAACTTGTAACCTGCTTTACTGAGTATATTTTTTATAGTATTTTCAGATAAAATTGATATAATAAGTAATAAATATAAATTTTGTAAGGTGAGTGTAATTGAAATTAAATTTTATAATGATTTATTTTTTATGGTGAATAAGAAAGCACTATCACACATCACTTTTGTTCATTTTATTTTTGATATAACTACTTTGATTTTATTTTTCTTTATTTCAAGCCATAAAGACTGACGATTTAGTTTATTGAGAGTGATGGGTAGGGAGACTGAGATTTCTATGAAGTTATGGATAGTTAGGTTAATATTGTTATTATTATGATTAAGTTGATTAAAGAAGAGGTATTTACAATTATGCATCATGCTAAACAACATATTCAGGTTAATTTTAATAGGAGTAAAAAGGAGCTGCTACTGCTGCTGTTGCTGCATTTTGCATGGAAGATGAAAATGAGTTCTGATGCAATTACTGCTATTATTATTATTACTGCTATTGTTATTGCTACTGGGTGAATTACTAATGATAATTTATTTGGGAAGTAGTATTTTGGGAAGCAGAGTTCGGGGAGGGAATGTACAGGCCATACATGGATGAATGGTTTGCAAGGAGATCATTTTGTTGTACGGAATTTTATTAGTGGTGATTTTGGAGATGATGGCTTTGGTGAGAAATATGGTACTGTTATTGCTATGATATTTACTATTGAGATTACTATAAAATTTATTAGTGATCATGCTCATCGTATTAAATTTTTGGTAAAATCTCCTTTATTTGGTTCTAGTTTAATTGATTCATTTAATGTTCGTCTGAGTATTCATAATCTTCTGAATTTCTCTTGCTTCCTGGGATATAAGCGCCAGGAGCAGATTTATGCACACGGGCTATATGCTCTTTTAAGCTCTTCTTGTGGAGGTACGCTGATTTACAACCTTGATAATTGCATTTAAAGTCTTTACTCTTAAAGTGGAAGGTTCTGATGTGAGTTTTCAAATTTGAGAGCTATTTTATTAAAAGATATTTTTAGATCAATAAAGAATTTTTAAATTAGTTTGATGAGCAAACAAATGAATGAATAAATGTAAATCGCACAAATGAATGAATAAATGTAAATCGCATATATTACTCACTTAATCATTCAAAAATTAATTAAAATATCAAATGAATGGAATAGAAAAAGTACCTTTGTATAAAATTTGTCACAGTCTGCGTAGTTACATTTGTAGCATTTTTCTTCTTTTTTAATTTTGTTAGAAGGAGATTTGCTTCTAACGACTAAAGGGATGTAGGGACTGTGAGCGTATCCTACCTTAGCTGAATCAGGATTGAATTGCATTTAGGGAGAGACTTCTCTTTGTTGGTAGATGTGATGATGCAATTAGGGATTGTTGCTTGTGTATCCTTACTTTTAAATAGGTTATTGCAATCTATTATTTTGCATTTGGTGGTGATGATTTATGCGCTGTTATGTCTTCAATTGGACTTCTGATTATTCAGCCTTATTATTGTTTAATTAAGAAAGAATTGTCGAGTTCTAAATAAATTGCTATGAGTTGTTTCCTATCATTTAATCGCTTTAATTAGCGTAATTGCTTTCAAGTCCTACATTACTATTGATATTTGCATTATTATTAGCGCTTTAGCTATTCATTTGATCATAATTACTTTGTAAGTTGTGGTGAATTTCTTGTGATTAATTAGCAGTCATCATATTATTCAAATCTCCTTAATTCATATCAAGATCAACCATAATTCCGTCTTCTTCCATCTTTTGAAGTTGGAAAATTGATCCTTTACGATAATTTTTAGATTCGGGGATATTCATTGAAGGACGACGACTATTGAAAGAGTTTTCCTAAAACAAATCTTTAAAGATAGTCAAATTTCCATAATCACTGTTGAAGCTATTTTTACGTTCTTTAAAATCGTGAATTGTGAATAATTCACTAAGCTTTCTACCGTTAGGTCTGAGTGAAGGACTTTTGTAATACTATTCATAGAGATTGCCCTACCCAATATTTTGCATTCCTTAGTTACCAAAATTTCCATGAATATCACTTTAGTTGTTCATGTCTAAATTGATAGTATCGTATTCTTGTTTTGGGTCATGCATGTATTCACGGTTTACTTCATTGTGCATGTTTTCATAGTAACCTTAATTATTACTTAGTTGTTACTACTATTATTATTATTACTATTGCTATTCTGAGAGGTCGTTGCTTGATTTAACTCCCTCTTTCTTCTTATCAACAGCTGGTTCCTCTACTTTGATGGGAACTTTATTGTTAAATGCTTCTGTGATTTTTTATTACTCATTTAGAGTAGCTTAAAGATTAACTTCAGGCATGAGTAACCCTGTAATTTAATTAGAGGAATTCAATCCAAGGCTAGGGTTACTGAAGGAAATATTCTTTTCTTTAAAGGTGTATGGATCTTGAGAATCACTCTAAGTGTTTAAGCCATCGAATGATATTTTAATTATCTTTTATCTATTTGCTCCTTCTGCAGATTCGCTAATAACATTTTCTTGCTTAGATTACTTGTGTTGATCATTAATGCTGCTCGATGCATTAATTGAGTTTTATTACTTATTATTAATATTATTACTTATAGGTTATTAATCCCCGCTCAAACTAAAATTCTAATTTTCTAAATAGTCAGGTTTAAATTTCTTTTTTATGGGAGGCTGAATCTAATTATTTAAAGATACAGCTGAATTACTATTCATAATGCGATTTGAAAGTATATTGCTGGTACTGTTTGTATTCAAAGACTCAGTTGGTCCACTTAATTGAGAGCTATTAATGTTTTATTCGCTTATCTTAGATCCTTGATTTGCATTGCGTGAGGATCCATGCTATTAATTTAATTCATTGTTATTTTAGGACATAGAAGTTGTTGAGTAATCTGTGTTGGCATAATTGTAGTTTCTTTAACGCTGCTTTCTAGAAAATTGAGATATATCAATTACTGGAATATTATTAGGCTCATGATGTTGATCATCGTGGAGCATAGGAATGTGATGAGAGTTCATTTAATTTTGGAACATACTATCTTCATTAACTAATCCTTGCTAAAACGCTTCAATGTTATTTAAATTGCTTTTTCCCTAAGATCTTTCAGCATGATTCTAATTATCAGAAAGATCATTTACATTTAAATCTTACATCATATTAGGGTTTGCTCCTACATTTTCTAATTCCAAATTTAGTTACTTAAACTTTTCTTCGCAGTGATGGTATTCAAGTTGTCCAAGTTTGAAGAAAGATTTATGGCATAGCTGACAAGTTAGAGGCTTCTTTTTACCGTGATCATAGGTAAGATGCTTATTTAGAGAAACCTTCTTAGGAAACTTAGCATCACATTCAGTACATTTATACTAGTATTCTTCTATATGAATAATCTTGATGTGCCTCTCTAAATGATGCTTGCAAGTGAAAGCCATGTAGCATCCTTCGTAGCTACACTTGTGTGGCTTAGGATTCTCACTGTGAGAGATTAAATGGCGCTTTAAGTGTGAGTTTCTCTTGAAATTCTTTCCACACTCTTCACAAACGTATTGCTTGATGTTCATATGAGTTTCACGAACATGACGGTTAAGCTTGCTTTTTTTGGCGAAAACACGCTCGCATTATTCACATTTGAATGACATTTACCTGAAATGTATTTCTATTCTCAGTAAAATATAACTTGCTTCTAAGGGCTAATTAGCTTCAGTATTTGTAAGTATGAAACGAGACGAAATGAACGTAGGCAGGTAAGTTTTTTGCTACTTGTTCTTCCTCTTCTTTTTTAAGTGAATCTACTAATTTGTTTTAAAAGACTTTGTTAATAAATATCTTAGAAAGGTAGAGGTATCTTATGTACTAAGCGCTTAAGTTATTAAGCAAAGAAAGAGAAAAAGGATTGAAAGGATTAGCCGCAAGGGCTTGAAAGAGATAACAAAAATATTTTGTAAGATTTTTGTAGAAATAAAAGTAGAAAATTAATATTATTTTTTACAAATAGAGATTTCTGATGAGATTCCTATCAACCTCGGTACTTTGAATTAACCCTGAGATTTATTTATTTATATATTTATTTTTTGAGTGTCTTTTATTAATTCTTTTGTTTAATCAAAATTTATTTTTTTTTAAATCAATCACTTCGATTTCTTTTTTAGCTTGACTTCTATTTTTTAAAAAATGAATAAAGAAATCGGGTTTTTGCTTTTTTTTAATTAAATATTTAATTTTATCTTAATCTTTGAGTCTTAGATCTCTTCTACATATAAGGACCCCCACCATCATTCTCTATTTCCTTTTAGTAGCATTTGATTAATGTATTTAAATGATAACAATATAGATCCTCATCTCAAATCACTCTGCTTTTTTTTAATTAAGAAACAGTCAGATTCAATTGAATTTAATTACCCAGTAGGGAAAAATAAGAATTCTACAAACAATATTAGCTACTTACTATTAATAAACAGGTCAATATTTAGATTTTGGCCAATCAAATATATTTTTTATGAATTATGAGCAATCCTTTTTTTTAATTTAATTACTTTCAATTTATTCCTAATGACATCAATTAAAAAAATTCTTTTTTCAGACCATAACTTGCAGTAGGCGTAACAAGCTTTTTTTATTCCTTCAAAAAACTATTTTATAAAATAACTCCTTATTATACAATAAATTCTTACTTTCAAGAATATTACAAAATCCTAAAACAATGTTATAATATAAATGCAGAATTATTTAAACTTTCTTATTTTTTTTCGTTTAAGTAATTGAAGCTAAAAATTCTTAATTTCAAGAAAATAGTTTTGAGTTGAGATATTTTCCTAATCAAACAAGTATTTTTTAAGATATAATTACCTTACAGAAGAGTTCAGACTATAAACAAATTTAAATAAACAAAAATAATATGCTTTCAAAGCATTTAATGAAACTTTGTGTAAGACAATATCTATATAACTAATTATATAAGAAATGTTGTCAAATATCGATGAAAAATAAATGTTAAATCTTATTAGAATAATTCGTAAGACACTTTAATCAGTATATCAAATTATTATTAGATAATAATTCACATAACTGAAACATACAAACTTCCTTAAATTTCTTCAATTTGCTACTTCTTCTTTTGATTTGAGCTCTACTTCTCTTTAGTGCGAATATTATTAGAAATAGATTCACTGATTTTTTCTATTTTAATTATTTTATGAAGGTACCAAAAAGAATTAAGCCCAAATATCTTCTAAAAGTCTGACAACATTTATTTCAAATCTACTTTTTTTGTTTTTCATTAACATTAAAATGTCATTTGAATTCATAAAATTTTTAATTTTAGCTCAATCATTGAGGTAATAAATTATATTATAAAACTCCTAAATGAAAATAAAAAGCAAAAACTCCTGATATATTTTATCATATTTGATCTTCTATAAATGCAATTCTTCCTTAAAGAAAAAGATTATTTGTTACGTTTACTTTTGTTTCAATAACAGATATAGCAATCAGTCAAAACAAAATATAAAGCTGCATAAATTTGTAATCTAAAAATCTTAATTAATTTCAAATAGTATTTTCATACATTTTATAAATATTTATACACATACATACATACATAAACATACCTAATTTCTTTTATTATAATATTATATATAACTCACTTAAATATTTTTCTTACATTTTTTAATTCAATCAGCATAATATATATTTATCAATAAACAATAGAAAGATATTCTTAAGGATACCAACTTTCTTTCTTTCTTTTTTAAACCAAAATTAAAATAAATAAAAGTAACAAATATTGCAAAAACAAACAAACACTCAATCTTCTTATACTTTAGTAAGTTTTTCTTTAATAGTCTACCTAGTTTTTGCTAGTTTTTGTAAATTTACAACACTCAGAAAAGTCTAGCACTCCATAGCATTAGATTTCATAGCATGGAGAAGACTAGTACTTAAAGCAAGATCTTTATTGTTACTGTAGAAAGCTCTATTTAGATTTATTTTAAAAATTCATTAATATCTATATGACAGATTTTACATATATAAATATTTTCATTGCTTTATTTGGTTTGAAATTTAAATTTTTTTTTATTTACTGATTTGTTAATAATCAATTTCGTGATTTGGTTGTAACTTTAGCTGTGTAAATTAAAAAAGCCAATAAAGATATATATAATTATCTGCTTTATCTTTAAAACAATCTTTGCCAGAGAAAGGAGATAGTGAAAATGTATTGGTAATATTTTATTATAATTCAAATAAGATTTTTCTATTCTTTCTTAAAATAAAATAAATCTTCTTATTAAGTCAAATAAAATCATCAGAAATCAAATATTTTGAAATTCTTTTGGCTTTCAATAAAAAATGAAAAAAATTCAACCTCACCTTAAGGTCTAAAGTTGTTATTTGAATGTAAAAAAGTATTATTATTGCTCTGTATTTATTTTTAAAGTGTTTGGAAATTGATAGAATGACAATTGTTCTTTTAACGAAATAAAACTTATTTAAAATATTGAAAAAGTAAAATAAATAAAAATTAAATCTTTTCTGATAAAATCTCTTAATTTATATTTCATGAGTACGTATTTAATCATCTTTCCACTTCCTAAAAATCTAGATTGTTCCTCAATCGGAAATATATCTTTTGCTAAGCTAATAAAATTTATTTTAAAATAATCTAAACCGAAATATTTTATTCCTTAGTTTTTAAACACTTATATTTAAAGAGTTTTATGAAGCCATTTATTTTGTTTGTTAAAGTATTCAAACTCTCCAAAACGTTTCGAAAGTTCCAAGAATTTCAATCTTTTTAAGTAAAAAGTTTAGAATAAAACCTAACCCCTTAAAATTAATTCTATATGTCAAATAAGAATAGATATAATATAATATAATCCTTCAAAATTTCCTTAACCTTGAACATTTATTTACACACTTTAAATTACAAATTTTAGGTCAAAATTTATCATCTTGATAATTATTTTGATATTAATTATGAATATCCCCAAACTCTTCAGTCCCAGTAAAAAGTGCAAAAATGTAAGACAGAGGATAATAATTCTAAAATTTGTTTACAGATGATTAAAGAATGTTAAAAATTAAAAAATATCTTTAACTCATAGTCCTTATTTGTAGTATTTGTTGATATTTAAAAATAAATACCTTTTTATTTAAATTACAGAATTACATGCTAATTGCATCACATTTAATTAGATGTTTATGTAATTCGACGTGTAATTAGATACCCTTTGTCATAGTCGATTTCTCGAAAAATCAAACCAAATAATTTCAAATAATTTATTATTAAATTTTTAATGTGAAAAAGAAAGAAATCCAAAATCTTACAACTGCTTCTGTTTAGGAGGTCCTCCAGCAATACTATTAACAGATCTTCTATTTTAAAGCATAGCTGTGTCTGAGCTAAAGAATCTGTATCTTTACTGATTCTCTCCTCTTATTTCTCTTTCCTTTTCAGTTTCATAGTTTTCAATCATATTATGTAGCAGTTCTTTATTGCGTAGATAGTATTTCTAAGAATCTTTATTATTTAAGTCAGCCTTTTAAACATGTAAAATAAAATTTTATTAACTAATTTAAATGCTAAAATCTTATTCAGATAAACAAAATAAATAAATGGATTTGATTTTTAAAAATTTAGACATATTGTCTTTCATATATTTATTACCTGGTTGTCTTACTTTTCATCATCTCCTTTTATGGTGTCTTCAGTTATGTTAGAATATTGCTGAGCAAATCTTACTCTGTTGAGTTAGGGGCTTTCATTCTCGGACATATTATCTGTTTTTCTCTAACTAACAAATTAAAGTAATGTGCTGTTACTATTACCAGTGATGCTTTGTCTGTATCTATTTTTTAGTATTTCTTACTGCTACTTTTTCAGCATCATTTTTTTCCTGTCTTTTAGAAGTTTTCTGACTCTGATCAAAGGAAATATGCTCCTGTGCTTTAGGATAATGTCTCTTAATGTTTCTTTTTTATTATGAGAGTCGTAAAATAAAGAATTATTTTATTCCTCTTCATAATCACTTATTTAGCTTTGACTATCTTTTGTTTCATTCATTTTTTGTTTCAGCTGATTTTTAATCTCTTAAATATCTTGCTTTCTATGATCTATCTTCTCTTGGACATCTAAAATAACTCCGTCTTACTAAATGTTTATTTAATAAAATTATTTGATTTTTTAATTCTCTTTTCTTAAAATTCTTTAAGTTAAATTTTAACAAAGGTTAGATGTCCCTTGAAAAAACAAAAATATTTTTGTTTGCATTGAAGTCTATTAAACAAAATTAAGGAATTAAAATAATGTGATGCTAAGTCATCTTATCAATCATTAATTGATAAAAATGCTTAAGTGGAGTAACTATTTATTTATTTACCTAAGCATCCAAGTAAACTGTTTATCTGAAGGAAGAAATATTCTTCATAGTTGAACTATCTAATTTTCTTAGCATTGGACGAATAAGATCTTCTTTCATTTTAAATTTAAGCATTTTTTTTCCAAATAGCAAATTCTTTCTCTGGAGGTCATCCTTTCTTTTCCATTCCGTGACGTCTTTCTTAATCCTTTTGATGTTTTTTAATAAATAAATTAATAAGTATAAATAAAATTTTAAAGTATTTTCACTAATAACCCACCGGTAATTATCAATAAAACAAATATCCCAATCTTATTTATATTTTTAACTCTAGCAATTATAATATTTTTGATTAAAGAAAAATAAATGAATGCATCCCCCACCATTTATTTCAAATATTTTCCTAAATGGGTTGGATTCAATTTAAAGTTTAATTCATTTCAATATTTTAGCTTTGCTGAATTAAATAAAAATTTTAGGTTAACTTTTACAATCATCAAAAGTATTGATAACTTGTCATTAATTATTATCAATATCATAAATTTAATTAATTAGAATAAAATATTAAATTTTATTATATTTTGGAATTTTACTTTGTGTAAGATTTGGAGACAAATGATTTTTACAATGCTTTGTATATGTTCTGTGATAAATAATAATCTAGGTTAGTGAAATCTTTCTTCTGCTTGCCAAAGTTGGTGTAGTCAAAATTAGTCATATCTGTGTTTTATCCATAGACCATTTATTAGTTATTATTTGATTGCGAATTAGAGGAGAGCTAATTAGATTTATTATCACTATATGAGTATCTTTAATTAGAGTTATTATTCCTAAAATGTTGCTTGTCAGAGGATGAAAACGTACCTTTTTGTTTAGAAAAAATTAATTACTTTCATAAGCTAAAATTAAGTAAAACACACCAATTGGTGTTAAATTTGTTATTTTCTGAAAATTGAAGATATCAAATACCATTCAAAATAAATGTTTGGTAAAAATCATAGACTCTCAAATATTATTTAATATCTGTGTAAGCTCGATTAGATATTCATTTTGTTTCGAAAAATCAAAAATTAATTAAAAAATTGATATAAAAAGATACTTTGAGCAAGAGGACCTTCAACTGAAGAGGTAGTTTTAAATGTTTTTTATTTGAAACTCTTGCTTTCAGCTAATCCTTGAGAAGCTGCTACTCCTGCCCCACTTTTGCTTGTTGGCGATAAAGTTGAAGACGATGACGAAGGAGATTCAAATAGTTAGCTAGAATTTGCTTCCTAGGTGTTTGAATCTTCTTCTAATTTCTCCAATTTATCATTCAGCAGCAAATTAGAAAGCGCACCAAAATTCTCGTGATTGGTAACATCTTATATTCTAATACTCATTCTTCCATAATTGATGTGATAAGTGCTTTTAGAATTGCTTTTTATTCTAGATTAAGGCGTGCTAAAGCGACCTAAAGAAGCTGATTTATTTCTCTCCTGAAACTTATTTTGAGCCTTTGTTGCAGTGGATAGACTATTGGTAAAATCTTTAATGCCAGTTTTACTTGAAATTTAATATGATTTTTCATTACTGTTGATATAATTTGTGTTTTTAGTTGAACTACCATCAATGTAATTATTTGATACGCTTTAATCTTAAATAATATTCTTCTCCAAATTATTACTGCTATTGTGAGTTAAGCTTCTTCTACTTCTTTATTATTTTTTGTTGGAGGGGGTCTTCTCTAATATTTCATTGTTATTCTTCCCCCTAACTTCAATTTTACGTATATCAATTATTTTTTAGTTTTCTTAAATTGAGATATCATTACTCCCTGTAGTCTAAACTAATTCCTCTTCATTATTATATTCAATATGATTTAAGTTATTTAAAGTATTCGAATTCTAGCCAATTTCACTTTTTTATTTATTTTATCCATTTATTCTTTACAAATTATTTTATCCATTATTGCTGTTAGTGTAGTTTTTATGCGCATTTATAAGTTATGTGTTTTTGCTATTTATGATACTATAATTAAAAGGATTTTATTAAGAAAAAGATCTTTTATTTTATTTGAGTTTCTATTCATTTTATGCTCCATTTAAGTCATGGCTTATTTCTTTCATTTTATTGAACTACATTTCATCTTAAGTTTCTGCTTTTAATTTATTGTCATATGAAAGCAGCCTGCTCGAATCCAGTTCATAATTGTTAATTTAAGTAGGTAGCAATGTAATTGCCCTCTCTCTTTTGTCAAAACTTAAACCTTTTTAAGAACTATTTTCAATATTTCTACTTAAACTGCTTGTTTCTTGGCTTTACTTCTTCTTTGAAATAGAAGAATAAAAAGTCCTGAAAGAATTATCATCACACTTTTTAACAGGAAAAACTTTTTGCTAGTTAAGTTTCTTAACATTATTCTTAAAGTAGAGTTCTTCATCATACATGTTTTAATTTAATCTTATTTATTCTTTTTTTTCTTTCATTATTTCTGAAATTTAATACCATTTTTTATTTTTTAGAAGCTCTTTGCAAACAATAGACTCTATTTCAAGCGTTTCTTAGACTATTTTTGTATACTTTATTATAAAATTTGCATTTAAATACTTAAATCAAAATTTCAAAGAAAAATTAAAACAATTAAAGATTAAAATGATTAAATGAATCAATATTTTTTGATAAATAAATAATTTATTTAATAATAAATTACTTTTGTGTCTAACTCATGTTCAACGTGAATTAAATATCTTTTGAACTCATCTGTGTTATCGAAAAGTACATGCTTTCCTAAAAACCGAGCTAGCTGTAAAGTTTCATAGGAATACTCTATTTTCCACATTCGTTCATATAAATATGCAAGTGAGTATAAAAAGGATATAATTAGCTTAATTGATCTTTAAAATTTTCTTTGTTTTTAAATTGATTTTTCATCTTCTTCATCTTCATCGTTATCTAGAGATGGATTTGGGTCTATGTACTTGTACCTCAAAAACATTATCACACTTTTAATGCCATCTTAAAAAATATCTAAGGCTTTCTTGTATTATCCATGTTCTGAGTAAAAGTTTCCAAGTAATATTGTAATGTAAATATCCTTTTCAAGCAAATGGGAATTCTATTTAAGATGTAAAAAATTATATTTAATTAAATAAAAGAAAGTAAGTTCTATCTATTTATTCCCACATAAATTAATTTATTATGTAATTATTCATAATATTTTTATAAAAAAAATAAATTTTATATAATGAAAATAAATAAATCTAAATTACATTCAAAGTGTAGATCAATTGTATCATTTCTTTTGCCTGAAGTAGATATTTGAAACCCAAAAATACTTGGTTTTTGAGATTTTCCAAAAAATAATTATTTATATAGAGTTAAATTATCATGCAAAATAGTTTAGATATAGCATCTTCGTGATTGATTAAAACAATCAATTACTTATTACTCTCTAAAGTATTACGAAGCTATTCTTCTCTCAAAACAGATTAATAAATATCATTATAAAACATAAAACCCTCTATCATTCTTTGATTTATTGAATCTATTTCTTTTATACTTTGCAATTTTTGCACATCTTTCTACGTTAATTTGTTTTATATCACTTTATCCAACACATAGAAGATCCTAAAGTTTAGCTTTAGCTTATCTTTTGCTTCTAGCAAATCTATTGAACTGACGGTCAAGAACCTTTCTAAAGAGTAATAGGCCTTTTTGTACTTTTTCTATTAAATAAAGTTTTATTGAGATTAGTTATGCTGCTCAATCAATCTACCAAAATTCCAAAAAATGAAAAAAAAATTAAATTATTAAAATTTTTTACTTTTTTAATTTGAATTAAAGTATCATGCATTAAGATGTCAAATTATGCTCTTATTTTTTTAATTTTTGTGACTGGAGAAAGCAGCTAAAAGCCTTCTAAAGTATTTTAACTAGCCAGCATGCTTGATTACTATCAAATAATAAATATTGTTTTCTATAATTTAACTAGATATCTTATTAATTTGCTGCTAAAAATATGAATAGAGATTATTAAAAAATTTAATTAATTTTAAGTATCAGAAAAGAATTATATTTTTCTTTAACAAATTAAAAATCATCACACATACTCATACAAACATTCATAAATACATTCACATTCACATGAGCTAGATTAATAATAACCAATAAATTTTTAATAAATCATTCATTTAAAGTTTTTTGATCTTAATTTTACTTTTTTAATATTTTTGATATTTCTGTATTTTATTTACTATTTTGTTTTCTTCTCTCTCTCTGTTTTGATTATTGAAAAAATACAAAAAAATAAATAAATAAATAAATAAGTTATGACTATCCGTTGAAAAATTACAAAATAAATAAAAGATATTAAAATTTTTAATAAATTTATATTCTAAAAAAGGTTCTTTGCTTGCTGTTTTTAATAATTAAAAAATATTTAAACGTTTATTTTCAAATTTCAACACTAATAAAGTTTTTTAAATTATCTCCAACTAATTGGCAAAAATATTCAAGTATATCATAGAAAGCATTAGGAATATCTTTTCCTCCTTATGAGTTTTGACTAAAGACTAAAGTCTCAAGTCCTTTTGGATTAATACACTGCAGTACTCCAATCTTTTTTTAAACACTTTAATCAATAGGATCTAACTGTGCTTTTATTATAGTCGTAATAACAGGAAGTGAAGTATTTAAATCTATAGAATTGTTGAAAAGTGGATGCTAATATGCATTTAGAAAGTTTTCTGTTTTACAAGTTTGAAATATGTGACCAATAATACCTTTTTAAATTTAAATAGAAGATTTATAATATTCAATTAATTAACTAATTACCTTGGTCTAATTAGCATTTTTCTTCTTTTATAACTTCTTCATTTATAGCTTAGCCTTATAGAATGCTTAAAACCTGATCATCATCAACGAAGTATCTTATCAATTAATTTTGCTGCAAATCATAAATCCATATTCTAGCTTATTGGACATCAAATTTATCAATTAAAATTGCTGTTGAGCGAACAATCAAAGTTTTTATGCTTTTTTCTTTTGATAGATCGATACCTGTATTTACTAATGACTTTAAATTATTTCGATAAGCCTCTCTTTCATCATGATACAAAGAATTTCTTAGGACTGCAGTAGCTAATTAAGATATAATTATTAGAAGTGATTCATCTTCTTTTGTGAAAAAATCTCCATCTTTCTTATTTATTGCTTGTAAAACTCCTGAATTAATATGAAATAAATTATTAATTACTGCTGATTTTTAAAAGATTAACAAAATTAAATACCAATAATGTGACTTTGATTTTGATCTTTTATGGGCAAGCATAAAACAGATTTAGTTCTATAATTATTCTTTTTATCAGCATCACTGTTAAATCTATAATCCTAATGAGCATCTAATACATTCAGAATCTCACCAGTTTAAGCTACTTAACCAACAAGACCTTATCCTAAATATAAAAATTTATTCTTTAAAAAATACCATCATAAAAAACATATGAATTTAAATATAAAATATGAATAAATTAGAAAATTGAATTATTTTTAATTAATTATTTACCTATTTAAACACGAATAGGCTTGGAATGTCTTGCTACCTTTGTCCATAGCTCGTTTCTCTTGGGGTCAATTAAAAAAACTGATGCTCTATCACAATTTACGACTTGGCAAGTCTCATAGATAATTGTATTAAATGCATCTGATATTAGAATTGAAGAGTGCATTTTCTAAACTGAAAGAATTATTCGTTTTAACTTTAAAATCATTTCTAAGGAAGCCATCTCAATTTTTAAAATATGTTGCAAAGATTAAAAAAAATTAGAATATTTTTGAGGAGTCAAATTCATCATGAAATTTCTGAATTCTGTTTCAGTAACTGCAATTTTTTGAAGGAATCTTAAGGTGATATTTTCGTTATGGATTTTCTAAATACTTTTTTCGCCTTTAATTCAAAAATAAATCAACAAATATCATTATTAAATTAATAAAATACTTTTGTTCATATCGAGGAGAAGAGTATAAAAATGAAAATCAGAATTATGAGTCAAAAACTCATTTTTGATCGAATTACTTGTTGCTTCAGGCTGCTAAATGGAAATTTGTCTTTGCTTTGAATTTTAGCTTTAACTTTTATTTAATTCTACTTTTTCCTCTTTAAATTCAAAGAATTAAGACACTAGGGAGCTGGCCTTAGTATGGTGGTAGTTTATTGTCAAATTTTAATTAAATTCTTTTTGGGCCGTTTTCATCTGATAATTTGGAAATATAACTTTAGGCGATGCTAGACTTTGTGTGCTCTTTTATTTAGTCAATGTTTACAAGCTTTACTCTGTCATTAGATTTTAGCTGCCTTTTTTCCCTTTTTTTGTAGGAGATTAAAAAAGAAACATTGAATGTAGCTTCGCTTTCTGCAATTAAAGTTTTTAAGCAAAATTATATGAACCGTCTTTTTTATTACAGCTAAGGTTAGACAAGTCTGCAGAAATAAAGAATTTTTTAATGTCTTGCAATTTAGATTCTTCAGGTATATCGAATTATGATTAAAATATCTTTTTATTTTGACTCTCGTAAAGTTAATCGTTGTTTGTATGTAGTGTTTCACTTGTATTTGATATATTATTCTAATTAAATGTGGAAATTTTTTCATTTTTTTTACTATCTGACTCAGTTTGCTCATCTGTATTGAAAAATATTTTTTTATTACTTTCAGTGTTACTCTAAACAAAATTCAGTTGAGAGTTATTGAATTTTAATTAGAAATTCTTATTCCTGTTAATTACATTCTTCAGATGCTCAATTTATATTTGCTGCTTGGTTTGCTTGAGATTAACAGACTCTTTAATTTGCTATGAAATTTTGTAAAAATGTTCGTTATTTTGCTTTGTAAAACGTTAGTGTTTTAATTTAGTAGATTCTAATTCTAACAGTGTAGTTTATACTTTTTTTTTCATTTTTAAGTTCTCCTCTCTCATCAGTTGTATTACATCTTCTCTTTAACGTAGAGCCTAAGTTGCAATTTCTAATTTATTTATTTAATTAAATAAATTTTAAATAATTACTAATCAAAACTTTCATTTTTATTAATCAAACTAAAACGTATATTTGAAAAGTATTATTTAATTAATAATATTAGTAGCAGGAAATAGTTCTACTTAAGAGTTTAAATAAAAAGATTATTTTTTAAAAAACTTACAAAGCTAACTCTGCATTTTAAGGAACTACTTCTCTAGATTTTGCTGTTCATTAGATAGATTTAATAGCAATTTTTCAAGTTCAAATAGTATGAAAGACAAATTAGAATCTGTTTTCATGTAATTTTTTCTAATTGATGGTAATTAATAAATGAAATATTCAAGCTAAGTTTGAAAAGGTCTCTCAAAGTTTGCTTAAAAAGATGAAAAGTTGCTTTATAATGGTTTTGTATCTAAGGGCCTTGTCTAAGGAGTATAAGTTGAATTATTTATAAATGATTAGCCAGAGGAAGTGAAGTTTAGCAAGTCTACAGAAGATTTTTTAGCCTTTTAAAATTGCATTTAAGATGTGTAATGGCTTTCAATAGATACAGAATTATTTCTATTTTCAACTTGTACAGAATCATTTTCATTTATTTCATCTTGCACATTTTTACTATTTTCCCCAAAATAAGACATTTTAGTAAGTATTTCAGTGTTAGTTTATTGAGGATATTTAAATACAAAATCTATTTTATGGAAATATGTTACTGATAGATTTTACACTACTTTTAATTTAAATTTTAGGAAACTTTAATAATTATTAAAATTAAGTGCAGCAATCAAACAAAAACAGTATAAAAATTTTTTTAACAAAGAAGAAAAAGAAGAGCTTTTATTTAAAATCTCGAGAAATATAAAAATATTTTTTCTTTTCATTTTGAATGTTATTAATAATTATTTTTAAAGATTATTTAATTAGTTTATATAAAATAATTAAGTTTGATCATTGAATAAAAAAAGTAAAATAAAATGAATTCATAAAGAATAATTAATTAGTTACATAAAAAGCTATAAAATAATTAATTAATTAGCTGAAATCTAATTATTATTTTAAAAATTTTATGTATAAGAATAAACATGGCCTTCTGCTATGATAATTATCAATCGATTTTAATATTTTAAGATAAATTATAAATAAAAAAGCAAATTAGTTTTAACTTGTTGAAAATAATATAAATCTAGCTAATTTAATTTTTCTTCATAACAAAACAGTAATAATTATTTTAGGAAATAACAAATAAAATTAGAAAAATAAATTTTACTCTTATTTAAATACATTAATTTTTATCTAAAATTTCATTTTATGTTTGTTTCGTTTATATTCTTAATAAACTATGTCATATTTTAAATAATTATCTCTTCTATTATTTATAATTCACAAAATAATTACTATTTTTAGCTTTGAATTTACATATTTTGTAGAAATTGATTATAATCAGTAAATGCAGAATGAATACCTCCAAAAAATAATTTTTTTATATTAAGATTATAAATTTTAAAATTAGAATCTTAACGATTGATTGATAATAATTATTTCAAATAAAAATAAATATAAATTTATTTATTAATATTTCATTTTGGTATTTTAGTGATAATTAAAATGAAAATTTTATTATTTATTGAAATGATCACTTTACTAGACTCTCTTATAATAGCAATAAATTGCAAATTAATAAATTTTTAAGTGTGCAGAATTTTATTATTCGCTTAAATATAATTTATTTTTTCATCTTTATAGAAATAATTAAGTTTTTGTATAGCACACTGATATTTTTAATTTAATCTAAATAATCAGGACTGATACATTCAGTTAAAGTTTCAAAATATTTAGTTTGAATGGTAATAAATCATTCAAAAAAATAGGAACTCATAGATAATTTAAATAATAAAAATAATAAACATCAACTGTGATAAACTGATTGTCTCAATTAAACATTGTTTTTGAAAGTTCAGGTGAATTAAGATTAGAAAAAATGGAAATTTATTTACAAAAAAATATAAGCAATTTGATAAATTAAGTAATTTTATTTCACTTCATATCTAAAACACAGTAAAAATTTAACAAAGTTGATATACAATAAAAATTGGGTAAAAAATTAAATTTCATATTTAAGGGTCGTAAAGCTGCTTTGATAAATAGATAGATAATTAATTAATTTACTAATTAATTGTTTGACTGATTTTTTTGTTTTCATTAAAAAAATATCAAAAAGAATTAACTTAAGAAATTCTAATTTTTAAAAGTTATATTCAGCAAGGTAATTTATAATTCAAGGAATTATATAATAATAAGAAAAAGCAAGCAAGCAAGAAAGAAAGCAAATGAGTTAAGGACCACCTCAATCATTAATGATGGGCTCTCCTGTATTTTTAGGTAACGGGAAACATTCGGGGAGTTCCTCAGCGTTAGGGCTATAAACCCAGCCTCATACTTCTACATAAAAGAAAAAGTATTTGATATTTATAATTTTAGCAATACTCCTTATTATTTATAATCAATATGCTTAATTTTGTAAAAATAGTTAGCATAATTAATTAATGATTCATGGAGCTTAATCAGAAAAGCGTCTCAATAAAATTAAATTTAATGGCAACGGCAACAGCATTGGAGAAACTACTTAAAATTCAGCTTCATCAATTTCATACAATCAGTCAAACTAAAATTAAGCACCCTTTTTATAACCAATATCATAAGACAAAAATTAATAGTATTAAATGTATCCCTTAAATAACACCAATTCTAACTAATCTGGCACTATTAATTACAATGAGCCTAGGGAGTATTATTTGTAATTGCAAGTTGGAAATCACGCACAGTAGTAGTAACGCGAAGCTTCGAATGAAATGATAAATTTAAACGGAAGTTAAAATAACACTGCCCAATTCCAAAATTTAAACATAAACAATAATCTAAGCAATTTGAATATGAATTCAATCTAAAATGGAAACCAATAAGTGTAATCATTAGTATTAAAATAGCTCTCAAATTCAAGAAATAATTCAAGTCAGAAGCATTTGATCAATTAGAAAAAGCAAAGAGCAGATTCACAATAAAATCTTAAGACTCGTTTAAGCAACTAGAACATATCCTCTAACGTTCAGCTCAATAGCTCACAAAAAAAAAATTAAGCAGGATTAGGCATAAGTTTCAATAATTAAGGAACAGGAAATTAATATTTATGGAAGAATGGATTACACAAATCGTTTTTGTCAACATAAGTTCCATCTGGAAACTCAATTACTTCTTATAATGGAAATTAAGTAGGTTCAGCGTTATCTACTTAGAAGGCTGCTCACTAACTAACAAACCTATAACCTTTGTCGAATAGCTAACAAAGTGTGAATCCGATGCACTAGTCAGTGAATTTAAACAATTAGAGTGGCAATCCTCAGCAGCACATGCTCATGTCTTAACAGAATACAAACACACATTAATAAATGGTCTTAAATTTAATGATTTAACAATAGTAATAATAGCATGACTCTCCATAATAGCATTAATAATAATAAAATCAATTGTAATAGCAATAAATTTCATTGTAAGGAATTTAACAGCTAATTTCAAAGACTAATTAAGGAAAAGGAATATAGTTAGGCAAAAGCAGTGGAATTCCTTAATCAAATCGCAATAATGATTTAAGAAGCAGCTATGATTAAATTTAAACACAAAAAAACTCCATTATAATTAGTCGAAATAATCATTCCAACAATGAAAACATGAAATTAATGAATGACTTCTAAATATACACTCCCTAAAATAATTTGTTAGCAAATAACGAAAATTACAATTAAGCCAGCAATATAAACTCTACCAATCTTCCAAGCACAACAAGTAATAGCAAATAAAATCCATTTTATAACAACACAGCTACAAAAAACAATGGTGCTAATAGCAGTATAAGACTAAACTCAGCATCTAAAACAAATTCTCGTGGAACAGTTAGTGGAACCTTTAACACCACTTCACACTCTAATTTGTTAATGGGAATAAATAAAGGTCTAACTATAAACAACTAAGAAGACTCAAGAAGATAAAATTCAGCACCTAAATAATAAAACTTTAACATTCATACTTTTAATTAGCAAAGAAATTTCAATTTAAAAACCGAACCATCAACCGTTCCTATTTCTGCTGTTTAAAACATGTCCTCATTATAATAAGGAGTATTAGGTTCCTAACAAAAACTTTACACTTACGAAGGCTCCTTGAATCAATCCAAAGCCAACTAAAACTTTATAAAAATCGAATAAAGCAATGAAGAAAATATTTATAATTTATAGTTTTAAAACTAAATTTAATCTTCCTCTATAAAAAATGGTATAGCTTAACAGCCTTACAACTTAAACACAATTGATAATCAATCCTCTCAAGATACAGCTTCCTAGATGTCTAAGTAAACAAATAGCAGGTAATTAATTGTTAATATTTTATTATTAGTAATAGGGAATTCTAATTGCCTTTGAATTTTTAAATTCATTAAATTTCTTCAAAAATATTATTTTAAAACAATAAATGAATAAAGAAATAAATAAAAATGAAAGAAAGAAAAGCAATAAGTTTTAGTTGCAAAGTGTATTTTCTTAGAAATACAAAACGCATTATCAAAACATAAAAATTGATTAAATATTTAAAAATAAATTTAAATAGTTTAAAAATATTAATTAAATTTAAAGAAAGAAATTGAAAGTATTTAAGAAAAATAAAAATATTTGAATTCGACATTAAAAATAAATACTCAGAGTATATTGAATAATAAAGAAAAAAAAGAATTTTATTGATTAAATTATTTATAAAATTTAATATAAATATAAATAGCAAATAAGGAAACCTTAGCCAAAGAAATGGATCTAAAGAGTAAAAAGACAAGTAAACAGCATAGTCACTTTCTAAACAAAACACTACAGAGTAGTTATCAAAAGAGTAGTTGGATTAGGAGGAATCTTTAATTTTGAACAAATAGAAAATAATTCAAATATACTAGTAATAACAATAAAAAAAGAAAATGTCTATATTAGAAAAAGCTTTGAAGGAAGAAGATAGTGATAATGATGAAGATGAAATTCAATTAGATTTAAATGAGAAATATAAGTAAAAAGTTAAGAAAACTTAAGATTCAGATAGAAATTGCTAAATAAATTTGAAGTATAAAAATGAGACTATTCACTATGAGTTTAGGACTAAGGAAAAGAATGTGGAATGGTTATTCAACTTCATACTCCGTAGACTATACTATTATGAAAAAAATGTTTTAAAAAATGAAGATGAAGAAAATATAACTCAGAGTTTGTAATAGATTGTTTCTTTTGTTTCTTCGTCATAAAACATAGCTGTTACTTATTATTTGACTTAAAAAAAGAGACCTATTTCAATATTTAACAATAAATGCATGCACATTCAACCTCTTTACTATGATTTTAATTTAGATACTATAGATAATACCTTTTAGTATAGAGAAGTCGGACTTGAATCATTTCACTTGATAAGATGTATTGGGTTAGGTGGCTTTAGCAGAGTTTATTTAGTATAAAAAAAAGACACAGGCAAGATGTTTGCACTAAAACTTATTGACAAGAAGTTTATCATTGAAAATAAAAAGGAAGTTATTGTTTAGAATGAGCGTAATATTATGGCCAGCATTGCACATCCTTTCTTGCTTAAGTTAGAGTATTCATTTGAAAGTAAAAGCTATCTTGGTTTTTGTATGGAGTACTGTGCAGGTGGTGAACTCTTCTATCATCTTCGTCGTATTAAAAGAATGAGCGAAGAAATGGCTCGCTTTTACTTTGTAGAAATCTGCTTAGGAATAGACTACCTTCATAAAAGGTAAATTAAAAAATAAATATAATTTTTAATAAGCATGTTTGTTTGTTATTAAAATTATGAATTTATTTATGTTGTATTTATTTATTTTATAGGCACATCATCTACAGAGACATTAAACCAGAAAATATTCTTTTAGATCTAGATGGACATGTCAGGATAGGTAAATAAATAAATAAATACTATCAAACAATACTCTAATTAAAATCATACTATTAAATTAAATGAATAGGTGACTTTGGTCTTTCTAAACCGGATATGGATATTAATGAGCATGCTTATAGCTTTTGTGGCTCTCCTGAATACATGGCTCCTGAAATGCTGATGAAAGTGGGCCATACTTACACTGTCGACTTCTACTGTTTGGGAGCTTTACTTTATGAATTAGTATTTATTTTAAATATTAATTTTATTAATTAAATAATTTCTTTTTAATTTATGTAAATAGGTAACTGGTCTTCCTCCTTTTTACAGCCATGATACAGATGCGATATATTAAAGGATATTATCAGAAGATCTAGATTTTCCAGATCACGTTGAGCTCTCAATTGAATTAAAAAATTTATTAAAAGGATTGCTAGCTAAACATCCTCAAAATAGACTAGGTATCAAGAATGGTATCAGAGATATTTTAGCCCATTCATGGTTCAAGCCCATTAAAATTGGAGATGTCCTTGAGAAATTAATTGAACCTCCTTTGAAACCAAATGTTTTAGGTTTTAATTTTGATGAAGATGAATTTAACTAAGGAGAAAAAGAGTTTCGCAAAAAACTGTTAAATTGCTAAGTTGGATAAGATGAAGAGCATCTCCCTAAAATATTTGAAGAATTTTACTTCGATTCAAACTTAAATCGTATTAAAAAGTAGAAGCAACTTTAATTGTAACAATTAAAACAATAAAGAGAGTAGCAACAATTATAAAACTAGAAACTTTTACAATAACAATAATAGTAGAAATAGCAATAAAATCTTATTTTTCAGATTTAGTAGCAATAACTCAAACATTCATAATAGCAAAAAATTTTATAACAGTTAAATTCCTAGCCTTCAACAACTCAAGGATCTTACGAGATGAATAATTTCGTTTAACGTAAAGGCAGCTCTTCAAATAACCAAACATAAATAAGCCAAATGACACTCAATCAAACAAACAGCAGTCCTTACACAAAACTTGATACCGAGGGATCTCTGCCTCTATAGCAATTAAACTCTCATTTACTAACCCAGACAGGCATGATGAGACACAATACAGAAGTCAGTGATAGCAACAATACCTATCAAAATAACAATGGAAAAGTCCAAAATGAGAATTAAATTTATCAGTAATATTTATGGCAACAAGCCTAAGTTAATAATAATTTCAATAAGCCTACACATATGAAATAATCAAATAGCTTGGGCTAAAAGTAAAAGTCTAGTAAGTTGGTTTCGAAATAACACTTAAAGGCTAATTCTGCTATGAAGCTTTAAACTAATAATTTCATGAATAATTTTAGTCATACATCATAATAATCGCATCTTCTACTCTAACAGCATCATTAGTAGCAACCTCTGTAAGTTTAGTAATCAAATAATCATTATTAATAACAAAATTAACAAAATAACAAAAGATTAAAAACTGAAGAAATGGAATACAACGAAGAAAATAGTGATTAATAAGAAGATTAGGCCTATTACAATAGTTCAAACCGTATTTTGACAGACATAAATCGTCGTAGTCGTGCTTTGGTCAAAATAAATGGAACAAAATCTAACTAATTACAAAAAAATCCATCATCAAAATAATTTTCTTCTTCTTCAAGTAAGTCTTCTCTTTAAAATTAATAACACGGTCTCCAGTAGCATTCAATTGTTATATCTAATCTGAATTCGTATGGAAAGAATCTGGGCAACTCAGGTTAAATTAACTTTGGAGGAATCTAAGGAATTAATTTAAATGGTTAACAAATATCTGCTTAGCAATATAATTCATAAACTGGTAATTAGACTCAGTAAGTTAACGGAGTAAACGCTAACTTATCCCCAACAAAGAATATAATTATAAATAACACTGCTGTTTCAACTAAAATTTATAATCCACTTGACTTCATTTATCAGAATTGAATGAAACACTTTTCAAAATCTAGCATTTTATTAATAATTAATTAAAGATTTTATATAAAAAAAATGATAAGAAGGAAAGAAAGATAGATAAATAGACAATTATATGTTATAAAATAACTGATAAAACAAGTAAGTAATTAACTAAAATATTAATTTTTATATAAATCTTTCAATAATAAAAGTGATAATAATAACAATAAATAAATAAATAATTAATTAAATACATTTAGTTGTTTTTATTCATAAATATATACCTATTTATTACTATTTAGTAATTAATTATTTTCAAATATTTATTGTTATTTATTTATTTTTTCAAATCTTATTTAGATATTTATGATAATACTTTTTGGCATAAATAGATTCTTTATTTATTTGATATTAAAAAAATAAATTACTAAATATTAAAAAATTTATAATTGTTATTCGGTATATTAAGGCAATCAGCTTAAAAATTTAAATGAAATCCTTCATTGCATATATCTTTTTATTTTTTAAATAATTATATTAAGTTAAAAAATTAATCAACCTATAATTAATTGTCTTACTCTTTAAATTGTTTTTATTAATATTTTTTTCAAATATTTTTAATTTTTGATTATTTGCTTTTAACCTAAAAATCTATATCCTTTCATGGATGAAAAAAAGTTTATATTTTTAAAAAATTGGAATGATATTTTTTTTGAATTGATTTTAACATAAAAATATCCTTTGATGATTAAAAAAAAATATTTTTTTTTATTTTTGATGGGGAAAAAGTTTTTTTTCCTATTCAATTTTATTTGAAATTTTTAATAAAAAAAAAATTAAATATTACTGGTAAAGAAATTTTTTTTTTTGATATTCATTAATACACATATAAATTATTATTATATCTTTTTTATTTATTTTAATTACATTTTTTTGCAAAAAGCAAAAATCAACTATCATTTAGCAAAATATATTTTTGAGTTTATAATTTGTACTCAAAATTTAACGAGCAATTATTTGTTATACAGTAATTAAAAATCTGTTAAGTATGCATTTTTATTTCAAAATAAATATCAATTTGATTGATTGATTAAGATTAATCAAAGGTATTGCTATTTATTTATGTATAAAAATTATTATAGATATTGATTGATCTGGGTAGCATAATTTCATTAAGTTATAACTCATAATAACAAAATATTTTACAAATAAATATATCTACAATATAGCCAATCAATTTCACGCAAGGATAACATTTAATATTTTAAAATTTACTATAACCATTCGATTATGAACTTTAACAGGGTTATATAACCATAGCTTGGTATAAATAAAATAAAAAATATTCAACAAAGTCCAATTAAATATAATGTTATAAATTAGTAGAGTTTACATTAAAACATTTAATAAAATGGATATTTAATCCAAAATGGAAGCGTGTAAACGTACTTTACTCCTATTAAATAAGCTTAAAATAGATCAGTTCCTTAGATCAATATTACACCTGGTCCAAATAGCTCTGCTCAAACAATACAAATGAGTCCATTTTAATCATATAATTCTAAGATACTCACTGCTGCTACAGTAAAAGGGTTAAATGAAGTATCTTAATCTGGAAATTAATAATTTTTAATTTTTAACTAGTAACAAAATGCTTAGTTTATTTAAAATTAGCAAGATTAGCAATCAAACATCATGGAAATTACACGCTAAGTTCCTTAACCTCCTAAAAATCATCACTAAAGCAAGCGTATTTTTGATGAGGGAGAATAAAATAATACTTCTTATGGTTCTAAAATAAGGGCAAACTAATCTTCTATAATAGAAAATAACACATCTTTAGGAAACATTTCGTAAAGAGGAAATTTGAGAAATAGTTCCTTCATTCGTAATACTCAATATGATAAGGACTAGAATATATCTTAGAAATATCCTTACAATAATGTCAAACAAAATGTAAACTCTAAACAGTATCAAGGTAGTTTTATTTAAAGGAATTCTTCTCATGAGTAGAATAATAGAAGCACATCTTGCAATTAAGATGTGAACTAAAAAAAGACATAAAACGATTTAAATCAGCTTAAAAGAAATCTTGTTTTCGAAAAAATAAATAAATAATCATTTGGTAGTTAATAAAATGTTAATGTATCAAACCCAGTGATTAAGTAAAGCGATTTAATACCTGGATAAGGTATTAACAATAATCAATTCAACACTTAGCAGTAAACAATAAAGAGGAATAATATATTTGCTACTACCAATAGTAATTCAATTAAAGCAAGTAATAACACGAGTGGAAGTTTATTCATTCTTAATACTTCTTAGGACTAAGTTTCAAAAGGAATACCTTCTCCAAGCAACTATCAAAGTAACGACGTTCTTCAAACATAACAAAGCTAGATATAAAGCCATAATGAGCAGGAAAGATAAATTATTAATAATAACTTGAAAATAGATTTATCTCAAAATACTTTAAACGTTGTTAAATATACACCAAAGTAGGAAATTTTTAGCTTTGAAAATTCTTAAATATACATTGAAGATTAAGTAGAAACACCACTAGCACCTCACATGTTTCAGCATAATAATTTTACATAAAGCAACATAAACTCTTGTTAAAATGCAGATACGTTGAACTTTTTTAGTACAAATTAAAACGAATAAATGTCCAAGGTTTCAAAAGATAAAAGTAACTAGGATGAATTTAATTCACATGACTATAAAGTATCTCTGTTAGAAGTCACAAATAATGATACATATGAATCAAATAAAATAGCATGTTAGATAGCTGGGAACAGCAACAATGAAAAAAATGTTTATATCAAAGAGTTCGACTAAGAAAAGCAGTTATTTGATTAACAAACAAACAGAATTAATGAACTCTAAGCAGAAAACGTTATGCTCAGAAACAACCTTTAAGAAATAAAAGAGATGTACAATAATTCTCAGATAAACATTACGAAATTTTAAAATACATAGGAAGAGAACAATTAACTAAAGATTTAAATTTTACAATTATAGCTATAAAACAAAGAATATTTGGATAAAATCAAAGATTATGAATAAAAAAGTTCTAATGCTTATTCTCAAAATAATTATTTCTCTAATGAAAATAGCACAAAAGGAGAGAGAAAATCATAAAATTCTCTCAATGAACAGCTGAGAGAGCTTCAAGAAAAGAATGAGTTATTGTCAAAAGAAAAAGTTAGTTTGATGGAGTTGCTTCTCAACTAAGAAAAACTTTATAATCAACTTTCCCAAGATTTTTTAAAGCAGCAAAACTCATAGGAAAGTTAAAGATTTTCATAGCCAGCAGTAGCACCGTAGATTCAAATGCCTCATCCCAAATAGTAATTTTAACATTTTAAATAAAGTGATTTGAAATTTTTTTTGAACAATAAATTTAGCATATAACAATTAGAAGACCAGGTGAAGTCTTTAGAGAAAAATATAGAAACGTTAAAAACAGAAATTATAGACAAAGATAATTTAATTTAATAAATGTAATTTGATCTCAAAGATTCCTAAAAGCAGCTTGGTCTCTTCACAGATTAAATATTAGTCCTAAAGGAAAAACTTGAAAAAAAAGATGATGATTAAAGGCTACTTCAATTAGAAAAAGAACTTATATCTATTTAAAATCAGAACAAAAGCTTAATAGAAACGAACAGCAATTTATAAAAGCATATTGAAATGTTAGAATAAATCAAAACAAGTAAACCACCATAATAATTATAATAACAATAACAACATTAATAATAATAACAAGAATTTTAACCACCTCAACGTGTTTAATTAAGTAAATACTTTGACTAAAACAGAGAAAATGAGCTTTAAATAAAACCTTCTTTGGGTGGATAAGCGTATTTAAACAGTAACAGCAATCATATCCATACAAATTATTCAGATAAAACATACGTTAACAAGCAAAATTATGAAAAATTCATGTCAAATGGCAATAACAATTTAAACAATAAATACCAAAACGCGAAAAATCAAAATTAAATATTATTTACAGTAAATTCAAGTAAAAAGCTTTCAGTTAACAAAATAGAAGATTCTTCTTATAAAGACCCTTACAACTAAAATAAATTTTAGAGTTTGTATAATTGAATGACTTTAGTTAAAAAATATAAAATTAATATTTATGTTTAAAGATAGTATGTTGTAATTTACTTAAATATAATTGACTGATCTTAATTAAAAAATATTAAACTATCATGTATGCTTAAAGAGTAAACTCTTTAAAGTTTTTTTGTTGTAAACTTAATAAAATTGATTTATCTTTATTAAAAAAATATAAAATTATAATTTATTTTAAAGTTAATAAGATAAAATTACTTGATATAATTTATGTTTAAAGTTAATATCTATCTATTTATGTATATTTTAATTTAATTAATTTATCTTAAATATAAAAATGTAAAATTATAATTTATTTTAAATCTAGAAAGCTGTAAGCTACTTATATTTTATTGTTTTTATTTATAAAATATGGTTTTAATATTTAAATTTAATATCTTGTTAACTTAAAATAATTAATTGATCAAAAATGAATTAATAAGATGTAATCTACTTAAATATAGTTGAATCATTTTAATTAAAAAATATAAAATTATAATTTTTGTTTCAAGTTAATATGGTGTAAACTACTTAAACATATATAATTGATTTATCTTAAATAAATAATTATTAAATTATAATTTAAGTTTTAAGATAATATTATTCATTAAAAAATATATAATTTGTATTTATGCTTTAAGTAAATATGCATTTAAAATATATTTAAAAAAATTCATAAATTTTTATTAAAAAATGTAAAATGTATATTTATGTTTAAAATAATTAATTTTTTATAATTTACTTAAATACAATCAATCGACTTTAGTAAGAACATTTAATCAATATTAAAGTAAATATGTTGTAAGTAACTTTAAATAGTTAAAAAATTGAATTAGACAATTTTATTTACAAAATTATCCATTCCTTTGCTAGAATAATGAATATATTTTTTTATTTTGAAATTAATATTTTACTTTAGTTTACTATTTAGATTAGCATTAATTATTCTTTATTTATTTTATTAATTATATGGATTGTGATAGATTAAATATAATTAATTCATTAATTATTTTTATTCAATACTAATACGAAAAAAACCACAAATTAATATTTATAGATAGATAGACAAGTAATCAAATTCAATATACTTTTAAGCCTTTAACGGATATATTTTGTTTAATAAATTCTTAATTAATATTAAATATTGTTTTTTATAAGAAAAATCCGCAAAATTAACAAACAGAAAGGCTAAACAATTAAAAAAGAATTTTTGTGTAAATAAATAATTAATTAAAAATGAGCGCTTCAAAGCTTTCAAGGATGGATCAGCTATTAAGCAGGAATGCATCTATGTTTAATGAGAAACCTAATCATTATAGGAGCAACTCTTCATTTGAAAGCTAGCTAAATTTTGTCAAAGGACAATTAGATAGAAATTAATAGAGTACTTATATGCATTCAAATACTAAAACAGAATCCTTTAATATATTCAACAATAATTTAAATGTTCCTCTTACAAACAGATTACCTCCTTCAAATAAAAAATAATCTTACTACACACCTTAGAAAATTAATAGATAAATTCTTTCTTCCAGTATATATGAGAAAGAAAGCAGCTAACAGCGAAATGATAATAGCTGTAAAAATTTAAGAAACAATGATGCAGCTGAATTCTTTTAAAAAAGTGAATTCAAAGATATAAGTTCTATCAAAAAAAAGACTCCTACAATAGAAAAACACATAGATTATGATTATTATGAATCAGAATAATAGAAAATAAATGAAACTCCATGTTAAAAAATATTGAAATCATATGAAAAAGAAAATTGTTTACTCAAATCAGAGGTAAATCAAATTTTATTTGCTTTTTTTTAAAAATATTAATAAATATTTTACAGAAAAAATAAAACATTTTATTGATAAATTACATAAAATTCAATAAATAATTGAAACAGATGGTTAATTATGTTTTAATATGTTAAAAGCTATAAGATCACAATTAAGAAATGAAGGAAATTAACAGAAAGATAAGAGAAATGGAAAAAGAAAATAAGAAATTAAGGAATGCATTATAATAATATATTGATTAAGATGAAAAAGAAGAGAAGGTGAGAATTTAAAAGGAATCAGAAATCATTTATGTATTGAAAGAAGAAATTGCTAAGCAGCATGTTTTGAATACGAAATTAGGAGAAAAAATTAATTTTTTATAGCAGGTAAATTAATTCTTATAAAAAACAACTTTTGTTAATGAAATTTATTTAAGTAAAATGTAGAATTAGATTAAGAAAAAGAAAAATATTATAAAAAATGTGTCCTTCTAGCTAAAAAGCTAAAAAGTTTTTAGGGCGTTAAACTAGATTTGTAAGAAAAAATATGTAATATTGAGCCAGAACTTGACAAATAATAAATAAAAGTAAAGTTATACAGTTAATTTATTGACGATTTTAAAAATATTTTTTTAAAGAATGAGCTACTTGAATAAGATGCAAGACATTTGTAAATGGAATTAGATTTTTGGAGATAAAAAGCTGAAGATTAAGAATATGAAATGCTAAAGTTTAAAAGGTTTTTTAAATTTCTCACTAATGAATAATTTGAGTTAACTTTATTTTTATCAGAAATGATGAAAAGTTAAGAATTAGGCTGTAAGAATACGAAGACATAGAAGCACAAGATAAGGAAAAATAATTCTCAGAATTAAATTAATTTAAAGCTAAGTTAAAGTAAACAGAAATCGAAAATTAAGATCTAAAAGAATAATTAAAGAAATTGAAGGCTGAATTAGGAAATTCAAACTACTCAGAAGAGAGCTCTCAAGACATAATAGCAAATTTAAAAGCCAAACTTCATGTTGAAACTACAAAGTAAAATATTAAAAATAATTTAATAAAACAATAAATTTAGCAATAAATTATTCTCCAAATCAAGCAATATTCGAACAAATAAATGAAATAAAATTGTTAATATTTTAGTTAATTATCATATAATTTTGCAAGCAGAAGAACAAAACCTAAGAATATTTATATTGAATACATTTATATTTATTTTGAAAACACAGAAATATTTTAAATAAAAAAATAGACTTGAGAATATCACCCAAAAGGAGAAAGAACAAAGAAAGAAGATTGAGGAGTTAGAGAAATAATTAAAATAAATAAAGGAGAAAAATGATAATTTGGAAATAGAAAAAGTTAAACTTGAAGTTTAATAGTAAATAGATGAAGACATTGAAGGAGCTAATTATGAGAAAGTTATAGAAAGGTATTAAAATATTATTTATTTATCTTAAATTTTTAATTTTTTAAAGAATATTAAAGAATTAATATTATTAGGTCAAAAAATAAAGCAGAAGACATTAATAGAGATCAAAATTATATAATAGAAAAGTTATAGAGAGATTTATAAACAAGAGATATGGAGATCATGCAGTTAAAAGAAAACTTTGATAGTCTCTATTTGTAATTAATTGAGAATTAAAATATGCTCAAGGAAGAAATTAATCTCAAAAATAAGGTAGATTATCATTTCATTTCATTTCTTTTACTTCATGCTTCTTACATTTTTTACTGTTTTTTACATAATAATTATTAATTTAATTTACTTTTGTTTTGTTTGTTTTAATAGGTCGAACAAGAAAAGCAAGCTTAAATTATTGAGCTAAACTAAATAAAAAAAGAAATTTCAAAATACAAAGAAAATCTAGAAAACTTTAAACAAAATCTTACTGAATCTTAAATAAAATAACCTCGCAGTAGCAGGATATTTGATAATACTGATCAAAGCAATAACTTTAATGAGAAGATAAAACTTTTAGAAAGCACGATTGCAGATGTTTAAAATAAAAAGAAATAAGTAAATTAAGATAATTAAATGCTGAAATAAAGACTTTAAAGCTTAGATTGTTAGCTAAGTCATAGATCATAAGCCAGTTCATCTAATTTGTCTTAATAATGAATTATATTTATTTTAGAAGCATAAATAATTAAATAGAATGTATAAATGCAAAAAATTTATGTTTCTATAATTAAATTATATATCAAAAAAAATCTTACTTATAAATAAATACCATTCATTAATTTTTTGAAAATATTTATTTACATTTTTAGATTTAATTTTTTATCAATTTTTATTAAAGCTTTTATTTATGCCATTTATTTTTAATACCTTTAACTTTCTAATTTGTACTAAAAAATATTTTAATTTATTTTATATTTGAGATGTAAAAGCCAATATTTTTGAAAAAAAATTATTTTTATTTCGCCTTAATAAATGAGGATTTAAAATAAATAAATGTTAATTTAGATTATCTTTTAAAATTGAATTGAATCAGATTTCATTACAATGAATTTAAATAATATTCTATATTTTGGTTTTTTAAATTTTAAAATACTTTAATTTTTGAATTTTGAGAAAAGAGTTACTGTCCTCACTTTCTTTTTTCTTTCTTTCTCTTATCATATTGCATTTGTAAGTCAGTATTTAATATAAACAATTTTTATAATAAGATTTTTTTTACTTTCTGAATCAGATTAATAAAACAACAATTACTTTACTGTATTGTCTATTTTCATTAATTAACTTTAGATAGTTCAAGCTTTTAAAAAGAAATTAAGATAACTAAAGAAATAATCGTAGAATCAAACAAACAAATATTTAAAATGTAGTAATAATCTAGCTAAAGCTAAATAGTTTCTTTAAATTCAACAAATATTTAATCGGAGGAAGATAATTCCATAGACAAAGAAGAAAATAATAAGATTATAGCACGCTAGTAAGGTAAGATATGTATAAAGAAGGAAAAGAAGAGTTAGATTGATTGGGGTTCCTCTAATTATGAGAAATATATTGTAAACAGACTCTTAACCAATATATGTTTATAATCTTATTAAAATGATGAAAAGATATGATCCTGTCGAATTAGAGAAATACAAATATTTAGATATCCAGTCAGCAGGAGTTGGAAGAATAGAAAGCATCTAATTTAACTTTATAAATCTTATTAAAATTAAGACTATTTTGATCTTGCTCTACTTTTAGAATAATATCAATATCATGTTTACTAATAATTTAATAAAAGTATGTCCTAATTGGGCTTATAAGATTATAGCTTGCCTAATCTATAGACTAAAATAGATGAAGAATTCATTGATTTTGAGAGAAGTGTAAAGAATTGGGCTAACTAAACTCGAGAAAGTGAAATTATGATATTGATTCTAGGCAACATGAATGTAGAAAAAAAATTTCCATAATTAAAAAAATAATTATTTACACAAAATTTGATCAACTTTGTAAGCGGAGATCTGTAAACCACTTACGAAAAAATTATTAATTATAAAAATTATGATTTTCTAACAAATTTTTTAAGAGACTTAGATGAAATAGGGGGAAATGGAAGGGAGGAAATGGAAAGATCTAAATTTATATTAAAACAGTAAATGAAAGATTTTAATGAATTTGAGTTTGAGTTTGATGATAAAATCTTAACTTTGGATGGATTTAGATTACCTTGTAAAATAAAAGTCGAATTACTCTTCTATGATAATGAAAAGAAATAAATATCTAAGAAACCTGGGTTGTATTATTTTATAGTAAATCAATTAAATTTTGATCTGGAAGTAATATAGCATTTAATAGAAATGCGTCAGCAAAATCAATAAAATAGTTTATCTATCTTCAACTAAGCCTTCAGAGAAATATATGATCATATGAATTTTGAGTATAAATGTTATTAAGAGTATTTTTTAGAGAAATTTTATAGCTAAAAAAGTACATCATGATCTTGATTTTATTTAATTGAAAAGCATATTTACTAGTATGTTCAAAAAGTTTGTTTTAGACAATTTTAAATAAATCTATATATATATATATATATATAGTAATTTAATTGCAATTTGTTTTCATTTATTTATTATATATAATATATTAGTAAACTATATATGTTATTGCTAATACATATAAAGTTGGTTATTGAAAAGCTAATAGATTTAACTTAAGAATTTGAAATTAACATGAATTTAAAAAATAATAGATTTTTTATGAAAAAAAAAAAATTGAATAACTTTTTATCTCTTAAGCTCCTTCCTTCCTTCTTTTAAATTCAAATTATCTGTTTTTTTGTTGGTACTAAATAATATATTTATTATATATTTTATTCTCATTATTATTGTTTTATATTTAAAGAATAGAATTTGGTTACATAGAATTAAACTACATATAAATGCAAAGATATTGATTATTTAATATGTTAATTATACAATATTAACAGGAATTAAAAAATTATTGAACAGCAGTATTCAATTAATAGTTAATATTATATTTACAACACTCTTATTAATTATTTTGGTCTGATTAATTCTTTTGTATTAACCTTCATGGTTTATAACTTGTATTTGCTATCACTAACTTTTTTAATTTAAGAAATTTATTCCTTTCTTATAAGAACTCATTTTTAGAAAAGTCATGAATCCTTTAATAATTTATAATTATATAAAATATTATAAAATAGTCAGCTTTATTTATACTTAAATAGCTTTTATTCTTTTAATTTGGTTATCATAATTTATTCTACTTTAACTCAATTAAGTAAAATAAACTATTTTGAAAAATTATTAATTAATTATTGCTCTATAATTAATAATAAAAAAAAATAATCTATTTACATAAGTTAAAGTATCAAATATTTTAGGTTTTAGCACCTTAATATCGAAGAACTTAAATTAGATAATTCTTATTAATTAATATCGTTATACCTTTTTATTATAAAACTTGAAGAGAAGAAGGACAAGAATAATAAAAACAATAAATTTAAATAAAATAAAAAAATAAAATTAAAGAAATTAATTTTATAATTAATCAGAATGAATAAAAAAATAAATTGAAAAAATTTTACGATAAATCAAGATTCAAAAACTTGAGGTTTATACATTTTTACAAGATTTAACATAATTCTTCTATTCCTTCTTCACTTATATCAGTTTATCTGTTTATAAAAAAATTATTTGTTTGCAAATAAATAACAAAGAAATTAATATATAAAATAAAATCTTTAAATTCAATATTAAAAATTCATTAATTGAAAAATTAATAATTGTAGGAATTTATATATATTCACATATGAGTAATGAATGTATACAATCAGTGGCGATAATTCTTAGAATTTTTTTATTCCTTAACGTATAATTTTTTCAAAATAATTGTTTAAAGTATAAAATTGATCGTCTTAAATATTTTTAAAATTTATTTTATCAATAACAACAATAAAATTAGCTTTAAAAATTATTAGGTGAATAAATTACATTTGTATGAAAAAGCAATTTCTTCATTAAATTTTTAAAATAATTAGCCTAAAATATTATTTTTTGACATTTTTACACCAGGAAATCAGAATTATGAGCACTAAAAATAATAAAAATTAAAATATATTTACGAGGCATCAAGAGTCAACATTGTAAGATTAGTACAAGTCTACAACCAAAATATTAAATCTAATGCCCCTTCACCATTAATTTGATTATTCCTTTTAAAATATTTATTGTAATGAATATGTTTGTTTGTTTATTTGTTTTTTTGTTTCTTTGTTTGTTTCTTTGTTTGTATTTAGAAGTATAATCAAAGAAAATTAAAATTTCAAACACAAACAAATGAAATATTAAATAAAAATCTATATAAAACAAATAAATATGTTTTTATTTATTTTACCTGACATTAAAAATCACATTTATGATTTTAGTTTATTTAACTAGCTAATCATTTGAATTTGATTTATCTTTGCGAATTAGATTTTCTCTTTTTAGATTTTGATAGACATTTTAAAAAGGAATTATTAAATAGCTAAGTTAAATTAAAATTAAAACATAATTTTTTTTGCTTAATATTTTTTAATAATAAGTTAAAAGCAAAATAAATTAAAATAAATAAATATTTCAGGATTTAATACTCTAAATTAAGATTCAAACTAAGGAGATTGCGACATTATACTAAAGCACAAATTAATTAATAAGCTCCTATAGATTTAATCTAATTTTCGCTTTTGATAATATTAATTAATTTATGATTTGAATTTGGTAAGTGGGATCTTATAATCAGAATTTAAAAGAATAAAAAATAATTAAAACTAAAAAAAACAAACAATATGTTTTACCTAACATCTAGAGTTAAATCTTAGAGATTCAAACATTATTATAATAATGAAGCTAACTCGAACGCACCTCTTTCATCTATAGAACTGATTTTATTTAAAAAAAAGCCTTAATATTTGATATTGAAAGGAATCTTAAACTTAATTATATATAAATATATTTTAGTTTTTATCAAATTACAGACAATAAAATAAATTAATTATTTTAGTTTTTTATAAATTTATTTTTATACTTGAAATCCTCCTATATTTTCAACAATCTCCCCAAATTTGTTAAACCCGCTTTCAGCACGAAAAAAAAATGTTTATAGGCAAATGAATATTTTTTTGGGTGGGAATATAAGAAAATATGTGGTATAATAATAAAAATTATACGTTTTTATTAGTTTAATAGCCAAATATAAAAGATTTGTGCTATTAATAAAGGTATTAGTAAAGAGTGTTATTTGCATAGGTGTTATTCTGAAACCCCTTTTATTTATTTAAATAAAAAATTTTTTAACTTATTTGTTAAGAAGTAAACTAAAATTTTAATATTTTGTTTAATCTAAACAAAGAGAATATCCACAATTAAAATAAAATCACATTAGAAAGCACAATAAGAAAATCAAAAATGGAATATTTCTAGCTTCATATTAATTCGTATTACACTAACAAGTTATATTAATTAATAGTTTTTACTTTATTTCAAGTTTAAGATTTAAGAGATTAGTGAATTATATCAAGAAAAGGGCTAATCTTTTTAAATCATATTCATCCTTATCTTCAAAATAAGAGCATGCTTGTTCTTTAGAATAAATATATCTTTTATCATAATATAATTAAAATTTATATCAATCCACATAAGAAAATATTATTGATTGATTTAACATAATATAAATAATAAATTAGAATAAATAAAAGTAAATGTCAATAAAATTAAAACTTAAAGAAAATTTTAAATTTACTTTTTTAGCTTTTCAAAATTTTAATCAAGAATGCATATAACTGTTTAATTCGATATACGAGAATAATTTTAAAGCTTTATTTATGTTAAAATTAAGTAAAAAGTATTTTTATGTAATTAATTAGCTACATCTATTATTTGACTCTCAAAACATTTTTTCAATTCTATCATTTTTACTCCCTACTTTAATTTATAAAACTATTTTTTGTAATTTAATCAATTATTATAATCAAACATAAACAAATCAACTTTTTAAATAATAGCTTTCTAATAAAAATTTGGAAAAAATACTTTTATTTTATATTATTTTTTTCAAATTAATAAATAGAAAATATTTAAATTAAAAACACTTTTATTTTTTCTTAATTTATTATTTTTATCTATATTAATATACATATAAATATAAATATTTGATTGGATATATTTACTGTAATTTCTTGATTAGCATCTTTAAGATACTACTATCAACAAAAAACAAAGAATTAATTTTCAAATTTATTTGATAGGTTTTCCAGAATTTTTTAGCTAAAAAATTCTGGAAATTAAGATTCACTCATAATTGAATGAAAATATAAATTTTATGCTTAAATTTTAAACCATATTCATCTTAATCTTCAAAATAGAGCGCATACTTATTCTTTATAATAAATATATCTTTTATTATAATATAAATAAAGTATATTTCAAAACAATTAAGAAAATATTATTGATTGATTTAACATAATCAAAAAAATTAGAATTAAATAAAAGTGTAAAAATAAATCTATTATTTGACTATCAAAACATTTTTTCAATTCTAGCATTTTTACTCTCTACTTTAATTTTTAGAAACAATTTTTTGTCATTAAATAAATTATAAAAATCAAAGATAAGCAAATCAACTTTAGATAATAGCTTTAAAATCAAAATTTTTTGCTATTTTATTTATTCAAAATTAACTATTTCATGTAAGTTTCTTTTGACATAATAATGTAAATAAATTAACTTTAGAAAATAGTTTTCAAATAAAAAACTCTAATAAATTAATAGAAAATATTTTCATTAATATTTACTTTTATTTATTCAAAAATTAATTATTTTTATCTAAATTTCTACTGGCATAAAAATTTGATCTAAGTTAGTCAAATTTCAATAAGCAAATAAGTTGAATAGAGTAAGTAATATGTATAAATATAAATATTTGATTGGATATATATTCTATTATTTCTTGATTAGAATCTTTAATAAATAACAATACCACTGTCTACAAAAAAGAAAGAATTAATTAAATCTCAATTTATATCTCTACTAAAGATTGTAATAGAGTCAATAATAATCAATGAAATGCTATATTTAAATTATATATTATTTTAAGCCTTTTTTATTTGATTTTCTGTCTAATAATTCTTATGATATTACAAATTTTTGATAAAATTAATTAATTTTGATTAAAACTTTGTGATATGGAAATTGAAAGTGATAATAAATAATAAAAATCTAGGAAAGATGAATAAATATTTTATGAAACAAGAATACAAAAAGTAAACCCAAACATAAGTAAAAAGAAATAAAAAAAGAGATTAAAACTACAATGGTCTCCAATAATAACTAAAACTTTGGAACCTGATGAAAGTCCTATTTTTATTTATAACTTTTTTAGAATGATGAAAAGTTATGATGATAACAATTATGAAAGATTTAATAATTATGGATACTAAGATGCGGGTATAGGCATTATTGAATAAATAAAACTTGATAAAGTGAATGAAACCATAGATATCTCAATGACTACATATTCTTAAGGAATCGTTAATTTTAGGCACTTAATTAAAATGTATAAATCTTATTAACATTAAAAGTATTACGAATTGGCTTAGGTTCTGCAAGAATACTAAAAGTGGGCTGATAAAATCTAAGCTTGTAGATATTAAATGTAAAAATCTGAGCTATAGAATGAAGATTTGCTTGAATTAAACTAATTCTAATTTTAATAATTTCAAAAAATAGCTAAGGAGTGGACAAATGCTTAATATGAAGATTAGTTGTATGACTTTATTATTGGTTATTTTGATTATAAAACATTATGCCCAGTATTAAAAATGCAAGTAATTTCTAAAAACTTATCGTTATTTGTAGGGAATGGCTTTGAAGAAACATATAATAGCATTTCTAATCAAAAAAATAAGGATTTTTTTAGTTTCTTTGTTAGAGATTCCAAATTCGATGGTATGTATTAGCTAGAGAAAACTATTAAATATATAAACTAGACAATTAATTATCAAGAAGATTTTTTAATTGATGAAGAACTTACAACAGTAGAAGGCTATGTAATTCCTGTTAAGAAATCTATGAAATTTATTTTTTATAATTAAATCACCAACCAATTGTAAAAAGAACCTTACTAGTATTTTATAATAAGTCATGGTTATAATGTTGAACCTCAATGGATTAAATTTCTATTAGAAAAGAGGAGCAGCCAAAGGAAACCAACACTTGATTAAAATAGCATCACTAAGCTAAACATAGTGAAAGAGTTGTAAAATTTCGATTATAACTGTTAAAAAGAGTATTTTATTGAAAAATATTATAATCAACAATTAAATTAATTTATTTAAATTTAAGATTGAAATTTAAATATTAAAATATTTTAATTTTATAAACATTTATAAAGAAAGTGTTTCAAAAACTTCTTTTTAACTCATGAAATTGAAAAAATAACTCTAAATATATTTTTTTTTAATTAATATTTTATGTTTTTATAAAAACACTAAATAATTAAAATACAAAAATTAGCTAAAATAATTATAAAGGCCAAAATTTTTGGAAAAAAAAGATTTTTATTTTGCCTTAATTAATGAGGGTTTATAATAAATGATTATTTAAGTTTAGCTTTTCAAATTCAATTGAATCAGATTTTATTAAGATGAATTTAAATAATATTCTATTTTTTTAGTTTTTTAAATTTAAAATACTTTGATTTTTGAATTTCGTGAAAAAGTTACTGTCCTCTCTTTCTCTCTTTTTATTTTATTGCATTTATAAGTCTGCATTTAATATAAACAATTTTTAAAGTAAGATTTTTTTTTTTCAGAATAAGATTAATAAAACAACAATTAATTTACTGTTTTGTCTATTTTGATTAATAAACTTTAGATAATTCAAGCTTTTAAAAACAAAAAAATAACAAAAATCAAGAAATAGTCGTAGAACTAAATAACCAATATTAAAAAATGGAATAATAATCTAGTTAAAGTTAAATTATTTCTTAATACTCAACAAGTATTTAATCGGAGAAAGATTCTTCAACGGATAAAGAAGAAAAAAATAAGATTATAGTGCGTTAGTAAGGTAAGATATGTAAAAAAAGAAGGAAAAGAAGAGTTAGATTGATTGGGGTTCCTCTAATAATTAGAAATATATTGCAAACAAATTCTGATCCAATATACGTTTATTATCTCATTAAAATGATGAAAAGATATGATCCCGATGAGTTAGAGAAATATAAGTATTTTGGTATTCAGTCAGCTGGAGTTGGAAGAATAGTAAGCATCTAATTAGATAAAATTAATAGATTTATTGACATTGAGCTAAATATGTAATCGCTTGGAGATCAAAATTTTTAGCATCTAATTTAACTTTATAAATCTTATTAAAATTAAGATTATTTTGATCTCGCTGTACTTTTGGAATAATATCAATATCACGTTTACTTATAATTTAATAAAAGTTTATCCTTATTGGGATTATAAGATTATAACTTGCCAAATCTATAAACTAAAATAGATGAAGAATTCATTGATTTTGAGAGAAGTGTAAAAAATTGGGCTAACAAAACTAGAGAAAGTGAAATCATGATAATAGCTCTGGGCAATATAAATTTAGAAAAAAAATTCCCATAATTAAAAAAATAAATATTTTCATAAAATTTGATTAATTTTGTAAGCGGAGATTTGTAAACAACTTACGAAAAAATTATTAATTATAAAAATTATGATTTCCTTACAAATTTTTTAAGAGACTTAGATGAAATAGGGGGAAATGGAAGGGAGGAAATGGAAAGATCTAAATTTATCTTAAAACAGTCAATGAAAGATTTTAATGAATTTGAGTTTGAGTTTGAAGATAAAATCATAACTTTGGATGGATTTAAGTTACCTTGTAAAATAAAAGTCGAATTATTCTTCTATGATAATGAAACAAAATAAATATCTAAGAAACCTGGATTATATTATTTTTTAGTAAATCATTTAAATTTTGATCTGGAAGTAATATAGTATTTAATTGAAATGCGCCTGAAAAATCAATAAAATAGTTTATAAATTTTCAACTAAACATTCAGAGAAGCATATGATCACATGAACTTTGAGTATTAATGCTATTAAGAGTATTTTTTAGAGAAATTTTATAACAATAAAAGACATTATCTTGATTTTAATTGAAAATAAATACACATTACCCATTTTATTATATTAATTATAGAAATATATATATATTATGTAATCACATACATTTATTTACTTTTTTTAAAAGCTAATAATTCTATCACCCAACATTTTATATCTAAAATAATTAATTAATCAAAATTTCATAGACTATTTTAACCGAAAAAATAAAAATCATTATCTTAATATAAATAGGTAAAATATTTGTTTTAAATTAAATAACAAAATCATTAACTAAGTGTAAAAAAATAAAATATTTATATTAGTTTAAAAAAACCAAATGTTTATTTGAATATTATTAAACCAACATTCTAAAAATATTGATTGATACAAATATAAATAATTTAAATATACTAAAAATAAATATAATGAAATATCATTTAGATAGTGTATATATAGCAGCAATAGCTCAGGTATAAAAATTTGTTTATGTAAAATTATACTCATTCTAACCAAAATATTTAATAAAGTTGTTAGTAAGGATGTAATTATAATTTTAACTGTTAAGTGATACATATGTCTTTTAATTTTATAATTTTTAGCAATAAGTTTATAATTGATATATTAAATGTTTGAAGAACTTTGCTTCTACTCACCTTTTGTATAGACAGATATTCACATATAAGAATTAATATTTGTTATTACTAGCTTATTTAATTTAAGAAACTTATTCCTTTCTTTTAAGAACTAATTTTTCGAAAATTCATTGCTCCTTTAATAATTTATTATAAAAAAACATATTATAATATAGTCAATTTTTTTAATAATAAATAGCTATTATTGTTTGAATTTATCTTTCACTATGATAATTTATTCAATAGTTTGAAAAACTTGAAAATTAATAACTGAATTAGTTAGTTGCAGGTAAAATATAAAAAGTAAATAATTAATTTACCTAAGAAAGAGTATCAAATTTATAAGGTTTTAGCACATTAATAAAGAGGAACTTAAATTAGACAAATCTTATTAACTAATATTGTTAAACCTTTTTATATAAAAAACATATAAATAACTTGAAAAAAAGAAGTACGAGAATAATAAAAATAATAAATTTAAAGAAAATAAACTAAAAGAAATCTATCTACTTTATAATCAATCAATCAATCAATCAATCATACATTCATGATGAAAAAAAAATAAATTGAAAAATATTTTACGATAAATTAAGATTCAAAGCTTTGAGATTTATGCATTTTTATAAAACTAAGCATAATTCTTATATTCCTAATTCACTCATTTAAGTTTGTCTTTTTATAAATAAATAAATAAATAATTTATTTGTTGGCAAATAAATAACAAGAAGTATAAAAAATGAAATTGATTAATTAAATATTATTCTTAAAATTTATTAATTTTAAAATTAGAAATTCTAGGAAAATACAAATATGAAAAAATAAATAATCAGCGGCTGGCTGGCGATAATTTTTAGACAATTTTTCATTATTTCTTTCTCGAATGATTTATAAAAATAATTGTCTAAAGTATAAAATTCATAGTATAAATAACAGTTTTAAAGTTAGTATTAAAAATTATAATGTATGTAGTAAATTAATTATATTTGTATGAATTAAAATTTCTTAAATTAATATTCTAAAATATTATTTATTTTTGCCATTTTGACATTAGGAAAAGAGAATTAATTATTAATAGGGAAAATAATAAGAATTAAAATATTTTTACGAAGCATCAATATCCAGCATTATAAGATTAGAACAAGTCTACAACCAGAAAATTAAACCTAATGCTCCTTCATCATTAATTTGATTATTCCTATTGGAATATTATTTTAATTTATTTGTATGTACATAGAAGTATAACCAAAGAAGACAAATAAAAGTGAAAATATTAAATCTAAACATAAAAATTATCAAATAAAAATCTAAATAAAGCAAATAATTTTTATTTATTAAAATTATTTTAGATATTATAAAATCTTAACTTCTTATTTAATGTTATTTGATTAAATAAATAAATAAATCTGAAATATGTTTGTTTAAAATGTTTTACCTAACATTTAAAATCACATTTAAGAGTTTAGTTTATTTAACAAGCTTATTCTTTAGGTTCTATATATCTTAGTCAATTAAATTTGATCTTTTCAGATTTTCATAGATATTTTAAAAAAGGAATAACTAACTATAAAATCTCAATTTAATTAAAATTAAAGCAGAATTTTGTTTTAAAGAGTAAATAAAAGCCAAATAAACTAAAATAAGTATTTCAAAATTTACTACTCTAAATTGAGGTTTAATTTTAGGAGATTACAACATTATGCTAAAGTGCAAATTAATTAATAAGCTCCTCTAGATTCAATTTAATTTTCGCTTTTTATAATATTAATTATGATTTTAAATTTGGAAATTAAATGAAATGCAAAGTTTAAAAATTATGTAGAATAAATCAAATATAATTAGAATTAAATAGAAATAAGATAAAAAATGAAGAGTAGAGTATTTATTTATTTGTTACCTAATACCTAGAGTTAAATTTTAGAGATTCATGCATTATCGTAGTAATAAAGCTAATTCGGACGCACCATTTTCTTTGATAAAACTGATTTTAAAATTAATTTTAAAAGAAAATTAGCCCAAATATTTGATATTGAAAGTAAGTAATCTTATTAAACTTAAATATATTTGGGTAATGACCAATTAAAAGCAATAAAATAAATCATTTTAGTTTTTTATAAATTAATTTTTATACTTTAAATCCTCTTATATTTTAGACAGTCTACCTAAGTTAAACCCACTTTCGGCATCAGATTAAACCAAAAAAATTTTAAAGGTCAATATTGAAGTGGATGGAAATATAGGAAAATGTACAGTATAAAAATAAAAAATATACGTTTTTATGAATATAATAGTCAAATTTAAGAGGTTAGCGCAATTAATAAAGGTATTAGCAAAGCATTTTATTTCCTATACCCCAATTTTGAAGCCCCTTTTATTTAAATCAAAATTTATAAGCTTTTTTGCAAAGAAGTAAACTAAAATTTTAATTTTTTGTTTCTTTAAAACTAAACATATGAGAGCATTCACAATTAAATTATCCAAATAAACTCAAATTAGAAAGCAAAAAAAAAAAAATTCTATTGTTTTAATTGTTTTTGATTATCCTGATTAGAATCATGCTTATAAGTAAAATGAATTGCTAGTTTTTACATTATTTAGAGTTTGAGATTTAAGAGATTAGTGCATTTTATCAAAATAGTAGCTAAACTTTTTAAATCATATTCATCCTAACCTTCAAAATAAGTGCATAATTATTCTTTAGAATAAATATAACTTTTATTATAGTACAAACAAAATAAATATAAAAAAACAATTAAAAAAATATCATTAAAGTGAATTAAATGATTAAAATTAATTTAAAAGTATAGCAAAAATTAAACAAAAAGAATATTTAAACTTAATTTACTTTTTCATCTTTTCAATATTCTAATGAAGAATTTATATTTCAGTATAGTTAGATATTTGAGGACAATTATAAAACTAAATTTACGTTAAAATTAAAAGTAAAAAATATTTTAGGTAATTATCTACATCTGTTATTTGATTGTAAAAACATTTTTTCAATTCTAGCATTTTTTCTCCCTAATTTATTTTTGGAAACAGTTTGTTTTCATTTAATAAAAAATAAATATAAATTATCAAAGATTAACAATTAAATAGATTAATAAGCTTTGAAAACTATTTAGTTAACTACAACAATAATACACAATAGTTTATTAATTTAAAATACTTTTAGTTCTTTTAACATAATAATTTGATTTAGGTTAGTAAAATTTCAGTATAAAAAATAAATTCCAAATACAATTCAGATATTATTGGTAATAAAAATGTAAATATAAATATTTGATTGGATATCTATTTTTTTTAATTATCTATTTTAAGTGTTTGCAATTTTTTCTGTCTATAATTTCTTAAGATTTATAGAAAAAAATATAAATTTTTGATAGGATTAATTAAGTTTGATGAATATTTTTGTGTTATGGAGATTGAAAGTTATAATTAATAATAAGAATCTAGGAAAGATGAATAGTTTTCTGAAACAAGAATACAAAAAATAAGCCCTACCATCAGCAAAAAGAAATAAAAAAGTAGATTAAAACTAAAATGGTCTCCAATAATAGTTAAATCTTTGGAACCTGATTAAAGTCCTATCTTTATTTATAATTATTTTAGAATGATGAAAAGTTATGATGACAACAATTATGAAAGGTTTAATAATTATGGATTTTAAGATGAGGGTATAGGCATCTATGAATAAATAAAGCTTGATAAAGTGAATGAAACTATAGATGTCTAGATGACTACATATTCTTAAGGAATAATCAACTTTAGACATTTAATTAAAATGTATAAATCTTACTAAAATTAAAAGTATTACGAATTAGCTTTGGTTTTGAAAGAATATTAATAGTGGGTTGATAAGACCTAAGCTAGTTTGTATTAATTGTTAAAATCTGTCAATGAAGGTTTGTTTGAATTAACTTAACTCTAATTTTAGTAATTTCAATAAAAAGCAAAGGATTGGGCATATACTTAATATGAAGATTAGTTGTACGACTTTGTTATTGGTTATTTAGATTTTAAAACAAAATCTCCAGTGTTAAAAATGAACGTAATTTCCAAAAACTTATCATTATTTGTAGGTAATGGTTTTGAAGAAATTTACTATAACATTTCTAATCAAAAAAAGAAGGATTTTTTTAGTTTCTTTGTTAGAGATTCCAAATTCGATGGTATGTATTAGTTAGAGAAAACTATTAAATATATGAAGTAGACAATTAATTATCAAGAAGATTTTGTAATTGATGAAGAACTTACAACAGTAGAAGGCTACGTAATTCCTGTTAAGAAAACTATGAAATTTATTTTTTATAATTAAACTACCAACCAAGTGTAATAAGAACCTTACTAGTGTTTTATAATAAGTAATGGTTATAATGTTGAACCATAGTGGATTAAATTTCTATTAGAAAAGAGGAGCTAAAATATACCAATTCTTGATTAAAACAGCATCAATAACCTAAGTATAGTGAAATAGCTGTAAAATTTCGATTATGTCTGTTAAAAAGAGTATTTTATAGAAAAATATTATAATAAAGAAAAAAATTAATTTATCTAAATTTAAGATTGAAATTTAAATATTGCTAATCTTCAAATTAAAATATTGAAAAGTGTTTAGGTAGATATTTCATTTAATTTTATGATTTTAATCTAATCTTGTTTTTTTGTTCTATATTTTAGCTGTTTTTATCAAATTTTTAAAAATTTTTATATTTAATGCCATTTCTCAAATTTTGAATTTAAAAAAATTTTTTACTATTATATTCTTAACAAAAAAATCCCTTATTTTAAAATAGTTATAAATTGAAAAAAGGTGATCAATTCATACAGTTTTTACTTTATATTTTATATTTAATATTCTGATTAATTAAGATTTTTGAAAAATAAATTTCTATATTCTTTTTACAATTTTATAAAATGAGTTTTTAAATATTAATTATTTGGATGATAATTAATTAATCAAAATGTAGAAAAAGTATTTAGATGAATAAATTTTAAAATATAATAATTATTTTAAAAATTAATTTAAATACAAATAAAAAGTGAAATAACTATCTTTTAAAGCAAATAAAGACTAATTTCATTTAGAATTCCTATTAAATTGCTTTAAAATTTATAAAAATGAGTTTAAATAATTGCTATATTATTAATTTTATTATTTTTTATTTTCAAAACTTTATTTTATTAAAGAATTTAATGAATCAAACAAGAGTAGTAGAGTAGTGTTTTAATTTTTTTAATTTTATGAATATAATTTTAAAATAATATGATTTTGTTATAAAATATTTGTTTGTTTAAAGATTGATTGATATTATGAATGATATAGGATGGATTGCTCACAATGATCTATTAAATATTGATTAAAAAATCTGATAAATTATTAAAGCTTATAACTTAGATTAAAATTATATTTACTTCAAATCATTGTTTTTAAGAAATTACAAAGATAATTTAGAGTTAATAAATAGCATATCTTTTTAGAATTTAGAAATGTAGGTATTGAGTTAAAATGAGAGCGATTTTGTTCTCTCAGGCTTGGAAAATGAGATTAGATTAGATGGAAGAAAGTTGATGGATAGCAGAAACATTAAGGTTATTTTTGGAAATAACGTAGGAGAAATAGAAGTTTTAATTGGAGACACTCATATAATTACAAAAACAACTGCTGAAATCATTTAGCCAAAATAAGAAAAGCCTAATGAAGGCTCTCTTAAATTTAATGTTGATTTATCATCTATGCAAGATGAGCAACAACCAAACAATGTTAACATTAAAAAATATTCAAATGAAATCTAAAAATTGTTAGAAAAAATAATCAAGGGATCAAAGTAAATAATTAATAAATGATTTAATTTTTATAAAAGGAACTATTTTAAATTTTAATTGAAATAATTAGAGCAATCGATATGGAAAGCTTGTGTATAGTAACAAATAAGAGAGTATGGTCAATTAACGTAGATAGTTCGGTAGTTTCAAACGGTGGTAACCTAATTGATGCTATTTACTTATCTGTAATTATTAGTTTACTGCATTTCAGAAAGCCTTATGTCTCTGTAGAATAGCAATCAAACATTAAAATTCACACTGAAAAAAATCCTTAACCACTATCTATTCATCATATTCCTATTCCATTTACATTTGCTTTCTTCAAAAAGTCAACACTTTTAGTTTCTGATCCACTAGTAATAAATAAATCAATACATAATTAATTCTATTCTAAAAAAGTCATTGAATATTAGTTGTTATCTCAAATAAATTAAAGATATTTTTTATATTAATTATTTATTCATTTAAATTAATATTCTATTAAGGTACTTGAAGAGCAAATCATGGAAGGAAGACTAACTATTTCAGTTAATATTTATAATGATGTGTGCAATATTCATAAGCCTGGTGGTGCACCAATCAAATTAGAATTAATTAATAAGTAGATGTTTTTATTATTAAATATATTATAATGCTAATTATTAATATTTCGAATAGGCTTGTTGAAGTTTGCTTGAATAAAATAAAATAAATGACAGATTTTGTGAGACAAATACTGAAAGAGTGTAATAAGCATAGTATTAACTAAATAAAGGAAGAAAGCAAAATCATTACATTAAACTTCCCCTAAATAGTTAGTGCATCTCAAACATCTAATTAAATTCCATCAAACAAAGTAATTTCTTTAAAAAATAATATTTATATTATAAATTAACATAAAATAAATAGATGGAGGAAGAGGAAGAGTAATATAAAGTTAGTAAAGAAGAAATTAAAAACTTGTTGGAAAGTAGAAATTGAAAAATTGAATAATTATTCATATAGTTCTTTTTAATAAAACGATATAATGGCAATAGAGTTGGATAGTTTAATTTAAATTTCTTAAAATTTTGTTATATCTATGTCTATCTATCTATTTGCTTGTTAGTTAGTTAGTTATTTGATAAGTTAGTAAAATAAGTAAGTGTTAAATAAAATGAAAATCTATTATATGAAAATTCAGTAATTCAATCAAGAAGAAATTAAAAGCTTGTTAGAAACTAGACAGAAAAAAATCAATTGATAATTTAATAATTATTTTAATAAAAGGATTTTATGACAGTAAAATTAAATAAAACTAATTTAATTTCCTTTAATTTTTGTAGTCTGTCTCTTATTTGTTAGTTTGTTTGTTAATAATTTAGTAATGTCAGTAAGTAAGTAAGATTTAATTGAAATGGATTTTATTTATGAAAACTCTACATAAAATTTTCTGAGCAAAGTCTAGAAAAATTAGCGAACTAATCTAAGAAAGAACTTTATGGAAAGATTTATATATGCTCACTTAACAAATAATTATCTTTATTTAGTTAGTTGATTAATTAATTAATATAAAAAAGATATTTACATTTAAAATTGCATTTAATTTGTATTAAGTAAATACTAAATTTATTAATTAATTAATAAAATAATATAATTAGCTATTATTAGAAAAAGTAGAAGCCAAGCCATTCATCATTTCATTACAAAAACATGAGAAGAATAACCACAAAATAATTATTTTAAGTGAGAATATTAGACATAGGTTGTACGCGAGTTTAAATGTTATTATAATATAAAAATAGACTATTAGGAGAAGCATCGCTACAAATCCAAGGGATTAGATCATTAATTGTGATCCTACTAAAATGATTCCTGTATGATTGATTAGCTTATTAATAATAAGATTTTAAATTTAATTATAATAAAATCAATTTACAAATTATATTATGTTTAATATGCCTAGAATATGTAAAATAAAAAATATGATTAATTTATAAAATAGGGATTTAGCCCTATTTTTAAAGAAGATAAACCTACTAAATATTAAATCACTACTTTAGATTGTGGTGTAAAGGTTTTGACTGAGGATAGCGCTTTTCCCTTTCATACAGATATAAGTGAGTTATTTTAGATAAATTCGAAGATATTCATCTATGAATAATAGTTATTGCTAATATTAAAGCTATTTTTTTATGTTTAAATAGATATTGTTGGTAATTTTGGTACACGCAATGAAACCCAAAAAACTGGAGGTGCAATGAAGATGCTTAACACCTTGTTATTTATGAGTGGAGATAACTAATCAATCTTACAAAATTAGTATTCTTAAATTAATGTGGAATCAACAAAATTAATGTTTTTTAATGTCAAGCGAATTGAATTAACTTAATGGAGGAGGTATTAACATGCATTTTGACCAAGAAACTACTTCTTACAAATGCTAGTGCATTCCAGAAGACACAGAATCTATGCTTGACTTATTATTAAAAACAGCAATTTCTCCTAAAGACTTTTCAGTTTTCGAAGTAATTAATTAAAATATTTCATTGAATTTTAATTAAAAATAAAAATAAATTTAAAATAATTAATTATCATTCATTCATTCATTTTAACAAATTTAATTTGTTCTTTCATTATCTATCTTTAAAGGAAAATATTTATTTAAAATATTATTTTTCTAAAATCTTAATTTTATTTTAAAATGATTAATTAAGCCCAGCGCCTTGAGCAATGAGTTAGAAAACTTGGAATTTGAAAAGATATTTTTAAAAGCAGCATATGACGGGAAAGGTGTTGGTATGTGTGATCTCAATCCTAGTATGACTGAATAAGATTTTCTTGACTTTTAAAACAAATATATTACTCCACATAGACTTTTAATATCTGGATCAAATGTTCCTTCTCATGAACACTTCGTTAATTTGGTTCAGTAAATGCTTAAGAAATATCCTTAATGTAATTTAATTAAAATATTTTTTTAATTTGATTTGCTTATTTCCAAAATTAAGTCTTGAATAGAAAATACAATCCTAATCCTTTTGAATCAATTTATGCTGGAAAGGAAATCAGAATAGAAACTGAAAGCGATTTAGTTGAAGTTGGTGTTGGCTTTAAGGCTGTAATAATTAATATTATATCAATAGATTATTTTACTAACTTAAATTAATATAAATAAAAAAGGTAAACTGGTAGCATCCTGACATGATTATATTTTAAATTATATTCTCTATTATTGGTAATTCAAGTTATTTCTCAACAGGAGGTCCTGGCAAAGGCATGCATGCTCGTGCCACTAAAAACTGTAAAAAATAATATGTTTTATATTGCATTAATAAATTATTTTACAATAAAAAAGTGCTTAATAGATTGTCATATGTTTAAGGAGCAGATTGCATTTGCAATATTTTCACTGATAGCGGTTTCTTTGGTCTTAAATTAACTGGTACTAATGAAAGTGTAAAAGTTGTTTTCATTATTTAAATTTTATAAAGTATATTCTTATAATTAGATTAATGAGCTTATTTAATCTTGCATCAGAGAATTACACTTACTTCAAATGCCTATTTCTCCAATTGAATTGCAAAGATCCAAAAATATTTTAAAATCTTTGATCAATCTCTCACTTGAAAGACAACAAGATAGACTTGAAGAAGCTGCTAAGCATGTAAGACTAAATAAATTTACCAAATAAAAAATACAATATTTTGATGAATAAATAAATAATTTGTATAATAGGTCATTAACTTTAAATAAATAAAACTTGATGAAACTGAAAGAATGATTGATAGGGTTACAACTGAAGATATCAACAGAGTTGCAAGAGAATTATTTTAAAACAGCCGTCCCACAGTTACAATGATAGGAGAAGGAGTAAATAAGGCTATGTCTTATGATTAAATTTGCAGATTGTGTTACAAATAATGAGTTTAATAAAAATATTAATTAAAATTTCTAATTTTTTTTACTTTTTTGTTTGTTTGTTTTTGTTGGTGTTTGTATGTAGATTTTAATTAAATTTATTTTAATATTGATTGGTTCAAAAAATATAAAAAGTAATTTTGGCAAATTTTTAAGATATTTTCGACTTTACTAGTTTTAATTTAATTCATTTACTCAATCAACATTAGCAGCAAATAAATATTGCGGTTAAACAAACAAATAATAATTAATTCTAAATTGTATTAGTTTCTAATTTATTTATGTTATTTATTTACTTTTGTGCAAATATTTTGATCGTATTATTTTCTTATAATATAATAAATCAATCTATCTTTCACCAGCAAAATTTAATTATTTTTTATCCAATAAAAATTATACTTTTTATCTTAGTTTTACAAAAGTATTAGTTAGCTAAATATATATATAAATAAATATAGGTTGTGGTCAAAAATCATTTATTATTTATTTGCTTTTTAAAATTTATGGCTACAAAAAAAGTAGAAAATGAATCCGCTCAATATTCTTGGATTGTTCCACGTAAATAAATGACTTAGATATTTCAATAATTCAAATTATAATCATTTTTTTAATGATAATTTACTCAAAGAAAATGTGATTTGTAATTTATTGTAAATTTTATAGAGGAATATTGCTGGATTGCAGAATAAAACTTGAATGATTAAAATTCAGAGGTATTTGTACCTGCTTAGATTTTAGGTTTTAACAAAATTACAAGAATGGCTACTTGTTAGTTAAGCAGTGGTGGCGATCCTAAGGAAATTCAAGCAGATAGATTGCTAATCAGGAATGAATAAAATGAGACATTTGATGACATGGTTAATATGGATTTGTTAAATGAAGCAGAGCTTCTCTAAAATTTAAGAAAAAGATATGATGAAAATAAAATTTATACATATGTTGGACCAACATTGTTGGCTGTAAACCCTTTCAAAAAGATAGATAATCTATATGAAGAGTAAACTCTCCTGAAATATATATCGATTATTGAAAACTTTTCAGAAAAGAATCTTCATAAGAAAATTCCTCCTCATGTTTATGGTCTCACAGCTGAGTCTTTTAAGGATTTATTTTTAAATGAAAAGAACCAAGCTCTAGTTATTTCGGGTGAATCTGGCGCTGGAAAAACTGAAAACACAAAATATTGTATGAAATTTTTAACATCTCTTGGTAATTTAGAATTAACTAGCTAAGAAAAGCTTACAGGAGTTAAAGACCTCGAAGTTAAAAGAAGAAAATCATCTTATTAAGCTAAAATTCATAATAGGCCTTCAATAGAAGACAAAGTAATTAATTCTTTATTTTATTTCAAGAGAATTATAAAATGAATGAATGAATTAAATCTATGCATTCATTTTATTTATTTAAAATTAAAATTGGTTTTTATATCAACAAAGATTTTGAGCTGCAATCCAATTTTAGAAGCTTTTGGTAATGCTAAAACAGTGAGAAATGATAACTCGAGTAGATTTGGTAAATATGTAACAATTATAGTGAATAAACATAATAAAATGATTGAAGGAGCTTAAATTGTTAACTATCTCCTAGAAAAAGCTCGTATAACCAACTAGGTAGAAAGAAATTAATTAGTTTAGATAATTTTTATTTAAATTATTTTAATATTTTTATTAGGGATAGGGAGAGAGAAGCTTCCACATATTTTATCACTTTTTAAAGGGTGCTGATAAAGAGTGTTTGCAGAGATATGGACTTGAGTATCCTGTTTCTTTTGAAAAGTATGCATATTTATCATAGTCAAAGTGCTACGCTGTTGATAAAATAGACGACATCAAACTGTTTTAAGAAGTCAATCAATCATTTTAGATTTTAGGATTTGAAAATGTTTAAGATTCTATTTATTGCTTTATTTCAGCTATCCTTTTACTAGGAAACTTACAATTTAATGACAAAACCTTATCTAACGGTAAGGATAATTTTAATGCTTCTATTTAATATTTTAAAATTTTAAAACAAAGATAATCCTTGCTCGATTTTAAATTTAGAAGTTCTAAGCTAAATTGCTAAGCTTCTTCAAATTGATGAAAAGTAGCTTATAGAAGGCTTTACTTTTAGGTTAAGAGTGATTCAAAAATAAAATTTTATGAGTCCTTTGTAAAAAATAGAATGCATTAATACTAAAGATAGCTTGTCTAAGTATTTATATGAAAGAATGTTCAATTTAATTGTGTAAAAGCTTAACGAAATAATAGTGCCAAAAGAAAGCATAGACGAGTCTAAAATAAGTAAAATAGGGCTTCTAGACATATACGGCTTTGAAGTATTCAAAGAAAATGGTTTTGAATAGTTTTTTATTAACTACACTAACGAAAAATTGCAACAACTCTATATTTAATATGTATTTAAGTAAGAAGAGCAAGTCTTTGTAAAAGAAGGACTTGAAAGCTACCTCCAATATTTAAGTTTTACAGATAATAAACCTGTTATTGATTTATTAGACATGCCACCTAGCGGTATATTTAATATATTAGATGATATTTGCTAGACAAAAGGTAATGATGAAAAGTTTTTGAACAAAATCCGCTAAACACATAAAAACAACAAATATTTTCAGATTCCCAGAATCACTGCAAAGCCAACTTTTACTATTGTTCATTCTGCTAAGGAAGTAGAATATACTGCCACAGTTTTTACTGAGAAAAATTAAGATGAAATTTAAGAGCTGATAATGAATGCTTTATTATAGTCTAAAAATGAACTACTCTCCTCATTAGCTTAGCAGGAAATTGAATCAAACAAGAACAAAAGTAAAATTCTATGATAAAATGCAATAATTATTTTTTCATTTATTCTTAGAAAAGGAAAAATCTTTGGGAAGTAAATTTAGAACGGAAATGTAATATTTAATGAATGACTTAATGGCTTGTGACTGTCATTTCATAAGATGCATAAAGCCCAATGAAGAAAAGAAAGCAAATTGTTTTAGACCCGTTAATGCCCTTTAGCAAGTAAGATATTTAGGTGTCTTAGAATCTATTAAAGTTAGAAAGTAATCATATCCAATAAGAAAAAATTACTAGCTTTTCTACAAAAGATACTCACTTATAAACTAAGATTTTAAGCCTTATCAGCAACTGTGTTAAGAAGACGCTGACTTTATTTCTCTAAGCAAAGGGTATTTTTATTAAAAATTTTGTTTTACTTATTAGACAAATAAATATAAATTTTAAAAGCTTGTTCAAGACAGTGTTCAAAGGTATAGATGGCAATGGAAATATATTATTTGGAAAATCAAGAATTTTCATGTAAAACAGAGCTCTAAATGACATAGAATAAGTGTATGAAAACAAATTAGAACAGCTAAACAAAACTGCAAAGAGATTCTAAAAAGCTTATTACTCGTAAAAGACAAACAAATTTAATTTTTTTTGAATTAAAAAAATAAAAATTTTTATTTTAAAGCTAAAAAGTCAAATTTTAAAATTTATCAAAAATTTTTTAAATAAACCTCAAAAATTTTTATTGAGAAGAAAAATATAAATTTTTTTCATTTTAATTTCTTAAATTTCTTTATGTTTATTTGAATTTTTAGCATCAAGAATAAATCATTTGAGATTAATGCCAATTAAACATAAATTAATAAAAATTTTAAAATAAATGATTTTATATTTGAATTGAAACAAATTTTTAAAGTAATTTAATAAATTAGTTTAATCAAGTTTTTTTGAAGGAATTTTTAAATAGACTTCAGAAAGAATTTACAAAATATTTATTAAATGAATTTAATATGCTTTCATTGAATTAAAATATGATATAAAATGAATAAGAAATTATTTTAAACGATAATTTTGAAAATATAAAATAAATTAAATTACTTTTTATTCTGTGAACATTTTATTAAGAGAAAATATAATTAAAATTTAAAGCTTTCTTTTTTAGGTGATAGATGCTATTATTAATAATTTTATAGTTATAAATAATTAAAAAAGCTAAGGAGATGGTTCTAGCTTATTAGGATATGCTAACAGCTGATAAAGGTGAAGATCTTATACAAGAAATTTAAGGATTAAAGAAAAAAAGCATAGAAGATATAAAATTGGTATCGAAGACATTTGCAGAGAGAGCTCATTAGAAAATATAGACAGTCTGCTTTAGTCATATAAAACTATATTAATTATGCAATAAAACTTGAATATTTTAGCATTGTCAAGAAAAATGTTCTTGTGATACAAAAATGTATTAGAAAATTTTTGGAAAAAGCTAGGTTAAGAAATATTTAGCATTGCAAGGATAAAATAGAGGTAAAATTCTTAATAAATTTAAAATAAAGTCAATTTATTTTAATAACTAAATAGAATGAAGTGTTAAACTTTGCATGGAATTTTATTAGAAAAAGGTCTTGCATTTAGATTTAAAAAATTATTCGCGGTTTTTTGGCAAGGCAGAAGCTCAGGGAAATGATTTTAAGAGTAAAGATGGTTGGAAGAATGATAAGGGAAAGAAAGGCTGCTACTAAAATTCAAACTAATTACAGAATGCATACTAATAGAAAGAAATTTTTAGAAAAAAAGAAAGCTGCTATGAAGATTTAGGCTTTTATAAAGATGAAAATCTTGTCTGCGTTTTACAAATAATTAAAATTCTCCACAAATAAAATACAAAAGTAAAATGAAATATTTATTATTATTTAAATAAACTTTTTTTTATATTTTTTATATCAAAGAGCTATGAGGAAATTTTTGATTAAAAAGCATATCAGATTAGAAAGATTGTAGTCTTATGTTAATTAATGTGACTTTAAAAATTTACTTTCTACTGAATAGTCTAACTCACTTGGATAAGCTGAAGAAAATAATTTATACTCTAATGTTTAAGAGATGTATTACATATAAAAAAAGATCTAATATAAAAGAAAAAATGCTGGTAAAAAAATGACTTTGAATAACAAAAAGGTATCTGAAACGATTATTCCTGGAATTTAAATACAAAAGAAAACATCTATCAAACCACTTTTTAGCTCTCAAAAGAGTTAAGAATAAATTTCAAAAATGGTAAACAAATAAGTATGTGAGAATTCTTAATAAAAACCAACATCAGAAGGGAATAAAAATAAGATTAAGCTTAAATAAATATCATAATAGTAATTTAATAATTAGACTGATGAAAATAAACTACAAAATTCTCATGAAAGAGATCATTCTTAAGATATCGTCAATAGCAACAGCTGTATTGATTTACAAGATATTTTAGATAGGCATCAAGCATAAAAAACAAATATAATAAGCCCATTAAAAATAGAAGACCAAAAAGCTATCACGAACTAATCAAATGTTGCTAAAAGGTAAAAGCTGAGATAAAAAGAAAATGAATCAGATTAAAATAAATAATTTAGAAAGAGCATATTAAACTCAATGGAGAATCCCTCCAATAATAAATTAGATAATTCTAACTAAAATACCTAAGAATAAAAAATTCAAGACATGTACTATTATACTTCTGATCTTGCTAAAATGCATAACCAAACATCCCCTTAAAAAATAAACTGCACCTAATAAGTCCTTCCTAAAAATCTTACAAATATTCAATCGCCGCTAAATAAAGTAAAATAAAAATATTTTATTAAGAAAATTTTATTAACTTTTAATATTTATTTTTATTTATAGACTTCAAGAGCTAATGAAAGCAATTAAAATATCAAAAAAACATAACTGATAGATTCTTAGTATAAATTAACATTGGTACCTTAGAAAGTTTACATGATTTCTCATCTGATAGATTTTGAAATTTTATCTGATACGAAAGATATTTATCCACCTAATGGCTGGTCAGAGTACTTCTAATAGCAATTCCAACAAAGCTATTTGAAAAAAGATTACTTGTAAGCCATTTACATTGGAGAAACACACACTGTTGCAGTTAGCAATAACAATTAACTTTACACATGGGGATGGAATGATTTTGGGTAGCTTGGAACTCCAGAGGAGATATCAGAAAATGAACTTAAAGTATTTTATTAGTTAAAGAAAATTAAACTAATTTGCTTGATATTTTAATAAAATAGATTAATAACATATCAATGATAGATCAGATTTAAATTGAGTAGGCAAGTGTTGGTAATGATTTTACTTTAATTTTATCAAAAGAAGGAAAGCTATTTGGATGGGGAAAAAATAATAAAGGATAGCTTGGATTTTATGATGATGAAGGACTAATAAAAAATGTGGATATTCCTATGGAAATAATCTCAGTTAAAGAAGATAAAATAAAAGGCATCAAATGTAGAATGAATTCAGCCTACATTATCTTAAATAATGGCTCTGTTTATACAAATTAAAAGTATAGTCCTTACTAGAAAATTAACTTCTCTTAGAAAGTAGAAAGAGTTTCATGTGGATTTAATTTTACAGTATTTTTAACCACTAGCCATTAAATATACTCTTATGGAAAAAATTAGCATGGGTAGCTAGGTTTGGGTGACTTCGTACAAAGAAAAGAACCAACTTTGATTCCCTTCTTCAAAACAAACTAAATTAACTAGGTAATTAATTAGTTAATTAAATTACTTAAATCAAATATTTTTAAATTCTATTTAATTTAACAAATAAATTTAAATTAAAAGGTGGAGTGTGGATTTGCTCATGTTGTTTGCTAGACAAACTATGGAAGAGTATACGTGTGGGGATGGGGATAATGCGGTTAACTAGGTCTTGGAGATTATCAAGATTAGCAAGAACCTTAGTTGTGTAACTTAAATAATCTTTATAAAGATATAGTTATTTAAGTTTGTGCTACTAGAACAAGTACCTTGCTTTTACTTAATAACTCAGATATCCTTTGGTTTGGCACTAATCAAAGCATTAAATACTAAGAAAATCCAACGATTTACAAAGTATCGGAAAAGGTAATTTGAATTTCAAATAGAAATATTGAGTAAAAATGAATTTTCATTAATAGCTAAAACAACTAGAAGGAACTTTTTGCATGAGATTAACAAGCTCATGGAGTAAAACACTTGGTGTTGTCTATGGTACTTTTGCTTTTAGCAAAGATTTAAGTGATAGTGTTCTTTAGTCCACATGCAATACCCTAACAAAAAAATGGGTTAAATAGAATATTGATTAAAGTAATTATTAATTTTTAATTTTTATTTGAGAAAAAAAATTTAACATCATATAAATAAATAAATAGTTAAACCACCTACAATTTAGAGCATTATTCACAAATTACCTCAATAATATATTGATTTGAAAGAAAGCCCAAAAAAAGCTAAGAATATTTCTGACCTTGTACAAAAAACTTAATCTCCTTAAATAGTAAAAGTAGAGGATTTTTCTAATATCAGCAATATATAAGAAGCTAGCTTTGTTTAATTCGATGTTGAAAAGAGTTTGAATGAATTTTAACAAAGAGAGGATGAGTAATAAATAAATTCTTATATTCTTAATATTCATTTGACATATTTTTTAATTAAAATATTAGAGAGAGAAAAAAACTTAAAGAACTTAAAAATAAAATAGAGTTCTTGAAGACCCTTCCATAAAAATAATTAAGGTAAATAGATAAACAACTCATTTAGCTCTACGAACAAAAGCAATACAGCTAAATTCTATCAAATAAAAAATTCTTTAATTGATTCAATAATAATAATTTCAATTTAAATATCTTAATAAATATTGTAAATAAATATATAAATAAATAAATAAGTATGTGTATTTTTATTAAACTTTTCTTTTATTTATAAAATAATTACAAATTAATGAATAAGAAATATTTGAATAACTATTATATAAGTTAATCAGTATATAAATACATTAATAAAAATAATTTAAAAACATTAAAAAAAAATGAATGAATTTATAAAAACATAAATGAATAGTAAATATAAAAAGATAAAAAGATTAATAAATAAGTAAATATATAAAAAGATAAACAATAAAAGTATAAAGAGATTTATAGATATATAAATATATTTATATATGAATGAATGAATAAATAAATAAATAAATATATAAAGATAGAATGATAAATTAAGTAAAATGATAAAAATATTAATAGATTAAAAAATAAATAAAAAAAATAAAGATATTAATAAAAAAATAGAAGAATATATAAATATAAAAATAAAATAAGTAAATATATAAAGATAGATAAATAAATAGTAAATATATATATATAGATAAATTAATAATTTAATTTATAAATAGATAAGTAAACTAAATAAAAATATAAATAAATAGATAAATTAAAAAATAAATATTTCCTTTTAATTATATTTTATAAAATGTTTATTTTAAATTTTTTTTTTAATAATTAATTAATTTGAAATTTTAAGTAAAAAATTAAAATATAAAAATCTAAATAAATATATAAATATATTTAAATAAGATTCACATTAATAAGAAAAATGATATAAAGCATGAATAAAGTTAATTAATTAATTGATTAATCTATCAATGAATTCAATATCAAAGGTGGAAATGAGTATTTCAAAAATTAATAGAATAGATTGTGATTTAAACATTTAAAATCTATTTTTATAACTTTTTGAATTGAGTTTTTATAAAAATGTTTTATAAATAAAAATCTCCATTAATTATATTTTAAATTTTTTTGAAGAATCAAACGAAATGAATGAATGTTATTACAATATAATTTTATTTTAAATGATACTTCATTTGACAATCCTTTTGATTTATATTTCCTATCAAATAAATTGTTGAGTAAATAATATTTATTATCAGGATCCATAATTTATTTGATATCTAAATATTTTAATAAATAAAATTTCTTTAACATTTATTTTGTTTTTGAAGATATTTTAAGCTTTAAAAAAATACTTTAAATTTCATTTTATATGTTGATTTTATTTATTTTTATTGTTTCTAATACTTAAAGATTTGATATTTGTAATCAAGGTTTTTAATTTATTTGATAATAAATAAATTATAATTGAAAAAAGTTTAATTTCAAATTTACCTCCAAATCTTTTTTGAAATTAAATTTCTTAAATATAGGAAAAAAATTATAAATAATAAATAAGAAAAGAAATTAATTTGCTTAGAAATTAATAAAATCAACTCTTTCCAAACACTTTGAATTAGTAACTTCCTTGGAGTGAGGCTGTGGACTCACTCTGAGGCTTTTCAATCGCCTTCAGCGTACCAATCCCGGATTTTAAATCGATTATAAAAATACTTTTTCAAAGTACCATAGAGCTCTGATTCAGTCAAAAAAAAACTAAAAAAAAAACATATTGCAAGTAGCACGCCATTCATTATCCTTCTTTTCACATCATATGCATTGATCAAAACAATTCAAGATCAGAAAATAAAAGTTTTTAAAAAATTTCCAGAATCTACAGCAAATAAAAATTTGCTTCACCCTTAACCCTTCCCTGGATGAATTGAAGATGATTTGTGCATATTTGCAGATATAAAATATTTATCCTTATCTAAAAAATAAGCGATAGTTTGTCACTAAAATAAATATATAATGAATGGCTAGGCTATCAAAGTTGAATCTCTCATATATAAAAATATTGTTTAAAAAAATAGGAAATTGCCATCATCCATCCAAGACTTCATCGATTAAAAACTCCTCATTTAAATTTTTAAAAACTCCTTAAATTAATTTTAAAAACTCCAAAAAATAAATAAATAATATTAAAAAAACTCAAACAACATTAAAAAATTCAAAAAAAATATTAAAAAATAAATTAGCAAATAAAAATAACAAACAAACAAATAAACAAATTAAAAAACAAATAAACAAACAAACAAACAATTAAATAAAAAATAGAAATAAACAAAAAAACAAAAACAAAAAATAAATAAATGTAAAAATAAACGAAAGATATAAACTAGCTGCACTATACTTTTATTTTGATAAGTTAATTTTTTTTGTTGTTTTTATTAAGATTTTTTTTCTTACAAAGCACCAATTAAAAATAAATAAATTTGCAAATATTTGATTTGTTAATTGATTAAATTTGGATATTTAATAGCTTAAAAATAAAAATTATTAATGTAAAGTCAATTTTCTAAAAGTTAAAATTAAAATTGTGTTTGTTTGTTTGTTTGTTTATTTAATCTTCTTTGTGAAAATAATGTGTATTTTTTGAGATATTTAAATAAATACTTTTTGCTAATTTATAAAATTAATTCTATAACAATATCAAAGTAGATTAAATTAGATTTGATGCTTTATTAGCAAATCATTAAAATATCTTAGTTTTATTTGATTTAGTTATTTTCTATATCAATTTTATACATTCGTTCATTATTAATAAAATATCTTTGCTTCTCACCTAATTTAATTACAATAACTAAGTATGTAAATATGATATATTATTTATCTATAAAATTCATATTATTTCTAAAGGAATTATAAACTAAGGATTTAATTTTAGAATTTGATATTTTTGCGAAGATTTAATTTTAAATTTTTGAAATAATTCGATAACATAGAAAAGGATTCATTCATCTAATCAAAACTCTAAAAATGAATGAATCAATGAATGTTTATTTAATCAATAATAATTTGGTTTATGCTTTTTTTAAAAAAATTTTTAGTTAGTTTAACGTTATGAATTAACCATTTGTTTAAAAAAATAATAAACAAGTTATTAGTAAATTTTGCCATAATATTATAGACAAAATATTAATTATTGAAAAATGAATGTACATGTAAATTGAGATAACAAAAGTTAGTTTTAAATATATTTTTTTAGATTTTTCAACTTTTTGTAATAATATCTACGAATTATTGATTGATCTTTGTCGGTAGCTAACTATCTATTTATATAAAAATTAAGCAAAAAGAGAAGCAAAGATTTTAGATATGTTTAAATTTACGCCTTTTAATTGGGCTAGTTCAGTAATTTTAAGCAAGGTGTGTAAATTGAAAAAACTATTTAGTTATTCAAGAAATAAGTTGTATGCATATTAATTCCATTTTATTATTAAAAGTTCTTAAAACCTTATTTTAAAGAATTGGATGACAAGTAAGTTGATGTAGGTTTTTGGGATGGTAATTAATCATTAGCTTTCTTTTTTTGTTTATTTAAAGTCAGAATGACGAAATTAGACTGATTAAAATGGTAGTAATAAAGTTTTATTCGCTATTTAAAAAATGTAGGATAATTCACTCTTAAAAATTTGGAGTTGCGGAGAGAAGTTTTCTTGATAAATGATTTGAATCTGGAAGTAGTTGATTCACTTATTTCGGAGTTAAAAATAACAATTCCTTGGAAGTCAATTAAAACAGAAGTATGAAGCAGTTATTTAAAAATAAAAGGCAAAAAAATAAAACAATTTCAAAATAATTAAAGCCAATATAGATAGAAATTAAGGGTCTCAAACTGATATTGAGCAACAAGCTTGACCAAACTGATGAAGAAAAAGAAGAAGTAAAAAAGAAGATGCATCAAATAAAAATGGATGCTTTAGACTAATTTGAAGCTTCTTATGAAAAATACAATAAAGAGGAGTAAAAAAATGAAAGCAGTAAAGTGAAGAAAGAAAGCAAAAGTTCAAACCCATTCTATAAAAATTGGATTCAGAATATTTCGCAGAATTTCAAGCTAAAAATAGAAAATATAGAGCTGGTTTATATTTATCATGTAAAATATTAATTTTCCAGTTATAACTTAAATAATTAACTCAATAATACAAAAAAATCTTTTTAAAATTGATATTTTGGATTTAAAAAATAGAATTAAAATTAGTGAATTACTTAAGCGACTTAATTGATTCATAAAGCTATTTTAAATACAAAAAAACCCATAAATGTTATCTCAATAAACTGATGATAATTTTTCATAGTTTATATTTCATTTTATTTTTTTATTAAACGATTCAAAACAAAAAAAGAGGTAGTAAGTAAACAAATTAATATTGAATCGAATAAATTTAATTGATATTAAAAGCGTTTAGATAGCTTTTAAAAACGTTTTTCAATTTATAAATTAAGGTAACTAAATTTGAAGTGCTTAAAATAGGATTAAATTTGGATAAAATAGAAGTTGGAACAGTAGACTAGAGCTATTAGTAAAAGAATAGTTTTAATTCTATTTTAAAGAATCTCAATATAGTTAATTTATCTATCTTTTTTGAGTTTTATGATAGCTTTGTGACGACATAAATAAAGGTAATACAAAAAATATTTAAATTATAATTAAGTTTTATTATTTAGTTTGCATTTTAATTTTAATTAATTAGACAAACAATTATTTTGATTTTCATGGGAAGTCAATTGGTTTCTTTACCAAATATAAAAATGCAAATAACACAAAAACAAATTAAGATCCCTTAGAGTAGATGCAGTAAAAAAAAGCTTAGGAGAACGAAAATTACATCATTAAAGATTTAAATATAGAAGTGCTTATCAAATTAGATCTATTTTATTCTTTTCAATTAGAATTAAATGTTAATATTCCTGATGTTACTATTTTCTTGAAACAGAATCAAATGAGATTACTATTAAAATCCCTCAATGATTTGGCTAACTATGATCCAAAGCGCCCAATTTATCGTCCTAATGAAAAGATACCAGAAGATAAAGTCACCATTTAAACAATCAGTCCTGTCAAATAATGGTGGCAATATGCAAGTAATATTTTAAGCATTTATCAATATAAAATATCTTATATATATGTACTAATATTAGTTGTCAGAGTGATAGATAAAGAAAATCTTCCACTCAAAACAAAGCAAAAAGGTTTTCTAGGTTTCTTCGATTCGTTTAAATACAGAAAAATATATACAAAAAAGAAATTGCAGATTAAATTGAAGGAAACAGAGGTGAGGTTCTTTGAATAGTTCGAACTAGCATATCCTTTGTCACAGTTATTAGTACTTAGATAAATAGCAATTAATACACTTGTACGATACAAAACGTTTTTATTTTCAGATATATTTTCAGAAAAAAACGAATCTGAAAAATGGTTCAAAAACTTTGGAAATATCCCAATTTCGAAAATCTAAAGTCTGAATTATCATTTTATTAAAGATCAAAACTTTGAAAAAACCTATAAAAGTGATAATTCTGAAAACACTGAGAATTCTTTAAATAGTTCGAAGAGTGATGATTCTGTTAAATCAACTGAAGATAATAAGAACAATTCCTTTCCAATAATATGTGAAGTTCATTTAGGTCATTTTGAAATATTAATTGAAGAAAACTCCATGCTTTCCGATGTTAAAAATCTACATTAACAAGCGAATCTTTTTAAAGAATCTCTATCAAACACACCTCATTTATAATAATAAGTACAATTTATTTTAAATTGATAATTAATTGTTTTAAATAGTTTTTATGATTCCATTTTAATTCTAATGAAACTATTTTTTAATTTCTTTCAAAATTAAATTTAAATAATTGAAATGCATTAAAAAAAAAAATAGGTATTAAGACATATAAAAAAGAACTTCATTTAGGAATTGAGTAAAAAAGGAATTAATTAAAATACAGAATAGTAAATTTTAGACTAAAGTGAGGATTAGATGCAATCAGACTTTTAGTGGAATCATGCAAATATTTGCAAAAAAAAGAAGATTCTGTTATGCTTAGAAATAGAAAATGCAGTTATCATTTATAACAAATTAGATAATTTTGTTAGCCAAACTTAAGTTGATATAAAACTTATCAAGTGCTTGGATATGCATAGCAAGAACAAAGAATATGATAATGTTTTGTCAATTGAATAAGGAATTTAGTTTATGATCAAGTAAGAAGTTGTGAAAATTCAAAAGGTAGCATTGAAAAACTCTACAGAAGAAAAAATAACTCACAATAATATCGATGTCAATATTCCATCTATAAATTTGACGCTATGCAAACCATTCATAGAGAGATGCAGTATTGTTAAATTAATAAAAAATTAAATTTATTTATATAATTTTTCAAAATTATTAAGGTATTTTGATGCAAGTTATCTTCTTTGATCCAGAGAAATCTCAGGAAAAGCCTGAAGCGAAGGGAGATAACACAAACTAGAAAAAATAAGGAGGTTACAATTTTGAGAAGCAGCAATAATTTTACACATAATTTCTTTAGCAAAAAGATAAAGTTAACACTTTTACAAATATGGCTATCAATATTACTAAAATTAATGTTACTTTACCGTTAAATTATGAAGTCCCAGATAAATTGCTCATAATTTAGCTAAAAAGCCTCAAAATTTTTAAGAGAGAACATGAAAGCTTGCTTGAAGAAAATATGAAGCTCAGAGAAGGTACTCACGAAGAGTTCAAAACAGAAGGAGATATTCTAGAACCTCTACTTGTCACAGTCCACTGCTTAAAAATTTTAATTGCCTAAGATAATAATTGGGAGTTAAATTAAAACATTTTTTTGCATAACTTAAAGTAAAATTTCATTATTCTGTTAATTTAACTACTTTTTTCAATAAACAAATTAATAAATAAATAACAAGTTAATAAATAGATAAAAAAATTAATACACAAATAAATAAATAATTAATTAAATAAAAGGCGAGTTTAGAATTAAGTTGGCAACAATGAAAAAAATTTTTACAAGAAACAAGTTGAAGAATAGACTCAAATAATTTTAGAAACTCTTCCTATTTCAGTTAGGATGGAGAAATCACACAATACTTACTCTATTGGAACTATTTGCCTTTTACCCCGAGAGAAGAAAGCTGACTTTAAAAAAAATATAACTCCCTCTACTTAAAAGCTTTTTGTTAATTTACCTTTTTTCTTGATAAATATTAGTATTTCATAATTGTAAATATTGCTTTATCTAGCCCAAGTTTGGTGTTTAAAGGGATATAATCTGTTAAGCGTTTTATAGGACTAAGGGGGAGATAATATTTAAGAGCAAGTTCCTAATTAAATTGATGAATTAAACGATTCAAGAGATGAAAAGAATGGAGAGGTAGGAAAATCATTGTTCGGAAGGCAAAGAACACAAGAAAAGAAACTTAGATAAATTATTAATAGAAATATATAGTATGAAGAAAAAGTATTGCAATATTTGCAAGAACATATTTTCTTTTAAATGGATCTTTAAATGGAAGGCTTATAACTCAACTTAAATGTTTGTTCGAAAGAAATTATGAAGAAATATGAGGGCAGACTTGTCCATTCAAATGATATTATTTAAGTAAATATCCTTAACCTGTAACTCCACACTAGATAGTTTTATTTTAGTAAATCAATGCAAGTTAGCATAGAGACTTTTTTGATAGAAAATAGAAATTGTTGTCAATATGATCTTTTAACTAACTTAAAGCACTAGTGCACTCATAATTTATCAAAGTCTGATTTATAAGTGGTGCTTAAAGATACATGTCCTCTAAATCAAGAAGTTAGTCACTTCTAAAGCATAATATACAAAAATCGTCAAACGGCTGATAAATTTTACAAAAAACAATTAAAAAAACAGCAGAAATAGAAGGCTTTTAATAATAAACTTGGATAAAATAAAAAGGCTTAAGAAAAAGATATCTTTTAGGATATCTCTGTGGATGACTTGTAATCATTTATTAATGAATTAGAAAGAAACTAAAAAGGAAATAATGCTAGAGATAAAAACAGAATTGAAATTGATGGAGTTGTTATCGAAAGTGATAACGAAAGCGATTTAAATTATTTTGATGAAAACGATGAACGAAATATGGATTAATTTGAAGATTCAGTCGATAATTTAGTAAATAAAGATTTTTCATTTCTAAAAGAAGATAAAAAAGCAAAGGATTACGTTGAGAAAGAAGAAGAAGACAAGCTAATAAAAAATTTAATGTATTTTGAAGATGAATATTTGCTGCTTAATTTAAAAGATTAAGAAAATGCTACAAATCAAAAGTTAAATGGAGAGCAACATCTTCATAGATGCCCAGATTGTTATGATGAAGATTCAAGAAAAAAATTCTTAATTTTAAACTTTTAAAATAGATAAAATAAAAAAGAGTAATAATCCAATTAAAGTTACTTTAATCCAGAAACTTCACCTAAATTAAACCATCTCATGAATTAGTATTAAAACAATCAAATTTCTGAGTAAAACATCTAAGTAGAAGATAGTATGATGACTGATTCTCAAGCTACTAGGTAATTTGTTTCAGTTCAAGAAAACGGAGAAGATACAATTTAAGATCAAATTCCTATCAAAGATATTATAATTACAATCGAATCAATTGATGATGAGTATTTCGTCGCCAAGGAAGACGATTACCATGACTTAGTGCCTTCAAGCATTTATATCGAACTTAATCATCCAGTTATCACATTAGATCCTGTATTTTTAGCTTATTTAAAAAGTATCATTGAAATTAGTGGTATATATGCAACATAAAGAGTTGAGGACTTCAAAGAATACATGCAAGTCAAAGGTTTATTTATTTATTTTTTTATTTTTCATATTTTTTAAAAACAAACAAAAACTTCAATGAAATAAAATTTAAAAAATTTATTTTTATTAGGAAATATTTTTTGAATAACTTAATACAAGTTTAAATCATTTAAATATCAAAAATTTAATTACATAATAAAGAAATAAATAAATTTTTGATAAAATAATAATTGAATCTATAGAAAATAATTAAATATTGTTAAAATGAACAATAAATCAATAATTCATAATTAATAAGTTGATTGAAAGAATATAATGATGGATTAATATAATAAGGAAATTATTTATAATAAAGAATAGGAAGAAAGTAGATAAAAAAGAAAAAATAAGTTGATTATGTGAACAGATAGATGTAGTTTAATCATTTATTATTAAATTCATATCAATAGATTTAATTTTTATTATAACGATTTCACATAGACACATTTTTTGTTTTTTTAAGCTTTTATTTATTAAGTTTATTATTAATAAAAATTAAACTTAAAAGATAAGAATTGCTGATAGAGATATTATAATTTTTTATAAATTAATATTAGAGATTTATTTATTACATTTCTTTTAATTAAATTTTTTAAATAAAAAAGCTAAAAAATATTTTTGAAATAGTTAATTTTTTTAGCAAGATAGATTGATTTGATAGTTTTTAGTATTGAAAAAGTATTTTTTATCAATAAATAATTTATTTAATTGATTTTATACTAAATATATCAAATAATAAGAAATATTTGCTAATTCAATTTTTTTATTAAAACAATAAAAATGTAGGATTCTCTCCATACATTGAAGAAGAAAAGGAAGATTAAGGAAAAGCTTTTTAAGATGATTAAATTTCTGAATAAGATCAAGAAAATGATGCTATAAACAGCAAAATCAATTCTTAATTGACTTTAGTTTCTGAAACTATTACGATTCAGATGCTCCATAATGTTCCTGTTAAAGACAAGGAATACAAGAGCCTTGAACCTGCTTTTCTTCTTTATTTATCAGAATTTATTTTGATTTAATAAGTAAAATATTCATTTTGTAATAATAAATATACCTTAATTATATTTATATTAAGGCAACTTAAGCTTACAACTTGCTAACTGTGAACAGCTCTGATGTTTCTCTATACGACATAAGCGAAAAAACTGGATTACACAGACAGTAATTTTTTAGAATAATGATTTAGGTGAATTTATAATTTAAATTTTTTAAAAGAACTCTTGGAAGCTTCGAAAAAATAAACAACCAATAAGCTTAATACCCTTGCAATTAACTTTCAATAGAAATGAAAACATTCCACTCAAAAGAACTATCCTAAATATAAAAGTTTTCAACTTATATTGGTAATAAATTTTTTTTTGCAAATACAAATAAATACTTATCATGATTTTAATTTAAAAGGCATAAAATTAGAGGAAGCAAAAATTGTGTTTTTGAAGAGAAACACTATGGAAATCTAAGTTTATATTAGGCAATTCTTGTTAGCTGCTTTAAGAAATAGAATAAATAACGAAGATTTGAAATTTATTAAAGACTATTCTAAAAAGTTAATCTACAAAAAATATGATTTATTCATTGAAGATCAAGGACCGATGAAAAGTTTTCAAGAACCTACATAAAACGTGTAGCAACCAGAGCCTTCAGATATGAAAATGGAAATAGTTGTTTTGAATTCAATTGTTTGCGCATATAGAAGTTCTTTAAGTGAAAACGATGGACTTTTTGTCCATTTTACAAAATTAGGTTATTGGTTTACTGGTAAATGGGGATAAGAGTTCTTAGAAAACGGTCTAATTCATACAGGTAAGCATTATTACGAAGAGTAAACTGCTGACAGCATGAATCAAAATAGCAGTAACAAATCGCAAAGTAGTTTTTAGGAGTGTAAAGCTGAAACTTAAACCTCATTTTAAGATGTAACATAAAATGTCTCTTAAGAATTTGAATCAAATCATAATATCAACAATAATGACAACAACTTTAATAATAACAATTACAAAAATATGTAAGAAGATGACTAATTTTTTGATGTTGTTAGTGAGAAACAAGGAAATGATTAAAATATTAATCAAAAGATAACCCAAAATTATGGATAAACATAATTTAAGCCTTCAAAAAACATGTTTTAATTAAACTTTAATAATGAAGATTAGCTCCCTTCGAAAATTAGTACTTCAGATATAAAACAAGTAAAATCTCGTATACATGGTTCATCACACTCAGTTACTACAAGTAAGTCTAGAATTGATAATTAAAAATAAGAAGATAATAATGTTATTGAAATCTAAAGAATTTTTATGTGGGACTTAAAAGCTTATTCATCCTAAGAATTTTTAAATAGAGTAAAAAATAATTATTTTTTTTAGTTCAAACTAATAAATAACAATTAATTAATAATTTAGGATATTGTAATTATGTCACCTCCTGATAAACCATCTGTTGAAGTAAAGATTATTTTCGATGATCCTAACTTTAGTAAATACACTGGAATCACAGATTATCAACTACTTCCTATGAAGAGTAAAAAAATTTTTAAAAATTTATTATTTAAAACTTTAAAGAATTAAATTAAAATTAAAATTGTATTTTGATTTTGTAGCATTAAAGTAATTTTATTAAAATTACCAAATTATTTTTTAATTCAAAAAAATTTTTAATTAAAACCAAAATATTTTTATTAAAATTGCAATTAATATTTTTATTAAAATTACCGTTAACATTTTCATTGAAATTGCCATTAGTATTTTTATTGAAATTGCTATTAACATTTTTATTAATATTTTTTTAAAATTTACTTTTAATATTTTTATTGAAATTACTATAAACATTTTTATTAAAATTGCAATTGATATTTTAATTAAAATTACCTTTAACATTTTCATTCAAATTGCCATTAATATATATATTTTTTTTCAAATTACCAAAAATATTTTCATTAAAATTGCAATTAACATTTTTATTAATTTACTGTTAGCATTTTCATTGAAATTGCCATTAGTATTTTTATTGAAATTGCTATTAACATTTTTATTAATATTTTCATTGAAATTACCATTAATATTTTTATTGGAATTGCTATTAACATTTTTATTAAAATTGTAATTGATATATTAATTAAAATTATCTTTAACATTTTCATTCAAATTGCCATTAATATATATTTTTTTTCAAATTAACATTTTTATTAATTTACAGTTAACATTTTCATTGAAATTGCCATTAATCTTTTTATTGAAATTACTTTAATTATAGAATTTAATTGCTTTAATTTTTAAAAAATACTTTTGAAATTATGAAATAGTTGCTGTAAATATTCCTGAGTTAAGTCTATTTTTGTATGACAAGGACTATTGCACTCTTTGCAAATTATTTTAAGAAAATATAGCTGAAGCACCTAGGACAGTGTTCATAAACTAAGATTATGATATTTACAATAATAATGTATTTATTAAATTTATTTTCTAAAAAGAATTTAAACAAAAATTTATATTTTTTTAATTAGATTTGGTAATTCCTTGATATTTCTGTTTAAAAAGTAAATGCAAAAATGTTTTAAGGTGAAAGAGTTAATTTATAAGAATAAATGGTAAAGGACTATAATTACTATCATATTGATGCTTAAGTTGATAATAATTTAAGCGAAATTAAATACTAAACATATGCAAATGAAACGGAGAAATAAGATCCCTCAATTTACAGAAAAAATCCAAATTTTTCAAATGCAGGTCAGGCATTAGGAATTAAATAATCTCACTCTCGAAACAATAGCTAAGATGTGCCAAAATTAAATAGGAACAAGAACTAATCTAAAAATTCACAAGAATAAGAGAAAGAAGATAACTGTAAAGAGATGCCTGTTAATGCTTAACATGAATATTTCTTACAGCAAGTCTATGAATCGCAGCAAATAAAAAAAGGAAAATCTTACAAAAAATATAAAAATGTTTTTCTCATTAGTAATCCTGCAAGTTTAAGTAAAGTATTTTAAAAATAAAATGTGAAAGTTCATTCATTTTAATATAAATTAATAGCTGAAATGAATTTAGAAAACGTTATTTATCATTTTTACATGCACGAAAACGGTTGCAAAATCATGAAAGTATGGGCGACTAAGCTTGACATTAATGATTTTAGAATGTGCTCTTTACTGAAAAACAAATAAATTTTGTTTGATATTAAAGATTGGCAAAATGTTGAAGAAGGAAACGAATAATATACTAATTAGTAAACAGAGGAAAAAGAAGAAGGTAATATGCTTAATAAAGATTTCATTAACTTTAATGACAATAATGAGTATGGATTTATGGATGATAACTCCTTAGACAGCGACGAATTAAATATTAATGAAGATTTTGACCTATAAGGTAAGAATTTTGGATAAAATTTGATAGCAAATCAAGAGTAAGAATACAATGATGATCCTCACCCTGAAAAAACTAATTAAAATGTCAATTTAGACGAAGCAATTTAAGAAAATGATATTTAAATGCTATCATCAAATAGAGTTAATTAAAACTTTATTTTAGAATAAGATAGCATACTCTAAGAAAGCTAAAGAAAACCCATGGGATCTGAAGAGATGAAATTAAGGCATAAATAAGAAAAAATGATGAAAAAGAATTAAAAGAGAAAAAGAAAGGATTTACAGAATGGAATGTCAAATCAAGATTAAATTTAAGTAAAGGTGTTTATTTTCTTTCTTTCATTCATTCATTATAATTTTTTTAATTCAATTCATTTTATTTTAATGTAAATTTATAAAAAAATATCTTATTTGATTTTAGAATAGTATCAATTATATTTTAGATGAATTAAAGCATTTTTTAAAGAAGGAATTATAAGATATTTATTTAATAAACTGATAAGGAATTTATTTTAGGGGGGAAAAAATATATATTAGAGATAAATGAGTTTTAAAAGAATTATTTGAAATAATATTGTGAAGAATGATAAAATTATATTCAGATAATGGATAAAATAAAATTGAAATATTATTAAATCAAATTGAGAAGAGTGATAAAATCAAATTGAAATTAAAGATAAATAATATTTCAGAAGAATTATTAAATAATATTAAGAAGAATGATAAAATAATTAATTTAATATAAGAAAGTTTCATTAACAAAAAAGAATATCTATATTCAAGTTCAAATAATTCAATTAAATAAATAATTTTTTGTTTTAGAATTAACATGAATTAATTATTTAGATGCATAATAAGATAGATAGATATAATTATGTTGAGAAGAATATCAATCAATTAATAAATTTCTCAAATGAAACTAATTTTTTATTGAAGAATGAAAATATTTTGTATTAAAATATTAATAAATATTTTCTCTTAAAGAATAAGCTTTATACTGATGGTAATATTGGAGAACATGATTAGATTCTCGAAGAAAAGAAGAGATCGACAACAAATGAAAAAATTGTTGAAATTTAAGTAGAAAATAAAGACAGTAATAATAATAATAGCTAATAGTTAACTTTTTGGTAAAAGATGAGTAACTTCTTTTGCTGCAGAAGAAAGCAGTAGCCACAGTAGTAAACTTAACAAAAAAGTATAGTGAAGGAAAAGCCCAAAGACTAAATTGGGTAGCAATAGCAATAAGAGTCAACATAAATAGAATTAAGTATATTTATTTTATTTCGTAACAAACAAACAAATAAATAATTCAATTCAAAATTTTAAAATAAAAGAGCGTTAAATTGAAACATGGCCATAAGATGATTTTCCTAAAGGAAGAAAATGGGTTATACAAAATTATTAGTAGTGTCTCCGTACCTTTTTATATATATATTTATTTAATTATTTATTTAAATGTTTATTTAACAAATTTGAATTTTAATAATTTTATAAATTATAGCAATAACAATAACTGATAATTAAAATTAAAGACTTTATTAATACAATGACATGGAGCAGTAATACAAGTAAATAAATAAATTAATTAATTAATATTTGATTTTTAAATCAAAATTTTAATTTTTGGTTAAATAAAAAATTTAATTAGCTTATTTAGGATGAACAATCTATACAATTTTATCGGCTCTGAGGCTGATTTGGAATATAATGACCTTAAATTTGCATTTATTACTTAACCTGATGGAGAAAAATTAATTAAAATACACATTAAGAATAAAAATTTTGTTTTTATGAATGACTTTTTATTCGATTTAATTGGTTTCTTCAGAACTCCCTTTAATGGCTCTGATGATATATTAAATAAGCAATTCTTTAGGTAACCTAAATAGAATAATTATCCTCCTATGATTATCAAAATTTAAGTAATTTTATTTTATTTTTAATGAGGTTTTTTAAATTTACATTTTCCCTAGGCTGAAAATTTCTGGGCTTTGATACTGGATAGTCTGAATAATCCAAGTAACTGTTTAGCTGTTAATCTTAATGCAGATTATCTTTAAGAATGGATTGGTGATAGTGGAATGGGACCAGGAAGTGCTTTAATGGTTCGTTTTTATTTTAAAAATGATAATGTATTTAATTATTTATTTATTTATAATTTAGGATATAAATATCGATTTAAGGAAACTGCTGACCTGTAATACAGATAAAATTTATCAAGATTTTGGTCAACATCTGAGAACATATTCTATTTCAACCATTAAAATTATTTAAAAGTATTTAAATGACCAAGAAAATTAGCAAGGAAATAAGGATAAAAGCCCTATTTTAATTGATGATCAGAATTTAAACTCTTAAAATATTGAGTCATCTAACTAAATTTAAGATTAAAAATAAAACGATTTGCCAGCTGAAACTCCAAAGAAGAAACTTGCTTTCTTTTAGAAGAAGCCTATAAATCATCAACAAGCACCACCAAATTTAGTTAGAGAAGAAAGCTCGGAGTTGTAAAAAGAGATTCAAAAAGTCGAATTCAACACAAACTTAATCATTCCTTTTAAGATAAGGTTTAAGAACAGTTACATTATAAACTATTACAAGCTTAAAAGATAATATGAAGAAGAATATGCTTTGTAGTAAGAAAATATTTTACAAGATCTTTAAAAGTCACAGAGCTAAAATAGTAATAGTGAAAAGCTTCGATATACATAAAAGAATGGAGAAAAAACACCTTACACTCATTAAGAAATTGAGATTAGCGTTTTTAACAAGAAAGTGAAGAAATTCAGGAATTTAAATATAAGTATGTATTCTTTGAAATAGATAAGTACAATAACTTCCACAATGATGAACCCTTCTACTTATATTACCATATTCAAAGAAGAGGTTAACCCATTAAACAACCAGTTATCTGAGTCACTTTTCAAAGTAAGATGCATAACAGACGCTGATAAAGCATCATTTTTAAAGTAAAGTAAGAATTAAGATTATCTCAAGCAATATGTGGTAAAATAAACTCTATTTAAAGAAATTTATTTTAAGTATTTTCAATATTTCAAAGCCAACACGCTTAACAAATGATGAGATTTAGCAATTCTAAAAAAACCCTGAAGAAAAATGCATCGGATATTTAAGAGTCAAGTTAAAAAGATTCAAAATAGAGGCTTTTAAAAACTATTTTGGAAATCAAACTATGAAAATTAAAATATCTAATTTGATTCTTAAAAAGATATCCAAAGGTGAAAATTCCAGCATGGGCTTAAAGGGATAGCTTAAAATTAAATATTACAACAAAAGGTTTATTTTTTATTTAATTAAAATGAATATCATTGGTAAATTTTATTTTGATAACTATAGAAAAGGTTTTTATGAGCCATTTTTAGAACCTTGGATTTTCCATGTTCAAAACTAAAAGGTAGACTCAGATTAAAATTTACAAGTGTGCAACTACGAAGATAAAAATAAAGAAAATGAAAGTGAATTCAAAGAGTTAGAGAGCGTTCTCAGTCATAGAGTAAAAAACAAACTCATTCATTACTTTTTATTTATTTAAATTTTTTCTAAATTAGAATTCACTAAATATCAATTTGAGTACTGCATTCATAGAAACAGCTATTGAAGCCAAGAATGCATTCGGATAAACCAATTAAAAGTTGCGTCCATACAATATCGTGAACAAATTAGGCTTTGGATTACTTTTCTTATTGGGAGAAAATAAAAAGATTTACATGGAAGATCTAATTTTATAAATAGTTAGTAACAATGAAGAAAAGGAATATCTTCCTCACACTCAAAATGTAGAAGATAAAGGAAGACAAATCAAAAAAATAAAAAATTTATTTGTTAACTTTATAATATTAAAGCCATAAAAAGAGAAACAAATCCAAGAAAGAATTGAGCTTTACATTAATGGTCTTGCTGCAGAAATGAAAAGAATAAAGTCAAATAACATCCCCTTAAAGTCAACTATATTTAATAATAAAAGCGCCAATTATTTTTCTTACACTAATAACACTAATGCAACTCATTCTTCTACTTATGTAATACAAGATTCTATTCAGGGGTTAGATAAAAAATAATCTAATATTGAGTCTGTCAACCTTAATCAAAAGGAGCAAAAATTCAAATAAAAGATTTTAATTAGCAAGAATTTTAGTGATTTCAGGTAAATTCTATTTTTTGTGTATTTTTTTCGACTTTAATTTTAATAATAATTAGAACCATCAATAGGGCTTCTTTGGATAGACTGGGCAAGCAATTCTTCTAGTTAGAGAATTTAAATGCTCAGCACTTTAACACAAACAAGCAAGACAGAAACAAAATATTAGAAAAATATAAAGATATTAAAAACTTACTTCATCAAACTGATAAGGATTTCTTTGTTGTTGACGTTTCTCTAGATTCAGGAGTTGGAAGAAAGCAGATCACTCTACAGAGTTCCGTTACTATTTTTAACAATCTGAATAAGGAAGTTATTGTTGGATTTTTGAAGAGAAAAAAGAGCGAATAGATTATATTTGAGGAAGATATTTAGCTTCAACATCAAAAATCTGGAAAATATAAAGAATAACCCGTAATCAGTAAAGAAAAAAGGAGATACATCTAATTGGACATGTACAAAATTCAGCCATACTAATCCTTACCCATTCCTTATAATTTTCTTTCTGAAAAGAGAGATGTTTTTTACTGTATGGTGCCTGATAGTGATAAACATAACATGCCTAATAACCACAAGTACATTTTAAGCTATTTATTATTTTTAATTAAATAATATTTTTTTAAAAGCAAAAGCAAAAGCCATGTAGAGCTAATAAAACAAATTATAGTGACAACTGATAAACATGGTGTACAAGATGTAGAGTAAATGGATCAAATTGATGAAGAAATAATGGATATAAAGTTATTTAATATACATGATTTCATTTAGCCTTATTCTACCTTTTCTGATTATGATCAAGTAGATGACCTTAAATTGAATGATATTATTGGAAAGCCTTGCTTAGAGTTCGAAAACGAAAGGTTTGGCAGATTGATTCTCAGACAAAATTTTGAATTGAAATAAAATAAGTTCATCGAAGAAAGTAATTAACATTTAAATTCTGTATTCTAAATAAATGTCATCAAAACGAAATGGCCAGTGTAAAACATATCTGAAAAAAGCTAAATGTACTGCTATGAAACTTCAATTGTATTAAATCCATTCTTGAGAATTATAAATTAGACTATTTAAGAAATCAAGATAATAGTTGGAGATTAGGATAAAACATTAGCACCAGGTGAGACACTCATACCTTATAGCATAGATTTCGTCAAGGCATAATCAATCCTCATCTATTAAGAGCCTTCAAACAAAGTTGAATTCAATCCTTTCACTAAAAAGCTTAAAGATTTTGTCAAACTAGAACCTTGCTAGCTTTCTGACCAAATATATCCACTTTGCTTAAGCCTCGAATACACAAAAATCTCAAAGCAATCAAGAGTTGTAGTCATTTACTGCCCTTACATTATTTTTAACCGAACTGGATTAGATTTATACTACAAAGAATTCTAAAAAGATTTTTAGGTCAAGAAAAATCACTTTGAAAAGAAAAAGATTAATGGTGAAAACAAGCCCAATGCCCAAAATGAGAATAGCAGAATTTCAATTAATCAAGCATAAAAAGAATCTCTTCAAATGTTTTGCCCTTCAAACAAATTTAAGAAACTTTCGATTGGTATTTTCTACAAATCTCCTTACACAATTAATTGGTCATAATAAATATCGTTCACTTAGAAAAACCACGTTGGCATACAGCTTACGTCAGACAGCAACAGTGTAAAAAACTTATTTAAAACTTTTTATTTTAAAATACAAATTTAATTAAAAATTAATTTGTAGCTCTATGAAGTAAATGTTAATCTAAGCTAAGGAGTAGGTGAACTCTCAAAGACAGAAATGATAATCATAACTCCAAAATATTACTTTTACAATTAGACAGAACACACAATTGTAGTCTCTTAAAAAGTCCCAATCATGCAAGACTCTGTCTTCTAATTAGACTAAGGATAAATTCAACCCTTTTTCTGGATGCAAAAGGATGGCCAACAGATCATCTATTTGTCATTTTTCTAAGACTTAAAGAATCCTAAGTTCTCTAATCCATTTAAAATTGATGAAGTAAATAAAATATTCAATATTAAATTCAATATATAAATATTATAAATTCATAGATCAACACATTTGCTGTAAAAGTTCCTTATAAAGATGAATCCTAGCAGCAATAACTTAACAGTCTAAATGGCAGTGATAGCAAGTATAAATACAAGTTAATTACGATCAGTATAACCCAAATGAATGGTGTGTTTTGTGTAAGGTTTTTAGAAAAAGGATAGCCTCCACCATATGTGATATTTAACAAAGTAAATTATTAAATATTATTAAAATCAATCAAGGTGCTTATATTTAAATTAAACAATAAAGACTAATCACGAAATATTTGTACAACAATATATTCCTGAGTTTGTAAAAACATGCTGCAGCAAAAAGAGAAACCAGCTTACTTCAGAAAAAAAAGTATATATTTTTAAATGTTTGAAATATTAATTTGAATAATTTTTCTATATAACACAGGTCATCTTCCCAAAGTAAAGAATAGTGTTTACCTGGGATCATTGGAATATTGATTTCGATAAATAACTGAGTGTGGAAATAGATACAAACCAGAAAACCTACAACTTAGAAAAGCTTAAAGACTATGAGCCTATTTACTTGTAGAAGGTAGATGATAGAGGAATGCAGAAAGATAGTGATCCAAAGAAAAAAATACTTTACAAGAAAGGATATCTATTGGTGTGTGATAACTTTAAAGATTAGTTCGAAAAATACTTCTGCATCTTAAATATCTACAAATAAAAGCTAAAATTATACATTAATAAAGAAAAAATATCTAATATTGACCTAGTATATGCTAAACTAGAAATAAGCAGAGAAGGATTTGACATAATAACCATAAAATAAAAAAGATTAAACATTAAGTAAGCTGAAGACTCTAATAAAAACAGTTTATTCGATTGGTATATCTCAATTTATAACTCCATACAAGTAAATATGCCTGATAAAGTAGACTTTAAAATAGAGCCTAGAAATGGAACTATGGTAAAAATTTTACAATAAATCTATGAATTATTTTTAATTCTCTTTTGTATAATAAAATAGGAAATTACTTTTTATCAGTAGAAAAAGTATTTTGAAAATGAAAAAGGAAATAATTCAAACAGTAAAAAAGGATTCTTAGACTTAGATGAAGATGGAGTTCCCTATCAAGTTGATCATCTAAATTATCAAGTAATTTATTCAATAATTCAAAATTTTTTTAAAAATTGAAACAAAAAATAAAATACAACAAAAAAATAGCATATAAATGTTAAAGTTTTTATATTAGGAAAATTAAGAAAGTTTTTTGAAATATTTTTTTTTAAATTTGAAGAAGATTTATTTACAAATATTTTTTGAAAAATTTCTTATCACATGATTAAATAAAATAGTTTAGCATAAAAAATATGATTGGCATTAGTATTATAGACGATATGACTCAAGAGTTATTTTCTGTTTCTCTTAAAAACCTAAGCTTGGTATATCAAGTTGTTCAGAAGTGGATAAAAGAGGATGATGAAATTGATGTAGCTTATAATTAGTAGCAGGCTGAGTAAAAAAATCAAGAATAGTTAGAAATTTTGTAGTAAGTTTAATCTCAAAAAAGATAAATTATTAAGCATGTAACAAAAAGCTTCTTCTAGTTTAGCTTAGAAAACATATTCATTAATAATTAAGATATATCTAAAAGCTAATACCCAGTCATATTTGCTTCTGATACAAAAAAAGTAATTTTTTTCAATTTAAAAATAATAAATATTCAGAGTTAAAAACTAATCTTGTTCTCAAACATTTTTAGCGAATAATTTTTAACTCAAAAATAAAAAATTTATTAAATAAATTATTTTTTAAAATTGATAGACTGGTGAGAAACCACCTCCATTCATTTTTATATCAACTTAATGGAAAAATGTGAAGAATATTTATGAAGAAGAGTAACCCATTAAATATGAATAAACTTAGTAAATGAATACAGAAATGGAGAAAAGTGGAGTTTTATTAAGCAATAAACTGGATTAACAAGACAATAAATCAGATTATAAAAAACATGGTGAGCTATAAAGCGATGAAAAAGTTTAACTCTATCAAAAAAGTGGAGTTTTTACTAAGGCGTTAACGATGTAAAAGTATAGAACAGTCAGCCTTGATAATGAAAACTAGGATGATATTGATAATGCTTCTGCTGTCTAAGGAGATTAGTCAGCTTAAAAAGTAGTTCAATGGATAAATAATCTGCAAATATACTTTGATCACTTTGAAATACGTATTGACTAATAAATTATTTAAACAATTATGGGATTTAACACATAATTAAGTTAAGCACTTTACTCTGATAATGAAACTAAATCATAGGAAATTTATGAAATTTTAGAGAAATTAAAATAAAAAACAATTGACCAGATTTTACTTGATAACATTGAATCAGGTGTAGAAAACATGAAGAAAGCAATTTACATTAAAAATTTATCTATACAGCCAATTAATTTCTGTCTCACTCTTAATCTTGCAGGAGCAGATAACGCCTTAGGTTCTGATATCTTTTCTGTCCCCTTGGCTATATTTTAAGAATTTGGTAATTTAAATTTCCAAATTTTTTTTTAATATTAAATTTATATTTAATTAAAAGGTCTTGAGCTTGTTGCAATTGACTAAGCGAGCATTAGTCTAAATGCTTTAAATTAACAGCATTTATATGATACCTTCTCTTCAATATAGTCAAGAATACAAAAGCATTATATCAGCTAATTCTTAACAGAAATTTACAAAATTTTTGGTAGTTTTGAAGCTATAGGTAATCCTGTCAAACTTGTCAAAAATATATCTTCTAGTGTATCTAAAATGATTTATAATCCCCTTAAATCTCTATAACAAGGTAGAGGTGCCTAGGCAGTAGGTGATCTAGCTACTGGAGCTATTTCATTGGTTTAAAACTCAATTTCAAGTATTTACAAGGCAGCAAGAAATATTTCAGGTAATTCTTTAAAACATAGAATCATAATTTATCTCAATAAGAAAAATTTGTTTAATTTCAAATAAATCCTTTCTAAAAATTATTATTTATTTCAAATTTTTTTTAGGATTTATCATGAGAGTCATATCCAAAATTACATTCCACAAGCAATACTTGCAAGATAGATCGATAAGGGTTAACAGATAAATCAAAAATATCAAAGATGGATTTTAAATTGGTAAAAATTCAACTTCCATTTTTAATGAAATGTGTTAATTGAACCTTTTATTGCATAAATTAATTAGGATGTAAGAACTTTTTGCTTATCCTTTGGGACACTGTTTATGGAATAATTTATATACCTCTTGAGGGTTGTAAAAAGAAACATATATTTGGTCTTATCAAAGGTATTTACACTGCTTTTGTAAGTATTTTCATTAAGCCTACTGTAGGAATATATGATTTTTTGATCAGCATCTTTGATGTAATTTATTTAGCCTTTAAATAGATAAACATTTATTAAATTTGGTTTATTTATATATTTCTAAAGGGATTAGTAAATTCTGCCATTTATGAAGAACATATCATGGAATATAGAAGCAGACCTCCAAGAATCTTTGAAACTCAAAAAATTACTAATTTTGAATATAAGAATGCAATAGGGAAAGATATTCTCCTTAGAGTCAAGCAGTAGCCAAAAAGCTATGAGTCAATAAAATATTATGATTAAATACAAGTCTCTAAAAATAAATTCGTCGAAATCATTTTAACAGACATAAGGCTGGTTTGTGCATAGGTAAATATTAATTAATATTAAAAATAATTATAATACTAATCAATAATTAAAAGAAAAACTCCTCTTTAGATTACCAAAAAGTTCAACTGCATAAAATAAAATATATCGAGTACAATTAGAAAAAGAAATATTTCAGATTCTTTTACGATGTGCCTGTCAAAAATATATTAAAATGTTGCAACAGAAATAATATATAAACAAAAATAAGATACGAAAAATTCGATAATTAAGAAAAAGCCAATGAAATGATAAGGTACTTGCAGGAGCACTACAAATAATAAAAAATCCCAATTAAGATAGACGTAAAAAATGGCTGATTTCTTAATTTAATCATTAATAATTTAATTATAAAAATAAAGTTTTGGTTTTGTTTTGTAAATAATTTATTTGTTTGTTTGTTTATTTTAAAATATAAAGAAAAAATCATTTTTATTTGAAATTATCTATCTTATTATTGATCAATTACTTCATAAATTTACTTGCATGAATTTGCTTTGATTCATTTTGTCAATGAATCTATTTCCTACTCTCTATTCTTCACAGTGATTAAGTATAGTTTCACAAACCATTTAGACAAGTACTTCACATAAAGATAAATAAAATAAAAACCAAATAAAACTTTTTAAAAATGCTAAGTAAGTTCTTAATTAAAATTAAAATAAATGAATGATTGGATGATAGATTACTTATAAAATTTATAAATTTCTATATTTTTTCTTTACGAATAAATGCTAAGGACTATTAAATTAGCAACTATTTTCCTATTTGCTATTATTTGAGAAATGAATTTGAATTTAAATAATAACTACATTTTTTAAAACCTGCTTTTCTTGCACTAAAAATTTGATTTGTTTTTAATTGTTATTTTGTTTTGAATAATTTTATAGAAATTTCTATTTAATAATTAAAAGCTATCTATCTATTAAGAGCAATAATTAACAAATTATATTCTAAGATATACTAAAAGAATGGAGTTTTTTAAAAATTAAATGAACTAAATTAAAATGGAGGTGTTTAAAGTCATCTTCACTAAAAAATTTGTAAGAAAAAATAGAAAAATGATTGTGTTTGGGCTTATGCCTGCCATACTCTTTTAAGTTTTATATGTGAACAAAAGATATTCTCTATATAATCAATATTTGCTCAAAGGATACCTTTAGAATTCCACTTTAACTATAAACAATATAGAAACAGAAGGTCATGAACAAAGAATAATATCTAAATATTAGTAATAAAACTTACCTCGTTGATTTAACTAACTTTAAATTAGAATCAAATCAAACCATAGATACTAAGAAATTAATATTTTTTAATTGTGCATTTTATTCCAAATATTGTTTGTCTCAATTAGGATATAAAATCTTCGTTTATCAATTAGATTACTAGAATATGAAAGAAAATTTAAAATTAAATTCATATTTATGTTGTATTTATTTATTTTTTTTATACTTTCAAGAGTTGTTGTTGCTAAAATTCTTTATGCAAAACTTAAAAAAATGTTATTTTGTCTATTTGAATATCAATTTAGAAAACCTTGATAATTAATTAATTTGTGATATTTTCTTAAGCTAGAAATAATCTCAAGTAAAAGCTAGCTATGATAAGAATATAATATTTTATACAAAAATTAGTTAAGCTTTTAAAGATGAAAAAATTGCATATTTTCTACTAAAAAATTAGAATATTTAATAAATATTGCATTTAATGATTTGTTTTTAGCTAGTAAAACTTATCATTTTTATTTCTACTTCAACAAAAAAGATTAAAAATTCTTAAATACTATTTTCTTTTTTTGGTAAATTTGATAATAATTAAACAAACAAACACAATTCAAAAAAAGATATTTTTTTATCACAATTAATGAAATCTCAGCTAATAGTTAAAAACCCTTTATTCTCCAATTTAATTAATTGGATAAATCCTTTCTCTAGAAGAACTATAAAAGTCTGGGGTGCGAACGTGGCATCATTAAATAGCAAAGGAAATGATTTAAAAGAACTTTTAGACTAGAAAAAACCTGATGTGGTGTTACTAAATGAGACATGGCTTAAAAGTGAGGAGACTTTTGACGATCCTAACTATTTAGAAATAGCTACCGATTTTAATCAAAAACACTAAGGAACTGCAATATTACTGAGGATAAACTCAAGCAAATATTATTCATGTTACCAAGTTTCTCATTCCAATAAAAATCTTACAGAGATAGTGTAAAATTTAACAATTAAATTCAAATAAAACAAGCAAAAAAATAATTTACATAAATTTTAAGTTTTTTAATTTTTTTTAATCTAATCAGTTTTTAATTTAATAAATTTATCATTTGCATTTAGTGATAAAAACCAAAAATTTTGAGATTCAATAATTAGCACAATTTATTTATTGTTCACTTTCTCTAAATAAAATTCATAAATACTTTCTTTTAATTAATTTTAACAAACTATCTCTCATTTTTTATTTATTTATTTGTATTTTATAATAAAAAGTTAAAAACTTTATTTAATTAAAATAAGAGAAAAAAATAAATATATTTTTAAATTAGATATTTAAAATTATTTTGTTTTATTGTAAAATTAATTATTAATCCAAAATAGATTAAGACTAGATCCAGAAAATAAAATTCACTTTATATCAGTTTATGCACCTCCTTAAGGGAATGAAAATAGAGATGAATAAAGGGAAAAAGCACTTAGTGATTTCTACTCAACTGTTAGAGAATTTAAGTTTGATTAAAATTATAAATGCATTGGATATAGTGATTTTAATGCAAGATTAAGAAAATTTGTAGACAAGCAAGATGCAGACGCAAAAAATTTACTTGAATCTTTGAAATCAATTAAATTAAATCTAATTTATGATTTAAAGCCATCGAGTTTTACAAGATCTGGAACTAATTCTAAAAATGAAGCATCACAATCTTACATAGATTATTTTTTTTATAGAAATTTATCTTACAAAAAATTCAAAATCTTAGATAGTATTGGAAAAAGTGATCACAGCTTATTAGAAGTATAAATAAAAAAGTAGATTAAGGTAAAGCTGCTAATTTATTTAATTGCCTTTTTAATAATGCCGTTATTCCTATATCACAGAAAAGATATAACTTTACAAATGATAATAAACTAAGCTATTGATTTCTTGGATGATTTCTTTTCAAAAGAAAATTTTGGTAAAAATTAGTTAGAAGGTCTAAAATAATCAATTTAAACAGTACTTCCCGAGACTCATAAATAAAGTCTAAATAAGTATACAATTTCAGCTATAGTTGCTATAGCTTTTTCTTTCATAATTATTTTAATGCGTAGATTAAATATTTTCTTTAGATGATCAAAATGAAAGCTTTCTTTTAAAAAGCTAATTAAAAAATAGAATTTTATATGAAATTTTAAAGATAAATTATTTTTTAATGTAAAAACTCTTTATTTTTAAGTTAGTAATAATTAGTAAGTAAGTAACCAAGTATTTTTAAAAAAATTTATGTTGAGATGGAAAATATGATGCTTTTTTTTATAATAACATTCATCTCTTTTTATTAATATTAAATTTAAGTTATTATTTAGCAATCTACCGTACATATATAAAGGTAAATAAATCAAAAAATCGTAGTAAATTTAAAAATAAATATACTTCCACCCTTTACATACTTTGAAACCTACAATTTTTTATGTTCATGATTTGAGAAAAGGCATTAACTATTTATTATCAGTAATTTATTAAAATTAGATAAAAAAATATATATATATATATAATGATAATCACAATTAAAATATCAGGATAGCTAAACATCTAAAAGAATGACTAGAATGCTATATGTATAATATATATGTATGTAATAAATAAGTAAAAATTTTATATTAAGTTGAAATAAATAAATATAATTTTGTTAATTCGATTTGTTTTTTTAATAATGAAGTAGTTTGTTAGTTTGTTTGTTTTTTCGTTTGCTAATGCAAAGAAAAACTATTTATTGTTTTATTTTAATTTTGTTATCAAAGTTCATTGCATATTCTCTATAAATAGACTTTCTACACAATATAATGTGACATGGATATCTATCTGCTTATATTGAGGTGAAGGATAGCGTGCATTTGGATAAGTGTTCATTTTATATTCAGAATATAGATAAGGAATTAGTTAATTATCTAAAAAATAGTTAAAGAACTCTATAAAAATTTTTTAGGCGCAATTTATTAGATATTAGATATAATTAGGACAACGATTAATCTTCTCCTTGACAATTTCAATTAATTTGTTTATTTCTCCTTTGTTAGAGCTGGCGTCTTAAAACAAATATTTCACATTATTATAGTTAAACTTAGTTCTGTTTTCATTATATAGTTGAACAAAAGCAACAAGAATATCTTTTCTCAAATCTTTTTCTGAATCTGGAAAAAGTTAATTATAAATATTGTCTATGCGATTATAAATCTGAAAGACTTATTAATCTTGTAATTTGTTTTCGAAGTATTATTAAAGTCTAACTTGGTTTATATTTTTATTACTTTTCTGTAAGATAGTTCTAATAGTGTTCTTCTTTATCTCATTCTTAAACTGGCGCAAAGCTTCAATACCTATATCTAATTGAGTCAGATTTTAAATTCTTTGAATTAATCTATCATCTTTAACGTCACGTCTTTATTTTAATTAATTGCTTTAATTAGCAGTATTCGTAGTATTAAGATTATTATTTTAATCATCACTCAACTACGATGATAAATAATTTAGATTTTCATATTAGTTTTCAATTTCGATTTATTCATGATTATTATTTTATTATTACTCTTCATTATTCTAATAACTATTGAAGTAAACATCAGTATTTTATTATTATTAATAGTTTATATTATTATTTTGTATATCTTCATTATTAAATAAATCTTCCATGAAGTCATCTACTTAATTTCCATCAAATGCGTTTTTTGGCTCTTCTTGTTAGCTAGGATAGTATTGACTTAAACAAGCAGAATTTATGTCGACAAGGGGAGGTTAATAATAATCATTTTGAAAGAAACTGTTTTCTAAATTATAATCAAATTTGTCGTCAAAAAGATGATAGCCCAGTGAATCTTAGGTTGTTCCATTAGTGATTTGGTGCAAGTTAATTTAAGAAATAGGTTCTTTAACCAAAGTTTCTTTTTTGATTTCTTGCTCTTCTTCAAAGTAGTAATTTGACATTTCTTTATTTTTTGTAGTTTTTTTGTGATTTAACAATACTTAATTATTATTTAAATTATCAATTTTTCGAAATGATAACCATATAAATAATATCTATTGCACGAAATTTACAAAGTGAATTAAGAGATTAAATTTGAAAATTTCATTATCCCCATTCGCATTTCCGAAAATATATTGTATAAGTGCAGGATTGGGATGAGTCAGAAGATTTCATATTTTTGAGAATCTTCATACCGATTCTGGGACGCAAATAAATTTATTTTTAAAAGTTTTATTTAAAAGTACCCTTTTTGAATATCTGTTACATAAATGTAATAAGAAAATGAAGATTAGAAGACTTTATAAAAATCACAAAAATGTCAACTAAAGAGTAGATAAATATTAATATATCTAAGAATTTTTGAGGTCATTTATTTATTTAATATGAGCTTAAAATTAATGAATTAGTTAATCATAATGATGATAAATTAGGAACAGGGGAAAAAAACAATAAACGGAGCTATTATTTTATTTTTATTAATTAATTTCATGAATTTTTTTCATCAGTCTTTTTTTTCTATTTTCATTTTTAAATTTGATTGATATTTAGTTGTATAATCAAAATCTACTTATTTCGATAGAATCTCTGTGGGTAAATTATTTAATTATTTATTTTCTTATTTGCTTAACTTTACATTTCCTCATGTGGTGTTTGTTTTTCAGAATATCACAAAGTCAATAACCAAACAAAAATTTTACATATTTAATATTTTTAAAACTATTTTATTTTATTTTACAATTAGTTTTAATTATAAAGAATAAAATATATTATAAGCGTGAACAACGCTTTTATTTATCTATCTTTAATTTGGAGTTTTAGCTTTTAATATATTTTTTCTTTCATTTAATATAATTTGAAAAACTTTTGTAAAATATGCTTTCTTTGCATTTTTAAAGGAAATATATCAATCAATTACTTTATATTCTTTAATGACCTAATCTCAGTTCTCATAAGTCTTTATAAAAACATTTTTATCTACTCTTAAATATTTTATTACTACTACCTCACCATTAAATAATCACTTGTTTTTACTCTTCTCTTCGAAATGGGCTCTATCCTCAAAATAAACATAATTATTATTTATCAATTTTGATGATTTTTTTATAAAATAGCTTTTTATTAAGAAATATTTTAAAAATTGTCAGAGATAAATGAGGAAAGGTTGTGTTGCTAATTAAAAATGATTTAGCTTTATTTTCTAATTTTAATTTACTTCTGGCTGCATCAAATTCCTGATCATATTTTAGATTTTTTGAGTTCAACATTTATGCATGCGCATATCATGGAAATTTCAAGAAAAATTCGAGAAATATATTCTGAACTGTAGAAATACAAACAGCCATTTTTAGAGATAATTATGTCTTTATTAAATCTCTATAATAACAATAAATTTTACTTAAAACATCTTTAGTGCTGTTCTGTCTATAAATTTTTACTAACTAACTAATTAGCTAAATAATTATAATATGTTATGAAATATGCGTTAAACTTAACTTGAATTCTTCTAAATGTCTGAAATGAGAATGACTCAAATTAGAAAGAGAAATAAAATAATATAATGATTCAAAAATTTGCTTTTCAATTGATTTTAAAAAAATGGAATATTATTAATGAAAGGAAAGTAAAATCTTATTTTTTAATACAAATTTAAAAAATAAAAGCTTTTGATTATTTGAATTAGGTGATCTAAATAAACAGTTTCTAGCTAAAGGTAATTTAGATATAGAGCAGATTGAGCAAGAAGTAAATGAATGTGCTTGCTTATTAAAGTAATAGACTGATTGTATGCTAATGCTTAATGTCTCAATAAAAACTAAACATTTCATGCAAAAATAATATGTATACTTAGAATAAAAATTATAAGTAATTCATAATTCATTATTTTTCTATTAATCCTTAATTTCTCTTTCTATTTATCTATTTTCTCTTTTAAATTTTTTTAAGACATTTGAAGCTTTATTTACAGACTGAGACTGACTAACTGACTCACTCACTCACTCACTCACTCACTCACTCACTCACTCACTCACTCACTCACTCTCTCACTTCAAAATTACCATGAAAACATTTAAATAATTGCCCATCAATAAGTATTTATCATTTTATATTTGAAATCAATTTAAATAAAGAAATATATTAACTTTGAATTTATCTTTCTCTTTTCTTTTCGCTTTTTAGTATCTATTCAAATTTTTCATTTTTAGATTTTTAGGAAATTGATGAATATTGTTATTATTAGCTTTCTATGATAAAAAAACTATTATTTTACATTTTTTCTTATTCAATCTTTAAAAGTTTAAATATATTGTATTTATTTATTTAATTACTTACTTTTTTGGTTATTTATTAAAACAAATAAATCATTTTTATTAAAATAATAGAGAGAGTTAGATGCTTTCTTTTATGGTTATTTGTTATCTTAATTCTTTTATATTCTTTGTAATATACATTCTATCTATCTAGTTATCTATTTATATTATGCTTATTTAATTTAACTTACTATGAATTTATAGTATAATTTTTGGTTTTACTATTTGATATGAAAACATGTTTGTTTTATCAAGCTGTTGTTTATTAAAATCTTTTTATTATATTTACTAATAATAAAATAATTAATAATCAATTTTTTTTTAGCAAAAAGTATATTTACATTCAAAATAATTAAATTATTAGAGACTATTAATTGCTCTTTTAGTTGATTATGATTTCTTGATCACATTTTGTAATATTCCTTATGCATTTTTTGTTAAAAAAGGATAGCTTTTCTACTTTTAATGATAAAATTAATTTTTAAATATTTTATTAGCATGAAAAATAAGATTATGAAAATTAATAATATTGATCAAACTATCTTCTTTCTATTTAAGCACTACACAAATTTCCAAAATTTCTTAAACGAAAAATAATTTTCAACTTATTTAAAGAAAACATACTTTAGATTTTGTAATAATTTATGATTACTTAAAAAAATATTTTTTCATAATAAATTTTAATTATTTTTAATTGTTAAATCGAATAGTTGGTGCTTCTTTTATTCATTTAAATTTGATTGGATTATGTACCATGACATATATTTCTTCTACATATTTAATAATGTTGAAAATTGTTTTGTAATTTTTAGTATTTGTGGCTTTTTTAATTAAGATTGTATTTACAATATCTAATAAAGTTTTCTTTAAAACTTTTTATTCTTCATCTTGTAATTTATCCAGCTCTTAAATCAAAATATCATTAAATGTTTTTATAGATATATATTCTTTTTTTGGATATTTAATTTTATAATCATAAAATTCATTTATTTATTTCAATATAAACTTGGTAACGTTACTTGCAAAATTTATTGTTTCTTAGCAGTTAACCTACATTAATACAGTTTTAGTTTAAGTTTTCTATTTTTTAGATTTTATTATTTATATTTTTATTATTATAAATTTAAAAATATTAAGACTAATTTAAAATATACCATTGATCTTCTTTTTATAATGAAAATAAAAGTTTATTATTTTCCTTTATTGCAATTATAAGGGCACATAAATTCTTTAATCTAAATGATGGTAGATAATAGGATATCAAATTAGAAGAGTTGCAATATGGTATTATTTAATTTTAATTGATTGTTTTATATTTATTTTTATTTAAAAAGAACATTAAAGTGAAGAAGAATTAGAGAATCAATCAATGTTCAGGTAACTTAATATTACTATGCTATTGAGTTTAACTAATAATATTTCTAAAAACATACTAGGAGAAGAAGGTATGGACTTAATCATTTCAAGTGATAAGGAAGATTATTAATAATTAGAAAGAAAATTGTATTAAAAAAAAAATAAACTTCAAAAAATATTAAAACATCAATAAATAAATAAATAAATAATTTTTTTCAATATTAAATTTTGTGATTATATATATGTTTGTTTTTAATTTATCAAAAAAAACAATTTTATTGTTTTAAATACTTAATTTATAATATTTATTGAATTATTTTTAACATAGTAACCAATAGATTATTTAATATTTTTTAAATTTATAACTTCAATTTTTAATTTAATTGATAATAATAAATAAATCTGTATTTATTTTACATTCTTTTTTACTGTCAATATTTTATACAAAAAAATCATTATTAAATAAATCAAATAGACGTAATTATAAAATAAATGCAACAGTAAATATATATTAAATATTTACAGTTCATCCATTATGTTAAATAAATGAATTATGGGTAACATATAAAATATTCATAGTCTGACCGCTTTTTTTATTGATTCAAAATCGATTGGATTACGTATCATGACCTTTATTCTTTCTATATATTTGATAATGTTGAGCATTGTTTTGTAATTTTTAGTATTTGTCGCTTTTTTAATTAAGATTGTATTTGCAATATCTAATAAAGTTTTCTTTAAAACTTTTTATTCTTCATCTTGTAATTTATTATACTCTTCAATCAAAATATCATTAAATGTTTTTGTAGATATGTATTATTTTTTTGGATATTCAATTTTATAATCATAAAATTCATTTATTTTTTGTAATATAAACTTGAAAATGTAATTTGCAATATTTTTTGTTTCTTAGCACTTAATCTCTCCAAGTAAGTTTTACACTCTATTTTTTTTTCTTTTTTTTCTCAATTGGAGCAGCTTATTATGGGAGAGTTTCTATGTTTTAGATTTCTTGTTTTTATTCTAATTATTATTAATTATTTTCAAGTTATGAATAAGTATTTTAGTTTCCTTGTTATTAATGCTAAGTAAGTTGCATAGATTAAATTTATTCATTTTAGCATAATTATAGAGTTTTAAAGCTATCAATTAGTGTTTATATGGTTATTATTTAATCTTATGTTTTGTTAAAGTTAATAGGAATTAAGTTGTTATTGATATACACTTATTAATTCATGTTTAGAATTTAAAACTAATTTTAATCAACTTATTGATAAGGTTCTTAATCAAATAGAACTTCATTTACTTCTAAATCCATTTCTGAGTTAATTTAATAGTCAAATTAATTTAAATTTATTTATTATTATACTTAATTTGTGTGTTTCGGATAGAAATCATTGTGTTCAAATTCTTTAGCTTGATGAGTATTTTATTACATTTAAAATTACTCATTTTGTTAAATCTTAATGTTTTCTTCATATTAAAAGTACACACTTTCATCAATTATTTGATATTAATTGTAGCTACTATTATCAGTGAAAACGGTTTCATCATTATTTTGATACAGTTGTTCTTCTTACTAAATTTGACAAAATGTTTCAAAGCTGTTATCATTTTAAAAAGAATGATTATCATGAAAAGGAAGAATTTTTAATTTTTCTCTTTTTTTTTCATCTTATTCCTATACAAAAGGCTTCTAAGTTGAGTCTGATGTATCAAAGTTAATTAGATGATTATGATCATTTGTTTAAGTTAAAGTCTAAGTTCCTAGTAATCTATAATTGAAACTGTTATTATACAAAAGATCATCAATTAGTTATTATTTAGTAGTTAGCATTATTTCAGTTTTTGTTGAAATTTTCTATTTTTTAGATTTTATTATTTATAGTTTTATTATTATAAATTTAAAAATATTATGACTAATATAAAATATCGTCTTCTTTTTATAATGAAAATAAAAGTCTTTTATTTTCTTTTATTAAAATTATAATTGGCATGATTAAAAAAATATTCTAATCTTATATGTAATAGAAATTTATGAGTGTACGAGTGATCTGGGAATATTGAAATTTTTATTCCCAATGTTCTTAGCATATGGAAAATTTAAACTTTTAAATTATAGAATAGATTCAAATAATAAAATATTGAATTATATATAAATAAATAAATTAATTAATCAAACTATTTTATCTATTATTTATTTATAAGTTGAATGAAAAAAAATCATAAATACTATCTCTAAACATACCATAAGTTTATTTTATATTTCAGTTTTTTTCAAACAATGTTTTACTAGAATAAATTATTTAATTATAAACAACAAAAACAAGATAAATTTATAGAAATCTATTATTAAATATAAACACCTTAAAAGTATTATAATATAAAATAAAGATATTTCACATAATAAGAATTCCCATATTTAGAAATAAATTAATTAGTGGAAGCGATTTAAAGTGCAAACAACATATAATGATTTAATTGTAGGTATTACGTATTTTCAATATTACGCAAAAATTTTATCTTCATTTTTTAAAATTTGTTTTTGCATTTTAGAATAAATTATTCTAAAATTTAGATTTGAAAATATATACGCTTTTCTATTACTTAAATTTTCTTTTAGTTTCTGATAAAGATGTTTTTAATCAAATCAAAAAAAAGATCTAAATTTTTCAAAAGACTGAAAATTATAAATGAACACAAATTAAACTATCGCCAAACTGACAACTGGCTAGTAGAATTATTGAGAGGTCCTATAAAAGATAATTATTATTATTGCTAATAGTAATTAAAATATTAATCATATAATAATTATTGGGAATTTATAAATTGCCCTTATATAAAAAATATTAATCATTCAAATATTTATAAATATTATTTTGAACATATTTATAATACATAAAAATATTTTTGGTTATTAGTTAAATTATTTTAATTTAACATTATAAGAATTTTATTAATAATATTATTTATAGGATTAAGAGTGCAAATGTAACAATTAAAAATATCTTCAGTTTATTATATGAAAGTTAAAATATATAAAAATTAAGTAATGTGACCATATATATTTAATAACAGACCCTTCAGGTTTATAATTCAAAAAATAAAGAAATTTAAATAAATTATTTTAATTATCATATATTATCTAATTTAAATTATTAAAAAATATTTTGATATAATTAAATATATATTTTAAATGAAATACCACCATCTGTACATACCTACACAGTTCGTGATATTTTAATATCAGGATTATCAATATATATACTTACATACAAATATATTAATTCCATTCATTAATTTTTAATATTTTGTTTATCATAGTTAATATAAATAAATAAATTCAATGTTAAAAGACTTTTTGTTTTAATTTAATATTTTAAAAATCATTTTATTTTATAATCAACTAAAAATAAAATACTTATTAATAATATCAATAAACTTTTGATATTGAATATATTTAGTTAAATATTTTTAACAATATTTGGATTGATTAACATCAACATAATTCTAATTACTTCTAAGAGAAAACTAACTAAATATATATAATTTGATATTACATAACATTTAAACTGTTAGAAATTTCATTTATACCATATTCTCTTTTATGGTTCAGGGATTCCAACTTCTTTAAAAAATTATTCTCTCCTAAGTTCATCGTTAAAATAGTCGCTTAATATATTTTTTAATGATTCTACTTCACCTTATTCTGCTCTAGAAATGACATCTTTTGTAAAGAAAGTGTGGGTTGCTTAATAGGGTTCTAATCTTTCATCTATTTATTCCATTAATTGAGGAAGTTTGTTCAAAGGAAGAGGCCAAACTTAAGAATTCTCTTTAGAGAAATTTAAATTTCCATTATCTACCAATACTTTATAAAATTCATTTCTTCTAGTATCCTAAAACAAAGTAACAGTTAAGATATTAAATTCTAAAATAAAATATGAAAGTTAATTATGAAAGCTCAAATTACTTGAATAAAGAAGTACAATGTGTTATTTTTCTCTTATGTATTCCTATATTCTTTGACCTTTTTATCTAATTCATCCAAATTAATGTCGAATGGAGATTGCTATTAAACTGCAGCTTGAGCCTTATCTAATTTTATTACAAATTTAATTTTATTCCTGCTGAATAAACCTTTTAGTTAAAATCTTCAAAGCAATAAATAACCTACTTTGTTAGTCCATTTTATATTTATCTATTTATTTATCTTGCCTTTAATTGCTTACTTCTTTCTGATTAAGATTTTTTAAATCCAAATAAAATGCTAGCTAGTTTTTCAAATATTAAAAATTCAATAATATAAAACAAATTTTTTGATAAAAGCTATTTATTTATTTGATTTTTATTTGTTTATTTGTTGCTTTTTCTGATGTTTGCTTTAGAGAGAGTGATAATACAAAAGATCTATATTAATTATTTGATATTTATATGCATATTATTTACTAGTAATTTACTTACTTAAAAATACACAAATAGAAAATTTTTATTAAACTTGTTGATTTTTTAACATTTTTATTCATATTAATAATATAATTAATTATTGTTTGCTTGCTTGCTTGTTTCAATTTGTTAAATCATTTATATTAATTTATTTAAAAAGAAATATTTTCAATTTAATTTGTTATATTTGATAAATAATTTAGATAGAATTTATATATGGCTTGTCTATCTATCTACCTTATCACAGTTCATCGAATTGAGAATCATAACTTGAAACGTCTCTAAATACCAACTCAGAAAATACTTCTCTTGGAGTGAAATTTTTAATGAATTAAACTGACTAAGGTGGGAGTTGTTAATCTTCTCTGTTATTTAATCCATTATTTTCTGATAGACTTTGAATATACTGTTGTAAAGGATTTTGCTCTACTTTTTATTCATAAAGATCATGGACTTCTTGATCCTTTAAATGACAAATGTGAGGAGTCCTCATAATAAAGAGCTCATCCGATTACTAACTAGATGATGTTTTTTAATTGGTGTTACTGTTTGCCTTATCATTATTGAATTTTAAGTCTATTTCATCTAAGAAGCTAACGAAATCATAATTTATTTTTTCATTTTCTTGCTCCTATATTTGTTTTTACATTTATTATTATTCCTGTTCCTATTCTGTAGAGGGAGCTTGCTAATTTTCTTTTGTTTCTTCTTCATCAGTACACTCTCTTTCCTGCTGCTACTCTGTTTTCTTAAGCGTCTCTGCTAACAAAGGTGAACCATCATTCTAATTTAAATTTTGCTGCTATTTATATTTTATAGCAATTTAGGATATTTCATGAATCTGAAGGTCTCTGTCTAACTATGTAATGTTTGCATTGTTCTTAATGACCTCTAAATGTGAAATATCAAAGTCAGAGATGTTGTTAGTCTCATCAATTTGTGGATTTTGATGCATGTTTTACTACTAAATCTACCCTACATTAATATCATGATTATCAGTGTTATAAGGATTTTAATTTTCCTCTCTTAATGCATAGTAATCAGTGATTTGAGGAGGAAGCTTTTTCTCTCTCAATATGAAGTGATCAAAATCTTTTTCTTGAATAAGCTTTTCCCTCTCAAGATAATGGTGACAAATGGGCCATTCTAAATTGCAGCTAATATTTTATCTTTTAATATAGAATTATCTCAGTCTGCTCCTGATCTTTTCTTGATCTTTTTCTATTTCTAAATGGAAAATCTATCTATATAAATCTCTCAGAACATTTATGGACTTCTTGCTAATGTAAAGCTTACTCATCCTTTAGTTGAAAGTTACACAATCATCATACTTGCTTATTTTCTCTTCAATTTTATTCAAGATTTCAACTTTTTAAGATAATAATTTAAAATATTTTAACATTAAATCTTTTGAATTGTTAAAAATTTTTTACTTCCTTTTCCTTGTAAAATCTCTTCTTAACAGATTTCGAAGAAAATCAAAGAAGCTTTAAATAATGCCACTGAACCTTTTGCAAACAAATGATCCCAAATGACTTGAAGAACTTGCTTTTACACTGAATTTGTGAATAAACAAACCAGCCAATGAGTTAGAATTATGCTTGTATCAATTTATACTTCTTGAAATTTTTTCCAAATTTTTATGTTAAAGTATTTGAGCAAATCGTTGAAAATTTTTAAATCACAAAGCAATCCCAACATAAAATTAGGGAAAAAATCAATAGGAAGAATATTTTCAAGGACTTAAACAAGAATCCAAAATGCTTCCTATTTTTTTGTTAGAAATTATATAAAAATTTATTTATTTATTTATTAATGAATTGCTAATTTATTACTTCTTCGCTAAACTCCAAGTCAAGCAAAAAACAAACAATATAATTCATTCCTTAGCAATAACCAATAACAGGATTTCTTCTTTAATAACAAATTAAAATATCACGTAACTATTAGCTCATTACTTCTTTGTTCTACTTAAAAATAGTTCTTTACACATCCTTAATTTATTTAGTTTTCTTTATTTATTAATTGCATTTCAATTATAAACTATTTTACTTAGTTAATAGCATTTATGTGGTAATCTGGAAAATCTTTAGTGTTCTTCAACTGCTAATAATATGACATGTCTTAGTTTTTATTCATAATTGCATTAGATGCTATCATCCAAGTCTAAAATATAGCATCAACAAAACAACCTTAATACCTAAAAAGAATTATAAGAAAAATTTACTCTCTTTCTGTATCTCTCATCAAGGAGTTTTCTACTTAAAATGTTTTTCAAAATCTTTCTAAATTTTTTATTAGATGAAGTAGTGTTCTCTGTATGTTATTTTAATATCTATTTTAAATTAATAAAAAAATGCAATTCAATAACTATTTAAATGCTTGTTTTTATGGATAGTTTTTAATGGATTAAGAAGATTAATTTTAATTTCTTTTGTTTTCATCTTATTTAGATTTACCATTTGATTTCAGTCTAACGATTAAAAGAGCTTTATCCTAAATAAAAAAATAAATTAAGATTTACATTTAAAAACTATTCGTTGTTGGCTGAATACTTTGCCTATTCTTTAAACTCCTAATTTTTTTGAATATTCTGCTTATCTGATTTGTATCTGTTGAAATAAATTAAAATAGATTGACGGTATCTCCTCCATCTAAAAAATGAATCGCTTTCAGATTTGTCTAGCGCAATTTCAGCAAGTTACTATGGCTTCTTGAGCTTATAGTACTTCTCTATTGTACTGTCTTTATGCTATTACTCTCCTATTTTATTGTTTAGGAGGAACTAACTTTGCTTCATCTTACTTGTTAAGTTTTTACTTTTTCTACTTTTTTGTAATTTTTTAGAAATTTTATATTTATTATTGGTGTACTATTTTAGGTTATAGTTATAAATAAATACACTCTTTAATATTATATGAAGATAAATAAATTCACAAGCAAATAATTAATTATTTACGATCAAAAAAAATCTTTACATAATAATTATATTTGTTATTATCTGCAAAATGTAGATAAAAAAGATATTTTAAGACATTAATTTAATTAATTACCCATAAAATCTATACAAAATGTATCAAAAATACTTGAAAATAATTTAAATTATTATACTTAATAAGTAAAAGAATAATAAATAATTAATTTACTCTAAATAAAAATATGTGGTAATCAAAAACTTGGTTCATCTACAAAGACCATTCTTCAAAGCGAACCAATCAAAACCATAAAATAAAGCTAATTAATTAGATAATACTGTTGATGAGTTGTTCAAAATTACATATTTATAATAAATAACCTTCATTTTTTCTTATGTTGCTAAGCTACTTTAAAATAATTAAAGGTAATTAATTAATATTTTAAATTCAATATTAAAGAAAAATCTATGTGTTTTTAAAGATTAAAGTTTAATTATATTTGCGATTACCTAAGAAAAATTTATTTTTTAAAACACTTTTAGCTCAAATTTCAAAAATAATTCAATAGAATAGATTTAAAATTAGTGTTTTGAGTTATCAAAAAGAGCTTAACAAAATAAGAAATTAAACTTACATTTCATGTATTAGTGATTTTGTAAAAAAAGTTAAGTAAATATTCAATTAAATAAATAAAATACCTGATCATAAATTTTTGGATAAAGAAAAATAATTCAAAAATCAATAAAGGGAAAATCTAATTTTCTTAACAATATTCAATATCTATTTTTTTTTGGTTGAATTTGAACATTTTAAATACTTTATTTCCCATTTACATAACATAATTATTAACAATGATAAATAATATTTCCTGAAATAAAAAATGACAAAAATATAATTAGCTAATTAATTATTATTGATCTATTTATTTAATAGTTTAAAATTTAAGCAAAAAAAACATAGAAATAAAGATTAATTGATTATCTATATTATAAAATTTAGAATTAATTAATTAATTAACTATTTTGATAAAATTTTATTAAATACTTATTTTTTATTCTCAACATAGAAAAAGAAATATATACCTGATTCATTTTAAATCCTCCCACACTAAAATATTCAAAAAACTATATTTTTTCTTACACCACTAAGTAGTACTCGATAATATGGAGGGACAGATTCCCTTAATAAATGAGGTGTTAGAGAAATTTTTTTACTCTGAAATTTTTATAATATTTAAATATTAAAAATTTTATTTGTAATTAATAAGCTGAAGGAAATAAATGATAAATTATATAGTTAAGGAAATATAAACACGACACTTTTAAATAAAATAAATATATTTTTGTATAATTAGTTATTTAGTTAATTATTTTTAATAAAATGAAAATGTTTTTTTTTAATAAAATTTAGTCAAACATTTAATTTGAATGATTTATTCTTTTATTTAATACAAAAATTGTTCACGATGATGAGGAAATATTATTTGATTAAAATTTTTTAAAAATGCTTGCTTTCAAGCTTCTTCTTATATCTCTTTTATTACTTTTGATATCTCTGAGAAATTATAATTATTTGTTTAGTTTTTGCTTGGATTATTTATTAAGTAATTGAACTTGTTTTTTTATCTTGTAATATCAGAAAAAAATCTTATTGAATTAGAATTATCTAGTTCTTCTTTTTTAAAATACAATTAAGGTTCTACACTAGAGTCACTGGAATATCTACATGGGTCAATATTGTAACGAGTAGTGTTGTTAAAATCATAACTTTATTCTTATAAGATGACACTGTAAACTTAGCTCGTATTTTATGATCTATCTAATTTATTTGTTCTATCGCATATTTCTTCACTTTCAATTTACTAAACTTTAGTCTCTTCATCAATATTTGCTAAAATTGGTTAATAATTCTTGTATTTAAGAGTTGATCCTTATTGTTCATTTTAATGTTCTTGTTATGTTTACTGATTTTCATTTATTTAGACCTCATTTTGTATTTTACTTTAATTATTATAATCTTACACTACCGATTGATCAAGCTTGATATGTTTTAACTACTCATTCACTATTTAAATTTACTCTGATTCAGTTAATATATTTTAATTTTATACACCCACAATTTAAATTTACTTTGTTTCTGTTAATATATTTTAATTTTATTATATCTCGTTTTATTACTCATTTTCAGTTTGCAATTTCTAAAATCCATTTTCATTCTAATTATCATATTATTGTTATTATTTTTCAATTTATTAATGATTTATTTCTTTATTTTAAATTTATTATATTTTATTTTCTTAATTTTCAATTTATTACAAAAATATTTCTTAATTTTGAGCTGACTAATTTACATTTTAATTTTCAATTTTTTATAGATTTTAAATTTGTTATTATAATTGTTAATTATTATTTTGTTATTTAATTTAAATTACTTCATTTTATTATTATTCTTACTCATTTTTTATAGTTATTTCTTTTTAATCTTAAATTTATAAATTTATTATTTCCGAATTTTGTTCTTATATTTTAATTGAACTTTTGTTATTGAGTTACTTTTTCGGACATATATGATCATGTAGAGTCTGCATTATATCTTCATCTTCATTGATTCCTACATTTCTCTTATCTCCGTTTTTAGAATTTTAGAAATAATCCCACACAAACTAAAAATTCCTAGTGGATTTAAATATAAAATACTCTGGTGGCTGGTTATTGTCTCGAGTATTTTCTTTTTCAATCAGATGCTTACATGTTGGATAATCTTAGTTGCATTCAATTTTGCTAAAATCAATTTATTTAGGTTAATATCTTCTATTCATAGATTTTTATTTTAATTAAATTAAACAAATTTATTTGTAAAATTCTCTCATAAAGTTTATTCCCTTTTCATTTATATAAATTTTTTCTAATTTTGATGAGAATTTCTTAGCATCTTTCCAATCTTTGAGTTTATTTTCTACTTTTTTAACCACTTCCACTTCATTATAAGAAATTTAATTCAATTTAAAATATTAACAAAATTTAAGTTTTTACATCCTTCTGACTTGAGAATTTCTTTTTCACAGTAATTTATAAGCACAAGACAAACCTTAAAGATTATGATAGAGCCCTTTGTAAACAAATGATTAAATATAACTAACAGCAGACTATCGTCTAAAGCTTGTGTGAAAAGACAAACTATCCACTAAGTAAGCAAGATATTTAGAACATTTGCTTCAAAGCTATTCAGCTTTTTATAAACTTTTTCATTTTCAACTTTAAGAATTTACTCAAAAATCTTCTAATCGCACACTACTCCCATCATCATGCTTGGGTAATAATCAAGGGGCAAAATATTTTCTAAGAGTTGCACCAGAAGCCAAAAAGACTCCTTTTTTTTTATTTAAAAAATTAATTAATTTCGTGAGGAAGATTAGTAAAAGAAATTAGCTAAATCTGAATTAATATTTAGCCAGAAATAAAAAAAAATTTTATAAAAATTTATTGATTGCTTTGAGATTTTTGTGTTTGTTTTATAATTATTTCTGATATCAAATTTGCTATCGATTTATTGAAAATAAAACTATATTAAATATTCTTTTACTTCTTCGGAAATGCCGAATCTAAGAAATTTAGCGACAATGTAATTCAGACCTTAGCAATAACCAATACATGCATTTCTTCTAGCATATGCAATAAATATTCTCTTCATTGCTTACAACTAAGAATCTTCAGCTACAAGTTCCCTGCTCCTTTTCATATCCTTAAAAAAAGAAAAATTAAAGCAAGTAATTACTTGAATAAAATAATTTTATACTTAATCAATTTAATGCTCTGAAACATCATAGTATTACTACTATAATATCTTCTTGTAATACTACTAATTTTGCCTATTCATATCAAGAGATCCCGAACACTGCATCCAAATCTATTTGTAGGAATTAAGATATTTATGTATTTGTAAAGCAAAATAATAGATGTTATAATTAATCTGATTATGCTGAATATTAAAAAGGTGATTGTTTTTTTTTAGTTAGTTAGTTTATTAATTCTTCATTTATCTATGATTGAATAGATGCATATCGCTCTTTTTATTTAAATTGCAATAAAAATAAAATATGTCTCTTACTTGCTTCGACTCTTCTTTAGAAATGTTTTCCTTTTTTAGGCTAATTATAGCTCTAATGTATTTGCACATTTATTTTTATTTTAATTTCTTCATGTCATTCTAAGCAAATATCTTTTAATTACAAAATTATTATTTTTAAGTCTGATGGCTAAAAAATTTCAAAATATTAATGGACTAAAAAGGAGGGTTTTAGTTATACTGATAAAAAAATTGTGCTAATCCTAAATTACCGTAAAAATATTCATATTCTTTGCTTGCTTAATAATGATTTTTCTATCTTTGTCTTTGGACCTAAAATCTATTTTTACACTCTCATTTGTTTTACAAAATAGATCTTTATACAATCCTTCGCTCCTAAAATATTTTCTGGCTGCTCTTTGGTTTAGTATTTTTTTTGCAAAGACCTAAGGGTCTCTAACTTTCCAAAACTCTTCATATATTCCGTCATTTCTTTCCTATTGATTTGGCAAATCTAACACGTTCACTTTTTAAGTTTCCTTCATCTCTTACTAATAAAAAAGAGCTTTTTGATAGTTTTTCACACAATCAAATGAATTTAAATGTTTAATATAATAAGTATTCAATGATTATTAATCTATTAAGATAAGATCAAAACCTAATTTTAATGATTTGGAGAAAATAAAGGTTTTAAATGAATTAATTTATTAGATTACCTATTATAATGATATTAATCTTAAAATTATGTTAATAGTTAAAATTAATTTTTTCTTTCTTACTTTCTTTCTGATTATTTTTCTGTATGCATGTATGTATATATTTATGTATATTAATCTATATATCTTTAAATAGTTTTATTAAAATAACAAATAACTCCAAAAATTAATTTTATTTCTTTTAAAATTCATTTCAAAATATGGAATTTGATATAAATATAATCTTTCAAACTTTTTAATAAATTAAATAATTCTTCAATAAATATTTTTACTGATAGGTATATATCTAAGCTCATAAATTAATATAAATTATTACTCATCTATTTATATACATTAAAAATTAATTTTAATAATTTAGAACAATAAAAAAGTTTTACATAAATTTTACCTATTTTAATGAAATACTTTCTTACTTTTTGATTATATACCTGCCTGCCTGTCTGTATCTATCTATCTACCTATCTTTAAACAGCTTCATTAAAGTAACAAATAACTCCAAGAATTAATTTTATTTCTTTTTAATTTCAATTCACAATATAGAATTTTATTTTAATCTTTAAATTTTTAAAATAAATTAAATATATTTAAATTAAAAATGTTTGCCGAAAAGTATTTATTTAAGCTCGTAATTTAACATAAATATTGAAATATTTTAAATTATTTTACTATAATAAATAATAACATATTTCATTTAGATTATAGAATTTTCATAGAGAAAATACAGTTTTTTATGTCAATGGTTAAATGTAAATCGATACACTTTTTAACATAAAAAATAACATGCTCATCATATGTTTGTTACTCATTTCAGATAAATTTAAAAAGCTATAAATAAAATCTTTGAATATGTAGATAAAAACAAATTATATTTTGAAATATTATCAACTATGTTGGTTGATAAAGATGATAATTATATAATTAGTTTTATTTTTAAATTCATTTTTTAAAGGAAACACTATTTATTTATTTAATTAATATAATTTTAGTACAGTTTTTTAATTTAAAATTATCAATATTTTTTCCTTATTCAGTTTTATTTCATTAATACTCAGCAATAAATTTATTTTATAGTTACAAACATTTTTTTAAGTCCAATAACTTGGCTATTTGTTTTCTATTTTATTATATTTATTTTTCATTAAATTTATTCAAAATATTTGGTTTATGCAGTTGTAATATCAGATTCGAGAAGACCACCATAGACTTAATTTTTCCCTTTGAACTATGAAAAGAATTTATAGTAACTTGATCTGTACAAACTAGTTTTAATTTCCACACTCGCTTTGATGTTATCTTCATGATTTTTATTATTATTTTAATTAACTAATTCTGCTATAACCTCATACTCATCCACATTGTCTTCATCTTATGGATCTTCTTTAAGATTTGTTTAATTAATTTCATTAAATATTTATTTTGGAGAGTGATCATCATCACTAATTTACATAAATGCATTATTCTATTAAATATTATGATAATTTTCTGCTAACTTTTATGCTCTTACGTTATCATTCTCAATATTTTCTATGTTTTTACATTCTTCTTTGTTCCCATTATTTTGGTTTTATTGATTTTGAGTGCTTAAAATGTATGCCATTTCTTGGTCTGATGGATAATAAGAAACTACCTTTTATCCAATTTACAATATTGATGGTGGTTTCTCATGATTATCTTAATGTGCTAAATTATTGACAACCATGTTTTAATGCAGATCAAGACTGGTCTGATTTTATAAATTTAATGAATTCAAGTTATAATTAATAGAGCTTTATCTATAAATAGGTTTTATTTGCTATTCTTCTGTGCAAGTATGGTCTAATCTTACTATTAATAAATTATTAATGTTAGAGGGATCTTCAGATTTAAATTATCTCTATTTTTGGATCTTTGCTTTTTCAAGTGTAGAATGATCATTTTATAAAATCATATCATGATTATTTCTATAAACAAAAACTCCTTCAAATTTTTTCATTTACTCTGTGTGAAGATTAACTAAACATATTCTCCAATTTCTGTTACATTTTATTTTTTTTGTTATTTGAGTTTTCTAATTCAGATTTTTATCTTCTTTTATCTGCTTAGCATAAATGTCTCTATAAATCTCCCTTTATAATTCTATACCCTTTTTGCTAAGATATATTTCTATTAGTTTCGTATGAAACATTTCCTTGTCTTGAAGTTTTCTAGCTCCCTCCTCTATGATCATTAAGACTTCAGCTATTGATTAAAATATTCAAAATTCAAATTTATTCTAAATAAATCTTGTATTTATTACGTCCTTAGGCTTTGAGAATATCTTCCTAAAGAGTGTCTAATAGCACTAATCCAACAAGAAAAACAGTTTTTGCTCCATACAAAATGCAGTGGTCAAACACTACTGTGCATAACTTTAATTTATTTTTATTATATTTTCTTAAAAAATATTTAAATTACTTACTTATTATGAAAGACTGTTCGTATATAAGCAGATAAACCATGACGTTGTAAAGATGTTCACATCTATTTTTATATCCTGAAATTTTTTGAATACTTTTGGGTTGTGAGCTTACAAGAGATTTTTAAAAATATTCTAGTCAGCAATTAGTCCTATCATATTATTTGTGTAGTAATCAAGAGGTATCATGCTTTCTAAAAAATATTTATATATCCAAAATGCTTCCTAGATAGTAAAAAATAAATATCAATTTGATAAAATAAGTAATTTCTAGATTAAATTTTACCTCTTCATCAAATTGTAAGTTAAGTATAAACTTTGCTATGAAATTCATTCCTTAGCAATATCCAGCAATGCAATTTAATTTTGAATACGCTGACAAAACATTTCGTAGTTTATCTACTGTTTATTTGACGAGCTATGGAAATTGTTCTAATTCCTCTTTGTTAAAACTTCTCAGTAAATCCTTTTCTATAAAATCTTCATAAACATTTGGTATATCCTCGCTTTTCAAGATTTTTTTAAAATAATCTTTGTTATCTTTCTTTTGATAAAAAGCATCAGTTGCAATAAGCCACATCTATTTTATTTACATGATAATTCATTAATTAATTAATTGTTCTTTGCGATCAAATATTTTAATTAAAATGTTTACTTTTTTCCTATACTGCTCATTTAAAGATGAATAAAACTACTTATTTTTGAACTTTAGCCTTAATATTTTGCAAACTTCTTTGTGAAAGCAGCTTTTTTTTTAGTATTCGTCAATAATCTAATTGAATAATGAAAAACATATTGCAAAATTTACTATCTTTTCAGTTAAAATTTATATTTAAAAATTAATACTTAAGGAACTAAATGATCATGTGCGTATTTTATTAAATTCTATTCATTTTAAAGCTTCTGTTTATCCAATTTCTATTTTTCTAGAAGAAATTCCTTCATTTATATTTTTTTAATGATATTATTTCTGATGTTTCCATAAAAGAATAATCTGTGTGATTTCTGCTTGTTTAACGAAATTTCAGCTATGTCAAGAGGAGATCTTAACTTATAAAATTCCTCCAGATGAGAAGATTCTTCTTTTTCTTTGCTTTTTTTATTTTTATCTTTTGTCATTCTCAGCAGAAACTACTCTAAAATTTTTTGAATCTATGCGATCGTAATATTTCAATTAATATTGCGCTAAAATTGGTGTTTTTACAATAATATATAAAATTTACAAAGAAATATTTCTTAAACATCAATAACTAATTTCTACAACTAAGAGTTTTTTTTCATAAACTCTATGTTCAAAGTTTTAAAATGTAATTAAAAATATTTATGATTGAATTTTTAAAATATTAGTAAAATAAATCATTGATATTATCAATCATTCAAAATTTAATAAAATTTATGATTTCTGTAATTTCATTTAGTGAATACCGATCAAAAAAATTTTCCATCTTATAAATTTAACTTATTTATTTGGCTAATTAATTTAAATAATGACATTATTAAAATCATATTAAATATTAAAAAATTGATAAAAGTGATTCCTTTTTAAAAGACAAATGAATATTAGAAATACTTGTGTTTATTAATAAAAAGATTAAGTAAATTTAATATTTTAAATTCACATCTAGTCTTTAATTTTAAATAATTTAAATTCAACTCTAATTTAATATTTTCTTTTTGAATCAGAGCTAATAAGATCAAAAATATTTTTATTTTATTTAGTTATTGTTTTATTTATTTTATTTAATTAAAAAAAATTAATTATTATTCTATATAATTTTGTTTTATTTAGTTATTGTTTTATTAATTTTATTTAATTAAAATAGATTAATTATTATTCTATTTTTTACTTATTTTAATTTTAAATCATTTTCATTTATTTGGTTATTGTTTTATTAATTTTATTTAATTAAAAAGGATTAATTATTATTTTATATAATTTTATTAATTTTAAATTAATAATAATTTTTATATTTTTATTTTAATTTTATTTGAAAAAAATAAATATTTTATTCTAACTTTGTTTAAAATAGAAAAAATAATATTTATTAAAAATTTGTTTTATTTTGTTCAATATTTAAAATTATTTTTAAAATGAAATTTATTTTTTCTTTTAATTTGATAAAAATCAAAAAAAAATTTAAATTATTGAGATAAAAAATTGTTTTCAAATAAATTTTATTTTATCCAGGAGATAAAAATTAATTAATCAAGAATTGATTTTTTTCCTAAAATTAGCTCATAATTTATTGATATATTCATTATATAAAATCAGAGTTTTCAAATTTGGTAATATTTATTTTTAATTAAATAGTTATAATAATAGCTAGTCGACGTCACTTATAAAATCTTGTTTTATATATAGTTATGAATGCAACAAATAATATTATAAAATTTAAATTCAAATAAGATATAGAAGGTGATTATTTTCTTACTACGTATTTATAACTAAAATAGAAAGTATTAAATTTAAAATATGTTTATGATATTAGGTATTATTTATTAAATTTTATTTCTGTATATTTTTGCTACTAGTTATGTGAAATCTTACTTGGATGATATTGTAATTAAATTTTTTTATACTTTTATCACATTGACTGCTCAAATATATTTTGAGTTTGCATAATCATACTTTGTTTTGTTAGGAGCACTAAATTTTTAGGAGTTAATTTTTATTATACTTAGTAAGTTGTAAGTATTCAAAATTTCTCTCTATTATTTTACATTGATTTGTTAATCTATTACTAAGTATTGATATTTGTAACTAAAAAAGCAAGATTTTTTCTATTTTTATAATTTTTAATGGTAAATAAAAATATTTTGGTATGTCAGAGTACGTAAGCAAAAATAATTCCAAATTTAACCTTACTATGTTCTAATTTACACTTTTATTTTAAATTATGAAGTGATAATAAAAGAATTGGCAAATTGTAGAGTCACTTAGCAAAATAAATATAAAGAGAATGTACACCAAAATGCTAAAAATAAGCAAAAGGAACTTTTTATAGCTTATATTTAAAAATACGAAATCAAAAAATCAATGAATAATTGCTAAAAAATAATTTTAAAAAAATTGAAATGTATGAAATGTTAGTTACTATTGAGAATTCTAAGATATAAATGAAAAATAATGAATGATGTCTATTAGTAAAACAATAATTAGGTAAATGAATATATATACAAGAAAGCTATGTTGGAAATAGGAGTTAATGACGTAGGTGTAAATAATTTAAAATATAGGAATTTCTAAATGACGCAAAAATTCTTTGTTATGACGCAATTTATTAAATTAAATTAATATACAAATTTGTATTTAAGCTTATATCCCAGTATTTAAACAGAATTAAAGTACTAAGTAATCATTTAATATATATACTAAAACCATCAGAAAGACAAGCATTCATTCATTAATTGACTGATTATAGTATTTATTCGATTTCTACTTCTATTATCAATCAAGATATTCTTTGCATTTAAATACTGATATAGGAAAGTTGTATGAACGTTAAAAATAAAATTAAATTAAAGTAAAATAAAATAAAAAAAATATACAAATAGAATAAACTCACTCACACATACACACAAATGGGAGTATACTCTAAAGGTGAATTCAAGGTCATGGGTTATGAACTCAAGAAAGAGTATTGCATATGGTTAGGTTATATGCACATACTTGCTGTAGCTGGTCTTATCTACTGGCTTTTATAAGAAAAGGAATTGTTCACAAAGAGTCTTTACATGTTCCTTATTTTCCACTTGATGGGAGGTTTAGGTATTACTGCTGGCTCACATCGTCTCTGGGCTCACAGAAGTTACACTGCCAAGACTCCCTACAGAATTTTGGTTATGCTCTTTAACAGCATGGCCTTCTAAGGTTCTATTTTCCACTGGAGCAGAGACCACAGACTCCACCATAAATTCTCGGACACAGATATTGATCCTCACTCAATGAACAAGGGATTCTTCTTTGCTCACGTTGGCTGGTTACTTGTCAAGAAATCTCCTGAACTTAAAAAGGAAGGTGAAAAATTGAATATTTAGGATCTTAAGGATGACCCTGTTGTTATGTTCCAAAAGAAGCACTACTTCTTGATTTCTACATTGGTCTGCTTTGTTATTCCAAGTAATTTTTTTTCTTTTATAAATACAAAAAAATTATAATAAATTTTGCCAATCGCGAAAACAAACAAACAAACAAACAATCTATAAATAAATTATCAATTTACTTAGTCATTTGCATAAATGGCTGTTAAGAAATTGAAACAATAAAAAGTGTTCATAAATCCAAATTTAAAATGAATTTTGATAAAAAAGCTTGTTAAAAAAAATCATTTTGATTCATTAATTAATTTATGCCAGTTTAAATATTCTAGAAAACTAATTTTTATTAAGCTAAATATTCTAAACATCAATTTAATATTTAATAGCTGTCATTATGCAATACACCATTGGAGGAGGATTCATCTACAACTTTTTGATGAGCTGTTTCAGATACGTCTTTATGCTTCACACTACCTGGTGTGTAAACAGTGTATGCCACATGTTTGGTAGCAGACCTTATAACGAGTCTATTTTACCCACTGAAAACCTCTTCGTTAGTATTATTGCTCTCGGTGAAGGATGGCACAACTGGCATCACGAATACCCCAGAGATTGGAGAGCTGCCGAAAATAAATGGACTAAGATCAACTTTACTTCCGGCTTTATCAAGTTCTTCGAATTTTTGGGTCAATGTGATACCAATGGAATTAAGAAAAACGAATCTTGAATTATTTGCAACATATAAAAAAATAGCTTAACAAAAGCGTGAATTAATAACTAATTAACAAAATATTGGATGATATGCATAATTATCAAAAATATATCTACATCTAAAAATTTTTCAAAACTTAATATAAATCAATTAAAAACACAATCAAACAATCTATCTATATTAGCTTTATTATTATCATTCAAAATATGTGCTCAAGAAAGAAAGAATAATAAAGTAAGCTAGAAAAAAATAATGTCTAAGTAGAACTGAACTGCCTGCCTGCTAACTCCCACTTAATTTATAATATAAAATTAATTATTATTTTAAAATGCACTACTCGTTCTTTATAATATTTTTTGTTGTATTAAAATAACCTAAATGTTCTCCTTTAACTCTCAAACATAACCTCTCCTATAAATTTTTAGAACAAATAAATTCTTTTGTCTGCTTGCTTGCAGTGAGTGAAAGTTGGAAGTAAGTTAATCAAAATAGCTATTTTTTTACTTTAATTGGTAAATATGTTTCTAAATTCCTAAAAAAGGAATTACTTTTTTATTTTTTGCAAATAACAAAATTAATTGACGTACTAATAAAAAAACTGGTTAATTTAATTATGAATTACTCACTTTAAAAAAGATTTCAATTTACTTGAAATTTCAAATAAAAATGCAGAACTTTAAACAAAACTCTAGAATTTTCATGAATTTCAAAGATAAAAATACATGCTGAAAATTGTAAATGAAGTTAATTTCACAAGCTGCACTTGACAATTTTGTTTTTTAAAAAAGCTTATTGTTTTTAAAAAATAGTTTTTTAGAAGAGAGAAAAAGAAAAATAGAAACTCGTTTATTAATTATGATTAGATTTGGCATCATAACTATTAATATTAGCGTAATTTAATCTCTCCAGCGCGTTATATATCATCATAAACAAAATAAGAGGTAATTTATTTATATTTTTTGCATAGTTTGTGTAATAATTAAAGTTCTAGTTAAAAATCAAGATTTCTCTCATTCAAATGTTTTTATAAGCATTTTAAAACTTTCATTTTTATTTAAGTGCTTTAAAAATTTAAACAAAAATATGAAGCTTTTTTATAAAATCAATAAATAAACAAACTATGTAGATAAATAAACATAAAGCAAAATGTTTTAATAGCTATTTGTTTGTTTATTTATTTATTTGTATTATTTTTAAATCTATTTTGTAATTTTCAGAGTTTTGGATGAAGATTTTACATCTTTTGAATCCATTCGTATCCTTCAGCAAAGTAGCTGTTATTCATTTCGTTTTTATTCTTAGCCCAATCATATAAAGTTTCATATGGTTTTCCACTTGTAAGTGCTATTGCGCTTCTCAATTAAGAATCTTAGAAGCCGAATGCTTCAACTAAAGGAAGAGCATCTCTTCTAACTTCTAAAAGCATTTCGTCTCTCAATTAAGTTAGGAAAGTGAAGTGCTTAGGCTCTAAATAGTTATTTTCTATGAGTAAGTAAGGCTTTTAAGTAATTCTAGAAACAGCATTCAAAATACATAATTTCATTACTAAATTCTTTACATTTTCTTTAGTTTATCTATGAACAAATTCAACATAGTTATTCATGGTGAACAAATTAATATGGGCTTTTGAAGCTTCAACTAAGTCAATTCCTATTAATCATTTAAATATAAAAATTATTTTATTTATTTCTTTGTTGATTCTTTAATTTATTTGTTTGTTTGATTGTTCGTTCAAAAATTGTAAATGACTTGAAAGTCTTTCTATCTTGTAGAGAGAATATTTAAATATATAATTAATTAATTAATTTGGGAGTTAAGAATTCGATCAAGAAAATCGATTAGGAGATAGTTTGATTTTTTTAAATCAAATTTATCTCTAATTATTGATAAAAATAAAAATTTATTTCAAGAGTATCTTTTGTGGAAAAGAGTGGGAGAAAATTTATTTAAATTTTTTAAGAATATTATTAATCTAAGTATTTTTGTATTGACTTAATAAATTGTTTAATTTACCTGCGTATTCATCCCAAGCCTACTTAGGTGGCTTTCCGTCACTGACGTGTTTAAGCATTTTGTCAGCAGCATTTTAAATAGCAAAGACAGCTGATGCAATCATTATTTTTCTTAAAACTTCAATATTTCTCAATTCGCCTACAGAGTTTACATTTTCTAATTTAGAACCCAAAAATTCAGAGGCTTACTTTAAATATTAAACTGAGAAACCAATATTTAAACCTTTCATTGCTTTTTCGTATTGCTTGAGCAAAAATCTAGCAACTTGCATGTGTAAGACAGTATTTTCTCCTTCAAGAGTTACCATTGGCTTCCATTCTTAAATCATACCTAAGATTAATTTATAAATAAAAATGTATTTAACCACAGAATTAAAAAGGTTAATTAGATCATCTCTGACGTATTTATTCAATCAAATTTATCTTTTTCAAGTTAATACTTCTTTAGGAGTAACATAATATTTTTCAAATAAAAAATGAACATCATTTACCTGGAATACCTGAGTAGTGGTGGAATCCATGACCGCCACATGCTAATCTACATTACTCTAGGTAGTATAAAGTTGTTTCAGTCCAAGTTGCTTTAGCGCCTATTTATTTATAAAGTATTCATATTAAATCATTAAAATTAGAAACATATTTTTCAAAATTTGAATGAAATCTTGAATATTTTTATTTACCAGAAACTACGACGTGCATTTCATTTAATGTTGAGAAATCATCTTTTTATACTCTATTTAGGAGATCGTCATTCAAATCCCAAATTGTATAGCTGCTAATTAAAATGCCATATATTTCTGCTAAAGGAATTAAAAGCTTTTCCTACTGAGTTTGATAATCTAATATTTTTCTATTAAAAAAATAAAAATATTTTTCATAAATTATTTTTAGAGCTTGAAAATAAATTAATGAGAATCAAAAATTAAATCAATAAAGAAAATGTTTGATTAGTTATTCTTTCTGTTTTTCTATCTATTTAATTGTTTAAATATTAATTAGCTAGTTAACTAGTTAGAGGTTATACTTAATGTACTTATTTTTTTAAGAAATAGTAAAAAGGAAGTAATAAGGAGAATTTAACTCTTATTAGAGCCAAATAAAACAATACCTTTCTTGATTACTAGAGTCGTTGAATTATTTACGCAAAATAGAGTAACGAATAGCAACATTAAGGGCTTGTGTTAAGGTTCTAGGGAAGAAGCAGGAGATAGCAAGACGGGTTTAAAGCATGACTGCATATCCGATTTTAGCATTTCCTGGTTAAGAAAATATACCAGCCTTAGAAACTTTTGCATATCTCATAAGCATGTTTTCTCTTGGAATGCGAACATTATTGAATCTAACAAAACCATTATCCTTTACATTAAAACCAACTTTAGGTCCAATGTCACCAACTGTAATACCAGGAAGAGGCTTGCGAGTCTTGATGTCTCTAATAGGGACTAAGAACGAGTGTACGCCATAGTTTTTACCTGAAATTTTAAAAGCAATTTCAAAATGAGTTGAGTGAAATAAATATTTAAAAAACTAAAACTAGGAATAAAATGGAATTTTCAGAAAAACTTTTGATATTTTCATGAAAAAAGAGTTTTTTTTAGTAAGAATAATAGCTTTTAATAACATATAGAATAAAACATCTAAACTTACCTAATAAGTTGAGCTAGGCAAATACCATTGCATGAGTGCACCAGATTCCAAGTTCTCCAACCCACCATTTTGTAGAAGTGGGAGTAGGAGAGTTAATGATGAATTCTTGTGTTTCAGGATCGTAAGTGGCTGTTGTCTCCAAAGATTGTACATCTGAACCATGCCCTAACTCAGTTTAGCAATAGCAACCAACAATTTCATAACTGTAAATTCTTGGAAGCCAATCTTTGCATTGCTTATCAGATGCTAAATACTTAATGCATGGCACAAACATGACTTGGTGAACTCCTGAGGGGAAACTGAAGGGGAATTAAATAAACATATTCATAATTGTCTAGGGTTCATTGACGTTTTGTCTCTGGTTGTCAAATGTGATGAATTCAACAAACTTACGAGCTGAGTATTTAATTTATTCAATACGACTAAGATTGTAGTAATTAGGGTCGAGTTAAAGCTCCTTATTGTTTTAAATAATCAAGTAGTCGTTTTTGATATGTCTGGCTTGCTCTTTATTTTTATATGCAACTTCTTCAAGGTCTTCAATCTTTACGGATGCTCTCTCCAACTCTCTAAGAAATTCTGGGTCCATTTTAATTGATAAGAAAGAAATAAGTATGGTGTTTGATGATTGATATCTATCTATCTAAAAATATTTAATGCTTTTGCTTAATAATTATCTAGAAAAGGGTAATAATTGTTCTCCTTTACTGTATTTAGTTTTTGTTCAAATTTTGTTATCTTTTTGTTTAATAATTAAATTATTAAAAGGTTTCCTCATATAAAGATTTAATTGGTTTTGAAGTCATTTATTTCCTTCCATATGAGGCAAGTGACGATTGAGTCAAGCTTACATCATACGATATGTAACATCTAAAGCTCAACAGAAATTATATTATTTTTTTTTCTACCATATTTTTTCGTTGTATTTATAACCAAAATTTAAAAATAGCATGATTTTCTCTATACTACCTACTGCAATCAACCAAATATTTTAATTAAATTTTTATTTATCAATTAATTTGTTATTAAATCTACTTTAAATCTTATATTCTTTAATTAATTTCGTTTTACTGACATACTGTGTATAATAGTAATATCTTTTTAGATTAGATTAGTTAGATAGATAGACGATTATTGCATATTCCTTTATAACAATTTTTACTCTTCTGACCCTCTATTCAAATCAAATAAATTAACTCACATTTATATATTAACTCCTAAATCATTCATTTATTCTTTTCAAGTATGTTATGTGAAAAATTAGCTTTTTCTATCTCAAGCAACTGCCTATTTATATTTTTTCAAAAAATCTAATTGATAAATAAATAAATACTTCTCGCAATAAATATATAGTTATTAAATAAATGATAATTAAAATTCTAAATTATATTAATTAATTGCTACATTTCATGTTTAACAATTTTCTAAAATTCTAAATTATTATTTCTTCTAAATCTTTTTTGATATTAATTAAAAATTATTTTATCTAATAAGAATTTAAATTATTATCGATAAGTCGTATTTTTTTATTTTAATCATCTATAAATGGATAATCTAAATTTTTCTAGTAATTAAAATATTATTAGCTATTATATTACTAAAAGTATATATATTAATATAAACAAAAAAACATGTAATTATTAATTTAAACATCACTAAATAAATCGATTATTAACATAAGTAAATGAAAGAGAGAAAAAAACAATTAAATTGGTCTTTAATTTACCATTAAAAAATATTCAATTGTAATAGTTTACTTATTTAATTTCTAAAGATTATTTTTTAATGTTTTTAACTTTTTTGATAGTTCCTTGATAAATCTATTTTAAATCATTTACAAATAGCTATTTTTAGATAAATTAATACTTAATAAATTTATTTAATTAATTTCTTGATAAATTTTTAATGATGATATATTTATTGTTTTTTAAAAATTAGATCAGTCATCTGTTATTAAAATTAAATAAATGTAAAAGAGAAAAAAAATATTGAAACTTTAATTAGCCATTAAATCTTAGTTAACTATCAAAATGTTAATAGTTTAATTTTTTAATTTCTAAAGATTATTTTTTAATTTTTTTAACTTTTTTGATAGTTCCTTGATAAATCTATTTTAAATCATTTACAAATAGCTATTTTTAGATAAATTAATACTTAATAAATTTTTTTAATTAATTTCTTGATAAATAAATTTTTAATGAAGATATATTTATTTATTGCTTTTTAAAAATTGTATCAAAATCATCAGTTATTAAAATTAAATAAATGTAAAAGAGAAAAAAAATATTGAAACTATAATTAGCCATTAAAAATAAATTAAAATTTAAATGGTAATAGTTTACTTATCTGATTTCTATATATGATTTTTAATACATTTTCTTTTTATTATACCTCAATAAATTTTTATTAACTTTTTCTATATTTTTTAATGTTTTTAAAATTTTAATGAGGATATATTATTGTATAAGAATTGAATAAAGGATATTTGGTAATAAAATATTAAAAATACTGTTAAAAAATGTGTTGCATATTAAGAAAGGGCAAACAAATAAATATAAACTGATATATTCGTTAAGAAAATGTAAATCGATACAATCGATACTTGTTTAATTTTATGAATTAAATTGTTAGAATTGCAAATGTAATAAATTGCAATAATTAGTTCCAAACAAGATGATTATTTTATAATTTAGTATTTAATAAGATAATATATTGATAATTTATTAACATTAGCTAAATTTTGGTAAATTTATCATAGTAACTTGGTCTGTTCACTAAAGGATTATTAACAAAATATTTATTTGATTTTCAGTAATTATCAAACAAGATTGAGGTAAATTCATATAAATTGTTAATTATAGGTTTGGTCTTATAATTTTATTCAACTTATCTTTAGTTTAATAAATAACTAAAATTTTCTACAAAAATAGCTAAAATGAGCTAAACATTTCAAAGCGAAAAACATTTATATGATGATAAATCTACAGTAAAATTCCAATTAAATATATTCAAACTTATTTATAATTGTCCTTAAATATAGACATTTTATTAACTTTTTAAAATCTTAATGGTTGAAAATAAAAGCATACAAATGATTGAGGTAACTAAATTAAGAAATATATTCCATGATATTTCAAACTTTATTTTATTGATACTGATAATTATTAAACTATAAAACAGGAACTCAAAGATATTTTGAGGCAGTTCATTTATTTTTAGACACTTTTTCACTTCATTTCAAATGTTTTTCCTTGCTTTAACTTCATAAATACAGTAACATAAATCATTGCTTACTTTTGTAATATGTTGGCATTTTTACAATACTAAAAATAATTCAAAATAGTTTATTCAGCTGTTTGAAGTAGTAAGTGAAGATGAATTAAACACAGATAAAAATGCAGATTTTATAGTTAGAATTTGTTTGGAAAGTTTTTCATTTTCACAAGTTTAAGAAAATTCATTCTTAGAGCAATATAACTGGGGTTAGTTTGCTAAAAAATGCCGCATCATTTAGAACTAAGCTAAGTCTCTTACTAAAATTGAAGGAGAAATTGATAAAGAGCAATTAATAAAAAATGAATAATGCTAGCAATATAAATATTTATTAATATAACAATCTAAATTTATAGTATGCTTAAAAAAGTACTAAAATTAAAGAGATATCACATATAATAATATTATAAAATGTATTCCTTAAGTATAACAGATAACTTCAAAGAGAACGCAAGATAACATTATAAAAAGCATTGAAAGCATCAACTTATTTGAAAATACTGTAATTACTCTTTAATAGGATTAATTTGTCACACCTAGAAAGTCAAAGTTGTAAAAATTTAAAAAAGATGCTTTATGGTTTCTGATATCAGGAAATGGAGTTGTTGAATAAAGAATAAGTGAAACTGTCACTGTTCCTATTTCTACTATTTCTGAAGGTAGTCTATTTGGAGAGGAGATTCTATTTTAGAATTTAAAAAATGAATAAGATGATAATGATATAAATTCGAGCTTAGAAAATATAAAATAATTCAAAGAATAGATAAATGAAGATTAAGGAAGATTTTAGCTAAGAATAACTTCTAAGCTAGGTAAAATGTACTGCATATAAAAGGAATAGATTTTATTGATTTTGCCTAGTAAAATAGTGAAAGAAATCTAGACCAATTTTATTTAAAAATTTAATAATAGAAAAAATATCCTAACATCTTAATTAGAATGCTAAAAATAGTAAAACATTTAAGTCAGTGAAAGGAAAAAAAATATAAGAAGACAATTCAGTGAAATTTTAAATACAAATAATATCTAAATAAAATAAACAAATTAAAGAGAATCTTTTATGGATAACTAAGAAGATTTAATCATGCAAAGGGTCATCGACAAGAAATAAATGATATTAAAATTATAGGAAAATTAACTTGCCAAAAAGGTTTTATTTGCTGATTCTTCGCACTCTCCATAAAGAGATAGTGTTTTATAGTTTAATGATAATTCAAAAACAGAAAGGAAATCTTCAAAAGAAATTAAAAAAAAACCAAATATTTAGCTTGTTCTTAAGGAGAAAAAATCAAATGATAAAACAAATTAAAGTAGCTTAAATGAGCAACAAAAATTCTTTTCTGTAGAAAATGAACAAAATATAAACTCTTCCTATAAAACTCTTTTGTCTTCGAAGCCTACTGTTGAAAAAAGATATCTTAATAAAAAAATTTTTAATATCATAAATTAAGGATTTGATTTTGGAACAAAAGATAAATAATCTGAGTATAACAAAGAGCATGCTATTAAAATGCTTTAACTAAAAAATGGAATCATCAATCCAATAACTAAAGCAAGACACCCGAGCATATATGAACATTAAGAAAAAATGATTCTCAAATAATAATAAAAGATATAATCGATAAGCATTGCTAGACTGCTTGACAATACTCCAAGTCAGCAATCAATTTACAACTAATTTACGAATTAAGAAAATAATCAAATAAATATAACAAGCTTGCAAAATATTGAAGATAGAAAATAATCTTTTTACTTAACACCAAAAGAGTTCTGCCAATCTGCGCGTTAGTTAGAATAAAAATTTCAAGCCAGCTTTTAAAATACTTCTTCCAAATTATTACGTTATAACACAGTAGATATCTCAAAAATGGGTACTACTTAAGACTTTACACCCTTTTAAAATAAGACCAATAAAAATAAATCTTCAAATTCTATTAAAAGACCTTCAGATTAATCTAAATCTGATGAAATGTCTTTAATCTAATTTGGTTTAAACTTAATACAGATTCCTAACAATGAAATTAATGAGAAAAATAAAAGTTCAATATTGATCAACAAAACACTAAATTCAAGTAGTTTTAGTGATAATAATAAACAAAAGAGTTTCACTGGTTACAACCAAAACAATTAACGAGACAGCATTAATTTTAAAAGTGATGAAATTGGAAATCGTGGAGAGTTTTTATAAAATAAAGAGAGCAGTTTTGCTGATTTCATAAACAATACAAATAGAAAAAAATCAAGGTGCTTTTCAAATTTTATTCAAGCTAATAATTTCACTGAGGAAGAAAATAGTATGAGTTAAGCAAATGTTAATTATTAAAGTTAAAAAAAACTTTTAAGATAAAGAACTTGTAATTCAATTAATGAATTGTTAGATCTTTCTTAAATAGGATCTAAAAAAAATAATAATTTGTCATAAAATAACCAGTCTTTGAAATAAATTAATTCAATTTTTTCAGAATTGAACTCCAAGAATTTTATTAAAAAAGACATTAATTACAACTCCTAAAAAAGTTAAGATAATATTTTTAATTAAATATGTAAAAGCAATCAACAGAGTGCAAGAAAAACTACTAAGATATCTTTGCTTTTGGAAGAAAATGAAAGAATAAAAAGTGCTAGGAACTAAATCAGCTTAGATAAAACTAATAAATAATATAACAACGCCTTTGCAAGTGTAAATATAAATAAAATATTAAGTAAATCCCCATCTTTTGATCAAATTAACTTCATTTAAGGAAACATACAACATAAAAATAAATTTAGTGATAAAGATTAATAAAATCTATATTATATGAAAAATTAAGAAAATCAACAATGTTAGGCATCTCGAATTGATTAAATCGGATCACCTGTAAAGAATAGTACTACGTTTAATTTAGAGAAAACTAATGAAAATAGTTTCAATTTAAAAGGTTAAAAAATATCTTTCTAGGAAAAATATATTAAAATTAAATCTAATAAAGGTGAATATATACGTTTAAATAACTAAATAAATTAGATTGATAACAATCAAAATTCTAACTAAGCTAATCAAGATTAATTCTAAGTATCTGATTCAAAAATTCATCCGAGAGATAGAAAATTATTAAACTAATATAATTCATCACCTAAGAATGAAAAATAAATAAGCCAAATTATTTAAAATAAAGAACTCGTTAATAATATACGATTAAGAAGCTCTTAACAGTTTTATAAGTCTCCTAAAAAATCATATTAAAAATAGATATCTGATTAGAAACTTAAAGTAAATACAGACTCAAGCTCTGTTATGAAGTTGAAAAAATCTAATAATTAATAGCTTCAAAGATGCCTCACTTAAGATTAACTCCAAGAAATTACAACAGATTTTTACTCCTAAGCATAAGGTGTCTCTAGTAATGAATTAAGTAATTAGCAAAATATTGAGGACTAGAACCAATAAATATTTGAAGCTGATACTTTTGGGATTTAAAACATGAAAAATCTTAATTAATAAGTAAATGCTGAAAGTTGTAATAATTATAACAATTTTGCCTCCAGTAACAACATAGACATACTGAATTTAAGACAAAACGAATTAACCAGTTAAGAAAAATTACAGTAGTAGGAATACAATTATTAAAATTAATTTAATCAGAAATTCAATTTCAAATCTTACTTACTTCAAAAAGCTAAAAATAATTAGGCTATCAAAAGAAAGAATGTAAACATATAAAAAGATTTCGAACAACCTAACTTATTGCTTTGCAATAAATAAATATAAATTTTAGAACTAAAAAAGTCTTGAAAAATATTATATAAATTAAAATTGAATATAAAAATAAAAATTATAATTTATTTTAATTAAAATCAATATTTTTAATTATTCATTTTTTAAACAGTATTTATTTATTTTTAGGATAAAAACACATTAAAAAAAAAATAGATTTTTCTTTTATCAATAAAAAAATAATAAAATATCTAAAAATTTATTCATAATTAAATAAAAAGTATTATATAAGGCGGAAATCAATTTTCTTAAAAAGTCTAAATACCAAAATCCATAAAATTTTAAGGTAAATTTATTTTATAGTAAAGCAAAAAGTTAATTAAAGTTATTTTCAGTTTTTGTAGTATTATTAGATATATTTATTTAGTTATCTGTTATGTTATTTACATTTATTTTGTTAATCTTAATTTACATATAAAATAGTCAAAATTTTAAATAAAAATAATCGTCTGTAAAGTTATTTATAGGATCATCGAAAATTTAATTTTCATTACTTATTTATCAAATTTTATATAATGAAAAAATAAACTTTTGTGTAGTAAAAGTAGTAAGATTATCAACACTTTTGAATTAAAAAAATAATAAAATTCGTGTATCGAATAGATTTTATATTTCTTTGAAGAGAATTTTGCTGAAAGCTAAAATTAAATTAAGTAGACTTAGTAACATATATAATTTTAGAAAAGAAAATAAATAGTATCTTTCTGATAAAGCAATTATTTTCTTATTAATAATTTATAGTAAATATTATATAGTAAAATTTATTAATTAGTAAATAATTGTAATTGAGATTGTTTAATTCAAGTCGTATGTTATTTCAAAAAATTTATCAAAATCAAAATCTTTTTTGATCAATTTTTGATCTTTTAAATTGTTTAAGATCTATCTTGTATGAATTAAATTTCAATCTAAAAAGTAAATATTAAATATTTTTAAGTAGATATATTTAGAGACTTTAAAAGAAAAATATTTGCTTTAGTTAGATTTTAATCTTTGACTGTTAGAATTGTAGATATTAATTAATAAATTATATTGTCATTCTCTTCACATTTAATGCAGATTTAATTAAAGGCTTTGGAAGATATATATCGAACTACTTCTCATAGATAAATAAGATTGCTATGATTCCTTTAGTTAAAAAGAAAATTTTCCTATACTTTTCATTCATTTTAATTTCAATAGAATTCAAGTTCTGCTTACTGAATCTTTAGTTAACTGAAACAAAATCTCCTTCTTGGTTTTACATTTTTTATTTTATTTCTTCTTAGGTTTTTTCAACATTCCTCTACTTCTTTGATTATAACTTTTCATCATTCTTATTTTCTTTCTTCCTATGGTTCGAACCATTTTGAAACTGCTTCATTGAAAACTTCCATCCATTCAATTAAAGGATTGAAAATATAGCATCTTATAGCTTTTAAAAATTTTACAGAAATAACTGTAACCTCTATGAGGATTCATTGAAAAAAAAGAAAATTACTCAATAGCATATTTTCGATATATTCAATTATGATTAAATACTTTAAAATTAACATTTTTAAGAAATAATTTTAGAAAATTCTTTGTTAAATTACTAAAAAAAATAAATATATTATCTAACCAATTTAACCAATTCAGAATATTACAGTACTTACTTGTTTTACAATGTAAAATATATAATTTATGTAAGACAATAAAAATACTGTTAAAGTATTTAAAAGTTAACTAAAAATGTTTGTTTTAAAAAACATTCTAACTAAGTTATATAGAAAGTGAGAAGGATTTAGTTGATAAATTGCTAAAATTTGACATTTATTTATTGTTTTTTTATAAAATTTTTTAAAACTAAAAATAGTCTAAAAATTTATAAATATAAAGAGAAGTTTTTAAAAGTATTCTTGGACTATACTATATTTGATATTACTATAAATTGTTTAAGTCTCTGATTAGGCTTTTATCGCTTAACATACTTATTTGTTTTTGATAAAAACTATTAAATATTTTAGCTTACAAAATCTATTTGTAAGTAGGAGAAATAAATTTTATTGATATTTATTTATTATAAAACATGTTTAATTTTTAAGATAATAATTATAGAAAATTCGGTTTGAGGTTCATATGTATGTAAGTTGCTAGAATAGTTAAGAAGTTTATGAAAAAATAATATTTTTATAGGGATATTTGATTACTTAAAAAAATGGAAACATTTGTTGGTCAAATAAAATAAGAAATAGAACATTTAAATGATTTAAGAACAAATCTTTTTCAGAAAGAAAAATCAAATATTATGTAAATTAGGAACCAATATAAAACTACCCAAAAAAAGTAAAATAGTGGAGTTAATATCAAATTTAATTTTATGGATTTTCTTATCTTAAATACTAAATTTAATTAATTCAATATTGTTAATTTCGTAAAAGATTAAGTAGAGAATTTTAATTAAAAATCAAAATTTACAAAATTTCGATTGTTATTTTTCTTATTTTTAAGTGATTATGAATGATTTTGTTTGTTTGTTTGTTTGGATGGTTAGAGTTTTTAGGATTATTTATTTTTGCTAAATACTTATTTTAAGGCAACTCGAAAGCCTACTATGGTAATAAATATCTACCTGATGAATTAATTAATTAATACTAAAAAAGTAAAATGCAAATTAATTTAAAACCATTAACATTTAGCTTTTTGGTACATGTGTGTTAGTAATGTAAATGAAATTTGAGTATTTGAATTAATTAAGTAGTAAAGTAATTAATTACAGTTCTAATTAGCACATTATTATTATTATTATTTTTGCTCTACTATCTATCTATCGAATATAAACCCTTAAATTAAAAATTAGTGAGATAGTTAGTTTTCTATATTAAATTGTATGCAAACTATTTTTTTAGACTTCAAAAAAAAAGACCAAACAATATTTATTGCTACTTAATCAGATAAATAAATAGTATCCACAAGAAGGGAGAGATAAAATCCTAAATACTTTTAAAAGTTTTTCACATAAAATCAACTTCGTCTAATTTTGTATAAAAGCTGAATCATAAATGTCCTAATTGTCCTCTGGCAATCCTTCCAACGAAAGATCAATTCCTTAAGAAAGACCGAAAGATATGTATTCTAATTAGGGATTGATACCCTAATCAATCGTTGAAAAAAAGATACAGCAGCAAAAAAGGAACTTCCAAGAGAAACTAATCTAAGTAGCAATTAACATTCCTCAAGGGAATGAGGATAATATAACTTAAACTCATCTTGAAATTAACAGTTAAATATCTCCAATCACTCAGCAACACGTGACCATTGATTTCTAAAACCATGACTTAGAATCAAAGCCAAACGCCGTTTTCAGACAAAAGTCTTAAGATGATCCTTTTTCAGTCCCAGAGCTAATAGAGAATGAAAAAACAGCAGTAGCAAATCATTCTATTGAATGTAAATAAGAAAAAAATGTAATTGAAATTAAATTAATTTTGACTTTAAAGACTTGATTGATTAATAAAATTGAGTGTTGATTGATTCAATATATATAAATATAGAGAAAGAAAGAAATAAATAAATAATTGATTGCACTGATTTTTAATTGCTCTACTATTGTTTTTAATTTTACAAGTGCATGTTTTAGTGTAACAATTAAACAATTTTATTAAAATCTGAAGCACCTGCTAGTATAGTTTTATATGATATTACTAAAAATTATCAATTATTTTTATTAAGTCAAAAACCATTTCAATGATCGATCATTCATTTTTTCCTATATCAAGATATATTTTAATAATTACAAATAATTATTATTTTAATTGAATAGTCATTCCATAGCCTACCCAAGTTAAATATATTAATGAACGATAGCTAAGGTCCTAAGATTGTATTGAGTAAATTTGCCATCAGAAAAAACGAATACAGTATAACAAACAGTATCTAACAAAATGGAAATAGTAATCCTAATAAGAGCAACAATACAAATTCTAAAGACGAATAAATATACTCAGCTAGCTAGGGATGGATGCATAGCTAATTCAACCCATATCTAGACAATAATTTAAAAAAAGAAATGTATGTTATTCAAAAAATGGTAGAATTTTAATTTGATCCTGTGATAGCTAAGCAATTGATAGAATAAATTGATATGGAAAAATATTCTCGTGAAGAACTTATTTAAATGGTTTGTGAAACTATGCTTAATCACTGTGAAGAATAGAGAGTAGGAAAGAGAGTTATTGACAAAATAAACCAAAGCAAATTCGTGCATAAAATTGTTTCTTCAAAGACTATTTCTTAAGTAAACTAATCTGATAAATCACCAGTTGCTCCTTAATAAACTGTTTAATAACAGAATTTAAAGCCATAGCCAAAAGGAAATACATCTATTTTGCACTCGTTTAACAATAAAAATTAAAATATTCCTAGCAACAATAATATACTTTAGAAGGATGGGAGAGAAAGATAATAAAACATCAAGCAAGGCAAAAAAACTGTTTAGACAAGCTATATCTTTAATATGCCAATTACTCATAGCCAAAAGTATATCAAAATTGAAAACAATGTCCAGGACAAAGATGAAGGCAAGCTTTACACTTGCTAAATCTGCTGTTAAGAGTTTTTAGGCTCTGAATTTTATAGGCTGACTATATGTAGTCATAATTTCTGTATGCAATGTATATAAGCATATATTATTAACAAAATTAATTGCTCAGAAGTTTTAAATATTGTTTGTCCTTAAGTCTCCTGTGGAGCTAAAATACAAGATCTGTAGATTTAAAAAGTAATTTCACCTGACCTTTTCGAGAAATATATGAGATTTAAGAAAATAATGGTACTCAACTAAGATCCTAACATACGTTGTAAAGACATTTTAACTTATTTGTTTTAGAGCTTACAACTAACTCTTTTTTAAATCGAAAAATTATATCAAAAAATCTTATGTTACACTGAATTGAATAAGCATTTTTCTTATAATTAGATTGTTAACATTTTAATTAATTGACTAAATAAATAAATAAATATTTAGGGTGTCCTACAGTCGATTGCGATACTTACATAAGAGGAGACAAAGACAAAATTTGCTTACAATGTCCTAAATGTAATGAAAAAATGTGCTACCTTTGTAATAGTAAATGGCATGAAGGTATTTTAGCAATCATTTATTTATTTGTTAAGTAATAAATTTTTATGAATAATATAATTAATTAGGATCTTGTGAAGATGCGATGAACTAAAGTTTAATCCGAATGAAAGAAAAATTATAAATTAAACAATGTCCAAAATGCAAAGGAAGGATACAAAAATTTGATGGTATTTATTTTATCTATACTCAATATAATGCGTTAGATTGATTAAAGGAAAAAGAAAAAATTCAATGCTTTCACTAAAATTATTAAAATTTAGTTAGTTTTCACAAGATATTTATTTATTTATTTATTTTTCCCATTTTCCAATAAATTTAAATTTTATGCAAAGTAAAATTAACTAAATAATACCCTCATAAAGTACTTCTATATCTTACTCTAAAAATGATGATTTAGATAGAATAAAATTACTTTTTAATCAAATGAGCGCAAAGAAAAAAATTAATTTTCCCTTTTATTAAAGATTTTAAGTTTTCTTTTAACAAAAGGCTGCAACCATATGAAATGTTGGGTATGCTCCTATGAGTTCTGCTGGCTTTGTAAAAAACAGTATTCGAAATGGCATTATAGGTCTTGGAACATTGTAGGATGTCCAGGTAAATAAATAAATAAATCAACAAATATCATTTTAGAAAAAAAATAAAGACTAAATTTGTTTTTTTTAATAAAAAATAAAGATTAAATGTTTTCTGATGAAGCGCTTGAAGGATGTGACAAAACCTGTCTATTTTTAAGTTCAATTTTGAGATTAATTTTCTTGGCGGTTTTAGTGCTTTTAGGTGGTTCAACTGCACTTGTACTTTATGTCATTACAATGTTTGGTATGGCTTTGATCCTGCCAATTCTGATCGCTTGCAATTATTTTAAATCAACTATAGATTAACTATCAGATACGTCCAAATGCTTTATTTGGTTAGTTCTTTTTGCTTTAGGTGTCTTTTTATATCCATTATGGCTCTTTCTTTGCTTCATACCAGGTACTTGCATATTTGGACCTGAAATATATATGTATATTCTTTTCCTGATCTACAACGAAGATATGTATCGTTGATACCTACTATCGAACTTGTAGCTTATCCCTATAACATTTCTTTCTTTATCCTAAAACCTATTTTAGATACATAGAGACTTCCTATATATAATATATAAAACAATAAAATACCCATTAAAGTGATAATAATAAAAATTAGCATCTTAACTTCACAATAAATACCATAATTATTTAGCTTACAGATTAATTACAGCGATTAATAAATTAAATCTTGACTAAGAATACAGCAAATAAGCAATATTTGATAGATCATTAATGAATCTAATTTAAAAATCATACTAAAATTCCTTGCTTTTAAAATGCAATAAATATGTCCAAAACTAGACTCATTCAATTTCAAAAATAAAAAAAACAAAATATATTCTTAACTTACACTCTTATAAAATAAGCCATAAAAATTTGAGAAAGGGAATAAATAATTAATTATTTTACCACGTTATTTCAAAGGTAAATAAATTATGAGTAATTTGAATACTAAAAATCAATATTAGTGATTTATAATATGCATTAATAACTCATAAAAGTGGTTAGATTTGCGACTAATAACAAAAGAAAAAGAAATAAATTTAATAAAGATTCTCATGAAAAAATGTGTAATTAAAGAATTTTTTTCTTATATAAAAATAACCCTTTCTTAATGTTGCTTTTCCTTAATATATAAATTCCTTTAAATATTAATTAATATAATTTATTTCTATTTTATTTAGTATGAAATTATTTTTAAAATCCTATTCAATCAAATTTAACAACATTTGTAAAAATTTTATTACTAATATTCATAATAGCTATTAATTAAAGGTTAGATTAATAGTAACCTTGAAGTTTTATACCTGAAAATCTATTTGAATACCTGATATATTAATAATTTGTGATGTATATTTTACTCTCTACTAACTATTCCATTTCAAAAGATTTGCTTTTGGTATGAAAAGATTTTCAGTTTATTTTAAATACTTTCAAAGAAAACAAAAATATGATCACTCTGTAATTTACAAAATGCTTAAATCACTTATTCATTAAAATATAAAAAAAATTTGATATTAATAAAAAAGGTTACAGGATTTGATTAAATATTTGCATTACTTTGTAGCATTATTATAATTATAAAAAATTAATTTACAAAAAATTAAATATATATTACATACACATTTAAGCACTTATTCAGAGATACTGAATTTATAATTATTATTTAATGAAGATATCTTAGTAGGTAAATAAATAAATAAATCATCATTATGTAATTAATATCTAATTAATTCCAATCCATATACTTTAATTTTTAATGAAAATGAAAGTATGTTATTTAGTTTATTACTTCTTAATACTTTATTTTTTATGTGAATTTAGGAAATCTGCAAATTAACATAATATTTATTACAATCACGCTTTGGTTATATCTAATTAGCATTATCAAAGAATTACTTAAACCCATTAGATATTAAAAATTTACAAATTATTCTTCTTATAGAAATTTGATTTGATAAAAGCAAGATTTTCAGAAAATTAAATAAAATTTCAGATAACTAGTAACAATCATTCATTAGTAATAAATAAATAAATAAATAAATAAATACAATACAATACAATACAATACAATACAATATTAATAATATTAATGAGCAAATAAATAAATAGAATACAATATTAATGAGCAAATAAATAATTCTTTAAGTTATTTAATTTTTTAAAAGAAATTAATTTTAATTTTTTTAACAAGTGTAAAATGAATACCTAATTTTATAAAAAAGTTTTATATTTTTTAATGGATGGATATTTTTATGTAGTTAAAAAAAACGCAATTATGATTTTGAATTTGCTTACCATAATTATTGATATTATTATCCACAAAAAACTGAATTAATTTCAAAACTTTATTAAAAAAATTGTATCTCTTTTTACAATCTTCTAAATAATTTTTTCAAAGCTTTATAATAATAATTTTACTTAGACGAACAATTCAGCTTTTTAAAGACTATTTTGATTCGTTTTATCATAAATGTTGAGATAAACTGTTGAGGGAGATATTAATTCAAATGAGAATTTAAATGGCAAGTATCCTGTTAATTACCCTTAGATTTCAATTTTCATCAAATCTGAAGCTGATTAAATAAAATCGATGAGGAATCCTCCTTCCTTACCTTAAACTTATAATTTAATAAAGGGGTAGCATTTGAACTAGTATAATTAATAATACAATGGACCTAGTGCTGATCTAAAGGAGCTCAAGTAAAAAGAGTTTTCGTATTACTTGCTTCAAAATAAAAATACAGATTAAATATTAGAATTTGTAAAATTAAAGGCCTTCGAAATGAATTTAGATGAGAAAAAAATAAATTAAATATGTTAATAATCTTTTAATCAATTTGAACTGAGTCGCGAAGATCCAGGAAGCAGTCTAATGTAGATATTTTTAAATATTTATTTCAAAACAGAGTCTACAGTTGCTAGTAAAACTGAGAAAGAATTGTAATAAAAGAAAAATAAATAGCTTCTTAAGTAAAACTAAAATAATACTTAAATTACTAGCTAAATTAGAATAAAAGTACCTTCTTAATTCTAAAAATCAACAGACCATTAGTATGACCATGCTACTTTTATGAAAATCCCTTTAGGTTTGAGCTCTAACATCAATGAAAGTAATAAAATTATTAAACTAAAAGGACTAAATGTTAACGAAAATTAGCTGATTATGTGCAACATTTGTTGTGAAGAATGGTTTTATTCATAATTTTTTCGTATTTCTATGCAGTGCACTCATATATTTTGTATCCATTGTGCATAAAACTATCTAATTACCTAAATCAAAAACTCAAACGTGTTCTGTATCAAATGTCCACAAGAAGACTGCAGTGTTTATTTTTATGATCATGAAATATTTCTAGCTTTAAACTAAGACAGTTACTACATTAGAAAATACATGACTATAAAGAAACTTAAAATTTTAAATTCTAATCCAAGAACAAGATGTAACTCATTTATATTATTAATATTTAAATTAACATTATTTTATTTACCTGCAATAATAAAAATAAACAAGGGTCCTCACAAAGCCTTATTTTAAACCCCCTTTTCTTATATTTTTTAGATATGCTACCTTCATTGCTCAAAAACACTATCTATTCGAATAAAATTAATCTAATTTTTATTTTATTTTTAAACTTTTACTCAATTTTTTTATTCTGTGTATTAATAGGCATTTCAAATCAAACAATAACAGATTATAATGAGAAAGAAAAATTTAGATCTTTTTTTTTAATGCATAAAATATAAAAATGAATTTAACCTATTTTTGATAAATAATAAGTTTTTAATTTAGTTTATGCAGGTGTTAACAAATTTTTAATTAATATTTATGTAATTATAAATTGAAAATGATTTACTATAAAATTATAATAGGGTGTATAAATCCTAAATGCAACAACTATATAAAAGCTGTATAAGAAAGTGCTCTTACCTTTGGTATAACCAAAACACATGTAAGTTTGGAATAATTTTATGAATGTGACTAATGCAAAATGAAATTTTGCACAGTTTGTTATTATCCTGCTCATTTGGGTAAATTATTTAATTTTTTAATGCTAAATTTATAACTTAAAAAATGTTCATTTTTTCTAAAAAGATAAATCTTGTGAAGAAAATTATAAAATAATTTATGAAGAAATTAAAAAATAGAGAAGATAGAATAAAATGAGGCTATTTAATTAATTTTTTTTGAGAATATTTGGTACACTTGCAAAGATATTTCTATACATTTTATTTTATTTAGCATACCTAGTCTTTTGCATTCCTTTCAGCCTAATATACCCATAGTTTTTATTTTATTAAATTTAAAATAATAGAAGAGAGTAATATAATAATGTATTAAAATCAATAATATACGCATTTTTGACAATACTCAGCTTAATTTCTTTTCCATTAACCTATTTAATGCTAATAACAATTGGCATCGAAATCTACTTTTTACCTCGAGTTAAAAAGATTTTAAAATTATAAAAAAAAGAATATAAAAATAGCTAAACTTACTTAGTAAAAAAGGTGTGAATTTATGTATACAAAATAAAAAGAAATAAGATTTTCTTTTTAAAATTAATCAATTAATAATTTATACAAATTATAAAATAAAAATGTCAATAATGAATTTAATTTATTTAACAAAACTTATATCATTTGTTTATTTATGTCTGTCTATGTATGTGTTTATGTGCGTCTTTCATTTTTAGAGAGAAAAAATGAAGGAAATTCAAAATATACTTGTAAAATTATTAGCCTTTAAAATTGTGTAAAGAGTAAGTTATTAGATTTATTTTGAAATAAGAAAATGTTTTGAGAAGAAAATTATCTAATAATTAATTATAAAGGAATAAAATAGATGAAGAAATTACCACTCATTTAGATGCTAACAATTTATTTATGGTAATTGATTTATTCCTTAAATTAGTTTTAGTTGTTTTCAATAAACAAAAAAACTTATGAATATCTTTATTTTATATCTTTGTTTGTCTTATGAAAATATTACACAAATAAATTATAAGTTGATTAAGATATTTTAAATTTAATAAATTTGATTTTTTAAAATGATGATTGTATTTATCGCAAATAGAATATTGAAAACAACAAATTTCTATAAGAAATTGACTCATTTTTATAATTACAAGTAAGGATATCCAAGAAGAAAATAATAAATGACAAATAGAAATAATTTATGCTAAATTTTAGCTAAGTTTATTTTACTATAGAGAAAATTTTAATTACTTTTAAGTAAATATAAAATTGAAAAGACTGAGTATTAAATTTAAAATAATATATATGTTTATTACTATGTATGAATCGAATAAACAGATTTAACTACTGGTTAATTTTATTTTTTTTTTGAGAAAGTAATGAATTTTAGCAAACCTTACATATGATTAATTAATAAATCGCTATACATGTTTTTGAGTTAAGTTCGAAGTATATGATTTTTCTGACTGACTGATTGATTGATTGTTTTTTTGTTTGTTTTGTATGAATTGGTTTAACAAAAAATATATAAATAGATTTTATACCTACAACCTTAAAAATAAATAATAAAGAAAGCAATCTCCAAATTAAGTTTATTTAGAAATTGATTGATTGATTTATTTATTTAGGTTTAATTTATTCAAATGAGCTACAAAGTTAACAATAACAATAATGATGGCAATAACAATAGCGAGATCGTCATAGATATACCAGATGAGCGCAATGCTCTGAATGTGAAAACTCAGGCTACTAAAAACTCTAATCCTAAAAATCAGTTTAATAATTTTACAGACTTAGAGACAAAAATGAAGATCTTTGAGTAGTAGATAATTGCAGAAGGTATCAAGAAATAAAATTCGCAAAAATAAGATTTTTCAGCAAACCCAAGTCCTATGAACAAGCAATATACACTCACAAGACAACATTCAGAATAATACAGACCATCACCAAATAATAGTGATTATCTTAAGGATAGGGAAAGATAAATATCTTTACAAAAAGCAGCACCATATATGAATTAGTTCAAAAATCGTACAGAAAAAGCAGTTCAAGAGATTAATGTAAAAGACTAAAATATAAGCTATTAAAGATTTGATCCCTCATTAGACAATAAAGAGAAGAAAGTACTATTTTTGAAAATAAAGATTCTTGAAATGTAGTTAAATCTTCAAAGAGCTGAAGATTATATTGACAAATAGCTTCCTATAAACACTTCATCAAGAGAGTAATTAATGGAAAACCTACTAGACTATCTCCTTAGTGAAGATTAAAAGGAGAAAAATATGAGAAGAAGTATCAAGTCTCCAAAGAAAAAATAAACACAAAAACCAAATCCATTAATATTTCAAGGACTCGCAAACATAAACATGGCTATCAGTTAGGAGCTAGTCGATTGCACCCCTAAAACAGGGTTGATAAAGTAGAATCAAATAGTCAATTGTAATATATGCTGCTAAGATAAACTAGGCACTCAAACAATATAACTATCTTCTTTTTGGTAACTTGACAAAAATTTTACACCTTAATTAAGAATTTTTAAATGCATTTAGCTAATTAATTTAAAAAGAAATAATTAACAAGTAAATATAAAAATAAATAAATAGATTATTACATAGATTTTATTTTTATTAATAAAATTCACTCAAATATTTTCTTAAATAACTTACTTTTTTTTAAATGATTTTCGGCACAAATTCATTATTATTTATTGCATTGCAAATTCTTGTTCTCATTATTATTATTATTATTAAAATAGCACTCATTCTTTTTGTATTTCTTGCTTAGAAAAATATATCTCTTTTAGAATTTAAGATGGGAAATGCACACATATTTACTGTCCTCAAGCCAATTGCAAGAGTGTTCTCAATGATAAAGAAATTTAAAAAATAATATCGAAAAGTTCTTTTCAGTAATATTTAAAAATAAAGAAGCTCTCCCTCATAAATAACGACAAACAAATTAGATGTATGCTCTTTTTTACTAAATGAACATTTATTCATTATAATTTTTATTTTAAATCAGTTTTAAAATTTATTTTTTTTATTAAGATTGCTAGAAAGGAAATTGTGATAGTTATGTAAAATTTAGTCCAGGAACTTAGATAGAAGCTTGCTAATATTGCAATTCAAAAGTATGCTATGATTGCTACATGCCAGCTCATAAAGGAAGTAAGAATTAAACAATCTAAACTATTTAACTATTTATTTAACATCAGTGACATGCGAGCAGAATATGGAAAAAAAACTACAGGCTTTGATACACGCAATAAGGAAAGGAGATTGTCCTTCCTGTAAAAATAGTATAATGAAAATATAAGGTAAAAATAAATATAATTTTTAGAGTTTTATAAAATAAATATTTAATAATTAAAAGTTGAAAATGCAGTCAGATGTCCAACTTGTAATTTCGACTTTTGTTGGCTTTGCAATAAGAAATATAGCAAATATCATTATCGATTTTGGAATTTTTGTTGCGGTTGTCCTAGTAATTTATTCTTCATTTCTTATTTATTTATTTATAAATAAATAAACAAATCTAAATATTTAAATTTATTAGATATGCTAGAAGCAATTGAGTAGCCTACGTTCATGAATAAATTTAAGTATTTCCGTAAAGGTCTGTTTAGATTTTTTGTGATTTTGCTTATGAGCTTAGTTATGCTATGTGGTTATGCTGTAAGTCTGATTATTTTGCCTATATTTGTACCAGGCGGAGTATTCTTATATTATAATTACAAGACTTTCGAAAAGCGTTCAATGTTTGAATAATTTTTAATAGGTGTAATTTTGCTAGCAATTGGAATAGTAGGTTACTTTATTTGGCTTATTTTATGTATATTCCCAGGCACTCTAATGGCTTTAAGAAAGTTTTATTAGATATCTGAGGCATATCTTGAATCAATAGGTTATAAATGAAGGCAAAAAATGTCAAATCTCAAAATATTTTATTTTTCCTCTTTCATAACTAACATAAGTAATAAATCAATTCATGGTGTTTAAAAAAATAACATATTAAAAAAGTAAAAAAACTCAAAAATTAAAAACAATTCTTAATTAGCTCCAAAATATAATTTAATATCGCCTATCTACCTATTAATTTAATTACCTACCTATCTACCTACCTTCCTACCTAGTTGCATACCTATTTTGCTCCTAAATTTATATATTCATTTATTTATTTAATAGAAAATTTACTTTTTGAAAGTAGATTATAATCTTTAAAATTAAATTATATATTTATATTTATTATTATTCACTTGTAAATTATATGTATCATATATATATATATATGTATTTGTTTCTTTCTTTTGTTTCTTAACAATTTTAATAAACAGGGAAAATTTCTAATTAAATATTAATGCTTATTCGCTCGCTTTAAAGGTTCATGTGTTAAATGTGTTATGTATGACTCAAACCACCTTTTTTTTATTAGTAATTTTAATTATAAGGAACTTATTTTTTCTAAATTTTATAAAAAGACTTTAATTTATTTATTTGTGCTTTGTATAGGAACATTTATGATTGATACTTTTTGATTTTTTTTTTAGGTAGTTAGTCAAATAATTAACGTTAATTATTTGATAGTTTTAAATTAATATTTCAATATTTTTGCTGTGTTTAATTTTTTTTAATTTTTCTTAAAATATCTTGCAAATTAATTTAGAGACACTCAATTTGTATTTGGCTATTAATAAATAATATTCTGAAGAAAAGATTTATTCAATAAAACAACTTGATAGAATTTTTCATTCTAACACAATTTGTTAAAGAGATAATTAGAATTTATTATAATATTTAAAAGGCTTGATTACGATTAATAATTTTAAATTATTTTATTTTCTATTAAATAAACATCCATGAAAAATCCATTTGACAGCAATAAATGTAAGATAGCAGTTTGATTTTTCCATTCAATTTAACAAATAGTCTTAAACATAAATAACTTCATCAATTTTATAATATGGCAGATTTTATGAACGAGAATTTAAATTTGGCTTTTGAAAATATTTCAAAGCCTCAGCTGTTATTTAACGATAGCTATTTTACTGTCAGTAACAATACTTAGTTGTAGAACCAATCGCAAGGCTAGCTTGTTGAAAAAATTAAAGCAATATAAAACAATATCATTCCTTACAACGAAATAAGATTCTTTTAAAATCTAAGAAACATACAAGCATGTTTTACTTTTGACTTCGATAAAGACCAATCCAAATCATTGTACATTAAAACAGACTAAGAATTTAACAGAATGTTAGAGCTCGTAAAATCTTTTATTAAAAAAATGGTTTTTATTTACAGATTTAAAATAATTTGAAAAGTTGAGAAATGCTGGAGTCATATGCTGGGATGTGCATTTCAATACTTACAGAAGTTTCTATGGTTTTGTTTGCTTTCTAGAAGTACTTAAATTGTTGCCAATTAATCATAAATTTGAACATTTTTTATAAGATTCCTAATAAAATATTTACTTAGGATGATATATTTTTGTTTAAAATACATTTGATATCTTGATAGATAGATCTACAATACAAACAAATACTTGATTTTAATATTCATTTTTATCATTAAAGATTAGTACAATTGATCAAGATTATATCATAGATTGCTTAAGTTTGAGAAATGAAATACATAGATTAAAGGAAATCTTTTTGGATAAGTAGATTGTTAAAATAACTTTGGATTTACAAGAAAAAATAAATTGGCTTTACAGAGATTTTGGAATCTTAAATATCGTTAATAGCATTGATTTAAGTCTTTATTTAAAAGAATTAAATTTGCCTTCAATAATTTCTTATTTGTGTGGGACACTGTTGAATTATCCTTTTCAAAAAATACTGCAAAACTTTGATTATCGTAAAAGACCTCTTAGCTTAAATGAAATTAATTATTTAAGAGCTTTTAGTTACTTTCCTTTGAGGATACTATCTATCCTAACAAATAATATCCTTTCTATTGAAAAAAGTAAACTTGAAGAGCTATTTAACAAGAGTTAATTGGCTTCTTGTTTGAGCTTAAAGCAACTAGAAAATCTCCTTTAAGAGAACTTAATTGAGAAACACTTTGAAATGTTCTGTATTGATAGAAATTACAACGAACAATAACAATATTTTTTGAGAAAAATTTTGAAGTGGAGAATACAGAGAGCCAAATTAGAAGATGAAAGTGTTGAATATATCTTCCCTGCATGCATAATTGAGAAATTTATTTCAGTGTATCCAACTTCTTCATAATAAGTGTTAGATGAATTAGTAAAATATCAGCAAGAAATAAACCTCTAGCACTATGAAACATTTTACTCTTTTTTTGATGAGAGAAGCTATCAAAATTACAAAGAAAAGAATAGATTTAAACATGATACAAAATAATAACAACAATAAACCTATTAAATATAGCAAACTTAGCAAATGCAATCACCAACTCCCAAAAAAATGCAATCTATCCAAGGAAGCACTAACTAAACTCCTTAATTGCAAAAAGAGAATTCGCAGCAATAAAACTAAGAATCCCCTCCTCTTAGTCCAACTTCTTTATTAAAAGCAGTTAACTGGGTGGTAAAAAATCCGAACCATGAAGGAACACCAGAAAAAAATTACAAAAAATTGATAAGCAGATAAAGTTTATCACCTTCGATACTAAAATATTCCCCATAAAATGGAGTTGATTCGCCTTAACATGATGTAAAAAATTTATTTGAATAAGTTTAAGATTGAAAAAGTTTTTTTATTAAAAGAATATCATGAAGGATTTATTATGTGTAATCAATGAGAGAAACTCTAAACAATCCTAAGTTAAATTTTAGCATTCTGTTTAGAGAGAACTGAGTAGAATAAATAACATGGAGGACACAAATGATACTGAAGAAGAGCAGTAATAAAAGGAAGACACTTTCTAAATGAACCTATTAAATAAGTTATAATCAAAATAATACTACATAAAAAACTCTAAAGAAAACCTTCCAAACAATATTACAGATATCTTTGAATTAGCTAATCGTAAAAGAAAGAAAAATAAAGATAAAAAGAGAAAGAAAGAAGAAAAGTCACCACAATTAACTGCTTAGGTAAATAAATAAATAAACACACACACATTTCAATAAACTCTTTTTTTTAATTTAATCATTTTATTTATTTGTTTTATTAATTTAATAATTTATTTTACATTAAATTCTAAAAGAAGGAACAAAAAGAAAAAGAAAAATTAAATATAGATAAGCTTCTAAAAGACTTGAATTGGATTTGAATTTAAATTATAAAATTTTACTCTAGCAGCTGTAAAACAAAACAAAACAAACAACTAACTAATAATCAAAACATTTTTGAATACAAAAACTTTTAAAATAAGAATTAATTAAATAATATATTAGATAAAGCTAAATAAATAAATAAATGAAATTATTATCTTAAATTATTTTTAATTAAAAAGTACTAAAAATTTATTCCAACATTATGTTTTTATATGTAAATATTTATAAAATGCTACTAAATGATTAAAAGAATAAAGTGTAACACTAAAAATATTTATTTAATCTACTAATTTGCTTTATTTTTCATAAGCAACTCACAAACATATCATCTATGTATACTTTTTAGCAATCCCATTCTTTTTATAATAGGAATATTTGAATATTTTTAGGAGTTTTAATTTTTTTAGTATAAGATTTAAACGAGAATTTATTTAATTATAAATGACGAAAAGTTATAAGATATACTTGCAACTAAATAAATTTCGTAAAACAGTACATTTATTTTATTTTATCTTTAATGTTTAATCTACAAGTTTATATAAAATATTAATAAAAGTAATTAATTGAGTTTAAAGTATCAAGCTATCTAAAATGAAAAATTAAGTAATTGTTCTGATGTAAATTATAATCAAATCACTATAGAATATAAAAAATGAATATAATTTTACTGATAAAAATGTTTTATAAATATTGAATGCTAATCACAAAGGGTTTATAATAAAAATATAAAAAATAACTAATAACTAAATTGCAATTAATATGAAATATAGGAAGAAATTTATTTTTCCTTTTAAAATAATAATGGAAATATTTTATTATTAGAATTATTTAGATTTATAAATTAGAATAAAATCATCTTTTTGGTCATAATTTTAATATATATATAAATATATATATTTATTTATCTTTATGTAAAAAGAAAGGTTGTCAAGTAATTTACTTAAAGTTTTATTTATCATGAACAAAAAGACAACGCCTAACTAAAAACTTGTTTGTTTAAAAATCTTTTAAAAATAAGAAATTTATTTAAAATATCTTTAAATTATATTTTGTAAATAAATTAATAATCTTTTTTTTGTTTTTAAATAAAATCAAATCACAAATTCAAAAAATACAAAATTTAGAGTTTGATTAATATTTTGTAAACATAGAATCATTATCAATAAACAAACAATAAATAGTTAGTTAGATAGATAGATTGATCGAGAGATAATAAAATAAACCAAAAATATTTGACTTGGAGGAGAAAATGAGTTTAGTTTAGAGAACAATATAGGCTTATGAGAAGGATGAAAAGTAGAGCTCATTATTTTGTTTGTTTATTTTCTTTATGCTCTTATGTATTCTTATTCAGTGATTAAGCAAATTTTATTTAAATTAATAGCAAAAACTTCGAAGAGTTCATTGAAAAAAGTTTAAAAGCATTTAGAGAAGAAGGTATGAAATTCGAGTAGTAAAAGGAGTGCAATTCGTAATAAATGTCTGATAACTAAAGAAACGAATGGGAAGAAAAAATAGCTAGTTTGGAAAGTCTTTTTAAAATGTTTTGTGTGCTTAAAGGTTAAAAGAGAAAGAAATCAAGAGTCATGTATAACATTTGTGAGCATATTTATGGAAAGAATTTACTAAAAAGAACATTTTGGTGCTGGAAAAGCCACCAGAAGAATGAAGAATATCTGCGTTAGATGGAAGAGTAAGCAGATGTATTTTATAACAGAAGGACACTAACAAAAATAATGAGAAGTTGGTAAGATGTTGTAATTGATGAGAATAAAACAATAGTTAAAAACACTGCCTTAAAGAAAACTGAGTTAGAATTGCAAAAAAATCAAAAGGAGTTTGAAAACCAAATTAAGAGTTTGGAAATTTTGCTATAATAAAAAATATTAACACTGAGACATGAAGAATAACAATACAACATTTTATTCTAAAAATAATAGCTCCTTTCATAAAATTAAAAAATTGAATTTGATTGATTGAATGATTTATTTATTTATTCTTTATTTAGCTATCTTTTATCAAAGAAGAATGAATGAATATCTAATTAAATAAATAAAGCAAATATATAATATACAAACACTTGATCAGTTAGCAATATATCATACATAGAAAGAGATAAATAGCAAATATATATATTCATAAATATATAGATAAAAAAGATAGATAGATAGAATGGTGCCTTATTCATTATAGAATATTTTATTATCAGAAATAATTTAGTAAGTAAATAAATAAATAACTTTATATCACTTTGTATATAGTAAAAAAAATAAATTTTCATTCATATAAATTAAATCAGCAATCAACTCATGCACTAAAATTAAATCAAGAGAATAAAAAATAAATATTTTTCTTCAATAAATATTATTAATATAATAATATATAATATAATATATTAACACTTCTTTAATTAGCATTATACGATATAAATAATTAAATAACAAAAGTATCTATCACTTATAAATAGATAGATAGAATGAATGATGTTTTATTCATTCAAGAAAATTTTATAATCAGAAATAATTTCGTAAGTAAATAATTTTAAATTTCTTTGTATAAAATAAAAGAAATAAATTATCATTCATAACAATCAATTAATTCATTAAAAAAAATGAATCAAAAAAACAAAAAATATATTTATTTGATAAAAATAATTATTTTTACTAATTTTAGGTTTTATTATTTATTTATCTTGAATTTTCTAAAATAATTTTTGAAGAGGCATTGTTGTTCAAAGTTTTTTGATTTAAAATATGGGAAAAAAATAAGTTAAGAATATATATAAAATGTAAAAAAGAACTAACTTATTTATTTTGGTTTTGTTTTCTTGTTTTTTTTTAATTGATTATTCAGTAGTAGAAATCAATATTGTTATTTTGTTTAATCTTTTAAGTATATATAAATACATATATTATTTTAATAATCAAAGAAAGAAGGAAATTTTTATTTTTGTTAGAAGGTGGGAGGTGAAAATGAACAAAATAAATAATTTGAAAAACTAGTTTTTCAAAAAAATAAAACAATTTAAACTCAGGAAAGACAAAAATGATAAGAAAAAGAAGAAAAAGGAAGGATAAATAAATTATTTTTTAATGAAATTTAAATAAAACCAGTTAGAATAAGCATTCAGAAATAAGTAGAATTAAAAGGTAATGAAATCAATTGCTTTATTTTAATGATACGAAAAATAATAACTTAAATTTTATTCAAAACAGCAAATCACTTTAATCGTTATTTTGTTCTTCTGGAATGTATCCTTCATCATTTTAACTAGCAGCTACTACTAATTCAATTTCTTATTTTTTATAATAATCCTCACAAATTGTGTCTTCTTAGGCACTCTGTATTACACTCAGAAGTTTTAATAAATAGCTTTTTTTTTATCAAATGTAATTAATTCCTTTATAATATGTGAATCTCTTAGATAAATAACTTCTTAAACTTCTACAGAGAGCTGCAACAGTTGGCTTAGCTTCTTTTTTTATCAAGTAAATTAATAAATAAATAAATTATTTATTTCATTTTTTAAATTATTTCTAGAGTAAGCACGCAAAAATTCTACTTACTTATTAGTAAACTTCTAAATTTAATTTTATAAGTTAGTTGACTGGAATAAAACATAATTTTTATTAACAATATAGTAATTATTCTTTAACGTGTAGATAAGTAGATCATATAGTTTTTTCATAAACACTATGTCTACATTTCTCAGTGTAGTAATTATATGGTAGTTTCTAGATTACAAATATGTCTGGATACTTTTTTATTTGTTTTGTGCATAATCTTCACTTGATTACCTATTTCAGTTTACACATCGGAGATAATATTATAAGAAGTAAAAAGAAAAAGAATGGAGAGAAATCATTCAATAAATCATTCCTCTTAAAATAATTGTCAGTGAGTTTGACTACAGGACTATGAGATTAAATTTGTTCGACTGTAGTACTGCTGCTTAGTCTTATATTAAGCAGCAAGAAGAAGATGAAGATAAATATAATAAATTTTTAGAAAGAGTAGTTTTAAATATCGACACTTCCAAAATCAAATTCAAATAATTCCAAGAACAAGAAAACCTAAAAAAATACCTCACCCATCGATTTATAATGGTTGACGATTTCATCAAAAAGAATGAAAAAAAAATAATGAAAAATGCCTCTAACAGAATAAAAGTCGCTTCCTAAGATATCCGAAAGCAATTTACATTTAAATAATAAGAAACTTTCCAAGAGTAAATTATTATTTTTCTAAATATAAACAAACTTACTTTTTTGTCAATCTTCTTTATTTTTCTATCTAAGTTTATTTATCTTTGCTAACAACCTGAGTCACTTTTCTTAAAGGTTTTTAAAAACTCATCCACTCCAATAAAAATATTCTTTGCTATTGGCTCTAATTATCTTTTCTGTTATTCATAAAAAATAAACTCAGTTTTTTAGATTTTGCACAACTCAGTTTATTCTTGATAATAATAAAACAATTCTATTTTTTAGATAAATAAAAACAACAACAAATTATTTTCTAGGAATATTCCAAACAAAAATAATTTAATTTAATAATTAATCATCTTAATCTTATTCATAACATGAAATGAATAACTCTTTTTTTATTAAATTCGAAAAAATAATATTTTTTGATGAATTATTTACAATTGATTGAAGAAAATTTAAGTAAATTTTAAATTTTAATAGGAAAAAACTAAATACAAAAATAAAGTCAAAGTTGGAAGTAAAAAGACTGACTTAACTTGACTAAGAAGCAATGGAACTAGCCCAACTTGACGAAATGGAAGGTTATTATTTTTTTGGAGAAACTGATCAAGATATCGATCCTAACAAGAAGAAAAAAATAAAAATCAAAGTAGCTTATTATAGTGTGTAAAATACCAAGCCTCTCTTAGTAATATCTATAGAAGACGAATCACTTAGGGAGGATATTGAATTTTATAAAGAAGAAAAACAAAAAAGCGATTAATTTATTGCTAACATGCTCGAAAATTATAGGACAACTTTAATAAATAACCTAAACTATTTTAATTAAGTATTTGAATTTTATTAAAATGAAATTGAAATATTACGTTTATTTTTTTTTTTTTAAAGGGCTGGCTTGTGGTAAAAGCTAATTTTGAGGAGATTTTTAGAAATAGCTTGATTTTGGTTAATAAATGCTACGCAGTCTATGATTATTTTTTATTTTTGAAGATTAGAAGGTAATTTAATGGAATCTCCCATCGACAAACTATGGGGTTGTTCAAAGTTGAGGATTTCAATTTTGTGGATACACTCAAGTATTTGATTGATATTTTTCATAATATAGATATTGTTTGTGAGTTGGATAACGACACATCGATTTGTAATGATTAGAAGAGAATCAAACAAGTATTAATATCATTAATTACTAACTGCTTAAAAATAACAATTAGTGCTATTTCTATTAATATTTACGAGAGCTATTTAGATGACATACAAGTCATCTTTGTGCGATTTGCTTTTTACAAAGAAGAAGATAATAATTTAGAGGGTATTTTAGGTAATTAATTTTAAAATGATTTTTTATTTCATTTAGTCAATTATAAATTAATTAATTAAATAAAGATCACCTAGATGGAACTGATAGCCCTTATGTCAATTAAATCGAATAAATTGTTTTGTAAGAAATTATTAGATGCATAGGACCATTTGAGTTAAAAGCTTAGGTTTCTCCTAGTGGCTTTTGTGAGATAGAATTTGCTATATATGGAGATTTAGCTCGTTTCAAAAGAATTTTTTAAATTTAAGATTTCGATGAAGATATGATCTCAAAATAATAAAATCTAGAATTAAAAGCTAAATAAACCTTCAAAGCTGAACACTTTTAAAGAAAAAATAAAAGATAAAACAAAACATTTTATGATTTAAAAAATTTTAACTAAATGGAATCAATTGTTGGTATACCTAGAGGTTCAAAGTTGATATCGAAAGAAGTTAAAAATTAACTTCAGGCTTTTTTAACTTTGAAAGATTAGAAATGCAATTCTGAAGATGATAGCCAAGATTAAGAAGAAGGGGAGGAAAAATAGCAATCTTCTTCAACATCAAGTATACAAGATGAAGGAACAACTAAAATTGACAATAAATAAGAATAAGGCTCATCAGAAAAAGCTATCCAAAAGTTATGCACAGTAACATAAAATGAAGAGGAAGAAGATGACGATGAGAAAGTAGATAATGTAGAAAATTTAGATTAACAATAATATAATCATCAAGCAACTAAAAGCAAGAATCTAGAATAATAAGATTCTCAATCAGTTAAAGCAATTGATTATGAAAATGAATCTATTAAAAGTTCTAATTAGAAAAAAAGATAAATTAACAATCATTTTATAGACGAGTTTAAAAAATCTAAAGAAATAACTCTAGCAAGATTAAATACTTAAACATAATCTTAGAATGGTTACATTACTCTTTCTAACGATACTTCTAGCTTCGGAAGCAAGAAATAACTTTAAAATAATTCAACTTTAAAACATTCAAAAGATGCTATGCCGTTTATTCCTAAGAAATTTACATCTTCTTTTACAACATTAAGATAATCAACAGTTGAGGAAGTTGATATAAGTGATAAGAGACACCATTCTCGATAACACTCAAGAAACAAATCTTAAAAAAACAACTATCTTCAAGATTCTTAAAGGTCTATAAGCTAGTTAAATGGCTCATACAATTTATATACTGAAACGCTTAGAGGCGATAGGAGCAATAAAGGAAATTATTTAGAATCTAGTTAAAATTCTATTTATGATTGCCATATTAAAAGTAGAGATGATAAGTAAGGATTTAATAGCTCAAATAAATTTGATCATTCATCGCGTACTATTTAAATAGAAAATGATGATGAAGAAAAAGATTTAAATGCTTGTAATTTAACATTTTAGATAGACAAATCCGATTTCGAAATTAATGATTTTATACCTCGTTTAAGATGAAGGTAACTAAATAATTAGCAGCTTAAAACTATTTTAATTTAATTAATTAACTCTAACAATACAAAAATTTATTTTAAAATACTTTAAATAAAATAATGATAAATAAATAAATACTTTTAACGATTTTCCTATACAAAAAAAGAAAAATTTATTCTTATTTTTGTAAAAAAAATATATTTAATTTATATTTAGCTCATTCTCATAATTATATATTGTAAATTTTAATATCTTTAACAATGAAATTATTTAATTATTCATTACCTAAATAAATAAAAAACTAATTGTTTGACAATAAAAATAATCTTTTGGAGTTGGAAAAATTTTTTAAATATAGATTATGGTTAGGTTAATTGGTTATAAAACTTATTTAAATTGTAAACATTCTAATAAAATGTTTTTAATTCATTTATAATTAATATTTATTAAAAAACTTAAAAAGTAAATAAAATGTTTAAAAGAAATTAACAAAAAAATCTTCATGTTTAATTAACTTTTTAAATTCTTATGTTTATTTGTTTGTTTGTAATAACTTTTTTTCAAAATATTTATTTTAGAAAACTTAAGATTTACCATTAAAATAAGATTTGCAATCTAATTAATTAATAAATAAATAAATTAATCAACCAATCAATTACAGTTTAAGAAAAATAAATTTGTTATAAATATTGTTAAAAAGTATTTTAAAATAGATTATAAAAGTTAGTTTAATAGCCATTTTAAAGAAACTTAATTCTATTTAAATTTATAATTTTTTGTTTATAGGAGAAATTAAAAATAAAAAATTGTTGAATCTTTCTTTAACTTTTTAAATTTCTATTATATATCAATTTAATTGTTTGTTTTTTACTTAACAAATAATATTTATTTTAGATAAGCAATTAATTCTAAAAAATACAAAATATTGAAATGCCTGATAACAGAAATATAGCTCTAGCATGGTGTGTAGTTTCTCTACCTCTTGCATTAGGGGTTATTATAGAAGTTTATTAATACTTTTTGACATGGCGCTACATTAAAAAGAAATATTCGCACAAGAAATACAATTATTTGAAGATTCATTTAAATTAAATGTATCAAGATTCAATATTTAGATTTTTAGATCCCAAATCTTCCAATTAAGTACAATAAGAAAATGAAGACTCTAGTTAAGATAGTGAAAATGAAAGCAATGAAGAGGATTAAATATACACTAAGTACCCAGATACAGGGTAAAGTTGCTTTGCTTAGTAGAACAGCAAAATTAACAGAGATCAGCTATCTTCAGCTGGCGAATTGAGTGAATAATTAATAAGATAAAATGAGTAATAAGATAACAATGATAACAATAATAATGATTAGCAGCAATAAAGTTGGTGTAATAGTATTTAAATTGGCAAAATTTTATTCTTCACAACTTACTTCTCAAATATATTGACAGTTCCTCTTATTTATAGTCTTACTCTTATTAAAGATACTCAAAAAGAGTAAGAAGAATATTATCAATTTATTCTTTAAGCTCTCGCTTTGATGTTTTTGCATTTTTTGCTTAATTTTACAATGTTTTTATATGGAAGTATAATAACTGGATAGGGTATTTTGCTGTTAATTTATTTGAGATAATAAGAAAATTAGATTAAGACTTACATCTAGAGTTGCATTTATCGCTCTTTCTGTTTTTCTATTATATTTTTGACTGCTTAGATATTTTTGTTTGCACTCATGCTGGTTTAAGGCCATTATATTATTGAATATTTATAAAAATGTCCTCTTATATTAATTGGCAGATACTTAGCTTCATTCTATATATCACAAACATTGAACAGCTCTTTTTCCAATCAAAAAATATTTAAAAAGAAAAGATTAATGTCACTCTATAACAAATACTACACAAAGTATTACAACGAAGTAACTAACTAACTCATTTATTTATTTATTTTTTTTTAAGATTTTTAAAATATAAATTTACAATTTATTTTTAATTAATTTAGTAAAAATTAAATGAAGAGTTGACTAAAAAAATAGGGCAATTCCCCACTTCATAACAAACAAAGCAGTTTTTATCTTACAAACAAAAATAAGCTATATAATATCTCGAAAAAATGGAAAAAAATCTCACAGAAAATAAAGATTTTAAGTTAGACCAGATCTTAACTAATAAGCACTTGAATATACAATTATATATAACTGTTCTTTACAAATTCATATTCACCTATTTTTAATTAGGTTTAATGGGCATTGCTATTTATTTTTTGTGGCTTTAAATTCCATTTTCTGCATATGATTATTTAAGTGCTCACGATTATTCATTAAATGGTAACTAATTTTAAAATATTTAAGAGATACAAAATGACTATTATAAAGCTCACTACTTAAATAATTCTAATTCATGTTTTCAAGGTGATTTTTTTTTAGAATCTGATTCTGGTGCTTTACTTGTCTTTAATATTTTCATATTACTTTAAGCTCTTCTCATGACTCTAGTTAGGTTTAGCTTAAAAACCAAATTTATTCTTAATGAAAATACTCGTAATCGTCTAATATAGTGATAGTTTCTATTCATGTTTATTTATGATGTTAACTTTAAAAAATAAATTAAAATATCTTATTATTATTTCCAAATTAATAATTCATTTACTTAATTTAAAATAAACTATCTAAAAGTGTTTATTTAAACTTTTTTCAAATGAAAAATTTCATTTAAAATAAAAAATTCTTTTAATTTTAAAAAATAAAAAAACTTATTTATTTAATTTATGAAATATTGCTTATATCCAAATTTTATTTACTTTAAATAAATAAATTATTTATTTCCCATAAAATTTCATTCATATATTAACTCATCAATATGTTAATGCAATTATTTGAAATTTTAAAAAAGCAGAAATTTTCTTAATTTTTAAAAATTGAAAATAAATTTTCGAATATGTATTAACTATTATAATTTAACAATTTAATACATGCTTCATATAATTATGTTACACCTCAAAAATTTTTTATTGTTTTTTTTTTTTAGAAAAAATAGAAGATTGCCTTTTAGTATTTTTTAATATTTAAAAATAATTTTAATTGATAAATTATTTAATACATAAATTTGTTGATTTGGAATTATTTTTAGATTTACTTAGCTTACAAAAAAGAAATAACTAAATATTACTGATTTAATAAAAAAACAAATAAAAAATATCCATGTTTAAACAAAGAAAATATTCAGTTAATTTAGTTGTTGAAAAAGGAAATATTTTCGTTAGTTTATTACAAGAGGAGAGAATTTATTTACTGATTATTTTTAAATTATTTTTATGAAAGATATTTTTTTGTTGCTAAAAATGACACAATTTTATCAAGGATATCTATGATGCGTAATATTGAATAGCAGAGTAAATACTTCTTTCGTTCAAAATTCACATTTAAAACAAAAAATTTATTTCTTATTTACTTGGGGAGAAAGATATTTTAATTTTCGTCTTTTATTTTGGGGCTAATAGATACCAACAATTTATAAAATTTTTATGAAATAATAGAAAGATAGAGACAAACAGATATAAATAGATTGTTTGTATTGGAATTTTTTGAATATCAAATTCAATCTGATTGTTGTTAACATATTTTTTTTTAAGAAGCGCCTTATATGAATCAATATATGCATAAAGTTATTGAGATTCCTTGAAATAAGAATATCTAAGAGATCTATATATATCACACATACTTAAAGATATGGGGGAAAATACCACTAAAAAAAGATTTAAGATTAAACAAAATTTTTATTTTGTAAATCCACTGATTTAGTGCACAAAATTTTCTGAATAAATCTAAAAAGAAATAAAGAAAGAAAGAAAAGAATTGAAAAAATAAAAGCAAACTCAAAAGCAATAAAAAATAAATAGTAGCTACTAAACTACCAATTGAAAAAGTTAAAACCTTCAAGATAGTTGACCAGCAAAATGTTAAGAAGTGAAAAAATGTCTTTGCACTGCTTGCTCATGCCAAGAGAAAGCGCATGGGAGGTATTGAATGATCTTGGAACTCTAGACAAGGTGCATTTTGTAGATTGCGAAGAAGATGTTCCTTAGTTTAATAGACCTTTCTATTAACAAGTTCGTAGATGTGATGAGTCTCTATAAAAGCTATTGTGGATAGAAAATGAAATGCAAAAGTTTTATAATTTCTACAATCAAGTTATAAAGTCTAATAACTAAGTAAATATTGATTACTGCGGAGATCTCGCTTCTTTCCATGAATATTTAAAGAAAGATGTTGAGTCCAGACGCATCAATGAATAGGCATACTTTTTATAAATTGAAAACGAAATAAATTAAAAACACAAATTTTTAGAATAGTTAATTCATAACTTCAATTCTGTTATCACTTATCGTAATTAGCTAGTCGAAAAAAAGCATGTTTTAACTGAGGCTTCTAGAGTTCTTAATGTTAACCAACTGAATCAAGATAATCAAATTCCTAATCCTGACAGAGTTTCTCTTAACTTTTTAGCAGGCGTTATAAATGCAGATGATGAAGTCAGATTTCACAAGAGTGCTTTTAGAGTTTCTCGTGTAAGAATAAATTTTATATTTTTTAAATTTTGAAAATAGATGTTTCAATTTTTAATTTTATTGGATATAATAGTATTTTTAGTTTAATCTATTTCTCTATCAGGCAATACAATTTTGATAGATTAGCTTTATCAGATAAATAAACAAATAAATTCAAAGATAGATAGATAGTCTTTGTTTGATTTTTTTCAAAAACTGATTTTTAATTCATAGGATTTCATCACAAATTTAAAATAAAGCATACAAAAATCTTATTTATGTTAAAAACTGCAATTTATAATAAATTGAATTCAAATAAATTCAACAATTAATCTGAAAAAATTTGAAAAGTTGATTAAAAGATATTAAATCCAAATTACCAAATTTAACTTTTTCAAGCCAAAAAGCTGTCTATTTATTTTAGCAATTAAGACAAGCATTTTAATCCAAAAAGTTTAACAAATAAAATAGGCATAAAAAATTAATTATTAGTAGGAATTTAATAAAAGGAGATTTATGACATAATATTTACTTATAAAAGGAGATTAATGACATTTTATTAATTTATAATATAAGATTAATGAAATTTTATTTATTTTATATAAAAGGGTAATATCTGGAAACATTTCAAATAAATTGATAAATCAATGCAGAGAGATGGGTATAAGCTATTGAATATTAAGGGATAGAGAGATCATGATACTTCAGAATTAACTGATCCTTACAATTCAGTTTAAAAGACAATTTTTATTTTGGCTTATGCTTCAGGCCAAAACAGCTCACTTGATAGAAAGCTTAGAAGAATTTGCGAAGGCTTCCATGCTGATGTTTTCAATATTCAATATTCTAATATCTCAAAAGATTTAAAAGAAACTGAAGAATAGATTAGAAATTAGAATTTAACTGTTCAACTTTCTGAAAAGAGTATTAATGAGTACTTCGACTTCTACCAAAAGTCAATTAAGCTATAGAGTGGGGATCAAGTTGTTGACGTTTGCAGCTACATAGAATATGTGCGTCTCTTCTTGCATAAAGAAAAAACAATTTAACATAATTTAAATTACTTAGTTTAAAGCAGCCAAACATTCTGCAAAGGATTAATTTGGGTTCCAGAGGAAGACGAAGGCATTGTACAAAGAAGAGTTGAGTAATTAACACAAAAAAAGTCAAACTCTGTTTAAGTTGCCTAACTTTATAAACTGTCAAATTATACAATTGACCCACCTACTAAATTTAAAAGCAATGATTTTACTATCCCTTTCTAAGAAATAGTCAATACTTATGGTATTCCTAGATATAGAGAAATAAATCCTGCTCTCTTTGCTATCTCCACATTCCCTTATTTGTTCGGTATGATGTTTGGTGATATTGGTCATGGTGCTCTTTTATTCACTATCGGACTTTATTTGATGAGTTGCAAAATAGACCCAAAGAGACCTTCAGCTATGGACGGTCTTGTTTAAGCAAGGTAAAATAAAGCTAATTTATCTATCTAATATTTACTTATCTTTTATATTAAATAAAATTAAGATACTTAATTACTTTAATGGGACTATTTGCTCTTTACAATGGTTTAATATACAATGATTTCATGAGTCTTCCTTTGAATCTATTTGGTAGTTGCTACTTGTTGGCTGATAAAAATGTTGTTCTTACTCATAAAACATCTAAGCAGTGCGTTTACCCTTTTGGTATTGATCCAGTTTGGGGTGTTGCTAAAAATAAATTATCAGTATACAACTCACTTAAGATGAAAACCAGTGTTGTATTTGGTGTCTTCTAGATGCTTATTGGTATTTTCTTGAAAGGTCTTAATGCTATTAATAACATTTCATTTGTTGATTTCTTCTTTGAATTTATTCCTTAAGTAGTTTTTATGTGTTGCACTTTTGGTTACATGGTTTTCTTGATTTTTATGAAATGGATGACTGATTACTCACAAAATACATCAAAAGCTCCTTCTATTTTGACCTACATGCTTGATTTAGGTCTTTCTGGTGGTGGAGTAGGTCATCAATAAGAGCTTTATAAAGGTCAAGGTGTTGATCAACCTTACTTGTTAATTGCTGCCCTTATTTCTGTTCCTATTATGCTTTTAGCTAAGCCAATTATTCATTAAATGTAGCACAATTCTCATTAATAACACTAAAATGCCGAAGGATTTGTTCCCTTCTAAGATGATATCGAAGAAAATAGAAGATAAGCAGACAATTTTATTGAAAAAGGCCTCAAGTTACATAAAAACGAAAAACCACACGAATTTAGTGAAGAGTTTGTGCACTAAGTTATCGAAACCATTGAATTCGTTTTAGGTTCTATTTCTCACACAGCAAGTTATCTCAGACTTTGGGCTTTGTCTCTTGCTCACTCTCAATTGGCTGAAGTCTTCTTTGAAAAAACTCTTAAGGGTCAAATCGAATCCGGCAGCACAATTGGAATTTTAGTTGGATTTATAGTTTTTGCAATGATTACATTTGCTGTATTAATGTGTATGGACGTTATGGAATGTTTCCTCCACACATTGAGACTTCATTGGGTAGAATTTTAATCAAAATTCTACAAAGCAGATGGATACCTTTTCAAGCCCTTCTCAGTAAACAACGTTTTATCTGTTGCTGCTGTAGAAAAGAGATATTGAAAATAGTTAAAATGAGAACGAACGAAAATTATTTCTAATTTTTATACACTCTTTTATTTAATATTTTTCAGAATTTGTCTCAATAAACAAAACAAAAAGAAATAAACTTTTTTTTTTTTTGAATTTTGTGATTTTAACGAGACTAGAATTACTGACTGACTGTACATGGAATAAAATTATTTTTTTATAAAACTTAATTGCAAAAAATTATTTATAATATTTGGTAAATTGCTCAATCAATCAAGTACTTCATTTATTTATACAGAATATTTAGAGTATTCTTCTAATGTTTTAATTGAATTTTCATTTTAAAAGTGTAAATTGAATCGTGCATGTTTTTTGATCTTCTCAATCAATCAATAAATAAATTGGCTTAAAGTAATTTACTCAACTAAAAATTTACATATTTAATTGTGGTTTGAATAAATAAATAGTAAGATGTATTTATAATAATTGATATTAAAGATTAGCCATCAAATTAATAAAATATATCCAACTAATTAATTAATTGGTGGTGATAAAAATAAATAAATATCTTTTGATAATAAATTAAAAACTAATTATTTGCAATATATTTTATTATTAGATATAAAAATGAATAGGTATAGACAACCAACTCTGATTACACAAATTAAGTGTTAAGAGCCAACACATGAAAATAACACAATACAGTTTATTTGTCTCTAAGAAAGCTGTAAAAGTAGAAGATTCTATTGCTCAAAATGTGCTTTAAAGCACTCTTCGGAGCATGGAAGTTTTCTTGTTAGCTTAGAAGATATAATTAGCAATAAAGACCCTTCACAAATTGAGAACTATCCAGCATTTGCAGAAGAGAGGAAAGTTAAAAAATGTTTAACTTAGCAAGCTCTGATTTCATAGCAAACTTCCACCATACATGAAATTATTTAAAATCTAATGGGCAGCTTAAAATAAGATATTTTGTTTTAAATTGACGAAATATAAAAAGAACTTGAGTCTTTCTTTAAGAAGGAATAATTCAACACATAAAAATCTATTAGCGAATTCTAATATACACAATCACAAACATTTTCAATAGATGAGTTGCGCGATTATATCGAATAATATGTAAAAGACAATGATGATTACAAATTCAATACAAGATTGTTAATATGGCTCACATAATCGCAAAAAAACTAATAAGATATAAGGCAATCTTCATAAAAGAATTTAAATTAGGAAATGATCCCTTCAATAATTTAACAACATCATGTAAAATTCAAATAAAATAATTTATTTTAATCATTTTATTTTTAAATCATTCTAAAAGGAATTCATTAATTTAGAAATCAAAAAGATGAGGTATAAAAATTTTATTAATATTTTAGTAAAAAGCATATAAATTTATCAAATGATTATCTTGTTTAAATGAAAGAAAGTTTTTAAATTTGATATTATTAAAAGAATTATAAAAAAAATATTAAGCTTATGAGTATTAGATTATTTACATTTATTATTCTATTTAATTAGGGATAATTTAGTTTCTTATATAAGAAGGGATTCTGTGTTACCTGCTCATTTAGTGTGGGGCTTTAAAAAGAGCAAGTTCGAAAATTCATAAAACTTGATTGAAAAAATGATTGGGGTAACTTTTGAAGGGTGTGGTAACGGTGATCAAAGCTTATTGTCTACAAATACTTTTGAATTTGGTAGACATGAATTCGAAATACAATTTGATAAAATTGGATTCTAACCTTAATGCCACTTAATTATTGGATTAGTTAAAGATTAAGAAGGATAAAAAATTTTTGATTAGGCAAATCCGTACAGCTGCATCTTCTGTGACAGAACAAGCTGCCAAATGAGGAAAATAAATTCAATAGAAAGAAAATTCGTAATGGAATATAACAGTAATTAGCCTTAGCAGAATAACAATAACATAATAAAAGTTGTTTTAGATTTCGACAAAGATACTTTTTATTTTACTGATGAAAAAAACATGATGACTTCTCTTTGGACTTCGATTAAAGGACAAAGATGGAGGTTCTAAGTTACATTTAAAACAGAATTTGCATTTTCTGGGCCTTCCCCTTGCCATTAAATTACTCTATTAAGTTCTTCTTGATTTTTAAAAAATAAACCTTTCAATTTCAACTAAATATTTAAATTGCTATTTTTATATTTCCATAATCTTTAACAAATCAATTTTATTTTACTTAATAAAATATTTTAAGCCTTTAAAAAATTAAAATTCTTCTAAACATATTTTTCAATTAATTGAATTCAAATTTAACAAAATGTGTTCTTTATTCAAAAAAAAAAAAAATAGAATATCAATTTTTTCTTATTTGATTATTTTGCTTATTTCTGTTACATGCTTTATAATTTAAAAAAAAATCAATAAAAATTTGAATGATAATTATTAACAGAAAAATGAATAAATAAATATACTTGAATCAATATTTGTTTGTTTGATCTTTTTTTTAATAAGATTCTTTTAATTAATTTACAAAAAAAAAACATACCCAAAATCTGAGACATAATCATGTATAACTAGAAATATATAAATAGACATAGGAAGGGATCTTTGAGCTAGGTAAATAGGACGTCCTCTGAAAAAACATTTGTAAAAAGTTAGAGAGCCTTTTCAAACGAAGAGAGAGCTAAGACTCATTTATTGTATGATAAGAGTGAAGAATAAAACTGCATTGAGTAAGAAAAGCTGGACCTTTAAATGATAAAAAAAGAGCTTCTTTAATTCTAATAAGATATACAATAAAGGAATTAAATCAAAAAGAAAAGAAGTATTAGAGAGTTCAAAGATAAGGTCGAAGTATTCATGCACGCAGTTAGATTTCTAATTATAAAGCAAAGCAAAAATTAATAAAGCAGTAGTAATTTTATCAAAAGTAATGAAGAATTAGTTAATGATAATGATAGAACGTTTCCACAAGAGTGCAGTATTTTCTAGTAACTTGATGAAACGAGCTTGAATGCTAAAGATTAAGACAAAAAAAATTTATTAACTCCTTCTGTTAATAAAGAGTAAAGCAAATACTGTGAATAAGCTGATGAGTAGCTAAGTGAACTGCAAGAACTTCTTTAAATACTTAATGAATGCATAAACGAACTCTCAGCAATTCTGGAATAAAAGGCTCTGATGTAAGAAGATGAGCTTAGTCTATAAGCGAGAGAGATGGAATATACAAATGAAATAGAAATTTTAGAACATAAAATAAAGCTGCTTTAAAATTCTACTAAATCATTTAACAAGTAGAATTTTTAAAGTTTTAATAGAAATTAACAAATAAATAGATACTAGAACATAGTTTAATTCTTTTAGTAGCAATATAATTAAATAAAGGAATAAATAAGTTAATTACTTAGAGACATACATAATTAATAAGTAGAATCTAAATAGATATAAGACCAGTATAACAAGTTAGTACAAGTAATTAATTAATTACTTTTTATTTACTTTTTAAAAATTCAAAAATTAATTTTAAATTAAAGAATTATCAATGAAATTTGAATTAAAATCATATAAATTTTTTATAAATGAATAGGTAAAATAGGAATTAGTTCTTATGAAAGACGGATTCATATTTACTGATTAGCACATTCCTAATTTATTTGATTTTGAGTTCATTATAGATATAATGGATAAAAAGAAAAGTGAAGATGTCATTTAAGCTATAATTGTTATTTAGAGCTTTTTCATCTAAGAAATAGAGCAATTATTAGAAGAAAAATAAAAAGGGTGCTTTTCTGTTTATGACTGTCTTTTAAATATATATGACGCATCTAATAAACATTTAATTAAAATATTTAATGAAAATCCTATATTAGAGTTTTAGTAAAAGCTATTTTTGGAGAGACAGTAAAAAATGAATAAAATTACCAAAGGAAAGTAGCAGTTTATAACTTAGTCTTAGGAAAATGTTTTTTTTAACTTTCCAAAAGTGAAAGATTTTGTAGAGAATTTTAAAAACAATTCTAGTAACTTGTGCATGCTAGTTCTGGAAAACTAAAATAATTTAGACATATCTGTTTTATTTAAATTACTGCAAACCACTTTTAAACAAAAGTTAGAGTCTGGAATGTATTCTTAAGTTTTAACAAGTGTTCATGATTTGCCTCAACTATAACTTAACATTGAAAAATTTACTCAAAAAATTTACTCATTAGAAGATAAAGCCTTGCTTTTAAAGTAAAAACTCAATACCAACTAATAAAAAGAAGAATCTTTAATAAGCAAATATTCCAAATACAGTAACTCTAGCTAAACTTAAACAAAAAGTAAAGCTGATATTTTAGACGATATCAAACTTGTCATTAACGATAGGAAAAATTCTCTTCAAAATCAAAGTAACTTAATCCATTTAAAAAAAATCAGGGGGGACTTTCATACTTTTATTTAGAATATAATCATTCCATGTTTTATAAATGATAATTTACTTTTTTCCATAAAAAATAATTTTGTAAATTTTTTGTACCCTTCATTAATAATAAGGATATTTTATATAAATGCATTATAAAAGAATTCTAATAAAAAACAATAGTTTGAAATGAATAAAATAATACCATTATTTGAATTAATTACTAAACATATATTTTATTTTAGAAAAGAAAAGCCAGTTCGACTTAAGTACTCAGAATTAAGAAAGTTATCAATTTGAAACCTATAGAAAGAATAATTTTCAAAATAGTACAATAGAAAGAAGCTTAAATTAAAGTAGATCTACTAGTAACCATAAAAATATGTCAAAAGATAAATCTCCTCATAGCCAGAACTGTTCTATGTTTTAGACATATTTTGAGAATTCTTAAGATTTTAAAAGTATTGAATATAAATAAGAATACATTTTTGAAAAAATAAAAGCTCAATGCATTTAAATTGGAGAATAAATAAAATATCTTGACATTTTGAGAGAAAAAAATATTTTAATTTTTGAAGAAACTATTTAGAAAGATATAAAGCGTGTTAATCAAAAAGAGAAATTTTTGGCTTCAAGTATCTACAGAACATTAAAATTAATCAAGTTTAAATTTGAGATGATCCAAAATCATCAGTAATCATCATATTTCAGCATAAATTCTTATGGGCAATCTAAAATTAACACAGAAGAAAGGGACAGAGTCATATATTAACTTTTTGGAGAAGTCAACTTGCTTTGCCAAGATTATGAAAACTACTTTAATAAAGAATATTCATGCTTAAAAACTGAAAAATCTGACTTTAGAAGTACACTTTTTTCATCTTTTAATTCTCAAAATAGCAAAAGTAAAATCAATCATGCATCGAATGCTTCAAAAATTTCTTTAAATTCTTATAACAACTTAGATAACAGCTTTTTATTAAAGTAAGCATCTAAAGTTAAAGATCAAAAGTAAATTTGTAATTAACCTAGTCTTCCTAAAATAAATTCTAATTAAAATATCCATATTAATCAACTTGAAAGTAAAGCAAGTCCATCAAAACAATACTCAAACTTAATAGAAAATAAAGTATAAAAAATAATACAACAATACAGCTCACCAACTAAACAAAGTTTTTAATGCTCTCTAAATCAAACTCAAAATTAACAAGAATAAGATTAAATGAATAGCTTTTCTTTTTATCCTCACAGATAAAATTCGGTCTCTTTGCATAAAAAATAAATTTCAATAGACAGTAGCTGTAACAGTGTCTAGCCTAACAATATTTTTTAGCTCAGTAATTAGCAAATCCAAAATGAGTCACAGTTTAATAAAAAAGCTTAAGATTCAAACACTGAATCGGGTACAGTTGTCTATTGTACTCCTTGCAGCTAATATAGCAATCTATAATCAAGCAATTGCAGTAGTGTGACAATCTACTAAAATATGAGTTTTAATACTTCATAAAATTAAACATCGTTAAATGAAATTCATAGAATAAACACAAGCTAAGATCAAAAGTACTCTACTTTAAAAACTAATTATTCATATAACAAAAACTTAAATTAAAAAAATAACACAATAAATATCAGTTAATTTTTAAATAATAAAAGCGACCTTTCACAAAATTCATCAATCAGGAAAATAAAAAATATTCTAAAATCACCTGATTCTCACCATAAATTGAATACAAACTTAAGTTCATAAAACTCACAATATTAATACCAAAATTAATCATAAAAAAATTCTTCTTTGGAATATTAAATTCAGAAGAAATCTTAAAAAAGCCAGAGCCCTGTGATTATAAAGAGAAATCTGCATGATTAATTTGAACAAGAAAGAGCAAGAAATAATACTATGTATGAACATAATAGTTAGAAATAGCCTAATTAAAGCTAAATTTAATAAAACTACTACTTCTATCAAGCACCCACCAGCCAACGAAACTAATATCAAAGCTAATTGGAACAATTTTAGTTGTAAGATTAAAAAAATAAAGCTGGAAACAATAAAAGTGATCTATTTTAAAAGTCTAAGTTCGGAGTAGTTAAAATATAGATTAATGAATAAGAGTTATAAGTTAAAGATAATTCAAATGTTTTATCCAACACTTAAAGCTGTTCCACAATAGAATAAGAGTAGCAAAATCTTAATGTAACATAAATTAATTCCACTTTTAACAAGAATTAAGATCAACTTAATTAAATCGATCGTGATGATTTTGCAAAATTTTCTTTTAGCAATATAGAAAACATTTCATATAATACAAATTAAAGCAAGAGTTTAATACAAAAAAGAGAACCTTTAATAGATAATAAAAACATTTTAAATGAAAAAACGAAAAACTATTCAATGTTATCAAGAGAACAATACTACCCTATTAATTAGTCTTAAGAGCAATCATAATTAACAATAGATAAAGAAAATTTTAATATCTAAAGAGTTAACTAATCAAAAGATACAAAATAAATGAATAAAAATGCGACTCATAGAAAATTAAATAGCCTTCTCTAAGCTGCTAACACATCAGAGTAAACATAAAAATTAGCTGGGTCTTCTTAAAAATCTATGCTTCTTTACTCAAATCAAAGCAGGGCATTTGCATCAAAAAGTCCCTAGTGTAAAAGCCCATTGTTATCAAAGGAAACTTCAATTTATGAAGGAAGTAACGAAAATAGCATTCAATTTTTGGATTCAATTTAAAACTATTAATCAGTAAACAAAATAACTTCAGCGAGAAGCAATATTTCCCAAATAGTTAGTCCTCATAGAGATTTCTCAAAATAAAAATCCTTATGTAATCCCATCGATTTGCAGATTGGAATTCCTGTTTATGTTAGATTTAATAATTAAATTATTCTCAAGAAAAAGATATTTGATCCTACTAGCATGAGTATTAAAGATGCAATGAACTTAGGTTACATATACAGAATTATGAAGCTTAATAAATAAGAAAATAAAATTGAGTTTTTTAAAGAGAAAGGAAACCAAAAGTTAACACATATAAATAATAATTTTAGTTGTTACTAATAAATTTAATCTCCTCAATAATCAAGCAGATTGAATTGCTTCGAAACTAGCACTGATAAATATACATCACAATTTACAATTGATAGCAAATTGCAATTAGATAAAAGCATTCCTATTTAGTAAATTAAAAAGATATCCATCCCTTAAAAAACATAAAATCTATAAAAACTATAAAATGCCAGCTCCTATAATAATAGAGGTCTATTCATTGATGAAAAAAAAATAGAGACTTAAAATAATTACTTGCTATCCATAGACGGTAAAGATTGTGGGCAAACAGAGTTAATAGTCAACTCTCTTCAAGCATACTAAAGTGCTTATAATTCACTCTGTTCTATAATATAGAGTTGATTTCATAAGTTAAAGATATATTAAAATAATTAAAATAAAATTTAATCCAATTAAACGAGTATATTATTTATTTTTAACCAAGTTATTGAAAAATATCAATAAAATAACCATTTTTATATTAATAGTATATTGTTGTTAAGAATTAATAAATTATAACTAATTGACCTAAAAAGTTTTATTTCACATTTTTTTAATTATTATCTACAATTAAAATAATTGATAATCCTTAATTTAAAATACATTTTTGTGTATTTATTTCAATTAGTGTAGCTTCTTGATTTCTCGGACCTCATTAATTATTACCAAATTAAATTCTATATTCATATAACATTTTTTGTTCTACTAAATGTATTTTTCTTACTCTAGAAACAAATTTGTAAATATCTATATAGGTTTATATGAATTTATAGTATTTTTTTATTTAGGAATACTGTGACGATAAAATGTTTATTTATGATTAAAAAGAAAATAAATAAACATGTACATTACAAATTAAAAATTGGATAAATTTTTACTTACAATTTTAATTTAATTTTAGTTTTTGTTTAAACAAAATTAATTTATTTAATTTTATTTTTCATTAGAATTTTTGCTTTAACTCTTCGTATTTTTTGAGTTCTTACTCAGAAACTGAAGGAGTTATCTTTTTTAAAGCTTCATCAAAATCTTAAAATTGTATTGTTACTTCTGTTAAATTTTTATAGTTTGTTTGAATTTCCTCTGAAAACATGTTAAATGAATACTTTTCTCCTTTTTCCAGTTTAAATTATTAATAAGTTGCCTCAATTTCTTTAATTTTTCTTCTTGCTGCTTTTAAAACTGTTTGACTTGTTAAGCCATAAAAGTCAGCACCTGTAAAATTTTTAGGAATGTTTTCAAGCAATTATTTAAAGTCAACAGAAGGATCAAGCTTAAGTTTTCTAGTTTATGCCTGCAAAATTTTGGTTCTTGTATCTTCATCAGTATTAATACCTTTTTTATAATTTAATTTAAATTTGCTTTGCAGTTAAAATCATATTTTACCCAAATAAATTAATTTATCGAATCTTCCTGGTCTAAGTAAACCTTAGTCTAAAAGATCTGGACGATTTGTAGCTCCTACAACAAAAATGCTGGTTCCTTCTTTATTAATATCATCTAATTCTGTTAAGAATTATGCTACAATTCTGTCCATAACTTAACTAGAATCTGATCCATTTCCTCTATTTGGTGCTAAAGCATCTAACTCATCAAAAAATATTACACAAGGTTAATTTCTTCTTGCTTTTGAAAAAATATCTCTGACATTCTTCTCACTTTCACCAATGTACATATTTAGTAGTTCAGGACCTAATTATTACTTTAAATTTATGAATGTTTTATATAATTTAAAATTTTACCTTTGACAGAAAGGAAGTTCATTTTAGTTTCTGTTGCTATACATTTAGCAAGAAGAGTTTTACCAGTACCTGGTGGCCCAAAAAATAGTAGACCTGTTCTGGGTCTAACAAACTCATCAAAAACTTAAGGATAAAGCTAAGGAAGCATAATAGTATCGATAATTTCATTTTTAGCATCTTATAAACCTCCGACGTCCTCCCATCTAACATTTGGAATTGATAAGCTCTCTATATCACTACTTTTTCTTAAATTTTCAATCTATTACACTAAAGAATCACATACTTTCTAATTTTTTAAATAAATTAAACATTATTTTACAACAACTAAAAAGTATTTAATACAATTTAATTAATTCTTAAAATATTTCAATCACACTCTTCTTATTATTTTTAAACATATTAATTTTTTTTTCAATTTTATTTGAAAGGAAGTTTTTCTTATTAAACAAACTTCATTGGCATATGTTAGCATAAATATTCAGTTGAAACCATTCCAACAATTTTTAAATATAAAGAAAATAAATCAATATAAAAATGGCATTTTTGCTAAACAAATTTTCAATGATATTTTTCACACAAAGAAAGAAGAAAGCAAGAAACAAAGAAACAAAGAAAGGAAGAAAGAAAGAAACAAAGGAAGAAAGAATTTACTTCTATTGGCGATGATAATAAGGCTTTTTTAAGAGTTTTCTCAAAAGTAAAAATTGGTATTCCCAAACAAACTCTGAATAAGTTTTCTAATGATTTTTGTTAAGCTTAGTCGAAGAATGCAGCTTCTTTTTCGTTTGTAGCATGGTATTTAATTATTGATTCATAAATAGATTTTTCTTTGATTTTATCTAAAATTAAATAATCAGTAAATATGTTTTTTAAGTTGTTATCTATCAAGCTTGATTCGTCGAATTTTTCCATAGTAAATACTAATACACATTTGAAGTTAGAACATATTTGCTTTTCTAGTTGCTCAAATTTATTTATAAACTCCTATACATATTTAACCATCAATTTTTCTGGTTCTTCTTATGTTTTATGTTAAACAAAATGCACTAAGCTTCTTAAATTTCTAATATTAATCATGCAAGGCCTCATATTAACTCCTTTAAGAAGCAATCTCTCTATTTAATTTAAACTGCCTAGTTTTTTAACGTCTTTTTCCATATAGTTCATGCCATACCTTTCACAGACTTGTCTAAGTAACAATCTCTTACCAGAGCTTTTAATAGAAAAGATATATTATTTTATTTAAACGTTAATATAACTGCTTACCCTTTAGGTGCTATCATAAGTAGTGGTACATGCTGATTGAATGAAAATCTAAGCAATCTATCTATGCGACTCAAAATTTAAGAATAAAACTCATTTGATAAAATATCTTATTCAATGTATTTTTTATATTTCCTCAACTCAGCTTGCTATATAACTGGATAAATTGGGGGTTTATTATGTCTGAGACTATCTAGTCTTATATCTGTTTCTCTATTTTTAATATCTACAATAAATCCGCATGCTTAAGATTATTCTTTATCCTAATAGTAAGGCACTAAATCTCTAGTTGTGCTGTTTATTACAAATATATTTTCTACTTAAACAAGTAATAATTTTTTAGAGTTTTCATAAATAGTAGAGCTTTCTTGCTTTCCTCCATCACGTGTAAGAGAATATTTTATAAGCTTTTAAAGTTTCTTTTTATCGTTCTTAAATTTAGTCAAATCTTCTATTTTGGAAATATCTAAAGCAATAACATCTCCTACTTGAACATAAAACACTTCTTAAAGCAATTCGGTGAGTATATTCACATCAAAAAGATTGCTATTATTATTCCAAATCTATTTGTTATTTAAATTAATAAGAACACTTAGTTATCACATTACATATAATTACATTCGACAATAGAATCCTATGACAAACTGGAACATTAGGTAAAAAGTTGTAATTTGAATCTTTGTCAAATTGCTTTGTAGGAATTGGCTTGCTAAAATTAATAGTGACATAGTCTTCCTGTAATTTTAAAGTTGACCCAACAGCTTGAGAAATATGAATATCGCCTTTTTTAACAGTTTATGATCCAAATAAACAAACTAACTTTTTATTGTTTAACAAATAATATGAAAAGAAGTTGATGTTATTTTCTTTTAGAACTTCCTCATTAACAAATGCTATATTCTTTGAGCTTGGATTATTTTCACTAAATGTCAAATCATTCTAAGTGAATAGCTCATCATCATAATAAATATTAACCTTAAACTATTTTGTTTCCATTTTTTTCTTTATTTCTTTCTTTAAAAACTATGATTTAAATATCTTGAAATCAGAAGTATTCTATTAATTATTTAATTTATTAATTTTTTTGAGCTATATCTTTATTAAATGGTATTTCGCATATTACGTATTTTGAATATGAATAAATGAATTAAATACATGCAAATATATCATCAGCGTATTTATTTATTTAATATTTCTAATTCTGTTTCAATAGATTTAATCAAATTTTCTATTTTTCTTTTCTTCTAATTCCAAAATAAATAAACAAGTAATCTAATTGGATAAGACTCATAAAATCCAATAGCTCTACTTTTTGATAAACTAAACCAAAAACAAAATTAGTTAATTTATTAATTAATAAATTACTTCTAGTTATGATATCTAAAAAATTATTTAGCGAAATTTATTTATTTGATATTTTTTAATATTGAAAAATCAATATTTATTTAGAAGAAATAAAACAAAGAACAAATATGCAATAAATTAATCAACACTTCATATATGTTTTTTTTTTAGTATCACCAGTCGATAGCAGGGACTTAGAATTACTTAGAGAATTAAATAACTTCATTTCTGAGAGAAACAAGCTCAGGAACACTTTCGCTGTTAGCTTAGATCCATGATTTAAACTCAGCAACTTTGCTTCCACTTTATTTAGAAATTTAAGGAACGAGATGAGTAGCTCTGTCAATAAATTCAACAACTTAGTCAATATCCTTTTCTACTAAGCCTCTTGTTGTTAAAGCAGGTGTTCCTAATCTCAAACCACTAGGAATAAGAGCACTCTTATCACCTGGAACTGTATTTTTATTGACATAGATATTAACTAATTCCAAAAGAGTTTCCATTCTAGCGCCATCTAAATTTTTACTTCTTAAGTCTATTTATTATATTCATTTATTTATTTATTTATCGAAATCAATAGAATTAAATTATCTTTTACCCAATAATACTAAGTGATTATCAGTACCTCCTGATACCAAGGTATAGTTTCTTTTTAAAAGGGATTCTGCCATAGCCTTAGAGTTCTAGAGAACCTAAGTTTGGTATTCTTTGTATTAGGGAGTTTAAGCTTACTTTAATGCTAAACTGATAGCAGCAATAGAATGTTAATGAGGACCTTTTTAATTAAATATCAATGATAAATTTTATTTGATAATACTTATTTAACAGTTTTACCTCCTTGGAGCATAGGGTAAACAGCCTTGTTAATTTTATTTTCTATGTCATACATAATTTTGTTACCCTTTTTATCTACCTTTTTAACTCCTCTTCTATAGAAGACTAAAGCACCTCTTGGACCTCTTAAACTAAATAAAATGGATTAAGACACTTTAACTTTTAAATTTATTTGAATACCTTTTGTGGGTAGTGGTTGAGACTAAATCACAGTGATCGAAAGGAGAGGGAATAACATTTGCAGCTACAAGACCAGACAAGTGAGCCATATCAGCTAAAAGATAAGCACCACATTCTTCAGCAACTGAAGCAATTCTTTTGTAATCTATCAAACGAGCATAAGCACTAGCTCCTGCAATAATAACCTTAGGGTTGTAAATCTTAGCATTTTCTTCCAATCTATCATAATCAATTAAGCCTGTTTTCTATATAATAATTTAAAAAATATTATATTTATCAAACAAACTACCATTTAATTTTAATTAATCCAAAATATTTATTATTCATATGATTTATCCTATTTGAGATTATATAGTCTATTTATTTATTAAACTTTTCTAAATAGGATAATAATCTTCTTTATAGATTTAAATTCTATTTTATTGCGAAAGTTTTACTTCATTTAAGCGGTAAGGATTAACTTCGAAGAATGAAGAAACATAAGAAACTTTTCTAGCTCTTGTTTGGTAACCATGAGAAAGGTGACCACCATGAGGAAGATCAAGACCCATGATTCTATCGTGAGGCTAAAGCAAACCTGTGTAAACAATAAAATTAGAAATAGCTCCTGAGTAGGGTTGAACTGTGACACCCCATTCTTCAGGATTTAATCTAAATGTTTCTAAAGCTCTTTGTTAGCATAATAATTCGTTCTCATCGATATGTTAATTTCCTACTTGGAATCTCTTTCCAGGTAATCTTTTTTAAAATTATAAAATTATTTTTCATGTATTAATAATTTTTGACAAAATGAGTTTGAAAGAGCATTTTTTCTGAATTAATGATTACCCTTCGCTATATTTTTAGTTCATGCATGTGCCAAGAGCATCCAAAACGGCTTTTGAGCAATGATTTTCTGATGCAATTAGATTAATACCTTCAATTTATCTACGACCTTCTTTATGAATAATATCAAATACTTCAGGATCTTTTTCAGACAAGACCTAGTTCAAATTCTATGCATTGACGCTAATTTTATATTAGTTCTGGCTGACTAAATTTTTGCACTTTTGGATTTTAGATAGAAAACTTTTCATTTATGATATAAATTTGAAATATCTTATTAGATTTATTTTGATTAAACCTTCTTTTTTTGCAAAATAATTAATATCAATCAATGCGTTTACAAGATATTTTCTTTAAAGCGATTTATATTTCCCTTAAACAATTAGGAAAACATTGAATTTTCCTTTTTATTTGATAAATATTCTTAGTAATTACACTGATATGTTGACTATATTATTATGTAATAAATATCTTTTGAAATTTCAATACAATTTCTTATCAAAACAAAGTTTATATTAATTAAACACACAACATTAAATATATATTGTCATCAAGTGAGTTTATTTAATAGTTTTACCATGAATTTGAGCTATTTGTTTTCCTTCTAAAATTTCTTCTTTTTTTCTAAATATCCATTTAAGAATAGTTTCTCGTTTTTAGGTAGATTAAAATTTTAAAATTGTATTTAAACATAAAAATTTCAGAAAAGGATAAATTTTTGTTTCTATAAAAGCTTAGAAAAATGTTAAATTTTTTTAGAAATATAAATTCTAAGTTGCCAAAATTTATAATTTAAAATATTTATTGATAAATTTTTGAAATTATGAAGCAGTTATTAAAACAAATTAAAATATAAGAAAGAAAAGTTGATTTAGATGTAAAAAAAGAATCTAGCTCTTAATGAGCAAAGTAGCTAGTTTATGAAAAGGCTTAAGTATATAAATATGATAAATCAACCTAAGTAAGAATATTTTAATGTAGTCTTATCAAAAATTAGCTTAGTCAAAAATGCTTTACAGAGTGAATAATAAAACAATATAAATTAATAGATTTAATAAAATACTCAAATAAAATAGTAAAATCCGCAACAAATATATTAAAAATAATAAATTCAAGCATAAAATAAGATGATTCCTGAGTTAAATTTCCAATAGGAAGTAAATATTTTTAACGAAAAAGCCAACAGAGATAAAAAATATTTATTTCCTATCGAAACTTAGCAGAACAATTAAGTTTATTAGAATAACTATTAAAGTATAAAAAAATAGAATTTATTTGAAAATTATGAGTCTTCTCCTCGTAAGTAATAGATTGATTTATAAATAAATAAAAATATTAAATCAAATTATTTTATTTAAAGGATTTAGTAAATGGAATTTAATTCTAATGTGTTTCAACAGGATTTGAATAAAGAAGATAGCTTTGACTAAATTAATGCTGGTTACATAGAATTTAATTAAAATTAAAACTTAGATTTGAGACCACGAAATTTAGCTGACTAATTTATGAGACATTCTAAATTAGAATAAGTGAAAAAACCTGAACATATATAGCTTTAGAAAGAGATACTTGAAAACAAAGATCAAAAATTATTATAAAATTAAAATAAGAAAATAAAATAGTATGTTAAAACTTAGCAAGAATAGCTAGAAGATATCTAAAATAACTAGTAGACTCTACCATAAAATTAATAAATATAAAATGGATAAAATTTATTTAAAAATATAGTTCGATAAGAAGGTAGTTAATAAAATATAAAGTAAAATATAATACAGTAATAAAACAAGGAACAACAAAAATATATATAAAATAATTATAAAAATTTGTGGAATGATTTAGAAATAGAGATATTAACTGAAATTCTAGGCTATTTAAAAATAGACACAGCTTAAGTTGATCAATTCTTTTAGAATTTGACAGAAGATTATAATAGAAAAGCTAAATAAAAAGGCCTTTTATAAAGAAGTCATAAGGAAATATTTGAAAAGATTAAACATGATTCTTTTTTAATTTATAAACATGAAAAATAAAAAGAAAAAAAGACATACAAACATTTAATTGAAAAATCATTGACAAGTTTTATCTGAATATAAAAAAACCTAACCCTAAACATTTCATAAACATCTAAAAGCTAAACAAAACGTCATTAAAAATAAGAATACAAACCCTTAAAAAAGATATATTTGATTTAAATTTTTCTTATTTTATTTGAGTTGCCCTTAGAGTGTTTGTTAATGTTTCGTCTAATTATGTCAAAATAAAACAATAAAATTTGATTTATTGTTATAAAAATAAGTTTGTAAAATAGTTAATTTTAATCAAATTAAATAAATAAGAATTTAAAAATTAAATTAAAATTAATTTTTTCTAAAGAAAATTAAATAAAATATTTATAGGTAAACTTTGTCAAATTATTTTATATCAGCTGAAACCTGATAAAAAAAACATATTTGTTATAATAATATTTCAAATTGATAATTGTTAAATTTTGTTTAACTTATTTAAAAAATTAAAAATAAAGTTCTTTTTATTAACTAATTATTGCTAAAGGGAGGAGGATTAAAAAATTGACTTTATTTAAATAAAATTTTGTAGCATAAATTTGATTTAAAATTATGCTGATTTATTATTCACATTTTTTCAAGCTCCTTCCCTTTAATTTTATATCAAATTAATATTTAAAAAATAAATTGATTGCTTTTTAATGATTTAATAAAAAACTAGACTTAAATTAATTACATGATTATAAATTTAATAAATATGAATAAAAAACTGTTTTGATTTAATTAATGTTTCTGTATTATTTTAAATTTTAAATAATATAATTTTCTCAATAGTAAGGCTTAATTTCAGCAACCCTTAAATTACTTAGTATTATGTCTCCTGGTGTTCTAGATACTAGTTTATCCAAAATTCTAATTAATTTTTTTAATTTAGTATTTTAAATTATTTACATGGATGGTTTATAAAGCAGCCATATAGATAAGATGTTGGCTTTAACTCTAGAAGAATTTCTTTTGCATCTTTGTCTGTAACTATTTTTCCAAACTCAGTTCTTTTACTATCTGAAGTTATGATAATTAATTTTTAAATAATATCAGCTCTTGTGCGGTAAATGTATATCTTGCTTAATTGAAGTTCAGGAGTATCAAAAGAAAATTCTTTAACAGGTTTATCTAAATGCTAAATACCAACATGCTTTTTACCTACAATGAGCTAGTAGCCATCTGGTGTGAGATATTAAAACTAGAAACTATTATTCAACATAAAATAAATAGAATTTATTACTTTTATTCATATTAATTAAATTACCCATAAATATATTCGTTATCTGCATAAACGGACATTTTATATATTTTCACTTTCTTTTCAAAGAAAATAAGTTCTGCATCTGTCCAATTAATTTTACCAAATCCATCTTCTTTAATTTCTTTTAATCTTGAAACCTACAAATTTTGTTTAGTTTAATTATATATATTTTAAGCTAAAAGTCTTTATTTACATCTGCATTATCAGAGTAATAGTGATTAGTCATTGGTGCATTTGAAAGCAATTCATCATTAGGATCTTATTTCAATGGCATTCTTATAGCTGGAAGTCCAGCAATATATCTTTTTTATATTTTAATAAAACAATTAAATAAATAAATAATAAATTAAATTAATTCTACACTAAATTGGGATTTGACAAAGATATGCATCTTGTTGATTCCATATAATAGAAATTTTAATCATGCTTATCATAAAGACGAGCACCTTTCATATCATAATAGAAAACATTAGGGAAAACTACTTTCAAAGGTTTCTCAACGTAATCATATTTAACAGTAAACACTTCATCTAAATCGCTAAATTCTTAATCCTGCAAATATTACAAAAAAAATCAATACGAATTGTTTGTTTACTTTCAAAAGTAAGAAATTTATTATAATAAATAATTAAAGAAATACTCTTGATTTATCTACCCCGATTGGTTTGAAATGCTTTGATTTTCCTGTAGGACTAGTAATAATCAAATCTTTTACTCCTTTGATATTGTATTTGCCTTATATTTCTTCTACATAATCGTTATCATCTTCAACATCAAAGTCCATGAAATCTGCTCTTAAGTTTTTGCTTGCAAAAATGTTAACATTAGGCTCAAACAAAGAACCATCATGCTTTAGGTAAGAGAAAGTAATTCCGTGAATTCTTTCATTATTACTCCAAACAGTAATTCTTTTTAATTTGCCATGAGTAGTTGTTTTAATTAGATCCTCATCAGCATTTTATAATCCATTACCAATTTAATTACGAACATCTTATCTTGTTTCTAAATCATATCTTGCAGGTATTACGATATTTTAGGATCCATTTGATTTCTTTTTTATAATTTACTTTAAATTAACAAACTGCTCTTTATTTAAATCAAATTTACTCTTGAAGGTTGTGCTGAGTTGGAAAAATTTTCTTTGGGTTGTAGAGACTCTAACTACAGTGGTCTTCTATTTGAAGCATTAGAGGATAATGGAATGTTTTCATTTTGATTATTTTTCATCTTCATGTAAACCATTTCTAACTCTTTTTCTCTATCCCTAAGTTTATTTTCTAAATCTCTAATTTTAGCATCCCTATATCTGTTATTAGAAAGATCTGTGCCATCCATTTCAGCTCTCTAAGTCCTAATAGTCATAGCATCTAATTCGTTTTTATGTTTTCTTTCCTATGCTTGAAGCTGCTTTTTCAAAAGCTTTACTGCATGCAAAAGCTCCTCTCTAGAAGCGTTATCAAGCTATATAAAAATTTATTTTAATTTAAAAAATATTAGCTTAATAAATAAATAAATTACCTCAGAATCTGGCTAAACATCATCTGGGTTTAGGAAATTGACGTTTTAGACATTTGCTCTGCTAGGGGAGTATTCATTTTATGTTATTTGAGTGTTAATTTAACCATTTTTAGGAAATTAATAACTTTTATTATCTAAAACAGGATTATGTGGATCAGAACTTCTATAATTAATTTTTTTCTTTCTATATTTTTCCCTTGGAGTTTCATAATTTCTTTATGGCTCGCTATCTAAAACATCAGCAACAGAGTCATTCTAATGAGGATAAAGAGGTTTCTTAAAAGGACTGGTATAGGTGCTGCTGTGTTATGGCAAATTTTTTTTATTTGAAAGATATTTATATGTCACACCTGTACTTGCCAGGGAGTGAGCAGGATACTTATTTTTAAAAATAGGAACTGTACTGGAAGGGTTTTAAAAATCTTATTGTTCTTAATTAGTTTCAATGCCTTAATGGTTCATATCAACTGCAGGAGGCTCATAAGGATCTTTAATTTTCTACAAGTATTAATACCTCTTTTCTAATTCCTTTATTTGCTCTCTATTCATAAAAGAATTGTATAAATAAATATCATATTCGTTTAAATAAAAAAAAATGAAAGATATATTCATCAATTAAAAACATTATCTAAATGATAACTAGATAAATAATGTATTCAATCATCTATGAAGAACAAAAGACTCCATATAAATTATCAAATATCTAAAAGAGAGTGTCATTTATATTTATTTATCTATATATACAATTACTTCTAGTTTTTAACGAGTGTTTCTAATTCCTGTTCCCTTTGCCTTTGATCTTTAATTTAATTTTTCAATTAATCATTCTCTTCCATAGTATCGTTTAGTCTACTTTTCCTCATTTCTTTTAGTTTATTGTTACTTTCTATTGCATTCTGGTATTTTTTGTTTTTAAAAATGATTTTATAATTTTGGCTAAAAAAAATATAAATTCCAACTTACTAATAAACTATTAAGTCAATAATAACAAACAAATATAAAGTAACTTTTGTCAAATAATCAAAATTTAAACATAATTTACCTTCATATAGTGATCTTTTTCCTAAATTAGCTTAGATATTTCGTTGTCTTTGATCCTTTTTTCATATTCGATGCTTTTCTACTCGCCTTTAATATCATTTTCTGTAGAGCTAAATAAATTAATATTTGAATATTTTGATAATTGTTTGTTTGTTTGTTTAACACATTTTAAAATGTAGTTAATTGGTTAAAGAAATTGTTTAAAATTTAACCAACTAATTAGATTTTTAATTTAATAATTATGCTAATTTTACTCTAAGGTGTATTATTACTACCTAGGTAAGCTACTACTGCCATATGGTTTTTAATCTTTAGAAATGGAACGTCTTCTCTTTAATGAAATATGGATTAATTAATTAATTATGATTTCTATTTTTTGTAAATATTAAGTACAAATAATGGTTGTTGATAACCATTTTTGATAGTGTCAGTCATTCAAGTTTAGATGCAATATTTTATCTTTATTTCTGTTTTTTTATACTGAATTGGCTATGTAATAAATATTTATCTATCTATCTATCTCTCTATCAATCTAGCTATGAATTAACCAATATATATTGATTGCTATTAAGATTATTCTGAGTTTATGATGCAAGTAATTTATTTATATTTACCAAAATAATTAATTTTTTTTTAATGTATGGGAGAGAGCTATCAAATAATTTAATTGAAGCTTTTAATTTCAAAGAAAATATTAAATCCAAAAATATTGGTGATGGATGATGATGACAGTAATATAATAAATAAATAATCGATTATCAAATCACCAACGATCATTTTGATAAAATTAATTAAATACCATACGTAGATAAATAGATAGCTGTGGAAATAAACAAATTAATTAATAAATTAAATGATGCTTTTTTGTTTTATAGATTTTATACTTGAACAAAGATAAAATATTACAGAAGTGTTAAAGATTATTTATTATATACATAAGAGAAGATATTTAGATTATTCAATTTTTCTCTTCCATAATTAATTTTATAAAATTATTACGTTAAGTTTCAAATTTCATTTAATTTAAATAAATGAATGAATATTATTTATTTTTTTATATCAAATAGCTTGCTGATGAAGTACACGAACTCTTATTAGTATAAATAGTAAAGCAAAGTAAAAGTTGAAGGATTTAGTAGAAAGTAAAGTTTAGTTTAATGGAGTTTAGAGTTAATTAGTTTGTTTTTTTTTAAACACATTTTAATGATAATTATGTTTTTTATTAAATTAGTTTCAATAATATCATATTTATTTTTTATAATTCAAGCAATTATATACTTAAATTTAGGCTATAATTGCTTGATAAATAAATTTTTTTTTATTAGAATGTGTCTTATTATTAAAACACAAATACAATCAATCATCATCATTCAAGAATTTATAAATTGGTTATTTCATTAAATTTACAAATTATTTTGCTAATTCTCCTTGTTAAAATTTAATCCATTTTTTTCTGATTAGTTAGACAGACTATAAGTTCCTTCACTTTGATTCGATTTATTGTCTGAATTAAAATTTTTAGAGCTCTCAATTTCTTATATTTATTCATTTTGGTATTCGTCATTTTACTAGGAGAAGCATTCGTTTTTGACTTTTTTGAGTTGGATGAGGTCTTGTTCATCATCTTCATCTAATCCGAGTATATTTACTTACTTATTCTAATCAGGTTGATTATTTCTCAAAAAGCTCAAAGGATTATTTTTTACATCATAAAACTATTTGCTCTGAACCTTGAAATCCTAAATTTCATTGTAGTAAACTGGTGTAGAAAGTTATTTTTTTGAATTAGAAGTGTGCAAACTTAGTTTTTCTAAATCATTTTAGCTGTTTTATTCAGCCGAAGTTTTCTTTTTGAGCTAATCAACATCATTTTAAGTTGTATCTTTATAATCTAATTTTATAAATTTAAAATCAGAGACTACTTCTTTACTTGTCTTGATAGATTTATTATTTTTTGTATCAGCTTCTTTTATTTCTATAAAGTAAGAATAAAATTAAATTAATTTAAAGAATTAAAGTTTATTTTCTTATTTAAATTAATTTCATATTTTAATTTTTAAATAAGCTGATTCATTCATTCATTCATAATAAAAATAAAATTTAAATCAAAGTTTGAATGAAAAATAAAAAAGAAAAAATAAATTAAATAAGATTTTTTCTTTTCTTGATTAAAAAAATGTTAAATTAGAATGAAATAAATTTGGTACCTTTCTTTTAATTTTAGTTAAAATCGATTGCATAATCATTATTTTAATCATTTTAAATTTTAACTCTATTATTATGAAGATTAGATTCTAAATTATCTATGTTTTTATCTTATTTTGATTTATCGGCATTCTAGAGCATGTAAGGATTATCTCCAAATATACTATTGTCATCATCAGCTTGAGTCTTTTTTGTAAAGCACATTTCAGTTGTTTTTGTGCGATTAAATTCTTTATTTGCTTTAATATTAAAATCACCAATTTAAGTAGAAACACCCAAACTCATGCTATCTGTAATTCCAGGCTTTGACCTCCTTAATGACTTCACATTGAGATTATAAAGTTCTATTTCTCTATTGAGTTCTTTATTGATGACATAGAGCTCTATTGATTTAAATTCGCTGGCAAATAGTTAAGATATTTAAATTTTAAGTAAATTAAATTTAGAAATATTTTTCGTTATTACAATGAATTCAGAGTAAAAAGTGAAAAACCTAACAAAATCTTATGTGTTTTCAAATTATAAGTAATCAGACTGCACAGATTAAACTATATTTTTCAACATCGAGTAAATTAGCGAAAGGTTGTTAGAAAGCAAGCAAGCTATTTTTTAAACGACAGTAACTTTTTTGAAGTTAGTGAGAGATACTTCTAGTTCCCATGTAAAATTCTATACAATAGAAAATAAAACTAAAAGACTTTTTATCCTTTACCATTCTTATATAAAAGAGCTACAAGAATTAATTTCTTTTTCATTCAAATAGCTAATGCATTCCAATTTCTGATTAAGAGTAATCAGATACGAATAGTACTTCTAAACTATGATTTAGTGGACTACATCAATTTATTAACAGCTGCTAGAAGTAGGAGGTTTTAGTTGGTTACTCTTTTGAGAGCTTTTTGTTGGCAAAGTTGGAGGTGAGTTTATTTTTATAGCAGCTAAATAATCTGCATTATCACTACTTTTTTTAATTCCATTTCTTTGCATATTCATCTCATAAGCATGAGCTTACTACTTTTCAAAAGCAGATGGATCTTGAATATATTATGATATTTTTAGCTATATTATTTATGGAACATTGTTTTCAATATAGTGAATCAGCATTAATATTTTTAAACTTTTCATCCAATGCTTAACATCAACTTGCTAATAGTATTCTAGAATGATTTTCACACCCTCTTCAAAGCTTGTTTTATCGTTAAGTCCCAACAAAGTATTAATAACTAATTAATAATGCTTATCTTTAGCTAATTTAATGTCATCGCTCCACGTTATCTTAATCATGGATTTCTAAAAAGCATTTTTATTTATCATGCTCAGATGCTTCCTAATAACATTCATTGATCCTATGCTGATTTTAAGTAAACTTTCAGAATTTCAACAGCTTTTTTTTTTGCTTCTTATATCTATTGTTTATGCTTAATTTATGTAGAGTTTGGTTATTGTTACTTTAATTTTTGATATTTTTAAAGAAATATATAAATATATTATTATTATTAATCTTAATATAATTAATTATCAAATCTAATAAAAATTTTTCCTATATTTATTTAATATGTTCATCGAAGAAATATCACTTTAAAACTTATTACAAGCAAATCTTACTCATTTATTATCATCTAAAATAATATCTCCGAGTTATTTCCTTACACTCATTTTTGCTTTTCTAATCCTTTTTGGTGTCAAAATGGTTAATTACTTTTTTTCTATTTTAAAGATTATTTAGCATTTATATATTTAAAATGGTTCTATGTATAAATATTATATTAAAAACTCGATAACAAGTGTTTTTTTAAGCCATTTAAATTGATCTATTTTTTAATTGACAGCTTTAGTATGTTTATTATTACTTCAAACACTTGTTTAGAAAAAATTTACTTAAACGATTTTTGTTTTTACTTCGTCATGTGTAAATGTGTTTAAATTATTTTTTATGATGCAAATGCTATCGAATTTAATTAATTTAAGTAAAACCATTATTCAAATATTTATTTTTAATGTTAATTATAAATAGCTTCATCTCGATATCAAATTAAAAGAACTATGGTTATAAATAATTCTCAGCTTTTATTTGATATAGTTGAATTAATATTAATCATTCATAAAATTTGTTTTTTAATCATTTAGTTTTCAATCAGTAGCAAGCCTTGAAGTATGTTTACAAGTATTAGAATTTGCTTTCTACCAAATAAAAAAAACTAGAAAATAATAATAAATTTTTTTAAAAAAAAATAAAATTTATTTTACAAAGCAAATTTGTTTTATTTTGAATTTATCAATAACTATATTTTTTTAAGTAAATTATTAATTTTTCAAATGCATAGCTAAGTTAGTTATTTAAGATATTTTATAGATGAAAGATATACAATCAGTGGTAATTAAATTTGTTTTTTTAGAAATAAATTATTGATTTTAAAACTATTTTCAAATATTTAAAAAAATTAAATGTTAAGTTAATACTAATTATTCAAATTTTTTTTTAAGTCACATTTAATAATATTTCATTTAACAAAAAATAGTATTTGATCATAACAAAAATAAAAAGTAAATGCTAAAAACACTCTCTTTGCTTTTAAAAATGGTAAGTAAATTAGTAAGCTGTTGAATGATAAAATTATTAAAAACAATAATTCTAATATATATTAAATTTATCTGAATAAGTAAAATCTAGAAACACATTAAGTGAAAGTCTTAATAAAATATTTGTTTGTGTGTTTTAAATTTGAGAAATTGGTGTGTGATTAATTAAAAATATATTTTATATTAAAAGGATGAAAATAGAGTAATTTATTTAATTTATCTTTTTTGTGATTTTAATTGAAAATTTTTTTTTGAATTGTTTTGAAGATATTTAAAAAAATAAAATATCTTTTTCTAAATTATGAAAAAATATGAAAATTGAATAATATTTTAATGATTGATTGATTAACATGTATGTTGAAAATATTAAAATTGTGATATATATATTTAATTCGAATAATGCAGCACTTATCTGAAATTTGTTTGGACACATTTTAACTCTCAAAATTATTATTCATTTTATCTGTTAATTAACTTAACTAAAATCAACAAACAATTTGCTAACTTAATTAATAAACTAATTAACTCATTTATTAATAATAGATAACATTTATTTTAGTTTTGATACATAAATGGGTTTGTTTTTGTTGATTTTGAAATGATAGTAAATTGATTTTTTTTTTATTGAATGAAAAATCAGACAGATATCAAATAGGCTGATTAGTTAGTTTGCATTTTAGCTAGCTTTAAATGATAAAAATATTTGCCGCTATTATAATTGCTATATTTATATATATTTATTTGTATATTTAATTGATAGATAGATAGATATATAGTTAGCGAGACAGATATTGAGTACGTACACTTTTTGCAATAACAAGAAGGTGACTGACTGATGGAGTTTGAAGTGAATTTTAAATTTAAATATACAAAAATAATATTAATGAATAAAAAATAACTACTTTAGGGATTTATTAATTTATTATATTAAGCCTATATAATTAATTCTATCTTGACATCGATCAATCAGTGGCTATACTGATTCCTAGATGCTTTTTCATTAGTTATTTTTGCTTATAACATTACTAATTAATCATTATTTCTTGGGAGCGGTGGCATCAGTCTTAACAACTTGGGGCTTTCTGTTTCTAATAGGGGGTCTTCTGATTCTTCTGTCTTCAGCGCATCTAACTCTGACAACTCTGCTGTGGATAGCGCAAGAGATACAGTATTGGAGCTTAACGTAGAGCTTGGGAATACCTTATTTTTCGTTTTCGAAAGCTAACTTCTATTAGATATCTCTCTTGGAAGAGGGATCGACCATATCTCTGACGGTGTATCTCTTGACAGCTTTATCCTTAGCAACTTGTCTACCACAGTTGGTGCAGGGAACAGTTCTGGTGTGACCTCTGTTCTTTTAACTTCTACCGGCGTTTCTTCTTTTGACAGGCATTATTGATTACTTTTTTTTTTCTTTTAATTTTAATGTTTTCTAAATGATATATTTATCTTTTGATATACTTTTTATATTTAATTTTGGATTGCTTTTTAAGAATTAGCTTTCTCTTTTTTATATGATTCACTCTTCTTTTTATGTATTTCCTTCACATTCAATTTTTTTATTTCTTTGCAAAATTCATTAATTTATCCCATTTCTCTATCTTTCAATTCCATGTCCTCCTCTTCCATGTTCTTTTCCTTGCTTTTTTTATTCATTTTTTCATTTTACCACTTATTATCATCTCTTCATTCATTTTCATTATTGTATCATAATATGCAAGCATATTAATATCGAATGAATGCTTTTATTCATTCATATATCTATATTTCCTCTTTAATTCAAATTCCCTTAAATACTTCTATCCTTGTGTCTCATTTTTTCTAACAAATCTTTAAAATTAATTCTTTCAAACATATTTCAATCATTTATTTATAGGTAGTTTAAATTCCATAAAATTATGAAGCCAACCTTAAACAAAAAAACAAACAAACAAACAAATAATTAAAATAAATTTCTCAGTCAAAAATATATTCATTTATTCGTTCATTTATTTATTTTCACTAATAAGATAAAAACAACATTTTTTAATTCGAAAAGTTAACATGAAATATTTTTAAAAATGATTTTTCAAATATAAAAAAATTAAATGAATTTAAATTTAATGAATTAAAAATGATTAAATTAATGAATAATAGAAAAAATGAACAAATATAAAAATAAAAGCATTCAAAATAATTAGTAAATCTGGTAAAAGAACTAAATGTTCATTAATTAATTCATCCATACATATAATTTAAAATATAAATAAAATTTAGTTTTTTGTTTTAATTTTCTATTTTACTTTTAAAGTTATGTTTAATAATTTTTATAAGTTTTTATTTTATTTTGATAAAATTATATAAAATAAATTTATCTATTTATAATTAGTTAGTTAGTTATTTATTTATTTTGGTGTTTTTTATTCATATTTTTTATTTTATGAATTTCTAATTTTAAAATATTTTTATTAAAATAGTTTTCTTTTAAAAAGTTTTGTGCTGCAAGTAAATTCCTTTATTTATTGCAGCATCTCTCTAAGTTATTTGGATAAAAAGCTTCATTAATTAGTTAAACCTTGTAATTATCTATCCACAAGTTGCTTATATATTCCATTCCTTTCAATTAATTCTTTATGATTGCCTATTTCTGCTACTTTTCCTTTATTTAATACCACTATTTTTTCGCAGTTCATAATTGTGCTCAGCCTATGAGCTATAAGAATAATTGTCATATCTTTTTATTTTTACATTAGCTCATCAATAGCCTGCTAAACCTATATAAAATAATAAAAATTATTTAATCTAAAACAAATTTTGTATAAAAATATCCTTCTAAAGATGTAAAAATAACAAATATTAAATTTTCTTTAATTAAAAAAATATTTTAATTTTTCTTAATTTTTTTGCAATAAAATTTCTAAAATTATTCATTCTCCATTCATAAATAAAATAATTAAATTAATTTATTTTTATTTAAAATCTTATTATTTTTTGCAAATACTTTTCAAAAAAAAAAATTATTTTCAACTTTTTTAATTATAAAATGGTTTGAAATTAAAAAATGAATTACTTAAAATTCGCTTTCTGCATCCAAAGCGCTTGTTGCTTCGTCAAATATTAATATTCTTGGTTATAAAATCAAAGCTCTACTAATTGCTATTCTTTATTTTTATCCACCTTTTTATAGTAAATATTTTTTTTATGGGTTTTAAATTGAAATTCTTAATTTACCTGATAATTTAGCTCCTGCTTCACCGACTAAAGTTTTATAACCTAAAGGGAAATGAGTTTTATCATGAATAAAATTATAAGAATTAGCTAACTTGCAAACCTAATCTAATAGCTCTTTTGAGTATGGTTTTTTCATTCCATAAGTTATATTCTCTTCAATGGTACCAGAAAAAAGTAAAGGTTCTTAGCTAACATAGCCTAATTTTTAATCATAAATTATAACTTAATTTTGAATAGATCATCTTTAAAATAAATAAATATTTAATACTATATTCCCTTTAACAATAGAAAAGTTCTATTTTTATAAATTATTTCTATTAAATATTAAATTAAAGTTTTACCTATGTAACTATGCAAGAAAGTTAGGTCAATTTCTTTGATGTTATATCCATCAATTGTAATTTAGCCTTAAGTTACATCATAAAAACGCTCTATAAGTCTAATTACTGTAGATTTTCCACTTCCACTCTGACCAACTAAAGCTACTCTCTCACCTGGTTTTATATCTAAGTTGAAATCGCTCAGCACTTTAACATGATCTGTATGTTTGTAAGAGAATCCCACATTTTAAAAGCTGATTTCACCTGTTTATATATTAAAAATTATTACATTTTATCTGAATTTTATATTTAAATATTTAATTTTTATTTCATTTATTTACCTCTAAAGTTAAAGTATGTTAATCCTCCTTAACATTTTATTTTAGGCTTTTTATCCATTAGCTTAAAAAGTCTATCAGAGGCACCAGTTGCTGTTACAATTTTACTGAGAGAAGAGCTGATTGATGATGTTGCACTTGCAAGTGATCCTGTATACAAAATTACTGATGCTAATTGACCAGATGTGAGGTCATTTTCTTATAAGACTAAATAACCTCCATACCATAAAACAGCTAAAGTTGCAAAATCAGATACAAGAGAATTTATACCATTGTAGAGACCACTGGAAACGCTTTTATTATAACCTAATAATATTATTGAAAAAATTAGAATTTATTATATAATCAAATTAAAACATTTTACCTACTTCATAGCATTATTTCATAACATCGTTGTATCTCAAAATTTCTTTATCCTCATTTGAAAATGCCTTCACTGTTTTAATGTTAGAAAAACACTCTTAAGCATGACTGCTAACTTTAGCTGTATAATCTTAATACTTTTTAGTCAATTTTTTAAGATATCTTCCATAAACACTTGAAGTTATGATAAAAATAGGAATCATAATAGCAATTACTATGAATAAGCTCCTCGAAATAAGGAAAAGCATTATAACATTACCTTTTACAATATAAAATTTAATATATTTTTTTAATTTAGATTGAAATTAATTCATTACCAACACAAATAATAACATTTCTTATTGTTGTAGAAATGTTTCCACTTGCTGCAGCTTTAGCTGTTGCTTTTATTTGAATTAAGGAAAGTATAATTAGTATTAATTTTAATAGTGAAAAATTAAATAGAGATTACAAATATCATTTCCTAATCTACTTATCAGCTCTCCAGAGTGCTGTTTATCGTGAAAAGAAATTTCATTATGAATGAACTTGCTAAAGCAATCGTTTCTTAAATCAATAACGACTCTTTCACCAATGAGTGAAAATATGAATGTTCTAAAAAAAGAAGATATGCCATTTGCCAGGAATATAAGAATAGCTTAAAATGCTAATTAATTTAGTTTATCTAAGTCTCTTTCCTTAATAGTAGCGTCTAAAAGTCTACCTGAAACAGAAGGAATAAAAACTTAAGAAACTGATTAAGCAATTAAAAATATATGGCCTAAAAGAGAAAGTTTCCACTATTTTCTTGAGTATTTCAGCATTCTTTTGTATGTTTCCCATTTAAATTTTTTCTTTTTCTTCTTTTTTTCAACTTAGCCTTCTTCTGCAAATATGTTATTGCTTGAATCATCTTAAATTTTATGATATGTCTTGCTTTCACTTCTTACTCTCTAATTTCCTTATAATAGTTACTCTGTCTACTAATCTTAAGTACCTAATTCTATTGAAGTCCCAACTGTAGAATTCATATTATCTAAATTAGTTTCATCTGAGTTATTCTTTGAAGGTATTTTTGTCAATTAAACAATCTTCTACTTTTAAAATGAATCTTCCTTATACGGACTCTATTGAGGTGACTTATTTACTTAGTTTATTTAGTTCTTGTTAGTCGCCTAGTCGTCTTAAAAGTCATCCTCTTCTTCCAAATCATATTCCTTCTCATTTAAAAATATCAACATCAAATGAGTTATTTTTAAATTAATATTTAGCAGCTAATTAAAAAAAATATTTCCATTAGGAATAGATAAACAATAATGAATTTATTTCTTCTAGTTCTAATAATAATTTTTGTTCTATTTAGCTGCTTCAGAACAAAAAAATTTATGCTGCCATAATAAATAATTAAGACATATATTTTTTCCATATTTTTAAATCCTTGAATATTTTCTCATTTTATTTTGATCATTTAAGAACTCATTTAGACTTATGGCAGGCACTCATGTCATACATATGAAGTAAATAAAAACAATAAAAAGCTGTAGCTATGCTTAAAATATTTTAATTTTTAATTTACTTATTTCGGGGAAGCATCTGAAACTTCTTCTTAGTCATCATTATCATCGTTCTCTTGCTAGTTTTCCGTTTCCTGTTCTGGCTTTTAGAAAAGACGGTAATAATTTTCTTACTCACTAGACTCACTTGCAATTTATTTTTTCAATTTGGATATTCCTTGCTTCGATTCAAACTAAGATATTGTTACAACTCTTTCTCTAAGCTCTTGGATATTTTCTTCTTCGTCTTCATCATCTTCACTGCTTGAAGATTGATCTGCTTAGTTTTTTAATTCAGTTTTTCTCAACTTATTTCTTATTTCTTCTACATCAATTTCAGGCTCTTCATCTTCCTTATTTTAATGATCGTCATCAATCTTTCCGCCTTCTTCCTCTTCACTCTTTAAAGACTCTTTGTTAAACAACTTATTATTAGTAGCAGTAGCTGCAGCAGGCTGGTGCTCTTTTTAATTTGAATTGCTTGCAGAACTGCTAGTATTCGCAAAGTTATTTGCCAAATTATTTCCGCTTTTATGCTGTATCTCTTACTCTTTATATTCTACTTCATCATCTGGGAATTAATTGTGGTCTTTAGAAGCAGAATTCTATTTCTCCGTTAAATTGCATTAGTCTAACTCTTCTTACTCCTCTACGGTCAGTTGCTGCTTGTTGCCGCCAACCTTATCTCCACCATCCTCCTTAAAGTACTTTTTAATTTTTTTTTTTACTTCCTTTTTCATTTAATTGTCTATTAAAAATTCTGTAATATTATTATTATTATTTATGAATGATATATTATTGATTAATTCTTACTATAATTTGAAGCTAATTAATTCACGATATTATAAAAATAAACTAATAAATAAATAAATCAATAAATAATTATTTTCTCTACCATAATTACATAATCTTTAATCCATTACATTATATGAGAACCCACTTTACATATATCAATTGTATTATTTATGAATCCAGCGTTTTCATAGAACTGAAAAATTAATTAATACTGTCATTAATTTTTAGTGCAAGACAATAGAAGTAACATCCTTAAAATGTATTTTAAAATTGAATATAACCTAAAAATTATTAATTATATATTATAATAAATAGAGTGAGATTAAATAATTTTTTATTAAGCTAAAGATGCTCGATTGACTGCCTAAAAAAGCAAATAATTTTATAAGAAATAAACATTTTTGGAGAAAATTTCTTTTAAAATATTTTAAATCATTTTTTTTGAATCCTCTCTTTATTTCGATAAATTTTATCACACATTTTATATTTATTATGTTATGCTAATATAAAAACTAATAATAATATAAAAATAATATGACCACGAAATCTAGAAATCGAAAAAGATAACTTTTCTTTGGTCATTGATTTTTGAATTAATTTTCAATTTATCCTTTGAAAATAATTAAAAAACTTTAAAAATATTTATTGAAAACAAATTTAATTTTTTTTAGCGAATATAGTTTAAAAAATGGAAATATCTAAAGAAGATAAAGGAAAACCTGTCGTTAAAGCTTTAGATATGACAGAGGAAATGGAAAACGATGCCTACGAAGTAGCAAAAAAGGCTTTAGAAAAGTTTTCTATTGAAAAAGATATGGCTTAGTATATAAAATTAGAATTTGATAGATTATATTCTACTAGTTGGCACTGCATAGTTGGAAAATAGTTTGGTTCTTACGTTTCTCATGATTCTAAGCATTACATATATTTTTATATTGGAGAAATGTCCTTTTTATTATACAAATTTGGATGACATTGTTATAAACTTATTACATATCTTGTATTTATTTATAAAAATAATAAGCTTATTAAAAAATCTTCAATCAAAAACAAAAAAAATAGCCAACACATTTAGCATTTCAAAATTTAGAATTTCTAAGTAAAATTTCAATTTTCATTAAATACATTTAAGATTTATTTAATGTCTAAAATAGCATAATTATCCTTTTAAGTTAATTCATATTTCATTTAAAAACTTAAATTTTTCAAAGAATTTTTTAAAAATAACAAAAAAAAACAAAAGATAAAGATGCATAAAATCTAAAGCTTAAAAAAAATACTTTTGTGTTTGTTTATTAGTTAATTAGCTTTATTTTCAGTTTTTGTTATAAAAATTCAAAAAAAAAATATAGATTGCTATATTTTATTTTTAATGCAAAGATTTTAAAAAAATTTTTTCTATTTTAAAATTGATAAAATAAAAATTATAAAATAAATAAAAACTTATTCATTTTGCTTTTAAAATTTAGAATACATTAAAATCAATGAGATATTAGGACATTTTGATATTAAATTTTTAATTATCTAAGCGTATATTTTTTTTAATTATAAACCAGTATACAAGTATACAGACAGACTCTTTAAATTGTTAGTTTGTTTGTTACCTTAAATAAATATGTTTAATTAAATAATTATGATATAACTTTTTTAAAAGTCAAGATTTAAATAAGAATTTATTTTTTTTATTTTTCATTAAATATTTTACTTATTTTACATTTAAATGCAAACTTATGTTATAAATAAATTATTTAATTAATTTATTGAATACAGAAAAATTATTAATTTATATACAAAAATATTTTTATAAACTCATATAAAAGTATTATATTTATTATAGGCAAAGAATCAAAATCTTCTAAGATTGACAAAAGATTTATAGAGCATAATTTTATATGAACAAAATTATTTCTAACTTTTAAAAACATAAAAACATAAAAAGCAGCTTTAATCTTAAAAAATAAAAATTTTTTTCCAATATTTAAAAAAATTCTGAGTTCTATTTTTGTAATTCATTTTATGACTAGTTTTTTAGTAAAAATCTTGAATTCTAATTTTTAACTAGTGCATTAAAAATTTATAATTTACTTATTTTATGGTTGTTAATATTGTAATAGGAATTATTTAATTAATGATTGAATATATATTTGATATTATTTTTTTTTTAAATAATTAAAATGCACTAAAAAGTTATTAGAAACGATCAAGAGATAGTATGCTTTCCTTCTTGTGGAAAGACAAATAAGCTCAAAAATAGAAAATTAGATTTCTAATCCGCTATTATATTTTTAAAGCTTAGAGAAGAAGGATGCAAGAAAAGATAAGCCATCAACTTCAGTAAAAAAGATTACTGTAAAATTGATACTTCAAAATAAAAAGATGGTCCATCTGATTGCAGAATATTGAAACCTAAAAACATAAAAGGCCTTTAAATAAACGTAATTCTAATTTTTATTTTGATTGATTTTCTTGAGACATAAATACTTTTTAGGGATGGGAACTTAGCGGTTAGAGAGATTACAATTTGGGGAAAAGATTTAAACTCCTTAAACAACTTGAAATTCATTCAGATGAAGAAGACTAAAAAATAACTAATATTATTGAACAAAAGGCTTACAATAACACCCACGACTACTTATATAGAATAAAAGTTTTGGAAAATTACTAAAGGGATATTGAATAAAAATGTCACATCCCAAAATATAACAAAATACTCATGCAGAATAAGGTAAGTTTGTTATTTATTTTGCTTGTTTGCTTTATTATTTTTTTTAATTTGGTTTTTTTTTTGCTTGCTTTTTAAATAGACTTTTGATCATTTTTAATGGTAAAATATTGATTGATGAGTTAATTAAATATAATTTTAAAGAAAGTAGAAGTTTGTTTGTTTTATACTATTGATTATTTAATTGTTATTATTGATTTATTATTGCATTTAATTTGTTTACTTATTTTTATTAAAGATTAATGAAATATAAAACGAAATGATTGAATTATAAAATAACCCAATCTATCACATGAAATTTAAAAGAGTTAACTTGTATGAAATATTCTAAGACTACCCTTAGACTAAAGAACTTCAGGATGAATATAATAGCAATTACATTAATCTATTTGACTCGTTCTCTCATATTTACAACAAAAATGAGTGTAAAGCTTTCTTTTTTTATCAATCAAACGCTTTCTGAAATTCTTCTTTTTTAAGTTTAAGGAAAAATTTAATACAGCCGATTGGATGAAAAATAAAAAACTAAGAATCAACCAATAATTATGCCTGAATTAAAATTACAGCCATCTATTTCAACCAAAAATTCTATTGAAAGCTAAAATAACATCATACTACCGATAGATGAAATTGAAGATAAAGAATAAAATGGTTAAAGCCTAAGTTCATAAAACTCCCCCAAAGCTTCTAAATTATCAATTAAGAGATCTTCAAGCTTGCAAAACTCATTTTTCAAGAGCAAATTTAGCACTATTTTGAATAAATCAATTGATTCAAAAGATTAATAAAACTCTAACTCAAAGTCACCGAAATTTAAATTTGTTGATATATCTCCCAAAAGAAGTCCTTATATAAATATAGAATAAGAAACTTAAATAGATTCCTTATTTCTAAGCGATTCTGATCAAGATTAATTTTAATAAGATAAATTTTAAACAACAGTTGTACCCTAGCTAAAACAAATGGAATTTTAATAAAAAATAGATTGGCTAATAAATTCTTCTATCGCCAAAAGAGTATATTCTAAATTATCCTTTTTAAAGTGTATATTTTATTTAAATATAATATAAATAGTAGGCCTAATCGTAATTCCCACTCAACCAAAATGTGAACACTTCTTTTCTTTAAACACAAATTGATAAAGTTAAATCAGTCAATGATAAAATTATGAAAAAATCAATCTAAGATTTTAATGAATTAGACACAAGATCAAGATTTTTAACTCATTAATCGTTCTATAGAGTAAGATTTATTTTCAACATACTTTTTGCTTTTATTTTAATTAAATTTTTTTGGAAATTTTATGACTAAAATAATTTTTAACTAATTTAAAATAGAAATAAAATAGCAATTCATCAAATACCACATAGAAGTCTTTCTTTTAGTAGACTTAAAAGTCTTTCTTTTAATAAACTTAAAAATCATTTTTTTAGCAGACATAAAAGTCTTTTGTCTCAAATGGCAATATGTCTAGTAAGCATAGAATTCTCTCAACCCATAATTCGAAAAGTTGAAATATTATCATTTAAATTCTATCTCAAAACAAAAAATAATTATTTATCAAAAAATTTTCATAATATTATTTTATATTCATATTCTAATGATTTTTGTAATTTTGATTATTTTTAATTAGTTTAAAAATAAACTTATTAAACAAACTAACAAAAAAGCAAATAAATAGCTCACAATCCTACTTTAAAATTAGATTTTATTTTACTTTTCTTACAAATTTACTTAATTTAATTAAATAACTTATTTATTAATACTATTTTTTAATTTATGCTAAGTTTTAAATTTAAAAATAAATATCCAATTTAATATTGCCAAAAATCTTTATTTTTAAGGTAATTATTCATTTTTAAAATTGGTTAAAAATAAATTAGGCTATCATAGATATAATTTTCTAAAATTAAATAAAGTAAAATTTTTTATTTGATAATTATTTAGAGCCAAAACTATCTATTTATCATATTAATATTTAGAATAATTTTTTTCATTAATTAAGGCCCATTAAAATAAATTCTGAAATAAACACATTTACATTACTAAAAAAATATATATCTTAATTAACACTTTGCTTAATATAAATATTTTACTAATTTAATAAAATGTAATATAAATTGAAAATAATCTGAGTATTGTCAGAATAATATTCTTAACTTTACTTGTTCTAGATCTCTAATTGAAAATATCAAGAAAAAACAAAAGTTGATTTATCATATCTAATTTATATCTTTTTATTAATTTACTTATTCCTATACAAAAGGATTTTCCTAATAAATCTACTGAGGGTTATATTACTGTAAAATTTAATCATTTTCTAATTATTTTAATGTATTCTAGCTGTCATTTTCTACTTTTAAAGCTTAATCTGATCCATCTTAATTGAAATCGATTTCAATTTAATTATTTTGCAGTTATTAATTTGTATTTCTTATAATTTTTAATGAATCTATTTCATACTATTAATTGTTAATTTTATCATTAATATCATTTATTATTTGCTACACTTTTTAATTATTTATATTTAAAAATGCTTTCAATTTTCTGAACAGAATAAAAGAAGCTGCTAAAATAACAATTACCAAAGCTGCAAATAATGATATCATAATAATTACAATCAATGAATTCTATTCTTAATTATTATTTGAGTTAACTTAATTACTTTCATCTTTATTAATATAAATACAAATACCTTAACCTAAACTTTTAAAACCATCAATACATAAATTAGATGATTAACAACTTGCTTAGTCTTTTGCAATTACTCCTTAATAACAATAGAACATGCATTTCTATTATTTATAATCATAATATTGCTAGCTTTTGCAACTATTTTAGCAATAATTAGTATTTGCTACAAAACTACAATTTGGGCATAAATGCAAATAATTATCAGGCTAAAAACAAAAACTTAAATCTCTTTTGCATTTTTATTCTGAATTGCTCCATTATGCTCCATTTATACATAAGTTTGATAAAGGACAACTTTTTTTATTTAATGCAATAATTCCATTCCCGCAATATACCATACATTATTATTACTGATAATTATAATATTATAGTTCTGAACCAGATGCACATTGATTTATTTATTAGCAATTCATCTGCTCAGTTGTAATTCTACAATTTAGACATTACCATAAAAATGGCCAAAAAGTATCAGAAGAAAGAATTTGAGCAGAGCAAATAATTTTCTCACATTATTTATTCTATAAATTCAATTAATATCCTTCGATACATAATAAATTTTGTGATAATTAGCAATCAGAATAACTTTTTGCAATTTTTCCATTTGTACAATACTCATAGCATGATCCATATTAAGTTGAAAAGTATTATGAACTTGTGCAAATACTATTATAACAGTATTGAACATCTGAAACCAAGCTACAAGACTAGCATTAATATATTTATAAGTTTTAATCAAATACTTTTTAAGAACAAGTTTATAATTGAATGCATTTTTGGTCTGTAATACTCCATTAATATCCATCAATACAAACATTTGAGCAACCATTGATATTAATTATTCCATTTCCACAATATTAATAATAGTTAAAGTGTTTTTATGAATAATAATATAAATTTCCTCCTATACAATATTATGCAGGGCAATAATATGAGCAATTATTAATATCTGAAACTATTTAACAGTTTTCACATTAAATTAAACCTAGATTTAAATCATTATTGCTCAATTATGAGACGCAAGCTGACTTGATTTTAATTAATAGAAGAAAAAATATTCCTATTGAAAAGTACATTTTTTTAGGATTTTTTTGAACAATAAATTTAGTTAATTTTTTTAATAATTATTTTAAGCTTAATAGAGAATAAATTGTCATCTTTAATTAAGAGGTAAAATATAATAAAAGAATTATCATATATATTGATAATTAATACTTGCTAAATTTTACTCTTTAGAATTTAAGTTATTACAAATATTAAAATTAAATAAAAGTACTTAAAGTTGTTACTTATATTTATTCAATCGAGGAGCTTTGTTTAACTTTAATAGTCTTCATATTTTTATACTTAAGTAAATGAACAGGATATTAGTTCTAGCAGAAGTTATGATGAAGTTACTATAAATTAATACAAAAATATCTTAATCTTTATTATATTTAAAAATAATTATGTTTAGAAACTAAGGCTCTTAATCAAATTTACTAGTAGCGTTTTGTTATTATTGATTAAATATCAATATTTTTTGGTATCAATAATTTGCTTTTTACTTTACATCTTTATGAATAATTTTATTACCATTCATCAGAAAGATATTCAAAATTTAAAAAATAGGTAAAACTTAATTTGAGATGATGTTTCAAAATAAATTGGATACTCTTAATCAAATTTTAATAGTCAATCATATTTTACTTTTATTAATAAAAAATAATGATTATTTAAATATCAAATAATTGCTTTGAATTCTCAGTCTATATAAATCACTTAAATATCCTTCATTAAAAAAAGTATATCTATAATTTATAAAAATAGTTAAAAGTTAACCTGAAATTCCTTAAAATAAAATGAGTTTAAATTTTAGTATTAATATTATATAATACTAAGCATAAAAATTAAGAAAATCATATTTATTTATCTAACATTAAGTAGTTGATAACAAAGTTTTATTATTTATTCATCTAATTGGTTTTTATTCGATAATTTATGTCTTTTAATATTCATCTACAAAGTTAGGGAATGTAATAGAGTATAGATAAAAATAAATCTAAAAATTATAAATTAAAAATTAGTGAATAACAGATTAATACTGTAATTAAAGGATATGCAAGAAATATAGATCATATTTTTAAAAAAATATATTTTAGAACAACATAAAAGAAAATAGAAAGTAGACTTAAGACTTAAGATATATGTTTAATTTAAAATGCGGCAAATGAAAGGATAATATAAATACTAATCAGGCGATATAAAATTAAAAAATAAATGTTATTAATAAATTCATAAAAAGCTAAATATTTGAAAAATGTTAAAATGTATAGCACATCCATGAATTCAATTCTTGCAAACATTGAGATGCAAGAATCTAATTCATGGGTAAGCTATAAAACTAGATTAATCGAATTAATAAAAAATTATTAAATTTAGTCATTAAGCCTTTTTTTATTTTTTTTTAAATAAAATTTACAATTTTAAATTACCTGATTTATTTTTTATAATATTTTTTGGGTTATAATATTATTTTTATAATTTTTTCTTTTAAAAATTTCAAAATTTTAAAATAAACAATTTTTAACCCAAATCATTTTAAAATTAAATTCTATTCCTCTATATTAAGCAATCTTAAAATAAAAATTTCAAATCAAATAATTTTCTTAAATAAAAAATAAATCATTTCTTTATTATTATTAGCTTTTGCAACTATTTTAGCAATAATTAGTATTTGTTACAAAACTACAATTTGGGCTTAACTGCACATAATTATCAGGGATCTAACATATATTAAAATCTGTTTTGCATTTTTATTCTGAATCGCTCCATTATGCTCCAATTATACATAAGTTTGAAAAAGGACAACTCAATTTATCAAATGCAATAATTCCATTCCCACAATATGCCATACATAATTAATAATGATAATTATAATATAGTAGTTCTGAATTAGATACACAGTAAGGTTGATAAAAGCAATCCATCTTCTAAATTGTAATTCTACAATTTGGACATTGTGATAAAAATGCTGAAAAAGTATCAGAAGTAGAAATTTTAGCAGGGCAAATACTTTTCTCACATTTATTCTATGAATTTAATTGATATCCATCGACACATAATACATTTTATGAATTGCAATCAGCATAACGTTCTGCAATTTTTCCATCTGTACAATACTCATAGCATCTTCTATTTTTTATTGAATGGTATTAAGAACTTGAGCAAGAAATCATTTAACAGTCTTAAACATTTGAAGCTAAAGAACAATTTTAGCACTGATAAATTAAAAGGTTTTAATCAAAAATTTTCTCAACACAAGCTAAATTTTAAATGCATTTTTAATCTGTAATGCTCCATTAATATCCTTCAATACAGGTATTTAAATTATCATTACAATTGTTTAAACCCTAAATTCGTGCAACTATTCCATTTCCACAATATTAATAACAGAAAGTATTGTAATTATAAATCAAACCATTTACTGGAGGTGGATTTAGGCAAGGAATTGGGCAATACTTGATATCTGAAACTATTTAACAATTTTAACATTAAGCTAAACCTAGACTTAGATCATAAGTGTTCAATTAAAATTAGCAATCTGATTTGATTTTAATTAAAAGAAGAAAAAAAATTCCTATTAAAAAGTACATTTTTTTAAAGATTTTTAATTAATAAATTTACTTATTTTTTTTAAATTATTTTTTCACTAAATTGAAAACCGAAATATCATATATTTTGATAAGTAATACTTGCTAAATTTTTTTCTTAAGTACTTAAGTTATTACAAATGTTAAAGTAGTAAAATCATTTAAGTATGTCTTATATTACTTATATTTATTCAATTTAGAAGCTTTATCTATATTTAATAGTTTCATGTTTCTACACTTAATCACTCAAATGTAATATTCCTTTTTGTTTCTTACAGAAGATATGAGGTTTGTATAAATTGATTTAAAAATATCTTAATCTTTATTATGCTTAAGAATAATTATGTTTAAAAATTGAAACTCTTAATCTCATGTTACTTGTCGCATTTTGTGATTATTGGTAAAATATCAATATTTTTAATATTAAATATTTTCCTTTTTCTTTACATTTTTATAAATAAATTTATTACCACTCATCAAAAAGTTATTCAAAATTAAAAAAATAGGTAAAAATTAATTTGTGATAATTAATTTCTCAAAATGAGTAGATAATCTTAAACTAATTTTAATAGGCAATCATATTTTACTTATATTAGTATTAATTTTTTTTTAAATGTCAAATGATTGCTTTGAATTTAAGTCATTATGAATAAATTAAATATCCTTCATTAAAAAAAAAGCATATTTATAATTTATAAAAATTGGTTAAAGTTACATATGATTCCTTATAATAAAGCGAATTTAACTGTTAGTATTATGAAATATCACCAACCATTATATCATAATTTGTGATATTTGAAATATTGATAATATTATTAAAAAATATTATATTTTAGCACAACATAAAAGAAAATAAAGAAAATAAAAAGTAGGCTTAAAATATTTGTTTAATTTAAAAGGCGAGAATGAAAGAATAGTATACATAAATACTAATATGACGAAATAAAATGAAAAAAATAAATATTATTAACAAATTCATAAATAGCTAAATATTTGAAATATGTTAACATGATAAAAACAATAAAATAAACAGTCAAGCATATAGGTAACTGCTTAATAAAAAGAGGGTTTTATTATCAAAATATAATAAAATGTAACCTAACTAAAAATATAAAACAATTTATAAATATAGGGTGTAACTTAATAAAATACTATGAGTGAATTCTAGGAAATATTAATCTTCTTAAGATAAATTCGAAAAAATTTTCAAAATTTATTTTTTTTTCAAAAAAATGACATGTTTTTAGAATATATGATGTCTATTATTTCAAATTTTACATTTTGCGAATTTAAAGCTTTCTAAAAACTCAAAAACAAAGCTATTTTAAGCTTATTTAGCTTTATTTATTATGCTTTAAGATATATTACATTTTGCCTTTTGTAAATTAAATACGCATTTCACTCTTTGAAAGTAGATATAATAAAAATGATTTTTAAAAATATTAATATAAAAACAAGTCTAACCATAAAAATTGGTTGTTACAGTAGAAAAAAGGTGAATGAGTTTTTACTCCCCTTATCAATTATATGTTGTGCTTAATATATGATAATATTTGGCATATTATGCAATATAAATTGAAAATAATCTTAAAATTGTAAGAATAATATTCTTAGCTTTACTTTTTCTATATCTCTAATGGACAATATCAAGAAAAAACAAGAATTTATTAATCATAGCTAATTTATATCTTTTAATTAATTTACTTATTCCTATAAAAAAGGATTTCTCTAATAATTCTAATGAGAGTATTATTACTGTAAAATTTAATCATTTTCTAATTATTTTAATGTTTTCTAGCTGTCATTTTCCCCTTGTAAAGCTTAATCTTCGCCATTTTAATTTTAATTAAAATCGATTTCAATTTAATTATTTTGCAGTTAATCATTTGTATTTCTTATAACCTTTAATAAACCTATTTCTTACTATTAATTGTTAATTTTATCATTAAGATCATTTATTATTTATTACACTTTTTAATTATTTATATTTAAAAATGCTTTCAATTTTCTTAACAGAATAAAAGAAGCTGCTAAAATAACAATTATTAAAACTGCAAATAATGAAATCAATATATTAATAGTCAATAAAATTTATTCATATTTTGAAGTACTTTAATCATTATTTGAGCTAAATTAATTACTTTAGATAATTTTCTCACAACCACATTAACCAAATTGATATCCATCTATACAGTATGGATTTGTTGAAAGTGAGCATTGATTATAAGTTTTTGCAATTTTTACATCTCCACAATACTCATAGCATTTTCCATCTTTCATTGAATAGTATTAAGAACTAGAGCAATTATATTTACAGTTTTAAACATCTGAAACCAAGCTACAAGACTAGCATTGATATATTTACAGGTTTTGATCAAACATTTTTTAAGGACAAACTTAAAATTTAATACATTTTTAATCTGGAATACTCCATTAATATCCATCAATACAGGTATTTATATCTTTACAGTTAAAATCTAGAGCAATTATTCCATTTCCACAATATTAAAAACATTTTGTGTATTTTTATGAATAAATTCTAAACAGAGTGCCTTGATCAAGTAAGCAATCTTATGAGCAGTACTTGGTATCTGAAACTATTCCGCAATTTTAACATTAAATTAAACCTAGACTTAGATCATCAGTGTTCAATGGGATACAAGCTGACTTGATTTTAATTATAAGTAGAAAAAATATTCCTACTAAAAAGTATATTTTTTTTAGGGTTTTTAATTAATACATTAAGATTTTTTTTTTAATTATTTTTTTTTAGCTAAATAAAAAAGTTGTTGTCTTCTTTGATAAGTAAAATAAAAAAAGAGAAATATCAAATATTTTGATAAGTAGTACTTGCTAAATTTTAATCTTAATAACTTAAGTTATTATAAATGTAAAATTAAGTAATAAAATTTTTAAAACAATAAAATAAATAGATTAGCATATAGATAACTGCTTAATAAAAAGAGGGTTTTATTATTAAAATATAATAAAATGTAACCTATCTAAAAGTATAAAACTAAATATGTGTTATATAAATTTTTAGAATAAAGTTGTTTGATTACCCTCTAAAAAAATATTTTCTTTAAAAAATAAATTCTTAGTAAAGCACATTGTTAATGAAGATTGTTTTTATTTTTTGTAATGAAATATATTTATTTTAATAATATTTGGCATATTATGTATTATGAATTCAAAACAATCTTAATATTGTCAGAACTAAATTCTTAGTTTTACTTATTCTGATATCTCTTATGGAAAAAAGAAGCAAAACACCAGTTTATTAATCATAATTAATTTATGTCTTTCTATTAACTTACTTATTATTATAGGAGAGGATTTTCCTAATAGTTCTATTGAGAATATTATTACTGCAAAATTTCATTATTTGCAAATTATTTTATTGTTCTCTAACTATCATTTTAATCTTGTAAAAGTTAATCTTCTCCATTTTAATTTATTTCGATTTCAATTTAATTGTTTTTCAATTAATTATTTGTAATTCTTATAATTTTTAACGAATCTATTTCTAACTATTAATTACTAATTTTATCATCAATATATTTTTTTAGTGTTGATTCATAATTATTTATTATTTGTTGCATTTAATCATTTTTATTTAAAAATACTTTCAATTTTTTTAACACAGCAAAAGAAGCTGCTAAAATAAGAATTATCAAAGCTGCAAATAATGATATCATAATATTTACAGTCAATGAATTTTATTCATATTTTGAAGTATTTTAATTATTATTTGAATTAATTTAACCATCTTAGTTATTATTTTCATCTTTACTAATAGGATTACACTTACCTTAACCTACATTTATAAAACCATCAATACAAAAATTAGAAGATTAACAACTTGCTTAGTCTTATGCAATTACTCCTTAAAAACAATAGAACATGCATTTTTATTATTTATAATCATAATAATATTAGCTTAAACAACTATTTTGGCAATAATTGATATTTGTTACCAAACTACAATTTGAGCATTGCAGCAGATAATTATCTGGTGAAGAGGTAGAACAAGTAATTAATTATTTTTTGCATTTTTTTTCTAAATCACTCCATTATGTTCCATTTATACAAATATTTGATGAAGGACACGTTTTTTTATCGATTGCTATAATTCCATTACCACAATATACCATACATAATTATTACAGCGAGTAATAATATTATAGTTCTGAACCAGGTATACATGGATTCTAGCAATCTTTCTAATAATAAGCGATGCTACAATTTAGACATTAAAATAAAAAAGCTGAAAAAGTATCAGAAGTAGGAATTTAAGCAGAGCAAATATTTTTCTCGCATTTATTTTATGAACTAAAATGATATCCATCGATACATAAATGTTGTGAACTTCCGCATTGACTATAAGTTTTTGCAATTTTTCCATCGACACAATACTCATAGCATTATCCGTATTGCATTGAGTAGTATTAAGAACTAGAGCAACCATTTTTACAGTTTTAAACATCTGAAACCATGCTACAAGACTAGCATTGATATATTTACAGATTTTGATCAAACATTTTTTAAGGACAAACTTATAATTAAATACATTTTTAATCTGGAATACTCCATTAATATCCATCAATACAGGTATTTGAAGATAAACAATTGTCAGCAAGTGGCACAATTATTCCATTTCCACAATATTAAAAACACTATGTCTATTTTTATGACAAATAAAACAATGAAGTTAAAGAATAGCAATCATTATTTGAGCATTACTTGATATCTTAAACTATTCCACAATTTTCACATTATATTAAGCCTAGATTTAGATCATAATTGCTCAATTATAGAACACAAGTTGACTTGATTTTAATTAAAAGAAGAAAAAATATTCCTATTAAAAAGTACATTTTTATTAGGTTTTTTAATTGATTAATAAATTTATTTATTTTTTTTAGCTAAATAGAAAATATGTTATCTTCTTTAATAATTACTATTTTTCTTTACAGAGAGAAGTAAGCCAACCAAAATTATTTGAATGAATCATATATTTTGATACACTAAATATATACTTTTCTTAATAACATATTAGATGGAGTTAACAGTTGAATTAGGTATTAATAAAATAAAAAAGTAAATTATATTTAAATCCCTTACATTTTTTACAAGTCCAGCCATTTAATACTTTAAGAATTATAAATGAAAAAATATAAATATTTAATTGATTAAAAAATATTCTGGAATTGTTATATTTATCATAAAAAAAAAAAGGAGGGCTTGGCTTTTTTTTTGATAGATCAAAAATATAAATTAAGAGGCCCAAGTATCTTATAAATATTTAGAATACATTTTTTCATTAATTAAGACCCTCTAAAAAAAAAATTCAATTAAAATATGTTCTTAATATACAATTTGACATTATAAAAAATAAAAATATATCATCTTAATTAAAACTGTGGTTAATATATATTATATTATTTGGCATAATATGGAACATAAATTGAAAATAATCTGAGTATTGTCAGAATAATATTTTTAGCTTTACTTGTTCTAGATTTATAAAGGAAAATATAAAGAAAAAACAAACCTTTATTAATCATAGCTAATTTATATCTTTTTATTAATTTACTTATTCCTATAAAAAATGATTTTCCTAATAATTTTATTGAGAGTATTATTACTTTAAAAATTAATCATTTTCTAATTATTTTAATGTTTTCTAGCTGTCATTTTCCCCTTGTAAAGCTTAATCTTCGCCATTTTAATTGAAATCGATTTCAATTTAATTATTTTGCAGTTAATCATTTGTATTTCTTATAATTTTTAATGAATCTATTTCTTACTATTAATTGTTAATTTTATCATTAAAATCATTTATTATTTGTTACATTTTTTAATTATTTATATTTAAAAATTTTTTCAATTTTCTTAACAGAATAAAAGAAGCGGCTAAAATAACAATTATCAAAGCTGCAAATAATGAAAGCATAATATTTACAATCAATGAATTTTATTCATATTTTGAAGGACTTTAATTATTATTTAAGTTAACTTAATTACTTTAGCTATTATTTTCATCTTTACTAATATAAATACAAATACCTTAATCAAAACTTTTAAAACCATCAATACATAAATTAGATGATTAACAAAGCCCAGGGTTATTTGCAATTACTCCTTATAAACAATAGAACATGCATTTCTATTATTTATAATCATAATATTGATAGCTTTTGCAACCATTTTAGCAATAATTAGTATTTGTTACAAAACTACAATTTGGGCATAACTACACATAATTATCATTTTTATATACACAAATATTTTACAAATCTGTTTTGCATTTTTATTCTGAATCGCTCCATTATGCTCCTTTTACACATAATTTTGATAAAGGACAACTTCTTTTATTAAATGCAATAATTCCATTCCCACAATATGTCATACATTATTATTACTACAGATAGTTAAAATATTATAGTTCTGAAAGAGATCCACATTGATACATAATTTAGCAACCCATTAAATAATTTGTAATTGAACAATCTGGACATTAAAATAAAAATGGAAAAAAAGTATCAGAAGGAAGAATTTGAGCTGAGCAAATAAATTTCTCACATTATTTATTCCATGAATTAAATTTATATCCATCAATACAAACTACATTTTCTAATGATAGACAATCATAATATTTATTTGCAATTATTCCTTCTTTACAATACTCATAGCATCTTCCAAAATCCTATAAAGAATAGTATTATGAACTTGAGCATTTATTAGAACAGTAGTTAGCATCTGAAACTAAGCTACAAGACTAGCATTAATATATTTATAGGTTTTAATCAAATATTTTTTAAGAACAAGTTTATTATTAAATACATTTTTTGTCTGTAATACTCCACTAAAATCCATCAATACAAACATTTGAGCAACCATCGATACTAATTATTCCATTTCCACAATATTAATAATAGTTTTGATATTTTTATGAAAAATAAAGCAAATTTGGTCCTGAGCAATATGAAGGGCAATTATATGAGCAATAATTGATATCTGAAACTATTGAGCAGTTTTCACATTAAATTAAACCTAGCTTTAAATCAATATCGTTTAATATTGGCACACAAGCTGACTTGATTTTAATTAAAAGAAGAAAAAATATTCCTATTGAAAAGTACATATTTTTAGGATTTTTTAAATAATACATTTAGTTATTTTTTTTTAATTATTTTTTTAGCTAAATAGAAAATCTATTGGCATCTTTAATTAAGAGGTAAAATAAAAAAAGAGAATAATTATATATTTTGATAAGTAATACTTGCTAAATTTTACTCTTTAGTATTAAGTTATTACAAATATTAAAATTAAATAAAAGAACTTTAATTTACTACTTATATTTATTCAACTGAGGAGGAGCTTTGTATATCTTTAACAGTTTCCATATTTTATATTTAAGTGCATGAGCAGAATATTTGTTCTAGGAGAAGGTATGATGAAGTTACTAGAAATTAACGCAAAGATATCTTAATCTTTATTAGGTTTAAAAATAATTATGTTTAGAAATTAAGACTCTTATCAAATTTACTAGAATCATTTTGTTATTATTAATTAAATATCAATATTTTTTAGTATCAATAATTTGCCTTTTACTTTACATCTTTATAAATATATTTATTACCATTCATAAGAAAGATATTCAAAATTTAAAAAAATAGGGAAAACTTAATTTGCGATAATGTCTCAAAATTATTGGATACTCTTAATCAAATTTTATTAATCAATCATATTTTACTTTTATTAATTAAAATTAATTCTTATGTAAATATCAATTAATTGCTTTCAATTTTCAGTCTATATTAATCTAATAAATATCCTTCATTAAAAAAAGAATATATAAAGTTTAACTCAATTTAGTGAATGTAAATTTTTTTCTTTTTTCAAATTTAGATTATAATAACTTCTTTCTAACATCATCCTCATCAGAGATAAGGAATATTTTTTATAAAAGAATTTGTTTTTAAGTATTATCATTTTCTAAATAAAATAATACTAAATAACTTGGCATTTAAAATTTTGTGTTTGGTGGATTTTTTGGTTTTCAAGGCATTTAATTTAAGAAAAAATTTATTAAAAGATAAAAAAAAAAAGTTGATAATGTTATGTGATTTTAATTTAAATATTTATATTTTTAACATTTATTTTATATACATTCTTTAAAAGTAGATATAGTAGGCAATGATCAGCTGAATAAAAAACTATAATATATTTAAAATATTCAAAGAATATATTCTGATTAGAATCTAGAATATTAAAAAAAATTTTTTTTTCTTCTTTAAAGTATCAAGAATCAAATTTAATAAATTTTTAAAATTTATATTTTAGAATAGAGATAGAATTATTTTTAATTAAAAATTTTTTTAAATTATAAAAAATATTTATTTAAAATATATTAGAATTAATATTTCTAACTAATATTTTGAATATTTTAATAATGAATTTTACTTTATCTAATTATTTTAAATGAATGAAAAATAATGATCAAGTGTTTTTTCATATTTAATTAAAACAACACTAGTTCTTAAAAATTTTCAAATAAAATAGTTTAAAATATCAGAAAAATGTTTAAATAATGTTTAAATACTAGAGATACGAATATGAATGTAAAATATTTATTTTACTTCATTTATTTATTGACAAAAATAATTTAATTGAATTAAAAGATCAAATTAAATTAACATTATTAATTATTAAACCCTTAAAATTATTTTGATTTTATGTTTTAAAATTATTTTAGCACATCTATTTGTTTTCTATTTTATTTCATAATTAAGATATAAATATGATCTTTAAAATATGCAGATTATTTTAATAATATTAGATATGTAATGAATCAGAATAATTTTTATGATTCTCACAATTTTTCATTTCTAAAAAAAATTATAAATAACTTCAAATTATAATTATTAGTAAATTGATACTGAAAATAAATTAATAGGTTAAAATTACTTTGATTCTTTAAATTTGTAATCATCTTTAAATAATTTTTGATTATTTTCACTAAAAAATAATAAATTGAGAAGCTTTTCAAAAAAATCAGTTCAAAAAGAAAAATGTATCTAATAAAAAAATAAATAATTTATTTTTATTTAATAATTTTATGCTAAAATTAATGAAAGACTTCACAGAAACTTATTGTTATTAAATGACTTGGTATTTAATATTTTGAATTTAGCAAATTTTTTTAGTTTTTAAATAAATAAAAACTTATTTAAAGAAAAATAATAATAAAAGTTAAAATATTATGTATTGTTATGTGATTTTAATTTAAAAATTTCTCTTACTTAATTTTTTTTATATAAATTCTATATTATATTAGTAGATATAGTAGGAAATGAGCAGAAGAATCAAAAAAACTTTAATATATTTAAAATATTCAAAGAATATATTCTGATTAGAGTATATAATAGAATTTTTCAAAAAAAATTTTTTCTTTTTTAAATTATCTTGAATAAAAAGTTAATAATTAAGTTCATAGATTTTATTTTTTTAATATAAAACAATAGCCTTAACTTACAGTTTTAATGGTATGTAACATATAATTGTTTAAAATAAAATTTTTTTCATTAATTAATAATCTCTAAAAAAGCTTTGTATTAAAAGTAAGTTCTTAGTAAATAATTTTACATTAGAAAAAATAAAAATATATCTTAATTCATTAAAAATATATATACTTAATATATATCTGATAATAAATGATATCTTATGTATTATAAATTGAAAATATTCTGATCATTTTCAGCATATAACAGTCTTAGTTTTACTTTTTCTGAGAACTCTTATTGTAAATATCAAGCAAAAACAACAGTTTATTAATCATAGTTATTTTATGTCTTTTTATTAACTTAATTAATTCTTTATGAGTGGATTTTCTTAATAATTCTACTGAGAATATTATTACTGTAAATTTAAATTATTTTCAAGTTATTTCATTGTATTCTAACTGTCATTTTATTCTTGTAAAGCGAAATCTTCTTGGCTTTTTTAATTGAAGTCGATTTCAATTTAGTTATTAAGTAGTTAATTATTAGTATTTCTTATAATTTTTAATGAATCTATTTCATTTTTAATTTTATCAATATCTATTTTTTGTGTTGATTCAAGATTATTTATTATTTCTTAGATTTTTTAATAATTTTTGTCAAATACTTTAAATTTTCTTAACGCAACAAAACAAGATGCTAAAATAATAATTATGAAAACTGCAAATAATGATATCCCAATAATAACAATCAATAATTATGTAGAAATTTATGTTGAAGTGCTTTAACTATCACTTATTTTACATTATTTTTCTTAATCGCTCCATTATGCTCTATCCACACATAAATTTGATGAAGGACAACTTTTTTTATCAAATGCGATAATTCCATTACCACAATATACCATACATTATTATTACTGCAAATTATAATATTATAATTCTGAACTAGGTAAACAGGTATTCTAGCAATTATACTTACTTTAAGCAATACTACAATTTGGACATTGCTATAAAAATGCTAAAAAATGATCAGAAGTAGAAATTTTAGCAGAGCAAATAATTTTCTCACATTAATTCTATGAATTTAATTGATATCCATCAATACATTATACATTCTATGTATTGCATTATGAATAACTTTGTGCAATTTTTCCATCTGTACAATACTCATAGCATGATCCATTTTTTATTGAATAGTATTAGGAACTTGAGCAACTATTATAATTACAGTAGGACACATCTAAAACTAAATTACAAAATTAGCATTGATAAATTTATAGGTTTTAATCAATAATTTTCTAAACACAAACTTATTTTTAAATGCATTTTTAATCTAGAATACTCCATTAATATCCATCAATACAGGTATTTTAATTGCATGAAGCAAAATTAGAAATTATTCCATTATGACAATATTAAAAACCTTAATTTTATTAATATTATGAATAATAAGTCAAAGTATTTTGTCCTGGTTGAATTTGGGAAAGTTTTTAGCAATACGTGTTATCTGAAACTATAATACAATTTTAACATTGAGTTAAACCTAGACTTTGATCATTACTGTCCAATTATTGATCGCAAGCTAATTTGATTTTAATTAAAAGAATAAAAGAAATTCCTATTAAAAAGTACATTTTTTTAGGATTTTTTAATTAATAAATTTAATTATTATTTTTTAATTATTTTTTTTAGCTAAATAGAAAACATTCTATGCTGTATTTTTTGATTAATTAGTAAAATAAAAAAGAGAATTATCATATATTTTGATAAGTAATACTTACTAAATTTTTCTCTTAAGTACTTAAGTTTTTACAAATGTTAAAATAGTAAAATCATTAAAGTATGTTTTATATTACTTATATTTATTCAATTTAGAAGCTTTGCTTATCTTTAATAGTTTCATTCTTGTATACTCAATTACTTGTATGGAATATTCCATTTTAGATCTAGCAGAAGATATGAGGTTTGTATAAATAAATTGATTTAAAAATATCTTAATCTTTATTACGCTTAAGAATAATTATGGTTAAAAATAGAGACTCTTAATCTAATTTTACTAGTCGCATTTTGTTATTTTGGTAAAATATCAATATCTTTAATATTAATTATCCTTTTACTTTACATCTTTATGAATAAATTTATTACCATTCATCAAAAAGATATTCAAAATAAAAAAAATAGGTAAAACTTAATTTGTGATAATTAATTTCTCAAAATGTATAGATACTCATAATTTAATTTTAATAGGCAATCATATTTTATTACAATGAGTAAACATATTTTTTTTTAATATCAAATAATTGCTTTGAAAAAGTTAAATATCCTTCATTAAAAAAAGAAAATCCATAATTTATTAAAATTGGTTAAAGTTAACCTGTAATTCCTTATAATAAAGCGAATTTAACTGTTAGTATTAATATTATATTATATAGCTATTACTGCATTTGAAACGTCACCAACCATGATATCATAATTTGTGATATTTTAAATATAGATATTATAATTAAAAAAATATATTATAGGCACAACATAAAAGAAAATAAAGAGTATAGAAAGTATACTTAATAAATATGTTTAATTTAAAAGACAAGGATGAAAGAGTAGTATAAATAAATACTAATCTGGTGAGATAAAATTTAAAAAATAAATATTATTAACAAATTTATAAAAAGCTAAATATTTGAAATATGTTTACAAAATAAATAAAATAAATAGATTACATAAAACTTCTTAATAAAAAGAGGGTTTTATAATTAAATTATATAAAATGTAATCTATCTAAAAGTATAAAAGTATCAAAAATGTTTAAAATAATATTTTTTTATTAATTAAGACCCTCTAAAAAAGCTTTCCATTAAAATTAAGTTCTTAATATACAATTTTATATTACAAAAAATGAAAATATATCTTAATCAATTAACAATATTCTTAATATATGATAATATTTAACATATTATGTATTATAATTAGTTCTACTTATTTTAAGATCTCTTATGGAAAATATCAAACAAAAAGATCAGTTTATTAATCATAGTTAATCTGTGTCTTTTTATTAACTTACTTAAACCTATATTAGTGGATTTTCCTAATAATTCTATTTAGAATTTTATTACTGTAAAATAAAATTACTTTGAAGTTATTTAATTGTTTTCTAACTGTCATTTTAATCTTGCAAAGCTAAATCTTCTTGACTATTTTAATTGAAGTCGATTTCAATTTAATTATTATGCAGTTAATTATTTGTATTTCTTATAATTTTTAATGAATCTATTTCTAACTATTAATTTTTAATATTATCAATATGTATTTTTTGTGTTGATTCAAGATTATTTATTATTTCATATATTTTTTAATTATTTTTGTCACTATTTTTTAAAAAGGCTTTAAATTTTCTTAATGCAATAAAACAGGCTGCTAAAATAATAATTATCAAAAATGCAAATAATGATATCATAATATTTATAATCAATAAATTTTATTCATATTTTGAATTGCTTTAATTATCATTTGAGTTAACTTAACCATCTTAGCTACTAATAGGATCACACTTACCTTAACCAGAACTTTTAAAACCATCAATGCAAAGATTAGATGATTAGCAACTTACTTAATCTTATGCAATAACTCCTTTTAAACAATATATCATGCATTTTTATTATTTATAATCATAATATTGTTAGCTTTAGCAACTGTTTTAGCAATAATTGATATTTGTTACCAAACTACAATTTGAGCATTACTACAAATAATTATCAGGTGAAGAGCTAGAACATTTAATTTATTAATTTTTGCATTATTTTTCTTAATCGCTCCATTGTGCTCCATTTATACATATATTGGATGAAGAACAAGTATTTTTATCATATGCAATAATTCCATTACCACAATATACCATACATGATCTTAGCTGCGAGTTATAATATTATAATTCTGTACCAGGTAAACATGGATTCGAGCAATCTTTCTAATTAAAAGCGATGCTACAATTTAGACATTGCTATTAAAATGCTGAAAAAGTATCAGCAGTAGAAATTTTAGCAGAGCAAATAATTTTCTCACATTTATTCTATGAATTCAATTGATATCCATCTATACATGATACATTATCTAAACCGCAATCAGAATATCTTTTTGAAATTTTTCCATCTGTACAGTACTCATAGCATGCTCCATTTTGCATTGAATAGTATTAAGAACTTGAGCAACCATATGTACAGTTTTAGACATCTGAAACTAAAAAACAAAATTAGCATTGATAAATTTATAGGCTTTAATCAATCATGCTTTAAACACAAGTTTATTTTTTAATGCATTTTTTACCTGGAATACTCCATTAATATCCATCAATACATGTATTTTAATTGCATTAACCAATTTAAGAAATTATTCCATTTCCACAATATTAAAAACATTAATTTTATGAATAATAAAACAAAAAATTAAAAGCAGCTCCAGTTGGGCAAGATTATGAGCAATATATGTTATCTGAAACTATTAAACAATTTTAACATTGAGTTAAACCCAGACTTTGATCATTATTGCTCAATTACATATCGCAAGATGATTTGATTTTAATCAAAATAAGAAAAAAAATACCTATTAAAAAGAACATTTTTTTTATGATTTTTAATTAATAAATTTAGTTATTTTTTTTTTAATTATTATTTTTAGAAAAATAGAAAATCTGTTGCCTTTTTTAATAAGTAAAATAAAAAAGAGAAATATCATATATTTTGATAAGTATTACTTGCTAAATTTTTCTCTTAAGTACTTAAGTTATTACAAAAGTTAAAATTAAGTAAAAATATTAAAGCTTGTTTTAAATTAATTATATTTATTAAATTTAGAAGCATTACCTATCTTTAATAGTTTTTATATTTGTACACTTAATATCATGAATGGAATATTCCTTTTTGGTTATAGTAGAGGATATGAGGTTTCTATAAATTAATACAAAAATATCTTAATCCTTATTATGCTAAAGGATAATTATGTTTAAAACTTGAGACTCTTAATCTAATTTTGCTAGTCTCATATTGTTATTATTGCTAAAAAATCAATACTTTTAACATTAATTATTTTTCTTTTACTTTACATCTTTATGAATAAATTTATTACCATTCATCAAAAAGATATTCAAAATTTAAAAAATAGGTAAAACTTAATTAGTGATAATTAATTTCTCAAAATGGATAGATAATCAATCTTAAGCTAAATTTAATAGGCAATCATATTTTACTACTGTTAGTAAAATAATTCTTTAAAAATATCAAATGATTGATTTGAGTTTAAGTAATTATGAATAAATTAAATATCCTTATCCATTATTTTTAATAATAGGTTAAAGGTAACCTGCGATTCCTTTTAATAAAGCGAATTTAACTGTTAGAATTAATTTTATATTATATATCTGTTCCTTTTGAAACATCATCAACCATCATACCAAAATTTGTGATATTTCAAATGATTATTATTTTAAAAATAATCCTTAACTTTTAAGATAATTTCATGGATATAAAATGAGGCAATCATAGGTATAATTTATATTTCATATATGAGGTTTTATAATTAAATAATGTAAATTTTTTGTTTGATAATTATTTACAAACAAAACTATCTATGTATGTATCAAATAAATAATTAGAATAAATTTTTTTTGTTCAATTAAAATCCTCTAAAAAAACTTTCCATAAAAAATAAGTTCTTAATAAATAATTTTACATTATAAAAAATTAAAATTTATCTTAATTAACTATATTCTTAATATTATTACATGATAATATTTGATATATTATGTATTTTAAATTGAAAATAATCTTAGTATTTTCATAATTTTACTTATTCTGTCTGGTATCTCTTATGGAAAATATCAAGCAAAAACACCAGTTTCTGAATCATATTTAAATTATGTATTTTATTAATTTACCTATTCCTAAAGGAGAGGATTTTCTTAATAATTCTACTTGGAATACTATTACTGTAAAATTATATCATTTTCTAATTATTTTAATGTTTTCTAACTGTCATTTTCTCCTTGCAAAGCTTAATCTTCTCCATTTTAGTTGAGATAGATTTCAAATTAATTATTTTGCAGCTAATTATTTGTATTTCTATTAATTCTTAATTAATCTATTTCTAACTATTAATTGTTAATTTTATCAATATATATTTTAAGTGTTGATTTAAGATCATTTATAGTTTCATGCACTTTTTAAAATGTCTTAAATTTTTTTAACACAAAAAAAGAAGCTACTAAAATAATAATTATCAAAACTGCAATTAATGATATCATAATATTTACAATCAATGAATTTTATTCATATTTTGAAGTACTTTAATTATTATTTGAGTTCACTTAACCATCTTAGTTATTATTTGGGTTCACTTAACCACCTTAGTTATTATTTGGGTTAGCTTAACCACCTTAGTTATTATTTTCATCTTTTTTAATAGGATCACACTTACCTTAACCAGAACTTGTAAAACCATCAATACATAAATTAGATGATTAACAACTTGCTTAGTCTTATGCAATTACTCCTTAAGAACAATAGAACATGCATTTTTATGATTTATAATCATAATATTGTTAACCTTAGCAACCTTTATAGCAATAAATTAAATTTGTTACCAAACTACAATTTGGGCATAATTGCACATAATTATCAGTGATCGGACATATACCTTATTATATTTTGCATTTTTATTCTGAATCACTCCATTATGTTCCATCCATACATAATGTTGATGAAAGACAACCTTATTTACTTATTGCAATAATTCCATTACCACAATATATCATACATAATGATTATTTTGAGTAAAAAATATATATTTCTGAACCAGGTAAACATGGATTCAAGCAATTATTTTAAATAGTGATGCTACAATCTGGACATTAATAAAAATATGCTGAAAATGAATCAGAAGTAGGAATTTTAGTTTAGCAAATAAATTTCTCACATTTTTTCTATGAATTCAATTAATATCCATCGATACATAGCTGTGAATCTTGGCATACACCGAAATACGATGCAATTTTTCCATCTGTACAATAATCATAGCATAATTTTTTTTGATTTGAAAAGTATTAAGTACTTTTACAAATTTGAGAGCAGTATTAAACATCTGAAACCAAATAACAAGACTAGCATTGATAAAGTTATAGATTTTAATCAACCATTTTTTAAGCACAAGTTTAAAATTAAATGCATTTTTAATCTGGAATATTCCACTAATATCCATCTATACATTAATTTGTATTATTACAATCATTAAAAGCTATTTTTCCATTTCCACAATATTTGACGCATTAATATTTTTATGAAAAATAAAAAATATCTGTAGAAATTAAGCAAGGTTATGAGCAATACTTGATATCCTAAACTATTCCACAATTTTCACATTGAATTAAGCCTATATTTAGATCATCATTGCTCAATTATTGATCACAAACTGACTTGATTTTAATTAAAAGAAGAAAAAATATTCCTATTTAATAGTACATTTTTTTAGGATCTATAGTTAATAAAATTAATTATTTTTTTTATCTAAATAATGAATCTATCTGCTGTTTTTCTTTAATAAATAAGGTAAAAAAGAGAAATATCATATATTTTGATAAGTAATACTTGCTAAATTTTATTCTTAAGTATTTAACTTATTACAAATATTAAAATAAAATAATAAGACTTAAAATTGTTTTAATTTATTTATATTTATTCAATTTAAGAATTTCTTCTATCTTTAATTGTTTTCATATTTTTACACTTAAGCACATAATACAAAAATATATTAATGTTTAAAAATTTAAACTCTTAATCTTATTTTTACTATTTGCATTTTGATATTATAAAAAATATTGATATCTCTAAATATTAATTATTTAGCTTTTGCTTTACATCTTTGTGGATATTTTAAAAAAATAGGTAAAACTTAATTTGTTAATTTGCGATAATGTTTCAAAGTGGATGGATATTCCTAAACTAATTCTAATAGCCAATATTAATTTAATATTATTAATAAAAAATAATTCTTTTTAAAATATCAAGTGACTACTTTGAATTTAAGTTTATATGTTTTTTTAAATCCTTCATTAAAAAAAACATATCCATAATTTATAAAAATGGGTTAAAAGTTAAAATGTGATTGATTCCTTATTATAAAGTGAATTTATATTTTAATATTAATATTATATTATACTATACTAAAGCATAAGATTTAAGAAAATTATTTTTCCTTATCTAATTTATAGCTGTTGCTAACAGAGTTTTATTATTTATTCTTCTAATTGGTTTTTTTATTCCATAATTCATGTTTTTAATTTTGATCAACAAAGTTAGTGATATGTAAAAGAGGATTGTTCAAAATAAATCTAAAAATGAAAAATTAAAGACTAATAAATTATAGATTAATAATGTATTTAAATGATATGAAAGAAATATAAGTAACATTTTGAAAAAAATTTATTTTAGCACAACATAAAAGAAAATAAAGAATATAAAAGTAGACTTAAGATATATCTTTAATTTAAAATGCGAAAAATGAAAGGATAATATAAATACTAATCTGATGATATAGGATTAAAAAAATCAAAATTATCAACAAGCTCATAAAAAGTAAAATTTTTGAAAGATGTTAACATGATTAAAATAATAAAATAAATAGATTAACTTATAGATAACTGCTTAATAAAAAGAGGATTTTATTATATAAATATGATAAAATATAGTCTAAATATAAAAGAGTTTATAATTATAAAGAATGATATCAAATAATTTTGTTACTATTTTAATTATTTCAAACATAACAAATAAATTTATTATTCCCTTTCATTAAATAAAAAAATCAAGTATAGTTCATACATTTAGTAAAGATGTTGCAGATTATATATATATTTGAACATTTATTTTGCCATTAAAAAAGTGTTTGTTTCTAATTTTATTTAGGTCGAATATTTTCAAAATTACATGAATTTTTATATGTATGTTAAAAAGAAAAATTTGTATTTTGAGTTTTTTACATACTAAATAGACAAAGAAGAAATTACATTTGGGAGATAATTAACAAGGGGAGCAATATTTAGAGTAGAATATAATAGATATTGATAACGCGAACTCATTTGAATAAAAAAATTCATTGATTAGATATGATTTTGAGCAAATAATGTATATTTTTTGTTTGATAATTATTTACAAATAAAACTATCTATGTATGTATCAAATAAATAATTAGGATAAATTTTTTTCGTTCAATTAAAATCCTCTAAAAAAACTTTCCATAAAAAATAAGTTCTTAATAAACAATTTTACATTAATAAAAAATTAAAATTTATCTTAATTAACTATATTCTTAATATTATTACATGATTATATTTGATATATTATGTATTTTAAATTGGAAATAATCTATGTATTTTCATAATTTTACTTATTCTATCTGGTATCTCTTATGGAAAATATCAAGCAAAAACACCAGTTTATGAATCATATTTAAATTATGTATTTTATTAATTTACCTATTCCTAAAGCAGAGGATTTTCTTAATAATTCTACTTGGAATACTATTACTGTAAAATTATATCATTTTCTAATTATTTTAATGTTTTCTAACTGTCATTTTCTCCTTGCAAAGCTTAATCTTCTCCATTTTAGTTGAGATAGATTTCAAATTAATTATTTTGCAGTTAATTATTTGTATTTATAGTAATTTTTAATGAATCTATTTCTAACTATTAATTGTTAATTTTATCAATATGTATTTTTTATCTTGATTCAAGATTATTTATTGTTTCGTACACTTTTTAAAATGTCTTAAATTTTCTTAACACAAAAAAAGAAGCTGCTAAAATAATAATTATCAAAACTGCAATTAAAGATATCATAATATTTACAATCAATGAATTTTATTCATATTTTGAAGTACTTTAATTATTATTTGAGTTCACTTAACCATCTTAGTTATTTTTTGGGTTCACTTAACCACCTTAGTTATTATTTGGGTTCACTTAACCACCTTAGTTATTATTTGGGTTAGCTTAACCACCTTAGTTATTATTTTCATCTTTTTTAATAGGATCACACTTACCTTAATCTGAACTTGTAAAACCATCAATACATAAATTAGATGATTAACAACTTGCTTAGTCTTATGCAATTACTCCTTTAAAACAATAGAACATGCATTTTTATGATTTATAATCATAATATTGTTAAACTTAGCAACTATTTTAGCAATCAGTAGGATTTGTTACCAAACTACAATTCGGGCATAGCTGCACATATATATCAGGAACCGAACAAAAAGCTTATTATATTTTGCATTTTTTTTCTGAATCGCTCCATTATGTTCCATTTATACATTAATTTGATGAAGAACAACTATTTTTGTTTATTGCAATAATTCCATTGCCACAATATACCATGCATAATGATATCTACTCATTAAAATAATATAGTTCTGTACCAGGTAAACATTTATTCGAGCATACCATCTTATTTACTTAAAATTAATTTAAAGTAGTGATGATGCTACAATTTTAACATTAAAATAAAATTGCTGAAAATGTATCAGAAGTAGGAATTTTAGTTGAACAAGTTTATTTTTCACATTTATTTTATGAATTTAATGTATATCCATCAATACATTTAATTCGTTGTGAATCTTTACATGAAATTTAATCCGGTGCAATTATTCCATCTGTACAATACTCTTGGCAAGTCAATTATAGGCTTGAATAGTATTAAGAACTTGAGCATTTATATATACAGTTTTAAACATCTGAAACCAAACCACAAGATTAGCATTGATAAATTTATAGGTTTTAATCAATAATTTTTTAAGTACATGTTTAATATTAAATGCATTTTTAATCTGGAATACTCCATTAATATCCATCAATACATCTTTTTGAAAAATTGCAACCCTAACCACCATCAATTATTCCTTCTCCACAATAATTGACACATCCTAATAATTATGAAAAATACTGATTTGCTTAGCAATTTTTTGAGCAATAAATGATATCCTAAACTATTCCACAATTTTCACATTTAATTAAGCCTAGAGTTAGATCATAATTGCTCAATTATTAATTACAAGCTGACTTGACTTTAATTAAAAGAAGAAAAAATATTCCTATTAAAAATTACATTTTTTTTTTAGGATTTATAATTAATAAATTTAATTATTTTTTTTATCCAAATAAAAAATATGCTTTCTTCTTTAATAAGTAAAATATAAAAAGAGAATTATAATAAATTTTGATAAATAATCTTGCTAAATCTTAAGTGCTTAAGGTATTACAAATGTAAAATTAATTAATAAAAATTAAACTTGTTTTAAATTACTTCCTTCATTATTTTAGGAGCTGTGCCTATATTTAATACTTTTCATATTTTTATACTTACGTGCATGAATGGAAAATATTCGATTTTTGGTTCTAGAAGAACATTTTATGAGGTTTGTATAAATTAATACAAAATTATCTTAATCTAAATTAATAAGAGTTATTATGATTAAAAATTGAGACTCTTAATCAAATTTTACTAGCCGCATTTTGCTATTATCGATAAAATATCAATATTTTTCAATATTAATTATTTGGTTTCTTACATATTTATGGATATATTTATTACCACTAACTAATAAGAATGATAATTAATATTAAAAAAAATAGGTAAACTTTAATTTTATGATACTTAAATGCCACATATTTTTTACAAACCTAGCTATTTAATACTGAACGAATAATAAATAAAAATATAAAATTATTAAATTGATTAAAAATAAAAATTAAGAGGTTAATTTTAAAAGGGAGGTTCCTGTTTTTAAATTTTGTAAAAAAATTATATTCATTCAAATTCTTTTTTTTAAGTTTTGAAAATGCCTAAAAAAAGAAATGGGATATTGTACCCTCTTTATTATGATAAGTAAATGAAAAAAAATAAATGTTTAAATAAAAATATAATTATAACAAATAAATTTACACAAATAAACTTTACTATATAAAAATATTTTGTTAGCTAAATGATATAATTTTTAATCACTAGAATTTTTAGTTCTCTAAGATAGGAGTTGATTAAAATTAATAGCCTTCTTGCTATTAATTGCCATTTTCATAATAATTTTAATGGTCTGTCCTCTCATTTGAATTCTATTCTTCTAAATCCTAAACTTAATTATTCAGATTAATATCAACTTCAATTTCATTTTAATTTATTGACGCATATTAATAAGTATTTATTATTTTAGTTAATTTTTCTATTTCTAATTATTAATTTTCAAATTTATTTTTCAGTATTTCATTATTTTCTTCTTATTGTTTCTTTATATCTTTCATAATCAAAGGTATTTCTCTCAACTTTTTTACAACCCATAATGAAAAAACAACAACTATCAAAGAAACAATTATCGTTACAATAATGTTTGTCATTGAAAAACTCCAGTCAGCAGTATTTGATGTATTTGATGGTCCATAATCATTTTACTACTACTTTTATTGTTTGCATTATTTCTAAGATTCATCCCAATCATATCCATTTATACAAATAATAGAATTTGCGCAATCCATTTAGGATGAAATTACTCCATTACCACAATAATACATACATTAATCTTTATCTTATTAATAAAAAGTCTTCTATGAATTATTACATCTATTTGAACAATATTTTATATCTGTAACCAAACTACAATTTTTACAAATTTGTACATATGTGTCAGGTGATGTATTACTAATACACTATTTCTAACATTAATTATTTTAAGCATTCCATTAATATCCATCTATGCAAATATTAGATTTTGGGCAATTTATTTTAAAATTTGCAATTTATCCATTTCCACAATATTCCATGCATCTCATTAGCTAATTAGAAAAAAATTATTAAATAGTGCAGCTATTAGAGCAAGAAGAAGGAACTGTAACTAAGCTGCAGTTATCGCATTGACTTATGTCATAATCATAGTTAATAATCTGCTATTTGCATTTACATTTTTTATCTGAATCACTCCATTATAACCCATCTAAGCAAAGATTCGTAGATAAACAACTTTTTTGATCCAAAGCAATCTAATAATTTCCACAATAAAAGAAACATTAATTTTATTAAATTGAATAATATTATTCACTTGAGCATTTACTTTGAGAGCAACTACTAATGTTAGAAACTAAAGAACAATTCACACATTAAACTAAATTATCACATACTTAATTGTTATTGCAATTAAAAAAACTGATGAGCATTCCGTTCTGACATTTGATTAAACACTTTTATTGTGCAAAACTCCAACCATAACCTGGTTAGCATTCAAATATTTTATCTAAGCAATAAGATTTATAGCATTTTTAACAAGTTAAACTATTTGATACTATGCATGATTATTAATTAAAATCGTAATCTAAATAGCTACCCTTTTAATTTTCATATGAGCATAATAGTTTGTCAGAAGCTGCTGATTAACAAACATTTTACACTTTTTGTTAAAAAGAATGAATTTATATTTTAAACAATCTAAAATAATAAAAATTCTTCTTAAAATCATAATCAAATTAATATTAAATAAATGTCATTCTAAAAATGAGTAATAAAATAATAAACTTTAAAAATTAATTTATACCTGCTTAATTATTTGTGTAATAATCTATACTTAACCCTTGATTTCCAAATGTTAGGCCTTATATTTACTGCAGTGACCCATAACATAATTTGTTAAATAACTTATAATTTGGTTGACATAATGTGCATTCTTGCTTTTTGCTGTCAAAAATTGCGCAATAATTTTGAAACAAACTACTTTAACAACTACTTTAATAAAGAAAATAACCTTTTTCATATTTTTCAAGAAAAAAAAAAATTATTTCTAATATATTTTAAAAGTAAAGGGAAATAATAAATACCTTATGTGCATTATAAACATCCTTAATCTTTATTGTCAATTAAGCAAAAGTTTGCTTAATTTTAACTAATGGGCATGCATATAATATTCCCCTAAAGACTAGTAAATACATAACCTTAATCACACATCTAAACGCAACTATTATTAATTACAATATAATCTATCACACAAAATAAACAATTTCCATTACCATCATAAGATATACAGTTATTTATTGTTCCTTAAACACATTCTTTTTACTGATTCATCATAAATTGTTCTTTACAAACTATACACTAGTTATTTGATATTACTTTGCAGTTACTTAATTTAATATCTAAGTCACAAAAGGCTTAGTATTTAAGATTTAAAATAGGTGAAGAAGTTAATTATTAAATATAATATATTTCACTACTTTAACACTTAATACATATATTGGATATTGATTGAATGCATCCGCTAACGAGAGTAGAAGGAGCTTATTCACACTTAAAAGTAAAATTTGGAGTACTACCTTTAAACTGCTAATATTTTGGATCCTTAAAAAAGTCAATAGAATACTTTAACATAATTAGGAATGTAGGGTCAGACATATCTTGACTTATTGAAGGGTTTATATTAATTAAAAAGGTTTAAAGAAAATTTAGACCATTTTAATCAAGCTAATACCCTGAGTCGCATGTTGGAGCGTTACTTAGTGTAATAGGTACACATATATTTTAATTTAAATAAAACCCACTCTTGCAAGCCATACAATATTATAATTAGCCAATTGATCCATACATTTAACAGTTTTAAAATTAATCAGAGCAAGTAGAACCAGTAGAATCCACAGCTTAAGTTGCTTCGCAAAGGCATGTTTTACTATCATGCTAATTGCAATTAAAATTAGAAGGTAGGCATCCAATAGATTAGTATACAAAAGGCTTTAAACATTTTATTTATTAGTCATAAATAGCGCTTGGGTCGATTTAATTTGGATTAATAAAATTATATAGCTTGAAATAGTTCTTATTTAAAATAGTAATATAGAATGTTTCGTAATTTTATACACAAACATCATTATATATTTTACAATATGAGTCTAGTTAATGACTAATATAATTTCTTGAAATATCTAGTGTATAAGGAAATCTTGGCGAAATACATATTAAATTAACAGTATCTACTTTAGCGCATCTTGGATCAAATAAAGAAGGATCTTCTTTAATGATGAGTTGATTTTAATCTATTTAAAGAGTAGAAAGAGCTTCATCACATTCTCCATTTCTATCTAGTCTTTTGCAATAAGAGTATAAAGGCATAGGTAATTCACTAGCTAGAATGCATGATTAAAAATCATAATTTACTACATATCCTCTTTAACATTCTTAACAAGCAGGAATTGTATTAGGTGTTGCTGTATCCACTAGTATTGCTAATCCACAATTTTAAATAATTTTTGCATAATTAATTTCAATTAAAAGAAAAATTAATAAAAAAATCAAAAATTAGATTTTTAGTTTCTTTTTCATTTCCTGAAAATTTTGTTTTTATTTTTTTATAAATTAATGATAAAAATTGAACAAATATAAATTTATTTAAATTAGATAAATTAAGAGTAAAATAGAGAAATAATTGTAATAGTTGTAAGTAAAACTGTTAGAAATAGTCATCTTAAATATTTTAAAAATATTTTATGTTAAATTACATAGAATTATCATAAATAAGTCAAAAATAAGTTATTTTCATATTATACTTTTTTTAGTATTAAATAAGCCTATTTAGATAGCTATTGAACTTATATATTGGTAAGATATAAAAGAGAGATAAATTACAAAAAAAACAAAAAGGATTAACAGAGTTTAACTTACAAAATATTTTATTTTATTGAAAGGAGCAATTAGAATTTTTTATTTTATTTTTCTTCTAATTTTGAAAGTAAGTTTTTATATCTTATCTTTTTTAAACCATCATTAAATTTATTTCTACTTTTTTTTGAATATCTTTACTAAAATATGAAAAATTTGCATATATAATAATAAGAAGACTATTAAGATGGCTCTTAATCATAGCACCTAATAAAACTAATTATATTAGAGCAACATTTTAGGCTAAGAATAAGGAATAATATAATAAAAGTAGTAAAAAACTACTTCTTATTCATCAATATGATTGAGAGGGAGATAAAAAGCAAATGGTAGAAAAAAGGTTAAAAAAATATTAAGATAGTTGCAAAATAAAATAAGGAAGCATGAATATAAATGTAAGAATTGGTAATATATCCTAAATAAATGAAGAGCTTATTCAGAGGATATAGATTTTTAATATTAAAATAAAAAAAAGAATATTTCTCTCTAGATATTAATACTAAAAGATTGAATTAAAAATTTCCAAAAAGCGGTTAAAAAGAACATGAAATGTATTAAAAATACAAAAAAAATTTAACTTTTCCACTAAATTTCCAAATACTTTAATGAAATTTTGATAGACATATAGATAAATAGATAAATAAATATGCAAATAGATAAATGGATAAGATATTAGTTAGATAAATAAGCAATTAAGCAAGTTAAAAAATAATAAAGGTCAAAGTTTAGTATTTTTTTGTATTACTAAAATAATACTAATGAAGATAAAAAAGTTTATAATTTGAAATGAAATATAGTATAAAAAAATAAGAAAAATATTACTATTGAGTAAAAATATTTAATATTTCTCTAAAAATAATACAATAAGAGAATCAAAAATTTGAAGTATGAAAATAAATTTAATATTTGATAGAGAAGGAAGGAATGATTAAATTATGTGATGATAAAGACAGATTTTAAGCGTATAAAATAATATAACATTTTGTTGTTTTGTTTTTAATTAAATCTTAAATAAAGGAATTATTTAATTTGAAAAACTTTTATTAATTTATCTTTCATACAAAATTAATATTAAAAAAGGAGTATTTATTATTTTGAAAATATGTTTTTATAATTTTATATAGAGATAATAAAGCTGGGATATTGAAATTAATATCTATAAAAATAAAAAGGAATTATTATTTATTTTTAGAGATTTATGTATCTTGATAAGTGAAAAATTAAGTCTTATGCACCCTACGAACTGATTTTATTTAAGCTTTTAAATATAAAATAAATTTAATTATTAGCAGCAAAAAGAATGAAAAAGCATTTAAAATAATAATAACCAAAATAGAATTATAATAAATTTTTAAAAATTAATTAAAAAACAAATAAATCAATTTAAAAGTAAAAAAAGAGAATTTATTGTCTTTAATTAATGATTATAATAAAAATTAACAAAATATAAAACAAATAAATTTTTTTACTTGGGAATTAGAGTCATACTTTTAAGATTAAGGCAATTCTAAAGAAAAACCTAAACTTGATGAACACTCATCGCTAATCATTTTTTATCTTGTTAAAATATAAGAAAATATAAATAGTGAAAATTAAAAAATGAGTAATAAGAGAAATTAAAGCTAATCAATAAAGTTTTATATTTAAATTAATATTAAAATTAAAGAATAAAATTATTAAAAATAAATAATTTATTATTAAGAATTCATAGCTAAAAGACTTGAGAGATTTAGAGCCAAATTAGTGAAATTAGTGCAGGATTCAAAACCAGAACTTAAACCTAAAGTACCTTCATCACCAATAGAATTATCACTTTTTAAATATTACAGAAAATACAAATATTTAAAATGAAATAAAAATATGACATTAATTATCAAACAAGAGTTAAAAAATAAATATCTGTTTAATTAATTAAGAAATATTCATAATATAAATCAAAAAGAAAATATATTTTTTTAATATTTTAAGTTAATTTATATTAAATAATATCATAATATAAAAAAATGAATTATTTTTACTAGAGAATAAGTTTTAATTTTTACAAATTAACGAACTTTGCTAAAGTAGAACCTAAGTTTATTGTTATTGAATCACTGATTTTGTTATCACTTTTATAATATTAAAGAAAATAAAATTATTAAAAGCTAATAAGTGAATAAAGTGATAAAGATAATATTTTAATAATCAATGAATTAAATTATCTAATACACAAAATCTAATTAAAAAAAAGAAATCAAATTAAAACCTAAAAAAATAAATAGAATTAATTTTAAAATTTCAAGTATAATCAAAAGTAAATAAATAAATTGTTTTTACCTAAGATCAAGCTCCAATTATCAGATTAAAGTAAACTTTGTTAATGCAGAAAACAAAGCTAATCCTCATCACCAATCTATTTATAACTTTTTTACATTAATGAAAATATAATTTAGAAGGAAAAAATAAAGAAGAAAAAAAAATGTATTATTAAAATAAAATGAGATGTGTAATAAATATAAAATAAATATTGAAAGCAATATTTAATAATTTGATTACAAAAAAGGATAAAGGTAAGACTGGATAATAATTTAATTATTTAAATTGAATAATGTTAAAAAGACCATGGTTATTTATAAAAATGAATTTACTGGAGATTGATTTTGAGACGTTTAGATTTAATCTGAGAAGATAGAAATTGTTACATCATAAAAAAAATCTATTTAAGTAATAATTAAAATAATAAATATTTATTTACATCTTTTAATTCATGAAAGACTAATTCATATTTTATCATTTCCTTTTTTTTTGCTATTATAAAAAATATGTAATCAAAATTTTATAAATCCATTATAAAATTAATTCTATTAATAAATATTGTTAATAAGAAATTAAATGGCTTTATCATACATTATCCGATTTTTATTTAAGAAAATCAAACTCTATCCTTAAAAGCATAACATGAAAAATGCAAAACTGTAAATATTCATTAATTAAAACATATACCACTATTTTTAATAAATTATTCAGATTTTTATTAATCAAAAATATAAAAAAATTAAATAATCAGACGAGTTTTTTGGAAAAAATTATTTTTTCTTTCAGCTTAACTTAGATAGAGGAATACCTGTATTGTTAATTTTTTAATATTTAATATTATTAGAATATTTATTCAAAGTTAAAATGTTTTTAAACTAAGTAAAGAGCAAAAGTAAGCCATACATGATAAAGCAAATGAATTTGTGAAATCATTATTGTTTATATTTTTTAGCTTATGTAAACGAAAAATTTATTTTATTTAATTAAAAACAAACAACCAACATACTCATACTTTTTAAAATACCTAAAACATATTCTAAAATTTAACTATATTAAATTATCGATTGCTACCTTACTTAGTTAATTTAATTATAAATCCTACACCATAAATTAACGATTTATAGATGAAGATAAAATTTTAATTCTTTAATAATCTTTAATTTTAAGTTTTTTTAAAATATAACAAGTTTATAGTTATTGGAAATAAATACTTTAACAATACAAATATAGCGTTTAAAAAAGGAAAATTATAGTTTAAATATTTAATTTGTTAGTTCAAGTGTATTAAAATTTATATAAATTGAGTTTTCATTATTTTTAATGCTTTGTTAAATTATTTAAGACACTTATTTGGCTTAAGAGAAAAAAATTTGAAAAAAGGAAGTTGATTTTAGAAAAAAATCATAGAAATTACAATTTGTTTGCTTAATATTTTTATTTGGATTTGGTAAGTGTATTAGATTTTGGCTGCTATTAAATAGAATAAGCTTTACTTAAATTATTAAGAAAAATTTTAGCAATTATTGATAAAAATAAAGGATATTTTAGAAAATAACCATAGATATTACAATTTATTTGCGTAAGATTTATAATTTAATTGTTATTTATGGATTTGGTAAGCTGATTAAATTAATTTTTAACCACTAAAAAAAATATTAAATTTAATTAGCTTAGAACTACTTTTTCAATATTATAATAATATTCTATTAGGCTAATTTGTTTTTAGTAAGTTAAAAATCAAATTTAATTTGAAACGCATTTGAGATTTAGAATATATGTGCATAAATTAACATTTTTATTAGTTTAGACTCTATTTTAATTTACTTAAATTAATCGTTCTACTTACTGTCTTTATTTTATTAAATGTTAAAAGCTAAAAACGTATAAATTAAATCGAACTTAAATTGTAAATATATATAATAAATTTTAAATTTCTAATTATTTAGAAAGCTAATTTCAGTCATAATCTGTACTAATATTTTGCTGATTTCTTATTTATATTCAATTTGTTTTATATTTATGAATAATTCCATGAAAAAAACAATTATTTTAATACTTTAAAAGCCTATGTTTTTTAGTATTTGAAATAAAATGAAATTTAAAACAATTCTGGTTACTCTACTTTACTATGATAAAAATAAGATAAAATAAACTTAGTTTATTTATAATATTTATAGACTTTACTCTTTATTAGTTAGAGAGAAAGATAAATTATAAGCAGTAATCAATTATTTTTTAATAAATTAAAGAATCAATCAGTGATTTATTTAATTAGTAAATTAATTTTTCTAAAGATATAAGATTTGGAAAAAATATAAAATAAATCAATAAAAATGGAAGAATATAAACTAAAAAGATATACTGATTTCGATAGATATAATTATTAAGAAGAATAAAATGAAAAGAAGGGCAATCAGCTTTAGAATTATTTCTAGAAGATGCAAAAATTCAGAGATGTAGAAGATAAAAATTAATAAATCAATGATAAATACCAGAAAGAGAGGAATGGAAGAGAGATTAATAAACTGATAACAAAAACAAATACAGAAATGGGTTCAACTAAGTATTCTAAGGCTAGAATTTTATCAAATTTTGAAGATAATTAAGAAATGTTGCCATAAAAAAAAGAATTAGCATAGTCTAAATCAGCTTTGATATTAACAAAAAAGTAAAATAATGTAGATCAATAAATATATGATCAACTAACCAGGTTTAATGTTTCGCCTCATAAAAGTCACTAAAACTTATCTCTACCTCGTATTTAAAATGGGAATTAAGTTCCTACTCATAAAACATCTAAGTCTAATTTTACAACACCAAAAAGCTATCACGATATTTAAGGAAACTTTTAAAATGCTTATTAGAAATAATCTTAGCTTCAAGCAGATTACTAAAAATAAAGAGATAGAAGAATACAAATGAGCGAGGGATAATTAAATAAAATATATTAGAACTAAAGGGATCCTAGGTATTTGCCTTATGATTAAGTCTATGGCTATTATCCCCCTTTTTTTAACTAAAATTTGTATCATAAGTAAAAAGAAGATGAAGAATTTAAAAAAAAGTTGATAAATCAAAATGAAAAATTAATGTAAATGTTCGAGTAAATGCAGCGCAATCATAAAGAGGAAATTAGTATCCTTAAGCTTAGAGAAAAACATACTCTCAAAATGATTAAATAATAATAAGAATAGATTGATCTCTAAAATAGAAAAATTGAAGAAAGAGATCTCCCTCCTCCTAATTTTTTCTTAGCCCCACTACATTTCTGAACAAATTATAAAATCAAACAAAATTGATCACTAAATAACCTTATCTTACTCACAATCCTTTTCCAAAGATTGTTACTTATATCAATTTTGTCAAGTTAGACCCAAAAGAAGCAATTCCTTTAAAACTCTTAGTTACATCTAAAAATTAACAAATTTACAATAAATTTTTATAAACAACAAAACAAAAAACAATTAAGTCTCTTTCTCTTTTTTTTCTCAATATATAAAAGAAAATATTTAACTTATATAAAACTAAGCAAATAAAATATTATTGTTTGTTTGATTGATTGATAGATATATAGATAGATAAATAAATTAATCGATTGATTGATTGATTGTGTAATATACAAATTTTATATATAAGTCAAATAATTCAAATAAATAATTACAAAATTCCCAATTAAATTTCATATTATAATAATCTAAATTAATCTATTTTCTTATGATTAATTCATGCTTGTAATTTAAGAGTTAACTTTAATTTTGTTATTAATTTGTATAAATCTTCTTCTCCTATTTGAAGGTCTATTACGTCATTGTATCCTTAGGCTTTCAATTCTTGAACTGTTGATTAATTCTTTGAGTTGATTCTCATAAAACCAATTATGTAGCTATTAATTATTATAAATTACATATTTTAGTTAAAAAAATTTTCAATAATTTTTAAATTACGTTTGAGGTATTTTATTTTCTTTTTCGTATGTTCTAATTTTTTATATGGCATCTTCTTAAATAGCTTAATCCTTATCGTCTTCTTCTTTAGCAGGTTAAGCTTTCTTCGAAGGATCTGGCTTAACAGGTTAATTCTTTTTTATGACTATTAATGGTTTTATTTGAGTTAGAATTACTTAGTAAATTCTGCCACTTTCTATTGAACTCATGTATTTATCGAATAACGATTATCCATTCCAACAGTAATCAAAATACTCATTATAGGTTTTATTGAGTGAAGAGGTAGTTAAAGAAACTGATATATTCTCTTGATCATCGCATACGAGAATAGTAAAAGTGTCATAGAATCTATATATGACTTTTACTTCTTTGGGTTAATCTATTATTTTTTATTATAAAATTAATATATTTTTTCTATTAACAACCAAATTTTTACATATTATTTATGGATTTGCTCTAGATTATAGTATGGAATTCATATCAGTTGCTTTAATGGGCTTTTCTATTGCATCATCAAAACCTTTGAATGTGAAAGTCTCTTTAGTATTAGTCATTCCTCCAATTTAAGAACCAACAGCATTAAAGGATGCTATCAAATAACTATTAAAATTTGTTTAATTAAATATATTCTTTATGTAAATAAATTTTACGTTCTTGGAACATTATTTTCTTTTTCATATTCACGTATTGTCTTCAATACTTCGTAACCATTTAAACCTTTATTTGTATTCATTCCTATAATCATGAAGTTATATAAAATGTTTTTTTTAATGCTATTCATGTATTTTTCTATAGTTGCTTCTCCTGTAGTGGTTGATTCTACAACTTTTGGAATGTCGCTCTTCATTTATGAAATGCTCATTAAACTAAAAAATGAATCTTCCATTACTATGAAAGTAGGTTTTTCATTGTATTTATATTCAGGCATGTCAGGCTATTTCATCACTTAGTTAATTTAAACTTATTGGTTTGGTTGTCCTTTAAAGCTTTAAATGGGTGATGTTTTTAGTTGGCTTTAGCTTTTTTATAAAGAAGTTTTAACCACTTCACTCTTATTCACTACTGCTTTTTACACTTCTGAAATAAGGCTTGAATTGTTGCTGATACTCTGACGTTATTAAGGAACTTAGTTACTAGATTGTGGATTTGTCTGCTTTACTTAGGCAGAATTGTCTTCCTTTTACTGACTTTTTTATCTGATCTGATCAAATTTAGCAAATTTCTCACTCATTTCAAACTTATTAATTTTAGAGGAGTTATTAGAAACAGACTAACCTGGTGAACTTTTATTGCTTTATCTTTCAGTACCTTAAAGATTTGTTTTTAAACTTTATAATTCGTTTTTATTGTCTTAGCTTTGTGTTTGACTTGTTTCGGAACTTTAAGAGTCTCCACCAAACTTAATGCCCTTATCTTTGATTTTCTTGAAGATATCAAATTCATCGATTTCTGGAATCTTAGAGAGACTTGTCTGCTAAGGTTAAGCATTACTGAAGCTAACCGATTATTAAGGTTTTTCACCTTCAATTTTAATACCTTTCTAATGAACTTTACTGAACATATTGTTTAAAGCTTTCAGCTCTTAATCTTCCAGTAATTTTGATTTATCTTGATTAAAGCTGTTTTAAGCAGGTTTTTATTAATCCTTAAATGCAGGCGTGTTATTTTCTGATTTATCAGTTTCGATTTAAATCCCTTACTATTTAACTTTGTTAAACACTTTGAATGCCTATTTTAGTTCAAGATCATCCATATTCTATTCTTGCTATTTATTGAATGCAGGCTACTTATTAAAGAATTACTTTTACTAAGGGTTTAGTTAACTTTTCAAAAATTAATTGTCTATGTTTGGAACTTTCTGCTTTTCATTTTGTTACTAGACAGGTGGTTACTATTATGCAACATTTTACTGAGATCCTAATTCAGTTTAAGATGAGTCTCCTCCTATTTTAATACCAGCTTGTTTCGCTTTTGTAAGAATACTAGGTCCATTTAGCTCTAATTCTTCAAGTTCTTCTAAAGTCAGTTATCTCTTCTTCATTTTATCAGATTAAACAATTTAAGAAATCGATGGAATCTTTTCAATGCTTATTTGAGAAGAAGATGGCCTTTATTTTAGTGGAGGTGATTTCATCATAGAAGAATTAACAGAACCCTTAACTGAAATATCATCTCCGTTTTCGACAATTTCTTTTTTGATTCTTTCTACTAGCTAAATAACTTGGTTACGCTCCAAAGGCTTGATAATCACCTCATCAAAACCATCATCTTTATATTTTTCAGGACTGTTTTATTTTTAACCATTTGCTATAGTCTCATTTAACTACTTAAACATTCCTACAATATATCTTTTTTTTATTTAAATTATATTTGAAACTTGTTAGAATTTTAGTAAATTTTACGTTTTCTTAGCCTTCTTTTCTGCTTCATACTCTCTAATCTTTTTAACGATCTCAATTCCAGACATTTGATTAGAATTTATTGCTATCATGACTATTTGGTAAAGCTTTCCTGATTCAATTTACTGAAGGTAGGAGTTAATAAAGGATTTTTCACTCTTAGCAATTTCAACTTCTACATTGTTCTATGAAACAAAATCTTTCACCATCATAGAAGTTTAAATAACATCATCACATATCAAAATAGTAAATTTATCTAAATAGCTGTACTTCTAATCGTAATCTTCTGGCAATGCATCTATTTATTTATATATTTTTATATAAAATGTATTTATCTTAAATTAAAGATTACATGTAACTTAAGGATTTTATCTTTCTTTTATTAGGTCATTTATGATATCTCTAGTGAGAGGTTTTTCAAAAGCTTTGTCAAATCCCTTGAAAAGATATGTCTCTGCAGATTTAGTTTATCCACCAACTTCATCTCCAACAGTGTTAAATGAAGCAATTAAGAATCTATTTATTTTATTTAAATAAAATAAATAATGATAAAATTTATAAATTTGTCTATTAATATTACGTGCGAGGAACTTAATTTTCTTTTTCATAGCTTCTAATTTGATTCATAACTTCTAAACCAGATATTCCTTTGGAAGCTTCAATTCCAAGAACAACAAAATGGAATAAGGTATTAGAGCGCATACTCTCCAAATAAAAGCTAAGTGCCTTTTACCCATCAGAAAATGTGTGGAATTTAATTGGAAGTTCATACTTAGCATATGGAATATTCATTCTACCGTTTTGAGACTCATCGAAGAAAATAATAGTGCATACATCATTATATTTATATTCAATTTTAATTTACTGGACAGAAGCTAATTTATTTTCAATTTCTCCAGATTTTTATATTTAAGCATTATCTTCAGTATCACTTTCTATTACGATTTCATCTTCTCCTCCTATTGAAGTTGCATTAACTTTTTAGTTTTCACCTAAAACTGATGTGCCTTAAGCCTATTAAAAAATAAATTTATGTTTAAACTTAAAACAATAATAAATTATAATATTTTTTATTTTAATACTAGATGAATTCCGTCAGATTCGTTTAACATGGCAATTATCTTTCTTACTCTTTAAGTTTCTTACTTTTTGCTTTTATCACTTTATAAAAATTATTAAATTATTTTATTTAGTTTTCTTGCTTCAAATAAAATTAATTAATTAATTAATTAATTACGGAGAGTTAGGTTCTTTGTAAAAATGCATAGGACCTCCACTTAAAGAGGAACTTATTGTGTTGAAAATTTTATTTCCAACAAAGCTGAGGTTAGAGCTACCAACACTTTATTATCTTGTATTAGGAGAGTTTTCTAGTGAGCCAAATGAGAGGTTAATCTTTTTGCCTTTGATATTCTAAATCTTAGTGATTATATTCATCAACAGATTGCTTAATCCTGATTCAATGAATGAGAAGTGCTTAGTGATTTCATCATCTACATTAATGTTGACTTCACCTTCAGAGTTATCATGAGTAGAATAAAGGGTTGCTTTACAAATTTAATTTTATAAATATCATGAAAAAAAGGGGAAAATTAATTAATTACATTCATCAATTATTTTATCTTGTGGTGAAACGAAATTTATGGGAGATTAATCAGGACTAGTCATTTTGTTTTTTGACTTCTTTTATGATTTGTCTCTTTCATCGTCTCCAATAGATAAGGAGTAGACATTTTCAACAAAAGTTAAATTTCTTGCAGGCTTGCTGTGTTAAATGGGCATAAATTGAATGCTTGTAACTTCAGATTCTGTGAGATTTTGCACAGTTTTACCTGTAGCTTATCCCTAATTCTTGCTTTCTTCTATTTCGGCATTTTAAATATTATTACTGCTGGAGACTTTTTAGGGAATCTCAATCTCATAAACCTTTTCTATAGTAATTGTGTTTTTTTCAATTTCTTTTTCTATTAATTTTTCTGCCTGTTAAATTTAGAGCAAAACACACTTTTGAGTTTTCCATTATATCTATTGAATAAAATAATAATCAAAAATATAATACTGATTCATTAATATTTAAGGATATTTACACTTGATCCTAAGAAAATTAAATCCAAGAATTTTTGTTCTGCCTATTCAGCTTAAGCTACAAGATTCTTCTAAAAGTTAACAGTGCACAATTTATCATTTTCTTTGACTTAATTTACTAAATTTTCTATTATCTTTATATCTGGAGGATTCAATCTATGTATTAATTTGCAAATATTATTAGCGCTTTTGAAATTTCCTTCAAGTTAATTAGCTGGTAATATAGTTTAAAAAAAAGATTAAGCTCCTGAATTACATAGATGTACATCCAAATTAGAATCAATAATCATCAATGGTTGAGGAAGCTCATCAATAAGTAATTAAAATTAATTAGACAACTTCTTAGAGACGTCTAAGTGTATCCAAAATTCACGAATAAACTTCTCAAAAAAGCCAGCAAAAACGTGCATCCCTGCCTAAGCTAATATGAAGAATGTTAAATTTAATCTCAGAGAGGCGTCGTTGTCGTACAAACTGACTATGACCTAAACCAAAGTAAAAGAAGTAAAATTGTAGATTAAATGCACCTTCCAGTGTGGTATAGTAAGCATATTTGTAAATATCATATGAATCGAAATTCCTAAAGCGCTACTTGCAAAATATGTTGCATTCTTGCCTGTTTCGATAAGATCTATACATAAGTACTGAGAACAATAAAAGTATAAAGAACTCAAACGAATCAAAATCTGGAATATAAAATTTTTTTTGAAATATTAATTATGCATGTACATGATTCCTACACAAAAAAGTAGAGATAAAATCATGAACCAGCTCAATACAGGATAGAGCACTTAAGTAAGAGATGTGGCCGTTAAGAATCCATAAATAACATGAAAAGTATTAAATAAGATAATTGCTATGAAGGAATATTTATGTCTATGAAGATACTCTAAAGAGTACCGCTTTTCTACTTATTCTTGCTAAAACTAAAGCAGCATGCTCATATTGTACTGCTTGTCTATGTTATTATGGTTATTTTTGCTACTTTTTATTCTGGATGCCATTTTAATAAATTATTTATCTATCTATCTATTTATCTATTTATACTTATATTTCTATCTATCTATCTATTTATTTATTTCAAGTCTTTTAAAAATTATTACTGCTAATATGATTTTTGAGTGTGTTGTGATGGATTTTCTAAAAATTAATTAATTATATTCTGCTTTTTATTTCTGATTTTTAAATATATTTGATTAAAAAACATGCTCGACTATGAAATTTTTATCAGTTTTTTAATCTAATTTAATTACCTTTCAAGCCTCAACAGGATGATTTGAAAGTCTCTTTTTCTAAATTTTTCATAACTAGCTCAAAATTTTACTCTAAACTTTGCTCTTAGTAAATAATTTTATTTTTTAATTAAAAATAGAATAAATTTATTATTATTAAAATCTAAATAAAAATATAAAAAATAAAAATGTTTTTTTTAGACTTTTAATCTTTATTAAATTTCAGTTATATTCTAAAAAATTTAATTCTATTTGAATTCAAAGATAAAAAATAAGTAGTTAAAATTTTTTTGAAGTTGTAATTTTTAATTCAATTTATGGAAAATCAAACATGATTTACTTAAAATAAAATAATTCTGGAGGAGTAAATTAAAATCTTTCAAGAAATCAATTATTTGATGATAATTACTTTAAATTTAAAAACTAGCTTCTAAAATAATCTAAATATAGTTAAAATTTTTTAAACTGATTTAATTAGCTTATAAAATAACCTAAATATAGTTAATAATTTTAACTGATTTAAATAAATATAAAATGAAAAATATTATTAAAAAATAAATATATATAAAAATAAATTGATTTTAATTAATATTTAGAAAGTTTCAAGTTAAAAATTCTAATCCTTTTAACATAGATTCCTATTTAATATTTAAGTTAATATGAAGAATATTAAACTTCTCAAAGAAGTATCGTTGTTGAACAAACTGACAATTGTGTGATTGATTGTTATTTATTATTTGTAGAATCAATCAATCAAAAAAGTAAACAAACAAACAAATAAATAAATAAAATAACTCATTCATTAATTTAAATTCAAAAATTAAAAAATGAATTAATTTATGTAAATAATTAATAGATTGATTGAGCTTTAAAGGAGATGAAAATAAAAAGAATTATATTCAAATTTATATGCAAGTATTTTTATTTGTTTTCAATATATTTGAGATTGTTAATTTTTGTAGATAATTTTAATTTGATACTTGATTGATTGATACTATATTTATTAGAAATAAAAATTAATGAATTTGAAGATTTATGATAATTTATTACCAATAAAATAAAATTGATTGAATCAGATTGATTCTTATAATTTATTTATACTTACTACTCTTTATTAAATAAAAATCATCAAAATTCAATCCAAAAATACTATATAAATAATAAACATAATCAAAATATTTAAGGTTATACAAAAGATTTGCAATAGCGAAATTATAAATAAATTGTATAAAAAGAAACCACAAATGAAGCAAATATAAATGCCAAACTCATCTGCATAAGGCTCATAAGTCACTACAACTAATGGCCTGAGGTGCTCAGATTTTAATTATGTAAGATATTAGTTTGAGATTTCCTTTAGGAGTATAAAACATTTTTATGCAGTCATTAATTATTTTTGTCATATTAACAGAGCAACCTGCATAAAAGCTACTATAATAACGAATAAGACAAGCTAGGAAGCGCTTCTTCAAGCTTCAGAAGATAGATTGTTAGCATGTAAGACAGAAAACATTCAAATATATATGGAAGATATAAAGAGTACTAATATGTAGATTCTAAGAGTAAAAAAGATGAAATGAATAATAAATCAGTTTCTAAAGATATGTTAAATATTGAGGAGCATGACAATATTAGCTAACACAAGGAGCCTATTTAGTCTCCCTTGATTCAATCTTTGCACCAATCTAAATATCAAACACCTTAAAAAGGCTCATAGTCTTATCATTCTAGAAGCTACACTGTATAATTGAGTGATTAATTTATTTAATAGTCTGACAAAAAACTTGAAAGTGAGTCTCCTTTAGGAGATAGTAAATAGTAAATAAATCAGAAATATTTACGCTATACAACAGACCATGTAAGGTATTCTACTCCATTTAAAGGAGAAATCACTAACAAAAGTGATAAGCAAGTAATAAGTTTTAAAATTAGAACACTTTATTTACATTTTATTTAAATATAATTAAAGGAAGAAAATTTGTATTTAAGCCAAAAAATATCTAAGTAGGAATTAAAAAAGCTTTAAGATTCTCCTACTAAAGAAAATGAGCAATACAATATCGAAGAAAAGTAACAAACTAATCCTGCCTTGTAAAGCTACAGTGGATTTATTTCTCGTACTTAAAATAATTACTACAAAAGGCAAACCGCTTTTGAATCTCCCGTCAGTGATGAAAAAAATTTGCTCAAAGAGAGCTATTCCAAAGTTCTAAACTACCAAACTTCTTCAGCCTACTCAAAAGACTCACATCTAAATTCCTCAATAAAATCATACAGAGCTACTTAATCAGAAAAGTAATTAATTTAGTTATAAAAAATTATTTTATTTATTTATTAAGATTTTATTTTTACTTTTTAATTTTGAGTTGAAAATATTTTACAAAAAAATCAAAATTAATAATTAAATGTTTATTTCTTGACGCAAATCATATTTATAAATATGATGATGATTAATTTATTAATTTTAAAACTAATTTTGATACAATTCAGGACAATATTGATAGATTATTTTAAAATATTCTATTAATCATTTAACAAAAATAGTTTTTAAAAAAACTAGTTTTTTTGAAATTTAGTTTATTTATTTTAATTTAGTAATACAAATTCATTTGAATACTCATCATAAATTTATTTTTTCAATAAATTATTTTAAATTTATTTAGGAAAAGCTTTTAAGAGGAGATAGAGCAATACAAAAAGGAATTAAAGGAATATCAATCCCAACTTTCAAGTTATTAGGAGCAGCTGAAAAATTCTCTTAATAAAAATAAAATAGAGTTATTTGATGGCTTGACATCTATTAGAGATAGTAATATCACGAGCTCAATTAGCTAATACTCAAAGGCTAGCTTTTTAGATTTAAAATACTCTACTCAAAATAGTAAATACTAAGTAGATTCTGAAACTCCTAAGACACTACAAAAACTAGAAAGTGACCAGAACAGCACAATTTCAAGTAGACTAGGACAATCTGCTACATTTTCTAAGGTTAATTCTAAAATTTAAAAGCCTCATATGGGGATATTTGATTCTATTTACATTGATGCTGAAAATCTTGAAGAAAAACCTGAAAAAATGTTACAAGTTGTAAATATTGAAAACTCAGCTGTTTTACCAAATGATAAAAAAGAAATCATGGAAGGCTTTTCTGAAAAAAAAATTATAAAAATTTAAAAAGTTGAAAGTTTTTATGAAGAAAGAGAGCCTGAGTCTAAAAATTATGATAAAGAAGAATCTTAAAACTTTATTTAACAAAATAGCTTTTAACTATCCAGTTTAAATGGTGAAACTAACAATAAAAGGTGTTTTAGATCTCAATCAGTGACATATAAAGAAGTTCCTGATAAAGAAAGTTAATTGCATAATTATAAGAATGAAAAAACAATAGATTATTAAACTAGAAGTAAAGCCAGCTATAGCATTGATCAAAACACTCCATTGTTATCTTCAGCAGTGTTTAGCAATCATAGAAGTAATCTAGTAAACACATTAAAAGATGATTATCCTATTATGTTAAATAGCAAGGATTGTAATTAGTAATTACCCAATTTTCAAAAAATTGATTCAGTAATCTCTGATTCTTTGGCATGCCCTTCTTAACATTAATAGTCAATAATTTAAAATTCTAATTAACTAATTTCAGAAGAGTCCAGTACAAAATAAAATATAATGCAGCGTTCTAATTTATAAGCAACCAAACAGGATAGCTCTGAAAATATTATAAAAACTTAATACGATAAATTAAAAGAAATTGAAAACAGATATAAAAGAGTAGAAGAAATCAGTAAAAAATATTCTCATCTCTACAAATCAAAACTTTTACAACCAACTCAAACTTCCATTACAACAGAATAAAAGACATCATTAGATTTATCTGCTAGCGTTCCTGCTAACTCTACCGATTATAAAAACGAATAAAATATTAATTCTACATATAATAATTTAATCGAAAAAAGAGAAAATAATAACTAATATTCATTTGCTCAGCAAAATAAAGACATAGAAATGACTTCTGTATGCCTGTTCCCAAATGTTAGAGACTCTGGTGTTATGCCAAATAAAGATTAAAACTCTCTTGGAGTTCCTCTTCCAATAAGCAATAGAATTCAAGGAGGAGAGAGCGATATTAACTTCTTCATGTAAAAAACTCCTAGATTTTAAACTATGGATGGCGAAGAGTATTTTAAAACAGCAGAGTAAATATTGTAGTTAAGCAGACAGAGCGCAAATAAACTCGATTAATCGCTTTGCTTAACTGATAGAGAAACACTTTAAAATCTTTCTTAAGTTGATATGGATTGCGAATTAAAGCATTAAATGTAACAATCCCCTTCAGTGACTGCTCTCTGATTAGTCAAATTTTGAAAATTAAAAAAAAAATAAATAAATAAATTAAAAAGTATTCACAACCATTTAAATATTTATAAATAAAGGCTATATTTATTAATACTCTATATTATAAAAAATCTATATAACATAAATAAAAAATATGTGTGAGTGTGTTTATCCTTAAATATAAGTAAATTAATATATTGTATATATTTTGCTATTTTCTTAACTAATTTAATTACATCTGCTCGCCCTGCAAGATCTTTAACTTAATAACTTTTTTATTTGATTTATTATCAAAAATACATTTTTATTAATTTGATAAATTCGTAAATAGATTTTTATCTTTTAATAACTCTTTTATCAGAAACTTCTTTATTAATTATTATATTTGTTTATTTGTTTGTTTGTTTATTTTTATATAAAATGATATTAAATTAAATTTCAAGTTAATATTATTTTTCAAACAAAACTGCATAAATAAACCATTGAAATTACTTTAACTATCAAACATATTAAAATGTTCTTTAATTAAATTACCTTCAAGCTTTGTTATTATATATATGCACGCATGTTTTAATTTGTAAGAAAATAAATTATCATAAATGCATAAATGCCTATAAATAAAATAATATTTTTTTCTCACACAGGCATTTTTTAGGGGTTAATGCATTTTGCATAATACCTTTACATATTTTATTGATATAAAAAGTAATTTTGTAAAATAAAAACAAAAATACGCCTTAGAGAAGGAAGACTGATTAATAATGTTAAAATTTCTTAACCTTAGTAATATGTTAAAAAATTAGTTTTTATTATGTGAAATAAAAATAATACTTTTTAAAGTTTGCATATTATAATTACAAAAATAATAGGACATTAAAAATACTGACTGATTGATAAGTAAGTGATCGCTTAATTAAATTTAAATCCTCTCTAATTATCACATAAATTTTATAAAAAATAATTATCACTGATTTTATTTTACAAACTAAAGTGAAATAAGCAACTAATTATTTAGATATTTACCAAATTATGATTTATTCAAATAATTCAGCCATTTAAAATTCATAGCACTAAACTAGGTCAATTTAGCTATTAAGTGGCCAGTAAAATTTGAAGTAATCGAATTCACAATATTAAAAGCACTTCGTTTATCGCTCATAGAGTGGTTAAAACATAGGATCACATATGGTTTAATAATAGGGAGTTTAGATTTAAGAAATAGCCTAGTAGCAATAATTTGCTTAACAGCCACATAAAATTCAGTATCAACATGGTGCTAGTGCAAGTTTTTTTGGTAAAAAATAAAAAAAAATACAATTTTTAGTTTTTATTCGATTATATTTATATAAAAATAGGAAATTAAAATTAAATAATTTCTAGAAGTGTAAATGGACCTATTAGTTCTTTATAGCAACAAATGACAAATAGTTTACATAACACTACAAAAGAAAACAATAATTAAGTTCCTATTGTATAAAATATGGGAAATTTCAATTATTAACAGTAGAATCAATTACACATTTAGTATAAAGAAGGGAGAACTCCTGCTTAAATGGATTAAAAAAATAAAATTCATAATTACAATTCAAGTAATTAGAGTATTTCATAATCTAAACAAGCTACTGCTTAGCTTTAGCCAATAAATAGATAAGAATAATCATAAATTTAAAAATAAGGTTCTGTTATTATTAGGAACAACTAGTCTTTTTCCTCATAAAATTTAGTTAATACAGATAGAGATTATAATGAAGTGTTTAGAAGAGAGTAGTCTTCTTCTTTTTATGATAAGATAGATCCATTGTAATAATAATACTAAAGTCATGCCTTACAAGAAAAAAACTTAATATTATCTTAGAATTCTCTACAAAATAAAATTATTGAAAATAATCAACTTAACTCTCATAATTTTCCTTAGTAAAATATAGTAAAGCAAATTCCATAAATAATTACTTCTCAAGACCACATTTTCTCAGCAAAATCTATTAATTAGCTCACACCATTATCTAATAATGATAAAGTTATAGATTTTTAGCAGTATTAAACTATAGAAAAATAATATCAAGGATTTATTCCAATATCTACTTCATCTCCTTAAGTGTAAAATAACCACTTAAAATTTTCATAGTAATTAGTAGGTTCTCAAAATCAATTATCTTATTCTACTTATATACAATAAAATTACTCTAATTAAGATGTAAATAACTATATAAAGCTAGATAATACCATTTAAAAAGTAGGACTTAGAGAAATTTCTCCTTATGATAAACTCATTTAAGCAAGACGAAGCTCTAAAGATGAAGACTCTTTTAACCAAAATAAATCCTTTTAAAGTGTTAAATACAAAACATCTTAAATAGAGTCAATTAAAGAAGAAAACATCATAACTACTCCAAGAAAGCAAGCATATGTATACAGCAATGAAATTTCAGTAGTAAGCGATATAAAAAGCACAAATGAAACAGATGTCCGTGATAAAGCTTTTTCATAATAAAAAATCTAAAATATTGTGATTAACTCACCTAATTACATTCAATAAAACTCTTACACACAGCTTTCACCTAAATCAAAGCTGCAAGTTAAAGAAAAAGTCTATGGCAATGAAGATTTGTGTAATTATTATCCAGTGACTCATATTAAACAAGAAGATTTATAAAAATACGAGTTGATCCTTAAATGTACTCTACAAACTTAAAATTAGTCAATAATAAATTAAAAAATAAAAGATTTTTCAGAAGGTTTTCAATTTTCAGCCTATTGAACAAATTTAATGAGTTAATGAATGAACAAAATTTCAACAAAGAAAAATAAAAATAGTTTAACAAATAAAATTATTATTATATTAAAAAGTTAATTATATATTATTTTCAGAAATGTATATATGTCCTATCTACCTAATATATCGTTGTATATATCATCTTAAATGTTGCTCTATTAATTTAAGAAAGTTATTGACTAAGCCTTTATAATTTAGAAGACAACATTTTAAATATTGATGTTTTTTTAAGTTGAAAGAAAATAAGATATTGGTTAAATAATTAAATTATAATTATAAAATATTTGTTTTGTAATCTTGATATGAAGAATTTTTACTTTCATAATATAATTAAAATAAAGAATTAATATGTAAATAACTCATTAATAGAGAAATGTTTATTTTAGAAAAATTGAATAAAAATATAAATTAAAATTTTTTAAATATTTTTATTTATTGTCAAAAAGTTAATTAAGAAGTAATATACATCATAAATAAGCTCAAATTAGTTAAGAAATAAAATATTAATTTGCTTCAAAAAACTTAAATTACTTTTAAAATTATAAGTTAATTAAAACAGAAATAAATTTATAATTCTTTTGCCATATTTTACCATATAGATTTATGAATGTATCAATGAGAATAAAATGAAAATAAGTTAAATGGTTGAGAAATTGAAAAAATAATGAATTAATTAATTAAAACTTAAATATTAACATATGTATAACTGCTTTATATCAAATTTGTTTAAAATAAAAATACATAAAAAATGAATAGTTATTTATTATGTCAAAAAGTTAATTAAGAGTATACATCAATAATAAGCTCAAATTAGTTATGAATAAAATATTAATTTGCTTCAAAAAACATAAATTAATTTAAAAATTATAAGTTAATTAAAACAGAAATAAAATTTATAATTCTTTTGTCATATTTTATCATATAGATTTATGATGTATCTATGAGAAATAATTTAAAAATATATAATAAAATGAAAATAAGTTTTTTAAAGATAATTATTATTTTTGATAAACGGTTGAGAAATTGAAAATATAATTAAAAAAATAAATATTAATATATGTAATATCTGCTTTATATTAAATTTGTTTAAAATAAAAATACATAAAAAATGAATAGTTTTTGTTATAACAGTGAAATAAGATATATTTTATTTATTTTTATAAAATATTGAGTAAAAAATAAGTAATTTAATTTATTATTAAATAAAGATTATATGTTTATCATAGGTAAATTTCGAATATTGAATCGTAAAGAATGTGTAATTAAGAGTATATTGTGATTCCTTATGTATTACTAGAATATTTGAGAATTTTAATGTTTTATTTATACAGTTTTTCATTTTTGTAAATTTTGTTTGTGTTTTTTAATTAAGTGTTGCTAAATACCTCAGAAAATATTGAAATCGAGCTTATAAATATAGATTATGGTTTGTTAAATTAAATATCATCTTCGTAATTAAATTAAAGTATTATTTTTTGTTCATCTTCTATGTATTATAATTGAACTTTATAAAGGCATTTAAATGGCTCCACACATTTTAAATGAACATTCACTTCTGAAAAATCATTTATTGACATCATAACTCCATTACAAAAATATGGCTTATGCTTTGAAAATCCACATTTTAAGTGATATATATTGCCTAAATCCTAGCTAGAAAGAATTGCATCAAATTATTAAAATATTAGATGACCTTCTCTCAGAAAAATGTCTATTGCTTAGCTGTAATAATTTTCAAATTTTAGAACTTATCTAAGCGTGTTTTGATACATTTTACCATTAGAAATATTAAACCTTTTTTAATTTTAAAATAAAAGTTATATCAAATATTTTAATTTAAAATTTACCATCTCCCTTAAGGAAAATAAATTTCATAATAATTTTATCCTTATTTTAAAACAGGTACAGAGATGAGATGCTGACCAATCATAATATGAGTTTCTAAAATATTATCTAAATATAGGTTTGAGTCATTAGCAAAATTCATAAATGCTGGTTAAATTTTGTAGGTGTTATTGAGAGTAAGAGTGTAGTAATATTTTAACAGAGAGTATTTTGTTCTGAATGAAAATAGTGCTCCTCCAAATTCATCAAAAGTAAAGAATTCCTAGCTTAACAGCTTTTCATGATTATGATTCCTGCTAAATGGGTATAAAGATCCTAATTAAGCCCATCTGTTGCATAATTCTTAGGTAGTATTTCCCATGAACCCACAAATATCGCTACCAGTAAAATCTATGCCAAAAATCTAAATTGAATTTTAAATAATTATTTTTTAATGATAAATCATAAAAAATTACATGGAAATTAAAAAGGCTAGACACGGAATAAGCCATGAACTCATATGAAGAATTATTATCACCAGCCCAATGAGAAACATAATTCCCACTACCAGGAATAGTGCTTCTTGATATCAAGAAAGGCAAAGGGTTTTACATTTCATATTTGACAGCCTTGTATGTAGACTGAGAATGCAAATATCCATTAATATTATGAAAATTAAACTCTAAATCTCCACTTTCCTCATGAATACTAACCAAACTTAAAGACATGTTTTCAAGTGGTTTACTTCCAGGCTGATAAGCTAAACCTATTTATTTAATTAATAATTGTAACAAACACAGCTTATAAGCTAAAATTAAATATTTTTTATAATTTAAATAATAAATTAACTAAATAAACAATAATTAATTAAATAAATAATTTATCAATAATAGAATAAATAAATAATAAAATGAATAAATCTACCTTCTACAAATAACTCTACATCTAAATTATATGATTGTCTGTAATTTTGGTACAACTCTGTTCAATTAAAATAAATAATAAAATAAATTTATGGTTTTAATTTAAAAATACCTTCACAAATTCCATGACAGAAATTAGCATATTCATTCATGTCTAACCAGAATGCTGATATGTTATTTTACTTCATAAAGTTAAATGTGTAATTCTACCAGAATATTTTTGTAATAGGTTTTTAAAAGTCAGGAAATAAAGTGTAGCCAGGCCAAACTCTTCCTATATAAATTTTATGGGTGAGGTCTTTGACACCTACGTTATAATATAATGCGTCTTATCTTACTTGCAGTGTTTGGTTTTCTAATCCAATTCCTACATCTAGGATAGGAACTATCCTTTTCTCAATATCTTTCATGATAGAGTAGTTGTTTAGAGGAAATATAGTTTAATTAACTGTAAAAGTGTTATAATTTATCATGTAATCAATGTCTATGAATATACTTTCTACAGGAAATTCGATGAAATTGTATTCTGCAATTATTTATTTTACTTCATCTATATTCTAATATCCCCATCTAGATTGGTGAAATCCATATGCCCAGAGAGGCATCAAAGCCTATTTTCCTAAGAAGACATTGTATCTCTGCACACAATTACTAGGAGAATCGCATGCTATTATTTTAAAATCTAAAATTCCTCCTGTAATACGATATTCGATTTCTTATTGTTTTGTTAGAAATATATCCATAGCATTTACATTTTAAAGATAAATTAAATGAAAATGAGTATCTGTCTGGTTGTTTTCATCCTAATAGTCAGTATCTTTCATTAAATAAACGGGGTGAGAGCCATATGTGTTATGACCTCCTTTAGAATCAGCAGTTTCAATATCCTAGGGCACATCTCTATTCCACAAAGTGTAAAGCGAATTATTGAATTCTAATTTAAACTTGTAATTTCTTTCTCCTAACCCAAAAATAAACTTACTACTTGCTTAGTACTTCAAGTGAATATATTTATCACTCATCACAAATCTTTCATCTAAGCTGAATAACAAAGTATTTGTATTTTTTCTTAATATTTTTAATTAGAAAGGCTCATTGTAATCGCTAATAAATATAGAAAAGTTTGTATTATTAAAGCAAAAGGATTTTTCATTTCTCTGCTCAAAATTTTAATTTTTATATTTAAATCTTAAATCATCATTTACATCTTCTGCAACCAAATCAATGAAGGAAGCATCTCTACAGTATAGAGTTAGTTTAATACATTTGATAAAATTATTGTAAGTATTAAGGTAGAAGTCAAAATTCTAGTACAACTGAATTAATAATTATATTTTATTATCTTAAATAGTCTTTTTCTTTAACACATAAAAAACATTCTACTATAATTTATCCAAATCCAATAGATTTAAACGAGTATTATTACTTTTTAAGTTATTTTAATTAATTTCTTTATCCTAATCTTCTACTATGTTGACTAAATTAGTATTTTTTTAAACACTATCATTGCCTACATTTTAAGAATATAAGCTCTACTAAAGCGCAGATTTCTAAAATATGACCCCTAAGCTAACATAATCCATGAGTAAATTTTCTGCTACTACATGAGGTCTACTATCAAATTACTAACTTTGTATCAATTTTAATAACTAAGTTATAATTAAGCATTTTATAAAGCAAATTTTTGTAAAAATCATTTTTTTTTGTTTATTTCTAAAGTCAAAACTAAATTATATTTATTGATATTTATTAAAATCAAACAAGTGTAAAAAGATACAATATATTGATTGATTGATAAATTAATTAAAAGATTAACTAACTAATTAATTAAAAATCTGAATATTATTTACTCATTATTCTATTTTTACTAAAGTAGAATCAATCTCATTCATCTTTCAATTTACAAATATTTTAGTTTTCCATATTTCTAGGTTTAAAATTTTTTATTTTTTTCAATTCATTTTCTGAATTGTAATTTAAAAAAAATTTTTATTTCAATAATTCTTAAACATTAAATCTAATTAAACAATTTTAACTTTAAAAATTTTTAATTTATTTATTTATTTATTTTTTAAAATAATAATTTTTTTTCAGAATTTTTTGGAAAATTTATTAGACTTAAAATTATTATTTTAAAATATATAATTTTATCAAAATAATTTTGAATCACTTTAAAGCAGTTTAAATAATGGTTATAAATAAAAAGTCAAATTTATATAAGAAAAATATATTGAAACATTTTGATTCTAATAACTAAAATAATATTTAAGTTAATGAAATCAGTTATGTAGTGTTTTTAATCAATAAAAATTTATGAGTAAAATTAATTGTGAAGCAATATTATTTCTTGAGTTTGCGCACATACCTGATTAATAATATGTAAATAGATTTATTAGTGATTTTGGTTGCTTATTAATATTTATTAAATTAAATAATTTGTAACCAAGTACTGCTTTAAATAAAGATAATTCTCAATTTGTTTCCAAAATTAAATATTTGTCTTATATAAATAACAAGAGAGCAAATAAATACACAAGCAAGCAAGCAATCAATAACTCAAATAATAACTTTTGATAACATAATTCAAAAACTTAAAACTATTTTATGAGATCTCTTGGAAGGCATCCAACTTTATAAGTTCCTCCATCAAATATTATTTCGAGCATTTCTAAAAAAGTTATTTCATCTGATTTAGATTCGAAGCTGTAAAATTTTGACAATATGCATTTAAAATACAAAATAAATCAAGTTAAGGGAATTAATAAAATTAAAAATGTTATTTTAATAGAAGTAGAATGGAACATGAAAAGGAAGTCAGCATAAGAGAAAGCTCTGAGGCTGGTCAAGGATATTAACCCGTAATTACTGAAAAAATGAAAAATATGACAACAGATGAGATATTTGAAAGGTTGGTAAAAGAAAATATTGACTTTAGAGATTATAGATATAACGAGTTAATGAAAGAATTTGAATCAGAAATGGAAGATTTTAAGCGAACTGCACCTACCTTTGAGGAGCTATCAGATGCTTAATCTATGCAAATAAATTAAATGAACCCAAATTAAATGTATGCACAATTTTAAACTAAATTTTATGCTCTAAGAAAAAGAGATAAAGACGATTTACAAGAAAGGTAAAACTCTTTTTTTATTACCTCAATTAATTATTTGATATAGTAATAAGATTTATTTTAAATATTGGTGAAAATACAAATACTGACTGACTGGCAAATATTCAAATACATTCATTTGATTTTCAAATAGATTTATTTATTTATTTATTATTCTTTTATCGTTTCACTAAAACCTCAATCAATATTTTTGTTAAAAAGATACGAAAGGGTTACCAGAATTGTAAGAAGTAGTCACGTTTAAGAAGTATAAAATTTGGTATCTAAGTTTAAAGGAGTTCTAAGAGTATGATAGTTTAAATTTATTTTTTAATTAATTGATAAATTGTTCTTACAAAAAATAAACAGGAAACAATTGAAAAAAAGTTGGAAGAATAAAAACTAAAATATGAGTTAGAACATAAAGAAATGCGTGATAATCATTTCCAAATGAAATCTCAAATTAGAACGTAATTAATTTTATTTTATTCAATCATAGTTAAAAGTTAAATTAAATAATGTTTTAAAAATATTTTAAATGTTTTTTATCATTTATTTTAAAGATTGGAGGAAAAATGTGAGTTTTTGTAAGAAAAGATTAATGAAAAGGAAAAAAAACTTTAAGAAATGTATGATAAAATAATTAAAATGAATAATGAAAACTCATATAGAAATTAAGATCAAGAAAAGTTATAGAAAATGATGAAAGAAAAGGAAGCACAAATAGAAAAGTTGTAAAAAAGTGAAAAAGCTCTCGAGGCTTTGTAATAGTAAAAAATCGACTATGCTCTTTTAATTAAAGACAAAGAGAATACTATTAATTAAAAGGATTAGCTTATTTAAAAGCTTTAAAAATAGCTCTAGCAATAAACTTCAAAAATGCAAGATTAAGATTAAAAAATCAAAACACTTGAGCAGCAAGAATCTTTAAAGGTTCAGTCAAGGACGACTATTAAATCTGAAGATGAATAAAGTGATGTTGTTAATCTTAGAAGGACAACTCCAGATTAAAACTACAATGCTTGTAGATCAGCTCTTACAAGAAACGATTCAAGAAATGGAGCTTAATCAAGCAATAACAAACTGAGAAACATTAAGCAGCCCTAATAAATGCAAGCTGTTCCGATTTAAACTTTTGGAGATGTGTAAATAAATAAATAAATAAATAAAAAATAAAATGAATTGTTTATCTTTTATTTTTAAATAGATTTAGAAAGTTCAAATAAGCCAAAAGAGAAGAAAGTATTCAAAATAAACAGTTCATTGATCAGCTTCAGTAAAAAATAAAACTAAAAGAAGATTAGGTATTTGTCTTATAATAATTATACAAAAAACCAAAAAGAATTATTATATTCATTGATTTTATTTCAATTAAATGATTGTTTATTTTATATAATCTAATTAGATAAAATTACTTACCAATGAAGTAATGAGCTTGAGAGAAGAAAGTGATACTTATTTATAGAATCTACAAAGTATGTAGCAGTAAAATTCATAAATGAACTCTAAAACTTAGGGTTACTTGACATAAAATCCTAATATCAATGACTTAATTTTAGATCCTTATAAAAGAGGAGACTCAAGTATGAACAAAAGCCGCTTGAGTATGACTGAAGAGAACCGTTATTTACAAAGTGCTTTATCTAAAACATCCAATTAGTTTAATTCTGCAGTCAGCCCCAAATTGGTTTAACTCCAGCAAGCTTCCAGCAGAAATAGAAATTTAAGTAATAATCTAGAATAAAATAAAGAAAATATTTAAAAGCTATCTTTGATGAATACAACAGATTTGTCAATTTATAAGGCTAAAACACCTTAATCTGTCAATAACACCAAACAAAGCTTAATTAATATAACAAATAAAGCAACTACTCCTGACCCATCTAAAAAATTTTAAGAAATCTAAGTAAACAGAATATCTAGTAATAACAACAATGATATGCAAACACCATATAATCAAAATAAAAATAAAATTACTCAAGTCTCCACTATATTCTAAAATACTAATTTGCAAACAAACAACAGTACATAATATTTTAGTTAAACAAACAATAATAATATCACGAATTCATCTTAACAACTTCTAAAATAAGATATTAACCCATAGATTGGAAATAAAAGTATACACATTTCTAACTTTAATAATAATTCTGTTAACTATATAAATTCCATAAATAACTAAATCTAATCTCCATAATTATTAAATTAGAATGTTCAAGTTTAAAAATAAAAAAAAATACTTGGTTCTTATAGAATATAGCCTACTTTTAATTAAAAATCGAACCTAACTAATAACTATATATCATCAGCATCTGATAGTTTTATTCCCCTAAACATATGAATAAAATCAATCAGTTAAACTTATATTTATCCTTAAAAATAATTACAATTATATAAATAAAAATATATATTTGAGTTTATAAAATTATTCTAAATGTTTTCTTCATATTTATTTTACTTTATTTGTTTTTAAACTTTTTAAATTTTTTTATAAATACCTTTTTTAAGTTAATTGATTATCCTCTTTTAAAATATATTATTAATACTTAAAAAATAATTTAAAACTAAATAAAATACTAGGTTTTTATAGAAAAAAGCTTACTTTAATTAAACTAAAAATATTTTTCATCAGTATCTGAAGTTTTATTCTCCTAAACATATGAATAAAATCAATCAGTCAAACTTTTATTTATTCTTCAAATTAATTACATATTTAAATAAACCAATTTATTTGAGGTTATAAAATTAATCTAAATATTTTCTTCATATTTATATTCTATCAGCCCATATCATTTATTTCTTTTTAAACTTATAAAACATTTATAAATACCTTTTTTTAAGTTAATTGACTATCTTCTATTAAAATATATTATTAATGCTTGTAAAATAATTTAAATATAAATAAAATACTATATTTTTATAGAAAAAACCTTACTTTTAATTAAACTAAAAATATTTTTTCATCTTTTTCTGATAGCTTTATTTTCCTAAATATATAAATAAAATCAATGAGTCAAAACCATATTTGTTCTTCAATAAATAAATTATATAAAAATTTATATTTACTTGAGTTAATTAAATTAATTTAAATATTTTCTTCATATTTGTTTTCTATCAGCCTCTTCATTATTTGTTTTTATTCTTATATGATTTTAATAAATATTTGTTTTAAGTTCATTCCTTATTTTTTATTAAAAAATATTTGAAAGATAAATACAATATTTTCTTACAACAATTATAATTTTAACTACTTAGAAAAAATTACTAACATTCTTATAAAACAAAAAATAAAGATTACTTAAATATTCATTCTAATCGTTAATTGTTACTAGATTTACAATTAATTTCTTGGGAAACCTATTGCTAAGAAACTAAAAATGAATTAAATGTTGTAAAATTAACTTTTTTAAACCTATAATTAATTCTGAAGATTCAAATAACAAGCAATATTCTCACCACACATACCATGAAGTCAAGAAAATGCCAATTTAGTTTAAAAATTAACGATATATTAAACTCAATGAAATACAAAAAAAATAAAAATTACTTTAATACACATTTTAAATATTTATTAGCTCTATTTACAATAAAGTTGTTGGGGGATCTTTTGTTAAGAAACTAAAGATGAAATAACTGATATAAAATTAACTTATGTAAACCATTATTTAATACTGAAAATTCAAATAACAAGCTATGTTACTACCACATCTACAATGGAGACAAGAAATTGACCATTGAATTATAATAATTAAGGATGAAAGCCTCATGAAATACAAAATAATAAATATTTTGAAAAGTGATATATTTAAAGAGCAAGTAATAAAGTTTTATGATAGATAAACTTGTATTAATTATCATGTTTAATGATCTCTTATAGAAAGATAATAGAATAATCACACTTAAGCTAATACATATAATAATTTTATAAATCAAACAATATTTTTTTATTATTTTATATATTCTTACATCTTTTACTTTTAGAAAGGAGTTTTAAATTCAGGTTATTCAACTTAGCTTCCTTCATAAGCAAAAACTTGTAAAGGATAGGCTATTCCTCCATTCTAAATGTAAGATATATTATTAATGAAAGATTAATCAGAGCAATTAGCAGATATTTCTTCAGATGTCTTAAAATCAGAAATTTTGCTATCATCTCCATAATATCTTACATAAAATACATTTCTAATGTATTATTCGTAGGTTTTTTCTATGATTTAAGATTCCATTTTAATGAATCCAATCAACTCAAAGTCATCTAAATATTTGCTATACTTCTATGATAAATATGATTAGATTGCAGTCATAAAATCATCTTTATTTCCTAAAAATTGAGAAGGTGCTGCGTATTTACCATTTTCTATTTGAGTTAAAAACTTATTGCTTTTTTTAGACTAGCAAATTATAACAGTCTCGCCTTTCATCTAAAAGAATTAAATCCTGTTAGAGTGCTCTTACATCATATTTTTCTAAAAAGCTTTTTATATTTCTATATTTTAATATTTTTGAAGTTTTAATCAGATATCAAACTAATTCTGATATACATGCTTATATTTCAATTAAAAATAAGCGTCTATATCAATTAAAATCAACTAAATTAAATTCTTGTTATATAAAATAGATGAAAATTTATTTAACATCTATTTTTGAAAGATTTGTTAAAGTAAAAACCTAATCAAAAAACCAACTATTTTTTATATTTTGGAATTATTTTTGATAAGGAATATTAATTTAATTTAAAACAATGAATAAATATTTAAATTAAATTATGTTCATGCTTAAATTATTGATTGGCTCAATAAATTTATTTAAATCAATAATTTTACAAAAAAAATCTGTCAAATGCAAATAATTAAAAAAAAATATATTTAGTAAAACATAAAATTGTTATTTTTCCTAGATCAATTTAATAATTAAATATTTCAAATACACTTTGATAAATATTTGATAATATTTTTATTTTTTTATATGTGTAATAAATTCTAACTAAATGTCTAGATTAAAATTTTATATTTTAGTGTAAGTTAGTTTTAATCTTAATCAAGGAAATTCTTAGAACAATTAATTCTTTTTCAAAAAACTTTTTTTAGCTTGATGTAAAGACGTTAAATAAACTCATATATTTGTTGTTTGTTTATTTTTTTATTGTTTGTGTTCTATAACTAGCATAATAATATGAAAAAGAAATATGCTTTTAATAGTTAAATTTAGTAAAATAATTAGATTATATAAATTAAATGGTAGATTATGTATGGATTGAAATTTTTATTTAAAGAAGATGTATTATTTATTTTTTACCTATTATAGCAACAAACAAATAATTTAAATAACAAGCAACTCAATTTTCAATAAAATTTTCGTTGGTTTATACAAGTAGAGAATCAAAGTCAAAGCAAATAAATAGTAAAAAATTATTATACAGAAAAAATTGATAAATAAAATAGATTTATCTAAATATTTGCTGAGGAGCTTGACCAAATAGAAAGTAAAGCGTTTATAAAGAGTTTTTAGGATAGAAGTTTCATTTTATATTTAAAAGTTTAGCCAATATATTTTAATTGCAGCAGCATTTAATATTAGCTAATAATAAAATAATTGGTAGAAGAAGATAAATAAGTTTTTTGATTTAACAAATAGGATGTTCAGCGGCAACAAAAAATAAAACCAATAAGAGGAATCACTTTGGGAGACAATTGAATAAAAGCTAAAGCTGTGGCTTCACTCTTTAATTCATGAAGTTTTACAAAGTCAAGTAGATTATTTATTTGATAGTTAGTTAAAATTTTAGACTCAATGGCAACCGAATTTTAAAAAAAGATCTTATCGAAATTTAAACTATAATTTGATTTTACCTGATTCCATTAATTTATCATTTTCATTTTTAGCAATTTTTCAACTCAATAGAATAGTTTGCAGGGCTGGTTTTTATAGTACCATGCAAAAAAATAATAAATAAACGATTCAAATTAACACATTTTTGAAATTATAAATAAATAAACAGGTTGGAAGTCCTCTGATATATAATCTTTTGATATTAATTGAAACTTTGTAACTTAACTATTATGCAATTCACCCTCTGCTAAATAAATACATATGGAACACTAATTTCCTGAGCTACTATCAGCAACTAATCTAATATTTTCAATTTAATTATCTTTTGAAGGGTTCTTAAGCTACAACATTTCTTGCAATTTTGTATATTTGCTTCTCAATTAATATCATTGTAATCATCTTGATGATCATCGCAACTAATAAAATTGTAACAAACTAAAAAAAGAACTCAACATTCTTGAGTTACGGAATTAAAATCTTAGCTACCTATGGTCTTTTGGTAACTACAATAATTCCTCTCCCTTTTTTTAACTCCTTTCTAGCAACACTGATATGTAGTGTAGATTCGCCTTACACGTAAAATATGAATTGCTATTCAGGCTTATACTTTCTTCATCTTACAATCGCTATTATAGGAATGTTAATATTCATATTTCTTTGCTTAGTTTTCACTTTTATGTTTATTGACATGAATCCTTCTTCAGTGATTCCATTCGCTTCTCCTTAAACTCTAATGCCTTTAATAAAACTTGGTACTTTATGATCAATTCAAAATATATTTAATTAACCCTATTTATTTAACTAATATAATATAGGAATGAAAGTTTTGCTTCCTTTCTATGTGACTATAGACTATGGTGGAAAGTTTATTTAGTAATTTATTGTAGTCCTCAATGTATTGTTTTTGTTTATGCTATTTATGAGATATAAAACTGCTCCTTACTATAATAAGGTAATAAAAATAAAAATAAACTTTTCTAAAAAAAAATATTATTTACTTTTTATAAAATCATAGAAAATACAATCTTTTGTTATATTTTGCGAATCTCTCATTTTTTGGGTGGCATTCTGTGCTTTAGTGACTACCTTTTTAGACTAGGGAACTATCGATAATATTGGTCTACTTTATGTTTTGATTTGTAATACTGCTTTAATTGTATTTATTTTAATTTAATCATGAGTCTTAAATGTTTTTAGGTTTTCCCATGTTTTGGAATGTTTATAGGAACATAGTTCATCACAGAAAGTCCTACTTCATATAGTTATCAATCAAAGACTTTAAAAAAGATGATGATGTAGAAGTTTATGTCAACGTTTTGATTGATTTGATCGAAAGCAGAGAACATGCTGAAAGTCGTATTAAGCTTGAAGGTATCCTTAAATACCACAGTAAAACGTGCCCTAAGGATACTTGCTATTGCAGATAACTGCTACACGATGAAACAAAGGACGAAGAATCCTAGCTTTTATCTAAAAAATGGTATATGTTTGTGAGATCTATCCTTGAAGACTCACTCGAAAAGTTTGTTAAATCTTCAAGACTTCACTTACTCCATGCTTTCATTTAGCACGAAAAACTCAAAAATAAATTTAAAGCCTTATTTGAACTCATGATTGCAAGAGAGCATAAGCCAAACATTCAAGAAGAGTTCTCGATATTCAGGTTTATTTAATAATCATCAAATGCTTTTTGGTATAAAAAAAATTTTTCTTACAAATAGATTTGCAAATTTAATTGAAGATGAAATTAAGGACAGCGATGAAAAAACTGGAGACACTAGGAATGTTGATGTGAATAAAATCGTGCTTTTTTAGAAGAGAGTAAAATATTTAATAAAAAGATATTTAAAATAATTAACACTTATTTTATTTAAATAGTTTATTGAATTCTAAGAAATAATTGACAAAAGTGTCTAACTCCATCTAGATTTTTGGAAAGAACTATTAGAAGAGAATCCTGAAATTCAAAAAATAGAAAATATGGGATCTAAAATAACGTCCACTGTTGAATAAGTAAATCTAAACTAATAAATCATCAATTAACCACTAATTTATTTATTTGTCATTACCATCAATTTATCATAATTCATTGATTCATTTTAGTTCATGAATTAATTAATTATTGATCATTTTTGCTGATCGATTAATCATTAACTCTTCTTTGTTGATCAATTAATTAATCGCTCGTTAATTGTTGTTGATCAATTGATTGTTAAAATTCAAAAAGGTAAAAGACCAATTTTAAAGATTGAGAGACATTTACAGCAATCACATTAAATGCCTAGAAATATATGGTTACTTTTTAAAAGATATTGTAAACGATGATATTGAAGGAGAAAAAATATTGGATAATGTGAAATATGCTAAAAATTCTTAAAGTGTTAATAAACAATTTGTTGATTAAGACAGACTTAAATACGGAGAAAACTCAAATACTGCAATTCTCACTGTTTCAGGAAATTATGGATAAATAGGTACCGTCACAAATCTCAACAATGAGCTTACAAGGTTGGATAATTAAATTTCGAACTTCTTTTTTCATGACAAAAATAAAATAATATAAATTAATTAATCATTTATATCTAAAAAAGAATTTTAGGATGGAGTAAGGCTGATGTTATAGAATAAAATATTTCAAGAATAATGCCAAAAGTATATGCTGATTTGCATGATAAATTCATGGAACATTATCTTGAAACATCTGAAGGTAAAGTTATTGGAATAGAAAGAACAGTAATGTGCTTAAACAAAGTAAATAAACATATTTAAAGTTTTTAGATTAAGAATTATGAAATATAAATAGGATTCATTTTTAGTTCCATGTACTTTGATGATAAAAGTACTACCAAATTTATCAGAAGGTATACAGATAGTAGGGTTTCTTAAAGATATTGAAGCAGCTAATTCAATTTTAAAAACTAGTAACAATGAATAGGATGAGAAAGTTCATTATATGATTTATAGGACTGATAATGACTCTTATGTTATGTAAGGTATTACTTAGTCTTGCTATAATTCTCTAGGAATACCTTCTTCACTTATGTACGGAAATAGTACAAATAATATCGAATTTACAGTCGGTAAATAGACTAACTTAAAACTAAAAAAATTTCTAAATTTTCAATTATTTTTAATTTATAGACACTATTTGTCCAGATTTATTGAATCCTGAATTCTATGAGGACCTTAAAAGTCCAGCAGGATTGATTGTAACTATTGACACTACGACTGTTTAATAAAACTTTTTGTTAGACGAAGAAGACTCTGAAGATGAAGAATATCAAGATGCAACCTCAGGTATAGGTTAAACAGTTGGGTTAATGGATGAAGGCTAAGAAACAAAGGCCAAAAAAACAAAATTTAAAAGGACAAGGGTTAGAATGAACCTTATTGAAGAGTAAACATTTGAAGATAGAAAAGTAATTTTTATCTTGTACAGTGACAGGAATAGCTTTTTAAATTCTAAAAATATTTATTAAATAAGGTCAATGTAGTTAAATTTGTTGAAGTAGATGAAACTGATGAAGGAAGAAGTAAAATTAATCAAGAAGGGTATTAAGGCTCAGCAATAGAGCAGTAATAAATGAAGGAAATTGAAAAAACTTAAATGATGAAATAATAATGGACTTAATAATAGTAAATTTAGCAATAACATAACGATAGAGATGAGGAATTTAATGCTTCAGATAGAGACTCTAACATATCAAGTTCTTCTGTTAACGAAGAAGTTAGATAATTGAAAGATTTTAAATCACTTATCTCAGAAAAAACAGTAAAATTAATTTGATCAAAAACAATAAAATTAATTAATCAACTAAATAAAATAGGTACCAAAAAGTATTAGTATTCTTAAGAAAACAGTTATTAGTTTAATTATTGTCATCTTAGTTCTTAGTGGAGTCGAGCTTTCTTTTAAGCTGAGCTAAGGAAATGAAATATCAACTGGTTTTAATTCTATTTTTACTTCTTACTAAAGAACAGATATCATGGCTGATGTTAATTTCTATTCTAGAAGAGTTTATAATCTTGCAAAGTAATTTAATAGCTTTAATTAATTTTAGATATTTATATTTACAATGCAAATTAAAATAAATTTTTTATGTTATTCTAATTTTTGTTAAGTAAATCTAAATCATTTCGTTGATTAAACTTAAAAAGAGTTTAAGAGTATTTAAAATATCAAAATAAATACGAAGTTTATAAAATAGACTTTGATGAACTAAATATTTTAAACAAACACATTTTATGAAATAAATACAAATAAATTTAATCTAAAAAATAAAATAAAATTTATTTATTATTTTTTATTTAGTTAAATTAGATTACCTGTATCACCTACTACATAAAATTAGGCCTTTGTAAATGACTAGAGCACTGTAATATTATATTATATTTTATTCAAGAAATAAATTTTATATCATAAAAATTATCAATAATAAATAGCTATCAACAAATGTTAATCTGCTATAAACAAACTAATTCTAAAATATGAAGAATGTGATTAATTTAGATTCTTCGACATACAATAAACTAACTACCGCCCTTTATGATGTAAAGTTCTAGCAATAACAACTAAATGATATTAAAACCTACCAAAACTTACTGACTGATGCTATGATTCAGTATATCACATCCTCCTCTTCCTTGGCTAATTCCACTCTAAGCTCTTTCCTTCCGAGTGCTTCCAGTTAAGGGTAAATTAATTTTTCTAAACTTAAATTATATTATAAATTCATTATAATTTAAAGTTATGTCGATTCTACTATTAAAAATTTCTTCTATGTCATTTAAAATGGTTTGTTTGTTTTGAGAAAGGGAACTGAATTTGAATCATAAGAAATATTTACATATTATTACAATGAAAATGATAATTTTGAAAACTCATTCAAAATAATTATGATCCTTGGCATAGTTTTTCTTCTGCTGTCTTTAGTAATATTGATTCCTTATGTGTTTAAAGTTCATAAGACTAACACTCGTGTGCTTTCTCTGTTTGGTATGATTCCAATTGCAGAAATAAAAGAGTTAGTCAGTAGATGTGAGGCTTACTCTGCTCAATTTATTGATGAAAAGAAGATGCTTCAAGGTGAATAAAACTACCAAGAAGAAGAAGTTGATCAAGTAAAACTTTTGAATCTTTAACCAAATTTTATTTAATATTTTAAAAATGAATAGAGTAAATAAAATGACAGTCCAAAAGGCAATCAAAACGATTTAGAAATAGATGGTGAAGCTAACGAGAATGATGAAGTGAAAGATAGCAAAGATATAGATTATGAGGATAATAAATAGAAAAATAATAGTGATATTAGATCCAATCCTCAGAACTAGCTTTAAGTACCTTTAGCTGGAGGAAGTGATTTGAGAAATTCTAAAATAAATAATAATTTAAAGACAAACCCTTAGACAGCATAAAACTCAAATGTAAAATTTTTTTATTTGTAAAATTTCATAAATAATAGAATGTAAAATAAATTAAGCTTAAAGGTGCAGCAGCGAATAAAAACGATGCAAATAAAAAAGGAAAAAGTCAAGAAGAAGAAGATGCAGATAATCAAAGAAGCTAGAAGTTGATGAATTCAAAAGATAACAATAGAAAGAAAGTCATCTTCTAATTTTTAATATTTTCATTGCTATTTATAACTTATTTCGTTGTCAGCTTTGTTTTAGAATTGACATTCTTGCAAAACATGAGACAAGTACTCCATCACTTAAGCTAAGTATCTCAAAGAAATTCAATCATAAAGTAAATTCATTTTGATAGTTTCTTTTTTCATGATTCATCTTTTAATACAGGTATGCGCTTGTTTATATGGTAGAGCAAATAACTACAGACTAAATTTAGTTGTAGGATGGAGAAGATAACTTAACTGTTTTTATTAATAGGTCATACACAATAGAAAATGAAATTAATACTAGCAGTTTATAATCTTATCCATCAGAATTTTCTTCTTACTTTAGCACCTTTTAAACTGCTAATTATAACAACTTCTGCACTATTTTCCCCTAAACTCCTACTTTAACAACAACTGATTGTGCAAATGTCAACTCTAAAATGCTTCAAAGAGGTCTGAAAGTCTCAATAACATCATACATTGAAGGTAAATAAATGAAAGCTAACTAATATTTAAATTTAGTAATAATTTTGAAATATCAAATAGGAATAAGAACATTTATAACTAACTACGAAAATGCAGCAGACAAATCATTAAGCTTTAAGCAAAAAGAGTTTGCTTTGAATGATTATGTTGTACTAGAACAAATGCAATTCTATATGGCACCAATGATAGAATTTTTAAATTAATAACTGTTGTCAGCAATACAAACATATATCAATAACTAAAACAGCATTGAAGAGATAAAGTTTGGTGTGTTTGTTGCTTTTGTCATTATTGTATTCCTAGGAGTGTGGTTACCTTATTTACAATAACTCAGCCACAAGATATGGAGAACCAAAGGTATGCTCAATATGATACCTATGGACATAATAACAAAAGATCAAAACCTTAAGCAAGCTTTCTAATCAGGAGACATACTCTAAGCTGTAAAATGAATATTTATTCTACAAATTAAATCAAACAAATACTATAAAATTGTATAAAGTTTATTACCTATAAAATTTTTCAGTTTTCTAACTATCTAACTAACTAACTAAATAAAAAAATAAATCAACAAGTCATATATAAATTACTATGTATAGTTATACTATTTTTCATATTTTAATCCAAACAAACTTTTTCTTTATTCCACCGCATTTATATTTAATCATTAAATGGAAATATTACTAATCAATTTAGATAAATAAAATAAATTAATAATATATTTTGGTTTATTAATATTTAAATTAACAAGAAAGACATTGTAAATTTTTTATATTAAGGGTACTTAAAATAATAAAAAAATACCCAATCCAATTTTTAAAATAAAAAATTATTTTAATTGATGCACACTTCTAGTCATATTTATTAAAGAGTTCATATGGTACTTACTAATTGATGTTTTTTATTAAATTTTATTTAGATATATTAAAATATTATTTTTCTTGTTTTAATATAATTGCAAAAAAGATATTTGATTTAACTAAAAGGTAAATATAATATATCAAGTTTTACTGTTTTATAATAAGATTAACATAAAATTATAATTAAAATTAATTAAATTTAGAAAAGAATTTTCAACAGTTAATTTTTGTAAAGTACTAGTAGAATATTTATTGATAAATAAAAGAATAAGTTTATTAAGAGTTAGAATTATATTGTCTATGTCATAAAACATTCTTGAACAATACGTAATTACAGGGTCAATTAATGGCGGCTATCAACTTGAGCACAAGAAAACTAAGGAGTAAGCCATCTATAAAAATATTATCAGTCATATACACTATGATGATTAAAAATAGCTGATTGAGAGGAGGACTTCCATAAAAAATTGCTCATAGTTACAAAAAATCATAAATTGCTAAATTTCTTAGTATAAATTCGAGAACAACAATTAGTTTTTGAGTAATATCAGTATCATTTATGAGGATATAGCACTTCGATTTGATAATGAAATAAATAACAGGATAAAATAAAAAATTTATTGGTCAGAGGAAGAAATATTAAATACTCTTGAAAGCGCTGTTTAGGCTCTGTGTGTCTTGCACGAGCATCATCTTGTTCATGGTGATATTAGGCCTAGCTCTATAGCATGCGATTTAACTGGAGAAGTTAAACTACTTGACCAATTTGCTACATCAAATCATTTTTTTAAAGTATTTTTACTTAGATTAACTTTACCTCTACTTTTAATTTTTGATAATAAATTTTGTTAACAAAATTTTAAAAAGTTCTACTAAGAAATTAATAAATTAGTGAAGTCAATTTTTTGATAAGAATTTTTCTTATTAGTTTTGGATAAATAAAATTTTTTTAAATTATTTCATAAGAACCTTCAGTAAGTTGTTTAAAGTGGTGGTTATTTAACACCTGAACTCTGCAAATGCTATTAAATGGACAACTAAGAGTATGTTCTTGAAAGCAGAAACGATGTATTTAGCTTAGGATTAGTTTTTCTAGAAGCTACCACTCTCACTTCTAGCTAAGATGTTTAAAAGAATATTCAAATTAATGAAGAATTGCTCAAATCAAGACTAGAAATGATAAAAAAGCTTGGATATTCTTAAAGAATTGTAAATATACTCTCTAATATGCTCTTAATCGATGGAGATTTAAGACCTTCTATTTAGTACATCTAACAAATCGGATGGGGAAATACTGAAAACAGTAAGCTTTTTTAGCTTCAAGAAATTAGTTCTATTCCAATTATTGAAGGTGAAAGCTTTTCTCACAGCATTATTTTAAAAAAAGTCCTCGGTGATTAAAGCATATAGAATACAGACCTTTCTAAAAAAACAGATTGTTAACAGATGAACTGGTAATTAAAGGAGCTACAATAACAAATAAGCTAAAATTAATCGAACTGGTAGTTAAATGATTCAAAATAAAAGTAAATTTCTTATTGAATTTGTTCATTTTATATTATTTTTTTAGGTTTAATAAAATATTAGATAGCTAAGATACAAACTTAAATGTGACAGCATAGATCTCTTAATACACTTTAAAAAATAGATAAGAGGATATTTAAAGCAAAGATAACAATTAAATATCCTTGTTGGGAAATTAAGAAAATGGTTCCTATCAAAAATAGAATTACAACTATCAATCAATTTCTTAAAAGGTTTCAAATTTTTAGATATATTTTTAAATAATAAAAAAATTTTATTTAAATAAACTAGCATTCAAGATGCAAAACAGAGTGCTAAGACATAAAGGTTTTTACTAAAAATAGCTAAAAGTCTTTTTCTAAAGCATGTGAAGATCCAGATGAAACAAATTAATTTAAAGACAATGACACAACGCAAATAAGTAAGAAAAAGGATTAATCTGTCTTAATGACTTAAAAAAAGTACTCAGATTTATCTCAAAATGAATAATATGAAAATATTTGTCCTCAGTGTGTGAGAAAAATGGTTTCACCTTTGCTTAGAAATGCTTTCTCTCCAAGATTGGAAGCAATATAAGATGAGGAATCAATTAGAAAGAGTTTAATAAAGCAGACTCCTCTTCTTAGGATATCAAAATGCAAAAAAGAATTAGAGTCTTGTGAGCCCATAAATTTTAACAACTTTAATTTTTAATTAGATAAATTTTGTAAAAATAAAATACCCGTTTATCAAAATTAAGGACTGAATGGACCTTAAAGTAATTACCGCCCTCCATTGCATAACCAAAGCTAAGCATAATTGAGTAGGATTTAGCTCAACCCTTAAAGAAGCTAATAAAGTTTTCACCAAACAAGCATTAATAGTAATTGGAACTAGTCAGTCAATAACTATGCTAGCAGCACCCATTAAACCTCTTAAAACGACTCTTTTACAAAAAATCCAACTAAAAATCCTTTAAAGAATATCCAAAATAACCAACTATTGAATAGATCCTACAGTAGACTTGAACAAAGTAAACCTGAATTATTTACAAAAAAGTGTAATGAAAATGAATTTGAGTCAAATTAATTAAGCGCATGCGTTTCTCTACCAAGCTAATAAATGTAAAATTCTTAGTAAAAGCACCCAAGTAATAATAATAATCCTCATGTCTAAAGGAAACCACTCTTTGGAAACAATTAAAATATTGTACCTCAAAAGTTTTAACATTTCAACTGTAGAACTCTACAAAATTGAACTTTTTTATTTTTATTTTGTGTATTTCAGTCAGTAATAATGAATGAAGCAATTTTTATATCATTTTTAAATTGATAATATTTATAAACTATTTATTCATCTCCACAAATTTCACATTTCTTCATTAATTCAAATAATTTTTACTTATTTATAAATTGTTTCATTTTAAAGAATTTCACATTACTTCTTTATTCCAAATTTTTTTATAATTTGCCATTTTAATTGTTAATATTTATAATTTATTTCATTTTCAAGTATTTATTTCACATTAACTCTTTATTCCAAATTATTTTTACTTATTTTCCAATTTATTAAATTGAAATTTTTTAAAAATTAAGTAAAATTTAGTCTTTCGTTAAGATAATTATTAAATCTAAAATATTTTAGTAAGCTTAAGAATAAATATTTAAAATTTAATTTTTATCTTAAAATAGTTTCTCAAAAAAAATAACTAGAATTTATTCTAAATCCTTATTAATTTATACCAAATTAAATCACTTTTTTTATTTGATTTCATACTTATATTTTGTTTGAATAAAAATTTTCGAGAAAATTGAATGATTTTATAATAATTGCTTTGCAGTAATAAAAGATTTGTTAAATGCTAAAATAAACTATTTTGAACAAATTATCTTTGAATCGTTAATAAATCAATTTTTAGTTAAATAAAAAGATAATTTTACTTAAAATAATAAAAATAGTACATGTTTCAATGAAATTTAAGATTGAAAAAAAAAATAAAATTTTTAATTATTAAACCAGTAAGTAATATTTTTTAATATATATTTTAAATGAATTTATACAAATCTGTTAAATTTATTATTAAAATATTTATTTTTATTAATATTTGATAATTTTTTAGAATAATATTAATTTATTTGATGAATAAGATTGTTATTTATTTTTAATATATTTTATTTATTTCGTTGATTATTATATTTTGGTCAAAATTTTAGTGTAAGAGCTAAAAATGTGCCTACAGAAATTCCAAATGTCAAGAAGAAAGTTTAGATTATTGATATTAAGCTTCTTTCTTAGTTATTAGAACCTCTTTGAGGACCAATTGTCATAAACCCTCCTGTAACAAATCCATTAGTAAAACTTAAGCTAAATATATTAATGAAGGCAAATATGTCATTCTAAAAGAAGGAAGATTCATAATCATGAGCAATCATTAAAAATGTAAAGAATAAGAATAATCTGCTTAAGGATATCGCATAGAGAGCGGTAGTATTATAAAAATTAAATGTACTCAGATACTTTCCAACTAAGTCTCCAACACTGTAAACTATTTGCATGCTCAAACTAATTTAATAAATTTATTATTAGAAAGGTTATTTGAATAAAAATATTTATTTACGTAGCCCAAGCTTTAGAATGAATCATATGATATTATTTTTAGAAAACAGCCACTCCTGGGAAAAGCATGTATTAAATAATGTAAGTCAATAAAATTGAAAAACAAATGAATTTCACTTTCATGAAACAATTTTTAGCCATTTAAATTTTATTTTATTTTTAGAGCAAAGACTACTCAGCTTGATGTTAAATTTAGCTAGAAGATAGATTAGAAATCGATTCTTATTATTATACTTGGTTTTCATCATCAGTGTTTTCGCTTTCGTTTTATAATTGTAATTTATTTATTTCAAGCATATCCAGATAAAATGATGTTTTTAGGAATTTTATAACTGAAATTATAGTTATTATCATCACAAGATCAGCAACTGCATAATAAACAAATATTCCTGTATTAATACCTTCCTAATTGTCACCAAAAATTACAAGAATGATAGCTCTGCATAGATTCATAATCAATTGAGTTATAGAAGTAAATACCCAATATAGTTCTATTAATAAAAAGGTAAATTTAAATATAAAAGAAATTTTAATTTTGAAAAATGTTTATTTACTCAAGCTTAGCTTATCAAAATTTGAGACAAGAGCGAGGTTTGAATTTTGAACAATACATGCAGTTGATCCGACTAGAAAGCAAATAGTTATCATTAAAGCGTAACCTAAATTGGTCTACATATAATTTGCAATTATAGGTAAGAGCATCATTAAAACTCCTTAAATAGCAATGAATCCACATATTCTAAATTTTAAAGATATATGCTTCATCAAAAAGGCCATTGCAAAAGTCCAAATAAAAGTTCCTATTTTCAATGGGATTGGAAAGTAAAATGCAACATCAGGAAACTCATCTTAAGGGAATTTGTCACTAAAGTAATCAAAAGATGTTAAAACAGCGCTCCAGCCTAATAAAGTGTTAGTTCCGAGAAGAGCAAATGTGATTTTAGTAAGAGGGGTATGTTTAGCAATATCAGATATTTTTTATTTCATTTTAATTCAGTTTTTATTTCAGATTTATTAATTAAATTATTACAAAAATGATTATATAAATTTAAAATGAAAATTTATAATATAAACCCTATGCAAAATAGTGAGGAATTTTATCAATCATTAAAATTCAGCAAAAATCAAATTATAATTTAATTAATTAAATTGTAATGAGAGTGATTTTGCTTCTTTTTTTTTTCTATTAGATTAAAATTTACAAAGTTATGCCAAAATTTACCAGAATTAATTAAAAGCTAAAAATTATTAAAATATTGATTACCTTACAAATATTAAAAGAGGTCAAACTAATTTTATACTAAAAGGATTTCAATTAAAGTAACATATTTTTAAGTAATTTCCATTCTAAGAAAAAAATTTACTTTAATTTATGACCAAGACCTAAAAAATTTTATATTAGCTTTATAATTTGTTTTGAAGACATTTATTTGTAATTAGAATGGTTTCCATTACATATCTAATAATAGATACATTTTTCAATATTTTTACTAAAACATTTTCAATTTTTCTTTTATACAAACGTAAACTAATTCCTAAAAAATTATAATAAAACCATGTAACCAAAAATGATATATAAACACTTTACAACTTGTTTATTAACGAATTAATAAAAAAATTAGTTTTATATTTATTTTGATTTATTTCTTAAAATAATATATTAAATAGTAACTTCTAACTTCCAATAATCAATCCAAAAAAATAAATAATTTTATAAAAATTAATCTAAAATTTAAAAAATAACTCACAAATTTAAAAAAATATTTGATAGTAACTCTAATCGAAAATAACCATTTATTAATTAATAATAAAAATAATTAATGTAAATCATATTTGATAATATGAATAGTTAATTAAAACTCACTTTGTATACATACGTTTGAGAAAGATAATTTAATTTATATATTTATCCATTTATTTCTTCAAAAAGTATAAATAAAGTAATAAATAATTAAATATATGAATAAAGGTATTTACTAGAGACAAATAAGAAAAGTAATAATGTATATATACAATTCTAATTTATTAAAAGACTTTTGCTGAATAAATGCATTTAAGTCGGAAAAATTGAAGGGTTTTTCTGAGCGAATATTTAGTTAGTTATTTATTTATTTAGTTGGTTAGTTATCTTTCGATGTACATATTTTTCTCATCTGATTAAATGTAATTTTAACAAAATATAAGAATTGATTTTTTGGTAAAAAGACAGATAGATAATTAGTTAATTTATTGAGGATTTAATAAATAGATTATGGAAATTGTAGTATAATTTTGTTAGTAATTATTTTTAGCAATTAATTGAATCATATTGGTTGGTTGTTTGGTTGATTATTATTTTTTTATTTTATTTTATTTAATTATTCATTCATTTATTTGTTTGTTTGTTTTTTTTTGTAAAATCTAAATAAATCACTTTGATTTTTAAGGTAAAAAATGATTTATAACATTGTTTGGATCTAATATGGTTTCTAGACGAAGGATTGTACAATTATCAGTAATAAGTCCTTTTGTTCCTAAAAGCTTTGGTGGATTTTTGCTATATTTTTGATCTGAGCTGTATTTAGCAAATGGAGAAGATGCACCTGAGTAGTAGATTGGAGATTATGAACCTTATCTTTACAATGAAAGGTTAGTATTTTCTATATAGAGGTTTGAGTATAATACAGGGACAGCAATTTTTTTAAATATGTGAGTTATGAAATAGTTTGAGAGTGGTAAGCTGTCAACCGCAAAATGATGTAATTTCTTTTTAAGAATCTCATTTTAGAATAGCCAAGAGTTTTAGTTGGTTGTTAAGAAGATTCCCTACTCCTCGCAAGTTATCGGACAGTAAAGGGTTATCTTAACTCCTAAAAATATATCTTTCGATCCAAACACTTCAAAAGTCATTGGATACTAGTAGTTGTCTAGACCCTAAATCAAGAAGGTAGTTTCACCACCACACACTGTCTAAACTCTTATTATGCTGTTTTCTTCTACATTTGATTGTTGTTTTTGCATAGAATCAGATATTTTTTCTATCACTCTTAGGTTGAAGTTATACGAGCAAAGAGTAAATAGAATAAGTTTTTACTCATTTAAAAGATTGTTATAATTAAGTCCGTATATTTTTTACATTTCTTTAACTGATAAGGTGTATTCTCCTTTTTCTTTAAGTTTTATTCCTTTCGCACCGTAACTTTCAAAATTATTAAACAGAAGACAGCGCACACCTATATTTTTTTCATTACTTGAAGAAGCCAGAGAAGTTGTAGGAGGATAAAATTTATTTTAGGAGTCAGTTGTAATTATAGTCATTGATTTCTTTAATCCTTAATAAACTCTCACTCTAAAGCTAGATACATCTTTGCAGAGACTTTCTAGACTTTTATGAGTTGAAAACGTTTTAATAATTCGCTCAAACTCAATCACAATATTGCTAAAATGGGTGAAAAAATTGTTATAATTTTGTATCTTCACACTCTATGTAAAGTACTCCTCTGTTAGCGTAGTTTATTTTCGTTTCATGACACTTTATAACCCTTCTAGCTCTATATCACGATGAACAAGTTCCACTCCTTACTAAGAAGTTTCACTTTCCAAAGTGCAATCAAAGAAATCTTTTAGTTTTTAAGCATGGTATTCATCTTTATCGGTTGTTGTATATAAAGCATTAAAAGATCCCTCATCATATTCGACATCAATGCGAATATTTTTTTTATTTGTTTCTTTGTCACAAATCACAACTCTAAATTAAAATCCTTCAATATAATTAAATTAAATCAATACATTTTAATCAAGGAACATAGTTTTATAATATTCCGATAGAATTCCATGAGCTCTTGGATTGACCATAATGACCTTATTTTCGAGATCGTTCATGAAATTATTTTACTAAGCTTGAGATCCTATCGAGTTATACATCCTCTCAGGCTACTTACTCTAAAGCCCAACAAACGGCAGAATAAAGTATTTGCATACATCATATAAGCTGTTAATGGAATCTAAATTCATAGTAGAAGGCAGGACATCTTAGAATGAAACAAAGCAAAGTAAATTAGTTAATATTGACAACTCTATTTCTTCTACCTTAGGCGCATTACTGCTTTATCCAATCTAACTTGATATTGATATTTTATACACTTTTTCTTGCTTATTATATAGTACACCGCATTTAACTATATAGTTATCACCAGTATCTTTTATATGAATGCGTTTTTTCAAAACAAAAACTTAATCTACCTACAAATTTTTTACTATAGTTTCTGTAATTTTAGAAATTTAATAGTTTTGCTGTTACTGAAGAATTGAAGCAATTTTAGGTGCTTCTTATCTATCGTCAACAGTAGATTTCTTTTAAATATTGACTTCACTATAATTGTTGGCAATACTAGTATTACTCATTAAATTAATTAAGCTTTTTTAAGAATTGCTTGTTAAAATTTACTAAGGTTTTTGATCTTTGTCATTTTAAGCAATTGGTTTCTTTTAAGAATACTGAGTAAAGTTTTTTTCGTCTTTTTAAGTTATTTTCTATTTTTAACTTTGAATCAGGGCCTAGCTTTATGAAAAGCTACCACCAAAAGTTACAGATGAATTTTCACTTTATATTTTATTTTATACGCTTTCTTGAGGCACTGCAATTTTTTCCTTAGTTTGTTCTTGAATTTTGGGAGTAGTTTGTAAATTTGGTTTCTTTACTTATTCTTAAATTTAATTTTTTTGGATTTAGGGTTGTTATTTTTAAATTTCTTTATAATCTGGAATATTTTATTTTTGCAACTTTTCTTATTATTTGCTAGATTCCTTTTTGAATTGTGATGGTTTGATAGAACCGTTAGAATTACTTCGGTCATCTCTTACACTGTTAGTTTAATTTGATTGTGCAAATGCTTTCTAGTGAATTTTGCTCACCCCACCGTGAACTATGTAATCATTAGTATTAATTTCATTATCTTGAATCTAGTTGCTTTCAAGCTTTTCCTCCTCTTTTGTTTTAACTTTTTATTCCCTTTATATGCTTGATTATTCAGTATTATTTTGATGAGACTAACTTTTACTTTACTTTTTATATTTGCTTAAGTCTTAATTCTCTCCAATATTAGAAATACTTCCATTTGAATGTTTAATGGTATTTAGCTAATTTTCAATTTAAGCAAGTGATTTTTAGATTATTCTTATATCTTGTTGCAAATCAATAGATCCTCCATTGCTTTCTTTATTTGGAGAAACCATAAAATTTCTAGGATTTGAGTTTCTTGTTCTTTAATTGAAATCAATCCCTTAAGTTTATATCCTAAACTGATGTTAAGATCTAACTGGTTTTGCCCTGTTTGTCCAAATAGATTATTGGATTAAAAAAGAATTTAAATTCTGTGGCATTCCCAGATTTCTATTTTATAAACTTGAGTTTTATTTATTCTAAACAAGAGAATGCAACGATCTATTTCTTCCTTTCCTTTAATCTTAATTTTTCTCTTCATTTTACTAAAATTAAATTTAAAAGTTTGTTAGTAAGTTTGTGAATTTTAATAATATAAAAAAATTTTCGATTATTAAATAAATTTCATGTTTAATTAATTAATTAATTTAATTTTTATGTTTAGTCTGGTTAATTTATTTGCCTTCAATAAAATTAAAAAATAATAATGAAAAATTACTTAAATATTTTTATCTTCTGGTATATCTTCGAATATATCACTGTATCTTTTCTGAATAGATTCAGTCCTTTATTTTTTTATAGAGCTGCATGCTCCATTAGAAAATAGTTAATTTGTGGTAAAAGTTGTGTTGAATTTGGCAGGATCTTGGCCAAGTATATAATTTGCATAGATTTATTCTGATTATTATTACTAAAAATACATTTAAGCTCCCTTTAATTTTTGGAAGTCTACTTCGTATGGAAAAGTTTCTGCCAAAACGTCAGAGTACTGATTGTGAAGCGAATATCTCTTCCTAAAGAAATCTATTTTGTGAGTGAAAGCATTATCCTCACCAAAATACTTCTTGCTGAGAGAGTATGCGTTTTTCAAAAATGTATTTGGTGCGTATTGGAATGGGTCATTAGTCTGTAAGATAGGCTACTCGTTTCTAATTAGCTTTTTCTTTCTAACTCCCTCATAAAATATATATCCATAAATTAAAACTGGAAGCTTTTCAAGAAATTATTTATCTTTACGAAGGTATTGAGTTGAAATATTTCTTATTTGCTAGAAAACTTCGCTTTCCATTGAATAAACACTTTGAATTAGCAACTCTTCTGCTTTATCCAAGTCTTCCATTATCCCATACAAGACTGCTAAGTTATTTAAAACTATGCTTTTTTAAGTAACTTGATTATTTATCTCATTGATGAGATTTTAAGGTAGATCTTAATGTAACTCAGTATAAATATTAGATTACTAAGTAACCCTTGAAGTCTATTATTATGGCTGCTTTAATTGATTTTCTAATTGTAAGTCTTCTTCTATTTCTAAATTATCACTTGAAGTGAAGTGCTAGTTATTAAAATTTTATTGTTTGTTACCATTTATTTCACCATTAATTTGATCTACTGCTTAAGAGGTGTTAAAATTAGGGTTGTTCTATTAAATTTTTTGTTAGAGGATTGTCTATAAACACTGTAACATTTATAAACTTAAGTTAAAGTAGTTAATCGAAAGCATATATTCGTGTCTCCTTATGTAGTATACAGCCAAATTAGAGTAATAATTTGCTTTCCATTTCAAAATAAGCGTCTCTTCGTGCTTATTTTAGGCGCTTTAAATTACTTTTTAGATAAATTACAGAATCACAAAGGAGTTATCAATATCGATTTGAGCTTAGTTAATATTTTCTTAATTAATAATCGTGTTTGAATGAGTGCTTTAGGAGGAAGTTTGTAGCAAGTAGCTACTAAACTTTGTAGATAGTTTGTAAAGTAAAGCAGATTCCTTAAGTTATAATTCTTCGCTTCCTTCACAGAATTCATCGCTGAGAAGCTAATCAAAGTGAAGGTCTTGCACTTAATAAACATAATCTAAAAACGAGTCACAAGCATCCCTCAAGTATCCTTTACCTAACAAATATTCCATATTTTCCCCCATCCTTAAAATTTGAGAATTTTTATTTGACTAATATTGTAAAGGAATATTATTGTTAATGATATCATTATTTATAAGAGGAGAAGAAAGAAATCCATTTGCTTCAGTGTTTATTTGAGTTGGGAAATAACCTCCCCCGTTCATGGTATTGATTGTCGCTTATGTGCTAGCAGAATACTGTTGACTTCCGCTATTCATAACCAATTTTCTATTATTATGAATGAAATTTCTACTGTTAACATCTTACTAAGCAATAGAACTGAGATATCCTTTTGCTTGTAAATTGACTCCTGCTATTTACTAAGTACTCGCTTTTGAAGCTGTACTTATAATACTATTATAATTATTGCTACTATTTCCTAGCTTATAATTGCTATTATTCATTTAATACTACTAATTTGCTTGATAAAATGGGTGCTATTGCTTTTGATATTTTGCCTATTGACTAGCTGGAGTTGTCGAGTAAATACCTGATTCTATTAAAAAAAAATATATTTTTTCTTTAAAGCCAACATTTTGAAATATCTATATTTGCAATCAAACAATTTGGATAAAAAATATTTTATGAGAGCACTTCATTCAAAATTATTTCTTCGACCATTATAATTCATCTTAGTGTAAAGTAAGTAAACCAAGTGTATTACTTATAAAGTAACTTAATATTTTATGTTTGATTGAATGATTTATCATATTTGTTAAAAAAAGGGAGATGGAAAAAAGCTTATTGAATGAAAATAGGAAGCAATGAATTCATAAATGTATGTAAGAATGTATACCTTAGATAGAGCTTTTAGTACTCTCGACACCTTTGTTAATCATACAAACTGGAGAGCTTAATTTTAAAACAATCCCTACTAATTTTGTATGTTAATTTACTTACTATTAGCTTGATTTACCAGATTTTGTTTTCTTTTTATTATTTCAAACAATGCAACACCTATCAATTTTTCTTATATTTTTTAGCTTTTTTCAAGGCTAGCTGTAAAATTAATTAAAATCAAATATGTTATTATAATTATGTGTAGTTTTAAAGGAACTTATCTTATTTCATATTTCAATTAGAGTTAAAATATTTAACTAAGTGGCGTTTGATTGCTTTCTTGCTTGATTGATTCAGCTCATTAAAAATTTATATTCAAACCTAATTACATGCAACTATGCATACATATATACAATCATTCATTTTTTACACATATATACATCTTTACATTATTTAATATATCTATTAATTATCAAACCAACATAAAATTTTACTTATAAAATAGAATCTCTTTTTGACTCCTATTTATTTATTAATTATAAAAATCAAGTTATTTTTATAAAGTAAAGGACAAATCATATTTTTTTATAATTTATATATTTAATATAACTATACATTTTAATTATTATTTTTATTAAGTTAATTTATTTTCTTTCTTAATTAAATTAAAGGTTTTCATTGGTAAGTTATTTAATATTAGCTTTATAAATAAAAAGATATTAAGTCATCATTAACTTATAAAATTATTACCTCAATATCTATTAATTCAGTATTTTTTCTTTAAGAAAATAATGGAGTTAAACGGAATAATCAACATCCTAAAAATTAAAAAAAATAAATATGCTAGTATTTAAATGTCATACAATCATTAACAGATTATTTTTGTTTATTTATTTTGCAATTTTGAAAAAAGATGTTACATGTGCTAACAAAATAATAATAAAGTAAAATTTTATTTTCATATAAATTAATTTAAAAATAACTAAGAAAAATAAGAATATAAATCAATATAATAAATAATGAGTTCACTCTTAAAATGATTATTATATGATAGATAGATACTACACAGATGAGATCCATAAATCAAAAGAAACACATTCTTACTTTTCTTTATACAATATATAATTACATAATACTAAATATCTCTTCAATCAAAAAATGTATTTCTCAACAAAAAATATTAACTTTTTGAAATATTTAATATTTATTTAGAAATAGATTTTTTTTATTTTATATTATTAATAATTATTTAATCAAAAATATATATATTGTAAAAAATAGTCAATTAATTATAGATTATTAGTCTTAGATATTTTCAGACAATTTGGTAAATTCCATTTAAAAAAAATAGTCTTATATGAAAAGACATTTCAGTTGAGAGAAAGCATAGTATTTATTTATGTGGTATGTTTTTTTGCTATATATTTAAATTTTAGTATTTTATAACTGTAAATTAAATTAATTCATTAAAATATATTATATTTAGTTAGTTAGTTTATTTTATTTGCTAAATATATTAAATAAATTCTCAATTCTTAAAATAATTCTCAACAGGATTTTAATCATTTTAGAACATCCAATCTGTGTTATTAATAAATTACAAGTATTTTTTCATATCCTTCATCATATTTGGAATATTATTATCTTTTTATTTTTAATGTGCTATATAGGCTGGTGGAGTTTCTATAATTTATGTATAAAAATATTACTTTAATTTAAAATCATTACTAATTGCTAAATAATTACTTGTTTATTTCATTTTGAAATGTGGAACTTATCTTTATGGGCCATTATCTGGTTAATTAATTTCCAGTTCAAATGAATATTCATCCTAAGAACTTCCAACATTATTTTAAACTACCTAAGAATGGGTGGGAACTTAGTTGCTTCTTTAATATTAGCTTTGCATATGAGAGTGCTCAACTTATCTATCTTGCTAAATTTGATTTGAAGACATTTTTTATATTAATTTGCTAAATGCAATTTTTGTTTGTTTGTTTGTTTGTTTGTTTGAATTTTTCAAATTTAACAAATTATTAAAAATATAAAATTTTTGCACTGTTTTTCGTTTAGCAAAAAAAGCTGTTTGTTATTAGAATTTTATTAGATTAAATTTGCTTTATACTTTTCATAGTATTTAAAATATTTTTTATTTAATTTATTTAAAAAATTTGTGTTTGTTTAATCTTCATATTTAATTGTAATAGAATTCAAATTTTGTTTAAATAAATAATTTTTGGTATTTTAAAATATTTCTGACTAGAATAACAAGAGATCTTTATATCTTATTTAATTTATTTTTAATTGATAACAAATTTTAGATAGATGACAATTTATATGCTTATTAATTAAATAAAAATATATCCAGTTTGCAATTTGACTTTGCAAATATTTTTTAATTATTTATTTATATTTTTAATATCTTTTTTGTATAAAGTTGTAAGAGTAAAAATTTAATTGGTATTAGATTTTAGTTATAGAATTTAAGGTTAAATATTGCGTAGAGATGTCGTTCAAAGAAGTGGCAGTTTAAGGCTATCAGCGTAATAGAAATAATGCTGGCATAGCAAATTCTGAAAATAGTAAATCAAATAAATAGCAATACTATAATAGCGGAGTATCTACATCTATATAAGAAGAAAGTGAAATATAGGAATCACTTTAATGGGGCGACCCTAAACAAAGAGAAGAAGAAATAGTTGGATTTTAAGAAAAATAAGTTGACTATAGCTCTCCTATAGAAGTTAAAAATTTATATATCTCTCTGCCTTAGCAAAAAATAAAGCATTTAGCAATATCATAAAAATCTGCTGTTGCAATTACTGAAAATAACATGGTGATAAGATGGAAATTCGAAAAGTAAATAAATTTCAACAGAAAAATTTAGAAAATAATTTATCTTTAAATTCAGATGAATATCGTCCAAATTTAAATAAAAATGTGAATTTTCCAAGAAGTTTAACGAAATTATTAAATATTTAATATAGTGGATATGACACGTATGAATCGATGTCGTTGCCTGAAAAAGTGTCTGGCTTATCATTAGGAGGAAAGTTAGCAAATGTAGGTGGAAAGATAGGAGGAAAAATCATTCCATTTAAAAGATTTAAAAAATATTAAAATGATAAAGAAGTAGAAAGGTAAAAGCGAAGAATTATAGATAGAGTTTACATGGATAGAGTAGGATAACATTGTATTATTACTAATAATACAGGTTATACCTACTATTTGAATCATAACTCATCATAAGTTAAGCCTTTACCGAAGCTGAAGAGAATAATTCTAAAAAGTGTTATGTTTGATGATAGATAGGCATACAAAACACTGTATTTAAAGATTTTTTTTCATTAATTAATACTAAATTTTGGTTGGTTTTTTGGAAAAGCAAACCGATCAGAAATTCTTATTTTACTTAAATCTCCTTATTAGAACAAAGGCAATAAAAAAATAGATGCATCGATTTATTTATCTATATTTATAAACAAATAAACAGGTTAGATGACAAAACTTTTTTGTTTGGTAGTGAAAATAATTCGATTTATTAGTGCAAACTAGAGTATAATGAAAAAGATGGTCAATTCTATGAGACAGTTCCTCAGTTGCTTATATCAATTCACGATGAGAAACCAAAATTTATCACAGATATAAAAATACTTCATAATAAATTTGGAGCTAGGAAAGGAGAAGTTCAAACTATTGTTTTAGCATCAACCAATTCGCAAATATATTTTTTTTGTAAATCAGCAAAAGAGTAAAAAATAATAAAACTTTTTTTTAAAGATGATTAAATATTTTTATTTTTTAAATTTAAGACTTCTGACGTTTGATTAGCTTTTTAAAGAATATGACAATGTATAAAGTATGCTTTATACAATGCCAACTCCAGCAAGTCATCTTTCTTTTACAGATTTGTGTTATGAATACGATTCTAAGTTGAGGAGAAGATGTCGCTCATACATTTATACTAATGGAAATTATTTGCAGTATTATAAATTTCCCGAAAAGGAAGGAGTGGAAGAAATCGATGATAACTTCTTTAGAACAGTTAATTATTTTAATTATGGAAAAGAAATATAAACAAGTGATCATAAAGCAGAACTGAAGGTCAAAGATATGCCTTTAGGAGTTGGAATTACACTTTATCATTACATTATTCTACATAGTGACTCTGTTTCTGTACTTTCACAGATTACACAATAGGTTGTATTTCATGAAAATTTAACTAAGCTTGGCAAAATTTATGGAATGGTTAACGATATGTATTAGATTATTTATTTTTTCTTTATTAAGATAATATATGTTAATCCTAAATAAATAAAATTAAAAGGGAGAATAAATGCTATTGGATATATGGAGAGAGTAAGATTGTTAGACTTTTTATTAAAAACGAATTTGAGCAGTCTTGGAGAATTTATTTGGAGCTAAAAAACTATGAAAAAGCTTACTAATTATGTAGAAAGACAGAGAGTGAGTTTATACCTACTATAAGTCTTTAATATGGAAATTAGTTATTTGATTAATAAAAATACAAAGACGCAGCACGTATTTATTTGGAAAGTAGTTTAGGGTTTGAAGAAGTCTTTGTGAAATTTTAAGTAAATTAAAAAAAAAAAGATTTTAGGATGAAAATTATTTAATTTATTAAATTATATAGGGAATTGATATTAGAGTACAAGAAGGATTAGCAGAGTATATTCAACTGTTTTTATTAAAAAATGAAAGAGTTCTCTAAGAATTTTAGATTAGAGTACTTACTAATTGGCTAGCTGATTTTTATATCCACAAAGTAACAATTCTAAATCAAAGAGTTTATGGAGCTAAAAATAAGATCCCAGCTCCAAACGAGATTTCAAAAGACAGTTTAATCTTAGATATGAAAGAAAGTTATGAAGTTTTAAAGAGATTTATGGATAAGTATCAAAAATATTTGATTGAAGATCTTATTTATGAATTGATGAGTTCATATGGCTAGTTAGAGCTATGCTTAAACTATGCCCTGTAAAAGGAAAATTACTAAATGGTAATCGGTAATTACATTCACTCTGAAAGATACTCTGAAGTAATTAATATTTAATTTTTTTTATTTATTTTTATCAATAAAATACAACAAAAATTTATTATTTAAAATTTTAAATTGATGAAAAAAATAATTTTATTTGTTAGGCAATTTAAGTGATGAGAAATATGCCAAATTGTACTGAGTTTGCTTACAAATACAGCGATATTTTGATGAAAAAGGAAACAAAATAATTTATTGATCTTTTAAAAAACAGTATTTAAAAATTTGAACCTTCTCGTATCATGAGGAGTTTGATGGAAATTGAAAAAGAAACTCCTTAATTTGAAGAGGGATTTTAATTTATAAAATATTGCATCAACGAAAGAAAGCTTCGTGAATAAATTGTCCATAATATCTACATTTTTTATTTATCAGAGCACAAAGATAAAAATTTGTTTACTGAATACATGATAGAAACAGAAAAGAAGATTTTGAATGGAAAGCAACAGAGAGAATATTTCGATATGAATTTTGCTTTCAATCTAGCAAAGGCTCACAATTTTGTAAGAGCAACAATATCTCTTTTAGCGTAAATAGAAAATATAATTATTTTAATGAGTTTTATATTTGAGGAGTCTCCTTATTTTTAACTCATTTTTATTAATCTAAAGAATGAAAAAATTGTTTGAAGAAGCTGTTCAAATAGCGATTGAAAATAACATGATCGATGTAGCTATTGAATATGCTTAGTTATCTGAGCAAATAGTTATTTATGAATCCCAGAAAACATGGATGAAAGTATTTTTAGATTTAATTTCAAACCAAATTGTTAGATTCATAAATTTATTTAAGATAATAGAACACATGATGAAGACAGAATAAAATGGTCCATAAAAGATTGAAAAAATATTTGTAATTTATTTTTCAATTCATTCATAAATTTTTCATTTTTTTTAATTAAAAAATGTTTATTATATTCATGATTTTCTAGGTTGAAATTTAATTATTTTCTATGTTATTTTTGTAAATTTAAGTTTTATCATTAAATATTTTTTGATTAAATTTAACGAAGAATGTAATGGAATAATGTGCTTATATTAAAATTGAAGACCTAATACCTTACTTTGATAATAATATGCCTCTATCTTTGTTTAAGGGTAAGATAGAAGAAAGTGTGAGGAGCTATTAGGAGGATATTGTTGGGTTAAAAAATGAAATTAACTATAAAAATGAGAAATTGGAGGAATTGAAAGGAGAGCTTAGTAAGCAAAACGGGAAATACATGAGAATAAGCGAGAAATCAACATGCTACATATGCTCTGAATTTTTATTAAATAATGACTTTATTACATTCCCTTGTGATCATCATGTCCACAAAAAATGTGCTATCTAATACATTTAATCTAAGTAGCTTTATACTGCTGAAGAAATATAGGAAATAATTTCTCTTACAGAGAGAATAGCTATGCTTCGTAGAAATGTCAGATCGTATGATCCTAATCAAGTAAAAAAATGCATAGAATTCTACACTTAAGTGTATCGTTCTTTCAATCAAACAAATAATTCAAAAGAAGATTAAATCTATAAATATGTGATTAACTATGAAAGTGACATAGTTAAATTAAAATAATTTAATAAATAACTTGATGATTTGATTTGTAAAGAATGTCCTTTGTGTGGTCCTATACATGCTAGTCTTGCTTTCTAGAACTATGAAAAAGATAATTCTTGGACTATTGAATGAAAATTTCATAAATTTTATATATAAAAGCTTTTATTTATATTCTAAACTTATATATTTCACTTCAACAAAAATGATTCGAAATTCTATTAAATTATTTGTAGCTAGCTAGCAAAGCTAAATAGCTACTTACTTGCTAATAAAAATTTAATTGAATATTAAGTATATTTGCAAAAGATATTTAATAAAAAATTTTTACAATAATAAAACTCTTGATTTTAATAAATCATCATTTTATTTAAAGTTAATAAAATTACTATTTATTTGATTAAATTTTTATTTACTAAATTTAAAATGTCTATAACATGCAGTAGATGTAAAGATATAACAAGAAAAATATATCATATGCTAACAATTACTTTTACATTTTTATATTCATTTTTGAGTAAGAGTAATAGTTAGTAACTGTATAGGATTGTATTTTTTTAAATTTTCTAAGATTCTTGAGAAATTAAAGCCATTTTATCTTAGCCCTAACTCAAGATAAACTAGTATAAAACGAAAAACAAGTTTACTTGTAATCATTTGTGTTAAGAATTAAATTAATTGGTATTAAATAATAACTTTGGTAAACTGTTTCTATGAGTTAAAGCATAATTTAAATAGGTTTGTTGTCTATTCTGAACAATTAAATCTAAAGAATTAATTGAAAAAAACATTTGTAAATTAATACATAAATAGATAAACAGATATATAAATAAATATATAGATAGGTTTAGTAAAATAGCGACTGATTAAGAGTAGAAATGGAAATTCAAGATATTTAATAAAAAGAATACTTTATCAGCTTCTTAAACAAATACCCATAGATTATAAATTCAGTATTTATTTTTACGATATTTCAGCTTATCTTTTTACTTTATGTGAGTATAATCTACAAGTATCACAAATGCTAGAACATATCTTCGATCATATTTTTGCTGCTTATTGGTGCTTTGTTTTTTTTACTGCTCAAAAAAGAAAACAATGCTTAATAGAGACTCAAAATAATTTTGTTCGTAACAATAGTAGCAGTCATTTTGATGTTGAATATGATCATTACTTTAAATGAAAGGACAATTTGTAATATTTCAGTTTGCCATGATAATAATATCTTTTAAGAGAATATAAATGTTGTTATGAAAGCCCTTAAAAAAGATAAAAGAGTTTGTGATTAGTTGAATAAAAATTCATCACAAGGCAAGGAATAATAGTTTGAAGACTCTTATTCTGGTAGCATTAATTTTATATGGATGATATTATGCTAATTTTATGAATCTCTATCAATGGAAAAGGCTTGCGATTTGACAATTACAGATAACAATGTGTTTATAAATTATGAATATCTAATTGTGTGCTTAATCTACTTTATATCTTTGCTTTTGATAGTCTTCCTCATGGTAGAAATCCTTTTAAAAGCTTACTATAAAACAGAATAGGAACCTGAAAGCTAAAATATTCCATTAATTGAATACTATCAAAAAAGCAGCATAAACTAAAAGGACTAAAACGATACAGCTATTTATTTAGATAACTAAATTTATAATTAGTAGAATTACAACAACAATATTTTAGTTAACAGTAACAGTAACATAATAAATCCTTTAGATAATATAACTTCTGACTAAAGCAGAGTAAGAAAATTAGATGAACAACTCACAAATCAAATATATTAATAACAGTACAATCAACAATAAAATAATCACTACTGATTTCAAAAAAACCATTTGTATTTAACTTTATAAAAATAAAACAAATTTATAAAAATTGTCTTTTGTTTAAAAAATTTATTGTCTTTATCAAAAAAAATTATTTTTTAATTGATTGGAAACTGTAATTTAAATAAAAAAGTTAATAAGATTATTTATTTTAGATTTAAAAATTATTTCTAATACATACTCTAAACATTTTAGAAATATCAAAAAAAATTAAGAATTTTAATTTAGTTTCTGATAAATATTTTTAAATAAATTATTTGTGCATTAATAGCAATTCATATCATAATCTCAAAATTTATTGAAGGTAGAATTTTAAAATTTATTTTAACAATAGTTTAATAAAAATTATAAGAATTAATTAAATATACCATAAAAAAATTAACTTAACTAGATAAATTTATTTGAATAAATGTTAAATTTACAGCAATTACTATTAATTAAAATTATTACATTAATGTGAATAAATAAATAAATAAATAATAAAAATTTACAATAAACTTAAACTTTTTATTCGGAAAGTATTTGTAAATTCTTATGTTTATTTACAATTATTAATATTTAAACCTTAAAAAATTATAAAATATTTTTAAATAAATAAACAAATAATAAATCAAGATGCTTGTTAATATTAAATTTATAAAATTTCAATTTTTTCTCTCTATTCAACTTTATACAAATAAATATTTAGAAAATAAAAGGCAAATAGATAACTTTTTCAATCCTTGCCAAGATAAATATCAGTACAAAATGGTATGAATAACTTTATGTCAAAACCGGGTTTAATGTAGAGCTAACCTGTGTATGTATTTTTTACTTTTTTCACTTGCTTTTTAGATTCAATAACTTTAGATTAATTGAAATCTTCAATTCCAAGCTTTTTTTATAAACGCTAGTTTCTTTTTATAATTGAAAACAAAAAATATTGAACAACAGTAAATGAAAAAATTTAAATAAATTTGTTTACTCTTATTCTTGCATTAATATTTTATCAGATATCATTTGATTGTTGTTTTACTTTTGACTTTGCTTTTTTTCTATTCTACGAATTTCCTTTGCATTTATAAACCATATTCTAAAGAAATTTTTCACTACTTGATACTTTTAATTAGCCCTAATTTTGTGATTAATGATATGATCTCTTATTTTTGTTTCTATATCAGTACTAATCATTTTTGTCTGGCTTTCTTTATATAGGTCTTTGTCTTTGAATTTGAGCTCTTCTTCTTTTTCTTAAATCTTCATCTAATACATAAAAAAATAGGTAAACAAAGTTTCCTTTCATTTTATTCACTTTGAACTTACATATTCGCTAATAATTTATTTATAATTTTCACTGCTAGTCTTTTTTGTAGAAGTCAGAGCATAGTTAGGAACTTAATTTCTATATTGCTCATATTGCAGCAGACGATCAACAGGAAAGTCTACTTTTATTTTTTCTTTCTTTTTATTTACTACTGAAGAATCTCTATTTTATTAAGAGTTATTTCTTTTGTTCATATTGCCAAAATAAATATCTTTGCCAGATAAGCCTATATCATTTTCTTAATATTCTACTAAGTCTTCTTTTATTTCATTTTCAATATCAAACTTGTTATTAGGTTTGTTAAGTTTAGGCATTTAGCGACTTTAACTGTTTAGACTTTTGTCTGAACTTAAATTACTCTATTTTTCTTTCTATAAAAATTATGCTTTTTCATTATTTGAGCTCCCCGAGAGACTATCTATATCTTTATCTTCTTCACTCTTTTTTTCATGCTATGTAAATGTAAATTATTTTCCTTATTTATGAGAGTAAGAGTTAGGAACATCCTCTTCATCCAATTCCTAAATTTAATCGAATTGCTTTTTGTTCATTTAAAGTAATAAGAAATATTTACAAAACGAGCAATATTTATTTATGTTTTTATAATTTTGATTGAATGATTTATCTATCTATCTATCTATTTAAAAAACTGTAAATTTTTAAATTCTATCTTCAATTTTCAAGCAAGATTTCTATTTTCTAAACGAAATAATAATTCATTCATTTATGTGTGTATTAGAATCAAGAATAAATATTTATAAATATTATTAACTTTATAATTTAATTAGCATTTATATATAATTGATTAAATTATTTAACATAATTCTTAAAAATATATAATTTACTTCTTGCCATAAAAAATGCATAAATATATCACCACCAATTTTTTTTAGGTTTTCTTAAAGAAAATATCCATAAATTTTTTTTAAGTGAATATCTAATCAATAAAACAATAAATATGAATGAAGTTTTTATTGAAAAAAAAAAAAATTCATATGAACAAATGGATAAAAACAAATGCTGTTTTTTCTTAAATTATGAATAAAAACAAAAAAAAGATCATTTTTTATAAAATTTAAATACAAGATTATAAATTATTTCTTAAGGTTTACAAACTGAAACTCAATATTAAAATAATTAACTCAGAAAATATTTACTAAAAATTTAAAATGGACTTAATTTATTTTGCATCATAATTAAAGAATATAAAATTTATATTAGTTTTTTATTTAATTTAAGATATTAATTTAGTTATTCATAATTTGAATCAATATTTTATCAATAAATTACAAAAAAATAAATTTTAATAAAATTAATTTGTATAATAAATAACCTTTAATAATAAGCAGAATATTTTATTTCTAAATATTTGCTTTTTGATTATTACGTGTTATATTTTTATTACAAAAAGTTAGTTAAATTTGATTTAAATATCTTAATAATATAAAAGTAAATGATTTTTGTGAAGTAAAAATATAAATTATGTATGAAACATAATTATTTGATTTTGAAAAATTTATAAATAGAAATTAAAAAGGTTTTATAAAATAAAAGTAAATAGATATTTTTTATTTTTATTCTTAGGTTTTTTTCTGAAAATTTTAAAGACTATATATACTTGGTAGATTTCATTTAAAACTAGGGATGGGTAGATCATGATTATGGATTTTATATTATCTATAATTATTTATTTATTATATTTTATTTATTTATTTATTTGTTTTTTATAATAATTAGTTAGGCACACAATAAAATGGTAATTTGAGTTTTGGCTATTAAATTTTGTTTTTTCATTAATTCATTCATTCATTCATTAATATTTATTTATTTAATATTTTATTGATGTATTTGTTTTATCAAACTCATTCACTCTTTTTTTAATTTGTTCATTTAGTTGTTTATTAATTCATTCACTGGTGATTATTAATTCAAATAGTTAATTATTTGTTATTGGAAAGTTTGTTTTCAAAAATGTTTAGCTATGAATGGGTTTGAAACTAAGCGATTGTTTTACCAAACTCCAGTTATGACTTCTCCGTTGTTAGTGTGGTATGTACCTTCACCGTGGACTTTACCATCTTAGAAATGACCTACAAATTTATCGTTGTTGCAGAGTATCAGAGTTCCTTGACCGTGCATTAAATTATTTTTGAATTCTCCACTATAGAATTACCAAGACTTAGAGAGAGTTTCAAAATTACGGTAATCGAATGGTGTATTTGAGAATGAAACGAAACGATTTCTGAGACGACCAGAACCATGATACATGTCATATTCCCATTCACCGTTATATATGTCAATGCCATGCTCATCTTTTAAGATTCCATAACCATGTCTCTTATCTGACTTCCATTCGCCTTCGTAGATTTCGCCATTTTAATAGTAATAACAACCAGTTCCATGTCTGAGGTTGCTCAGTCTCTCACCTTCATATCTAGGAAGTAAATTTGTGTTAGCGTTAGTATTGCTTTTATCGCTTCCAGCTGCTTTCTTGGAGTTACTGTTATTGTTGGAACTATTTTTAATAGCGTTAAATTATCCTTATTAAGTTTGATTTTATTTTGAATAATCTAACTTGAGAGGAGCAATTGGAGATATGCTTGAAGTGGATCCTATATTTGGACTAGTTGTAGCTGTCTGTGAGCGCTTTGAAGACATCAATTACTGCTATTATTAAACAGGAAGGTAATTTTACTATTGAGCTACTATCTATGCATATGTTTTAGTGTTAAAATAATGCTCTGGAGGACTGTTAGAATGTGGGCTTTTTTAGTAATATTGCATAGATGGGTCAATTAATGAAGATTGGGCTAGGACAGCATTGAAATTATGAGTTGATTGAGAAGGAGATATTATCATTTATTGTTGATTTTGAATATAATTTTATCCAAATGATTGAGGAGCTGAAGTAGCTGCTTGAAGTTGTATTTAATTTTAGTTTGATTGAATCTATGCCTGGTTACTCATAATTGAAACTGCGGCATTTAGATTAAGCTAGTGTTATTGTTTTGCGTTTGCACTTTTTAGTGATTTTAGTAAATTTTCATTCTTATGTAGAAGATTCTTGGATCTTTCTATGCATTTTAAATACATTTAATCTAAGAAATTATTGTTATTATTTTAACTGTTTTGCATGTTGTTTGCACTAGATATGCTGCTATTTATGTTCGATATTTAAGAGATATTACCTCCTCCATTTTGGAGACTGCCAACTCCTATAGCTTATGGCATTGACTTTCTATTTCTTTCCAAAATCATATCTTATGAGCTCAGATTACTGGCACCTCCAGTAGGTGATTAGACTTAGAAGGATTATTGAGTGCTTCCTAGTAATTTAGATTAGCTATCACCTTAATTGTTTTGAATAGACTGAATACTTTAATAGTAGAGCATATTAGCACTATGATTTTTGGTTCTTCTATCAGTAGCATAGTCGGTAATCTTTATAATTTAAAAATAATTATTCATATTGACATTTTTTAGGAAATTTTACCTATTAATTTGAGCCAGTAGCAATCTTGAATCCAGTTTTACGTTGAGGAGAAATATCACTGATAACCTTTTTATCTCTTGGTGTAATTTCTAAATTGTTTTCTTCTTTGTTTAATTTCAATTGTAAAATCTCATGTTCCTTACTCTTGATAATTTGCTTAAGAGCTTGTATTTAATCATGGAATTCGTCTTCGAGCTTTGAGAGCTTCTTGCCATATCCATCACTGCCTTCTGAAGGTAAAGGATAATCTTTATTTGAAAAAATTTAAATATAAATAAATAATTTAATAAATATTATTTGTTTGAATTACTTTCATTGAGATCATCATCCTATTAATTGTAAACTTCTTCGTAAACTTTTTATTAATATTCATGTATTTTATCTTGAATTTTTGCTTGATTGTCATTTTGAATGTCTGTCAAAGACTTAGGGTTCTTTAAGTTATTTGGAGAAGTAAATTTAGATCCTGAAGTTGGAATATTAAAATGCTATCTGTTATCAACATTTTGTAACTAAATTGCTTGCTCTAACTCAACCAGCATGCTAATTCTGTCTTTTTTAAGCATCTCATTTTGTTAAGCAAGTTGGTGATTAACTTGTTTAATTTGATTTAGCTCTACTTCTATCTTGCTTTCCTTATCCTTTATTTTGTTTATTAATTAATTCTTTTTTTCTTGTATTTCAGTAAGGCTACTTTCAAGTATTTCACATTTATTTTTTAGCATTTCGTTTTATTGCTTGTATTGCTCAACGATCTTGTTGTCAAGAATAAGATCTTTGACTTGCAATTATAATTCTTCGATTTCTTGATTCTTTTTGGCTAATTCTTTATTGTTTTGCTAACTCTGTTAGATGAATGTGTACTACTTCTTTATTTCTTGATTTTATTAATCTAATTAACCTAAAAGTTCATTGAGTTTTTTTTCTTTTTCATTAACTTTTTAATCTTTTTCTTGTAATTTTAATTTAATTTCCTAAAGTTGAGTTTCTAATTCAGCAATTTTATCTTTCTATTCGCTATCCTTTTGTTGGTATTAGTCCTCAATCGTTCTTATTTATGCTTTCAACGATTTATTCTCATTTTATTCATTTTATAATTATTCAGTTAATTCTGAAACTTCAGCTCCGTTATCGTTATTTTGTTAGACATAAGCAGGTGAAGGTTAATTATTTTATTTGGACATTTCTTCAAGTTATTCTGTTAAATATGAATTCTTTTGCTCAAGCATGGCTTTTTATCTAGTCAACTCAACTAAAGGATTTACAGTTAACAACTTATCTTCTTCATCTCCATTTTATTCGTCTAAGGGTTCTTGCTTTTTAATTACTTATGAAACAAGTTCGCTAAGTCTCTCCTTATATTTTACTAAAAAAGGATAAATAAATATCCAAGATATATTTTTAAATCATTTTTATTTTACCTAATTTATCGTTATCTTTCCTGAGATTATCGATTTCTTTGACTGATTTTTTGAATTGCTTTTCAAGAGTGACATAAAATTATTTATGAGTTGATTGCTCTTGAGATAAGCTGTTTGCCTTTCTTTCTAAATCTGATTTCTCCCATTCAATTTATTCTATTTCAGTTTTAGTTTTTTATAAATAAACTTCCTTTTCTTAAAATTCCATAATTTGCATTTCGTGTTCTTTTTTGAACTCTTCGAATTCTTTTACCATTAAATTATATTTATCTTATAGCTCATTAAACTCCTGGTCAGAGTGATTGCTTTGCTTCAAAGGCTGTTAGTGCTTATTTTATACTGGACTCTAGTCTTCTTCTTGATCTTCAGTAGGAGTATCTACAATACCCAACTGTTATTTGTACATTGCTACTTGGTCTTTAATTTTTTGATTTTCAGTTTCCATTTTTTTGAATGACTTCTTAAGTTCATCATTTTCTTTTACAGTGCGCTTTCAAAAAAAATTTTTGTTAAAAAAATCCTCAATATTAAAAAAACTTACCTTAAATTCTTTCTCAAAAGATTTAAAGGTTGACTTTAATCCATTATTTTCCAAAACAATCTGTTAAGAAGATTTTTAAAGACTGTCTAATTCTGATAATTTTTAGCTTAACTAATTAGCAATTTCCTCTTTTTCAATTTCTAAAACAAGCTTTTCTTAAATAAACATCGATTTGGCTTTTTCAAGCTTATCTTCATCAGGCTAATTATCATATTCATTTTCAAGTCTCTTTATTTATTGCTCTTCTCTTGCATCTTCAATAGCTTTTTAAAGATCTTTATTGCTATCTGTTATGCTATTTAGTTCATTCTTCAAATTTTTATTTTCATTTTTAACCTTTTCAAGCTATTATTTCAACTCATTTATCTCAGCCTATGCACTACTTTCGATTTATTATTATTCTTCTTCATCGCCTTCCTCCTAATCTTCTTTAGGTACTTTCTTTTCTAGCTAAGATATTTTTTGTTCAGCCTCTGCAAGTTTTTTCCTACAAAAAATGAACTATTCAAAAAAAAAATATATTTTTCAAAAAATATTACTTTAACTCATCATTTTATTTAACTGATTTTTTAAATTCCTTTTCAACATTCTTATAAGTGTCTTTATAATAATTGTTTTCAATTTCTACTCTTGATTTTTGCTTGACTAAATTATCAATCTGTACTTATAATTCAGTTTTGTTCGAATTTTCTTCATCATACTCTTCTTCCAATTTCTGCATACTCGAATCTGATTATAATTCATCAATTTTTGACTACTTCTCTTTAATTTATTATATTAAATCTTCTTTTTCTTCTTTTAACTGATCTATTTAAGTGAGTAGATCCCTGACTTCTCTGTTATGTTAGTGCATTAACTTTGGATCTTCCTATTCTTCTTCTTCCTAATCTTCTTCTTCTTAATACCCAAACTTAGTTTTTAATTTTTCTATGAGCTCTACTTTCTTAGCAAACTTATTTCTAAGAGAGGTGACTTCGTTTTTAATAGAATCTCTTTCCTTAATAGCAACCTTAAATTAAAATAATAAATAAATAAATAAATTTTAATCAAACCAAAATAAATGAATCAATTATTTTTCAGTAAATCATTTTTATATTTAAGAAAAATTTAATATAATATCTTTTAAGATAGAATGTCAGCTAAAACGAATATTAAATTATTTCAAAAAGCTTTAAAATATGTTTTATTTTATAAAATTAAGTAAAAAACTGCAAATTTAATTAATTTACAATAAAAAATTGTGATTTGAAACAATTTAATTGAAAATTAATTGTTTATTTTATTGTTTTTTTAATAAAAATGCAAAATAAAAAATTACTTTCAATTCTTTTTAAAGAGAACTTAAAGTTTGCTAGAAATTTTGATTTTCACTTAAAACTGCTTGGCTCTTTCTTTCAATGAGTAATTTTTCTCTGTTTGTTTCTTCAAGTTTTTTCTAAATATCTTCTTTTTCTGCTTCTAAAACTTGCTTTTCTTCAATAACTTAAGATTTAGCAGCATTAATTTTTTCTTCGATTTACTTATCAAAGTCAGTTTCCATCTTTTCCATATTTTATTCTTATTATAAAGACTTTAACTTATTTTCTAGCTTGGAGCTTCTTTTTTAGAATTCATCCCTTTCTTCTTTTGTTTATTTAAGCTCTTGTTTAAGTTATTCAATTACCTTAGCTTCTCCACTCTAAAGCTACTCTGCGAATAATTTCTTTTCATTTTCTAATTCCTTTTTGAGTGCTTCTTTCTCTTTAATTGATTTCTTAAATTAAAATCAATTATAAATAACCTTAAATTATAAATAAATAATAAAATACTTTAAGCTGCTTTTCAATTTTTTTATATTGTTATCTAAATGAAGCATTTTCTGTCTAGAATGAAGCTTTTTACAACTCAATTTCAGATTTTGTTCTAAGAGCTTCTTTTAAGTCTTCTTCTAGCTTCTCTTTTTCAGCTAATAGTTATTCTTTGTCTTCTTCTATGAAACTATTTTGTGCACTGGGATTATTGCTATCTAGCTAGCGAAGGGAACTTAACTAAGTTTCAATTTCTAATCTTGATTTTTTTTCAGAAATAAGTTGTTGTTAGATATCTTCATTCTATTTTCTTAGTTCTTCTAACTCCTAGAGCTATTCTTAAAGTTATTGACTCTATTATTCTAATTCTTCAAGTCTCTTTTGCTTTTCCTCAAACTCTTATTGTTTTTTCTTGAGTTTATCATTTTCTTTGACAGCACTTATTATATATCAAAAATGAATGAATATCAGTAAAGAATTAATAAAAAAAAATAATACTCTTTGAATTGCTTTTCAACAGTCTTGTAGCAGTTCTTCAACTGTGTATTTTCATTTTGGTAATTTTAATTTTAACGATAAATAACTTCTTTTTCTTCTTCAATTAATCTTAATTTTTCCTCAATGTCTTTCTTTTAAGATTCCATCTATTACTTTTCTTCCAAAACACTGGACTTTGCTTAAATAATTTTGATTTTCCATTAATCCTGCTTAAGGGCTTCGGCTTAATCGTATTCATTTTCCATTTCATCGAAGTCTTAAGAGTTTGGATTACTCTTAATATATTCGAATTCTTATTTGCTATTGTCAACTTTAATCTATAACTGTTCAATATCTATTTTTAATTCACTAATTTCTTATTTTTAATTTTCAATTATATCATTCAATTAAGCTATTAATTGCTTTTCGCTAAATTCCTAATTTAAAATATCATTTAAAAGCTTGTTATTTTTTTTCTCAACTTCTAACTTCTTTTCTAATTTGCTTGTTTCATTATTGAACACCTTTAGACTAAAAAATACTTAATGAGCTAAAAAAAAACATATTAAAAATTAATTTTTACGAATTTTTGAGTTCAATATTCTCCACTCTAAGAGATTTATTTTTCTTCTCGAGTTTGTTTTGTTTTTATAAAATGACTTTCCTATCCAAAATTCTTTCATTAAGATCAGTGTTGAAATTAGAGTTATTATCGAATTATTCAGAAAGCTCTTAGTTAGTCCTGATTATTTACATTAGTTCATCTATTTTTGCATCTTAATAGTCAAAAGAGCTTTATTTTTATTCTAAGGCGCCTAATTGAACAAGTAGATTATCTATTTTTATCTATTTAAACATATTTTCTTCTTTCAATTATTCTATTTATTCTTCAAGATTGTATTTTTTTTCATCATCATCCAAAGATTTTGAAGAAAGAATTTCATCACTTCTTGAGCCATCACTTTTATTGTCTTGTTCAATAGTTTGTTTTAGAGTTTCAAATTATTTCTCTTTCAAAGTAATTTCATTTATATGATTGCGATACGATATTGGGTCACTTGTTTCTTTTTCTAAAATCTAATAGAATTTCTTTATAGTGTTGTCAACTAAGAATTCTGCTTGCAAGAAGCTTTCTTGAGGAGACTTTTTTTATATTTTTTAATAAAAAATTTATTAAATTTCAATAAAAAATTTATTTTTATCAACTAACTAACTGTGATGAAAATGAAATTAAATAGTTGTATGTTAGTTATTTAAATCGTATCTAGATTAATTTAAAAAAATTTTTAATTGACTGCTAGATCAAAGTAAAATTAGGTAAATTAATTCTTCCTAATAATTTAATTAAAATTTATTAGAGCCTTTGTGAAACCGCTTTGACGAATATCACTGACTAATGCTTTGAAAAAAAAATGGATAATTGCTCTGCTTGTAAGTTTATTGGCTTTAAAATTATTTTGCATGTTTTTTATTAATTTTTTATAAAAGTTTTTTGATAATTTTGGATATTAAGAACAAAAAAAGTTGGTTTTTTTAATATGACTTTCTTTTGTAATTTAATTAGAAAATAAATATTTGGAATGTTTTTATTCTTGTCTTAAAAGAGCAAAAAGAGCAAATAAATAGATTTTTATAAGAATGTTTATTCACTTGGTTCTTAAGAGGAGAAGTAGGTAGACTTTAAGCACTTCCTTGCAGAGTCCAGCTTTAATTCTTGAAATACTTGGCATAATCATCTTTTTAACAGAGGTAAGTGTTTAAGAGTATATTAAATTATTCACTTAATAACTCATCGTCTTTAATATTCTATTCACATTAAGTATGGCAAAAAACTTGATGAGTGATAAACTCATTGAATTTTAGAATCATTAGTTCATATTTTATTTTTTATAATTATAATTCATTTTTAGCATTTTGTAATTATTTTTTCAATTCATCTATTTTTTTTGAATTGTATTTTGAAGTATTCTAGGTCCTGCTTTTTTCTTACTTCCCGTTGTTTTTGCTATCAATATCTTCGTTATCGCTTTCTTCGTTGTCACTAGTTAATGGATTGTGTGCTTTGAAAATTCCATTTTAAAATTTGCTAGGGTATACATTCACCACATCAAGTGGAGATCTCATTCCTTTCTGAGGAATGATGATTGTCTTGGGCTTGCTGATATCATCTTCCTCTTCTATTTAATTTTATACAAAACAATTAAGTATATATATTTCATATATTTTTCCATATTCATTAAAGCTCTTAGCAGCTCTTTTCAAAATTCGAACTTTATTATTTTCATCAATTAAATTATTCTTTTTGAAAAGTAATTTGTTTTAATGACATCTTTATCATGCTTTTAAAGCAAACAAATAAATAAATAAAGTGCTGCTTGAATAAATCAACTCTTCTAATTATTCATATCACATTAAAGCTATTCGACCATTTTGATTAAACTTTCGTTTTTGATGAAAATGCATTGCTCTATTATGGTTTGTTTCTGCTAATGAAAACAGCCAAAATAATATTTTAATTAGCTTTTGTTTGCTTTGAGTGAATTTTCAATTAAATATGCTTGAAACGTAAGATTAATGAAAACTTTCATATCAGTTCAAAGTGCATTTATGCTATAGTGGTAAAATCTATATACATTGCATTAAATATATTACATATTTGATCTTGCTCTTCGGTGGCGTTACTCATAAATATTCTTTTTGAGTCAATAATTTAATGAGCTACGGCTTTGATAACTTGTGTTTGTTAATTCTTAATATTATTTATTTTTATTTATTGTTATTAATTAAATAAATTATTTACTTGCAAGCTTTTTAAGATGAATTCGATAATTAGATTTCTGTTTTGTATTTGTTTGTTTGTTTGATTGTTTGATTGTTTGTTTGTTTATTTGTTTGTTTGAGTGATTGCTTGCTTGCTTTTTTGTTTGTTGTTTGTTTTTATTTATATTTTATTTCACTTAGTACCTTATTAATTTTCCTTTTAGAAACTAAAAATTCGATTGATCTGTAATCGAAGCCAATCAACTCATATTAGTTGTCAGTGCTTTTTCACTCTTAGCTGAATCATTTTAAGATTTATAATTAATTAAAGTTTAAATTGGCTTCACTATTTCTATTGAATTTTTTACTTCTTTAACATTTTCAAATAACCCACATTCTTTCATTCATTCATTCATTCATTCATTCTTTCATTTATTATTTATTTAATTATTTATTATATCTATATTCAAGTAAAGTAATGACTCAATCTTTTATTTGGTTATAAATCTGTTAAATTACATTTATTTAGGCACGTTAGAAGATCCCTTTTCAAAATCTTACTGTGAGAGGAAGTTGAGTGAGAACGGATTAAAAGAGAATTCTTTTTTTACTCATTTCAAATTATTTCTTTTGTTCTAATATTATTAATTCATAAAGTATTTTTTTTAATTGAGTTTATTAGATGTTGATGGTAAGACAAGCTAGTAATTCGTTTGCTGCACATTTAAATAATAGATTTTACCTATTTAAAACTATTTTGAAAGTTAAGTAACTTTACTTCGACATAAAATAAATTTATAGACTTTAAATATTTATTTCTTAACATTTATTTATAAAACAAAGTTCTTACCAAAATAATATTTTTGGGTTAAAATATCATTAAATTTATTGATATTTATTGATTTACATAAGATTTTATAGTAATTTAAATATCTTTAAGGCTCTTAAATTAATTCATAAATAAATAAGATAAACAAACGCATAATTTAAAACATAAAAGAAAATCATAAAATTAACAAATCTTAATAATTAAAGCAATTATTTTCTATCATATCTTAATAATACCTGGTTATTTTTTTTTTTATTTTATAGATTTTATAAAATATTTTAGTGGTATTTCATTCGCTGCAATTTAGGTTTGTAATTTAGAATATAATTTTATTTACAATCAAAAAACTTAATTGACAGATTTAAATAAATATATTTGAAATTACGATATGGATTTAACAAATCTAATTTTCAATAACAAATACTTTTTGATTTATTTTGATAAATAAAATTTTAGTAAAATCAATCAATTTACACATTTTATGAAGATAAAGAAATATTTATTTAGTTTATGTGTTTGATTGTTTATTAGTTAGATGCCAGTAAAGTAGGATATTTATTCATAAAGAATAAATTAAGATTTCAAGGTAAATAATCTTTTATTACATTTAATTAAATTTAGATTACATTTTTGCAAATAAATCTCAAAACATTTTCTTTCTTTAAAACATAAAGAAAATTCTATTTTAATTTTTATGATAGATTTTATTTAACGAATGTTGTTATTTATCTATTTTTATTTACAATCAATCCATCATTTTAAGAATATTCAAATTTTTATAAGTCATTAAATTTTTATTTATTATTTCTTTAGTATTTATCCATTCTATATTATTTAGACATAGAAATTGTATTTAATCGCAACTTAAAAGGAGTGCTTATATTATTTAAATCATTCCAATTAAAACTCATTTTTACCTAGCAGAAGCTAAGTATAAGCAATCTAACAACAATAATAAGCCATCTAATCGCCTTTAAATTGAAACCAAAAACTGAAATTTCCTATTATTATGAATAGCTCTCTTAGATTTACTCTTTTAGAAACATAATTTGATCAAAAACCCACAGTTATTCCTAAAAAAGAGAGAAAGCCTCTTTTTTAGTAAAAAAAAATAGTCAACCCTAAATGCTAGTTATCATTAAAAAATGAATAGATTCTGGAGTTGTTTCTACCTCCATTTTATGAAAGTAAAGATAATTAACCTGAAGAACTTACTGAAATTATTAGTATGGAATGTGTTTGTGGCCATTGCCAAAATTGCATTGAAAATTAAGATAATGGAAACGATTTAGAAGGAGTTAGCACAAGGACTAATTTAGACTAAAGTCTACTAAGTAATAAAAGGAAAAACAATAACTAATAAAATGATTTCCAGAATGATTAAATATATCAAAAAATAAAATTATGCTAAGACAGAATTAGGCTATAAAATATTTAGATGAAGAATCTTTAAAAACTCGCTGATATTAATGGATTAGCTAATTTATTAAGGGTAGATATAAGAAGTGGATTAAGTAATTACAATCAAACTGATCTTGCAAATAGGGTAAAACTTTACGGAGCAAACAGAGTTATTATAGGAAAAAATGTTAGCTTTAAAAATATCATTAAAGAAAATTTTTACTAGACTAAAACTTTATTGATTTTAATATTTGTTGTTGCTCTATTTACAATACGTTCTTATATTCTCTACACTTAAGTTGGAAATCTAATAGGAATTTTGCATATAAATGAAATATACATTGAAATAGGAACAATGTTTATGATGGTTGCCACCTTCGTGACTAAATGCTTAAAGCAGTGGTTCATCGATAAAGAATTTAATAATTTGGTTTGTGTGAATACAGAATATAAAGTGAAAATATTAAGAAATAGTCAAGTTTAATATATTAAATCTACTTAGCTTGTTGTAGGTAAGTTTTTTATTGATAATTTTTTTTATTCTATCTATATTCAAGCTAATGAATATGTTAATAGGTGATATTATGATGGTAGAAGCTGGTGATATAATTAATGTAGATGGCATTTTGATAGAGGCCTACGACTTAAAAGTAAATGAGTCTCCACTTATTAGTGGTAGGGAAAGTGCTTCCAAATAAGCACCTGATAGAGATTCATACTATGTAGATTGTTTTATTTACTCAGGAACTTAAATCATGGTTGGACAAGTAATTTAAAAAGAATTGTTAATATCAATTAATACTTATTAATTCTACTTTAAAATAATATTCAAAGGGAAAAATGATTGTTTGCTGTGTTGGCAACAATACAATATTAGATAGAGTTTAGAAGAAGAACTAAGATTCCATATTCAAAAACCCACTCACTGATAAGTTGAATTAAATTTAAACAAAAATAGGAAGTAGCAGCATAAACTCTTCTACTCTAATTATATTATTTATTATGTTTGAATATTTTTGGGATGCTCATTATTAAAAGCAAATTTTTACTTTACAAACCTTTTGCGATTTGATACAACTAATTTAAATGATTCTAGCTCTATCTTTCTTATTAATGCCAGAAGGACTAACACAAGCACTAGATACCTATCTTTCTTACTCTGTTAAATAATTAGAAAAAAAGGAGGTTATCATAAAAGATTTGTCTGCCTTGGAAGTAACTAAAAATTATATTTTATTTTTTACTAATTGGATATTTAACCAAAAGTGGATGGGTTATGTGGATAGCATCGTGACAGATAAAACTGGTTGTGTAACGGAAAATAAAAATAGAGTTGAAAAAATTTATACCAATCAAGAATAAACAGTAGATGATATCCTGTCTAATTAAAGAGAGGTAGAAAAAAAATATGCAAACTTAAATGAAAAGAAAAAGGAAAGGGACTTTATAGGGTAGAATAGAAAAATTGAATAATTGCTTTTTGAAAATATTTGCATTAACTCTGTAGGAGTTTTGCAAAAAGAGCAAGTGGGTTAAGAATCTCATAATACTACAGTAGAAACAGCTCTTTTAGAATTTGCCTTAAAGTTTGGCTATGACTATGAAAAATATAGAATCCAAAGCAAAATAAAAAAAGTCCATAACTTTAACACAAATAAAAAACGAATGATTACTGTATTTCAAAAAAATCAAAGCACTCTAAGATGCTATTTAAAAGGTTCTCCTGATGTCCTTCTTGATAAATGCAGCAGATTCACTAACATAGAAGGAAGACCATCTGACATGCATTCATCTGTAAAGCAGCTAATCTAAGATAGAATTACTTAGTACGGAGCTAAAGGTAAATATTATGATAAAATTAATTTACTTTAGACTAAAATCTTAACATTTTTTAAATTAATTTATTATTTATTTATTTTAAAAGAGACATTAAAGCTAATTTTCTTTGCATACAAGGATATTGAATATGATCCCACTCAGATTTATGCGTAATCTACCACTCATATTTATTTTATCAAATTAACTTTTTATTAATAATAATCTATTTATATTTATTATTTGCTTATATCTATTATTTATTTACATTTATTATGTTTTTATTTATTTATTTTTACTACTTAATTAGAGAAGAACAAATAAATTAGGATTTAGTTTTTATTGGGATTGTTTGCATTAGGGACCCATTTAGATTAGATATGCCTGAGTGCCTGAAAACATGTTAGGAAGCTAGTATTACGGTAAGAGCACTCACGGGAGATAACAAAGAATCAGCAGTTTGTACAGCAAAGTTTATAGGTTATTTATTTTTTCATTCTGATTATGGTAGTTAGAATTTAATTTTTTTATTTGTTTAAAGGACTTCTTCCTGAGAATTTTGATATTAAAACTTCTAATATGGCTGTTTTGGATGGAGATCAATTTAAAAAAATTGTGGAAGGGATAGAAACATTTCAATCACAATCTGGGAGATCGTAAACGATTCAGAGACTGAGAGGAATAGACTAATTTTAAAAGCACATAAAGGAGTTGAGGATGATATCTAAAGGAAGATCAGCAGAAAAGGATTAATTAGTTACAGGACTTATGTAAATATTATCAATTTATTTTTTTAAATTAAAAAGTTATATTTTTTGAATCAGATAATTAAAATATGTTGTTGCTGTCACTGGAGATGATACTGATGATATAAAAATTATAAATAAAGTAAATCGTTTTATTAAATCGATCTGAGAAATAAAATAAATTAAAATTTTAAATAGGCTTAAGTTGGAATAGGACTTGGACAGAGTGGAAACGAAGTAGTTAAATAAGTAATTGATTATTTTAAAATAAATTAAATCATTTGATTTATTCTAACTGTTTTTAATTTATTTAAAGGCTGCTTAGATTATTTTGAAAAATGATAGCTTTACTTCAATCATACCTGCTATTCTTTGGGGTAGAAATATTTATGAATTTGTTAGAAAATACTTTTAATTGATAATATCTCAGAGTTAAATTATTATTTTATTGCTACTCCTGAATGTTATTGTTTGGGAAAGACACTTGTTTAATGCTGCATAATTTTTACTAGTTAATGTATTAGTGGATGAGTTTGCTGCACATGCTTTAGCTAGAGAATACCCTTCAGAGCATTTATTATCTATTCCTCCTATAAGAAGAAAGGAATACATAATTAAACCTGTGATGTGGAGAAATATTATTTTTGAAACACTTTACCAAATTTTGGCTTTGTCTTTACTGCTTTTTGGGAATTTAGAATTTATTTTTGATCTGCAAAATTAATTTTTTAGGATTGACTCTTCCTCAATAGATAAATATATTAGAAATAATTAAGTAGGCTAAGGTGAACTAAGCCCAGAGGAACTCAAAATATTAAGAAAATAAAATTTAAGATTCAGGTATTCACTATGCTTTAATTGTTTGGTCTTCTTATAATTATTCAATATTCTAAGTTGCAGCAGTCTTCATTATTCTAAGATAAGTGTTTTCAGGGATATAAAAAGAAAATTTTTCCTTTTTGTTTCAGTTCTATTTATTTTAGGATTTTACATTCTGCTAATGCATTACTTTCACGATTACTTTGAATGCACAAAACATGGCTTACCTGAACATTTCTTGTGTTTGATGATTTCTCTAGTAAAATTATTCTATAATTATCTCATCAGGTTTATTAACCATAGACCGTTTTCGAGTATAAGATATGTAAAATACACTTTTGATTTTGAATGAATTTACATTAAAATATTTAACTATTTAATTAATTTTATTTGTTTATACTTTTTCTTTATATGCTTCAAACTTTATAATTTGTAAAAATCAATTAAATATTTTATTAATTCTACAAACTATATTTAGAAAATCAAAACTTACTACTTTATTTTATACTAAATTATCGATTAATTGATTACTTACGTATATTAAATTAGTGATGTAAATTTTTAATTTATTTAGACTCTAGATTAATTATGTGCTTTTGATTGTGAAATTTACTAGTTTTACTAAATTTTAACTATTTAATTATTACTTTTAAAAGCAATTCAATATGTTATTTCTTAAAAAAATATGAAGTTTCTTTTATTTAAATTACTAAAATAAATGATTTATGTTAAAAATATGCAAAAATTTTACATTGATTTTAAATAAATTTATCAAATTTTAATTTATAACTAGATAACCTAAAAATAATTTAAAATATTTAGTTAAATTAATTAATATTAAAATTATTAATCTGTTTATAATTAAAATAATTTATGTTGAATAACTCCCTTATATAAGTATATAGTAAGAAAATACTTTGGTTTTTTAGTAAATTAATAGATGAAAATTTTAAAAAAACAAAATATTTTAAGAATATTTCATTTTCAACGATTTTCGACACCATCCATGAAGTCTTTTAATTCCTAAATTAAAAAAATAAATTAATGGCTAAATTCACATTAAAATAGTAGTTTACTTGAGGGCACTTTCTTTGAGGAATAGCAATCATCATACCTTCTTCGATGCAGAACATAGTAATAAGGGCTTCACTTACAGTACCAAACAAACTCATAATGAAACTTCCAACATAATAACTGGTGATGGCGATGACCTTTATTTATTTAAAAAAATATTTATTTGCTGCTGATATAAATTTAAAAATTTACGAGGCAAGGAACCAAAGGATTTTCAACTCTAGCTACATAATAGTCAGTTCTTGTAAGAGCGAAATAAGATCCCAAAGTAATAACACCGCTAATAGCTGCACAACCTAAAAATTCGAATAATTCACCAATACCAGCAACCAAAGCCATTCTAATAGGATTTGCTGCCATAATTGAGAAGGCCTTAGAGGCGGATTCGCAGAAACCTTTACCATCCATCATAGTCTATTTAAATTGAAATTTTTATATTAAAATCAAAGTAAAAAAAAATATTTTTAAGATAATATTTACCCAAACATAAGCAGATTAGTTTAAGTGCTTAAAGAATTTCTCAAAGACTACAACAAAGCAATATAAAGCCTTGTAAATGAAATCAGTGAGTTAGTTTCCTTCGTTATTCTTCTTCATATTTTCAGCAGAATCCTTGAAAATTAAAAAAAATAAATTCGTTAGTTTCAAATTTAAATATTTTAATTTTGGTATTACAGAAATTAATTTCAATAAGAATTTAATGAAGGATAGAACACCAAGAATGAATGAACCAAAGGCAGCAGTACCCATATGGTTTTTGAAGAAGAGCTTAGCACCCATGGTGGTGTTGGAGTCATCGATTTCTTCAACTTTAAAGTACCAGAAAGCAACTGCACCAATGATAATCATTTATTAGCAAGCAGCAAAGAAAGATTCAAACCAGAATAAACCAAATAAGTGAATCCATCCGAAAGTCTTAATATCCCAAGTGATTTAAACATGTCCAAAAGGATAAAGTCCTGTCTAATTTATTCATAAAAATAATAATGCTTATAAAATAAATTTGTTAAATTATATAGCTTACTTGTTTAGAGACACCACCTGAAGAGTAAAGGTAAATAGCTATGATAAACCAGGCAACGAAAAAGGCAGTACTAATAAGGAAACTTACAATTGGAATAAGAGTAACTCTAGGATTTTCAGTCATGAATCTAGCAGAGGCCTATTTTGATTGTTTTAGTTATTAGAATAATTATTTTTTCAAAATTAAAATTTACTTTTAGGACATTAATAGCTAATCTGATTCTTTCGCAGAGACAGCAGATAGCAACAATAAAGACCAAAGCAAGGGAAAGTAAAACAATAGCAGCAACAAGAACCTCATCTTTGTCCTTGAAGTTGCTCATAGCATCTTCAGCAAGCTTATAGGCACTGCTATCAGTAATTGTCTTATCTCTTTAATTAATAAATAAGAAAATATTAACAAGATATCAATCAATAAAGTAAATTAAATATGATTGTTTTGTGTCAGTTAAATTTTTGATTTTAAATTTATTATATTAAATATTCTATTTCTATAAATCTTCGTTTCTTTATTAAGTAGAATACTTAATCTAATAAAATTGAGCTATTTACTTTTTTATAATTATTTTTAATGTTAATTTAATTACAATTAAGGAGGATTGGTGAGCTTTATGTATTAGAAAAGGAAGAGCAAGCCAAGAGAGGTGAGGGCAGAAAAAATCATAATAACGAAACTCCATACAAGACTACCAGCAAGGAAGTTAACTAAGTACATGAATATGTAACTAGATTGAAATATATTTAAATATTTTAAAAATATTCAGCTTTTAAATTGAATTTTTACCCAAGAATAATAGAGCTCAAAATAGAGGAGCTGCAAATCATCCAAGTATTTCTCAAATCAGAAGCAATTTGTTAAGCTCCTTCAACATTAAGGACAGTCTTGATTTGTTTGTAATATTCTTAATTAATAGGAATGCAGACTCTATTTGCAACTTTATTGTATAAATAAATAAATAAAATTACATTAATGTATCAAACGAATATAAAATTTTATTTATTTCTTTTATTTGAGCAAAATATTTTATGAGATTTTAACAAGGTAATTTATTTAGATAAGAATAAATGAATATTAACCTGGAATGGAGTCATAGATGAGTTAACTTTTTGAAACATCTTAGGTCAAAGTTCCATCAGGGCAAATGGTGTTTTTTAAACACTCAATAGAGGTTGAGTTTGCGTTAGGACAAGACTTTACGCATACATTTTTCTTTAAACTTTTGGGTGAGGGGAAATAAATCAAAGGATAGTCTGCATTTTCTTACACACCACAAGGCTAGCTATCCATATCAAAAGGCTATGCTAAAATGGCGGGATTACCAGTAGACATACCCAAAAAGGCAATGACACTTGTTAGGACTATGAAAAGAGTAAAGATAAAACAGCATGATAAATCAGTGCAGCCTCTATCTTTACGAGGACCTCCTAGTAAGTCCTTGGGAATTTGCTAATCAAATTCTTTGTATTTGTTTGGTATTTGGTCAGTCATTTCTTTGCAATTAAAACTTATTTTTTACAACAAGAAAATATTAATTAATTAATATCAAACAAATAGTTTTCTTTATCTAAGTTATAATCAGAATGGATATTAGAGCAAAGATATTTCTTTTCAAACGACTATTAAATAAAATTTAATAAACTTCCCCCACTCATCAAACAAAATTTATGTTTGCATATTATTCATTTAGTTTTAACTAAAATTTTACTGAATTTTAAATAAATGGAATCAATCAATCAATCAATTAATTGTTTTGATAAATAAATAAACAAATATTATGAACACTATCAAACTAAAAATCCAAAATTGTATTTAATTGATACTGAAAGTAAATAATTATTACTTGCAGATAAATGTAATCAAGATATTTTTTTAAAACAAATATTTGTAAAATTCTACGATAACCTTTCAAGCGTTTTGAAAATAAATCCTTACTTTCTTCCTTTAAAGTAAGATATTCAAAAAAGTAAAAATCAAACAAAATATTTATTTGCAGTTATAATCAATAATTAATGATAGATTAAATAAGAGAACCAGCTATTAATAAAAATTATCATTTACATTTTTATTGATTTATTTATTTCAAATGTATTGTTAAAATGAAAATCAAAGTAAATTATTTAATAGAAAATAAATAAATAGTACGTTTTAATTTCTCAATGTAAGAAAAATAGTTATTTCGAAACATTTTTAGCTTGTCTATTTAATCTAGCTAAAATTAAATATTACAAAACAAACAAAATTTAAGTATTTTTTTTTATACCTTCAAAGTAATTCATTTATTTATATTATTTTTTCTTAAAAAATGTATTCTATATTTACAATTAAAAATATTATAAAAATTATTGAAAATTTTTATTTAATTTCATTTTCATGATTGCTAAATTAAAAAAATTTTTAATGAGTTAGAATTTAATTATCGAAATGCTTAATTAATCCATAAGTTAAATTTATTTCTATTAAATAAAAAACTAAAAAACTATTCATGTTGTTGATAATTAAATTGAGATTTAAAATATATTTTTAATTGTTTAGAAAATCATAAATTTCCATAAATATAGATTTATTCTTTTGATTTTTAAATTTGAAGCTTTAAAAATTTAAATAAGACTGACTATTCTATTTTTAATTTAAATTTATATAAATATTGAATAAAAAAAAAATATTTTCTTCTATTTTAAACTTACTTTTTATAAAACTATTACAACACACATAATATTCCAATAAATAAATGTTTTTTCATATAAATTTGGTTAAAATAAGTAAGATGAATCTTTTAAAAATTTAATTAATGAATATAGCTACTTTAAATTTATTTTTAAGCAAACAAATATGATTTAAAATAATAAATTTAATTTTTAAATTTATATTTTTATATTTAATAAAATGAATAAATCTTCAAAATACAAAACTAAATAAATATATATATATATATATTAATATTACTTATCAAACAATATAAAATTAAATAATCTATAATAAAATTTATATTTTAGTATTTATTAAGAGTAAATAAAATTCAATTCAATTCAATTAAACTTAAAATAAGCAATATCCTAAAATCATAGTTTTTTGATTGGTTTTTATGTTTTCGCTATTTTGATATAAAATACTTGGAAAATAAAAAAAAAATTAAAATATTAAACTACTGTAAGTCTTCAAACAGCGATTCTCTGTTTTAGACCAAACAGACAGAGGTTTTGAACTTATAAAACAACCAATTTTAGCTTAGTCTCTATTTTATGTCTGTTTAGATTTTGAGGTATTACGGTTGTAATGATTTAAAAAAAAAAAAATTAAAATATTAAAAAATAATTAATTAGTAATATATGAAAAATTAATTAAAATGTCCAATATATGAGTTAAATTAAATTTTAAATTTAAAAATGAATGACTTATAAAGTAATTAGAACTAAATAAATTATATATACATTTTAATTCAATATAAAAATGAAAATATTTTGAATAATTTTAATAAAAAATTTAAACACTGCTTATGCGTTCGTTCTGATTAATCAAAAATTAATTATTAAAAGGCTATTTTTAGAAAATTTTTTCATATTTTCATTCGGATTATATATACTACTAAAAAATAAATTAAAATAATAATTGAAATACAATTTAATCATCCATCAAACCATATTCATTTGTTTATTTTCTTTTGGTATATAATTTATATTTTTCTATTCAAAACAAAAAATTAAGTTTAAAGGAAAATCTCTAAGTAAATATTGATTAAAGTTACAAAAATTATTGAAAATATAGCTATTTATTTTAGAAAATTTACATGTTGATCAAAAGAAAAAATAAAAAAATTTCTTTTATTTTGAAAATTTTGTAGAACTATTATAGATTAATTAGATCTTCTTATATATCCTAAATGGAAGTTTTAGGTACATTTGCAAATTTAATAAAATCATTAAAAAAAATCAAAAAAAATAAAGAGAAAATGAATATTCATGTTAATGGTTAAGAGAATTGAAATGCACTATTACTGTTTATAAATTAATCAAATTACTTATTTAATTAAAAATAATAAATAAATTTGATTATTCATTTTGCTCTTACATCAACTTATATTTTGAATTTTACTTTTTTTAATTAGCTCTTAAATTAAATAAGTATTTTTTTGATTGATTACACAGATCTAATTAAATTTTATTATATTTAATTTAAATTTTTAGAAACAAAACTTCTATGATATCCAATTAATAATAAATAAGATTTTTGATGATATTTTTTTTAATTTCTAATAAAAAATAGTGAAAGAAGGTATGGAATAAAAACATAAAAACTTGTTTTTTGCTGGAATTGGAGGATTTCTTAAAACCATTGCTTATACTACAGTAGGTTCTCCTTTAGAAGTGATTAGACTACGATTATAAAACTCTTCTGAAATGGTCAAAATTGGATATCTATAAAAAAACTATAGTGGAATCGTAGATTCAGTAAAATAGATAGCAAAAGAGGAAGGACTATATGCTTTTTGGAAAGGAAATTTTTCTCATATATTAAGATAAAGTCTTTCTACATTATCTTCATTCATGTTAGCTAATTAATTTTAAAGGTTTTTCAACTTCTAAGAGAAAAGTTAATCACACTTTTAATAATTTTTATAAAATGTTTTATTTGGTGGAATATCAGGATGCATTGTAATGTCTCTTTGGTATCCTCTAGAAGTAGCTAGGATTAAACTTACAAATGATAAATTTATTATAAATACTTAAAAAAAATAATACCTAAGTATAACTGATGTTTGCAAATAAACTCTCATAAAGGAAGGGCCTAATGGGCTTTACAGAGGTTATGGAATCTCCTGTTTTGGTATGTTTTTTTATAGAGGCCTCTTTTTTGCTTTGTCTGAAATAACAAATAAATACACTTTAGATGATAATGCAATAAATTTTATTCAAATGCAGTTTTTGTTAGGATGGAGTATACAATTTTTATCTTAGCTATTAACATATCCTTTTTACACCATAAGTAGCAGAATGATAATGTCCTCTGGGTCTACCTAAAGATATACTTAGTCTCTTCAGTGCATATAAACAATTAAAAAATAAGAAGGACTTAAATCACTATATAGAGGAGTTAGCATTAACATTTTTAAAAGTTTAGGAGGAGCATCTTCATTCGTTTTATATAGTTTATATCTTCAAAAATAAAATTATAAAATTTAATAAAATTTTAATAAATGAATTGATTAATTGTATTAAATTAAATGTTTCTATTTTTATAATACTTTTATAACAATACAAATTCAACAATTTGAAACTTCACTCTTTTTTTAATAATGAATCTATCTAATTTTAATATTTTCAATTTTTTTAAAAAATAAGGGTACAATAAAATTTTTATTTTTAGCCTATGGATTTAAAGAGTATTCTCTTGACTGAAAAATATTAGAAACTTGATTTAAAGAATTATATATTCTTTTTAATTTTTATTTTATCTCAAAATATATATTGTATCTTAAATTAAAAATGTTAGATTTATTATTCAAATTATTTTTGTTTAAAAAAAATAATTTTATGATTTATATTCTATTTCTATATTTTTGCCTTGAGATTGAAAGAAATTCAAAAAATTTTTGAAATCGCTAACTAACTTGCAAAATATGGTTTTCTTTCAAATAAATAAAAAATAAAATATGGGATTAAAGATATCACATTTTATTGTAATAGATTGATTACACATAAATATAAAGATCTAAATCGAATTGCTAGACCCTCTCTATAGATAACTTAAAATAGATTCTGCTTTTTTGTCTTTAAGAGGAAAGACATATGCAAAATGATTATTTATTTTATAATAATAAAATATTTATTATTATTGTTATCCTTTATTTTATTGCTAATGTTAATATTAAAATAAATCTTTTTTTGATATTCTAAAGTTATTTTTATAGCCTTTTCTTTTTGTCTTTTATTTAATATTTTTATTCAAGATTGATTAAGTAGATTTTATTTTTCTTTAAAAATATCTCTTCCAATTCAGTTATCATTTTAAGAGAGTCAATAAATACTTTGTTAATTTTTTTATCTCATTTTACTTTTTAAATATTATTATTTTAAATTTTATGAATTTGTTTTCTAAATAAATTATTATAAATATATAAAAGGGTAACTTTATTATAAAAACATTTGATGAATTCCTTTTGATTTTTAATTTTTCTCTTAGCTTTGACAGAATATTTCTTCTCTTGCTTTTTAAATCTTTTCAAAAGAAAAAAATAAAAATAATATCTAAGTATTAAAATAAAAAGAGTATTAAAAATTATATTTAAGTTATCTATGAATATCAAATCAATGAAAATTAATTTATTATTAAGGATTTTTTTTATTCTTTTATAAAAATGAATTTTAAAATAAAATATCGCTATTCAGAACTTAAATTTTGTAAATAATCTTAGATGATTATGAAAAAATTTAATTAAAATATATTTGTGTATTTATTTATTTTACATTAAATAATATTAAATAAAAAATTGATAAATAAAAATTTAAAAAAAACAAGTAAGATTAATAAAATACATATATATAATATCTCACTAAATCCCATACAAAAAAGACAAAAAACATTCCTTTTTCATACTTTTTATGGTTAAAGAAAGGTTAATGTTAGTTTAATTTGTATTCACTACTTTAATTTCTTTGAAGTGGACAACAAACATATTGAGGTGCTTATTTAAAGTAATTATAGATAGTTTTTGATTTTGTTGCTTGATTGGAATTTCTCCTTCTTACTTGCCATGAATTTCTAATAGCTAAAATCTCACTAAGGAGGTTGCTGATAAATTGGTTATATCATGAAGTCATATCCCATACTTTTCTTTAATCAATATTTTCATCAAAATTTCTTACTTTAATATTAGAAAATTCATAATCACTGCTATTTTTTGGCCAACTTAACTGATTATCTGCGCAAAAGGCTTAAAGATTAAATTACTTTGTTTCTAATGGGTTTAATGAACCACTAAATCCTTTAATAACTGTGTGTTGAGAAGTGTTTGGAGTTTTACAACCAAACAATTGTCCATTTTCAATTACAAATCTTTGGTGTTCTCGAGTATTATTGTTTAATGTCATATAACCATCAATAGTGTGTCCGTTAGTATCGAACATGGGATTATTATTTCTGTTAAAATTGATTTAACTAATTGCAATGCTCTTGTTCTGTAATAAAGAGTTTAGATTTTAATCTCTTGATAAAGAACTTTTTGCTGGATTATCTTTAATTATCTTAAATGTTTGCATAAATTTGTTCAAACTTTTCTATTCGTCATTATATTTTGAAAATTTTTGAAGATAACTATCAATCAAAGGGTTTGAGGATACATTGGGAATTTATTATTATTCTTTTTATAACAAATTTAAATATTTTGGTTTGATTTTTATTAAATTATCTACAGCTGGAGTATATTTTTTAAAATTATTGAGTTGATTAAGTGGTGTTGTCAAATTATCTATTTATTTTAAAAATCCATCAGTTTAATTTGCTGTAGTTGAAATATTTTAAGAAATAGAAGATAGATTATTCGAAATCTCTTATTGAATATCTTTATACACTTTCTAGGCATTAGCTGCCTTATCAGACACTTTTCCTAAAACTCCTCCCATTTGTTATTTAATACCTCTATCAATTTATTTTACTACTCTAGAAATATTTTGATAAACAGGAGATTGAGTAATTCCATTCAAAATTTTTTATGGTAAACCTTCACATGCTTACTTGACTTTAGATACGTTATTAACCACTTTTCCTATAACTCCTCCAACTCCTCCAAGAAAAGTAGTTGCTACACCCAACCATGGTGTTACTTCTTTCACAAATTTACCTACTGAAGTATTATCGAACCATTCTTTACCCTTTTAGAGTAAACGACCTACTGGATTATCTAATAATATTTTTGAAGCAGATTGATATGTATCACCAATGAATGAAACCGCTTTTCCAATTATAGTATTTTTCATTACATAACTACTTACTTCTTTTACCTTTCGACCTATAGATGTTTCATTCATAATATAATTTTGAGCTTAGTTTATTTTGTTATTCACATATTTAAGACCACTTTTAGCAGTATCTATTACTGTTGTAGCAGCTTATTTTACAGCTTTAAAAGTGCTAGTGATTCCTGTTGATACTTTAGAAAAAAAAGATCCAAGCCATCCCATTTTTTGATTTATTATTATTACTTTAATATTATCCTTTTTAAGTAGTGAATTTTTATTTTTTTGTGTGTGTTTTTTATTGATCTTTTTCTTACCAAAGATTTTTTTTTATTTATTAATATTGTTATTTTTTGTTAATTTATATATTTCTAAATTAAGTGTCCAAGTAAATTCAAGTATTTAAACCTTAAATAAAAGCATCTATCTGAATGTTAAAGCATTGATTAAAAGATTATCTTAAAATATTAATTAATGTTAAAGAATTAGAATGAATATTAATGTTTTTAGAATTAGAATATCAAAATTTTGGGGGAAATTTTGGGAGATGAATTTTCATTTTTGATTGGAAATTTTTTTAAAAAAATATAATAAAAAAAAACCCTTTTATTTAAAAGTATTTTATGAACCCCCTTTTAATTTTAAAAATTTGCTTAACTTCAACTAATTCATCTTTATCTTTTAAATCTTTTCTAACATCTACGTAAAAGGCAAAAGGCTTAAAGATTAAATTACTTTGTTTCAAATTGATTTAATGAACCACTATATTATTTATTGCTGTAGTATATTTTTTATCCAAATAACTATTGAGGTGATTAAGTGGCATTTTAATAAAATTATTATTTACTTGATTAATCATATTATTCAAGTTTTACAGTCGTCCCTTCATCCTTAAAAAACACTTTTAGTTATTTAATTTGTTTTTTTCAAATAATTTTAATAAAAAGGAAATTTAGTAAATTTACTCAAATCTTTTATTCAAAACATTCATATGATTTATTGATCTTAGCTCTTTTATTAGCAATTTTTTCTAAAATTTATCCAATTCCTCGTTTAAAAATATGTTAACAGTTTAATTTGTTGCTCTTAATACTCAAATAAATAGGAAATTTAGTAGCTTTATTCAAAATGTTTTATGGAAAACCTTCCTATTCTTTATATCACTTTAACTATATTATTACCATTTAACATTTACTTATAAATCCTCCCATTCTTCCTAAATAAGTAGATGCTATACCTACCCTAGGTTATAATTATTTAATTAGTTTGCAGTCTGGAGCATGTATTGTCGAATCTTTGTATTATATTTTATATGATTGACCTACTAGGTTTCCTGTTATTTAAAATTTAATATATATCACTAATTTATGAAACAGCTCTTCCAAATTAGTCTCCTTCATTATAATTGCATTTCTACCTAAAGATGTATTTCCCATAATAAAATCTTGAGCTTATTATATTAATATTATCAATTACTTTTTTACAACCTAAACAACACTAGTTACACTCGTGAATGCTTTATTAACACCCTAAAACACTACACCTAAATATCCCATTTTTAGATATTTTAAAAATGAAAAGATAAGAAATCTAATAAGAATATTGATTTATTTTAACTTTATTATTCCCTTTATAAGTCGTAAATTTGTGTTTTTATATTTTTTCTATTTATCTTTTACTTAAATAAGATTTTTTTTATTTTAATATATAGTAGTTTTTTGTTTAAATTTATATATTTCTAAATTAAATTCCAAATTAATTCAAGTATTTAAGCCTTAAATATTAGTTTGAAAGAATAATATCATTTAGGATATATTCAATATTAGGATAATAGAATATCAAAGTATTTAGAATATAAAAATTTTTAGAATTAAAATATCAAAATTTTTTAATTTTAAATTTTTTATTTGCGACTTAATATATATATAATTACTTAAATTAAACTTCTACTATTCATAATGTATAGAAAATTTTTATTGAAAATAATTTCTTAGTGATGAAATTAATACAAAAATAGTTATCTTTAAAGAATAAAAAAAATATTAAAAATAAAAAAAGAAATATTTATTCGAGTAGTTTTGAATATAGGATGGAATAGAAGATATTCTGAATTTAGAATACTAATTAATCGAATACAATATTTAATATAAAATAACATTAGTATTCCTCAATCGCAGATTTAAATATAAATATATATAATAAGAAAATAAACAACAAGTAAACTCTTTTTTATTGAGAGAATTTACAAAATGAACATTAATAGTCTAATAATAGACTTTTAAAAAAATTAAACCTAAGAAACTGCACGAACTTTTAACTTTCTTAAAAAATTATAAAGATATTTTTTTCTTTAAAGAAGTTTTTAGATAGTTCAATTAATCATGACATAAGAAATTCATAGAATTTTAGCAAACATAATTACCAAAATTTTATCTTTTTTAGATTTTCATATTATTTAGAGCTTATTTCAAAACAATTTTTAAAAATTCCTTTTTGTAAAGTTATTTATTATGAAATAAATATACTACAATAAAATTATATTTTTAATTTAAATATCAATTAAAACTTAATAAAAATTTATATGTATTTTCAAATCATAAATAATAATTTCAGTTTTAAATAAATTGAAAATATTCTCTACGATTAAATTTTAATTACATTAAAATAGTGAGTAAACATAAATAGTAAATGACTTTGATAAAATTTAAGCCAAATTTGAAAAAAATAATAAAAATTGTATATTTCTTATACTAAAATTTAATGATGATTACTAAACCTTAAAGATCAATTAATAAATCCATATTTTAATTAAGAAAAATATCTTGAATAATCCTAATTAATTTAAATCAAGTAATAAATACACGTTTATTTCAAAAGAAATTAAAAACAGTCAAATAGAAAAATGACAATCTTATAAATCATTTGCTTATTTGCTTTGATTATTTTAAAAGCCTCAGCTGAAGAAGCATCAGGTGATGTTATATTTTTAAAGAACTCCAAATCAGCAAAATGTTTAGATGGTTCGCCTTTTGCATACGTCTATTATAAAGGCTTTGGTGACGGACAAGATAAATTTATGATTTATATGTAAGGTGGAGGTGCTTGTGATGGAGATACTACAGAAGAGCTATTAGAATCGTGCTATTAGAGATCAAAAACAATTTTGGGATCAAGCAAAGAGTGGCCTGAAACTCTCACTAACACAGGCAACTTAAGCGATGACGAAACTAATAATCCTGCATTCTACAACTGGAATAAATTATACATTCCTTATTGTGATGGGCAACTTTACTAGGGAAGAGCTACTATTTCTTACAAAAATACTACTTTGTATTTTAGAGGATATGACAATGTAGTGGAAGTCTTTAATATACTAATAAAAAAATATGACATTCAATCGTCCAAGATAGTTGTATTATCAGGTGGATCTGCTGGAGGTTTAGGTGCCTTCTATTGGAACTAGTACTTAAGAAAAATAATAAACAAAAACACTTTAGTTATTGCAGCTCCTGATTCTGGTTTTTTTATAGATATCATAAAATAAGATAGAAGTTAAGCTTATAAAAAAATTGATTTAATTACTGGTGGGAATAGGAACCTAATCTAACCTGAAGGATGTCCTTATCTTTACTAAAATGATTAAATTTACAAATGTACATATGCTTAGTATATAATAGATTTAATGCCTGTCCCAGTTTTTATTATCAATTCCTTATACGATACATATATCTTAAAAAACACTCTCCATGTAAATTGTGTTACACCAACTTTAGGGCTTTAAAATTGTAGTTAATAAGATATCGAAAAAGTTGAAGATTTGAGACATTAAATGCTATATCAGCTTTAATAAATTTAATCAAGAAAACAAAACTGGGGTGCTTGGGCTATTTCTTGCCTCTATCATGTGTTTTCAGAATCTAAATAGACCTTTAATGGGCCAGATTATCAAGTTCCAATGAATTCAGGTCTAACTATTTCTTATGCACTTAAGGAATTCATTTAAATGTAATAAGATGAAATTTTATATGATAAAAGTTATTTTATTCTTGATCCTGAAGTTTATCCAAACAATTATAATTGCAATGGAATAAACAACTTAAATTTAAAATTCTTATAAAATTAAAAAATTTGAAATCGTTTCTTTAAAATTAAATGTTTAAAATAATATTTTATCTTAAATACAAAAATTATATATAAAATATCTTTAAAATATTTCTCATTTCTCTAATTGTATATTTTATTAGCTTTAATTATTTTTGTAAAAATGATCCTTTTCTTAAAATATATTTTTATGAGTAATTAATAGTTGAAATAAAAATTTTGATTGTGTTTATTTAAGTTTGCCTTCTTATTTTAAATTCAATAAATATCAAGTATTTCAGCTTAGAATATCTTAGGTAATTATAAAAATTTATCAATAAAACGAATTATATTTTATTTATTAAATAAAAAATTTTAAGTATTTTATTTTTCTTTATCAAATAAAAGTATGGTTAATGTAAAATGTTCAGTTTTTTTAAATTAAAATCTATCTATCTATCTGCCTACCCTAATTTATTTAAAATTTCAAAAAATTTTTATGTTAAAAATTTTTAAGTATTTAATTAATTCATAATGAATAAAATTTTAAACTTTTCTTGAATAATCATTATTTATTTATTAATTTAAAATATTAAGCATACATTTTACATATATAAATGGAAGTGTCACTGTCATCTTAAATTGTAAAATAAATAATTAAAAATACAACAATATGATTAGAAACTTTGAAATTCTTATATTAAAATAGATGGTTAATATTAAACTATAGGATTTAGAAAGATTTGTTAATATGTTTTGAAGCAAAATTCGCATAATCGAATGCTCAAAAGTTAAAGTAAAAAAGAAATTTCATGTTTTTGATTTAGATTACTAAAAAAAAAGAATTTAAAACAAACATAAATCTGTAATAATAATTTAATTAATTAATTAATCAAATAGTAAGTTTTGTAGGCATAAATGAAGGCTCTAATGTTTTATATCTTTTTATTCTATTTAATAGCATTAGCATCTTGCTAGTAAGATGGAAAAGGAAATCTTGTGTTGATAAATGATGCTAAAAGTGCTAAATGTTTAGATGGGTCTCCTATTGGCTTTTATTTCTTCTAAGGTTTCGGAGAAGGTTAAGATAAATTCTTGATTTACTTACAAGGCGGAGGACTTTGCTAAGGTGAAACCAATGAGGAATTACTAGAACAATGTTATTAAAGGTCAAAAACTACTTTGGGTTCCAGTAAAAAATGGGCTAAAACAGCATAAAATTCTGGTAATTTAAGTAATAATCAGTAAAGTAATCCTGCGTTTTACAATTGGAACAAAATATATGTTTAATATTGTGATGGATACCTTTACTAAGGGAGTGCTTCTATTCCCTATAAAAATACGACTTTGCACTTTAAGGGATATGATAATATGGTGGAAATATTCAACTATCTTATCTAGAATTATAGCATTTAATCATCAAAGATGATTGTTCTATCAGGAGGATCTGCAGGAGGTTTAGGTGCATTCTATTGGAATTAATACTTAAGAAAAATTATTAACTCTAACGTAATAATTATTGCTGCACCTGATTCTGGATTCTTTGTAGATATCCCTGGAAATGATAATTCTCAAAAATATAAATAAATAGATTTACTAACTAATGGTAATAGGTCAATATTATAGCCTGAAGGATGCCCATACCTTTAATAAAATGACTTAGTTTACAAATGTAGCTAGCCTTAATATATTATTGATTAAATGCCTGTCCCTGTGTTCATTATTAACTCTCTTTATGATTCTTACACTTTAAAATACATACTCTAAATTAATTGTATAACACCAACTTATGGACTTTAGAACTGCAGCAACTAAGATATCTAGAAAGTTGAACTTTTAAGAAATCTAACTTTTACCTAATTACAAGAAATCTAAACAAAAAAGCCTAATTGGGGAATATGGGCTATTTCTTGTTTATATCATGTATTTTCTGAATCTATCACCACTTATAGTGGACCTAAATATGAAGTTCCCATGAACTCCGATTTCACTGTTTCACATGTTCTAAATCAGTTTATTCAACAATAGTTAAGTGGATAATCTTAAAATAATTTCTATATTGACTAAGTAGTTTATCCTAACAATTAAAACTGCAATGGTCTTAGTAGTTTTTATAATAAATATATTTATAATTAACAAATATGAAATCTATATCTTAAATACAAAATTTATATCAGTATTAAATCAAAATTATAATTTTATAAATAAAAATTATTTTTTATTTTATCTTCATTTTATTTAAAATTTTAAAAGAAATTTAGATAGTTGATGAATAAATTAAACAAAACAAGTGATTGTTTTAGTTTAGAAAAATTTTAAGGATATTAGAATTAATTAATTAAATAAATTTAACAGAATTTTGAAAACAGTAAATTGAAGCATTAAAGATTTTTGTCTTATATTATTTAAATTTAGTTTTAAAGTAAAGCTAAATTAAAAGAATTTGATAAATTTTGATTAGTAAGTAACAAATATCAAATAAATATTTAAGTGAGCTATAAATGAATTCTTCTGAAAATTTATGTTTATTTTCTTTTATGAGTTTAAGTATTATTAGTAAGAATATAATATTATATAATAAAGTTTGTTTTTATATGTTGAATTAAAGCCAAACGCCATTCTAAAATTTAGTGATTCGATATCACTGTTTATTTTTTTGAATGGCTGATGTGTTTGAATATTATTTATGTAAAAATAAATAACTTTATATTATTGAATTTAATTAATATTAATAATAATTTATATCAATCTTATAATTTTTCAATCAAATTTTTAATTAATTTTAGCCTTTTTAAAAATTTTTTCTTCAAATAAAAACTTAGTCCTTTTTAAAATACCACTCAAAAAAGTCCTTAATTAACGAAAATTTATGGTAAATGAAACCTGTCTAAATAAAAAATCCAATGTCTTAAATTTATTAAAAATTAATAATAATATTAATCAAAACCTATTAAAAATTTTCATCTTAGAAACATTATTATAAAATAAAACCATTTAGCTATATATTAAAAATATTTTTTAAGCCTCCAGAATTTCTTTTCTAAGCTCCTAAACAAGTTACCTCTAATTATCGAATCTTTGGTTGCATTTAAAAATTTTATTGATAAGACTAAATATTTATTATCATTCATTTTATAATAAAGCAATTATTGTTTTTTTTTAAACTTTAAGTTTGAAGAGATTAAAAAAATAAACTATCTAATAAATAAAGAGTATTTATAAATTAAAATTAATTCACAATAAATTTTTCAAATATTTTCCATTTTAATAGATAAATTTTATTAATCTTTTAGCTCTTTTTTGAAAAAACCTACATAAAACACAAATTTTCTGCATTATGTTTTGTATGAGTTTTTAAGAATAAGATTTAAAAATTATTTGAAAAAAAGTTAAATTTTGAACATAAAATTCCATTCTAATATAAAGTATTTAATACCTGGATATCAATATTATTTGGCATTTTTATTATAATCTAAATAAAATATGATCAAATTACTTTAAAAACTTCAACAAATTTTAAGAAAATATTAGCTGCAAATTTATTTATTTAATTATTGATTTTTATTAAAAGTAATAATTTATTTTTTAACAAACACAACTAAATCAAAAATTAAAAAAATATTTAATAATAAAAAATAGAATTAAGATTTTACCATGAAAAAAAGTAATTTTTAATGATAAGAGAATGAATGAATCAATGAACATATGATAAATGAATAATTTTTTGTAATTAAACAATGAATAATTGATGAAAATATGTAACTAACTAACTAACTAATTATGTATATTGAACTAATTTAGATTTTATGCCTTTTTAAAATTTAGGGAAAAACCTATTTATTTTATATAAATTTAAAGATTTGTTATATTATCAATTGAATTTAGTGTCGAAGAGATAATCCCAAATTTTATTAGTAATACCAAAACCTTTGGCATCACTGACATAGTGATGCTTGTTGTGATTTGATTTTAAATTTTTAAAGTATTCGATACTAGGATTGCAGTGATGTAAATAATAATGCATCATATCATAATAAAGATAACCAGCAATAAAACCAGTGACAAAAATTCTTCCAGCATTACCAGGTAAGAAGGTATAAATAACAGTGGTCAGGACATAGTACATCATAGCACCTAAAGAAGGAGGGAATACTAATCTTTCTCTATTTTAATTAAAAGAAATTATTTAATTGGTCTAACAAAAATTTTCTAATTAAATAAATAAATAATAAATACCCATCCATAGGAAGAGCATGATGAACACCGTGGATAATAAATGCAAGATATCTGTATAAGGCTTAGTCAGGCATCCATTTTTCCATGTGGAACAAGAATCTATGAAGAGAGTATTCAGCCAAAGACCAAGTGAAGACAGCAAATGCCAAAATAGCGAAGACAGCAAACAAAGAGAAAGAAGCACTTGAAAGTTTAATGTAATCATCAACAATAGAATTGACATCATAATCAAAAGTAAGACCTAAGTAAAAGTGGTAAATGGCAATAGGAACCCAAATAGCGAGGATTGTGTACCATTTATTTCTGGAGAACATATCGAGGAATTTGCTATCAAACAAAGGAACATAGAAAGGAATAGTGACGGGATTATCAATAACTTCTAAGTATTATTTGTAGGAAAGTTTCCAAATTTGATAGAAATAACCTTTGGCTAGATCGATTTAGAAATCATCAAAGTAAAGGATTTTTCCTACTCTTAAAGGGTAAGGTCTTTCTTCACCTTCCCTCATACTTTCTTTATTGTCTCCAGCAACTTGTCCAGTTTTGTATTGGGCTAAAATTCTCTTTGCGTTTTATGAGTGAGGATGACTATTTTCATCCTTGAATATAACTGTAATGTCTTTGCCTTTGTATTTCTCTATAAGATCTTTACCACCTAGTTAGTTTATATATAAAAGATAGATAAATTACCTATTTAAACAATACTTTTTTCTATTATTTTTAATAATTTCTTAGTAAAAATTTCATTCCCTCAAATATAATATGACATGCTTTTCTCTAATTTTTAATAGTGCGAATAGATTAAAAAATAGCTAATATTCTGCTCTATTTAGCATGGTTTGATCCTTTTATTACTTTACTTTCTTTATTTTTGCAATTATGTTATTTATTTATCACAAATTTCATTTTGGATTGGATCAGTGGGTATTCGCAATAAAAATTATCATGATTTTGCTTATTTGATGGCGAAGAGCTTCAAAAATCGAAATATTTTATAATTTATTTGAAAGGATTTAGAGATATTTCAAGATTTTTAGCTAAATAATTAAATATCAAATTACCTGGATGGTCAGGTAAAAAGTCTGTAACATCGTAGACTCCATGCTAGTAAGAACATAAAACTCTATCAGTAGGCTTTTGCAAATGCTTTTCCATTTCATCGACATTTTAGAAATTTTAAATTTCATAATGCTCTTAAGTTTGGTTAATAATTCTTTTAGTGGCCATTATTATTTATAAAAGCTAATTAGTTAGTTATTCTTTTTTTTTGATTTCTCTTAAAATCTTCAATTTTTTTATTAATTGATTATAGAGTAATAGCATTTATGATGAATACAAATATATATAAAAATTGATTAATCGCAGAATGTGAATACACATATATCAGTAAGCGATAAAAGCAACCTTTTTAACTAAAAAAAAAAGTAATATTAAATTTAATTTAGGCACCATATCAATTTAACATTTTTGAGGTTTATTTCAGATCTAGGAATGCAAACAATCAGATTTTTCTACTTTACTCTGGAGTCAATATATTTTAAAGCTCAAAAACTAAAATGATTTTATGTGAAATGAATAAAACATTTCTAGCATTAAAAAATAAACTGAATAACATTTATGTAAAATCAATATATTTTTGAGTAAAAATAATATGAATTAATTTATATACAATTTTTTTACTTAGCATTTGATGCACTATTAGATTAAAAATGTTAAAAGCTTAAAAATGGTATCCTATAGATAATAAAATTAATTTATTAAAGATTTTCAATAGATTTCAAGGGCAATTTTCGCTTTCCTTGAAAAAAATATATGTTTTTTTGCTTTTTATAGAATTTGAAATAGAATAACCTAATCATTAAATATGCTAGATTATTCTCTTTCAAATTATAATGAAACTTAGACTTTTAAAATTTGAAAAAGCAAAAAAATGAATTAATTAGACAATACGCTTCGATTTACTTTCTTTCTTTACACAAAATAATTACTCATAAAAATATAATTCATCATAAATTTTGCTATTACCCAAATTTTCAATTCATATCATAATATCATAAGGAATATCTGTTAATTAAATTAAACTCAAAATAAAATTGTACCATTAAAAAGTGTTAGCAATAAACGAAATATTAAATTTTTTCAAACAGTTATTACTCAAAAACAAATTTAATAATTTCTGAAATTAAGAAATTAAGAAATTCGCTCACTATAATTACAGTTTTCAGATTGAATGATAGATTGATAGTATTATTTGAAATTAATAATATTATTAATTGATAGAGGGAAGAAAATAAATTAATTCAAATTTCATATATTGATACAATATGTACAAAATAAGTTATTTAAATTTGCATAAAACAATCTTCTAATTTCCAAAAGTTGTTCTATTCATGATCAGTGCTCTGAGCCGTTTTCTATTATCCTTATCAGTGAAAATAGATCTTTATTTTTGACGGCTGTCCTACACAAAGTAGTTACCTTTGCTTTAAATTACCCAATTCTCAGATTAGAAGCCTTGCTAATCATTGAATTCACTTCTTTAAGTGAGGACATCAAAATATCGTTGTTGGTCTTGCGCTTGAGTAGCTCTGTCATCAAATTTTTATTTTGCACCATTACATCAGTGTAGTATTTTTTCATGAATTTCATGTCACCCAAAATTCTAGCATCCTCCGCTTTAACTATAAATGTTTTTACCATTTAAACTGAATCTGCTATATCTGCTGTAATATTCATCCTTGCAGAGCTGTATTCTTTTAAATTTGAAGATGTTAAAAATAGATAGATAGATACAAAGAAGAAGATGAAGAAATATTTTTTAATTAAAGTCTTCATTTATTTTTATTTGAAGAAAAGAATTAATCACTATTTTTTCTGGTTATTTTAAAATTTAAAAATCAAATATTTCCCTATTTAAATCTGATTAATTACTCTAAATACATAATTATTTTTGATCGATTTAAAGCATATCAAGTATATAAAAAAGTGTAATTAGAATTTTTTAACTGAGCCAGAATAATTTAAGCAATAAAAAAAGTTACATTCCACTTTATGCAAGACTTCTTTAAATTTTTCCATTTCTTTTGGGAATTGTCCCTGTGACTCCAGTTCTGTAATATTGTTGTATTAGCACATATCTTAGATCAAGTCTCCAGCTACTTCTATATCATCGCATTTAATTTATACAGTTGCTCTCACTTGATTAACAATAATTTCTATAGTTTCATTTGTGTATATATTAACGAATTTTGCAGTCATTTCTGACTAGTTCTGCTCCAAAGCTTCTGCGATTTTATCATCAAAAATAAAACTCTATTGCATCCATTTAACAAAACGAGGAATTCTTTCATTAATTTGCATAGTAACAAATGACTAAGGTTCATCTAAATTATGCTTTTCAAAGCTTTCTAAATAAAGATATCTTGAAAATCTGGGAAGAACACAGCTAAAGCTGAACACTTAAAAGGTGTTGCTTTAGATATTTGTTCCGACCATACATTTTACCTATAATTTTATATAAAAACATTCAAAATTCACAAAAATAAATATCAAATTTTACAGCAATCTTTTCACTAACATTTTTCTTCACATTGAGAGGAATATTTATGGTATTTTTAATTTTCTAAGGACAGTAAAAGAAACTCTCTCTTCCGTCAAATAATTTATCACAAAACAATATAGCATTCTTAATGTAAAGTCCCTTTGTGCATTAAACCACCAATTCAACCTGTTTATTTTTTGGGTTGATCTTAAATATATTAGCTTTTTACCAATTAAAAAAATTTATTTAAAGAGAGTTTGAATAATCAAAACTTACCTAACTATGTTCCTTGAGGTAATAATGTCGAATCAGAATTTTATTGTTTTTCTTTTAAAGATTCCTTAAGAGAGTTAACTTTCTGGACAAGCATTTCTTTCTTTTTAGTCAGCTCTTCTAATTCAATGTGCAAATCAGTTTTTTACTCAACTCTATACAATAGAAAAGTATAAATTGCAATTTAAAATTTTCAAAATGTAATAAAACTTAATAAAAACAATTCTTATTAGAATAATTTTTAAAAATGTTAAAAATATCTTTTATAATTCTAAAAATATAATTTAATTATATTAAAAATTATGTGAAAAGTTTATATTTTATTTGCTCTTTCAAGCAATAAAACTTAATTTAAAAAATTCTTATTAGAATAATTTTTAAAAATGTTAAAAATATATTTTTTTATTCTAAAAATATAATTTAATAATATTAAAAATTATGTGAAAAGTTTATATTTTATTTGCTCTTTCAAGATTTTCATTAATATTATCAAGAATTCTATTTTAATTTATTTAAAATTCTTAGATTAATCCTAGCAAGATATTCATATAAGAATGATAATATCATAAAATATTTTGAAATTATATTCATTTTTTTAACAGAATATTATAGGAATGATTATGTCAGATCATTTATTTGTTTATATATTTTTAATTTATTTTTATTTGCCTTTTTAGATAGATTAGTTATCTATGATACAGTGATAGTTTACTTAGAGTTTAAAGGAGTTGTAAAATAAAACAATTATCAAGAATAATTCTAGTTTTTATTATTTTGGGTAATTTAAAAAATAAATGTAATGCTTTTTAGAATTTAATTATTTGTTTACGTTGCATTCTCAGATTGGATATCTTATCTTGGAGTAATTATATAACCTTTTACTTGACCATCTGCTAAAATACATATTATTTATTTAGTACCATCTTATCTTAAATCGTCTCTAATAATTTTTGAAATGGGTCCTCCAAGTTGTAACTTGTGTAAAGTCTCACCAGTACCATCGTGCCTAATTTCTATTTGGCCATTAGATCTTCCTACAACCAAAGGACGATATCCTTTTTATTAATTAATTAGAATAATTTTTTATCAATAAAGTAAGTGGCATATTTTATAAAATTTATACCTTCTTTCAAATTTCCAAAATCAGATAACTAGACAGCTATTGGTTTTAAAGAACTTTTTGCACGCCACTTTCTTGTTTTTTTAGCATATATTCCTACCATACCGTTTTCCAAACCAAAAGCAAAACGAGTTTTATTCATTCTTGAAATGATTATTGGCTTTGCAGCCTCTTAAAATTCAAATAAGATTTCTTCTCCTTTAAATACTCTAATTTAATTATCTGCAGAACCTACTATTAACTCTAATTTTCCATCACCATCAACATCTGAAAATCCGATTGAAGTTACAACATCACTTGCTACATTCCAATATCCTTCTTCGCCATCTTCAGTGAAACCTAAAATACTGCAATTACCTCCTATCATCGCCAACGATTTTTCATTACTAAATTATAAATGACAAATAAATCAAATACCATATTAAAAAAAAACTATTTTATTGCTTATTGCTTTTGTTTTTGATTTAATTTTATAAAACTTATTTATTTTATTTACCCTGACATTTCGGAAGTAAATGCGACAACATTAATACCATCTTCAATATCTTTGTAGAATCTTTCGCTATTTTATATAACATCATAAGCTATTAAAGTATTTTAAGAACCAAGCAATAATTCTTCCTTTTCATTTTCACCATGGAATCTAGAACTAACTATCGATTTGATATTCTTATTCAAATTTAAAAACTAAACTTGCTAATCTTTATTATCATCTGAAACACCTTATGGCGTATACAAAAACACTTTTCCACCTACTGAAACGCATGCCAATGTAGGAGTAACACCATCCAACCTGACTATTGTTGCTAACTATTCTTAGACAGGATTTTACAAATTGAAGCTAAAAGCCTATGTAAACATTTTTGATATTTGCTATAGTTTTTAAAAGTAAAATTTAAGATATAATTCCAAATATCTTTCTCTTTTAAATTATAAACAATTTATTTATAAACAATAAGTAATATTTTTTCAAATTTTGCAACATTACCAAATAAATAAATTTAGAGTAGAGTTCATGGACACTTCAACATTTATCAGTTATTAGCTTATAATTGATTTTTTAAGTTATTTGAGTTTAATTATTGGGTTTTTAATTAAAATATTTTAGCTTATTTAAAAAAGTTAAATCTTCATAGAAATACCATAAAATAACTAATATTTTTGGATTATTTTATTAACTCAAAAATAGAACTTATCAAAATTATTAAATTTTTAATATAGAATAATTATGGATTTAGCTTGTTTGAAAGGATTTGTTGATGCGAAATCTTTTTGCAATTGTAAGTAGCATGAAGTTAGAATAAGATATATTTGTTTGGAGCCTAACTGCGAGCAAAGGCTTTCGACTATTTGTTCTATTTGCTTAAAATATGAGCATAAAGGTCATTAAAATATAGAAATTACACAATTTTATCATATTTTGATAAACGAAATGGCTGGTGAATCATAGGATTTAAGCTAAAGCAAAGATAAGCTCTTAGAAAAAGATAAAATTATATGCTAAAAAATGAAAGAAATGGATGATTTATTATTTGAGATAGAAATACTCTTTAAAACAGTAAAATAGCTTTACAAAGATACAAAATCTGCTATTGATAATATGAAAGAACTTATAAAAGAAAGCCCTACTCCATCTCAGCAAGTATATCAATAAATAGAGTAATCTTTGATAGGAAAGCATTGGAAAGAAAGCACATAAAAAGGAATAAATTTTAGAATAAAAAACATTTTTGATAACATTCAAGAATACGACGGAGAATTTCAGATAGACTCTAACTCTCCAAAATTATAACATATAGCAAACTAAATTACATATTTTTTATAGTTTTATGACTAAAAGCTTAAAGCTTGTCATTTGCAGCTTGAACAATGTTTTGAATTAGCCAATATAAAATTTAAAAATACTTCGTGTTTCGAAGACTAACTAGCTTTTGCAAATATATATACTGAATAAAACCTAATCACCCTACCATAAAACTCAACTAAAATCTGGGTGCACTATATTGAGTATGATGACATATAATATACTATTTATAAAATTAATTTATATATCAATTATATACATAAAAGGAAGCAGACAGAAGAATACTTAAAAAATTTAACTTGCCCTTAAATAATTTACTTTGATATTCCTGGGTATTACTAATTAATACAAAAGCAAATAAATGAGTTAAATAAAAGATATTTATTTTAGTAAAATAGGGTAAAATAAACACAGCTTAAACTGCATTCAAAATGTAACTTAAAAACATGGCTAAAATTTACAGTCTCTTTTATTGAATTTCAATAGGTATTTTATTGTTTCTCTAGAATAAATTTAATTATGCTTTTAATAAATGATTTAAAAGCTGGCAAAACATTACAATTAATAGCTTTCAATAGATTGATAATATTTTAACTCCATGCTAAAACTTAAAAGTGTTACAGCTAAATCTCTTTAAGTAAAATTAATTTTCATTATATGAAAAAGGTTCAAAATTTAAAATATTTTTTGTTTTAGATGGAATATTAATAACATAGAGGAAGTTGCTGAAAATTAGGATAGATTTGAAATTATTTTGAATTCAATTGTCAAACTTAGATAGCTGGAAGCCCTGACTCTATTTTTAGGAAAGTAAATAAATAAATACACACAAACAAAGCCTTAAAGAAATTATTTGTATTTTGAATAATAAATAGGTGGAATAATATAAAAAACTAAAATATAATTTAACTATCTGACTCAATAACATAATTTTAAAATCTTGAATCAATTGATCTTTAGTTTCCTGAGTAATAAATATCACTAAGACTACCATGTTATATAAAAAATTTTAATTAATAGATGCAATGAACACAGTGTGAATGACGAAGCTTTGAAGCTCTTTGCATCTAAATTGAAGCTATAACCAAACCTTAAAAATATAAATCTTAACTTAAATTGGTAAGTTTCATTCACATTTGTTAAGACTAATAAATAAACAAAATTATTTTATAGCTGGTATAGAGAAGGAAGTTAGTTAACAGAACAAAGTTTAAATTATTTCTTATCCATATTAATGGTCAGATCGTTCAATTAATTTTAATTAAGTGTTAGAGGGTAAAACAAAAATTAATCACAAATTTAATTTATCATAATTTTTTAATAACAAAGTTCTACCGGAGTTGGATAGCCTTACTTACAAAGATTGTCTTATGAAATCAAGAAAATAAAATTTGCATCTCTCGTTTTCTGAGAAAAATATAAATTTCTGCTATTTAATTAGTTGTATTTTTATGAGCATTAAAAATCATTAATTGTAATTTAACTTTGAGTAAATATGTAAATAGATAGTCTAATTTATATATTTTTTTAGAATAATAATATTTTACTTAGTTAATTTGTTAGATAATGATTTAACTTCCAGTTGTTATGGGAAGCTATCACTGAAAATAAAGAATCTGGTTCTTATCCTTCTGCTCTTCAATTAGCTTCTGTTAAATTATTTATCTATTAATTATAAAAATAATTTCAAATATTAATAATATCTTTTTAATTGTTTATTAAAATTTTGTTATATTTTTAAATTTAAAAACAAACAAACAAACAAATAAATAAAGTTATTAAATATAAAAATAATAAATACATTTTTTATTTTAATTCATTTTTTTAAAAATAAAACTATTGACTAAAAATATGCAATGTCTATACTAAAATTTTATAATTATTTTATTTTAGAAGTTTTTTAACTCATTTATTTATCTATTTATTATAAATAGACCTTAAATTAATGTTTATTAATTTACTTAAAATCCAAAAATAATAAATAGTATTTCTCAAAATTTATTTATTTTGATAATTTTTGCTCCTTCTTCAAAAATCATCCTTATCAAGGAGTAGCTAAGGTAATTTTATATTTATTTTATTATAATTTTTCTTATTTTCTTTCAAATTAAATATTAATTATTCTATTCTTAACTTTCAAAACTCTTATAATAAGTTGTACTATAAAATAAAAAGATAGTTTAAAAAATTTTAACAGTCTCTCTCATTTTAGCTTTCATTTTAGAAATCTACAGAAAATAACTAAAATACCTAACTAACTAACTAACTAAATAAATAAATAAATAATTATTTTTCTCTTCATGTTATATTCAAATTTAACAATAAATACTATTTAGTTATTTATTTTAATAAACTAAACTAACTAAACTTAATTTAGATTTCAATTTCATTATAAAAAAATGATTTAAATCTTAAATACTAAATATATATATGAATGGATGGATATATTTTATTTCAAACTAATCATTTTTTAATTATATTTACATATATATCCTTTTTTTCAAAAGAGATTATCATTATTCTTATTAAATGTGGTAAGTACATTCACCAGGAGTGTAGAAAAATGAACCACTTGCACAAGCTTAGCAACCGTTACTGAATGTTTCAACACAATTACCACCTTAGCATAACATAAAACCGTTTTGGATCATACCACAAACAGGGGAGAAAATCATGGGGCACATTTTGTTGTTGACGGAGTTGGGATGACAGAAAATACCGTTTTCAGGATAAGCTTCACAAGCACCTTAAGCAACGAAAACGACACTTGAGTCTTTGCAAGCATTGCAGTGACTAGAGAAAGTAGCTCTAATGGGTTTGCCACCTTGTAAGTTGGGTTGCTTGATACCACAAACAGGTTCAAAAATATCAGTGCATAATTTGTTGGCTGATCTATCGTTTTCTTCACAGAGGAAAGTTTAGGCAGAAGAAATAGCTAAAATAGCAGCGAGGACGATCACAAATTTGTTCATTTTTATTATTTTTATTTATTAATTTAGTTAAGTTATTTTTTTATTTTTTGATTAAAATTATTAATTATTAGTTTAATTGGAGGGATTTTTAAACTAAGGAAGAACCTTTAGTTAATTGAAACGGAGATAAATAAATTATTTATAGAATTTAAGTTTTTGATCAGGATAAATACTAAGCCAAAGTTAAATTAACAAATTAATAATTAAATTACCAAAAGTGTTTAGTTATAGTAAATTCATCGATTAGAAACTTATAAAAATAATGTTTGTTTAATCAACTGATTAGATGATTTTATTTAAAAATTTTCAGGTTTTTTTAACTAGCTAGTTATTGAATCATGAAAATAAATTAAAATATGAGTAAATATAAAACTATTAAATTAATATTTAGAGATAGATAAATTTATGAATTCTAAGATAAAATTAATAGAAAAAGACTTAAAGATAGATAAAATATAATAAATACTCTATTTTTTTAATTTAAACATAGTTAATTTTAAATTAAAATATTGAGCCAGTACAAGGGCATATTTACTCCAACAATATTTATTTATTTTTTTCAATATTACAAAAGAAGAAAATTGAATAATTTTAAATTGACAAAATAAAAACAAAAAGTAAAGTTTTTATATTTAAAAAGCTTATTTATTTGATGTTAAATAAACAAATATAAAATTAAAATGAATGTTTTTAATGCCTTTTAAATTAATCAATATATCTACATGTATTAAACTCTAACAAACATTTTTAGATAAATATTATTTATTCATTTATACTATTTTTATATTTCTTTTAAATAATTTTATACTTAATTAACATTAATTTTTGTAGGCCCAACCTTTTAAAAGTAAAAAATATTAAATAAATAATTAAAAAATAATCTGGAGTAGAAATTATTGAAGAATTTTTTTATTAATTAAAAAAATAAAAATATATCTTAGCATAAAATAATCAATAAATGGGTGTTAATATATATGGATTCTAATATATAAGAATCTACAGTATATAATTATATAAATATAGTACTGTTCTATTTATTAATCTATCTATCTTTTATTCTTGTTATTTTTTGTGGTTTACTTATTGATTTATTTAAAAAATTAAAACCTTTCTTTCTTTTTCTAATTACTTACAATTTTTAATGTGTTAAATTGAAATTATTAAACTTTTTTTTTGTTATACGAAGCAAAAAAAATGAAATTTAGGATTAATTAAATATGTCAAAGTGTTTATTTTTTCATTTAAATATTTTATTTGAAAGAATTAATAAACTTTATTGATTCATGATGTAAAAATATGAAACAAAATATAAATTATATATGAGTATAAATAATATAAAGTTTAAATTGTTATTTTATTTATCTAAGATTGTATATATTTGTTTTTAGTATGATATATATAAAGATTTCGATTTGTTGTAAAAGGTATTATAAAAATTTAATATAAAAACTTTACTTACAGATTTATTTTATCAAATTATAATTATTGAATTTTTTTCATTTGTAATATTAAAACAAAAATTGTAATTGTTGCATGAAGTATGTTATTGTCCTCAATTAATTTTATTAACTATCGTAAAAATAAAAGTATCAGAGTTTTAAAATAGATAAGTCTATTACTATTTATTTTAAATTAGAATTCATAAATTTATCTCTTAATATTAATTTTGTTATATTTAATAATTTTTTTCTTTACTCATATTTAAATTCATTCTATTGATTCCCAGTTTTATTACACATATGATGCATTAATTTATTAAATTCATGCTTTTTTTTTACTGAAAAGAATCTAATTTATATAGAGTTAGATTAATTTTATAGAATAGAAAAAATATGAGCAATTTATTCAAATCTTAATTTACTGAATTTAGATGTGTTTTACTTTAATATTTTTGAAAGATTGACGAATAAAAATAAGAATTAATGTCCATTTCATTTAAAAAAAGAAAATTTAGTTTAGATATTAAGATAAAAGAGTAATATTTTAATAATTTAAATATATTTAAAGATTTAGATAGATAAATAGATACACATTTAATTAATTAATTTTATGTAAATTTTTGTTTGTGTTTTTGTTAGTAATTTAATCTAAGATTTATTTAGATAAGAAAAGATATGTTTGTTAAGATGATATTTTTTTAATAAAGTATTGAGTTTTGATAATAAATTTGTAAATACTATATATAATTACATATTTATAGTAATCATAAATATATTAATTAATTATCAAACATATAAACTTTTTTACTTTTCATACTACACTTTTTCTTTTATTTACTCATAATAGATTTCCAAAAGTTAGAAAAGAAGGACAATATTTTTTACAATTGAATTTTTAATTAAATTTGTACCCAAAACTTTCCAAATAGATATAATAAGTCATTATTGTAAGAGAGGGTATTTATTGCAAAGATTAAATGAAGTAGTCTTTAAAATTTTTAGATTATTGCTGTAGAATATTTATTTGTATTGCTGGCAAGTAACTTCCTATATAGATTAAAAATATTGAATAAAAGTTTAATCGCAAGTGAAAGAAAAATTGAATTTTTTTTAATTTAAGTAAAATAAAATTGACAAATGATAATACTTAATAATAAAGGATGTAATTATCTTATATGATTTCATTATAATTTTTGCTTATTATTTTAGTTCTAATTCATGATACGCGCTAATTTATTTATTTATTTTCTAAACCAAAACTATTTTCAAAGAAAAAAAAAATTATAGCAACAAAAAAACATTTTATTAAAAAAGTAATGCATGAATGTCTTATCTGCATTCAATAGTTAGCTAAAAAAAACCAGAATTAATTTAAAATAAAATTATCTTAGGCTTGTTTATTTGATTTGAATAAGCTGATTGATTCAAAGGTGGTTTTTATAAATTTCTATTAGATAAATTTATTCTATAACTAAGCACTTTTGGTAATTTAATTATTTATTTATTTAACTTTAGCTTAGTATTTATCTTGATTAAGTATTAAGATTTCATCAATAATTTATTTCTCTTTGTTTTCACTAAAGGTGCTTGCTTAGTTTAAAAATCCCTCCAATTTAAAGTAATAATTAATATTTTTAATCAAAAAAATAAAAAAATAACTCAACCAAATTAACAAATTAAAATAAATGAACAAATTTATTATCGTTCTCGCTGCTATTTTAGCTATTTCTTCTGCCTAAACTTTCCTCTGTGAAGAAAAGGATAGATCTGCCAACAAATTATGCACTGACATTTATGAACCTGTTTGTGCAATCAAGCAATCCAACTTACAAGGTGGCAAACCCCTTAGAACTACTTTCTCTAGTCACTGCAATGCTTGCAAAGACTCAAGTGTCCTTTTCGTTGCTGAGGGTCCTTGTGAAGCCTATCCTGAAAACGGTACTTTCTGCCATCCCAACTCTGTCAACAACAAAATGTGCCCCATGATTTACTCCCCTGTTTGTGGTATCGTCCATAATCTCTTTATGTTATGCCAAGGTGGTCCTTGTGTTCAAACTTTCGGCAATGGTTGCTAAGCTTGCACAGGTGGTTCATTCTTCTACACTCCTGGTAAATGTCTTAGCAAATTCGATTAAGATTAATGATCATCTCTTTAACAAAATAAAATAAAATATATACAATATAATATAATATAATTTAAAGCTGTTTAATCGTATTTTAAATGAAAATATCCATTCATATATTTAATTAGTATTTTATCTTTAAAGCAGTTTTTAAAAATCAAATTGAAATCTAAATTTGGTTCATATTAATTACTAAAATAAATAGTATTGTTAAATTTGAATAAAACATATAGAGACAAATAATTGTTTAGTGAGTTAGTTTTTAGTAAGTTAGTGTTGTTTAATAATTTGGAAATTTGAATAAATTATTTAGAGTGTATTAATATGTATCAGTTTATGGTTTGCTTTGCTTTGATCTCATTCGTATAAATCGAATAAGACTTGTGAAGGGTTATTCATTACGAGATATTTTAATTATTTTTAAAATGCATAGATTTATAGCATCGAATTCTTCAAGACTTTAGCTGAAGTTTCGTGCATCTGTTGTTGCTTTTCTTGTAAAGCTTAATAAAATGTATTGTCAAAGAGAATACCTTTTGAGTATCTTTCTTATATTATTTTGTTGCAGTTTTCTTTGTTGAATTATATGTTAAACATTGATATGTCAGGCAGGTATTAGCTGCTGGAAAGGAGAGATAGCTAGAGCTATTCATTAAATTTGAAATTTTTATTTATGAGAGTGACTTAATTTCCATTTTCAGTCTTTAGGAAGGATTGAATCAGAATAGAACCATTTCTTTTTATCAAGATTTCGAAGATCTTGGAGAAGAAATAGAATTTTTCAACTTCGGTTATTGGGTCTTTTTCATAGTCTTCCTAGAACATTATGGAAGAATCTATTTCGAAGTAGTCATAGAATAGGCTTAAGCTTTTGAGAAGGATGAAGTGAGAGGATTTTGTATCTTAAAGTATGATATCAATTGACTATGTGATGCTTTTATTTTTATGGCTAATATTGATTCTGATTAATTTGTGAATTAGTATGATTTTTTTTAAACTAATCAGAAAATTAAATAGTACTAAAATCTAAATTAATAAGTAGTAGGCATAAGAGCTTTCTTTTAAATTAAAAACCTTATCTTACTACTTTTGCATCAAAATATTGCAAGTACTTATAAGTAAAAAGATTATTAATATTGAATGGAGGCGGATGGTGTGAAATTTTTTAATAAAAACCTCATAATACTGCATAGATTTCAAGTTTTTAAGGGAAATTTCAAAACTGCAGAGAGCATAGACAGTAGATTTGAACTACTTGGTCTTATTGAATTCAAGAATCAGACTAAGAAAATAGATAATTACACACCACAAGCTAACATTTTAGTATAAATAACTGCTTTTTGGCTGAGTTAAAATCACTGCCCACATATTGTATAAGCAAAAAGTGTTAAATAGATCCTTAGAATTCTCTAGTAAGATCTTTCTGTTGCTGAAATCAGCATTACCATTTTATATCTAAACAAACTCTTCAGAATTCACAAAGAGAGCCTTTACAGTCATAAATAAATTTAAAATATTCAGCTAAAGATAAGCTAAAAAGATTCCTGTTTGGTTTCCATCGATCCCACAAAAGACTGACCCTTGCAAATACATGTAAACAAGCTAAATAACTAAGGCAGGGATAACTTTTATATAGATAGCATAAGTTAACATGCTTTAATGCTCAGGAAAGTATAGTTGTGAGTACTTAATTAGAAAGGTTAGATTAAGAGCATCTAAAATCCATGTCTGCAAGTATGAATACTTAATAATTACTATTACTACAGACAATATCTTATCAATAAGCATAACAACCATCACTAGATTGAAAAAAAACTGGCTTTGCGTTGAATAAGATAGAGCTGCAAAATATATGCCCAATGCATTTGATATGTTTATTAATAATGACACTAAAGTCATTCTATTTGCTCTGCGTTAATCTGCTATGTCCATTTACTTATTTATTTAGATAGCTTGCTTTACTTTGCTTTTAGAAAATTTAGATTAATTAAATTAAATTTGTTGAATAATAATTACCAGATTTTCAATATCAGAATTTAATTTAACCTTGAAAGTAGAAGAAGAGCTGCGTCTCTTTTTTATTTGTGTAATTGACCAGTATCTGAGAAAACTGAAAAGGATTAATTGATTAACCAAACAAGTAAAACAAACAAAAAAATAATTGTGATTTAACGCAATCTAAAAGTTTATAGAAACCACAAGAAAAGTTTAATAAGTTTCAATAGGATAATATTTTTGCTTTGATGTATTTAAAAAAAAGAAAAAACCTAACTTAATCAAATAAGATATTGAAAGTAAACCAAATTTTTTTAAATTACACTTTCATCTTAATGATTATCTGAAATTAATTGATCGATAAAAAAAAAGCTAACCTTAGTTATACCATTCAGTGCTTTTTAATCATATTCTAATTAATTTAAATGTAAGATTTCTCTAAAGATTTAAAAAGTTTAAATTATTCTTTCTACACTTGAATTTTATTTTTCTATATATTTTTAAAATTTAGGAGTCTTACATTTTTATTTTTTAAAGATTCACGTTAATGTCTTTTAAAAATTTCATGCTGAATTGAACATAACTTAAAACACTTAGATTTAAAACGCATTTCTTCATTTAAATTTGCAAATACTGTAACATATTCTCTAAAGCTAGCTAAATTATTTTATTTTATAAGAACCTAAAGACGTTTGTTTATAGAAATAGTATAAAAAACAATTACATGAATTATCATTTTACATTAATGGATTTTATAATATGAAGAATAAGAAAGATTCATTATTAATTTTGTTAAAAACTAATAATAATATTCATAGTTTTTAGTAAAAGTAAAAAAATTAGAGTTTATATTAATCCTACAAAGAATACAAAAAAGATATTAATATAAACGTAATTATATCTAATTTACAATGCTTATTATTTTTCTTACTTGAAGTGTTAAAAAATTCAAAAATTTAACGCAAAGTAATAAATTTTTTTTGTGTGCGTTATTAGCATCTAATTAACTAACTAGCTAACTAAGAAAAATATCTAAGAGTTTGTCAGAAAGAAGAAAAAAGTCTTTAATATTCATAATTTAAAAATATTTAACAAACAAAAAATTAAATTTTTTTATAACTAAAAAACTTTAAAAAAAACAATTTATTTTATTAAAATATTAAAATCAAACAATTTAAATAATGAATAAATATCAAAAAAATATATTTAAATTTAATAATAATACTGGTTATTTATTTATTTATTATTAATTTTTTCAGTTTTTAAATAGATTTTGTTTAAAAAAAAGATCAAATCACATCTTCTAATTTGAGTAATCACATGCTTTTTTTGTGTCCTTCATTAACATTTTGATAAAATACTCTTGACTATTCTGCAAAAATTGGAAGGAAGAGCTTTTAAGGTATAAAATTATATACAAAAAAGCTTTAGAGGGAATGAGAGATATGACCGTTTGAGTATGAAGCAACTCCAAGCCATTTTAAAGCCCCTTCTGCTGCTTAGATAGGATTGATAGCTCCGATTTTAGATAATTTATTATTTTGTTTACTTCCTTTGTTAATCAAAGGAGTGTCGACAACTAAACTTCTTAAGGAAAGAACATCTATTTGCTTTTTAGAGTATTCCTAACTTAATGAACGACTCAAGAAATCATCGAATGCCTTAGTTGCACTATAAAATGAACCAAAACCCTAAGGAAGAGTTCCACAAAAAGAGCTTAAGTTAATTATTCCTAAGCGATTTTTTTAAGTATTTTTATTATAATTTCTAACAACTATCTATGTAAGGTAGATTATTGATCTAATATTCAAGTTGATCAAGGACTCATTATACTCATCAGCCATTTCTTCAAAATTTCCTCCTTCACCTGTACCAACATTGTTTATTAATAAAGATATTTGGTATTGTTTTAGTTATTGTTCTACCATTTTGTAGTCAGGTTTTTCGAAATCCATAATAATATTTCTAACTCTAATGTTTGGGTTGATTTTAGTAAGCTCGCTCTCTACATTCTATAGCTTAGTGGGATTTCTAGATATTTATAAAATGTTAAATCCTTCTTTTGCCAAAACTTAAGCATATCCCTTTCCTATACCATCAGTGCTGCCTGTGATTACAGCATAGTTTCCTTTTACAGTATCATCATTCTTATATTTTTAAAGGACTGTTGAAAGGTTTCTAAAATGAACATAAATTATCCTAAAAAACTAAAATAGTATCTAAAGAACCCAAATTGCTCCTAATATACTTAATATTAAATAGCCAGTTTTCAAAATGTTGTTCATTTTGCTATGAATAAAAAACCAAGCAAGTAATTTTAATTATTTTATAAAAACAAATTATCAATAATAGAGAAGATGTTTATCAAATGATATAATAACAAACAAAATCTTTAAATCCTTTTAAGTATTTACTTAATTATTTGTAAATTTTCCACAAACCTTGATAAAAGAAATAACACGAAACTAATCGTTCAACTTACTAATACAAATATCTTCTTACATACCTATAAATTTCAAATATAAAGATGTTTGATATAGTAACTCCAAAAATTTAATTCTAAATTTATCAGTTTTAAGAAAATAACTAAAATCTTCCAATTAAAATATTAATATTCAGTTTGGTAAATTAAAATATTTTTAAAAATACAAATAATTTCTGAAAAATATCTCAATTATTAATAATTACTTATTTATTTTGCTGTATCAGAAATTTTCTGTTGAAAGTTGTAATGCTCAAAAGTGAAAATCGTTTTTCAAACAATATTGAAAACTCCTCCAAATAATAAAGATATTTTCAAATATTTTTAGATTAAAAAAAGACTTTTCTTGATGGCCTTCTTTACTAAAAGCATTTAATTTTAATTAGATTCAATAAATTTTATAAAAAATAAACAAAAAAATTGATTTTTATTAAATATAAAAAATATTTTATTGAACAAAAAAAATACTTACTATTATATTTGTTAATAATAAATATTCAAGAAATTAATTTTATTCAAAATATTTAGAATTAATTAAAGTAAACTAAAATATCATAACATAAAATTTAAAAAAATAAGACATAAAAATTATCGATTAATAATATAATATTAAATAGAGCAAGAAATAATTAAATTTATTTTATTTTATTCAATACTTGTATTTTAGAATTTATTAAATATAAAAAATATTTTATTGAACAAAAAAAATAATTACTTTCTTATTTGTTAATAATAAATATTTAAAGAAATTAAATTTATTCAAAATATTTAGAATTAATTAATGCTAAGTAATCTAAAATATCATAACATAAAATTAAAAAAAATAAGACATAAAAATTATCGATTAATAATATAATATTAAATAGAGCAAGAAATAATTGAATTTATTTTATTTTATTCAATACTTGTATTTTAGAATTTATTAAATATAAAAAATATTTTATTGAACAAAAAAAATAATTATTATTTTATTTGTTAATAATAAATATTCAAAGAAATTAATTTTATTCAAAATATTTAGAATTAATTTATGCTAAGTAAACTAAAATATCATAACATAAAATTAAAAAAAATAAGACATAAAAATTATCGATTAATAATATAATATTAAATAGAACAAGAAATAATTAAATTTATTTTATTTTATTCAATACTTGTATATTAGAATTTATTAAATTTAAAAAATATTTTATTGAACAAAAAAAAATAACTTTTTTATTTGTTAATAATAAATATTCAAGTAATTAAATTTATTAAGAATATTTAGAATTAATTAATGTAAAGTAAACTAAGATATCGTAACATAAAATTAAAAAAAATAAGACATAAAAATTATTGATTAATAATATACAATTAAATAGAGCAAGAAATAATTAAATTTATTTTATGCTTTTTTTATACCTTCAAATTATTAAATAAAAAACGAATGTTATTCCTTTTAAATATTTTAATTCCAAAATAAAAATAAGAAATATGTTATGAAATATAAAATTTATATTAACCATAAGTAATTTATTTAAATAGTAATATTATGAGATTTTTAATTTCATAAAGACTATTAATTTATTGGGTTGTTAATGATTTATTCTTTGATAGCCAAATATGCCTCTTCGATTCTTTGGCATTCAAAAACCTTATCAATAAGTAATTTTTCATTTTTAATATCATAAATCTAGAAGTTATATTTATTCTAATTAATTGGTAAGAACTACTCTGGATGTGGTAATTTAATAATTTGAATATCTTCCCAATCATATCCCTTTTATTTTAAAACTTTAATTAAAGAATATTTAGGATACTAATCTGCTATTTGGCAAATATCTTTTATAATTAATTATATGTGTTAATTTTAATTAAAGAAATCTGATGTTTTTTCAAAATCTTATTGTAAGTCTATATATATAGCTCCTACCAAAGAGTCAAAGAGTTAAGATAAAATACTTATATCCTTATTATAGTTAGTTGCAATATTTCTGAAACTCTAAATGTTTTACTATCTCAAAAAATTAGCTGCATGATTTATTTTTTAAAATATTTATTAATATTGAATCCCATAAATGAAGTATTAATCTAATTTAAATTTTGCAGACAAGAAAGACTTTGTTTATTCACAACATATTATTTCCATGAAAATATCTAATTCATCTAAATTTATTTATTTATATAAAAAATCAGAATCACTCATTGGATATAAAAACAATTTTCTGAATTCATCTCAAAATAATAAATTTTTAAAATAGAAATCTAATCAATCAAAGAAATGAAATAGATAAATAAATACTTGGATTGGATTGACTGTATCTCGTGTAAAGTCGCTTTAAGACTATTTGAGAGAATATTATAGATCCTAAAAATGAAAGTACATCATTTGAAACATCATTTAGCTGTATAAAAGATTATCTTTTTTCTGTTTTTTATATTTCGGTGATGAAGTCATTCAAAGATTTTTCTAGAGTTCCAAAGATCTTATTAAGATCTGAACAAACCATATCTTATTTATATGAAGAATGAGTAAATACCTATTAGAGAAGACCTATGTTATTAAATTTGTAATTGATAGAATTCTAGCTAAATTAATTTAATAAATTTTATTTATCAGGTTTATACTAAATCTATTCTGGTTAGATATTTACGAATTTGGTTAAAACACTATACTTTTCAATCAAGTTAAATGATTTAAGAAGAGGTTAAAATAATGAGCTATATTTTTCAAAGTTTTTGAAAATGTTTTGGTTTTGATTTATGGTAATTCCTATTATATAATAAATTATTTCTGTAAATTATTTGTTTCTAATTTCTGCCATGTTATAATTTAATGGATTTTATTAATGATTTTTGATAAGAATTTTTTCTTGTAATGTTAACTGATCAGCAACAAACGTATGTAATTTCTATGAAATTATACTCAAGCAAGGAGCCAAAGTTACATAGTCTTTGATCAGCAAGTACTTAAAAAACTTAGACTCTACTGCTTTAGACATAACAAAGCAATCATTAAATCTCATATCTAGTTCACTTATTAAAATATCATAGTGTGTTTTAAAGTTTTCATTGAAAACATTAATGCTGGTTATAAATCTGAAATATTACTTTCCTAAAAACACAAGGTTTTTCTCTAATTATTTTTTCTAAAAAATTTAGATTAAATCTCTTTCTGTTAAGGTTAACAGATTCTCAAATTAAAGAGGATAAATTTCTTTCTAATCTTGTTTAATATTTGATTTAGAGAGCGAACCAGTAAGCTTAAAATTTGGCTTGATAAAAACATTTAATTGTTCTATTTGCATATTCTAAAAATCAATTATTTCTTAGTTAAGTTTTTTTGATATTTTTTCAGAAATAATTTTAAGTTTAAGAAAATCTCTAATTTAATCAATGTGGTTATTTATTTATTTAATTTCTTTGATCTAATTTTAATTCAGATCACTCATTATGTAAAGAAAAACCACATTTTCATTAATTAGCACACTTTCTTCTGTGTTTTTATAATCTAAGATTTATGTTTTTTTATAAATTAAACATTTGCTAGTGTAAATTTTTTTAGGCTCAAGATTCATTTTATCAAGATTTAATAACTTTAAATGAGCTTATTGGTTAATTTTTCTAATTTCGTTTAATTCTTCATTGCTTAAATTCTTTTAAAAAAATATTTAGTAAAAATATTCAATTAATTTTAATTAATTTTACAATTTAGTTATGGAAGATAAATTTAATATCTTAATGGATAAAGCCTTCTAAACACTGCTTGTCATAAATAAGTTTAACTTAAAGTAATTCACCCTTGTATTATATATCATAGAGATAAAAGGGATGAAATTCTCTTTATTAGATTTATTCTTTTTAAACAAAAACTTCATCTACAATTTAACGATAAAGTTTTTTGTAGACAACAATTTATCTCTTTTTTCCATTTAAATATCCTACAAATACTTCCTGCATGTTCTTTTATATAATAGCAAAATATCTATCAGAGTATTCAACATAGTAATCATCTTCACCTCTTCCAAAATAGAAATTTTTGTAAGATTTATGTCTCGGTCTTAGCTCATTTGAGATATATTCTTTTTTAATAAAATAAAAATCGTTTGATAATAAAACTTAACAATAAATTACTGTTTTTTAATAGGCTCTTGACTGCCTGCATAAAAGCACATCTTTAAGCATCTTCTTTTTTAAATTTTAGCTTCTGGAGATTCATAAAAATATTTGCTTAGAGTTGAAAAGGTAAAATGATAAGAGACAAATACTAACCTCTTTCATTACTGCATTCATTGATTCATTCATACATACATTATAATAATAATTGTTTAAATGAATTTAAATGTTTAAAAAAATATTTACATTAAACAGTCGAAAACTATTGGGAATCTATTGTCCAACTAACTATTGTAGCAAAACGATTGACAAAATTAGTTGACAATTTCTTTAACCCAAAATGTATTCACATTTGCGTTAGTTTCTGGAATAATGAAATTTTCATAATTTTCCATCGACGTATCATCCTCATCGTTAACTTAATCTAAATTTATAACAAAATTTAATATTTTTAATTAAATAATAATTTTTCAATAAAAATTAATTACGCTTTTCTTTTTCTTAACTAAATTACTTTTAGGTCAATAAGGATAAGCTATAGTATTCTTATTTTATTTAATCACTCACTATTTAATGGTTTTATAATTTTATCTTATTCTAATTGATGTTTTTATAAAATAATTAAGTAAGTAAGTAAGTAAGTAAGTAAGTAAGTAAGTAAGTAAGTAAGTAAGTAAGTAAGTAAGTAAGAATGAATATTAAAAGTAAATATTACATTATTGTAAACAGCAACTAAGGCATAAAATTTGCTATTTTCTGCTCTAGCTCTACCTTTCATTTGTATATATTATCTTTGACTAATTATTTTGCTAAAAGCTATGACGATATTACATGAAGGAATATCGAAACCTTCTTCAACAACACTAGTGCTTACTAAAATTTTGAATTATTTGTTTCTGAATCTCTCAACAATCTTTTATTGTTCAGAGTATTTTTATTTTAGCGCATAAAATTTGATACTAAATTATTTTTCTTGTTGTATAATGTTCTAAGCTTATTATACACTTTACGATTTTAAGTTTTAGATTTCATACGGATTTATGCTATTTATTATTTTTAAATTATTATCATCTTCTTCATCTTTTTTATTTTGGCTTGCTGTTTATGATAAAATAAGTAATATATCAAATATACATACAAAGAAAATAAATATTTATTTACTTTATCCCATTATATATTCGCAACATTTTTAGTCTGAATTACTATTTTAGAATACACTTTAAATGAACTTCGTGACATATTTGACAACAACTTTGCTATTACAAAATATCAAAGAAATACCTTCACTTTTTGAAAGAATTGATAGCAAAACTTATGATTTATTGCTAAGATCATTATTAATATTGTTGTATTTTGCTCTAAATATTTCATAAAATTATTGTAAGATATCCTCCAGCTATTGTTTCATACAGAGAGTTTTTGGTGCAGTTATGTTAACACCTTTGAGTTCTTACAAGATATCGAAGATAAAAAATTGCACAACATAAACACCTAATAAAATAATAATAAATATTAAAAAATAAAACATTTGAATATAAAATTAATTACCTATTTGATAAATTAAAATAATGATATATTCTTCTAAGAGATTAATTATTTTCCTAAGTATTTGAGTAAAGGCTTTAGAAGCAAGATTATCTAATCTGCTAAGCGCTTATAACTATTTATATAGCTCCTTTAATTCAGGATATTACTCTTATAGCTCATATAAAACTTTATCAGCCTGATCAAAGCCTTTAATGTTGTTAGATTCAATGTATTGATAATCATTCTCATTCATATTAACTTCATAAAACTTCTCAGTTTATTTAATGTTTCTTAACTGTGCATAGACTTTCTGTAAATCATAATTAATAAATTAGCAATCTAAATTATGAGCTAATTTTAGCATTTCTCTTCTCACATTAAAATTTCCTTTATTTCCTTGTGTAATAGGAGTAGCAGACAATCCAATAATATTTGGTGTATTTTTTAAGACAATATCATTTTTCTTTACTCTATCATTATGATTATAAAATAAATAAAATTTTGTATGCTGATGTATAAAATAAATATTACTAAAAGTAAAATTCTTTCATAATTTAAGAAAAAGCATGTTCTTTACTAGTATTGTGGCATTCGTCAAATATGATCAATTTAAACTAAAAAATTATTTATTTAAAATATAGCAAAATATTTAATAATAATTTTACTTAAGTGAGCTGGAAATGACCTCTTCTCAATCCATTCAAAAAAATTTAAGAAGAAAAAAAAATAATCTGTGATTGTTCAACATTTTTTTACCAAAACGATCTATTCCAGAAGTCTAAATTCATTTTACCATGGAAAAAAGAGATGTTAATATTTTAATTTATCTCTTCAGATAAATTTTGTTTGACTAAATATTCTTCTATTGATCTTTGATACGTCAAGAAATTATTATATTGTTATTCCACTAAGTTCACTTGATTTGCTAAAAATGCAACCTAATTAAAATTTTAAATTAATAAGAATAAGTAAAAGTTAAGTGAATTAAAAATATTATGATTGTAAAAGTATTTTTTTCTTATTTTTAGTGTTGAATTTTAATTTTTTTCTGAACATAAATTTATTTTATTTTAAAAATTTAATCTGAAAACAAATTTAATTTAATTTTTTCTTCATAATTCTTTCAAAAAATATCTAAAATTTATATTTTAAAAACTAAATCTGAATAGAAATTCTATTAATTTTGTCTTCATATTAATATGAAAAAATATCTATTTATCAAAAAAAGAGAAGATAGAAAAAAACCAAGAAACACAAAATTGTTTTATATTTTAAAAAAAATCAAATATTAAACAAATTTGGATTAGGTTTGTTTATTCAAGATTTCTTTAATTCTTTAATTTTTCATAGAATTATCTATAAATCCCTCCCTCCTCTTTACATTTTATATATTTATACTTTTTTGTATTTTTATGATTTATTTTGTCTAAAATAAAAATAAATAAATACCTTAGACCCTTTGAACTTTGAAAGAGTGTATTAAGCTATCATTTAGCTTACTAATGTTTTACCTGTTCCTGTTTCTAAAAATATAATGTAATTTCCATAATTTTAAATAAGATTTTTAAATATTTCCTCTTAGTAATCTCTAGGCTCAATTTAGACATATTATTATTTCAGTTACTTTTGTTTTTTCAGAATATTGCAAAAATCTTTTATGTTTTTGCTCTTTTAATAAAGAGCACTATGCTTTTTATTTTCTAAAAATTCAAATTCATCTAAAAATGACGAATTGCTATCAATTTCTACATTGCTTATACTACTTATAGGCTCTCCTAACAATTCTTAATGTTGTTTTAATATCTATATTTAATAAAGAAATTAAATTATTAAATAAATAAAAAATAAATAAATATAAAAATGAGTTTTTTGCTTACATTTTAGTCTTGAGAAGTTTTTTTTTCTTCGTTATCACCCTCGTCTTCTGATGAAAATTGAAGTTATCTATTTTCATCTTCTTAATTTTAAATAATCTAGTTTAAATTATTTTATTAATATTATTTGAGGAATTGCCATCAAGTAAATTAAATTTGTTTACGTTTTAACTATCTAAATCTAAACAGTCAATTTAGTTTGAGATATTTTGAATATTCTTCTAATCTTCTAAAAGTTTCTATCCAAACTATTTTTGGGTAGAGCTAATTGTAAAGTTATCATTTGAGCTTTATTATTATGAAATGTTTTCTTAAGATATTTATAGTTAAATTTAATCACTACCATTTAAATTATTGTTATTATTGTATTGATAGTTGCTTTATTAAATTGGATTATTATTTTGTTATTGGCTTAGTTATTGAGTAATTAATTTTTTTTAGCAATAATTTATCTGATTTTCTTAAAGGTTTAATAATTTATTATCATAATCAATTTTATTTTCAGATTATTTTTTTAGACATTAATTTAATGATATCATTTATTCATTCTGCTATTTAATTTGATTAGATTAATAATGAGTTTTTGTTTCTTGTTAATTAACATTTTCAATAATAGTTTATTAATTTCTTTAAGATTAAACTGAGCTTTCATCTATGCAATTTTGATTATTTTAAAAAAGTTTTTGGTTATCTTTTTAAGACGATATTGAACTATCACTGATATTTTAAGCAATATCTTATTTATCTAGATTTTTTTACTCTAAATTTTAACACTATTAATTCTAAAGGATATTCAATCCATTAGAAGAATCTATTTTTGAAGATTAATCAATTATAACAATGCTTTCTAAATCCTAATCACTTTGGCTAGGTAAAAAATGAGGGAAAGGTAATATTTGCTCAAGATTGCAATTTTGTTTATTTTAAAAATGTTATTGATTACTTATTTAAAACTTTTTTGAGCAATCTTCATTATTCTAATCAATATCCTATTTATCTAGATTTTTTAACTCTAAATTTTAATATTATTAATTCTAAAGTATTTTCAATCCATTAGAGGAATTTATTGTAGATTTTTATGACTAAAAACTACTTTATTAATCCTGCTAATTACTTTACATAGATAATAAAAGAGGTAATATAGGCTATTAGATACCGTTTTGGTTATTTTTTGTAATTTTTTGATTTTCTAATTAAGGTAACATTCTATTTTCTTAAGTATTGCTAGCAACATCATCTTTTATTATCATTTTTTACTCTTAATTTTAATATAATTAATTCTAAGAAATATTTTATTGAGTTATTGGAAATTATTAGTTTTCAATTGATTATTTATTTGATGGTTAAGATAAAATTAAGCTTTCTTCTTCAATATTATCTTTTACTTAATTTTTTTACTCTAAATTTTAATATTATTAATTCTAAATAATATTTTATTGAGTTATTGGAAATTATTACTACGAAATTATATTTTACTAATTTTATAACTCAGTATTTAATGTTTCCAATTATTTAAAGTTTTTATTGTTTTCAATTGGTTATTTATTTGATGGTTAAGATAAAATTAAGCTTTCTTCTTTCTAAGAAATATTCTATTGAGTTATTGGAAATTATTACTATGAAATAATATTTTACTAATTTTATAACTCAGTATTTAATGTTTCCTATTATTTAAAGTTTTTGTTGTTTTCAATTGATTATTTATTTGATGGTTAAGATAAAATTAAGCTTTCTTCTTCAATATTACTTTTTACTTAATTTTTTTACTCTAAGTTTTAATTTTATTAATTCTAAATAATATTTTATTGAGTTATTGGAAATTATTACTACGAAATAATATTTTACTAATTTTATAACTCAGTATTTAATGTTTCCTATTAGTTAAAGCTTTTATTGTTTTCAATTGGTTATTTATTTGATGGTTAAGATAAAATTAAGCTTTCTTCTTCAATATTATCTTTTACTTAATTTTTTTACTCTAAATTTTAATATTATTAATTCTAAATAATATTTTATCCATTAAGGGATGTTAATTTTGATTTTTCCTACAAAAAATCTTATTGATTTTTTTAATTAGATAAAGAAGGCGCCTCAAGTTGATCATTCAATAAATCTGAATTTTAGCTATTTTTGAGCACTTTTTTATTTTAATTTTGAGATGAAACCAAACTTTCTTATTTATCTTCAATAGCTTCACCTTTTTATATTTATTTAGTTTCAACATCTTTCTGTCCAGGATTCAAATTTTTATTAAATCCTTCAGGATTTTGAGCAATTTCTATATTTTTGAGCAATAAGCTATTTTGATTACCAATTTTATTATGAATTGATTATAAAATAGCCAAATCTGATGAATTAAAGGATTATTAAATTTAATCAATGCTGCTATAATCTAAAATTGTTTCATTCTTTTTCAAGAAGCTTTCTACTCTATCTTATTCTTCAAAATTGGATTCAGAGCTACTTTCGTCTTTAAACTGACTGAAATCCATTTTATTTGATATTTATTTTGTCTCTAATTTAATTATTTATCCTATTACTTACTATTTTCCTATTTCTCAAGAAATTAATCAACAAAAATTTTATTAAAAAATATTTATCTTCTATGTATTACTTATAATTTTCCAATTTATTATCCAAAATTTACAGATTAGATAAATAAATAGCTTTGAGTATCATATATTTGAGAAGTTAGAATATAAATCTTCTGAAAAAAGTTTGCTTATTCATTGAAAATAAAAAACTACTTTTTAATATTTATTTCCAAAGAAAGACTAAATTTTTTATTAAAGTATTTTCATTTAAAAAGTTTTTAATAAAAACAATTTATTTTAAAAATTAATTTAAATGCAATTTATAAAAATAAATTTTTTTTAATTCATCACTTAAACAATATTAAAATATATCCAAACAATTTCCTATAATAAATCAGTATTTATTTATTTTTAAGTGAGTTATTTGTTTAGAATTTGCTTAAATACTAACTATTAAAATAAATATTTAAAAATAAATGAATAAAAATATTAGGTTTATCATTTTTGATAGATTATTTGATCAAATAAAAATATTAGAAAGCCGTTTAGTTTTTGTTATGATTTAAATTCAAAATTAAGCTGTCATCTGAATAAAAAGAAGCATTACTTTAAATTTACATATAAAAATGAGATATATTTTGATATTAATTGAAATAAAGATTTTTATAATTAATTTTTTAATTTAAATTTGGTATTTAATAAAAAAATACTTTGCTAATGTTAAGATTTAAATATTGATAGAATATTTATTTATTAAATAATTTCTTAATTTATTTAAAGGAAACTTTTTAAAAAAATATTTTGAAAGTTTATAAAATAAATCAATTAACAAATTAGGAATTCTAAATATTTATTTTAATAATTAAGTTTTAAAAGATTTCAACAAATGGATGTATTTTATTTACTTCAGTGGTTTTTTAATGATTGATTTATTGATTGATTCAAAATGATTATTAGCTCTAATTTATTATAAATTTGAAGAAACTTAACCCCCTATTTACAAATAATTGATTTGTTAGATTTTTTTTTGTTTTTGCCATTTAAATCTTAAAAAGGAAAAATTTTATATAAAAATTAGATTAAATCAACAAACAAGCAAGAAGTATTTATTTATTTATTATTCGAGCTACTAATTTTTCAAATAAGTAGAAAGAAAAATAATTTGAATTTGCGACAAAATGATTATCTCAGAGCAAGAGGATATCATTTGCTTTTTTTGCCATTAATCATCCTTTTAGTTTAGTAATTTGCAAGTTTACAGACTATGCTCGTGCTCTCCTTCTTCTCCTCTTATTTGCACTTATTGTTGCTTATCTAGTAAAAATAACATTTTATCATTTCTTCTAAAATAAATACAAAAACTTTTGTTAAATATAAAATAGAGGAAAAATTATTTTGTCCAGAATGTGGCATGTTTTTTGATAAGCAGATTTTAAGCTAAAAAGCTTCTTATTTAAAAAATTTAGAAGTTAAACAAAAGAAGATTTCTTAGTTTAATTTTCAATATTAAAATAATATGGAAAGCTAATTCTTCGCTCAACCTATATAAAATTAGGCAAATATTCATTGCTAACAAATTCCCAATTATTAACAAATGAATTTCGTAAATATGCAACAGCAAAATTATGGTATAATTAATTGTATTTACAGTTTAAACATAACTTATATGCATTGTTTAAATTAAATAGGATAAAATTTTGTTAACGAAATGTATTAACAGTAGTCTGAGTAGGAATTAAGAAGTAGAATAAATATGAAATAAGCTTAAGCACATCCTTAATTAGGAATAAGCTTAGCAAACAGTTTGTATTAAAGCCCTATTAAAGGCTCAAATAATATAAATTCTAATTTTAATGTTTTCGATGCTAAGATTAGTTCCTATGTTTCTAGTACAAATGAAGGAGAATCTAACAAATAAGGCTAGTTCAGTAGTCAACCAAGTAGTCAAAAGTCAGATTGGAGCTAATAAAAAAATATTGAATAAAATCTCTTTTGTTCAATCTAATCTAATTGCTATAAAAACCAAAGCAATATTGACTTTTTTAATTAGTAAAACACAATTAATTAGCCTTGGGTATTTAACCAGCAACACTAGTAGTAGCAGCAACAATAACAACAACAACAATAAATGCAATAACAATTTTAACAGACCAAATAAAATAAATTTAAATAGAATGATAAATAATTTTTTAATAATGTTTTTGATCAACCTAAAATTCAGTAAGGAGGCTTTGCTTTTCCTGTAAACTTGCAAAACTAATAACAATAAATATATCATTCTTTTTAGAATTTTTAATTGCCTAAAATTAATCAATAACAATAATAATAATAATAATAAATAATTTTTGAAGGAAAGGAATAGCCTCCTCCTTAGATAATATAAAAGGATTTGAAAATAGAAGAAAGTGAAATTAAATAACAGATTTAGCAGTAATATTAATTAAGTTAATAATCAACTATTATTGATGAAGAGACAGTAGATAAAATCAATAATTTTTCATTTTAAAATTCAAACACTCAACTAGAATAAAGTAATGAAAGTAACTATATGAACTATCTTCAAAAGGTTCCTTAACCTTAAAGTAAATAAATTTACAAAATTTTAAAATGAATGTTTTAATATTAATTTTTATAGAAATACTGACTCACTTGCATCAATCTTTGGATCCTTCTATCTTGCAAAAATAGACAAAAGAATATAGCTAATCCTTGAATAGCAGTCAAAAAAGCCTAAACAGCTCTGGATTTGGCTAGCAAGCTGAATTCTTTTAGACAGTCGGAAAAAAGCTATAAAGAGTTAATCGCTCAAATAGTGTTTAGCTGTCACAATCGTTATCTTTAAATGATTTAGCAGACAGATCTTTGAATAAAAGCTTTAGTTTATAAGAAAAACCAAAAAATTAAAATAGAAACCAGAGATCCTTTAGCAATAAAGATCTTGCTGAGCTATTTAAAACCAACCGCTCAAATTCAAAGTATGAAATGGAAAGTAAATAAGAGGAACCTGTAATAAATGGTAAGTTGATTAAAAGTTATTTAAATATTTTAATTTATGGTAATTTGCTTACATATTTCTAATATTTATTTGTTTGGTCTAACTTTTTTTATATTAGAATAATAGATTCTACAGTTCAAAAAAGAATAAGAATAGATGCTTTATGGAAGAGATTTCCTCATCAAAAGTTAGTAGCAACAAGAAATTAATAATCAAAATTTTCTAAGCTGTCAAAATAAAATATAAACAATTAACCATAATTAAAATAACAACAGCAACATCAATAACATTTAAATGAATAAGCAGTTACCTTACCATGAAAATTTTGGAAATTCAATAAGCGTCAATCAAAACGCTTAGGTGCCTACATTTTTTAACAATTTCAATAATAATCCTAACTAGAATTACTTTTAAAGTAAAAGTAATATGTTTGCTTAATACGCTAATTAATCACAAGTTTTCTAGTAACCATAAATTCCTATTTAAAATTGTAATATTTTTCAAACTTAGAAATAATAAATGGATTGCTCCTCACAATTTTCAAGAGCAACTAATTAAAATCAACCTTAAATTTAAAACCAATAAAGCAAAATGCAACATTAATTCTAATAATAGTACATGTAATAATCTCAAATAATGAACTTCAGATTATTCTCTAATAATCAAATGGAAGAAATGTGAAAAAAAGTTGTTGGTTTGTAAATAAAGAAAGTACCCACTCAGTTATAGAGTATCAATAAATGAATTAATGCACAAATAAATAAATAAATAAAATAATAATAATAAAAATTTTCCTAAATTATTTATCTTAAAATAAAATAATTAAAATAAATAAATAAATCAATTAAAATGAGTTAAGAAAAAATAAAAAGTACTAACTTACTTACTATATAAATTAATATGTATTTATGTAAATAATTTCATTTTTCTTCTAATTTTCCACATTTTTAATTAATTATTAATTGACCAATTGTTAATTGTTCAATTTTAATCATTTCACTCTCATTTATATTTATTTATTTATATCCAATCATCCATCTATATTTATTTGTATTTGATTCAAAAAAACTCTTTTTTTATAGATTTCTTTACTTTTGAACTTGTAAGATTCTCTTTTTTAAATTATAACTTTGCTTGTTTTCTTTAGAGATTTTAACACAGTTCGCTTTTATTTTTGAAAATTTTTATAAATGCAAATTAACAATTTAGCAATCAGCATGTAGAATCTAATCCTGGACTTATCTATTGATAAGAAAGTTCGCAACTAGTTGAATCACTCTGTTTTTTATATGAAAAGTTCAAAATTTCTTTTATTTAAAAATTAAAATACTTGACAAGCATTATAGTATGAAGTACACTGACTCATGCAAACAGGAAGTGTTTTATCTTCTACAAATTATAATTAATTAATTAATATTGAGTTTAAATTACTTTTTTATAATTGAATACCTTTAGTATCGCAGGGAGGAAAATTCCATTAGCACAAGAACTGTTTATATGCATTATAGCATTTATCGTTGTAAAGCAATATTACACTCGCTCTATTTATAGAGAAATCATTTTAAAATACAATAAAATTACTACTTAAACTACCCTTTGCTTATTTCAGAAATCAGTCTTTACTCTATTTACTTTATGAAAACATCTTTTATATATAAATCTCTAGCACTTGTAGTATAACTTGGCCATACAACCTTTAATATTTATACAAACATAATTCAAACTATTAAATTTCTATTCATTTATTTATATATTTACTCTTTCAAGAGGAACGCATATGTTAGGATACAGATAATCCTGACAGAAACTAATATCCTTCAAATAAGCTTTAGAGCTAACACAAGTACCGCTTTCATAGCCACTTAGCTGGCATCCTTTAACAAGTGAATAAACAAAATATAAAGCTAGAAATATATAAAATATAGTTTTCATAGTAATTTTTTTGATTTAAAATATATGAACCTTATTTTGTTCTATAATCAATATTTAAATTAAATCTGTAAGCTAAAAGCAAACCTGTTTTTAAAATTATTATTTGTAGAATTTTCAAAACTAATTTTTTAAATAGTTAAACAAACAAACAAACAAAAAATTAAAATCATTTTCTAAAATATTTATTAAAAGTTAGCTTAAAATTTTGATTTCAAAATTATCGTACAAAAAAATGATTAAATAAAATTAAAAAGTTAAAATTTTTTAATTAAAATTTTTATTTTAGTTTTTAAAAATGATTTTAGAATTATTTTTCTACAAAGAGAAATTTAATTTTATGCTTAAAATTTATTGTAGATTAATCAATAATTAGGAATAAATAAAAAATGAATAAAGAGATCAAACAATCTTCACATATAAAATTTGTAAGATTAATTATAGATAAATCAATGAATCAGAAAAAATAAAAAAATTTGCAAAGGGTTCGATCCTCGCAGATGAAAAATTTTGTGGAATAATGAATAGATAAAAAATTTATGAAGGGATCAATCCTCACAGATGGAAAATTTTGAAGATTAATTGAATTTTTTTCAAAGAGTTTTTTTGTTAATGGGAGAAGTTTTTTGAAAAAGTAGTTGAAAAGTATGAAAAATAAAAATTAAAAATAGATTTAAAAAATGTTTGATGAAAGAAACTTTGGTTGTTTGGATAATAGATAATTTAAATAATCTAATAAACTTTTATTTATAATATTTATTTATTTATTGATGTGTTATTATAATAATAGTAATAACTAGTTATTTATTTATTAATTTTATTTTTGGTGTGTTTTTGTATTCAATTTCTAATCTTAATGCTGCTTGCTTGTGTTTGCTTGAAATCTTTAATGGGTGGTTTATTTATTTATTCTATTTTGATAATAAAAATCAATCACTAAATTTTCTTCGCTCAATTCCAAAAAAATTTAAAAATTGTATTGTTAAAAAAAAGCAAAAACTAGCTGGTAAATTTTGAAAATAAATTAATACGATATGCCTTGTGCAAGATTTTTATGATTGATAAAGAAAATTTGGGAAACAAACAAAAACAATAGAATATTGGATATGAATGAATAAATATTTTTCTTATTTTGTTGTATTAAAATTAAGAAAAACAAACAATCTTTGAGGAATTGTATAGTGAGAAATCAAAGTTTTTGATAGAATTAATCATATAAAATTAATTAAAAGAAAACATAAGATTTGTTAATAAAAAACAGTAAAAAAGGAATAAATTATCCACTAAAGTGATATTATAAGGAAATAAATAGGACATGTTTAAAAACAGTCTGAATTCCACACAGTTTCTGAATTAGTCAGTGACTAGTTTAGCAAGCACCTCTCCCATGAAGAACAATCACCACAACTAAAACATAATTAGCAACCCAGAGAACATTCAAGTCATGATCAGGATAAAGAACAACTCCTTAACTGAATCCCAAAGAGTTTAAACTGACCCTGTCGTTGTTGAAAACAATCAGATTCGTATACAATACTCAAATGAGCTTAAGTCTCAAACATATAGCTTCGATAAGGTGGCTACAAAAGACAAAGACTAGGATTATGTATTTTAGGAAATAGGCACTCCAGTTGTCAGTTACTGTCTAAAAGGTAAAATAAAACTAAATTTCCATTTTTCAATTTCTATGTAAAAATATTCATTGGCAGACTCAGTCTTACTTAATTCACAATAAGTATTTAATGATAAAAAATAATGCTCAAAGTACTTCAAAAATAATAACAGCAACTTCATTTAACAACTTTATCGTTAGAATATTCCATCTACAGATAAAGAAATACTATTAACATCGTTTAAATGAAATAAAATTTCTTTTACCCATTCAAATTCAATCAATTTATTGATATTTTCACAAATAAATAATAAAAATAACAAGCAAACATATTTATCAAAGTCAGCAAAATTTAACAACTATTTTTTTAATTCAAGCAAAGGAATATCTATCTATCTATCTATCTATCTTCTCATTTATTTTTTAAATACATCAAATAAAATTCATTCATTTAATAAAAAACAAAAAACAAAAAAGCAAAAATTTATACACAAATTTATAATTAAAAATGCATTCATTCATTCATTCATTTATAAATAGATAGATACATTAATGAGATTTTTATTATATATGTAATACTTTATTTGAATCAATTTATCATTTTAATCAAATGTTTATTTACTAAATTATTTTCTACACATTGAAGGGATGAATGCTTGCATCTTTGCTTATGGATAAACAGGAGCTGGTAAGACATATACCATGACTGGCACACAAACAAATCCTGGAATATAACCCAGAGTCTTAGAAAGCCTTTTCAAATAATTGAATGAGAGCCTATATACAAACGAAATTTAAAGCTTTAAAATTTCTGTAAGCTACTATGAAATATATAACGAGTAAATAAATGACCTAATAAGCAACAGGAAGGATATTAAAGTAAGAGAAAATTTGGAAGGACCATTTATTGAAAATCTTACTTAGGTAACAGTCCATTCGTTTTATGAAGCATAAAGTACTTTTAATAATTCTACAAAAAACAGATCAATAGCTGCTACTTAGATGAATAAGCAATCTTCGAGGTATTATTTAAATTAATATAAATTAAATCATTTTAGTTAATTAATTGACATACTTGATTGAAATATCATTTATTTATTTATTTTATAGATCTCACTCTATTTTTACTGTTACAATTCAAATTATTGACAACAACTAGACAGAAATTTAAAGTAAATTGAATTTTGTTGATATGGCAGGAAGTGAGCGTTAAAAAAAAACATAAACAGAAGGATAGAGATTAAAAGAAGCTGGTACACTAATTAAATATGATTGATAAAGCATTTGTATTAAATATCTTATTGATTAAATATAAATTTAGGAAGTATAAACAAAAGTCTTTTTGAGTTTTCTAAGGTTATTGCAGATTTAGCAAAGCAAAAAGCTAATGTGGTTTTCAGAAACAGCAAATTAACTCACATATTGAAAGATTGTCTTGTAGGAAATAGCAAAACTTTTATAATTTGTGCAATAAATCCATCTTTTTACCATTTAGATGAAACCGAAAACACTCTTAAATTTGCAAGCAATGCTAAATTTATTGAAACCAAACCTTTTGTTAATTAAGTTGTTAAAGTTAACACAGATGAACTTCAAAGATAGATAAAAGAGTATGAATTTACAATAGAAAGCTAATCAAAATAATTAATCGAAAAAGATCATATGATTGAATAAATGAGAATCCATTCAGATAACTTAGACGAAGAAATCAAGTATTTATTTATTTAATTAATTATAATCTTTGATATTATTTTTATTTGATGATGTATATTTATTTATCAAGGTAAATAAGGACTTACTTTTGTAAAGAAATTCAAGATTTAGAGTCTGAAAAAATAAATCAACTGAATGAATAGCAAAATGTAAACTCAAAAAAAAATAAATAAATTATTTTTTATTAAATTTTCTTGTTTTCAATAAAAAATAAAAAGCAAATATTAGAATTAAAGTAGCAAAATGCTTGGCTTTCCTAATAAGCGTTTGATGTAAAAATTGAATTAATTACCTTTAATTATTCTAAAATCAATTTTTTATGAAAATTTTAAAGACTTAACTTAGCTTGAGCTAGCAGTAAGGAGTGATTGACAATCAAGAAGCTCAAATCAAAGAATTAAAATATAAGATTTTAAAGATGCACGAAGAAAAAAATCAACATGTTTATGAAACAGAAAAATAGAAACTTCAATTACCAATTGATTAAGATTTTACTTATGATAATTGCACAGAAGATATGACACCAACAGCAGGCTTAAGTCTGAACGTTAGGAGTAATAGCTTTGAAGATAATGAGGAAAAGTTGATATAATTAGAAGCAAATCTTAAAACTTTAGTTAATTAAAACAAATTCAATAAAAGCATACAAAAGTAGTTAGAAGAATAGAATAAATAGCTTGAAAATGAAAAATCATTTCTAAAAAATCAGAATTCTCTTCTTCAAAATGAAAATTCATAACTCAAAAATGAAAACAAGTAAAATTTTTATTAAAATAAATTTAATTAAAATTTAAATCTTAATAAAACAGAGAAATAGATCAAAAGTCTAGTCTGCTTTTAAGATAAAAAGAAAGTTTGATCGAAGAAATGAATAAAATTAGTTAAAATTTGGGGCTTAAGAGTTAAATGTATGTGAACGAAATAGAAAATTTAAAAGAGCAATTATAAATCTAAACTTAAAGGCTAGAAAGTCACTAAAAAGAAAATGATTCACTCAAAAGACAATTAAAAGAAAGAAAACAAAAAATAATTTAAGAAAAAGAAATGATTATCTAACAATCAAAAAAAATCAGCGAAATTTCTCAGTCTATCATTTCAGGTATTTATTTCTTTTTTTATAAGATAGCAATTTAGTTAATTTTCTTTATAATAAATAGAAATCTCTTAAGATTCTTGCAGCTCAATTCAAGAAATCAGCTAAAATCAATTCAACTGCAGCATAAAAGAAATGTAAAATTATTATTTTAAAATAATATTTCAAATATTTAAATTTAATTTATTTTTAATTAAACTTACTTGACGTGATTAATTATTCTAATCATGATTTTAATTATCTAATTTTTTTATTTATTTATTATTAAATTTATTAATTTGGGATTAAAAGAAAAATAAATTTATATATTTTGTATTTTGAAAACAGACTTCAAAAAAAGTGTAAAGAATTAAATGAAATAAATGCTGAAGTGATTCAAGATTTAGAATAAATGAAATAGCAAAACGAAGATTTGAACAATATGATCAAGCACAATAAATCAGATAAACTAACTAATCATTTACAAGTAAAAACCAATATTTATTTATTTGATTATTTAATTTTGAGTTATTTTATAAAAAATTAGTTTATTTTGGAAAAAACTAAAAAAAATAAATACATTTCTGACTAACTGATAAGATATTTTATAGAGCATCCAGATTAAGATGTTAACAGAAAGAAATACGATTGCTTAAAATAATTTACTCATTTCGTTTTTTCTTCTTTGCAGAACCTTCTTTCAGCAAGAAGCTCTCATGTTTCCCTTAGTGATCTTATCCAAAATAAAGATCAAAATTCTCATCTTGTCAAAGTCAAAGAGTTCATAGATAATCCCAATTATGATATGCTTGTGTATCACTTTAAAGAACTTTTTGATAAAGAAAAAAAGAAACTATTTAGTTAATATAAAACTCTTAAAGATTTTTTGATCATAATTGCTTAAAATTAAAGACCAGATTAAATAATTACAGAGTAAGACGAATTAAAATATGGCGAATACATTGATTTGTATGCAGAGACTAATTAAATTCATCAAATGAGAGCTCTAATTTTCGATGAATACAATTAAGTTAATCTAAGAGTAAGTTACTTGCAAAAATTCGTTTTTTATTCTTTTTTTATTTAATAATATTTAATATATAATAATAACTAAAGAAATCTAAGAGATCGCCAATAAAACTATTTAACAGAAATGCTTTAAGCGAAAGAAATTTGAACCAATAAAATTTAGGTGAATTCTAAAGTGTTTACGATGAGCAGAAAACAATATATGATTATTATGCATAAGGTAAGAAGAAGGTTAAGATGAATTAATAGTTCTGATTTTAAACAAAATCTTTTATCCTTATCAGCTAAAATTCAAAAATTAAAAATAATTAAACAAATAAACAAACAAACAAACAAACAAATAAATAAACAACCAATCAAATATAGCTGTTAAAAATTAAGAATGTTTTCCACTTTAATTTTACATTTTGACTAAAATAGTTAGTGCAGTTCTTTCTTTCAAAATTAAACAAAAAAAACAATCAAAATTGCTAACTTAACTCAAATAAACTTATAAAATTGAATTAAAAACACAAAAATTAAGAAAAAGAGTTGAAATTGGTGAATTTTTTGATGATTAATTAATGAATTTATTTATTTATTAATTTTGATATAATTTATAAAAATATAAGAAAGAATATTTAAAGAATGATAGAAAGAAAGAAAATAAATAAATAGATAAATAAAAATTAAGAAATGGTTTTAATTGAATGTATCAATCTATCTATCTATATACAATAAATAATAATAATAAATGAATGAATGATTGCACTAACTATTAGTTAATTATATAAATATAATTTTAATTATTAAACCTATATAAATTACTCTATTTTATGTACTCCCTTACTATTATATTTCTTGTTGTTAATAAATATCTTTATAAATAAAAGCCAGCCATTCAGCCAATTATAAATATTTTCAATATGATTGTTAATTATTTTAATTTATTTATTGAGGTTTTGTTTATATATTTATTTATTTATTTATTTACTCTTTTGTTTATTTATTAGTTTGTTTGTTTGTTTTTTTTGTTTATTGTCTAGTTACTTAATTATTTACATACTTACCAACTAATTTTTGATGAAGCAAGTAAATTGATAATCAATTAACTAACTTTCAAAGCATTTATGATTGAAATTTAAATACTTAAAATTAAAAAATCCATTCATTTTTTAAATTTTTTTATACGCTTTTTTATGTTTGCAAAATCTAATTGTTACGCCTATATTATTTTAAAACAAACAAAAATTAATAGGATATTGAAATGATAAAATAGAGTGAATGAGTAAGTAAGTAAGTGAATAGAACTAATTAATGATTACCTATTAAAGATGGTTTTCATCGTCACTATCGTTTTATGAGTTATTTTATTACTAATTTTAACTATTACTTTATTATGAGGATATATAAATTGGCTGGTTTTGGTTTGCTGATTGATTGTTATATTAAAATCTAATTTCTTCCTAGTCTTATTCTTCTTTATTTTATGTCACGTCGCTATCCTCTTCATCTATGTCTCTGTTGGATGCTTCGCTTATATTATTACTTACATTAATTATTTTATCTTGATTATTACTCTTTTCATCACTATCTTCTTCGTTAGCTTAGCGCTTTATTTTAGATTACTTGCGGCTACTACTTTATTTGCTTTAACCTTTCTTTTATATATCTTCCTCCACCTTATTATTACTAATTTCTTGCGACTAACTATCGTTCATCATCTCGTTATTATTCTATACTAACTCTCTAATCGCTTCATCTCTTTTCTCTATTTCTTCCTATGCAGCCACTAAGAGCGCTTCTAACTCTGCTACTCGATCTCTAAGCTTAATATTTTTTAAAAAGAGTAAGTAAGTAAGTTATAATAATAAGATTGATTCATTTCTACATAAACAAGATAATTTATTATGACTAAAAATAAATATGTTTGTTTACAAATTGAAAATTTTGGAACTTTAAGAAACGTTTTTTTATTTAACTTTGTTGAATTATTAAAATTAATATTGGAAAAGTAACTCTTTTACTATTTCATTTTCTTCAATCGCTTGCTTTAGCAATTCTTCTAACTAACTCGCCTCAGGCTTTTACATATAAATAGATTATATCCTTAAATTTTTTCTTATTTGTTTTGTTATTTTATAATTTTAATATCTTTGCTTTTTTTCCCTCTCTTTTCATAACTATTCAAAATTTCTTTCTTCTATTTATTTTATTAAAAACAAACAATTATTCTTTGTTCATTCATTGATTCATTCTTATATTCATACATTTTCATCCATAAATATCACACCATCATTTCAAATAACAAATTAAATCAAATAAAACAACGATTTTAGTTATGTATTCAAAAATTTATTCCTTTCTTTATTACTCTAAAAGCTTTTCTTTTCATTAATTTTCATAAGTGATTCATCTAAAATAATTTTCAAAAAGTAAAAAAGGACAATAAGAAAATTAATTTAAATAAATAAATAAATTTAAAAAATATTTTAATAATCAAAAGGAAGTTTCCTATTAAACACTAATTCAATAAAAGTAAATTCATTTATCAAATAAATAAAAAATAAAAAATACTTTGAATTTTTGAATAATACAAATATATATAAATAATAAGAAGTAAAATATTAAATAAATAACAATTTAGTTGCTTTTCCTTAGAAAATTCAATTCTTTTGATTTACTGTTATTGGATTTTAAAATAATTTAAATGTTGTTAGATAAAATATATTAAAATTGAATTAATGCTCTCTTATAAATATTAAATAAATTACTAAAATTTTATGCTTTTTTAGATAGATAGATAGATAGATAGATAGATAGATAGAAATATTTAAAAATTGGTTAACACTCTAATATAAATATGAAATAAAAAACAAAAATTATTACAAAATAAATTTATAAAATTTATTATTAAAAGAATTTAAATTTAATAAAATACTAAAATTTTATGCTTTTTTTGATAAAAATATTTAAAAATAAATTAACACTCAAACTAAAATTATTACAAAATTTAAATTAATTTTATAAATTTGTTGTTTAAATAATTTAAATTAAATTAAATTTACTAAAATGTATGCTTTATTAGATGGAAATATGTTAAAAATGAGTTAAAACTCTAATATAAATATTAAATAAAATACTAAAATTATTACAAAATTTAAATTATTTTTATAAATTTGTTGTTAAAATAATTTAAATTAAATTAATTTTATTAAAATTTTATGCTATTTTAGATGAAGATATATTAAAATTGGATTAACACTCTAATATAAATATTAAATAAAATACTAAAATTATTACAAAATTTCAATAAATTATATAAATTTGTTGATTCTAACTAACCTGCTATGCTATAATATATTATGCTATGCTATCTCTTCAACCAAAAATAGATTCTTTAACATACAAATAAATCCAGAAAACCAGCATTAAAAAGACCCAAAGCTTAAAAAATTTAGAAAGACCACCTAAAATCAATTTTAAATATTTGTTATATCAATGAAATTAAAAAATATGAATGAATACCTTCTGGACGTAAATTCTAGAGTACATCAAAGTTAGATTCAGGAGTACCAGCAATTAAAAATCTAGAATCTCCGGTAAAATCTAAACCTTTTACAACCATATCTAAATGAGTTTATTCAGCTTCAATTGACATATATCTAAGATTTGCTATTTTCACTGCTCCATCGCAGCCTCCAAGTCCAATAAACAAACCTTCTTTGCTAAAATTAATAATTAAAACATAAAAAAATAAATAAAAAACAGTTTTTAATATTCATCTTACCTCATAGTGCAAGCACTGATTGGTTAATGGTGTGCTTTAATGGTGACAACTGGGGTAACATTTTCAGAATCCATCTTTAATTAATATTGATAAACAAATATATTTATATGAATGATAATTAAAAAAAAAGTTTGTTTTTAGAATATTTACTTCCCATTTTGTCAAGTAAGAAGAACCTCTACTTGGGTTAGCAACTGTGTAAATAAATTTCTCATCAAAAGAAAATCTTTTAATTTAATAAAAAAGTAAATAAATATTTTTTTATAAAGTATTGCTTGCTTGTTAGGCTAAAATAAATTTACAAAGCACTATAAAACTTCAAGTTGAGGTCGTGAGAACCACCTCCAAGAGTTAATTTTTTGATTAATTACTTATTTTCTAAATTAAATATTCTGCAAGATTTGTCATCGCTAGCTGAAATAATCTATTAATATTTTTTATTTATGTTACAGAGTGTAAGTAAGTAAGAAAGTAAGAAAGTTATTTATTTATTTTATAATTTAAGTTTTAAAAGCTATCCATTTTAATTCATAAATAAATAAATGAATAAATCAATTAAAGAAAAATCGAACAATCAATTTAATAATAGCAATTAAATATAAGTACTAGAGGTTTAGTAAGGTGAAAATCTACAGAGTTTATAGGAGCTGTGTGGCTTACTAATTCGAATTTTTTAGAAACTTTTAAAACGTTATTGTTTTTGTCATATTAGCAATCCCAAATCCTTTTTATTTAATTAATTAGGGGAATTTAGTGTAAACTTACATTAATAATTTTAATGGATTTGTTAATTTATTTACCTAACTATGCTATCATCACCGCCTGTAGCAACTAAAGTACCTTGATCGTTCATTTTTGCATCATTCTAGCAATTAAATAATTTAAATAAAATAAATAGAAATAAGAAGTAGAGTAAACTTAAATTGATAATATCATACAAGAGAAGGTGGATCTGGTTCTGTAAAGTCTGCTTTAACTCTGCATAATTCATTCAAATTTCCATTTTCATTATTTAGTTTATAAAAAATTGCATTTCCATCAGAACAAGCAACAACTATTTCAAATTTCAAATTCAAGTTCATGCGCTGTAATAAATCTTCTCCTGTATCTTAGTCATTGATGATATTGCTTAATCTATTGGCAGGCATACCTCTCTTATACACTAGCTTTAATTATTAAGATAATAAATATCTAAGTAAATTCCATCAATATTTTTATTTTTATGTTTAATAATTTTGCTTACAAGTGAATTTTTTAGGCCTACTTTCTGGCCACCTCCACCACCAGCAAAATAAACCTTATCTTTATACCCTAATATCTTATATAATATGCTATATTAATAATTATCTCACTATTTTTAGCATAATTTACTGAAAACACAGGTAGGTTAATTCCAAAATACCTCCTTTTATTGGTGAACATATTTTAAAAAATCTAAATTCAATTAAAGATATTTATTAATTTCTGTAAATTAAATTTTATCAGACAAAATATAAATAATAATCTAAACTAAATTTATCAAATCCTTTGATTGATTTATTAAGTAACCTCAGACTCAATTGTATTCTAAAATTGAAACACGTTATTAAAAATCTTATTATAAATGTCTCCTTTTAACATCAAATTCTTCAAATATTATTGAAATATTTTTAAATATTTGCAAAAGAAATTTTCATTCGTTTATTTTAAGATAAATAAATAATATTATTAGATTTTTTCAATTTTTTCATTTTTTCTGAATAAATTTAAAACAAAATATCATTTTTATATAATTTATTCGATAATTTATACAAAAATTCATTATAAAAGCTGATTATTTATTTCAAATACTAAAAACTATTAAGAAAATAGATAGATTTTAACCATTTAAAAAGCTAGTCTATATTAAAAATCTTATTATAAATGTCTCCTTTTTCATCCAATTCTACAAATATTATTGAAATATTTTTAAATATTTGCAAAAGAAACTTTCATTGGTTTCTTTTAAGAAGTATTTGAGTTTTTCAATTTTTTCATTATCTGAATAAATTTAAAACAAAATATCATTTTTAAATAATTTATTATTATTATTATTAGATATTTTATACAAAAATTCATTATAAAAGCTGTTTATTTATCTAAAATACTAAAAACTATTAAGAAAATAGATAGGTTTTAACCATTTAAAAAGCTAGTCTATATTAAAAATCTTATTATAAATGTCTCCTTTTTCATCCAATTCTTCAAATATTATTGAAATATTTTTAAATATTTGCAAAAGAAATTTTCGTTGGTTTATTTTAAGATGTATTTGAGCTTTTCAATTTTTTCACTTTATCTAAATAAATTTTAAAAAAAATATCATTTTTAAATAATTTATTTGATATTTTATATAAAAATTCATTATAAAAGTTGTTTATTTATTTAAAATACTAAAACATATTAAGAAAATAGATAGGTTTTAGCCATTTAAAACATAAGCATATATAATATATTTGCTTTCAAATATGATCATTTTAAAAAAATATGAAAAAATACAAACTAGCAAATTTGTAAAATAATTAAATTTTGAGTATTTATAAAGTAGAAATATTGGTATTAATCAACGAAATGTATGCTATTATCATAACTCTAATTAAACTGTACAATTTCTATTAGAAAGATGTTAAAACTTTCTATTATTTTCAAATATAATTCTTAATTTAATAGAGATTACATACAGATAGATCTATTGATTTATCATCAAATTTATAAATAAAGAATTTTTATATTTAAATTTTTGTTTTAGCTTAAATGTAAATATACTTGGTTATTACTATTTTAAATTACCTTTGTTTTGTCAAAGTCTTAGCTTAACCCCTATAGGGCTCTACCCCATAATCATGCGCTTAAAATGGGGCTTGTCGTGATGCTAATACTGGATGTGGATTTGCAGGAATTGCTAGTAATTGGACATATAAGGCAGCTACAACTTCTTGTATAGTTACTGATTGCAATTAAATTACAAATTAAAATGCCCAAGTTTCCAATTTTTCGTGTGCTTCTTGTAACACAAATAATTCAGCTTCAGCAAATCAAAACAATAACGGAGGTAACATTTATGCAAACACAAACAATAGTGCATGTGTTTCTATAAACTGTGCACAATTAGCTGCATAAGGATAAATGACAACATCAACATGTCAATAATGTGTTGACCCAAAAGCAACTGTAAATTCTGATAATGCTACTTGCACTGTTCCAACCTCATCTAAAATTTTATCAATAAGCTTTATAGTTTTGATTGTTTCATTCATTTTCTGAAATAAGTATGTAAACTATTTTAATTTTAAAAGTGTATCTGTTAAAATTATTTGTTTTCATAAAGAAAGTATGTTTATTTGTTTGTTTGTATGTTTTTAAAAGCTTAAATAGATAAAATATCATCTATTTATATATTATTAACTTATATAATAAGTTTTTGATAGGTCTAATCATTTTGGTATTAAATTAAGATTTTTATTTTACATGATATTTCACATTTTATATTAACGCTAATTGATTCATGTCTATTTTTCTTATCATAAAAATAAAATTTAATTTTAAAACTATTTTTTAGAATTAAAAAGTAATAAAAAATTGAACAAGCTTAAAAATGATTGAATAATAAATCATATTTGACATTATGATTGATATTACCAAAATAATTAATTATAAACAGTTTATTTTTAAAAATTTTAAATTGAATATTGTTAATTAATTAATTTTACATATTGAAATATAAACTTAAATTTTATTTTATGGAAAATGGATTATACATATCATATGTATTTTATTTTATGGAAAATGGATCATACATATCAAATGTATTTTATTTTATTCCAAATTTTATTTTAAAAATAAAAATTGAATTACAAAACAATTTAATAATTAGTAATATTGCAAAACTAGAAAATAAATTTCCTCTTTTTAAAATATGTTTCATCAGAATCAATTAAAAGATTTTACTAATTTTTATGACAAGAATTTTTAAAAAATCAATGATAAATGTTTAAAATCAATCTTATATCTAAATTATAATTTAAATAAGTGAAATGTTTCTATATTTTTTGAGAAATTTAAAGATAGACATATATTTAAAACAGATTTGATTGTTGATAATGCAAATTAAATTTTGGTAATTAAATTACTTGATAGATTTTTTACTTGTTTTTGTTTTGATCTATTACAGTTTTTTAAAGAGCTATCACTAATGTAGGGACTTTTAAATTTCTTAAATTCTTTTATGAAATTTTCTATCTAATAATTTAAAATCTAATTCATCGTTTTATAGTAAATTACAATAAACTAAAAAATCTTTAATTTTAAATAAATTATCATGAATAAATCTTAAGACAGTAGATCCATTTTAAAATTAAATTATTTACTTATCTTATTAATAAACTTACTTCATAAAATATGTTTAAATTAAATTCTTCTGTAAATAACATTTTTTATAATAATTCTTTTATATAAAATATTTTTCCAAAAATTATTTAAAATAAATTTTTTATTAGTTAATTTTTAAAAAAGAAATAAAGAAAATATACCCACAAATTTTAATAAATTTTTGATGAAATAAAGATTGTATTTAAAAAAGTATATTTAGATATTAAGCTAAGTTTTTAAATTTGTAGTATCAAATACAATTTGAAAAATCAATTTTTTTATATAGAAAAATTATTAAAAATTAAAGAAATCACAAACAAAAAAACAAGATGAAAAAGGGATAAAAAAACTTATACTTCAAAGATAATGAAGAAAAACAACTTATTTTTGAAAATAAAAAAGGGATATCAACAAAGAAAGAGTAAAGAGTTTGTTAATTAACTCCACTAGTAAAAATGCCTAGCTTAGAGAGAATATTTTTTATTTATGGTGACATACTGATAAACTTAAATGAAAATAAGGAGTAGGTTTTTTTTGATTAGTTGAAATTGCAAAGTGCTTTGAGGCCAATCTTAAATATAAAAAAAGAAAATGAATCCCTTTTTATGAGAGTTGAATTTAATAATGAATAGTAAGGATAAATAGACTTCAGACCTATTATTAATATTATGTAAACGATGCAAAATGATTAAATGTACTAGCTTTCTTAAACATTGTCATAGTATCAATTATAAATATTGAAACAAATCTAATTTCCTAATACCATTGACCATTCTGTTTTAAGATAAAAAAAAGAAGTATTAAGATACTTTAAAGACTCTATCATACCATAGATTTTGATTTAATAATACTAAGAAAATTCTACAGAGGTTCAAGCATATGGGTTGTTTGAATGCTTAGATAGTATGTATGATTCTAGAATTAGTGAATATGGATTTAATTAAAACTATCTCCATTTGATAGGTACAGATTTTGAAACAATCTAATAATTTTATCTAAGAGAAGGATGGTTTTCTGTTTTTTATAGTTACAGCAATGATGTTGTAAAAAAGCACCTTGAAAAAGTAATAGAGTATTTCTACTTTTAGTTGAATAATGCTTGTAAATAAGAAAACTAATAAGAGTACTAAATGAATATAAATTTCTCTACTTTAGATTAAATAGAGATTTCAGCACAATTTAAAGAAAAAACATATTTCGTCTATTAAAATAGCTAGTATTTATTTACAGATTATGTGGTTCCTGAAAATGTACATAATATAATAGGATTATTTGGCATCATGACTATTGATGTAAATCCTTAATAAATAATGAAACTCATGCAAATGAGATAAGATAGTTAATAGTTTAATTAGAATAATTTACTTTCTTAATACGGCGAACTATCCTTATCTTAATTTTAATACGAAATTTAATCTAAATTCTTTAAAGATAAATATTATTAAGATAATCTTTCTTCTACTTGTAAAGTAAAATATATAGGATGATTATTATTGTATTTTTTCTAATTTCTATTAATTTGTATGTATGTATGTGTGTGTATAGGCAATTAAATTCAATAATTAAAAATATTGATTATTATCATTTATAATCAATATCAATCAATAATTTACTATTATTCAAATAACTTAAATAAAGTGAACCTTCATAAAAAAAATTGTAAATGACATAATAAAAAGAGTGTGTATTTTTTATTTTTAATTTGAGCAAAATTTAATAAAATTAATAAAACTTATTCTAGATCAAGATTAAATAATAAAAAGCTCAGAAAGATTTTCAAAAATTTATATTTTATTGAAAAGCTAAAATCTTTTTATTCAGATTTAATAATAAAATTAATCAATAAAATAAGAAAAAAATTTATTAAATTTTGAAAAATATTATTTTATTTTACTATATAATATTTAGTTTAATTTATATAGCTATTCTCTGATTATTATTATACATTTAGAATCAAACATATTATTTACTAAAATAAAAAAAATTAAAAGAAATAAAAAAAAGTTTTGAAACCAAAATTTATCATAAATAAAAATGAATTAAAAAAAATGGCTTAGAACTAACAATTTCAAATATATTTTTATTTAATTTTAAACTCATTAATACACAAACCACTAGATTTTAATTAGGCGTTTGGCTATAATTATAAAAAATAAAATATACTAGTTAAAATTTTGATTTAGTTAGTATTCATGCACATGATGAATTCCTAATTTTATAAATTAAAATTAAGGCTAGTTTAGAATTATCTTATATAGAAGTTTGTCAATTTATTTAAATTAAAATTTTTTACTTTAAAGAAATAATAATTTAGTCAGTAAAAATAATATTTTTATGCTTTTATTAGATTAATCAAAAATAAATAAATGATTAATTAGTTATTAAAATTTGCTTTTATAAATTGATAAAAAATAGTCTTATTTAATGATACTAAATTATTTTTGCTTGAGTCAATATTTATTGTCAAGTAAGAAAATAAAAAATGAATAAATAAATAAGGTTAAATTGTTTGAATAAATTTAATTGAGCAAAAAATGAATATGAGTAATAAGCTATCATTGGTTTTTAATCAGATAGAATCAATTTATATTTATTTTTATTTAGATTAAAACTCAAATTGCTTGATTTGTTAGTTGTAAATATATGTAAATCAATAAATTTATTTATCAATATTCCTAAGTATGTATATATGTATGTATGCATGCATTATATATTTTACCATGTTGCTATCAATATAAAAACAATTTGTATGTATATAATTATCAGCTTTTTATGCAATTATTATTTATTTAATATTAATAACTTCAATAAGAATCATTAAAAAATAATATAAAAAAAAATCAAAGGGATAGATAGCGAAAAAGATAAATAAAGTTTTATAAGGTACAATAGAAATATATAGATAGGTAAATAAATATTAAGATAAAACATTAAATGTCTTATAATGTTATGAAGCTCACAACAGAGCAGTTTCTCAATAAGTTAACTTAAGAGGTAAGCACTTTAATTTGCTCTATTCATTCTCTTCTTTTAATTTAGGATTAGTAGACTAAAGTATTTCATCTTTAATCTATAAAAAAATTCAATTATACATATTTCATCTAAATTAATTTGCTATCTACAATCGCATAATTAAATTTGAGCTCTCTCATTTCAATAAGTTTGTTTTCCAAATAAATAGCTTAAAATTCTTTCAAAAAGGAAAATATTTAGTTTAATGTTTCAGATAAATAAAATTTATTTTATTAGAAGCTGCCTCAGCAAGATGAGGCAACAAACACTATTTACTAGTTGTAGGTTTGCTCTTTAATAAAATTATTTATAAAATAAAAAAGGTACAATTCATTGAAAATCATCTATTGAATAGATTAGATAATGAGAATAAGGAAAAGTACAACTATTATTACAACATCTATAAAAAGATTTAGAAAGAAATAAATGTAATATTTTATTATTTTTATTGATATCCAAAATATCTTTATTATCCTTGACTCTTTTTATTGCTAAGTGCATTTAAAACTAAGCGGATTTTACAATAATTTGGATTATTGTAGTTGAGTCTATAACAATTAAACAAAATAAAATCGTTTTTTATTTATTTACTTAACTCAATTTATTAAAACCAATTCAGGAAAAGATAGTGGAAAATCCTGTAGAAATTTATGGCCAATTCTTGAAAACATTTAAAAAATTTAAGCGTTAGTAAGACAATATTATCAAGTTTAATGAGAGAGATATTGACTCTTTCAGAAAGAGATATGAAAATACTTAAAAGCCTTTAATACCATTAATTCATGATATCAAAATGAATGTCCTAGAACGCATGACAAAATTTGGTATTTATTTAACTGCTCTTTTTTTTGTCTAATTGATCATTTTTTTCATACTGAATTGAATATTCATTCAAATATAAAGATATAAACTAGTTGAAAAGCCACAACTTTTAGATGCACTTATACACTAACAAGGAGTTATGCGATATCACTTTCAAGATGATGGAATATTAAGGAATTTATAAAGACTAGTCTAGTTACACTGCAGAACAAATGAAGTTGCTCATTAAAAATCTTTGCTTAAACTATAATGTAATCCCTTATCACAACTGGACTCACGCCTTTTCAGTATTTTAGGTACTTACTTAATTTTTTTATATGCTATTTAATATAATTTGAAGAATCTAAATTAACTAAATTCTTCCAAAATTCACACCACTAAAGTTAAATAAATAAATATTCAATATGCAAGCAACAGTTAGTTTGCCTTTTCAAGCAAGCAAAAGAGATAAAATTAAAGATAAAGGCAAATATTGCATATATATACAAATAGCTAGCTATAAGATTGGAAAATTTAATTAAAGAATGGATAAATGATAATTGAAGATTAGTTAATTAGCTCTATTGTCTTTTTACTAGTTATTTTTTCAGAAAGTTAATAATTTTTAGCCATTGAAATATATTGATTTTTCAAAATAAGTGGTTACATATTATATTTATTTTTTTCCTATTAAACTATATTTTACAAATAATATAGATGCTTTTCTGCTGCTACGAAAACTCTCCTTCTTGGAGAGATTACATCCTACCTTTTGAGTTTTTTTGTGCCCAAATAGCTGCTCTCGGACATGATCTTAACCACAGTAAAGCCTCTATTAATATATTTTTCATATTTAACAATCTTACTAATTTGTAACCATATGATTTATTTTTGATTAATTTATTCTGATTAATTAAAAAAGAGGGGCTTGGAAATCTCTACAAAGTAAAGAGAAATGCTCAGTGCAGTATAAATTATTGCGAGTTAGGAGTTTTAGAAAATATGCATGCTTCAAAATTATTCCAGATATTGCAGAGTAACAATGAACTGAACTACTTTACAGCACTAAAAGACTAAGTAATATATTTATTTATTTAGTCTTTAAGAAATTAATTACAAGATATTATACATAATACATTATAATGACTTTTTAAATATTCAATCTTTTTATAATTAAATTTAGAATAAAATACAACAATTCAAGAGAATAATTGTTTCTTGCATCACATCAACTGACATGTAAAAACACTCTAAGCTAACAGCAAAGTTGAAAAGAAGAATTTAAGCTTCAATAAAAATCAAAAACTTTAAGTAGCGTAGTCCTATTTCTAACCATTAAGACGATAATCAGCAAGATTCAAACACAAATAGCAGTGAAAATTTTTAAATAACTTCTTAGGATGAAGAAGACAACTCTTAAAAAATAACAGATTTGGACAAATTTTCAGCCATCAACAAGGAAAATTTCGAAGATAGAAGAGTAATACAATACTTTTTTATTTCTAGATATGAATGGCTATTTTTTAGTTTTAAATTTGTCTCTCTAAATAGCAAATCTAAAATGAAATAGAAACAATTAAAATATCAAAAATAAAAACAATCAATTTATTACCACTTAATTTTTATTTAAAATATGCCAAATACTTTATTTATTTATTAATTCTTTAATTGAATTATTAACTAATCATCATTCAATAAATCACTGAATTAATTAATTATTTATTCTTCATAAATTAAAGTTCTTATTGAATATAATCCTTCACGCCTGTGACATTGGCAACCCTTGCTTAGAATACAACAATTACATGAATTGGAGCTATTTGATCACTCAAGAATTCAGCGATTAAGTATCAAAATATATTTATTAATTTTATTTGTTTGATAAAAAATGTTATCACTTCGAAATATTTAGAAATACAATCAATAATTTTTTTATAAATAAACTTTAATTATTTAATAATTTTGTTGATTTCTGTCTTTAATAAAATTGATATTGATTTTAAATTTAAATATTTAATACAGACATAAAAAGAAGAACAATACAACCTCCCTGTGACTGGTTTCCTTATATATAAAGATAAACTTACTTTTCTTAATGGACAAACCTTTTTCTGCAGTAAATAAAATTAAATATATTTTTTCTTATCTTACATATTAATTGATTATTAATATAGAAGCTATGGTCTTGCCTATATGGCAAGAAATAGGTGATTTCTTCCATGAATTAAAAATATATCCCTAGTCAATAGAAAACAATCTCAAAGAGTTAGAAAATAGAAAAAATAAAATGAAATAATAGATTCAAAGTGCTTGATTGATTTATTGATTAATTCAAATAGTTGGTTGGTTGGTGGAATAATGTTTGATTGGCTAGTTGGTTTGCTTATTTAGTTATAGAGCATAAAATAAAATAAATTTAAAATGACGTCTTTTAATTACCAATTAATTATCATCAAAAAAAACACCTTTCTACAAAATAAAACCAAAAACAAAGACTCATTCATTCATAAAACATTAACATTTTTATTAACATTAATTATAATATACTATACACAATCATATTAAATAACAAAAAATTTTGATTCTATTAATTACTAACTTAATAACCAATAAAAGCACTAATAAGCAAGCAAGGAAGCAAACAAGAAAACTTCATCCTTTTGATAAAACCCAATTGACAAAAACACCTATTTAACAACATTCATTTTTGTAAGCTCTTAACAAAGCTATTAATAATCCTATCTAATTATAATCTTTAGTCTAAGTATCTACTTATTCTTTCATCTCTTTCATTTAAAGCTGCTGAAAAACTAACTAATTAAAAGTTATTGCGGTTTAAAAAACAAACAGCAATAGCTTTAAATAATAAATTTTGAAAACAAACAAACAAACAATCATTAAGTAAGTAAGGAAGTAAGAAATGATTTTTTAAAACTCATTTTTATAATATTACATTTTTTATAAATTCAGCTATGATTTAATAACTTAACACCTTTAAAATTAAACTAACAATAATCCAATCTAAAAAATAATTTCGCTGTATAATTTGTATAAATTTATGTAAAATTAATAGATTTAATAACATTTTTTTGCATAATTCAAACTTACTTTTTTGAATAAAATATTTTTTATTCATAAAAATAAAATTTTATTTATTAAATTCTAAAAAAATTTCTTTTTAATTAAAACTATTAAAATAGTAAAATATATTCATTTTAGTTTTGATAAATTACATATTTTTCATAATAATTTATTGCTTTCTCAGATAATTATTTCTCTATTAGGATATAAATATTTAGTAGAATAATAAATATTATTTTTCAAAATAGGTAGGTTTCTGAACCTAAACAAAAAAACAAATAAAATAAAAAATTTTTAATCAAATAATTAATTTTTTAATGAAGAAATCTTAATTTTTAATCAAACATTTAATTTTTAGAGTTAAGCATTTTTTTCATTCATTTTAAAATTTTAAATGTAAAAAAAATAATAATTAATTTTTTCATTTAAAAAAAGTAATTTAAAAAAATTTTATTTAATATATTATTTAATAAATATTATTCATCAATGTCTCTCTTGTAAAAATAAACAATTAATAAATTATAAATTTTTGTGATTATTGGTTTTATTTTAAAATATTTATTTTAATCTTAATTTACTTATTTATTTACCACATTTGCTTTTCCTAAGTTGTTAATAAAAAGCAATTAAATTGGGACTAGTTATTCATTAGGTGTAAGTTCTGGTTATTCAAAATGCTCTAATCTCTAAAATCTAGCACTCCAACTATTGTAAAAACAATTTATTTGCTTTAGAAAATTAAATTAAATAAACTTAGTTAGATATTCTTATTTATTTTTAATTCAGTAATTTATATACATACCATCCTTAAAATTGAATGAATAAAAATTAATAAAAACTGTTGTTGCTGCATTTTTTACTTAAATAAATTTCTTATTTGATTTAAAAAATTTTTTAAACTTTGATTAAATGAAATGATAATTAATATATATTCTTATATGTCGCTTTTAAAATAAATAAATAAACGTAATCAATTAATGCGTTTTTAGAATTGATCTTTAATTTGAAGACTAAATTAACTTCTCAATATTTTATTCGAAATGAATTTTTAAGATAATCAACAAATCATAAAAAAAGGCCTTATCGAAAAAAATGAAAAAACAAAATACAACAACATGCTTTAATAATTTTAGAATTGTAATTCTTTATTTTCAATTTCTTTTTTTATTTATTTAATTTTATCTAAACAAAAGTTTTTAAGTTCAAAGCTACCACATCACAAAGACATTCAAATTGACTTAAGGTAAACAAACATAAATATGTATAATTTTTTTTTTTATAAAAGTTAGAATAAACGAAATCTTGATTTGAATATTAATTAGTTACTTTCTTTTTTTAACTTTGATTATTTAAATTCATTTTATTTTTAATAATTTTAATTTAAATATCTACATTTACTAAGAAATATTAATAGGGAAAATTTAATTGATAATTAAGGATTGTCAAACTTAGGATTTGCTTTATAGAAATGCGTTAATCTCTCAGATTTCAAATTAGATCTAAGGTGAAAATATTTTTTTGCTGTTACTTACTTACATTATTCTAAGTTATTTATATTGTCAAGCATAAATAAGAAAACAAGCTAAATTTTTATTTACAAGTTGATTTACTTGCTTGTTTTCTAATTAAATAATGCTTGCTTAATTTGTAATGTTTTATATTTATCATATTTAACTTTTTAGTATATTTATTTTTCTACAAATATTTTCTTAAAATAAAATAATTGTAAAAATATGTAAAGCTAGAATTTAATTGATTCATAAGGTGCATCCAATTTAGGTCATGGTTTAGCAAAATGCACTAATCTTTAAACTTTTACTCTTGATCTAAGGTAACAAAAGATTATTTTCAGATTAATAAATTAAATTAAAAAGTAAGAATAAAATTGGTGTATTTGGTGCATCTGATTTAGGTTCAGCTTTAGCAAAGTGTCTTAATCTGTCAAATTTGACACTTGAGTTTAGGTAAAAAGATCAAATAAATTTATTGTTTTTTTCTTTTTAAAAAATTTTGACTAAATATTTTGTTTCTGATTTGAATAAAGTTATTTTTTTTTCCTTTTTTTTTAAATAATTAAATTATTTTAAATATTTATAAAGTTGCAACTCTATAAATTCTTAGGGTATACAAGGTTTATGTTCCTAATTAGCAAAATGCGAATCTCTCTCAAATTTAACTCTTAATCTAAGGTAATGAATGTTTGCTTGTAATTAATTTTTATATGATTTTTTTTAATACTCATTTTCTAATTTGATTTTCAATTATTTATTTAATTTTTGATAAATTTAGATTATTAAATTTAAAAATTCCTTTATGTTTTTAGAAACTCATTTTTATAACATAAAAAGTAAAAAAATATTTATTCTCCTTATTTAATAAAATATTTCAAGAATGCTTTCATATTTTTCCAAAATTTCTTTCTTTTAATATTTTTTTATAAAAATTCTTAAAATAAAAAATATTTCTCAAAAAATATATAGAAAGAATTTAATTAATGATAAGGGAGTATCTGAATTAGGTTTTTATTTAGCAAAATGTGCTAAACTCTCAGCTTTGACATTATACCTTGAGTAAAAATAGTTTATTTAATATTTTTTTACATTAAATAAAGAAATAAAAAAGAAAAATTATTAACTTCATTTGTTAGTTTGATTAACTGATTAATTAATATTAGGTAAAATAAAATCGGTGATAAAGGTTCATAAAATTTAGGTTCTGCTTTCGAAAAGTTTACTAATCTCTCAACTTTAAATTTTTATATAAGGTAAAATAATTAATTTGTTTGTATGTTTTGTCATACAAAAAATATAAAAAAAACATATTTATTTTTATTTGATTTCTTTTTTTTTGAATAAGATCTTAATTTTTTTAAAACATTTTTATTTATTTATTTTTTAAATTCATTCAATCAAAACTCAATTTACATTTTACTAATCTCTCAACTTTAAATTTTTATATAATGTAAATAAATAATTAATTTGTTTGTTTTGCAATACAAAAAATATAAAAAAAAGAAACAATATTTATTTTTATTTGATTTCTTTTTTTTTTCAATAAGATCTTAATTTTTTTAAAACATTTTAATTTATTTATTTTTTAAATCCATTCAATCAATACTCAATTTACATTTTTATTTTTCTTCTTTATTAAAATAAATAATCAATATTATTTTTATAAAAAATATCAAGTGATAATATAATTAGTCCATTGGGTGCATCAGCTTTATTTTTTGGATTGGGGAAATGTTCAAGTCTCTAGATATTGATATTAGATCTTGGGTAAAAATAAATAAATAAATGGCTAGCTTTTTTATTAGCTTTTATTAATAATTTGAGCTATTTATTTTTTTTTATTTAATTTACAAAATTAATTTAAAAAAATAAAAATGATTTTTATTTAATAGCTTGCTTTTTTATTGTCAATAAATAATTAATTAATTAAATTTTTATTTTAAACGATCAAATTAACAACTTAATTTAAATTTTATACTACTTCTTTTATTAATTTATTTCTACCTAAATATAAAAGAAATTAGACTGGTGCAGTTGGTGCATCAAATTTAGGCTTTTCTTTCACAAACCATGCTAATCTATCAAATTTAATAATATACCTCAGGTAAAATTTTTTTTTTTTTTTATTAGAATTATAATTAACCTTGTTTAACTCAAGATAGAAGAAAAAAACTTACTTTTTTAATTTTTATATATCAACTAACAATATAAAAGTAAAAATAAAATTGATGACAAGAGTGCATTAGACTTATGCTCTGGTTTATCCAGCTGTGTTAATCTTTCGAAATTAACTCTATATCTTAAGTAAGAATGATATTAATTAGTTTTTTTGAAAAATAAATTGTAAAAATAAGAATATATAAATAAATAATAAACTTATTTATTTTATTAAGTTATTTATAATATTAAAATGGAATGACTGACTGACTAATAACTAATTAAATTATATTACTTATTAATTTATTATTAAATTGAAAAGATAGATATTCTTTTTCAATAAAGTAACAAATTTTCATTTTAAATTTTAAAAGCGATAATTTAATCAATATTCAAGGAGCATCAGACATAGGATTTAATTTAGCAAAGTGTTTGCGTCTAAAAAATTTAACACTTAATCTAAAGTAAAAATAGTTTATTTATTTTCTTTAATTGATATGATATATTATTTATTTAAATAATGACAAAAATATTAATTAAATATTCAATAAATTAAATTTCATTTCTCTCTCTTATTTTTATTTTAAGCAAATTTGATTAATTGATTCATTTATTATTTTATTTCTAATTTTTAGAATTTAAATTAATATTTTTCAATATTAAAATTTTAAATTAAATTTTTCATGTTAAATAATTAATACATTTTCTTTAAAAACCCAAAAGTAATAATTGCATTAGTAATAAGGGAGCATTATGTTTAGGTTCAGAGTTATTTAAGAGCTCTAGACTATCTATTTTGAATGTTGACCTTTAGTAAAAATTATTAATTTACTCTGGTTAAAATATTGTGTTTTTGTACAGATTATTGTTTGTTTGTTTATCTTAACTATTTTAAATAAAACAAATTAATAAATAAATATTTACATATATGTAAATAGATTTAATGGAGTTAATGAAAATGGCTTTTAAGATTTTTGTAATGCTTTAATAAAGTGCAATTATCTCTCAGTTTTGAAAATGTAAAAATAGTTTATTGAGATTTAACCAACATATTCATTTATTTTTGTATAACAAATATTAACAAAATGACCATGATTATTTAATTAATTTTTTTGTTTTTATAATAGAATATGGTTTCTAGATTGATTCTTTCATTTATATATTTATTTACTTAATTACTTGATGATATGCTTATTTATAAAAATAATAAACTAATTATTTAATATATTTATTTAAAAGGTATGAAGATACTTTTTTTGGATTTAGGCTTAATTCTAGAGTTAAAAAAATGAAGAGATTAGTAGAAATCATAATTGTTAGAAGATATTGATTGAATAATAAATAAAATTATTTAAATTTTAGAATTTAGAATTTTAGATTTCGTTGTAAAATTAAAGAAATATTTATGTTTTTAAGCACTTAAACATATTAAAAAAAAAGTTAATATCATTTTTCAATTAGTACTTTTAAATTTTATCTTTACTCTCAAAGCTTTTGTAAAATAAATTTATTTTTGCAAAAACTTCTTTGTTAAAAATTGAATAACAAAATAAGCCAAAGTTTTTTTTAGCAATTTAGCGAAGTAGCATCATTATTTTTATCAGGTTTTGTTTTTATATATTTAACTGCTATAAGAAAATGCTTTAATATTTTGTTTAAATTTTTTCTGATTTATTTTGATATTTAAATTAGAGAAAAATAACAAAATTATTTTAAATATTAAATTAGTAAATTAAAAATTAAAAAATTTCAATAAATATTTCAAAGACTAGGTTTAACAAAATAAATTTAAAATAAGTTTGAAAATTTAATTTAAAGATTAGAAAGTGTTCTTTTTTTAGTAGATACAATAAATTTATATAAATGCATTTATAAATTAATATAAATAATTTCTTTTTTTTTGAGTTTTGTTAGAAATATTTATCAATATTTTCAAATATTTATTCTCAAATCCCAAAATATTTAGATTGGGCAGAATGTCATGATAGGAGATATAAGCTTTTAGTATACAATAATTTGCTTAATATCCTGAAACATTATGTTTAGAAGCTATATTTATTCTTAAGTTTGTTAATATATCAAAGAGCACTCAACACACTCATGAAAAAATCTACCCTCTTCAATTTACTTGTCTTTATGGATTTTTTCGCTATTATTTGTTTATATTGAGTTTTTTCTACTTGTTTAGTTTGAGCTATTTGAGAATTTATTTTCAGTTACAGGAGATTTTAAACTAGGTGATGTTAATAAACTATTTGATTGTATGGATTATAATTAATCAGCTCTGATTGGTTAATATTTTTATTCGTATTCTTAAATAATATTTTATTTGTCGTTTTCAAAATCATTATCGTTTTCACAATAAATATGGTAATAATAGTTGTATTCTAGATTTACATAATATTGAGAGTGTGACTGAAATTATTTCCAATTCATTGATGGCAGATAGTTGTGGCTTTTAATATCTTAGCATCTATCTAAAGCAGATGCAAGAGCTTGACCTTTGAGCTTTTTTACGCTTTAATAAAGAGAAAATTCTATAAAATTTCTATGAGGATGCACCATTTCGCTTTCTGACTACTCTGTTTCATATTCAAAATCTATTAATTAAAACAGTGAACATATTTAATATTAACCTTACTAATTAAAACATATAGCAAATTAGTGTTTATAAAATAGATGGATGCTCTAAATTTGTAAAGATTTTTAATATTTAACTTAATTTAATCATTAAAATAATTGTTATAAATATAATAAGTTATTTATTTATTCAGTCAATTACCTTTTTTGCCTGATTGTATGCTCATTTAAAATGAGTCTTCATAGTCAGATTGGTCTGACGAAAATTACTAAGATTCATTCGAATACTTCTCAATATTGTTTGTCTGAGTGAATTAAAGTTTGTAATTCTCCTCGTTTATCTCAAAAAATTATATGATTTGCTATAATATCCCATACTAGCTATTAGCTTTTTACTAATCCTTCAAATCATTCAATAGTTATGTTACTTCATAGTAAACATGATTTCCTTTTTTAAACATTCCTAGCCTCTCATTTACAATTTCCTCTGCTTGATGTATAAAATGCTTCAAATTGTAAAAAAATGTTCCTTTTTCTTAAGTTGCACAACTAAAGCATCCCAGTTTAAGTTAATCCATTTCTTATTGATAAACATAATTGACAGTTAAATTCGGATGTTCGTCGCATATTTGACTAAACTGACACTCCATTAAACAAATAGATAAATAAACAAACTTACTTAACTTTTGTTGAATCAAAAAATTTTAAATTACTATTTTTAAAAAATATATCAGAAAAGAATCAATTTACAAAATATTAACTTTAATAACTAATTTATCAATTAGTTTTTGATCAAAAATTCTTATTTTATATATAGCTAGATTGATAAATCAATCAATATTAAATACATACTAGACAATTAAAATCAATTAAATATTTTCGTTTATTAATAGATGTAATTTTTGTAATGCAAATAAATAAATAATTTTAAGAACCTAAGAAAATTTTTGTATTAATAATACCTTTTTCATATAAATTTATTACCATAATTTGTGAAAAGTTTTAAATATTTTCAAATTTTTATTTCTATCTATTTTTGAAAATTTAGTTAAAAATAAGTAAAGATTTAAATAACAATTTCATTTTCAATAATAAAATTTAAAATTAGTTTAATTTAAAAAGGTACAAACAAAAGGAACTCTTGAAGTGCTATTCACCTCATATCACACCAAAACGAGAAAATTAAACATATTGCAATTAATTAAGATAAAATTAGCAGAAAATAACTATTAATTTAACATCTTTTAAGAGACCATTATGATTTATATAATCATTGATTAAGACCAATAAAACATTTTTATTATTTAAATACAACTAATCAATCATTTATTTTGCTCTATAATAGTTTTTATACCAAATTTAATGTTTAATCATTTTAATTAAATATTTAATCACAAATATTATAGTTTAATTAAAATTAATTAGAGATCGATACAAAAAATAATTTAGAACTGAAAATTATTCAAAAATAAAATTAAAGAAATTTAAATATAATGATATGGATAGATATTTTTAATACTTAGATTAGCTTTATTTCAAAATACCATAGATTCCCTTATTTAGTAATATCAAAAATAATTTTTTGAAATATAGAAACTAAATTGAGTCGCTTTTTGACTCGATTTTCAAAATTTTAATAATAACAAAAAATGAGAAGAATTTATAGTTTATATTTATTAATAATTCTTTATTTTTTTACTTTTTTAATAAACTAATTGAATATGTTTTAATAATTTTATGTATAATTTAAAGCTAAATAACATTTTTATCAAAATTAAATATTTCAATCAGCCTTCTATTCTGAAATTTTCATCCTAATTTCTAATTTTGAACATAATGAAATATCTTAATTCTAATTTATATCTCAATTTTTTTCAATAATATCACTCATTTAGCACTGTTACTAAAATTCTATTTGACTTTAAAGGTATGAGGATTTTTATTGAAATTAGTTAGACTCTTATTCTTCATTATCATCATCATATTATTAATAATTATTAAGTTTTTTTTTATAATGTTTTTTGATATATTAAAGCACAACCAAAATTATAATTATTATGCAAATAACCAAATTAAAAATAAATAAATATAGGTATAAGGTCTATTTCTAATGATCTATTTCATTTTGATCATTATTTTTATTTTACTATTAATATTCTTATTTTAGTGTATTTATTGCAATACTTTTTTATATAAAATATTACTTTTAGTTTTTATCAGCAAAATACTCATAACCTAAATAATTATTCTTCCAATTAATTGCTCTCAGCTCTATAACTAGTTTTCCATTAATCTCTTAATCAAAATTTATTTCCATTTCTATTTACGAAGGATAAAAATTATTATAATAGAAATCTTCAATTTTTAACAAACTATTGTTCTCCTAAATAATATAAACTTAAATTGGAATCAATAATAAATTTTTATTATTAATTTAAGAGCTATCATCAAACAAAACCTAAATATTTAGTATCAAAGATTAAGAATGATATAAAGTAACAGACTAATTGTTGCAAATATTAAAATTTTTACAACTTACAGACACTAGAGAATCTAAAAAAGAAATATCTTTTTGTAATTAACCTTGCTTAATTTCATATTATTAAATTTATTTTGAGTTAGAATATTTTATAGATTAAACATTAATTATTTATGACTATAAATCAATCTTGAATTTGATCGTTTTTTTCAACAAACTATTATGGTAAATTTGTAAATAAAAAATGCAAATATTTAATAGGCATTTTTTCGAAAGCTAGTTTATTTAAATTTAACTTTGCATCCTGAATTAAAAGCTGAAGTAACTATCAATTTTAAAGTCTTTGAATTCAAGGTTAAATATATCATCTGAAGGGTCAACTTTCAACTAAAAATCATAACACTCTCTTGGCGTTTATGCTATTGTTATAATAAGTTAAATATTTTGACTTTAGCTAGATAAAATACTACTTTTAATATGAAATGTTATATATTTCTCTAAATTTATCAAATTTTATTCACAAAATTTAGATTCCAGCTGGTTGAAATTATTTTCACATCTCTCGAAGATTCCATCATCATCAAAAACAGGGTACGAACTGCGATCAAGACAATATTCTTAGCAAATTCTATCATTATTATCAAGCAATTTTGTGAGTCTTGGACAATCAGCATAGCACATATTTTAGAAGAACGCTTTTTGATTTGCACATCTGCATGTACCATCCTATTCTACCATAAGATTTGATAAATTACAACTCAAACAACTCTTTGATGATTTACTTGAGCAACTTTTACATAAAGGATGACATTACTAGCACTTATTATTTTCATCTGAAAAAGTTCCATCTGGACAAATTTATAAGCAAGAGTTTAAGTAAAGATAAGGATATTCTTTATTGCATTCTTCACAAATACTGACATGCTACTAACATTTAGAACAATTGCTTACCAAACAGCACTAATTTTTGGGCAAATTTAATGAATTTCCTTAACATTTTAGACTATCACAAATGCATAATAAAATACCATTACAAAAATATTCTTTATAAAATTAATTACATTCAGTGCAACTAAATGAATTTTCACAAGAAAAGCAGTTACCAGGACATTTTTTGCACTATTTAAAATTAGCATCGCCTCCTTTTATTTATGGATAATAGCCTATAGGACACTTATCAAAACACTAGTTACTTCCATAATATTAATCAGTTAATAAATATTTGTCTGGTTTACATTTCAAACATATTCCATCAATTTTAGAACAAATTTAACAATTTTCATCACAATTTTTTTTACACATATTTAAAGAAGGTATAAACTAGTAGAATAATATGCACTCACATGCTAATAAAGCTTATTCAAATATTGAATTAGAAATACATTTTATACATTGATTTTAATTTTATTAAACACATTTTTGAATTGTTAAATTTTAATCACAATCATTTTGATTATAAACAATAGCCCAATTTTAACATTAATGAATACATCTTCCATCTTAAGAAGTATAACTAATAGAGCATTTTATACAAACATTTTTTTAATACTTACTACAGATTTCGCAATTATCAACTTTGCACATTTTGCATAATAAGTTTTCCTCATCTACCAAATAATTAAATTCGCATTTAGTTGCACACAGAAAAGCGTTATCTTCATACCTATATAATCCATCACATGACTCAATACATATTCTCATTCCATTTTCAATTTTATAAAATTTAGGGCATATTTTTACACATTTATTCCCTAAATAATAATCATATACTGAGTGGCATGAACTTCCACACATTCCTCCATCCTGTAAATAAAATACACATACTTTTTTACACTAATTAGTTTCATAGTAATAAAAATAATTTTTCAAGCAAGAATTACATTCAAACTATTTTTGTTCAATAAAATAGTCATAATTAAAAATGCATTATTTGCACCCATCAGGACATACAAAACAAAAGTTTCCAATTTTAGAATCCATAAATTTTTATTAGTTATAATAACAGTTTTAATAGCATTTAAAATCTTACATTAAAAAATAATTTGGTAAACACTATAAGCATTTTTTTTCATCTTTTGATAAATTAAGACAATTTTAAATCTTCTCATTCATTTCTATTTTATCTATTGAAGATTCTTTTTTACCAGCTTAGCAAATTTATTAATCCTAAATATGATAAAAACCATACTTACATTTTAAGCAAATATTCCCTTCATGACATACTAAGCAGTTTTCAATTAAGCAATCTAACACTTTATAACTTTAACCATATTTTTCTAAATACTAATTATAGCCTAAATTCAATTGCCCTATAAATTAACTCCTATATTTTTTCAAACACTTTTATGTGTCACAATAAATGTAAATTTTGCATTTCTAAGTTTGGCAAAAGCATAAACCTTAAAATAGGACATATCCTTCCTGGCATAAGATGCACTATTTACCTTAATGAATGTAACTTTGTTCTATATGAATATTGTTTTATTTAATTTTATCTACAATTTTACAGTCAGGAAATTTGGAATCAATAAAACAAGTATTATCTTAAGAATAATCAAGATAATATCCTTCAAAACATTCAACACATTTATCATTTACAAACTACTTACAAGGTATTTAAGTTTATTTGCAAATTGTATAATTAGAATCAGAGTTTTAATAAATATAAAAATTTTGAAAATTATTAATGCTCCCAGGTACACTAATTCCACAAATAGCTTCACAATTAGTCCCGTTTATTAATTTATATCCACTTTGACATAATATGCAAGTACTTTATAAACTGTGTATAATACAATTTTAAATATTTTATTCGCATTTCAAAGTTTTAGAGTTAAAATAAAATCCATTTTCACATTCTAAGCAAAAAGAGTGCTCCTTGTTGTATTTAGAACATTTTTCAAAATACAAATCCTTAATTTCCACTTAAGAAAGGCATTCAAAAACTAAGTAAGGGAATTCGGGTATATTAAAAATATGTAAGATCTTTCCTTTGCATCTTTAAAATAAATACTTATGATAGTAATAAATACTTACTCCTTTTTACAACTAATCTGTATAGTTAACACATATCTAGTCTTTCCTGTCAAAATTAATCCCATAAAATTTATACTTCTTGTTCAGTTATATAATTTCTGAATCAGTACTAAAATAATCTGAACCTAAAATTGTTTCTTATAAATATTTTAAATAATTAATAACCTTTAAATTTTTTAAATCAAAGTTTTCCATCAAATTTGGATTTATAACAGTATCCATCGAGCATTATAAGCTGAAACAATCATCACTATTTTAAATTTAATGCATACAAAAATATGATCGAATCCTTTAGATGCATCTATTTTTATACTCATCAATATAGTATTATTTATTTTCTCTACAATAAACACATTTCATTTCACTATCAAACACACATTAATCATCTTCAATATGGTTACCATCAAATTAGTCTGAAGATTGTTTTAAAGATAGATTTTTTTTTTAATTATCTTGAACCTTTAAGCTTTTATTTTTGAATTCTTACAATCTATTAAAAGAATAATATTCTTTTATTATGTTTTTTTCTGTATAATTTTAATTTAATCTTGCTCCAACAAGAGGATCGTTTAATAAAAAAATTTAATCATTGTAATGATTTTCTTTATAATTTAAATTTATTTTATTTTCAAAATTTTATTAGTTAAAGCGATTTTTATCATTTTTAAAGATACATTAGCCATTAAGAAGTATCATTTCTATGCTACACTTTAAGCATTTATTAGGATCTTTTTTATTTAGAATAATACAACCTGACATTTTTATGCAATTTTAAAGATGAAGCTTATAAAAAGGAATACACTTTGTACATAGTTCTTTTCCTTGTATTTCAATATACTCTTGACAAAAGGGTATAACAATTTAACACATTGATTTATCATCTTTTAATGCATAATCTTTTTAGCACTTTTAATAGCCATTCAAACTATATTATGAAAATAAAAAGCATCCTTCTGATTGGTCACCATATTTCTCTTGATAAAAATAGTTAACTTAGCATATTTTTTAATCAGAATAGTCAATAACTTTGTCTGTATTGATAAAGTTTTCTCCTAAATAAACTCCTTGTTAGGTCAAAAAGTAAGAACTAAACCTCTACTAAAACTGCTAACATTTATTTAACTTTGAATTGAATAAAGCACAAAATGTATAGAGTGTATCTTTATATATATTTTTTGTATTAATATCTAAGATAAACCCAAATCTTGGAAATAAACACTCTGTTTCACTTTCATTTACTATTGCACATCTTTCAAAAAATTTTTAATCTTTAACGATAATATATTAGTTATTTGGTAGTAATTGAATACCATCTAATGCCTCTGCGCATTATCCATCCTAAGATAGTCTTTTACAGTTAGCATATTAGAGATGAGACAACTAAAATCTGAATTCAATACATGATTTCATATTTTTAGAAACAACATAATCTACTTCACATTCAATACAGAGAAGTTAATCATACAAATAGGGATGGAAAGTATTAGGAGCATATATATGCTCAACGCACTAATCTATTTAATCTATTTTTTCACAATTAAATGATGAAAAGATTTTAAAAATAAGAAATATTTAAAATAAATAAATAATTCTATCTTTTTTCATTACTTTATGGCTGAATTAATATTTAATTAAATTTATCTTATTTTTATAATAAATTAAATCAATTTCTTAAGTGGTTTAAGACTAAATAAATTGCAAATAAACCTAATTTCAAAAAGGAAGATTGTATACAACTTTCTAAGTACATAGAGATTTTATTTTTTGTTAATAATTTATTTTTAATATATATCAAAATATTAAATCTAAAATGTAATAATTTGATTGTAATTTAAAAAAACACATTAAAATCTTATCATGAGGTAGAAATTTCTAAATCCCTATTTTAAAAAAATTTTCAATCTAATAGAAAAATTTTGGTAAAGATATACCTATTTAAGAATTTAAGAAAGATTGGCTTTTAAGGTATATTTGATCAAATATTTCTAACACTTCAGTGAAATTTTCTTAGAATTATCTATGTAACCAAAAATGACTTATTTAGTAAGGTAATTATAGTATGTTTTTCATTAAGACACAAAAAAAACCATTAAATTCTATTCTCCTAATTTCTAAATTTTATATGAATTTTTAAAAATAATTTTTAGAATTCTTCTTTTTATTTTAAAAAACTTTAAAATCGTTAACCAAGCAAGGTATTTAAGATTCTTATTTTTATTTTTTACTTATCTATTATATTTATTTTCTAAAATCTAATGAGAATGGCTTAATTTTGAATATAAAATAAATGATTTTCAATAATAGTAAAAATCATTCCTTATTGATAAGTGAAATAAGTAAGACCACTAAATTAAAAATAGCGGTAATTTAAATTTCAAAAGTAGTCAAAAGACTTAACTATTTTTTTTGAGAACAATAATAAAATTTTTACTTTTAACATTAGATTTTCTTGAATTTAATTAATTAATGAGTGAATAATAATAAATAATCTAATAACATTTTCAATGAAGTAAATTTAAAAAAAAGAATCTAGTGAATATTTAAAATTCAGTTAAAGCAAAGGTAAATATACCTTACAAGAGGTAAATATCGATAAAGATATTGATTTTTATTCCATAGCTAATACCTAGCTTTTATAAGACTTAAATAATAATAAAATAGATATCACATAAAAAGATATTTTTGAGTTAGATTAAAAGGATGGTATAAAAAGTTTTATAAAGCTTATAAATTAGGTGTTATTTGCCTTAAATTCGATATTACAGGAAAAAGCTAATATACTTCAATGTCTTAAGGAAGAATATTATGACTATTTAGTCGTAGATTACCTCGATTAACTATCTTTGTCAAGTAATCTTCTAGGAAATTTAAAAAATTACCCTTAATAAACACACTAAGCAAGTATTCAAAATAGTATTTGCAATAGTTATTTAGATGAAGAGATAAAAAAAGAAATATCATTTTAAGAAGAATTAAATAAATATATTTTCATTGGAGAGTTGAGTAATTAAAAAAACAAAAATTTAGAGCTTTTAATAATACTAAAAGAGTATTATAAAGATTTAATTTTAAAAAAATTTTAAGAAGAGGATTATTAAGTAATAATTAAAAATCCATTTAAAATAAAACTCAATTAACTTAAAAATATTTACTTGGATACCCTGACAGCTAATTTTTAAATAGTACAATGGTGTGACCTTAATTATACAGTTAGTTCAGATATAGAAAGCTTGCAAAAATTAATAGATTAGCAAGCAACAATTTAAATTTTTAAGCTTTTTGTTAATTTAAAATAAATATTAATTGAACATCATAATGATTGTGATTGTTATAAGCCAGATTTTTAAATTTAAGATTATATTTATCATTCTTATGAAATAAATTTGAATCTATTTATAAAAAATATTGAAATAGAAATTGAAGATTGTTTATATTCAAATATAATATTGAGTCTAGACTATGAAAAATATGATTTTAAGATATATAAAGGAAGTGGAAGAAATAAAGATATAAAAAAATTAATTCTAAGAAATAAGGATATGGATGAAATTGATTTAGCAGCTAATGGAATATAAATACCTAATATTTTAAATAAAAAAAAACTATTTGCCAATAAATAATATTAAATTATAATAGAAGAGCAAGATTAATGCTTATTAAGGATAGCCTTATTCTATAAATTTTAAATTTAAGATTTGTTAAGTCTAAATTTACAAAAATTTATTGTAGATTTATTTTATGATTGAATTATTAACTTAAAATTAAATTTAAATTAATTATTAGTTAAATAATAAAAATTTTTAAAAACACAAATGCTTTTTTTAAGCTATTTAAATATATATTTTTTTATTGTCAATTTTTGAATTAATTTTTGTAAATTTCATTAATTAAAAAAAATATTTTTTATGAAATAAATTTTCAAAAATTTACATGTATTTTTATCAAAACAAAGATGAATGAAATAATTAGAGTTTATTTATTATAAGAATTAATCCCTCATAATTGAATCATTATCTTATGATAATTCTTTATTTTTTTTACTTTTTTGAATAAACTAATTGAAAATGCTTTAATACATTTATGTATAAATTAAAGCTAAATAACATTTTTATTCTAAACTAAAAATTTCAATCATTCTTGTATTCCGAAATTTTCATCCGAATTTCTAATAATTTTGAACTAAAATAAATATTTTAATTCTTATTTTTATCTCAATTTTTTTCAATAATGTCACTCCTTTAGCTCTGTTACTAAATTTCTATTTGACTTTAAAGGTATGAGGGTTTTTCTTGAAATTAGTTAGACTCTTATTCTTCATTATTATCATATTATTAATAATTATTAATTTTTTTTTTATGTTTTTTGATATATTAAAGCACTACCAAAATTATAATTATTATGCAAATAACCAAATTAAAAATAAATAAACATAAATATAAGGTCTATTCCTATAGGTCTATTTCGCTTTGACCATTTTTTTTATTTTACTATTAATCTTCTTATTTTAATATATTTATTTCAATACTTTTTTATATAAAATATTACTTTTAGTTTTTATCAGTAAAATACTCATAACCTAAATAAGTATTCTTCCAATTAATTGCTCTCAGCTCTATAACTAGTTTTCCATTAATATCTTAATCAAAATTTATTTCCATTTCTATTTACGAAGGATAAAAATTATTGTAATAGAAATCTTCAATTTTTAACAAACTATTGTTCTCCTAAATAATATAAACTTAAATTGGAATCAATAATAAATTTTTATTATTGATTTAAGAGCTATCATCAAACAAAATCTAAATATTTAGTATCAAAGATTAAGAATAATATAAAGTAACATGCTAATTGTTGCAAATATTAATATTTTTACAACTTATTGATATTAGAGAATCTAAAAAAGTAAAAAATTTTTATAATTAACCTTTACCTTTCTTAATATCATATAATTAAATATATTTTGAATTATAATATTTTATAGATTAAATATCGATTACTTATGACTGCAAATTAAACTTGAATTTGATCGTTTTTTTCAACAAGCTATTATGGTAAATTAATAAATGAAAAATGCAAATATTTTATTAGCATTTATTTGAAAGCTAGTCTATTTGAATTTAACTTTGAATCCTTAATTAAAAGCTAAAATAGCTATCAATTTTAAAGTCTTTAAATTCAAGGTGAAAAACATCATCTGAATATTTAGGGTCAACTCTCAACTAAAAATCATAACACTCTCTTGGCGTTTATGCTATTGTTACAATAAGTTAAATATTTTGACTTTAACCTTTTAATATACTACTTTTAATATGAAAAGTAATGTATTTCTCTAAGTTTATCAAATTTTATTCACATAATTTGGAATCCAGCTGGTTGAAATTATTTTCACATCTCTCGAAGATTCCATCATCATCAAAAACAGGGTAAGAACTGCGATCAAGACAATATTCTTAGCAAATTCTATCATTATTATCAAGCAATTTTGTGAATCTTGGACAATCAGCGTAGCACATATTTTAGAAGAACGCTTTTTGATTTGCACATCTGCATGTACCATCTAATTCAACCATAAGATTTGATAAATTACAACTCAAACAACTCTTTGATGATTTACTTGAGCAACTTTTACATAAAGGATGACATTATTAGCACTTATTATTTTCATCTGAAAAAGTTCCATCTGGACAAATTTATAAGCAAGTGTTTAAGTAAAGATAAGGATATTCTTTATTGCATTCTTCACAAATACTGACATGCTACTAACATTTAGAGCAATTTTTTATCTAACAGCACTAATTTTAGGGTAATTATAATGAATTTTATGGATTTTTGCCACAATTTAGATCATCACAAAGGCATAATAAAATACCATTGCAAAAATATTCTTTATATAATAAATTACATTCAGTGCAACTAAATGAATTTTCGCAAGAAAAGCAGTTACTAGGACATACTTCACAGTATTTAAATTTTGCATCGCCTCCTTTTATTTATGGATAATATCCTATAGGGCACTTATCAAAACACTAGTTACTTCCATAATATTAATAAGTTAATAAATATTTGTCGGGTTTACATTTCAAACATATTGCATTAATTTTAGAACAAATTTAACAATTGTCATCACAATTTTTTTTACACATATTTAAAGAAGGTATAAACTAGTAGAAATCTATGCAAAGGCATTCTTTAAGTTCTTAATAAAATATTGAATTAGAAACACATTTTATACATTGCTCTTAATTTTATTAAATACATCTTCCAATAGTTAAATTTTAATCACAATCATTTTCATTATTAACAATAGCCTAGTTTTAACATTTATAGACACATCTTCCTTCTAAAGAATGATAACTATCAGAGCATTTTATACAAACATTTTTTTAATACTTACTACAGATTTCGCAATTATCAACTTTGCACTTTTTACATAATAATTTTTCCTCATCTACCAAATAATTAAATTCGCATTTAGTTGCACACAGAAAAGCATTATCTTCATACCTATATAATCCATCACATGACTCAATACATATTCTCATTCCATTTTCAATTTTATAAAATTTAGGACATTTAAATACACATTTATTCCCTAAATAATAATAAAATACTGAGTTGCATGAACTTCCACATATTTCTCCATCATGTAAATAAAATACACATACTTTTTTACACTAATTAGTTTCAAAGTAATAAAAATAATTTTTCAAGCAAGAATTACATTCAAACTATTTTTGTTCAATAAAATAGTCATAATTAAAAATGCATTATCTGCACCCAGCAGGACATACAAAACAAAAGTTTCCAATTTTAGAATCCATAAATATTTATTGGTAATAATAACAGTTTTAATAGCATTTAAAATCTTACATTAAAAAATAATTTGGTTAACACTATAAGCAATTTTTTTCATCTTTTGATAAAGTAAGACAATTTTAAATCTTCTCATTCATTTCTATTTTATCTATTGAAGATTCTTTTTTACCAGATTAGCAAATTTATTGATTCTAAATTTGATAAAAACCATGCTTACATTTTAAGCAAATATTCCCTTCATGACATAATAAGCAGTTTTCAATTAAGCAATCTAACACTTTATAACTTTAACCATATTTTTCTAAATACTAATTATTACCTAAATTCAATTACCCTATAAACTAACTCCTATATTTTTTCAAGCACTTTTATGTGTCACAATAAATGTAAATCTTACATTTCTAAGTTTGGCAAAAGCATAAACCTTAAAATAGAACATATCCTTCCTGGCATAAGATGCACTATTTACCTTAATGAATGTAACTTTGTTCTATATGAATATTGTTTTATTTAATTTTATCTACAATTTTACAGTCAGGAAATTTGGAATCAATAAAACAAGTATTATCTTAAGAATAATCAAGATAATATCCTTCAAAGCATTCAACACATTTATCATTTACAAACTACTTACAAGGTATTTAAGTTTATTTGCAAATTGTATAATTAAAATCAGAGTTCTAATAAATATAAAAATTATGAAAATTATTAATGCTCCCAGGTACACTAATTCCACAAATGGTTTCACAATGAGTCGCGTTTACTAATTTATATCCACTTTGACATAATATGCAAGTACTTTATAAACCGTGTATAATACAATTTTAAATATTTTATTCGCATTTCAAAGTTTTAGAGTTAAAATAAAATCCATTTTCGCATTCTAAGCAAAAAGAATGATCCTCGTTGTACAAAGTACATTTTTCAAAATACAAATCCTTAATTTCCACTTAAGAAAGGCATTCAAAAACTAAGTAAGGGAATTCGGGTATATTAAAAATATTAAAAATATTTCCTTTGCATCTTTAAAATAAATTCTTATGATTGTAATAAATACTTACTCCTTTTTATAACTAATCTGTATAGTTAACACATATCTAATCTTTCCTGTCAAAATTAATTCCATAAAATTTATACTTCTTGTTCAGTTATATAATTTCTGAATCAGTACTAAAAAAATCCTAACCTTAAATTGTTTCTTATAAATATTTTAAATAATTAATAACCTTTAAATTTTTTAAATCAAAGTTTTCGATCAAATTTGGATTTATAACAGTATCCATCGAGCATTCTAAGCTAAAACAATCATCACTATTTTAAATTTAATGCATACAAAATTATGATCGAACCCTTTAGATGCATCTATTTTTATACTCATCAATATAGTATTATTTATTTTCTCTACAGTAAACGCATTTCATTTCACTATCAAACTCACATTAATCATCTTCAATATCATTCTCATCAAATTAGTCTGAAGATTGTTTTAAAGATAGATTTTTTTTTTAATTATCTTGAACCTTTAAGCTTTTATTTTTGAATTCTTACAATCTATTAAAAGAAAAATACTTTTTTACTATGTTTTTTTCTGAATAATTTTAATTTAATTTTGTTCCAACAAGAGGATCGTTTAATAAAAAAATTTAATCATTGTAATGATTTTCTTTATAATTTAAATTTATTTTATTTTCAAAATTTTATTTGTTAAAGCGATTTTTATCATTTTTAAGGATACATTAACCATTAAGAAGTATCATTTCTATGCTACACTTTAAGCACTTATTAGGATCTTTTTTATTTAGAATAATACAACCTGACATTTTTATGCAATTTTAAAGATGAAGCTTATAAAAAGGAATACACTTTGTACATAGTTCTTTTCCTTGTATTTCAATATACTCTTGACAAAAGGGTATAACAATTTAACATATTGATTTATCTTCTTTTAATGCATAATCCTTTTAGCACTTTGAATAGCTATTCTAACTAAAATACTAAAGTAAAAAGCATCCTTCTGATTGGTCACCATATTTCTCTTGATAAAAATAGTTAACTTAGCATATTTTTTAATCAGAAGAGGCAATAACTTTGTCTGTATTGATAAAGTTTTCTCCTAAATAAACTCCTTGTTAGGTCAAAAAGTAAGAACTAAACCTCTACTAAAACTGCTAACATTTATTTAAATTCGAATCGAATAAAGCACAAAATGTTTTGAGTGTATCTTTATATATATTTTTTGTATTAATATCTAAGATAAACCCAAATCTTGGAAATAAACACTCTGTTTCACTTTCATTTACTATTGCACATCTTTCAAAAAATTTTTAATCTTTAACGATAATATATTAGTTATTTGGTAGTAATTGAATACCATCTAATGCCTCTGCGCACTATCCATCCTAAGATAGTCTTTTACAGTTAGCATATTAGAGATGAGACAACTAAAATCTGAATTCAATACATGATTTCATATTTTTAGAAACAACATAATCTACTTCACATTCAATACAGAGAAGTTAATCATACAAATAGGGATGGAAAGTACTTGGAGCCTATAAATGCTCAACGCAATAATCTATTTAATCTATTTTTACACAATTAAATGATGAAAAGATTTAAAAAATTAGAAATATTTAAAATAAATAAATAATTCTATCTTATATCATTACTTTATGGCTGAATTAATATTTAATTAAATTTATCTTATTTTTATAATAAATTAAATCAATTTCTTAAATGGTTTAAGACAAAATTAAATTGCAAAAAAAAAAGGAAGATTATATATAACTTTATAAGTACATAGAGCTTTTATTTTTTGTTAATATTTGATTTTTTAATCTATATCAAAATATTAAATCTAAAATATTGTAATTTAGCTTTTAAGTAAATTAAATTCATATGATTTATTATCAGATCACTATATTTTTGATAGCATTTAGCTATATTATAGATTTTAAATTCAAAGCTCAAATTTACTTTTATTATTATTATCTAAAATTAAAAACTAAGAAATCTTTTTTTCTAAACAAAAAATCTTTTATTTATTTTTCTATCTAAATTTTATTTTTTTAACCTTTACTTATGCTTAAAGAAATATTAATTTCCTTTATTAATACATATGTTTTTTATCTATAAAATAAAAATTTCATATTTATTTAATCATATATGACAATAGCAATGAATAAAAGTTTTGATCATTTATGTGAAAGCTCAAAGCTGACTTTTGAGGAATTACTTTATTAAAGTAAATTTTGTTTTTAAATTTTTTTTTTATTTATTAAATCAGAAAAATATGAAATTTATAAATATAATAATAAATCTATCTATTTTTTTAGGTTTGTTTATCCGATTATTAAATATTATTAAATAAAACAAATAATTCTTTTTTTTATTTTAAAGAGTTTCAAAATCTTTAACCAACCAAGGTATTTCAGATTCTTATATTTATTTTTTACTTATCTATTTGTTTTCTAAAATCTAATTAGAATTTTTTAATTTGAATTTAAAATAAGTGATTTTGAATAAAAGTAAAAATCATTCCTAATTCATGAGTGAAATAAGACCACTAAATTAAAAATAGCGGTAATTTAAATAGCAACAGAAATCAAAATATTTATTTGTTTCTTTGAGAACAAATAATGAAATTTTTACTTTTAATATTAGATTCTCTTGAATTTAATTAATTAATTAGTAAATAATAATAAATAATCAAATAACATTTTCAATGTAGTAAATTTAAAAAAAAGAATCTAGTGAATATTTAAAATTCAGTTATAGCAAAGGTAAATATACCTTACAAGAGATAATTATTGCTAAAGATATTGATTTTTATTCCATAGCTAATACCTAGCTTTTATAAGACTTAAATAATAATAAAATAGATATCTCATAAAAAGATATTTTTGAGTTAGATTAAAAGGATGGTATTAAAAGTTTTATAAAGCTTACAAATTAGGTGTTATATGCCTTAAATCAGATATTGGCGGAAAAAGAGAATTTACTTCGTAAATAAAAGATAAAAGATAACTATGTAGTTGTAGATTAAAGTCTGAACGACAGCGATTCTGATATTAACATTGATTAACTATCTTCGTCAAGTAATCTTCTTGGAAATTTAAATAATTACCCTGAATAACTAAACTAAACAAGCAATCAAAAAGTTATTTGCAATATTTACCCTAAATAGATTACTTAAAATAATAATTTAAACAGTAACTGTTTACAATTCTTCAAGGAGAGTAATTTAAAAGAACATTTTTAAAGTCCTTCTTAATAGCTTATGTAATTGAATGATTTAAATAAAGAGACTTTTTAGCTCAATTAATCAAGAAATCTAACATTTGATTTAAATAATAGCTCTTAATAGCTAAATTAATCCTATAATTTAGACAATAGTTTTTAATAACTCTCTTAACCATGCAATATTGAATGTGGTTTAAATAATTAAGCTTAATAGATCCCCTAACTAAGTAACCTAAATAATAATTAATGTAATTTCCCTTAATAGACAACTACTTAATATATTGGTTTCGACAATGACTCCTTAAAACCTTCAACACAAATTAATTCACAAAAACATTTTTTAGATCATCCATAATAACTTGTTTAATCAAATAATTTAAATAAAGAATCTTTTTAGCTCAATTAATAAAAGGACTTAACATTTGATTTAAATAATAACTCTTAATAGCTAACTTAAACCAATAATTCCTAGAATAATTTAAAATAACTCCCTTAACCATGTAATATTGAATGTGGTTTAAATAATTAACCTTAATAGCTCCCATAACTAAGTAATCTAAATAATAATTAATGTAATTTGCCTAAATGGGTTACTTGTAAAAGTAGTTTCGACAAAGATTCCTTAAAACCCTCACCACAAATTAACTCACAAAAGCATTTTTAAGATTATCCCTAATAACTTGTTTAATCAAGTAATTTAAATAAAGAATTATTTTAGCTCAACTAATAAAGCAATGTAGCATTTGACTTAAATAATAAATCTCTATTGCTAACCTAATCCAATAATTTCAACAATAGTCTTTTATAATTCACTACCACTAAACCATACAATATTGAAAGCGATATAAAAAGTTAACCTTAATAGCTCCCCGAACTAAGTAATCTAAATAGAACTAACTATTTTTATCCTTAATAGACTACTTAATATAATAATCTCCATGATAACTCCTTAAAGTTATTATAACAAAATAGCTAATAATAGCTTACTTAATCAAATAACTTAAATAAAGAGTCTTTTCAGCCTTACTAATCAACAGATTTAACATTTGATTTTAATAGCAACATTTCATAGTTTCCTTAATCTAATTATTTCAACAATAGCCATTTATAATTATCTTAAACAAGTAACCTTCCAGGTAATTTAAGTAACTAACCTTAATACCTCCCATAACCAATTAATCTAGACAGAAATTAATTTAATTACCTTTAATAGACTACTTAATATAATAATTTCTACAAATAATCCTTAAATCTTTAATAAGAAAGTAATTTAATAAATAATTTTTAAAATGATCCTTAATAATCTTCTTAATTTACCAATTTCAATTGTCACTCTAAATAGCTCTCCTAATAAACCTAATTGAGTAACCTTGAAAATGTTACATAAATTGAAAATTTTTAAAATAAAAATCTATACAAAGATTTTAGTAATGACTCTTAATAGACTAATTAATAAAATATAATCAAAAGCGAGCTTTAGTAACCCACTTAATCTATTAATAAAGAAGTAAAATAAATAAAAGAAGAGAGAAAAAAAGAAATATCATTTTAAGAAGAATTAAATAAATATATTTGCATTGGAGAGATGAGTAATTAAAAAAACAAAAATTTAGAGCTTTTAATAACACTAAAAGAGTCTTATGAAGATTTAATTTTAAAAAATTTTTAAGAAGAGGATTATTAAGTGATAATTAAAAATCCATTTAAAATAAAATTCAATTAACTTAAAAATATTTACTTGGATACCCTAACAGCTGATATTTAAATAGTACAATATTGTAATGATAGTTATAGTGTTGATTATTCAGATATAGAAAGCTTTAAATAATTAATAGATTAGCAAACAACAATTTAAATTTTTGAGCTTTTTATTATTTTAAAATAAATATAATTAGACGATTGTAAATGTGAATGTTTTCATCATCATCTAGACCAATATCGCTTTCCTTCTTTGTATGAAATAAATTTGAATGAATATTTCTCTTCTAAAGTAAAAAATATTGAAGTAGAAATTGAAGATTATTTATATTCAAAAACATCATTGAAACTAGACTATGAAAAATATGATTTTAAGATATATTTAGGAAGTGAAAGTAGTGAAGAAATATAAAAATTAATTCTAATAAATAAGGATATGGATGAAATTGATTTAGAAGTTAATGGAATATAAATACCTAATATTTTAAATAAAAAATAACTATTTGTCAATAAAAAATATTAAATTATAGTAGAATAGCAAGATTAATGCTTATTAAGGATAGCTATATTCTATAAATTTTAAATATAAGATTTGTTAAGTCTAAATTTACAAAAAATTATTGTAGATTTATTTTATGATTGATTGATTTATTAACATAAAAATAAATTGAAATTAATTATTAGTAAAATAATAAAAATTTTTAAATAGCACAAATATTTTTTTAAGTTATCTAAATATATATTTTTTTATTGTCATATATTTTCATTTTTAGAGCTATTATTTAATTTAATACATTTTAAAATATTGGTTTTTAAATTCATGATAAAAGTAGAATATTAATATCAGAACCTTTTAAAATAATTAAAATGTATACATATGTATCTTTTTTAAATAAAATCAAACTTAGCATATTTTTAAATTTATAAAACAATATATTTTATAAAGCTCATATTTTTTAATGCTAAATATTTTTTCCTAATTCGATCATATGTGGTAATATATAATACTATACAATATTTATTTTTATCTCAAAGAATTGATTTAAACCTATTTGTATTTTATTTATTATGTAGTTATTTATTTTAAAATGTAAAATTATTTATAATAATGTTTTAATAATATGAATTATAAAATAATAATAATATGATATTTTGTTTAAAGTATTAATCATAAACAACATCATTGTTATAATTTTGAACATACTGAAAATAAATTACTCTTCGTTTCTTTTCTCATATTAATTTGTTTGAATCTTATTTTTAAATTGTAGCTAGCAAATAATTTTCCATAAACATAAATAATTACAAAATAATAAAAATAAAGATAGCAGTTTATCATTAATTACAAATAATATGGGTTTAAAGTTTAATGATGAATATCAAAAGAATTTATTTATATATTTTTTTTAAGATACTGGAAATAAATTAATGTTATGAAAACTGTAGATGTTTGATTGATTAACTTAATTATATTTCTTATTTTCTTATTTTGTTCACTAAATTAACAGAACTAATAATCTTTTATATTAGAATGTGTAAATTAAAATTATCCCCACTCCTCAAATTAATTATTATTGATTGATTAAAAAGTTAGTGACACGAACATAAATTAAAAATTCCATAGATTGAATTTTAAAAAAATCAAAGGTAATTAATCACAAATTTTTTTTTCTGAATTAATTATTTGAAGAATTAGGATACGAACTTAAGAAAGCTGTTTTTGATTAATTCAATTTACTTGTTTCTTAGATCGATATTTTATTGACTAAATTTGGCAAATAATTAATATTTATTTTTATATAAAAATATATAAATAAAATTTCCCCACTCCTATATCGATACCTAAATTAATAATTATATATAATCATATAGTAATTTATTACAAATTTTATGGGCAAATTAAGAAATAAATTAAAATAAGTTATTTATAAGTATTGCTTTTATTATCCAATATTACATATTTACTATTTTTCCTTCATCTTTAAAAAAACACTAATTAGATATAATAGTAAATTATTATCTATAAATTGCTAATATGTTTAATTTAAATTAATAGAGATGTTAATAAGAATACAATCTTAACCAAGTACCAAAATATTATTTTTAATGATTTTATTAATGTTTAATTTTATATATGATTTTTTAATCTTACTGTTAATAATGTTAAAGATTTAAGGATTCAATCAAATATTATTTATTTGTGATAAACAGTTGCTTCTTTAGTTTTATGATCAAAAATCAAAATCATTAAATTCGAAAATTGATATTATTAATTTACAATAATCTGTAATTTACATGGTTCTTCAGAAAAATTATATTGGTGATAAAGGAATTTAACAATTAATTATCATGCAAATAAGTAATAGGTTTTTTTAATCTTTTTACTAAATATGGAGAACTTAAATCTAATTATTAACCCAAAACAAAAGTATTTTTAAAACTTACTAAATCATATGAATTTTATGAGTGCTAATAGAAATTCCATTACACTAAATAATCTATAATTATTTATTCTGTTTACTAGATTTTACTTAAAAGTAGGCTAGCTGATTTTATTTTGCGATTAAGAATATGGTGTATGAGTTTTAATCTATAATTTATGTTTTAAGGTAAAGTTGACCACTTACATTTTATAATTTTAGGAAGATAAGCAGCTGTTTAAAATCTATTTTAGATAGTTGGTTAAAATAATTTAAAGTTATCATTAGATATTGGACATTTCAAAATTTATTACACATTTCAAAATAGTTAGTTTTAAGATTTTTGCGGCTACAAACGTTTTCAGAGAAGTTTTTTTAAAAATACGAAACTAAGAAAATTACATATTTTTATTTGCTTTTCGTTTGTGTACCTATTAATATCTTGGCTATAAAAATGTGGAATAATCTTTTTTTCTTATTATATTTAATTAACCAAAAAAAAACAAACAATTAAATCTGCAAAAAAAAGTGGGATAACAATGTAATTTGAGAAAATCATAGCATTTCTTTTTGTTACTTTACAAAGTAAAATTTGAATTTAATTAATAAATTATGTAAAGAATTTTTTATTTTTATATTTAAAAAGTCTTTAAATACTCTTATGCTGATGTGGCTATAACTTGTGATCCAGGATAGGTAAATATGGGAGGTTTAAATGCTAGTTGTAAATATATCATTAAATATTTATTTATTTTTTATTGAATATATTTTAATAATGATTAGACAGTTCTTGCGTATTTAATATAAGAAATCCAGTTAAAGATTTTACTTAAGATATGATAAATACCATGACTAAATACTCATAAAACGATTGCTATAATCAAGTTAATTATCCATATGATAAACCAAAGTTATCTGGGGATACTTGCACATCAGACAAAAATATAGTAATACAATATACATCGTAAAAATTAATTATTTTTTTTAAACAAAAATAATTTGATTAATAAATTTAGCATTTTCAATTTAAGATACAATATTTTGAGATAAAATAAAAATTAAAAAGAAGATATACAGATTTTTATTTTTTGATTCTTTTAATCAAACTTCTAAATTAATTAGGGATGTAAAGATATATGCAATATTTTTTCAAATGTACATGAACATTGCCATACCAGGAGATTGGAATTTAAAATTGCAGGTTAATATTAATGGTTTAACTTATGCTAGTAATGTTGGATTCAATCCAGGCTTAGATAATTCTTATTGTTATTTTTACTAGTATGTATAAATGAATCCAAATTAAAATACAATAACAATCAATATTACTCCATACAATAGGGTTATAACTCCAGTAGTTAAAAATTACATTTCATCTATGTATCTGGCTATATAAACGGTAAATTTAATTATAAAATTTATTCATTAAGGAATTTAAGTTATTTATTTACTATAAGAGTAAAAATATTATTAAGTAAAATTAGCCAAAAATACTATTGAATACATACTATTTATTATTTTTAACTTTTCTTTCATTTTTTTAAATTTTAATTCACGCTTTAAATAATATCTTTAACTTTTTATAAAAAGTGTCAATAGCATTGTACTTAATGCGATTTAAATCAAGTATGTTAATAATGTGATCCTGGGTATTATTACAAAGGAGATACAAAAGAATGTAGATAGTGTGAACCAACATGTAAAACTTGTGATGGCCCTAATTCAACTAATTGTTAGTCTTGCTATCCAGGAATTTATTATAATTCAGGTACAAAATAATGTCTTTGCGATCCAACCTGTAAAACTTGTGATGGGCCTAATTCAAGTAATTGTTTATCTTGTTATCCAGGAAAATATTATAACTCAGGTACAAAATAATGTATTTGCGATTCAACCTGTTAAACTTGTGATGGCCCAAATTCAAATAATTGTTTGTCTTGTTATCCAGGAATTTATTATAATTCAGTTACAAAACAATGTATTTGTGATCCAACTTGTAAAACTTGTGATGGTCCTAATTCAAGTAATTGTTTAACTTGCAATCCTTCTTTGTATTATTAATAAAGCAATAAATCGTGTGTAGTTTCTTGTAATCAAGACTAATTCCCAGATTAAAATCTTTATTGCTAATCATGCGATCGTACCTGTGCAAGTTGTGATGGAAAAGACCCAAACAACTGTAAATCTTGCTATCCTAACACCTCTCTCTACAACCAAAGCTGCTATAGCCTTTGCCCAAATGGATTTTAAAGTATTTCAAACAAATGCAATTCTTGTGTAGATAATTATTGGACTCCATAATGCAATGCCTGCTATGCAACCTGCTAATTATGTGACTAATCGCAAATTCCAAATAAACAATGCAATTCTTGCTATGGTGAAACTAGATATATTAATGCAACATAAAATTGTGCTTGCAAAAATTCAAAGGATTAAAGAGAAATATTTTATTAATGCAGTTACTAAACCATTGCAGTAATTGATGCATAATTAAGCGCAACATCTCCTTTACTTACAATTGATTTAGGATCTCCCTTGATGAATATATTATCTGATACACCTTAATCTTTATGCTCATTAATATTTGATTAACCTACTCTCGATAGTCTTGGAAAAGATTCTTAATGCCAAATAAAAGGAAATACAATTTAAGTTAATTTAAGTAATTTACTTTAAAAATATTATTTTAATTTTTGAAATCAACCAAATTAATAAAAAGCTGACTCTTCAACAATTATGGAAAAAAATTTAATTACTCTTTTACCAGATAAGTTACAGTTTCAAGATTATAGCCAATATTTTATTAAAACATTTTACAGAAATGTTGTTTTTTAAGAATATCCTGGTGTAGCTTAGCCTTAATTTAACTATAATCACATCGAAAATAGCTGTAATCCTATTATTATAAGTATGTATAAGTTATTAAATGATGCAGGTAGAAATTTTATGAGTTTGAATTGGAATTTAGTAGAAATCTAAGGTTAAATAAGTGATCAATAAAAATAAACTATACAGGGGATATTATTGACAGCAAGCTAAAGCAAGAACACAACTTTAAGCATTGATCCTCAATATATTCCACCAAACATAAATATTACTATAAACTTTAGCTCTTAACTTAAAGTTAATTAAGCATTTTCTCAATAGTTCACAATTATTTATCAAAAATAGAAATTCATCAGAATCAACTATTAGCAATCTACATACCCACCAATTTACAGGTTTATTTATTTATTTTATAAAGCTATTTAATATAAATATTATTATTTAATAATTAGATATACTAGCTTAAGCTTCTACTTTTAATTTTACATTGAAGTATGTGAGTAAGGTTAAATAACTTATTATAATGAACCTGTAAATTTGCAATTAGCTTCAAACCAGCTTTCACAGTAAAGCCTAAGCTAATATACACAATCAAGCTATCAGTATGATGTTCTACCTTATACTTTAGCATCAAACTAAGTCTTTAGCATGACTGTAATTTATTAAAAATTAGTGAATTATGAAACTCAACTTATTTAGGATTAATAAAAGCTAATTCCTTCAATTTTTTTTTTTACATAAAAATAAACAATATCTTTTATATAAATTATATGAAATAGAAAGCATTTAAAATTAAATTTTGAATAAAATAATTATCCTTAAACTAAATCTTTTATCAATTCATTTTCTTTTGATAAAATAGATAATTTTGATTTAATTTACAAAGTAAAAATGGTTTATTCTCAAAATTTTAAAATATTGCTTATCAAGTATACTTATTTCTTATTAATTTTTTAATTTTAATAACAGCTTACTTTAAATCTTTGCTCAGACACTAGTGTTGTCTCTGCCTAAAAGGTATCGCTGAATATTCAACTTACAGATTTATACTTGCAAATTATCGGAGGTTAAACTTTCAATTTAGGATTTTAAAATAAAATGGTCTTAAATACTTAATCAAGAGATTATGAAATTCAAGATCCTAATTCTCCTTAAAATATCGATTTTAGCTGGAAATGCTCTAGTTTATCATCTAATGATGGAATTTGTAAGGACTACAATAATACTTAGATTGTATTAGCGTAAGGAGTCAGTAGTATTACAATACCTGCTAAAACTTTTTTGCCATATACCATCATTAAGTTAACAGTCACTGGATCAAAAACTCCTAGGCAATAAAGTTTCACTGCTACTGTCGTATTCACAGAAATAGATATTCCTCCTCTTACTGTTAATTTTTAAGCTTCACGCTTAACCCAAAAATATAATTTGAATGATGAACTTGATTTTATAATTGTGTATGGATTAAGTTCTTCCTCAGATTATTTGTCTTATGCAGGAGCTATTTTATATAATAATGATGCAGTCGCAGCTATAAAATTTGATTATTTTCAAGTTAAGTTGAGAATTTGGAATTATTATTAAAAGATCGATCCCTCATAACCAGCAATTCAAATAAGATTTTCTGTATATAACCCACTATATGTTATGCCAAGCTTATCAATAATAAATATTCCAATTAATATTCCTCCTAGAAACTGTGTTTTGCAAGTAAACCCATTATAAGGAATAGCCCTTTAAACTGTCTTCTAAATCTAATTCTTGAATTGTTAAGATGAAGACCTTCCATTGACTTACTAATTCTTCTATTACAACAACGCTGATGATGCTCAACAAGAATTAGTCTCTCCTTGGAATATAGTAAGAAGATAGATATAAGACTAGACAGCAAAGAATTCTATACAAATAGTTCTACCTTAGGGTAATCTTGTAGTAATGAGTTAGGTTATGGATTCTTAACTTGGAGTTTTTAATAGCTCTTCTACAATCTAGGTTTAATCTTAGAATAAACCAGTTAATGAATATTACTAATTTGTAAATTAATTAACTTTATAAAGCTTATAAAGCTAAAATTTGTCAGTGACAGATAAGCTTGTGATTTTAAGCATCATATCAGAAGATATAAGTAAAAGTAATTTAGTTTCATAAGATTTGAATAATTTAGAAAGTTTACTCATTTAAAATATAAATTAATTGTCTCTTTAAATTCCTAAATTTTCCCTTTTGTCTACATTTGCAAATAAAGTAACTGCTTAGTTATCATAATTACTATTTAGCTCATAATAATAAAGCTAGTTTTCTTCGTAGAAAAATGATATATTTTAATAGCTTTAAACCATACTTTAGAATACAAATTCTGCAATTCAAAGCAATGATCTCAGTCATTTACAATAAAATAATGATGTTCATATTCAAAACATGGTAGATTCATTTAAAGTTTTAAATTCAAGTGTGACTTTAAACACTATTAACTCGCAATCAGATTATGATAATTATGATAATTTATCAACCAAAATTAGTAATCTATTAAATAATATTAGTTTACCAAATTAAGGGGAAACAATCCTAAATGGTAATTTGTCCAATCTTTTGTCAGATAAAATAACTTAAAAAAACTTGTACAAATATGTTTTAAATTATCAAGATAAAGGACGGCTGTTGGCTATGTAAAATGAATCAGATTCATAGAATTAAACTAGCGTATTTTCTATTTCAAGAAATAATTATAAATAAAATATTTATGAGAATACTCCAAATTTTTAGGCTTACACTGATCAAATCAAAAATATTAGTTCAAACTTCACTTTCTCAAAAAATTAACTAATATCACCTTAGATTTAAGATTCTTCTTAAAAACCCATAAGTAATTCAAATATTATATACTCATTTGATCAAGTAAAATCAAATAATTAATATAATATGGCATGTCTCTAAAAAACTGATCAATCATGGAGTAAAAAAAATTGTAGTATTGTTAAATTTACTGAAGCTAGTTACATGTGCTTATGTGGTTCTTAATAGCCTACAACAATGGTTGAAGATGTCGAAGATATGTTTACAAAAAATAAAAATCTGTAGACAGCCTTTGGAGAATAAGGTCTATCAAACTTTTCAAATTTTACTAACTTTTATAAGTTTGTAGTATTTTGGCTATTGACAAGTTTTACTTTGGTTTAAATTCTTCTATTTATTGCTGGGAGATTTTTGGACAAATTCACATTAAAAAAAAGATAATAAAAAGTTCATATTGATGAACTAATTAACAACAATATCTAAAATGATTAATAAAATTAAGAGCAACAATAATAATAGCAGTAAATCTAAGAAAATATTTAAGATGTTTGTGAAAATTCTTAATTAGTAAACAACGATTAAATATAGAACTCTCCTTTCTAAAATTAACAAAGTAGTGAAAATATTTAACTTGAATTTTAGAAAATTTAAAGAATTTCTACAGTTTTTGAGTAGGAAATAGTTTTTGAGCAAAACAAAAGAAAAAAAATGAAATTCAGAAATGTTACAAATTAGCAACTCCAAATCAATTTTAAACAATCTCAATAATCTCAAGAAGAAAATATTGAAATGAATGAAGAGAAAGCAGAGTCAAATTCAATAAAATTTAATCAATAGCAATCAAATTATAAAAGTGAAGATAAAATCAAAACAACCACAAACTCACAAACCTAAATGATTGAAACTTAGGCCTAATAATAGAAAATTTAAAAATTTGATACTTATGAGTAAATTTCTTTCATGAAAAAAGTTTTAATCTTCCATTAGTTTTTTAGTATTTTTTACGTTTATGATGATGTGCTTTCTAGACCATTAAGATTCACTCTGCTTTACATAAAAATAATACACACCTTATCTATTGCAGTAATATTCCAAGGATTTACTTTGCTTGCTTAGCAAATAATAATTGCATTAATAAACAGCTTATTAATGAAAATATTTTTTTTTGGAATACTTTATACTTACAAAAAGGGTTCAAAAGGTAAAACTTTTTCTCTAATTTTACAAGTAGTGTTAAGCTTAGCTTATTACTATATCATTTTAGCAGTATCTAGTGGCAAAACTCCAAGCGAATCAAACGAATTCTTCCTACTATTCTTACTGTCTTTTTTAACAGAAATGTTATTCACTGAGATAATTAAGTCATTTTTAATGATCTAATTGATAAAAAAATATTATACATCAAATAATCCAGAAGGTATTTTTACTAAATTATTTAATGTTTTTGACTTAAAATAAACTTTACTTAATATAGATTGAACCATGTTCATTTTATAATATATATTATATTTTTTAGTTTTATTATAAATGTGATGGATTGATTGTAGAATTTTATTTAAAATAATATTCCTAACTTTTTTGCTAATTTATTTTAAGATTTAATTAAAATAAAAATGATAAAGATAAATAACTTTTATAAAGGTAAAACGTTAATAATCTTGAATTAAAAATAGTATTCATTGTGTTAGTACAGATGGTTGTTTTTTATAAAATTTTTATGTTTTATGTTAATTCTCTTCATTTTATAGATTCATTATTTTTATTAAATTTAAACATTTTTTAATAATATTTAATGTTTTTTTCTAACTTTAAAATATTGAGGAAAAAAAATTTTTTTACTCATATTATAAAAAATAATATTATGAACACTTTATTCTTAATTGAATTAAAAATTGTTTAAAACATAAATTATTTTAATAAAGTCATACAAGTTGCCATATAATTAAAGTTACTTTAAATTTCTTAGAAAAAAAACAATAAAATATTTTAAATTCCAGTAAACAAAGAATATATAATGAATAAATATAAATAAATTAATAATTATAAGAAGAAGGTTTAATTTAAACAACTTTAAAAATATTAACATATGAAAATATTTTATAACTCACATAATTAAGTTAATTAAAAAATATGATTTTGAAAATAACTTAATTTAAAAATATCTAATTTAAGATAGTGATGTTTATAGTGAGATGCCATTCAAAAATTCAATTGTTTGATTGTCACTTATTATGAAATAGATTTTTTAGTTATTTATTAAAAAATCTGATTATTATATTTTATAATAGAATTATAATTTCAATAATAAATAATTTTTAAATTTAGCTAAATTTTCTGAAGTGGGGTAGACAAAATACAGGATTTTGGGCAATTTCTGTAGTGATTAATAAAAAAAGTTTTTTTCCCTAATTCCAAATTTTTATCTTTGGTAAAATATTTTAACATAATGTATTTTAATCTTAAAGAATTAGTTTAAACATATTCATTCGTATTTATTCAATTAAATAGTTATTTATTGAAAATGTTTTAACTCATATTAATTATAAAATAATAATAATAAATAATAAATATATATTATTTATAGTATTAATTATAAATAACCTCATTGTGTATGAGCCTTTTGAAAATAAATTGATATATATTTCCTTTCTCATATTAATTTAATAAAATGTTTGAATCCTTATTTTTAAATTTGCAGCTAGCTAATAATTTTCCACAAATATAAGTAAATACAAAATAATAAAAATAATGATCGTAAGTTTATCATTAATTTAAAATAATATGGGTTTAAAATTGAATGATGAATATCAAATGAATTTATTTATTTATATATATTTTTTAAAGATAAAATAATGTTATAAAAACTGTAGACTATTGATTGAATAACTTAATTAATCAGTTTTCTAATAAAATATGTAAAACAAAATTATCCCCACTCTGAAATTAATTATTATTGATTGATTAAAAAATTTAGTGGCACAAAAATTTAAATAATTAAAAATTCCATAGATTTAAAAAAATCAAAGGCAATTAATCACAAATTTTCTTTCTGAATTAATTATTTGAAGAAATAGAATACGAATTTAAGAAAGCAGTTTTTAATTACTTAAATTTACTTGTTTTCTTAATTTGATATTTTGTTGACTAAATTTGGTAAATAATTAATTTTTATTTTCATATAAAATATATAAATAAAATTTATCCACTCCTTTTTCAATACTCAAATTGATTAATATATTTAATCATATAGTAATTTATAACAAAATTAACAGGCAAATTAAGAAATAAATCAAAATAAGTTATTAATAAATTTTTATTTTTTTATCCTCTATTCCAAATTTACTATTTTTCCTTCCTTCATCTTTAAAAAACAATAATTAGATATATTAGTAAATTATTATCTATAAATTACTAATATGTTTAATTTAAATTAATAAAGATGTTAATGAGAATACAATCTTAACCAGTTATCAAAATATTTTTTTTTATGATTATATTAATTGTTTATTTTTTATATGATTTTAATCTTACTGTTAATAATGTTAAAAATTTAAGGATTCTATTCAAATGTTATTTACTTTTCATAAACAGTTGCTTCTTTAGTTTTATGATAAAAAATCAAAATCATTAAATTTCGAAAATTGATATTATTAAATTACAAAAATCTGCGATTTACATGGTTCTTCAGAACGATTATATGCATGATAAAAGGAATTTAGCAATTTATTATCATACAAATAATTAATATGTTTAATTAATTTAATATTTTTACTAAATATGGAAGACTTAAATCTAATTGCCAACTCAAAACAAAAAAATATTTTTAAAATTTACGAAATCATATGAATTTATGAGTGCTAATAGAAATTCTATTATACTAAATAATCGATAGTTATTTACTCTGTTTAATAAAAAGGTAATTAAGCACACATTTTCTTTCTTTCTTAATTAACTATTTGAAGAAACTGTATACGAACTTTAAAAAATTTTTTTTGATTAATTAAATTTACGTAATCTCTTAGATTGATATTTTATTGAATAAATCTGGTAAATAATTAATATTTATTTACATAAATAAATATAAATAAAATTTATCCACTCCTGTATCGATACCCACCTAAATTAAAAATTATATATAATCATATATTAATTTATCACAAATTGATGGGTAAAATAAGAAAAAAAATCAAAATAAGTTATTTATAAATTTTGCTTTTTTTATCCAATAATATAAATTTACTGTTTTTCCTTCATCTTTAAAAAAACACTAATTAGATATAATAGTAAATTAGTATCTATAAATTTCTATCATGTTTAATTTTATTTAATAAAGATGTTAATAAGAATACAATGTTAACCATTTATCACAATATCATTTTTAATGATAATATTAATTGTTTATTTTTTATATGATTTTAATCTTACTGTTAATAATGTTAAAAATTTAAGGATTCTATTAAATATTGTTTACTTGATATAAACAGCTGCTTCTTTAGTTTTATGATTAAAAATCAAAATCATTAAATTCGAAAATTGATATTATTAATTTACAATAATCTGTAATTTACATAATTCTTCAGAACAATTATATGCATGATAAAAGGAATTGAACAATTTATTATCATACAAATAATTAATAGGTTGAAATAATTTAATATTTTTAATAAATATGGAAGACTTAAATCTAATTACCAACTCAAAACAAAAAAATATTTTTAAAACTTACTAAATCATATGAATTTTATGGTTGCTAATAGAAATTTCGTTACACTAAATAATCGATAGTTATTTACTCTGTTTAATATATAGTACTTAAAAGTAGGTTAGCTGATTTTCTTTTGAGATTAAGAATATGGTGTGTGAGTTTTAATCTATAATTTATGTTTTAAGGTAAAGTTGTTCACTTACATTTTATAATTTAAGAAATGTAAGTAGATGTTTAAAATCTACTTTTAGATAGATGGTTAAAATAATTTAAGGTTATCATTAATTAGATAATGGACATTTTAAAATTTATTACGCATTTAAAAATAGTTTGTTTTAAGATTTTTGCAGCTACAAACGTTGTTTTCAGAGGAGTTTTTTAAAAATGCTAAACTAAGAAAATTACATATTTTTATTTGCTTTTCGTTTGTATACCAATTATTATTAATAGATTGGTTATAAAAATTTGGAATAATCTTTTTTTCTTATAATATTTAATTAATAAAAAAAAAAACAATTAAATTAAATCTGCAAAAAAGTGTGGGATTAAAATGTAATTTGAGAAAATCATAGCATTTCTTTTTGTTATTTTACAAAGTAAAATTAATTAATTAAATATGGAAAGAATTGATTATTATTATATTTAAAAAGCCTTTAAATACTCTTATGCTGATATAACTGTAACTTGTACTCCCGGATAGGTATCAATGGGAGGTTTAAATGCAAGCTGTAAATATATTGTTAAATATTTATTTATTTTTTTTGAATATATTTTAATAATGATTAGACAGTTCTTGCGTATTTTATGTTGTTAATCCAGTTCATGATTACACATAAGATATGATAAATACCATTACTTAATACTCCAGTAGCAATTGCTATAATTAAGTTTCATATGGAGGAGATGATAAATTAAGGTTATCTGGGGATACTTGCACATCAGACAAAAACATAGTAATAGAATATTAAGCGTAAAAATTATATTATTTAAACAACAATTATTTTATTTATAAATCAAACATTTCTTAAAATATAATCAATTTAAGATATAAAATTATGATATTTTAATAGATACACAATTTTTTATTACATTTAAATTCTATGATTCTTACATTCAAGTTTTTAAATAAATTAGGAATGTAAAGGTATATGCAATATACTTTCAAATGTATATGAATTTATGCTAAGACTATGACAGCAGTTTACATTTGTCGGTTAATATTAATGGTTCAACTTATCTTAGTGACAGCTCATTCAATTACGCAAACTCAGGTTATTCTTATTGTTATTTTAGCAAGTATTTAAGTATCACTCCAAATTCAAATAAAATAACAATCTAAATTGCATACAGTAAATAAATAAATCCAGTAATCAAAAATTACATTTCATCTTTGTATCTGGCTGTATAAACGGTAAATTAAATTAAAAAATTAAACATAAAAGAATTTAAGTTATTAATTAACTTTGAGAGTAAAAATATTATTAAATAAAGTGAGCCAAGACTATTGAATACAAACTATTTATTATTTTTATATTTTCCTTCATTTTTAAAAATCAAATTGCACTTAAAATAATATCTTTAACTTATTATAAAAAGTGTCAACAGAATTGTACTTAATGCGATGGAAATTAAGTTTGTTAATAATGTGATACTGGATATTATTACAAAGGAGATACAAAATAATGTCTATAGTGTGATCCAACATGTAAAACTTGTAATGGCCCTAATTCAAATAATTGTTAGTCTTGTTATCCAGGAATTTATTATAATTCAGGTACAAAACAATGTATTTGTGATCCAACTTGTAAAACTTGCGATGGGCCTAATTCAAGTAATTGTTTATCTTGTTATCCAGGAAAATATTATAATCCAGATACAAAATAATGTATTTGCGATCCAACCTGTTAAACTTGTGATGGCCCTAATTCAAATAATTGTTAGTCTTGTTATACAGGAATTTATTATAATTCAGGTACAAAACAATGTATCTGTGATCCAACTTGTAAAACTTGCGATGGGCCTAATTCAAGTAGTTGTTTATCTTGTTATCCAGGAATTTATTATAATCCAGGAACAAAATAATGTATTTGTGATTCAACATGTCAAACTTGTGATGGTCCTACTCCAAATGACTGTTTAACTTGCAGCCCTTCTTTGTATTATTAATAAAGTAATAAATCTTGTGTAGTTTCTTGTAATCAAGACTAATTCCCAGATTAAAATCTTTATTGCTAATCATGCGATCGTACCTGTGCAAGTTGTGATGGAAAAGACCCAAACAACTGTAAATCTTGCTATCCTAACACCTCTCTCTACAACAAAAGCTGCTATAGCCTTTGCCCAAATGGATTTTAAAGTATTTCAAACAAATGCAATTCTTGTGTAGATAATTATTGGACTCCACAATGCAATGCCTGCTATGCAACCTGCTAATTATGTGACTAATCGCAAATTCCAAATAAACAATGCAATTCTTGCTATGGCGAAACTAGATATATTAATGCAACATAAAATTGTGCTTGCAAAAATTCAAAGGATTTAAGAGAGATATTTTATTAATGCAGTTACTAAACCATTGCAGTAATTGATGCAAAATTAAGTGCAACATCTCCTTTACTTACAATTGATTTAGGATCTCCCTTGATGAATATATTATCTGATACACCTTAATCTTTATGCTCATTAATATTTGATTAAACTACTCTTGATAGTCTTGGAAAAGATTCTTAATGCTAAATAAAAGGAAATGAAATTTTAGTTAATTTAAGTAATTATCTTTAAGAATATTATTTTTAAAATTAAATTTACTTCAAAAATAATTTAAATTTGGAATTTTCAAAAAATATTTTAATTTTTATAAAATTCTTATGAATTTAAATCAATAAAATTAACTAAAGCTGACTCCTCAACAATTATGGAAAACAATTTAATTACTCTTTTACCAGATAAGTTACAGTTTCAAGATTACAACCAGTATTTTATTAAAACATTTTACAGGAATGTTGTTTTTTAAGATTATCCTGGTGTAGCTTAGCCTTAATTTAACTATAATCACATCGAAAATAGCTGTAATCCTATTATTATAAGTATGTATAAGTTATTAAATGATGCAGGTAGAAATTTTATGAGTTTGAATTGGAATTTAGTAGAAATCTAAGGTTAAATAAGTGATCAATAAAAATAAACCATACAGGGGATATTATTGACAGCAAGCTAAAGCAAGAACACAACTTTAAGCATTGATCCTCAATATATTCCACCAAACATAAATATTACTATAAACTTTAGCTCTTAACTTAAAGTTAATTAACCTTTTTCTCAATAGTTCACAATTATTTATCAAAAATAGAAATTCATCAGAATCAACTATTAGCAATCTACATACCCACCAATTTACAGGTTTATTTATTTATTTTATAAAACTATTTATTATAAATATTATTATTTAATAATTAGATTTACTAGCTTAAGCTTCTACTTTTAATTTTACATTGAAGTATGTGAGTAAGGCTAAATAACTTATTATAATGAACCTGTAAATTTGCAATTAGCTTCAAACCAGCTTTCATAGTAAAGCCTAAGCCAATACACCCAATCAAGCTATCAGTATGATGTTTTACCTTATACTTTAGCATCAAACTAAGTCTTTAGCATGACTGTAATATTAAAAAATAATGAAACTCAACTTATTTAAGATTTATAAAAGCTAATTTAAAATTCCTTCAAATTATTTTTTATAGAGAAATATACAATATATTGTATAGAAATAATAAGAGGCCAGAAAGCCATTTAAAATTAAATTTTTAATAAAATAATTATCTTTAAACTACCTCCTTTTATCTTTTATTAAATATTTACTATTGATAAAAAAGATAATTTTGTTTAATTAATGAAATAAAAATGATTTATTCACAAAATTTAAAAATATTACTCATTAATTTTAATTATTTCTTTTTAATTTTTAAATTTTAATAATAGTTGACTTTGAATCTTTGCTCAGACAGTAGTGTTGTCTCTACCTAAAAGGTATCATTAAATATTGAACTTACAGATTTATAATTGTAAATTATCGGAGGTTAAACTTTCAATTTAGGATTTTAAAATAAAATGGTCTTAAATACTTAATCAAGAGATTATGAAATTCAAGATCCTAATTCTCCTTAAAATATCGATTTTAGCTGGCAATGCTCTAGTTTATCATCTAATGATGGAATTTGTAAGGACTACAATAATACCTAGATTGTATTAGCGTAAGGAGTCAGTAGTATTACAATACCTGCTAAAACTTTTTTGCCATATACCATCATTAAGTTAACAGTCACTGGATCAAAAACTCCTAGGCAATAAAGTTTCACTGCTACTGTCGTATTCACAGAAATAGATATTCCTCCTCTTACTGTTAATTTTTAATCTTCACGCTTAACCAAAAAATATAATTTGAATGATGAACTTGATTTTATAATTGTGTATGGATTAAGTTCTTCCTCAGATTATTTGTCTTATGCAGGAGCTATTTTATATAATAATGATGCAGTTGCAGCTATAAAATTTGATTATTTTCAAGTTAAGTTGAGAATTTGGAATTATTATTAAAATATCAATCCCTCATAACCAGCAATTCAAATAAGGTTTTCTGTATATAACCCACTATATGTTATGCCAAGCTTATCAATAATAAATATTCCTATTAATATTCCTCCTAGAAACTGTGTTTTGCAAGTAAACCCGTAATAAGGAATAGCCCTTTAAACTGTTTTCTAAATCTAATTCTTGAATTGTTATGATGAAGACCTTCCTTTGACTTACTAATTCTTCTATTACAACAGCGCAGATGATGCCCAATAAGAATTAGTCTCTCCTTGGAATATAGTAAGAAGATAGATATAAGACTAGACAGCAAATAATTCTATACAAATAGTACTACCATAAGGAAACCTAGTAATAATGAGTTAAGTTATGGATTCTTAACTTGGAGTTTTTAATAGCTCTTCTACAATCTAGGTTTAATCTTAGAATAAACCAGTTAATGAATATTACTAATTTGTAAATCAATTAACTTTATAAACCTTGTAGAGCTCAAATTTGTCAGTGACAGATAAGCTTGTGATTTTAAGCATCATATCAGACGATATAAGTAAAAGTAATTTAGTTTCATAGGATTTGAATAATTTAGAAAGTTTACTCATTTAAAATATAAATTAATTGTCTCTTTAAATTCCTAAATTTTCCCTTTTGTCTACATTTGCAAATAAAGTAACTGCTTAGTTATCATAATTACTGTTTAGCTCATAATAATAAAGTTAGTTTTTTTCATAGAAAAATGATATATTTTAATAGCTTTAAACCATACTTTAGAATACAAATTCTGCAATTCAAAGCAATGATCTCAGTCATTTACAGTAAAATAATGATGTTCATATTCAAAACATGGTAGATTCATTTAAAGTTTTAAATTCAAGTGTGACTTTAAACACAATTAACTCTCAATCAGATTATGATAATTATGATACTTTATCAACCAAAATTAGTAATCTATTAAATAATATTAGTTTACCAAATTAAGGGGAAACAATTCTAAATGGTAATTTGTCCAATCTTTTGTCAGATAAAATAACATAAAAAAATTTGTACAAATATGTTCTAAATTATAAAGATAAAGGACGGCTCTTGACTATGTAAAATGAATCAGATTCATAGAATTAAACTAGTGTATTTTCTATTTCAAGAAATAATTATAAATAAAATATTTATGAGAATACTCCAAATTTTTAGGCTTACACTGATCAAATCAAAAATATTAGTTCAAACTTCACTTTCTCAAAGAATGAACTAATATCACCTTAGATTTAAGATTCTTCTTAAAAACCCATAAGTAATTCAAATATTATATACTCATTTGATCAAGTAAAATCAAATAATTAATATAATATGGCATGTCTCTAAAAAACTGATCAATCATGGAGTAAAAAAAATTGTAATATTAATAAATTCACAGAAACTAGTTACATGTGCCTATGTGGTTCTTAATAACCTACAACAGTGATTGAAGATGTCGAAGATATGTTTACAAAAAATAAAAATCTGTAGACAGCCTTTGGAGAATAAGGTCTATCAAACTTTTCAAATTTTACTAACTTTTATAAGTTTGTAGTATTTTGGCTATTGACAAGTTTTACTTTGGTTTAAATTCTTCTATTTATTGCTGGGAAATTTTTGGACAAATTAACATTAAAAAAAAGACAATAAAAAGTTCATGTTGATGAATTAATTAATAATAATGTCTAAAGCAATTAATAAAATTAAGAGCAACAATAATAATAATAATAATAGCAATAAATCTAAGAAAATATTTAAGATGTTTGTGAAAATTCTTAATTAGTAAACAACGATTTAATATAGAACTCTCCTTTCTAAAATTAACAAAGTAGTGAAAATATTTAACTTGAATTTTAGAAAATTTAACCAATTTCTACAGTTATTGAGCAGGAAATAGTTTTTGAGCAAAATAAAAGAAAAAAAATGAAATTCAGAAATGTTACAAATTAGCAACTCCAAATCAATTTTAAACAATCTCAATAATCTCAAGAAGAAAATATTGAAATGAATGAAGAGAAAGCAGAGTCAAATTCAATAAAATTTAATCAATAGCAATCAAATTATAAAAGTGAAGATAAAATCAAAACAACAACAAACTCACAAACCTAAATGATTGAAACCTAAGCCTAATAATAGAAAATTTAAAATTTTGATACTTATGAGTAAATTTCTTTCATGAAAAAAATTTTAATCTTCCATTAGTTTGTTAGTATTTTTTACATTTATGATGATGTGCTTTCTAGACCATTAAGATTCACTCTGCTTTACATAAAAATAATACACACCTTATCTATTTCTGTAATATTCTAAGGATTTACTTTGCTTGCTTAGCAAATAATAATTGCATTAATAAACAGCTTATTAATGAAAATATTTTTTTTTGGAATACTTTATACTTACAAAAAGGGTTCAAAAGGTAAAACATTTTCTCTGATTTTACAAGTAGTGTTAAGCTTAGCTTATTACTATATCATTTTAGCAATATCTAGTGGCAAAACTCCAAGCGAATCAAACGAATTCTTCCTACTATTTTTGCTGTCTTTTTTAACAGAAATGTTATTTACTGAGATAATTAAGTCATTTTTAATGATCTAATTGATAAAAAAATATAATACATCAAATAATCCAGAAGGTATTTTTGCTAAATTATTTAATATTTTTGACTTAAAATAAACTTTACTTAATATAGATTGAGTTATGCATTCTTTATTATATATTTTATATTTTTTAGTTTTATTATAAATACGATGAATTGATTTTACATTTTATTTTAAATTATATTTCCAATTTTTTGTTATATAATTCTAAGACTGAATTAAAATAAAAATGATAAATATAAATGAATTTTATAAAATTAAAACCCTATTTAAAATAGCATTCACATGGGTAGTACAGATGTAAGATATTTCATATAAGTTTTATGTTTTTTATATTAATTCTGTTCATTCAAAAGCTACTTTATTTATATTAAATTTTTTATAATTTTCTATTTCCAAAATTTTAAAAAAATTTTTTTAAAATTTGTAGTTAGGTGTAAATATGTGAAAATTTACATATATAATATTAAATGGGCATCAATAAAAATAAAAATAAAATAAAATTAATTTAATTTAGTTGTTTAAAATATAAATTTTAGTTAATAACAATTCAGTATATAAAGACATTTAAATAACATCAGCTATGGTTAAGTGACTCAAAATCAATTTATTTTTAAGGAAGATTTATACTTGAATTATCTTTATGGGTTGGTTTTTTATTGATGTTGCTACTACTGATTTTTTCTAAATCATTTTCAACAGCTGACCTACCAAGAACTTCTTCACTCTCAGTTCCTAAAGACATCTTTGATATTTAAGAAGTTGCCTGATATGGATTAACTTTATAGCGTTATTATTGAGAATTTTACTAATCTTTAATATCTTTTTAGTCTTTCTGAACTACTTTAGGTTTTTATTTAACTTTTTTCTTTAAATCCTATTAGTTATTAGAAATTTACTGTTGTTCAGATAGTTCTTATATTTTATTTTCATAAGATTACTTAATACCATTGATATATGTCTAGATTTACTTTGCCTTCTCATGTACTTTTTTTTATGTAGATTTAAGCTTAAAATTTATTGTTTATACTTATTTTTTTTATTAATCTTGATTATTAATAGTATTTAAGATTTAATCCAGAGAAGTAAAACTAGGTCTTGGTGTTAACTCATAAAAATTTGTGCCTGCTCTAGCATTTAATCTGGAATTTTCTTCAATAATTTATCCCATTTTAGATTCTAAATCAAATATTCTCTCTCTAAAATTTCTTATACTTTTTTGCAAATAAAATAAAATGTTAATTAGTTTTGATTAATTTAAGATAAATAATTGTTGTGAAACCTGACTAATTAGGCTGCATAACTATCTTGCATTATAATGATTTTGTTAGCATAACTAGTGTTTTAATTATTTAAATCAAAAATATTCTTTTCCATTTGTTAAATACTTGTAGAAAATTCATTTTCAAGCTACTTTGTAAACATCTTCATTTCTGCTTCATTTTACATAAATATTCCCTCTTAAGTTTTAATTTACTTTTTGTAAAGAGACATTTCATCTTAAAGTTTTTAGTTTTCTTTGATTTTCTATTGTAACTAGTCTAAAATAGAAGTTTTCTCGTTTGCAAATTGATCTTCACATTTTTTTTAAATATTTTCTATATTTTATTTATAAAGATCATTTTCTTTTTAGAGAATACTAAGCTCTTCATTTTGTTTTTATATTTATAATCTTAAATTTTATATCAGAATTTCATTATCCTTGTTAGAGCTGTCTAAAATCTTGCAAACTTCATTAAAAAGTTCCCAAAAGCAATAAGTTTTATTTTGAAAATCTATTTCAATAAATGATGATAAATTAAAAAATAAAAGTAATATTAATTAAATTCTACTTATCTTCAAATGGTTAGACAGCAAATTAATGATAGATGAATCGTAACAAAATATATATTTTTAAGAAATTTAAGAAAGAGTTTTATATATTTCATCCTAAGTAAATTCGTATAACATATTTAAAATCTAAATGCAAGATAAAGGTAATCTTAAATTAAATTTAACGTCTTTTTAGCTTTCATTTTTTATCAAATTATGTAGCCTGTAGATGTTTACCTGTAATTTTCAAAATAAATAATATTTTCTAAATTAATTATTTGTAATTTTTCCTTCAATTTATGATTAAACTTTATTTAAGAAATTTCAGATTTAAAAGATAAAAACTTTGTTAAAATATTTTCTTCATTTCAAGTAAAAAATATTAAATTTAATTCACATTTTTGAAGATTAAATTAATTGAAATTTTCTAAAATAAAATAAAATACTTCAATTATTTTTCAGTTTTATTAGCTTAGAGAAAGCTAAGTTCAAAGAAAATATTAAAATCTTCTTATTAAAAAAGTTATAAAATTTAATTCAAATTATTTCAGATTAATTTAAAAAATTTTTAAATAAAAATTAGAAAATAGTAAATTCTATTTAAAATTTTTTAATTTTGAGCAAATCTTGAGAGAAAATTTTAAAAATATTCAAAAATGAAAGATTATTTGATATTAAAAAGAAAAAGAAATAATTTTAGGTTACGTATATTTATTTATAGACATGCTTACTAAAGAGTCTCTTAGGAGGCGAAATAAATTCAGAATCTCCTAAAATTCTTTAGGAATTTTAAAGTAAAAAAGTTGTAGAATTATTGCTGATGACTTCCTTTGAATTTTAAAAAAGCATTTTTGATGAAAGAAAATGATTATTAACTATATCATTTTCAACTTGTTGTATATTTTATCCTTATTCTTTAAGGAAATCGTACATGTTAGAATTTTCATCAGGCATTTACATATCAATAAGTTTGCTTGCTTCCAATTCAATAAAGGGTAGGGGTTTAGAAGGACTATTGTTTATAGATCCCTCTTTTGTTACTTTGCTATTAACTTTTAACGAACCTTCTTTGATAGAACTATTAATAAATTTAAGAGAACCTTCTTTAGATATTTTGCTAGGAGATTTCAATGAGCTGTCTTATAAATTATATTTATGCACTTTCACTTTTGGCAGTAGATTCTATTGTATTTTGCTATTAGATTTAAACAGATGCGAAGTCTTACTAAAGAAATCATTTTCTTTTTTGTTTTAGTCTCTAAAATATCCATAGGATGTAGAAGAAATTATGTTATTATTTTGTGGAGATTTGTTATTCACCTTTTTGAGATTAGTATTATGTAAATTTTTGTATCCATTTAAAGGTGAGTGCTAGGGAGAGTTATTAAAATTCATCTTTTTTTTTAATGCAGCTTAGTGCTCTTAAGACCGTGACTGAATACCCTTTTAAAAATTAGAATCATAAACCTTTTACTAATCTGAATTTCTTCCCCTGAGATAATCTTTAATGGATTTATCAGAAGAAAAAACGTTATTCACAAATTCATCAAAGTTTTTGTAAGCATTTTTAAAGATGATCTCATCATTCTCATCAGAAACAAATTTAGAGATGTAATTATCATTTTGTATTTCTTTTTCCTTTCTTTTAACCACCCAATCATCTACTTTTCTAAAAGAGCTATTTAAAGAAGTTTTAGCTTATTTTCTATCAATCATTTAAATAAGTGTTAATTAACCAGATAGATAATTTACAAATATAAATTGTTTTTGAAAAATTTAATAGAAGATAATTGTTATTAATTAATTCTACTTATCAGATACTATTTCAAACAAAAAAAATATTTTTTTTAAATTACTTTGTTTATTATTTGAGTAAATAAATCTAATAGCCAATATCATTTATTTTATATTATTTAAAAATTTTAAATTGATTTTTATAAGTTTTGCTATTAAACATCATCTCATAATTATGTTAATAATTTGAAATCTTTATCTTTTTTGATTATCTATTTAAGTATAAATTCAATAATCTTTAATCAAATATGATTGAAATTACTTTATTAGATGTTATTTATTCTTATTGAATTCACTTTATTAAATATTGTTATTTCTTAGCTAATTTTACTTTTGTAAGTATTTTTATTAAAAATATGTTGATAAAATTTAATAAATAATATGATTTTATTTTCTTACTTAAATTTATTAAATGACTACTTTTCATTTCAAATAAAATTTAAATAAAACTTAATAATTCCAATTATACTTTTTATAATATTTTTATGTTCAAATGGAAAATTTGCCCTATTTTAATTTTTAGATTAGCTGAATAACGTTGAAAAATAATTTACTTTTTGCAAAAACTTTTATATACATCATTTTATCCTCAATTAATAATTATACTTTACTTTACATTTTCACATTTTCATGAAAGCCATCTCATTCAAGAGACTGAATACAAATAAATTTTACTCTGAATAACTTTTGCTTGAATACCTAGTAAAAAAATATAAATTGATAACTTAGCTTACATGTATGGAATATTTATGCAGAAGTCCTATTTTAATAAAATATGTTATTTGATTATTAATTATATTAATCAGTAATGAATAGTAATGAATGATGGTTAAGAAGGAAAGGTATTTGTAAATTAAATTCAATTAATAACACAAGAATGATGTAATTACATATAAATCAATATTATAAATTTGTTAATTATTAGATTGTTCTTTAATATAAAGTGAAATAAGTAAACTTGCTAAGAGAAAGTAATAAATAGATAATTATTCATGAAAATAAGGGAAATATCGCTAATTAGCTTAAATTTTAGCAGTAAAAATCTTGAAGAAGACTTCGGAAGGCATTATGCTTCAATAGTAAATAAAAATATTTAATTTATATTTATAATTATGCTCATTATGTTCAATATCTTATCAAATATTTTTCATTAATTTATCAATTATTAATATCAATCTAGCTAAAGATCTAGTTTCATGTTTTTACTGCAGTAAGCTTATTGATATTCTTCCTTGTACTAATCTAGAATTAAATATCTTATCGGGGAGGAATATATATTTGTGTGTGCCTCTTTGCATCTATAATTTTTACTCAAATACTTCTGAATTATGTCTAAAAAAATTATTATTATCTTATGATGCCAATTAACTCTTTGTTTATTTCCTTAATGCTTTTTAAAATATACTCATATGATCAAATATAAATGCAAGCAAATTTCATAAAGGAGGTAATATTTACTTTTTTTTTTCTTTCTTTTTTTAAATAACGCAGCTTTTAATTTAATACCAATCTTAAGTATTTGTAACCAAATTTGGTAATTTAAAATCTTATTGAATAATATTTTAAGATAAATGAATCTTACATCTTTTTTAAATTTAATATCATAGTTTGCACTAATTTCTTTACTTCTTGTGAATACTCACAAGCTCTATATTAATTTTCTCAATTTAACTGCTATTAAAATTTCTGAGTGCTTGATACTCAACAACAAAGACAGTAATCAGGTTTTATATTCAGTGCAGTTCACATGCTCCATCATATTAATCATGGTTATAATGTACGCAAAACTTTATTTTTTAAGACATCTCTATATTGACAGTCAGGTTGGAAAATGTTGGAGTGATATCGTAAACTAAAATTTAAATTAAAAGGTTTTTACTACTACTTACAACAAGTAAACAGGAAAATTAGAACTCTACAATTATAATTAAGCATGCTTAAAAGATATAAATAAAGACTCAACCACCTCTCAATCTAAATTCTAAGAAATATTTAATAGATATTTATAAAATTTTAGATTCAACATTAGTGATTGTCTTGTTTACAGGCCTCGAAGCGAAATAGCAGATAAGTGCTAAATGATAGACTTGAAATAATATTTAGTTAATCGCCATATTCATCAATTGAATTAACAAAATGACAAATAAACATCATTTACGAAATTATCTGAAAATAATTCTACTAATAAAAATTCTGTCTAACTTAAATAGATCTAAAATTAAGATTTATCTTTTCAGAAAAACAACAGCAGCACTAACAACAATAACAACAACAAAAGCAGTTAAAACCATGGAAAACAGGTTGAGTAAATTTAGGCATAATTTTATGATATGAAATCAAATACCAATAAAACTTGTAGAATTAAAATAATACAAAACTCCCTTTATTCTTCATCTCAGCTTTTAGTGATTATTGAAGATGAGTCTTATTTACAAGATCTTAGTAGATATAAATAAGAAAAATAAACTATTGAAAGATTTCTCTTTTCGTTGATGCAGAATTTTTAAGTAGATTAATTTATTTATTTTTTCATTGATTCTAAAATATTAATTGACAATTTTCAAAATACTTTGAATTAGTTTTTTTCCCCTTAAAATATCTTTTAATTTTGTTTAAAAAAATTATTAATAGGAAAAATTAAGGTACATAATTTGGGGTTTAGAAAATAGTGATTAATAAATCTCTAAAATAGAAAGTTATATTCTGATAAATTAAGTTTATTGTATCTTTGATTACTTTATTATTAAGTCTAAGAAGCTTAGAAACAAATTCAATCAACAAATTTCTAAAAAAATATCTAAAATTTTAAATGTGGAAAACTTTACTTGGTAAAGCTTAATGAAAGAGCTTGTATCACTATTTTGTGATATGACCATTGTAAGTGATATAGACTTTGAAGCTGAAGAAATAAGCCTTTTTTAAGATCGTAGAAAACTTAAATAAGTTCTTATTGCTCTTCTTTCCTTGGCTTAATGTCGAGCAGTTGAAACATACGAGCTCAAAATATCCAGAATAAAAAAGAAAGAGTGGAATGCTATTCTTCTAATGGTTATCTTTCAGACAAACGATAAACCAAGCGATTATAAAAAGAAATTTTATGAATTTCTAAATGGAAATTCTATCAGCGCATTAAATGAAGTTGAATATGAAGTTCTTAAAGAAACTGTGATGATAATAGGACCTTATTAGATCAATGAAGAAATTTCAGATAATGGATTAGTTTAAATTTCTTTTGCTTTTTTTGAGGATTTAGAAGTAATTTATGAATCAATTTCGTCACAGGTTCGTAAAACAGAAAATTAACCAAGAGAAGACGCAATGATTAGAAATTTAATGAGCCCAAAAAACTAAGAACTCTTAGCTGCTACTTATGATTAATATGTAAGTAAAATAAAAGAAAGATAAAGAAAATCTAAAAAAAGAATTGCAATTATGGAAGTTTCTTCCAAATCAAAGAATAACTGTGATGAAATTAGTAGCTCTAGTGAAGATGAAATATCTCAAGATATGGAAATTAAGAGCATTGATGATAAGTTTTTTTGTTTAACTTCTTTATCTGAAAACCATGAAAAAGTTTAAGCCATACCTGATGTATAATCGTTCAAGAAAATGAACAAATTTAAAAAAACATAATCTAACTTATAGCTCACAACTATTGAACAATAACTAGCTCTAAATTCCCCTACACTTCCAACAGAAGAGTAAATTATGAAATAACCAAATACAAAGACAGATTTTAAATACAACTAGAAACGTTCAAGTACTTTGTTAATCAATGCTAAATTTAGTTAGAATTATTAACTAAATAATGGATTTAAAAGTTTCTTAAAAAACTCTAAAATTTCATAGTATTTTAATCATGGAAATTAAAATAAATCTAAAATTGATTAAGAGAATATAGATTTAACTCTAAAAATGTAATCTTCTATTTACAATCAACATATTTCTTAATATAGTAGCAAAGTTCCATATCACCAAAACTTTGGATAAAAATCGCCTATAAAATAATCCTCTATTAATTAATAAATCCAGATAGGAAATTCTATTAATATTGATAGGACTAGTTTAAATTTATGTAGACAACTAACAGAAAACAAAATAGAATCTTTTTCACCTAGAATGTAACATTTTTCCAGCTTCAAACAGTAAGGAACTCGAAATTCAATCAATTCTTAAAGATTGTCCAAATTCAAAACCTAAGAAATAAATGGAAATTACTACCCTAAGGACAATTCTATTGATTTTAAAAAACAATCAATTAATTCCTTGCTTAAAGAATTCAATAAAAACTTTGAATAATAATCACATAATTAAGATAAATGTGATAACTTTAGTCTTTATCTACAGAAAAATTGAATCGTGAATGAAACTAATTATGGAAAGACAATTAAATCAAAGAAAATAAAATGATTATAATAAATTAGAAAATTAGTGATTACTTTCGCCTGAAATAAATAATCAAATAACCTTTAGATCACATTTTAATTAATTTTTTAATAAAAAAGAAAATTTAAAATTGATAGATTAGAAATTTTATTAAATTATTATTAATTAATTTAATTACATTATTTGAAAATATTTTAAAAAAGCAAAAATGTATTATTAATTTTATTAAATTTAAATAATTTAATTAACCATTTTTATTATTTAAAAAATTCCTCAAGTATATAAAAATGAATATTTTGTTTATATATTTTATAGATTTTGTAAATAAGCTTTAATATTTTTTTTTTAATACATTTTTCTGAAATTATTAAAAAAATATTTTATGATTTTAAGAAATAAAATTAGCTTTCTTTAAATATAATATGAATTTTATAATTGGTAAATTGTCTATCTAATTTGATGTATCATTTTGAGTATCTTTATATATATCATTTATTACATAATTTGCTTTATTAATTTTTTATTTGTTTAAAATCAAAATATATCTATCTTTATTAATATTAATTAACTAATTGTTTTTAATATTATCCCTAATCATATCAATCAATCAATCAATCAATCAATTAATCATTCTATGAACTTCTACTCACTTTATGGATCTAATCAAGAATATTCCTTGAATATTTTAGAATTAAACTCCACTAAGTTTTTATTTCTTCGCCATTTTCCTTAAGATAAGCTGCTTTACTATTTGCCTTAGTGTGAGTTTGGGGAAGAGGAAGAAGAAACTATTGATGAATTAAAAAAAAAAGTTAAAATTGATGAAGAAACCAGATTATTTATTTCTAATTAATCAGTTAATATATCTAAAAACAACAATTTAATGGAAATAGAATAATAGGAAGATAATCAAAAGTCACCATTCTATACAAAGATAAAAGATAAACACTATATAAAAGGAGCTATGAAGTTCGATTTAACTTTTTTAAATAATATTGACTAAAATTCTATTGATTTTATCTTAATAACATCAATTGATGACATCTTCCTTTTACCATTCCTATTTTAACAAAATAAACTAAAAGCCAAGGTTTATGCTACTGTCCCTGTAGCTTAGATAGGATAGCATGTGCTTCAAGAATATTACAAACTAGTTTAGAATAGAAATAGAAATATTGATTTATCTTCTTCTGAAAATAAAAATGGATAATATTTTTAAAATTCATAAAATTCATATTTTTAAGAGAGTGAATTTTTGGATTTATTTGAAACACAATATGATTTGGAAATCAATTAGTGGGCAGATATTTTTAGTTATGAAGATATTCAAAATGCTTTAAGCAAAATTACAACAATGAACTTTGGATAAAAGCTACAATTAGAGGGAGTAGATACTATTATTGAACCTGTTAGCAGTGGTTATTCTATTGGAAGTTGTGTCTGGATTTTAGAATATCATTCTAATAGACTAGCTGTTTTTAACAATGCTTGTAAACATAACATCAGACACACCCTTAACCTTGATTAAAGCTCTAAGTTAAAGGATTCTTTAGATTTTTTGTTTGTCACTCCCTTCTTGAACACATCAAAAGAATTAACTGCTTTGACAAAATAATTTAATACTTCATATCTTAGTGAGGCATATCTTATCAAATTTTTCTAGCTAGCTTAGTAATTACTACAATAAAAACAAAATTTAATTATTCCTATCAGAGACGGTGGTATTATTTTAGACTTATTAGATATATTAGAAAAGAAGCTTGCTTCTTTTATTAGACATTTTTATATTATTTGTGAAAGTGCTTTACCATATATCCATTTTGGTAATAGTAACGTTGAATTTTTAAATGAAATCCTCTAAAAAAAGATATTTTGTGAAAACCCTGAGAATCCCTTCTCAGCTTATGACTAATTTGTATAAAAAAATTAAAATATAAGCATATTGCCAGATTTTATAGCTTTTTAGTAATTAAGCAAGTCATAGCCTTTGTAGTCATTGATAATAAATAGAACACCATCTATATTTTTTGTTGTTGATTCTAGCTTGAGACTTGGAAATACGATGCAGTTGCTCAAATTAATAAATGAATCAATTCCAAATTAAGAGGAATTCTCTTCTTCAATTTTACTTGTTGACCCTTATATGCAGAGTCCTCATGTGGTAGCTCCTATCTTAGGCCTTTTTAGAAACCAAATATTTTATACTCCACTTGATAACAGAATGCATGTTTAAGAATTTTGTGAATATGTTAAATAAATTAACCCCAAAAATTTGATATATCCTCGTAAATATTAAGATATTTAAATATTTTTAGAATAGCAAAGAGAGTAAAGCGGTTAAAGAATATTAACCTCAGTATATGGTAACGATGAAGCTATTTCTCTTAATCTATACCAGCATGAATAAGGTGCACTGACAATTAACAAAAATGAGCTTAAAAATATAAAGTTCTCTAAATTTGAAAGGATACCTTTTTTACCCTAAATTGGCTAAATTAAGGGAATTTTGAACAGTGAGACAGGATAAATTTCTACAAGAATTAGCATTTCCAATCAAATGGAGTTTGATGATAAACTGAACGAAGAAACCAAATAAATTATTATTTTGAGATATAAAAACTTAATTTAAAGGAATTAAGGCTACATCAATTTGTAAAATTTCATAATATAAGAGATGAATCAGCTTGGTTATTAATAAACATCCACACAAACAAATAGCGAGGGACTTAAAATCTATCTAAAGAACCAAACTACTAATGATATAGCTTATGTGGAGCATGACAAAGAAAAAACTTCAGTTTTTTGCTCGAATAAAGATAACACATTAAGTATTCTAAATTTCATTAAACAAAAAATCAACATAGTTGAGTTAAAATGAATTTTTTTTTATTAAATAAAATAAATTAACTTGAAAAGGATTAATAAAAAATATTATTTGTATGATAAAATTAAAATAAAGAAATAATTAAATTTATTATAATCATTAAAATAATTCTGAAAAGTATTTGGCTTACTTTAAATTCATAAAATCTTATTTAACAATAATTTTATTTTATATTTCAGCTTTTTTATATTTTAAAATAAATTTTATAACTATTATCAAGTAATCCTTAAAAAGTTAAACTTTATCAAAAATAAATATTTGATTTTATTTAACATATTTTTAATAAATTTTCATTAAAATTTTCATTTATAATTTAAGTAATATCTTCTATCTAATGTTAATACGTATAGCTTTCCTTAAATAATTAGCTTAAATTTGTTTCCTAATGTAAATTAATTTATTATATAAATTAAATACTCTTATGTTAAAATTATTATAATCAATTTATTTGCTTAAAAATGTCTTGCAATTCTATAAAAATAAATAATTACTTAATTTTTAAGCAAATATTTTTTATCTCTTCATTAAAATTATTGATAAATAAATTTTCTATTTTTTATCTCTAAGATAAAATTAAAAAAAAAATTATTATTATTATTATTATTAAATAAATTAATATTTTTTAATTTAATTTTAAAAATAGAATTTTCGATAATTATTTATACTAATTATTCTTTATTAATTTTGTTGTCGGCCATACTAAGGTGAAAACACCGGATCCCATTCGAACTCCGAAGTTAAGCGCCTTAAGGCTGGGTTAGTACTAAGGTGGGGGACCGCTTGGGAAGTCCCAGTGTCGACAACCTTTTTAAAAATTTTTTAAATAAAATTTTGTTTTTAATTTTTTAAAGCTTTATAATAATATGATAAAATTTTTAAAACTATAAAAATAATTTTTCATTATAATGAATTCAATTAAAAATAAAATTAATGAATTATTTTAAATTGCATTATGAATTTACCAACATATTTGTTAAAAATTAAAAAAATAAAATATATTTTTCAAATAAATTACAGATAAATTTTGAAGAAGATTTGAACAAAATATCTAAAAATGTAAAGTAAAATTATTTTTTGTAATAATTTAGGAATTTATTGATAAATTAGTAAATAAATTTAATGGAACAAGAAAAAGCCAAATCAAATATATTTATTTATAGATTTCCTTCTTAAAAAGTTGAAACTGTTGATTACTAAATTAAATGATAGATTTATCTATCAATCTATATGTTTAGATTTTATTTGCTTATCTGTGAAATAAATTCAATCTATTTTTAGCCAAAATCGAATTTTTAACTTAATTTACAGCTTTTATTAGAGCTTCTCGAAATTAATTAATTTGAAAAGATCAATTTAAATTATAAATATTAGATTACAATAACTAAAGTTACAAATTTTATCAATAAACTTATAATTTTATTTCAGATCATTATTATTTTTTTTGATGAGCAAATCCAAATTTAAGATTTTAATTTCTTTTTTCATTTACTCTACTATGAAGTTAAAAAAAATAGATTCCTATTAATTTATATTTAAAATATTAAGATATGTAATTTATAATTAAACAATAAGTAAAATTATTAAAAAAAAATAGTTTTAATGCTTTTGCTTTATTATTATTCTAAAAAATAATTTGTTTTATTTATATATCTAAATAAAAAAATTCACATTTATTGTATGTGAATTTGAAAATAAGAAAAAATAAATAACTTTTTATAATATTTTACTATTGCCAAAGTAAATTTTACCAAAGTTTTAAAACAAATATGATATTTAAAACTTTCTAATGACTTTAGTTTGATTAGATCTTTATAAAATATAAATTTTAAATAAATAGGAAAATGATGAATGAATTATTTTGTCTATGTGTTCATAACTGTCTATATTAACAGGTTTTACAGATAAAATTTCTATTCGGATTTAAGAAATTGTGTGGTTTGATTTCTTAAAAATCTACAATCTATTTTCTCAAAGTAATTACTATCAAAATTCATTCATAGAGTGTTTTATATTTATAATATTTTATCAGAATTTTTTATGAAAGTGTAATTGATTATAAACAAAATTTAATTTTAAATTCGAATAAAATGAAAAATTAATTATTGTAACTTCAAAAACTAAAAAATTATTAATTCTTATATATTTATTAAATTTAGCTGATCTGTAATTTTTTGAAATAAAATTTTTTCTACCTTAATTTATTTTCATTAACCTGTAAATAAATAAATTGTATATAGATATTTATAATTCTCTCTATTAGCATGACCCAACTGTTGGTTTGTTAATTAGTTCTAATAAACTTTATCAGAATTTTTATAAAAAGTGTAATATAAACATTCTTTTTTTTTTTGATTTAATTTTACACAAAAAGTAAAAAAATCTAAAAAATAAAAATAAAATATTAAATTAAATATTTTATTAATGAGTATTATAAGTTTCATGTTATCATAAAGAATACATTTGTAATTATATTTTGTAAGAATTTTTTATGAATGTGTAATTGATCATAAACACAATTTATTTTAAATTCGAAGAAAATGAAAAATTAATTGTAACTTCAAAAACTAAATTAATTATTAATTCATATATATATATATTATATATTTATTAAATTGAATGTATCAGTAATTTTTTAATAAAATTCTTTCTACCTCTATTTATTTACATTAAACTGTAAATAAATAAATTTCATATAGATATTTTTAATTATTTCTGTTATTATGACCCAAATATTGGTTTGTAACTAAATTCGAATATACTTTATCAGAATTTTTATAAAAAGTGTAATATATATAAACAATCTTTTCTTTGATTTAATTTTATACAAAAGAAAAAAAAATTAAAAAAATAAAAATAAAATATTAATTTAAATATTGTATATATTTAATTAATTTGTACTGTAAGTTGAATATTATCATAAAGAATACATTTATAAAAATAATTTTAATTCTTTTTGAAAAACAACTTACATTGATTACTTTTATTTTTCTTAAAATATAAAGTATTGAAATACGAAATAATGATTAATTAATTTTCAATATTTTTCTTTCCCACTAATCAATTTCGAACTCCTAGAAAAATATAACTTTCTATACTAAAATTATTAAGATTTCTTATTTTATTAAAGTAGTTATATTGATTTTATCAACTTAAACTTAAAATAATCAAATCAAAAAATTTAAGACTTCTTCCTTAAAACCTAAAATTATATTTATAGTAATCCCCTCTATATTTATCAAAAAAATATTCTGTAATTTCTCATATATAAATGTCATATTCAGATAAAAACTTTTGAACAAATTTATTCCTTTTTTACATTTAAATGGGTGCTAGTATTACTTACATAAATTGTGGTAAATTATTATGCATTATGGTGTATATTAAAATGAAAATTTAAAATGCATCATAAAATTGTAAATTTATTTTCATAATTTAAATTTTTCATTATACGCTGTTTTATTAATTAATTAATATTTTGATGACTCTATCTATATAAGCTTACTACTTTTTTCAAGTTTTATTGAATTAAATAAATTAAATGTTCTCTATTCCTTCAAATAAATTTGTATTTTTGATTGTTTTCTAGATAAATATATTCAATTTATTTTCTTGATCAAAAAATATGCACATTTAAATAGCATTGTAAAGAAAATCATTTTATTGAAATTGCAAAATTTAATAAAATCATATAATACTTTATAAAATAATTAAATTCTATTATATTGGTTAAGTTACACATTAAGTTTCAAAAATCTGAAAATTTATTTGATTAAAAAATGAATTTTTAGATGGCTTTTATTACTTTAAGTCTAATTTTCTTTTTTAAAGATCAAATAAACTATTGTATTTTTTAATTTCGAATAATTTCTGCTTGTTAAGTTTTTAACCAAAATTTTCAATATTAGTTTATTATTTTACTTCCATAAAAATTAATTTTCTTATTTACTTATATCATACACTTTATGAATTAGTAATTAATCCAAAAATTATTATAAATAGCATAAAAAATTATTTTATTTTTGAGAAGATAAAATAATAAATAAATTTGAATTGAAAAGTTACTATTTTTATTTTTGTCAGATTACTTTTTTCTGATTAATTTTGATTAATTATATAAACTATATATTCAATTAATTATATTTAATCAGAAAATAATATGGGCTTGCACAAAATAAAGCTTAATTTAAATAGAAAGAATTTTGAATTTTAAAATAAAAAATATTAAACTAAAATATAAAATAACAAAAAAAACATTAAAATTAAAAAAAATGAGATTTATTGCTGTTTGCTTATTTGCCTTAGTTGCCTTAAGCTCTGTATATGCTGATGATATCGAAAAGATGAAATGTTTGGGTCAAGTTCCTAAACCTTGTGGTGATGGTTCAGATTCTGCCTGTTTAACCGCTTACAACACTGATGGCAACTGTGTTAATAGAGATTGTGCTGCTAAACTCATCGACTTGAACGACTACGCTACTTGCATCAAGAAATGCAAATCTAATAACGATAAAGTTTAAAAATGGATTGATGCTAATGTTAGTTGTGTTGGAAGTGGTTTATTAAGCTTTGCTGCTTTAATGATTGCTTTTGTTGCTTTCATGTTCTGAGTTATTAAATAATATTAAAAAGAATTTTTAAATTAAATATTTTGATGTTTGTATATGTCTTGATGTATTTAGTTTATAAATTTTATTTGAAATCAATTTCATTCTCTTTAAATTTTACACATTTATCTTCTTTTTATTTCACTGTGTTAATCTGTATATAATCGAATTATACTTTAAATTCTCATGTATTAAAGTTCTGTCTGTCATATTAATGTATTTTTTCTAAAAAATAATTGTACTATACAAAAAAATATAAATAGTGAAAATTTAATGAAGTGAGAATTAATAGGATTTATGGCATATCTATTTTTATATACTTTATTAAATATGTACCTATAATATTATTGTTTATACTAATAAATATTAATATTAAAGTTAGAACTTTACTATAAAGATAATCAAATTCAAATTTTTAAACTACCATCTCAGATTTTTTTAAACTTGAATAATTGTACAAAATGTGAATTTGGGGCTATTTTTATGTTAATATAAAATAGTTTTTATCTATAAATAATCTAAAATGTATCTTTGTTTATCTTATTTCTTGATATTTTTTACTAAATTATAATAAAATATACGGAAAGAGAAAAAATATAACACATTAAACTAAATAGTTAAAAAAATAAAGTTTTCTCGATTGTTAAACAATAAAAGAAATATTTCGTCTTTAAAACTCTTTAATTTTACAAACCTATGATAAAAGTTAGTTAATAAATAATAAGAATATTTATATTTTTAAAAATATCTTAATTATTATTTTTAAGAAGTTATGTTTTTTGCTTTAAAAGTAATTCTTAAGAATTTTAGAAGGAATCTAAACTTAATTAAAATCTTTGTGGTTTTTCTCTTTAAGCTTAAATTCGAAAAAATTAAGAAAAGTGTAATTAATAAAAATAAACTATAATAAAATTAAGAAATATCACTATTGTTTAGAGTGTAATCTTAGATTAGCAATATCAATTATTACATTTTCTGAGCGATCTCTAATTTTTTTAACTTAACATACAGTATATTTATTTAAATAAAATTCGCTTACAAACAAACTATCATCTATCTATCTTGCAAAGATCATAAAAATATTTTATCAACTATTACCATCATAAAAGATCTGAATGGTATAAGTATAAAAAGCGGGGGGAATATCTTTCTTTTTTTCTACAAATATTGTTTATCCTTAACATATGACGCAACATGTAAATGAAGTGTTCGAATATTTATTAATTAAAAAATTAGATTTTGAGAGTTACAATTTTTAGAATTATATCTTTTTAGTAGATCAAATAATAATAATAATACATACTTTTAATTTCGAAAGATATTTTTTAGTTAATTAAACTGTATGCATGTAATTTAGCTTATCTGTCAATTTACTTGTAAAAAGCATTTAAAGTCATTTAGTTTTTTTTATTTCTAAAAGAAGCGAGTAGTAAGTAATTATTAATGAACATTAAAATAATTTATTGTTTTAATATTTTATAAGTTTTAATATTAATTTTTAGAACTTTCGTTTTTACTGATTTTATTTGATGAATTTCGCTTAGTTGCTAAAGAGAATGATTTTTATTAATTAATTTAATAAATAAATTCAAGAAAATTGATAAGATAATATTGAACATAAACTTCACTATAAATATCTAGCATTTTGGATTTTAAGATATAATAAATATTAACTAAAAACATACATAATTCTAAACAAATAACTAAATTAAAATTAAAAAAAATGAGATTCATTGCTGTTTGCTTATTTGCCTTAGTTGCCTTAAGCTCTGTATATGCTGATGATATCGAAAAGATGAAATGTTTGGGTCAAATTCCTAAACCTTGCGGTGATGGTTCAGATTCTGCCTGTTTAACCGCTTACAACACTGATGGTAACTGTGTTAATAGAGATTGTGCTGCTAAACTCATTGACTTGAACGACTATGCTACTTGTATCAAGAAATGCAAATCTAATAACGATAAAGTTTAAAAATGGATTGATGCTAATATTAGTTGTGTTGGAAGTGGTTTATTAAGCTTTGCTGCTTTAATGATTGCTTTATTTGCTTTCATGTTCTGAGCTATTAAATTTTATTAAAAAATATTTTTAAATTAAATATTTGGATGTTTTTTATATGTCTTGATGTATTTAGTTTATTAATTTCACTTTTATTATTTCAATAGAGATTTTAGTTATTATTTTTCTCATAAGATAAAATATATTTATTATTAATAATAATCTATTCAAAGAATTTTTACTTAAATACTATAAAATAGATTAATTTTATTCTTGATATTCTATTGAATACATTTATTTCACAAGCTTTATTATTTTATTGTTAATTTATGAAAAATTATAATTATATAATAGTGATTTAAACCAAATTCGAATATGCAAATAAAAGGAAAAAATATGAAATGATTCTATTAAGTCAACAAAAAGCTCAATAGTAACTAAAAAAGACAAAATAAAATAAATGAAAAAACTATATTATAAATTAAATTAATATCACAAATATGCTTATTAGTTTAATTTTAAAAAGGCTCATAATAAATTTATTAGGTTCAATGTTTTTTACTTTTTAAATCATAAAAATATGTTTCAATTTATCATTTAATCCAATTTTTTGAATAATAAGTTTATTTTTTTTCAATCTTAAATTTCATCTATTTTAGACAATCTTATAGATAATTATATCTAGTGAAACTTGTTAAATGAACTATGATATACTTTTAATTATTAATAAGATAATAATATGTTAAAAAAGAGTAAATCCCTTCTTTAATAATATAAAAAAAATGAAAGATAATCATTTGATTAAATTGTTATTGGGAATTTTTGTATTGGATTTGTTTATTTATTTCTTTGAGAAATAAAAGAATAAACTTAATTTTATCAAATGTTTATTTTAGTCAAAAAATTAAAAATGGTTGCTTTGCAGAAATCTATGATTATTTATGATTAACATAATTACTCAGAATATTTAATAAATAAAATACCTATCAAATCTACTATTTTTTCTATCATCTCTTATTTCGTAATAATTAAGAAAAGTGTAATAAATTGAAATCAAAAAAATTATAAAATTGTGACGTATTACTTTTATTTAATATGAACTGTAAACTTATATCAGAAATAGAGTTTTTATTTACTTAAAGCCAAATTCAACTAATTTTGGTAACCATAAATGAATTTTTTTATTTTGAATAAAAATATTAATAAGTCAATTAACAAAATCATTTTTAAATCTAAATTCCCTAAATTATTAATGCCTCATGATAAAAATATGCTTCTATGATGTAAGCTATTAATTTTGTTCAGTTTAGATTTGTATACAGTTATTTATATGTATATATTGCTGTACCTTGAAAATATATTATTTTCTATCACTGCCTTATACAATTTAAAGAATATTAATTTCAAAAAAAAAAGGAAGGAAGGAAGGAAGGAAGGAAGGAAGAAAAATTCTAGTAATTATTCAATTTCGACTATGCTAATTAACAAAAAGTTACAAAATTCGAAAATTAATTAATTAAATTTTAAAGTTCAGAGAGTTACAATTTTTAGATCTAAATCTTTTTACATAATTAAATAAAAATTATTGAATTTCGAATAATATTTATTAATTAAATTTTACTCACTAATTTTAGTGTAACTTATTTTAGAGCTAAAAAGCTTTTATCCAAGAAATTCAAAAAATAATAGACATTTTTTTCAAATCTAAAATACCAAAAGCAGATTAAATTTTCTAGAACTTAAGTTCTATTTTATTTTATTATTATGAGTCATATTTGATAAATTTTAATTAATTGTAAAAGCTGATTGATTAATATTTTTGAATGAAATTAATAAAGAATATTACAAAAGCAAACCTCACTTTAAATATAGAGCCATTTGAATTTTTAAAATTTTATAAATGTTAAATAAATAAAAATAAATAAATAAAATCAACATAAAAAAAAATGAAATTCATCTCTGTTTGCTTGCTTGCTTTAGTTGCCTTAAGTTTTGTATATGCTGATGATATCGAAAAGATGAAATGTTTGGGTCAAGTTCCTAAACCTTGTGGTGATGGTTCAGATTCTGCCTGTTTAACTGCTTACAACACTGATGGAAACTGTGTTAATAGAGATTGTGCTGCTAAACTCATCGACTTGAACGACTATGCCACTTGCATCAAGAAATGCAAATCTAATAACGATAAAGTTTAAAAATGGATTGATGCTAATGTTAGTTGTGTTGGAAGTGGTTTATTAAGCTTTGCTGCTTTAATGATTGCCTTATTTGCTTTCATGTTCTGAGCTATTAAATAATATTAAAAAATATTTTTAAATTAAATATTTGGATGTTTTTTACATGTCTTGATGTATTTAGTTTAAGAATATTGTTGAAAGTACTTTAAAAAGAACTTCATTTTATTTGTAATTAAAAACATTTTATTTTTTAAATAGTTTTCTATTAAAGAATGATAGTAAAAAGGATTACTGCTATGTTATTAATATTTTTGATTTTAGTTAAATAAATAGTTTTATAAATGATAATTATTTCGATAATTTCATTTATTATATTTATTTTAAGTAGGAATAAAGATAAGAACTTAATTTTTTGAAAATTATTTTGTGAAAAGCCTAAAAATGAAGACTGATTATAGATAAAATAATTAAAAAAGAAACTAATTTGCATTATAAATATTAAATATTTTTATAAACTAAAAATTTATGATTAAATTTAATCTTTGAATAAAAATTATTTACAAAAATTGAAAAGTTTGAATTCCAACATTTATCAAAACTTATGATTTATTTGAGATCTACCCATTGATATTCATTATGGCTAGTAGTTTCAAATACATTAGTAACAAACTGTTCCATATGTTTTATTGTAAAATAATGATCAAATATTTCTTATTCTAAAAAAAATAATAATAGTGAGTAGAACTTGTTATTATTTTTATATTTTTTGATTAATTTTGATTTATACTTTCTCCAAAAATTTTTTTATTTTATCAACATTTCTTTCTTACACAGAAATACATTTAAATTTTTTATTTAGTTTTGTGCTATTCTCCATTTTCACAATTCTACTCTTTGAAAGTTAGAATATTGAACTTAATATTGAGACAATTTAGAAATAAAATATTTAAATTAAATATATTCTAGTATTTTGAAGATTTAAAAAAGTAAGTTTCCATAAAAAGTAAAAAAATTAAATTATAAATATTTTAATATATATTAAAATATTTAAAGTTTATTTTAAAAGGAAAGATTTATTTTTGAAACTAAATTTGCATTAAATAAATGAAAAATAAATATGCAAAAAGCCTATTAATTTAAATATTTTGTGTTTCATTAAATTATATATTATTGTTTTACAAATTGAATTATGATGATCTTTAAAAAAACTTTTGATTAATTAGATATTATAAAAATAATGATCAAAATTAAAACAATATTTATTATCAATAATTTTTATTGACCCAATATATATTTGTATATTTCATAAAAAGATATATTTGTTGTTTTGAAAAGATATAGAAAAATAATAATTAATAATAAAAATTTTAAAAATAATTGAAGGTATTATTTTTTATTTTCAGTTATTGCTCTGTTTAATTGTAAACTTTGGTATTGTCATAAATATCTACAAGAATTTACAACAAACCATGCGATAGTTCAGATTTTACAAGCATAACCTCTTACAACACTAACAGCAACTAAGTTAATAAAAATTGCTTTGCTAAGCTCATCTAACGACAAAGTTACACGCATTAAGAAATATAAATCTAAAAATGATAAAATTTAAAAATTGATGTTATGCTGCTTTAGTAATATATTTGTTTGCTTGGTTAAATATTTTGAATTATGAGAAAATTAAATTAAATTTTAAATAAATATTTGGATTTCTTTAACTATCTATCTCTTTACTGATGTATTTATTTTATTTTAAAATTTTTAATTGATATTCTTTGATTAGATTTCTTTATAAATATGAAATCATATTAATCAAAAAGTTATGTAAAGAAATATTAATTTTATTAATCAGTTTTAATGAAGTTTTTAGTAATGAAATTAATGATAGATATGTATAATATACATAATAATTATTAATATGAACATTAAACAATGTATTCTATTTATTTTCTTTAATATCAAACATTTTTTAACTTTTAGTTTATTAATTATCTTTATATATTGTAGATTTTTCATCAAAATAATGATTTAATTAAAATTGTAATTTGTTTAAATAATTTATTTACTTACCTTAAAAATAAATTGTTTAAGTTAAATATTTTTTTGAAATCTAAGAAAATAAGGTTTATCAGCTAATTTTCGATTTAATTTTTTAACTCAATTTAAATTGTAATCCTAATTTTCTTATTCAATTTTTATTGAAGTTTTAGTTCTTGGCCTTGAATAATCTTTCCTTACATCTTTTTTAGGAATATTTATTGATTTACTCATATTATTTGTAGAAATATCATTCTCACTAGTTTAATTCTTCTTATCATTTTCTTAATTTCTGTTATTCGTTTTAAATGCAGTTATATCATAATTAATTTTTTATTAGTTAGTTGGAAAATCACTACTTGTTCTTAGTTGGCTTTCAAAAACTAATCCTTAAGTTGTGCTAATAATTTTAAATTAAATAATATTTTATAAATGCAAAATAAATATTTTAAATTTACCTATGTTTACTATTGTTTATATTCATAATTTAGTTTTTAAGCTACTTAATTTCAATATTGAGCCTTGCAATTATCTAATTTAAATTTTCTATTTCTCTTAAATCTTTTGGAAGAGATTCTCTGTTTTCCCACATCTAACATAACTCTTCCTTTTCTTTTTAAACCATATTCACAATATTTTAATTTTTTAAATCTAATTCTAGGAATTATTATTTCATTTTTTCAGTAAATTTAACTTAACTCTCAAGTTACTATGCTGATTCTTCTACATATTTTTGTAATTCTGCTATTTTTGTAGCATATTTTTCGATCAAAATGTCCTTTTCAAAAACTTATTATATTTTTATTTAATTTATAGAATCAAACTCTTTTTATAAATTTTTCTTTTCTAGTTTATGCTATTCATTTAATTCGTATTCTTTTTTTATGAACTGGTCTTATAATTCTTAATTTTTAAGTTTTTGAGAATAAAGTTATTCTCTTAATTCTTTTACCTATTTAGCAAGCTATAAATCTTTTAAATCGTTTTCATCTAAGTAAATATCTTTTTGAAATTACTCATTCATTATTTAGTTCAAATTGTCATAATCTTTTTTAAATGTTTAAGTATCATTTAGCTAAATGTTCTATGATTCTATAGCAGAGCCTCCAATGTATTGTTATTTTAATAAAGCATTAGCTCTCTTTTATTATGTATCTAACTAAGCTCTTAAATTATCTATTTTATTTTGTTACTATTCAAAAGCTGCAGCACACTTTATCAAATATTTTAAAAATTGTAAGTTAAATAAAAATACAAAAAATTTTACTCTGGCAATAACCTAAAATCTAACTTTTAAAGCATCTGCATAATTTACTTATTAATTTTGTATTGTTTTAGCAGATATGGGAATTTTTTTTTTTAAAGGTGTAGCTTCTTTATTGTTAGATTCTTCACTATTAATTGATTTATAAGAATACTTTTCTTCTCTTATCTGTCTGCTCTTTTTCCAAAATTTCGATTATCTATTATACACAGCTAAATCTTCACATATAGTAGCTTCAATTTCTATCTTTTGTTCATCTAATTCATTCTACAAAAATGAGATTCTTTTTTGCATATCTTTTATCATATCTTTGTACTGACTTTCTAGCTAATCTTTTATTTTTTACTTTTCTTCATATAACTTTTTTTTAAAAATTATGAACAATTTTCATTTAAAAGTAAAATTTTTACTTTATTTTTAAGGAATTCGATCTCAGTTTCTTTACCCTCCATTTCTTGGTTGTAATTATTTTTCATGGCTTAGTACTGTCTTTTTGCATCATTTGCACTAGATGAGCATTCTTTTACTCGATCATCATATTCTTTCTTTATTTTTTCTATTTCTACTTCATAGTATAGCTTAAGCTCTTTGAATTTAAAAGTAAGAGATTTATTTTCATCTTGCTTTGTTTGGAATAGTTTATTCATTTCTTTTTCGTGTTCTTCTTTCATTTTCTGTTTAGACAAAGCTTGCTGCTCTAGCTATTTTTAAAGTTCGACAATTCTATTACTTTTTTAAGATATTTCCTTTAACTTTGTTTCAATCTAAATAAATATTTAATATAAAATGTCAATTTTTTTCTTAAAAATAAGTTTTTACAATCTGCTTTTTTTCTTCTAAAAATCTCTCTAAGCTTTCTATTTTTTTGATTAATTCTGCTGTTTAATTAATTGTATCTACTTTATATCCATCGAATTATTCTCGTATTGATTATATTTAATTTCTTAAACCCTATTCTCTCTCTTAAAAGTTTTATTCTTGGCCAGAGATTTGACTTCTCAAGTTCGAAATGGTTTCTTGTAGTTCTTTAATATCTTAAACATACTAACTTTCTTATTTTTAATACTTAAGGTTCAATTAGTGTAAATCGAGCTCTTTTTATTACAACTATCTTTCATAATCACTACATTTATCTTAAATACTATTTAAATTTTATTCTTAGATATATTTAATTTAACTTTCCAATTATTTTATGTTCTCTTTTAGCCCATAAATTTCCCTTTCTTTTTCTGTCTGTTTGCTTGATAATGCTTTATATCTTTCTTCTGATTTATCTAGTGCATTAAGGTATTTTTTAGTATCCTCTTAAATTTTATCCATCAAATCTTTAATTGTTTTCTCAAGTAAAACAATCTTCCTGTTTTCTTTGTTTAAATAATCTACTCTCTCTATAAAATCTTTGATCTATTACTTATATTAATTATCTATTTCCAAAAGATCTTATTATTTCTATGTATCATAATTTGCAATTTAAAAATTTAAACTATCAATTTCTTAGTCTTTTTTAACAATAATTTACTCTAATTCAGCTATTTTATTATTCTTCTACAATATAATTTCAGTTTAATTATGGCACAATTTAGACAAATCTGCTAGTTTTTAAACATGCTTTTAGTATAAACTTTTTCTATCTAGATTATCATGATAGTCTTTAAATTTTGCATATTCATTTAACATTTCTATGATTTAAATAAAAAAATTAAAAATTATAAGATTAAAGTAAAGAAAATTAAAGGAATCTCTTTATAAATTGAAAGCTCAAGCAAAGATAATTTTATCTGCTGCTAATTTCTGATGAATTTTGTTTGTTGTTTTTAATAAAAAGGACATTTCTTTCATATCTTTACCTTTAAATTTAGAGGAGAGATGAAGGTTATGGCATTTTATTTCTTTATTTTCTTGCTCTAGTATTTGTAATCTTATAATGAGAGATTCCTTATCCATTCTTGACAATAGCTGAGCCTCTGTATATACCTTAAAATCCTCATAATCCATGTTCCCAATATAATAAGAAATATTTTTAACTTCATTTTCATCAAAAAACTCCATTTTAGTATGAGTTTTCTTATTTTCATCTTCTTAAATATTTTCTTTCTGTTCTTTTTTATTGCTTTGATTTTCTAAATTTGTTAATTTTGGTTTTGACTGTTCTTAATGACTTAAATGTGATTCGGCAGTTTTTGCCTCTTCTTAAATAGAGTTTATTTGATCTCTACTGTTAGATATAATAATCTTTCTATTGTTTTTCTTATTAGATTAGCTTGGTAAAAGTTTTTTATATTAGCTTCGCTGCTCATAATTAGATTTTTAATAATTTTCAGATAAAATTTTACTACTATCAAAATCTTCTTTTGTAAAGAAGCTATCATCTTATCGAATTTCTTATGCTTTATCAAAATAGTTGTTCTTTTGTGCTGATCCTTCTGTTTAGAAATTTTTTTACATATTTTTTGTGCTGCTGCTATTGAAATCGAGGATAGAGCTTGTATCAAGTAGATTATCGCTTTTATTCAATAATTTACTAACATTATAAAATTGATTATAATAACTATTGTTAGTAGACTGCTGATCTTTAGCTGTATAACTAAAATCATTTAATTTTTAATTATTCTACTTGCTATCAGTTGTTTTTAATATGCTAACTCCTGATTAAATAATTCTAGCTTATTAATTTGTAGATTTTGGTCTTTTCATCTACTGTATTTCTTATTGGCTGCCATAGGATTAACGCAATTCAGTGCTTAAATCTTATTTTTTATCAATGTTGATCTAGATATTTGATAAATTCCTTTTTTTTAAGTTTGATTATTTGTTATCAATAAACTTATGTTCCAAATAAATAGGCTCAAAATTATTAGGAGAGACTGATCTAGATTGATGATTTTTAAATAGCCTTGTTGCATTCTTTTAATTTATGTATGTACTTCTTGGTCGACTGTTATGATTTGTGCTTATAGAAGATGAAGATTTAAAATTATAAATTTCATCTCTAGTAATATCTTCCATAGTAGGTAGTATTGAATAATAACAATAATATTCAAACTAATATTAATCTTATAAATTACTTAATCAAAATTTAACTATAACCTTAAATACAAATCAAATTGTATAAATTAATTACATATTTTCATTAATCCATATCAAATCATGGCTAACAGTAAATTTTTATAGACTAATTATTTAAAAAACAAAATATTTAACTTATAAATACTTCATATAGAAAATTATTTATATTTTTAATTTTATTATTCTAACTAAGTAGGTGCTTTTCTCTAAATATTTTACAAATTCTAACAATAATAAGCATTACAATCAAAAATTGTAAATATTTTTATAAGATAATGCAAAATATTGAATGAAATTTACTTAAGAAACAATAACATTCAAACTAATATTTATCTTATAAGTTACTTAATCAATATTTAACTATAACCTTAAATACAAATCAAGTTGTATAATAAATTAATTACATATTTTCATTTATCCATATCATATAAAATTAGGATTAACAGTAAAATTTTAAAGACTAAAAGTAAGTACTTTTCTCTAAATATATTACTAATTCTAACAACAATAAACTTTAGTACAATAATTTTTGTAAAAATTTTTACAACATAATTCAAAATATTAAATAAAATTTTTTCAAGAATGATGTAGTTAGTATTTTCATTTTAAAAATATTGGTTAAAAATATTTTGGTTATTCGAATTAAAAATATTGATCTTTATTTAAAACTAAAAAAAATTATAGATTCTTAATAATTATTTTCTGTAGTAGGAAATAAATATTTAGTAGAATAATAAATATTATTTAAAAAATTTAATTTAAAATTTTAGTACTTTAATTACTAGAATTTTTTCAAGATATAATTACCCCTCTCTAACTAATTCCTACTATATTTTTAAGTATGTGTTTTAAATAGAAATATTAAGATTTAATAATGTATATTGTGCTAATTTTTTTTGAGATACTTCTTCCGAAAAGTAAATTTATCAATACAAATTTGATAATTATAAAATATTTGTTATTTTTTAAAAAATAATATGAAATGAAAGTAAATTAATTTTTTAATAAATCAATAATTTATTACGTTTTCATAAATTGTTTTTCAATTTTTTTGAGAAAAAAAAATAAATGATTTAAGAGAAAAAATATTTTAACAATCTAGAAGAAGTAAATATTAATTTTTTATTAATATACTTTAAATTTATTTTTATTTATAAAAAAAGTTTTTAAACTCTTCTCTTTAATTTCATTAGATTATTCATATTGCTCTAAAAAGGTATATTTAATTTATTCCTATTATTATTATTATTATAATGTTTTTTTATATTTAATATTCAAGTTAATTACAATATTAACTTTCTAATAGAAATTCTCATTAATTATCATTCATTTTTTGAAACAAATATTTTTTTAATTATTTAACATAATTTTCTTCAATTTTTATTTTAATTATTAATTATTCATTTTTTCTTTCTAACTATTATAATTCATTTTTTCTTCAATATTTAAAAAGTGACAATTATAGCGGTGATGAATATGCATCGCTCTTAGGTTCTGCTTTAGCAAATTGTATTAATCTCTAAAATTTGACACTTGATTTTGGGTAAAAATTGCTTATTTGTTTTGGATAATTAAATCATTTAAAAAAAAAAAAAATTTAAAACAATAAAGCTAACTTTTTTAATTTATTTATTAACTTATTATTTGATTTATTTTTCTCTTTTTTTATTCTACTTGTGTTTTTTTTTTCTTTGTTTCTTTGTTAATTTAACTCATTTTTTATTTTCAACTCTTTCTTTTATTATTGATTTATTTTTTTCTTATTATTTATTATTTTTTCTTTATTTTTTCCTTATATCTAACTAATTAATTATATATTTTTTCTTAAATATTTAAAAAGGTACAATAAAATTGGTGCAAATAGTGCACTAGGATTAGGTTCTGCTTTAACAAATTGTACTAATCTCTCAAATTTGACACTTAAACTTTAGTAAAAACAGTTTATTAGTTTTGGATTGTGACACTTAAAAAAAAATTAATTTAAAACATTATTACTCTATTAATTTATTTATTTATTTATTAGCTTTTTAATTAATTTATTTGTTTTTATTTTTATTCTCTTAATTTAACTCATTTTTTCATTTTAAATTCTTTCTTTTACTATTGATTAAGAGTTTTCATTTTATTTCATAATTCTTCTTCATTTTTTCCTTATAACTATCTAACTAATTAATTCTATATTTTTCTTGAATATTAAAAAGTTAAAATTAAATTGGTGCAATTGGTACATCAGGCTTAGGTTCCGCTTTATCAAATTACGTTAATATCTCAAATTTGACACTTGAACTTTAGTAAAAACAGTTTATTAGTTTTGGATTGCGACTTTATTTATTAGCTTTTTTTTTAACTTATTTTTCTTTTTTTTTATTCTACTTTTGTTTTTTTATAATATTTATTTTGCTTATTTTAATCATTTATTTTTTTATTTTCAACTTTTGATTTTATTATTAATTTATTAATTTCTTATTATTACATATTTTTTCTTCTTTTATTCCTTTATTCCTAACTAATTGATTATATATTCTTTCTACAATAATTAAAAAGATGCAATTAAGTTGGAGCAATAGGTGCATTTGACTTAGGCTCTGCTATAGCAAATTGCACTAATCTCTCAAATTTAAAACTTGATCTTAGGTAAATCCAGTTTATTTGTTTTGGATAGTGATATTTTAAAATTAAAAATTAATTTAAAACAAAATAACTAACTCTTTTAATTAATTAATTTATTATAAATTTATTTGATTTATTTTTCTTTATTTATTATTATGTGTTTTTTTTCTTTTCTTACTGCTAATTTAACTCATTCATTTTTTAATTTTAAACTTTTGCTTATTATTTCATATTTTTTTTATAACGAAATAACTAATTAATTATAAATTTTTTCTTCTATAATTAAAAAGTTAAAATTAAATTGGTGACGAAGGTGTATCAGGCTTAGTTTCTGCTTTATCAAATTGCACTAATCTCTCAAATTTCACACTTGGACTTTAGTAAAAACAATTTTTTACTTTTGGATTATGAGATTTAAAAAAAAAATAATTTAAAACATGAAAACTCTATTAATTAATTTATTTATTAGATTTTTTAAATCATTTATTTATTTTTTCTTTTCTTTTTTTTACATTTATTTTTTTCTTTTATTATATGCTAATTTAACTCAATTTTTTACTTTCAACTCTTGTTTTTATTATTAATTATTTCGCTTCTCATTATTTCATATTTTTTCTTCTTTTATTCCTTTTAGTTAGCTGATTGGTTATACATTTTTTTCAATATTTAAAAAGTTAAAATTAAATTGGTGCAATCGGTGCATCATCCTTAGGTACTAGTTTATCAAACTGCACTAATCTCTCAAATTTGATACTTTATCTTGAGTAAAAACAGTTCATTTGTTTTGGATAGTGATATTTTTTAATATAAAAATAAATTTAAAACAATAAAACTAATTTTAATTTATTTATTTATTTATTTATTAGAAATTTATTATATTTATTTTTCTTTTTTCTTATCTTACTTTGTTAATTTAACTCATTTTTTTTTTCATTTTCAACTTTTGCTTTTATTATTTATTTATTACATCACATTTTCAATTTATAATAATAATTATTTATTTTTTCTTCAATATTTAAAAAGTTAAAATTAAATTAGTGACGAAGGTGTATCAGCCTTAAGTTCTGGTTTAGCAAATTGCACTAATCTCTCCAATTTGGAACTTTGTATTAGGTAAAAATAATTTATTTGTTTTGGATTATGGCATTTTTTACAAAATAATGATTAAAAAAAATAAAATTCTTGTAATTGATTTTTTTTATTTTACTTGTGTCTTTATTTCTTAATTTTTAATTTATCTTATTTTACATTTTCAATATTGCTTTTACCCTAAATTAATTTCTTATTATTTGATATTTTTTCCTTAAATTAACTAGTTTATTATATGTTTTTTCATCAATTTTTAAAAAGTTTAAATTAAATTGGTTCAATAGGCGCATCACGCTTAGGCTCTTATTTAGCATATTGCTACAATCTATCGAATTTGACTCTTGAACTTTAGTAAAAACAGTTTATTTATTTTGGATAATATTTTTTATATGAAAATGAATTTAAAACTATATAATTGATTTATTTGTCTTTTTCTTTATTCTGCATTTTAATTTTTTTTACATTTTTTATTTAACTAATTTTTTTATTTTCAACTTTTATTATTATTAATAAATTAATTTCTTATTATTCCATATTTTTCTTCATTTTTTACTAAAAACTAACTAACTGATTAATATTTTTTCTTCAATATTTAAAAAGATACAATTAGATTGGTGCAATTGGTGCATCAGGCTTAGGATTTGCTTTAGCAAATTGCACTGATCTCTCAAATTTATCACTTTATCTTAAGTAAAGATAGTTTATTTGTATTAGATTGTTATATTTTTTATTATAAAAATGAAATAAAACAATATTATTCTATTTATTTTTTTTTAATAGCTATTTTTTATTTTGCTTATTTTTTTTATTCTACTTGTGTTTTTTTTTCTTTCTTAATTAATGAAACTCATTTATTCATTACAAACATTTTCTTTTATTATTAATTAATTTATTATTATTTCATATTTTTCCTTCAAATAATGATTTATTATAAATTTTTTCTTCAATATTTAAAAAGTTAAAATTTAATTTGTGATGAAGGTACATCGAACTTAGGTTCTGCTTTAGCAAATTTTACTAATCTCTCAAATTTAACACTTGAACTTTAGTAAAAATAGTTTATTTGCTTTACATTATGAAAATTTTTAATTCAAAAATTAATTCAAAAAAATATGATTCTTTTAATTTATTTATTAGCTTTTTATTTGGTTTATTTTTCTTTTTTTATTCTTCTGATTGTATTTTTTTCTTCTTCTTCTTCTTTATTTTTTAATTTAAATAATTTATTTATTTTCTTTTTGTTTTAATTATTAATTAATTTATTTATTATTTCATATTTTTTTTCACTTCTCCTTATGACTAACCAATCGATTTTTATATTTTTCTTCAATAATTAAATAGACATAATTAAATTGGCTCACTTGGAGCATCAGGCTTAGGTTCTGCTTTAGCAAATTGTATTAATCTCTCAAATTTGAGACTTTATCTTGGGTAAAAATTGTTTATTTGTTTGGGATAGTGATATAACTCATTTATTCATTTTCAACTTTTGGTTTTATTTTTAATTAATTCATTTCTTATTAATTGATTTTTTTTCTTCATTTTATCATTCTAACTTATGATTTATGATAAATTTTTTCTCCAATACTTAAAAAGTTTAAATTAAATTTGTGATGAAGGTACATCAAGCTTAGGTTCTGCTTTGGCAAATTGCATTAATCTCTCAAATTTGGCACTTGAACTTTAGTAAAAACAGTTTATTTGTTTTGGTTAGTGATATTTTTAATATAAAAAATAATTTAAAATAATATAACTAACTATGCAATTTGATTTATTAGCTTTTTTTAAATTCTAATTGTGTTATTTTTTCTTACTTTGCTAATTTAGCTCATAATTTTCATTTTAAACTTTTGTTAATTCATTTCTTATGATTTCATATTTTTTCTTCAATATTTATAAAGACACAATTAAATTAGTGCCTTTGGTGCATCAAGCTTAGGTTCTGCTTTAAAAAATTGCACTAATCTTTCAGATTTGAAACTTCATCTTAGGTAAAAGCAGTTTGTTTATTTTGGATAGTGATATTTTTTAATATTAAATGAATGTAATTATTGAAAACTCATTTTATTGATTTATTAGATTTTTATTTGATTTATTTTAATTTTTTCTTTCTTTCTTTCTTTCTTTCTTTCTTTCTTTCTTTCTTTCTTTCTTTCTTTCTTTCTTTCTTTCTTTCTTTCTTTGTTAATTTAACTCCTTCATTATTTAATTTTCAACTTTTTATTTTATTTTTAATTAATTTCTTCTTTTTTAATTTTTTTTCTTCATTTTTTCCTGATTACTAATTAATTGATTTTATATTTTTTCTTCATTATTTAAATAGCTAAAATTATATTGGTGATAAAGGTACATCAAGCTTAGGTTCTGGTTTAGCAAATTGCACTAACCTCTCAAATTTAACACTTGAACTTTAGTAAAAATAGTTTATTTTTTTTTGGATAGTGATACTTTTTAATATATAAATGAATTTAAAACAATATAACTAACTCTATTAATTTTTTTATTAGCTTTTTATTTGCTTAATTCTTTTTTTATTCTGCTTAAGTTTTTTTCTTCTTCTTACTTTTTTAATTTAACTCATTTATTAATTATCAACTTTTGGCTTAATTTTAATTTGTTAATTTCTTATAAATTCATATTTTAACTTCACATTTTCCTTATAACTAACTAACTAACTAGTTAATAATATATTTTTTCTTCAACATTTAAAAAGATACAATTAAATTAGTGAAATTGGTTTATCAAGCTTAGCTTCTGCTTTAGTAAATTGCAATAATCTCTCAAATTTGAAACTTTATCTTAGGTAAAAACAGCTTATTGTTTTTGATAGTGATATTTTTTAATATAAAAATGAATTTAAAACAATATATAATTCTATTAATTAATTTATTAGCTCTTTATTGATTTATTTTTCTTTTTTTTTATTTTGTTATTGCTATTGTTTTTTTATTTTATTTGTTTATTTATTTATTAATTTAATAGATCATTTTTAATTTAATAATTTTAATCTATTTACTTTTTTTTAGTAATTTACATTAATTTATACTAAAAGTAAAAGCGAAATCAAGAAATCATAAAAATTGAAATTAGAAAGCAAGTGTCTTAAATTAAATAGATTAGTTGTCTTTAGAATATATTTATAATGATAATAAAAAGAATTTAAAAAACTATCACTAAAAATAAAAATATTTGGATAATAGAATATACTGTAAATGCTCGTTAATTTAGGCATATTTTAATTAAGGCATTTTTTTCTTAAATTTTGTTTTTAAATTTGTTAAAAATCCATTATTTTTTATGCAAGAGATACTTTATTCTAACTATCTGTAATTTTTAAAAAATGAAAAATAATAACTTTCAAACAAAATTGTATTTTTAATTTCTTCTTCTACTCTAAACAAATTTCTAATCAAAAATTAAATTTTAAATTAAAAATGCCTATAATTTCTTTTATATATTTAATGGATATATTTAAGCTTCTAGCAGCTATTTTCTTGTTTTAATAAGTTAAATAAGTTAATCATAGAATTTAAAAAAGAATAAAAAGTTTATATTACTTTTAAAGTTAAAACTATTATTATTTTTATTATTCTATTCAAATAATCTTTAAAATTTATTTGATAACTAGCTTTGAGTTTTTTTTATTTATTTTCTTTATCTTATTAATAAATAAAATAGTTTGATTATTTAGTTTCTATCTTTCTTAATAAATAATTTCGATCCTTTTTAATAAATATTTTTGATAATTTCTAATAGATAGTTTCGATCCTTACTAATAAATATTTTTGATCATTTCTAACTTTTATAAATAGTTTCGATCCTCTTTATAAAAATTTTAATATTTCTATATAAATAGTTTCGAACCTTGATTTTTAATAATAAATATCTTCTAAATATATAGTTTAGGTTATCATTATTAAAATTTTTTATCTTTATTAGTGAATAATTTAAATCCTTCTTTGTTAAGTTAAAATTTTATAAATAGCTTATACTTAATTCCATTATATTTTCGATTAATTAGAATGAATTCTTTCTAATTTTCCTAATAAGAAGCTTCTATTTCTTTTTTGGTTTGATCATATTTAATAAGATTTAGTTTTTTTAATAATTAATTTAATAAAAACTTTAAATGTTATTTCCCAGTTTTTTTTTTAACTCAATATGATTTATAGTTTCGATCTTATTTGATGGTTATAATAATATTTAATAAATAGTTTCGATCCTGTTCATATTTCGAATATTTTAAAAGCTACAAAACTTATAAAATTATTAATTTTTAAATACAAAAAAGAAGCTAAAAAACTATCTGCAAATTATATACATTTTTAATTTGTATTATGAGCTAGCCAGTGGTGAGAAAAAATGCGCCTGTTTTTGAATTTAAAGATGACTAGAATGAAATAGAAAGTATTGGGGTAATTATGTAGGAAGAAGAAAACTTCTAAGAAAAAGCTAAAAGAGCATCACTTAATTTTTAAAGTGCAAGCTATTTGTCTAGTCTCCAAGAAGTCAACACAAATTATACTTCTATGTATGGTATTAATATGTAGAGCTAATAAAACCTAAAAACACCAAAGCAATCAAGATTATAAAGTAAGACCAAAATAGTGGAAGGGACTTCAACAGTAGTTTTAACTGTTATTCTCTCATTGATAACAAATATTATTTTCACATATCCATTAATCATTTTAAAAAGTATCTATACTCTACTGACAGCGTTTATTTACCCTTTTAGAAAACCATGTTCAATACGTGCATTTGTTAAAAAATGTTTGAATCCAATAGTTTAGATAATATTTGCTAGTAGTGTTCTATGTATAGTTTACTATGCGTTTGTAAATATGTCTTTGAAAAAAAGAGACTTTTATGGTATACTGTTTTTTGATGCTTTCTTTTTGTTTTTTACAAAGATCTCAATCTTTAGCATCTTAAAGCTAACAAAGTAAAAAGACTTAAAGTTAACATGGAAAAATGTATGTTCTATTATTGATCCTGGTAGCCAAAATGGCCTTGTTTTGGACCTTATTGATAAATAGAAAGATAGTGATATTTATATGGACATATCATGTAATGAAGATTCATGGAAGGAAGAATATCTTAAAATTATAAATTCAAACTTAGAAGTTGACCTAAATATATAAAGATTCAACACAATTTAGACAGACATCAAGAATCCCCTTTCACTTGAGCTGATTGGTTATCAGTTTTTATAAGGTTAAAACTAGAAACTTGGACCTAACTTTGCATAACTTTTAATTACTTAATTAATGACTATAGCAAAAATTTTATGCAGTTTAGCATTCATATATGTTAATATACCATTTAATACAGATGATATTTTCTAACTTTTAGCAATATCCTTATTCTATATTAACGAAACATATTGTTTCAACATTCTACTAAGTAATTAAGACTTGCGCAGAAAGATCATTATGTCTAAAGGAATTAATGAATGCATTAAATTTACTGATATAGAAATAGAAAATGATTACTCAAAGAGACTAGATGTCACCTCATGCATTAGTCTTGAAACTTGGGACAATTCCAGAAGAGCGATTTACCTTTTTTTCCAAGACTATTATAAAACTTTTGAAATGTGCTACTGCTGCATCTTCATATACTATTTGTTTATTTTTAATATTTTACTTTCCAAGTTTTTTAAAATTTATATCCTCTTTGAAGAATTCTCGATTTTTTAAAATCCTATGATCGTTATATCATCTATCTTTAGTTTTATGATCTTAAGCGTTTTCCTTTTGTTCAGGTTCTACTTTGGAGATAAATATAATGAAACTATTGACGAAGCTGGAGAAAATATAGATACTTTAATCGGAATTTATTAGGATCTTATCTAAATGTATGATTACAATTTTTAGTAAAAAACTATTTCATAGGCTACCATCTCAATAGTTTCAAAAAATAAATAGCAATTAATACCTTAGAGGTCTTAAATTATTCAAAATGACCCTGAAGACATGCAAATAATGTCAAGATAGTTAGGTTAAGATCCTAAACGCGCACATATGATAACTTGCTATGATTTAATAATAGCTAAAATTAAATTTCTTTCTCGTTTTTACATAAATAGAGGATTAGAATTTTAAGGTAAAACTTACAATATTGCAGAAGAAAAAACTTTACATCAAAAGATGTTAAAAAATCTATTAAAAAGCTTTTAAAGAATAAAATCTTAGATAGAAATAGACTCTAAACAACTTTGTTATAAAGTGCTTAATTTATTAAAACTTGAATTCAAAGAATCTCTTCTCACTTTATCAATTGGTTTAATATCAATTTTACCAAATGTTATCCCAAATATAAAAACCCTATATAAGGAGAATATTTTTGACTATTAAAAATGAAATACTTTTATATATTAGTATTTATCAATTATATATTCAATCATTTTATGCATATTTTTAAAATTTAACTTTATATTGGTAACTGTTTAATTAAAAAGGTTTTTATTATATAAAATAATAAAATTTAGACTTAGCTTTAAAATTTATAAATATTAAGAATGAATTAATGAATGATATCATGTAATTTTAATTATTTCAAGCATACATAACAAATAAATTTTTATTTATTTATAATATAGTAAAAATTATAATAAAAAATTTAAATGTACGTCTATATCGTACGTACACTGTTAATCCTCATATAGAATTTTACATAAAATTTTTTTCTATCAAGTACCAAGGAAAATACTATTAACAATTAAAATGATAAAAAAAGTAAAATTCTTTTTAAAATAAATCTCATATTTATTTTAAAATTAAATTAATTTTCAAGTATTTCTTTTATTCATTTTTGAGTGGAAGAAAAAGATAAATTACTATTAAAAGTAATTTTAAAAATATCATAGAATAACAAATGAATTAATATATAATGAAAATAAAAATTGAATTTGAAAATTGAGTTATTTTAGAAAAAAAAACAAAAAAAAGTCATATAAAAAGCTAGTAAATAAATTGAAAGTGTATAATTTTTTTAAATTTATTTTTATATTAAAAAATACCTTAACCCAATAATTTATAATTTTTTATTAATTATTTCTATAAACTCCTAAATGCATTAGCATATGGACACTTCTAAATGAATAAAATAAGATATTATATGTAAATAATAACAAAATATGCTCGATATCGTTTGTCAGAAATAGTAAGAAAAATTTTAACTATATTGAAGACAGAACTTTTTATTACTGAGTTATATTTTGAGATTAAGATTAAAAATAATATTTTTTACTTTATTAATATTTTACTTTAAACTTAATCAAATTTCTGAAAAAAAAGAAAATTTTTAAAAGTATTAATTAATTTTTTGTTTTATTTACTTTAATATAATTATATTTAAAATATATATTAATTATTTATATTTCTATTAAATTTTAATTAATGCTTTTCAATTATTAATGACTTGTGCTTTTTATTTCTAAAAGATTAGGTTTTATTGGTAAAAGGTTGACAAAACAGTCACTTTGTTAAGTTATTTTTTAAAATTAATCAATTCAAATAAATTTAATTTTTAATTCAAATATAAGATAGAAATTTTATTTAAATAAAAATCAATAATAACAATTTAGCTTTCAACATATTAAATTAAATTTATAAATACAAATTAAATGTATCATAGAATGTATTTATTTAAATAGATATTCAGTTATTTGATAAATTGTTTTAGTTTAGTTATCTCTAAATTCTTGTTTCTGTTCTGCTTGCAAAAAATTGATCAACTTAATTAATATCGTGAGTAAATTTTCCAATAAAATTTTTCTTAATTTAATCATAATATGGAAGATCATTCTCAGCAACTTTACTTACTAATTATAAAAATGTATTTTATTTTATTATTATTTCTTTTTAAGATGTTTACTTATTTCTTTTTTTTTATTTTTTTGCTTGAAATATTCGTTTGAAGCTTCTTTAAGTTCATTTATTCCTAAAAATTCTATCTTTTAATAATGAAGAAAATTGAATTCAATAACTTTAAAAAAAAATAATACGAGTTATTCTGGATCTGAATAATTAGTTTTTTGTTAATTTGACCTTTCTTCTTCGTCATCATCATCATCCTCTTCATCATCATCTTCGTCTTCGCTTTAATAAAATATATTTATCTCTTAAATTTATTTTGAAAAATTAAATACCTCATTTAAACATTTCTATCCCTCATCTCTATTTCCATATTCTAAGATACTTGGCTAAATCCACATATGTTTTCTGCTCTTATATTTATTTTTATTATTATTTAGTATTGCTAAAAATTAGTTAAACAGATTTTACTCATAAAAAGCATTTTTTTTTAAAGGATACCCAAATTTATCAAGAATTATAGTTTTAATTCCTCGCTTTTAAGCTTAAAGTAGAACAAATGATTAAAAGATATATTAATTTTATTATAAGTTACTAATTATAAAGGCTTCTTTTGTAAATAACATCTTGAGAATGTCAGCACCTTGCGTTTGAGATTTTTGAATGCTACTTGAGAAGTATGCTTTTAACTTCTACATAGAGTCTATGTCTAGATTAATTCTTTCTCTATCAGATTCGCTTTGAGTCTAAAATAATGTGAAAATACCCATCAAGCAAACCGTTTATACATTGAAGTTATTTGACTAAATAAGTTTATCTTTAAGAGAATGAAATTAAATAAAAATATTCAACTAAGAAAATTTTATTTACTCAGAAGGACTCCATAGAATAGCTAAATAAATTCTTTCTTATCCTCTTTCTTATGAAGACACTTATTTTATCAAAATCAATTTTGTTGTAGCAGCATTAAACGAATAACTAAGTAAGTAAGTAAGTATTTACTGAAGTCAAATATTGTAAGCGATAATCTTTCCAAAGGGATTTAAACAGAGGAAAAGTAATTTCTGATTCTATAGACTAAAAAAGAGAATTTATTACCATTAAAATGATATTTATAATTCAAATGCAGGCAGATAATAATTGAATAAACTTAAATACTTACTTCTGCTTATGTGAATAATGGAATAACATCATTAATTAAAGCCTTAAGTCTATCATCAAGGAGACAATTTGGATGATATATTTGCATGAAATCTTTTTATTAGCTACCAACATCCATCATATTTAATTGTAATTAAAATTATACTTTGTTAGTCAGATAATAACTAAAAATTTAATGTTTTTGATAAATTTTAATACTTAAAAAAAAGTAAATGATATCAAAATTTGTTATAAAATATTGTAAAATTTATAAAAATAACCTAAGCAACTATCTCTCAAAATAAATCAAGACTAAAATATTTTTTAATTTAATATTTTGAGTAAACAATTAGAAATTTATATAAAATATCAAAATCCATTTTAAATTATAAATTATTTTATCAATTATTAATTTATATTAATGAATAACCTTATTATTTTTTAAGGATTGAATGAAGCAATTGCTAATTGATGAATTAACAAAAATATCTTGTGATTAAAAATTTTTTATATTTATTTAATTTATATAATAGTGAAGATTTCCAATAAAGTGTATTCATATTAGTATCTATTTATCTTGCTTTTATTAATAGGCTTTTGCTTGTTTATTTATTTGTTTGTTTGTTTGTTTGTGATTTTGAAGGGGAATAAATCTTAATGAAAAGAGAGATTGATTCTTATTACTTTTTTCCTTGCTTGATTTAATGAATATTTTGATTTTATTAAGAATTATCAATAATAAATTAATAAAGAATAAAATAAAGAGGATTTCTATCTTTTTAAAAAGAATTAGAAAAAGGAGGTAGCAATTACTAATAAAATAAATATAGCTAGAAATGTTGCAAAGAGGCTTAGCTAAATTTTTGTTACGCAATACAAGATAAACTTTTGGTGTTGTTAGAAATGGTTTTTCTTCTACATAAATTGAAAAGGCAGCAGAAAAGAGCGATGAAGTTCCCATCCATTTAAGACCATATAATAAGGAAAAGTACGAAGTACCTTCCACTAAGCTGAAATATTCTACAGGTTACGCATTGCTTGATGTTGAACCTATGCCTCGTGCCAAAATTATGAAGATCAGCTACAATATTTTACATAAATTAAAGGAAATTCCTGAAACTGCTATGTATCGTATTTATACAGAAGAAAAGGTCAAATACATCATGAAGCTCACTGATGAAATTGAAGATGTTCGCTAATTAGAAGAAGAATTCGGCCAAGATTCCATTGAATTGTTCATTTATTCTTATGGTAAAGAACTTGAACTTGTTGAATATATGAAGCACTCCAAGCCTTGGGAATCCCGTCCTGGTGATGAAGAATAAAACGAAATGATTCGTATTGCTTCATAAAAGCGTGTTTATCTTAAGCACTAAAGAGTTGATCGTCCTGCTCGTTAAGAAGCTGCTTTCATTTCTTCAAATGCTAAGCCTCAATTAGAAGCTGGCAAGCAATGAAATAGTTAATTACAAAATGAAAAGAAGGATAGTATAGAAAAGCATTAATGAGCAAATAAATATATTGAATATATAAGGAATGTTAAAATGGAACCTTATCTAATCTATCTTCGATATTTCAAACCTAAGCAAGGCTTTTATAAAAAGCAATAATAAATAAATAAAAACTAATTAATATTGCTGATTGAATAAAAGATGTATTAAGTATAAGTAGTCAAAATATCTATCTATCTATCTTTATTTCAAATTCAATATAATAATAGTTTACGATTTAACAGAATACTCATTGAATTTTAGCCATTTTCTATTATTAAATTCTATAATATTCATAAAACAAACCCATTTGATTAAGCAATAAAATAAATTTGTTTAATTTTCTATTTTAAAACAATAATTCATTCAATATAAAAGCTATTTATTTATTTACTTTTTATCAAAATCAATTCATATTTTATTTAGACTTTTTAATTTGACAATTTATAAAATATTTTTTTCATTTAAATTAGATATTTTAATTATTTTTAATTTAAAACTGTTAAGAACTGAAAAATTATTGAAACTTAAATGGTTGAAATTTTTAAGAATACTTTAAAAAATATAATGTGCAATAATAAAGTAATTTTTTACAAAAGAAATTAAAGATTTTTTTGTTAATTAAAATAAATTGAGTTAAAAAATGAATTTATTTTTAATTTTTAAATAGCTTTTTAGTTCAAAATTTATTTTTTTCATAAATTCTGTAATGCCCAAGTTCCAAACCTGCCTCAACTAAAGTATTTTTAAAGGGGCAAAGTTCATCAATCATCCATCTTATATTTGTTAAACGTATCTTTGGATTGTAAATCTTTTTAAGGAAATACATAAAACTAGAAGCCAAATCAACTAAATTAGTTTTTTATTTGAGTTCTGACAATATTCTGAGATCATAAATGTAGATCTAAATTCCGTTTCTCCAATCTGACATTTCATAGAAAACAGGCAAATAGCCTATTATTTAAGAAGTTTCAGAGCTTTTAACTACAAAAATACCTCCAAAATCGCTTTGTTACATAATAAAATCTATACTTTTTAATGTATTTTCAATCGATGTCATTTTTTTATTCATAAGTGTTTCCAGAGAAGAATTTTTTAAGTCATTCTTTAATTGCTCAGCTTCTTAAATAGAAGCGAGTGAAAAAACAAATTAGTCTGTGTGTTTGTAAACTTTTTTATCATTAAAATAAAAATCATCTTCTACAAATATCTCGTTTGAGTCAAACATTCCTAATCTCTGGTAAACCTATTGAGCTCTCGTGTTATCATTTTCTACATATAATCTCAAAGGATATTAATTGTCCTTGTTTATTTTTTCAACTTCGTGAAACATTCCTTTAAAAACTCCTGATCCTCTAAATTGTTTCTCAACAAAGACGCTCTAAAACCACCATACATTTATTGATCTATAAATATCGTGGCTGAATGTTATCAGTTCTGATGAAATAGCTTTATCTTCTTCAGCTGTTGCTCCAACTAAAAAGAATCCTAAATTTGGATTCTTATATATTGTGTCAATTGCTTCTGTTACTTCTTACTAATTTAACTCTTTTCCTTCAGTTTCTTTAGCCATATCATACTAAAATCTTGCTACTAAACTTGATTCTTCGAATTTAACTTTTCTAAATGTAATTTCTTATGTTTAGGTGCTATTCATTTTTAATAGTTAAGTATTTATTTTCAAACAAGATTTTTATTTATGAATTATTTATTTTATATTTTGATTTACCAAATTAAAAACTCATCAAAAATTAATAAATCTTAATTTTAACAAGCGCAATTTTATAAAATTTACTTTTTACATAATTTAATTATCTGCGAAGTAATAATTACTTTGTTTAACAATTCAGAATAATTTAAAATAAAATAAAGATATTACATCTTATTTAGATATTTGTTTGTAGTAGATATAATTTTTTTTTCCAGTATTCAATTATAAAATTAAAAAAATTTATTTTTAATAATTAACTTAGATTTTAAATAAAAAGGAAAAATTATTTCAAATAAATTGATAAAGAAAGAGAAAATATAAATAAAAATAATTTATTTCAATACAATTGTTTTGAATAAAAATTTTTTATTCCAATAATTTCATTTTGCTTCAAATAAAAAGCCTAATTTTCTTCTCTTTTTAATTTTAAAATCTTTAATTTAACGTTTATTTGATTTAAATAAAGAAAATAAAAAATATTTACAAAGATGAAAGTAAGTTGGGTAGAGTAAATTGCTAAATAAAATTTGCAATAAATATGCACAATATAAAATATAAATATTTCTAATTATTTTATAATTTTTTTTTATTTACAAAAATTTATGAATAATTTTTTCATCTCCTAAAAATTATTATTAATTTGTATGTTGAAATATATATATTTATAAATACTTAAGGCTAAAATTTTTTGGATGAGATACCTGAAAATAAATTATATAAATATCAATAATTTTGAAGAGAGTCTTAGTATATTGGATAATAGTTATAAATTTTATTAGAAAGTTTATTCATTCTTTCATATTTTTAATGATAGCTGAAAGATTGAATTCTATCCTTTAATTCAAATTAAATAGATTGGTTTTAAATTATTTACTGAGTTCAAAAAAATGTTTGGCTTGTTGGTGCATGTAGTTTTTTTTGTAAGACATGCCAAGCCAGTAGTAAGTATGATGAGAAATGTATTAGTATTTTTTATTAATTTAATTTAAAAATTATTTTATATTAGGTTAAATGGCAATTTCGTTAATATCATGAAACTTATCTTTAATGTAAGAAATTCCTATTATTAGCAAATAAGCACTGCATATTTCTACTAAGTTTTCTTAGCTTTACATTTAGTTAAACTGTTAAATATGTTATTCTTAGTATTGTTTTATATCGATTAATGCTTTGTCAAGATTTTCGTCTGACACTTTGGAAAGTTCTTTTACAAAATATAGTAATTCAAATTTTATTAAGTAGGTATAAGTTCTGGTTGAAAATAGCTTAGCAATTTTTCTGAATTCAATATCTAATATCGTTTTACTGTCTCCAAGCTTATCGTATATTTCAACAGAGAGATTACACCAAAGATAAAATAGCTCTTTGTAGTTAGGTTCTTCTTCTTTTTCTTAATTTAATTTGTAGTTTTATTGCAGCTTCATTTGTTACTAGTTCTGTGCTGTAGATTTATTTACTTCAGTTTTATTTGTTAAATATTACTAATCATTTTAGCTGATTGGAGATAATATTTAGTGTATTAAATTATTTGATTCATCATCAAACAGGGATTATTTGCTTGAGTTACTGATCTTTTATCCTGAATTCTAATCCTTAGTTTTAGCTAAAAAAATAATTAATTAATTTTTTACATTTAAATAAATTTATTTTGTAAAAAGAAATTACAATTTTTTTGTTCTGCAGAAGATATATAGCATATTCCAATTATAAAGGCAATACAGCATTTATGCATTATCTTAACTTTTGATCCGAAGGCATTTTTCTCAAATTTGTAAAGAAAGTCTTTTAGGTATTCCTTAGATGAGTTACTCACATTAAAATTATTTGATTTTAACTTTTTAAAAAATTTTTAATCATCAATTTATTTAAAATCAAATCCTTGTATAATCATATTCTCAAAAAGTGATGTAGCTTGGCTCCATTTAAGTTGCGATAAATAAAACCACCCAAGCTCAAAATAAAAGAAATGAGGGTGATGATTCCACTTTTCACTTTAATCGATAGCTTGCTTGATGAATTTAACAGCATTTTAGCTCTTTATAATTTAAAAAATAATAAATAAAATTTAAAATAAATAAAAAAATGTTTAAATCAAAATATAACAAATCAATTAATAAAATAAATATTTTACAGATGCAATTTTCCAATAATAGAGTGAAGCTAGCCAGTTAAATATAGGGGATGTAGATTATATAGCAAGAGAAGATTTAATCATATTTGATGACTATAGAATATTATTTTCAGATTCTAGGTAGTACAGAAAAAGGATAATTCTAGCATAATTAGATTTAATTTGTTTCATTTCCATGCATTCAGTGAGTTGACTGATGCCTTTTTTTAAATCTGCTTCAATACCTAGCAGATTACAAATTCTTGAAAAGAAACTTGGCATGAGACTTAAACCTGTAAATTAATTAATTATAAAGCTAAGATTAAATTTTATTTAATTTTTATTTTTACCAACTTAAAATAAGCCATCAGCAAGAAGGTATCTATTTTTATTTTCATCAGATATTTGTACAATTTTTTTGGTATTTTCAATTTATTTTTTGACTTAAAGTAAGTAATTATGTGCTGTGTTTATAGAACTCAATGCACTTAATTTTTTATCTTAAAGGACTTTCAATAAAGCTATTCCTGTATGAGCTTCACATAAAATAATTTTCTTATCTACCTCAGAGAGTTGGCTTAATGATTTATCTTTTTTGTCTATACATTATATAATATGATAATATTCAGCTAAGCTGCTCTCTAAATACCTAATTTAATTTTTATGTTAAACGATAAGTAATCTGAATAATCTAGTAGATTTTGTTTGATAAATTAATGAAATATATAAAATATTTACCTTATTTATCCAGTTATAAGTAAGAGATTAAGAGAAATTTCTACTTTATACAAAAATGAATCAGGGAAAAATTGTAAAATGTAATTTGCTTCTTCGACTTAGCTATTCCAAATATAGTGGCAAGCCATCAAAATAAAATAAGATTTATTATCAGTTATTTGCTCTTTTTTTACATCAAATATTTTATTTATATTGAGGATATTTTATCTTTCTTAGTTTTTAAATATATTTTTTGAGAATATGCCATTCGATTGATAATTATTCATCTAATTTCCTATATTATTTTTTTCAGATATTAAAGAAAGACAATCTTCAGTATCAGTAAATGTTAGATATTATTAAGATATTTCATCTGAAATTTTCATTAACGAAGCTTAAACACGTATTTTATTATCCAACTGAACAAAATTTTTTGTTGCAAAAGGTTAATCCTCTAAAAGCTGTAATTGAGTTATAGATTTATGATTAGAATCATCACCATTCTGCTGTTTTTCCTAATTTTATTCATTTTACTAAGCATTTATATCATAAAAATCATCCTCTAAATCATTTATATCATATCCTGGTATACTCATAGCGCTGCTACACTCCTGCAGTCTACTCTCATGAAGATTTGATATTATTTAATTTTTTTTAAACATCTCCTTTAACTGAATCAAATGTTTCGAAGATGAAAGCCCATAACTCTCTGTTTTCAATGTGCTTGTTAACTCAGCTTCTTCTGAATAGCAGAAATCAGGTCTTATATCCTTTGCTTTAGTTAGCTTTCTATTCATTCTAACTTTCTTATATTAATCTATGCAACTAGCATTATTTTAAAATTATGATAAGCTGTTTCTAACAAATTCTTTTTTAAATTCTAGCTGCTGAAATAGCAAAGGAGATTCTTTAGCAAGTCCTGGAGGAGTATCATCAATATCTTCATCTTAATCTTTTTAAAAATTAGGTATTTTTAATACTAATATTATTTTCTCAATAAAAATATTTTCATTAAAATAGCTAGCCATTCCTTGTACAAAATAACAAATTTAATTATTAATATTAAATTTACATTAATTGTTTTAAATTAATTAAATTAAATTTAAATATTATAGACTTCCAAGCATGAAATAATGTAAATAAGGGATCAGTTGAGTGTTAATAATAATAAACTTAGAGTTGGAAGCTGCTTTGCTTAAAATATTTAAAATAGTAAAAGTAAATTAAAATAAGTTTTACAATTATCAAATGATAATATATCATCGTTTTTTTTCTTTTAGTAACTCGTTTAGTAGTTAGATTTGATGGATTTTTTTGTTGTAAAATTTTTATTTTGTTTCTAATGAATAACTTCATCATTGCAAATTTCTCCAATTTCAAATTCTAGAAGACTCTTTCTTGTGGGATATAATTATTCTTAATCAAAATCTACAGATGAAGATGAAGCTTCTCCATTGTATTCTAAAAATTCACTATATTCCAGTTAATTATGGTTTTCATCTCCTCCAAAAGGTTTTGTATATTTTAAATTTCTCTAATTATTTTATCAATTTAATTTAAAGCATCATTAATTACTCATTCCTAAAAATTACTTCAAATTATCTGTTGATATATTCTTTCCTTGAAGATTTAGATCTTCTAGTATCGAATTTAGTCATATTTATCCTTTTCTATGGTCCTACTGAGCTCGAATTTCTTAATTATTTATTGATTGATAAATTATTTTACAAAAAATTAATTTAAAAAATACTAAAAATAATTAACAAAGTAAAAAATTAATTTAGTGTTTTTTCTTCAATTATTATTTACTTTGTAGAAACTAAAAACATTTTAAATCTAAATAATTCTTAATAATAAAATAATAGCACTAAAATATTATACTCTGAATAATTAATTTATATTTTAAAAAAGCAAATTTTTGAAATTATACCTACAAGATACAGGAATTTGGTGATTATGAGGAACTTTGTTATCTAATCTATAATAAGAAAATTCATATTGATTCATGAAGCTTGTATTTGGTACGTCATCAGTAGTTTCTACATTACAATCTTCTAACCTTAAACCACTCTTATTTCTATCATATTTTTCTATAGTGTTAACTATATTAATTGGTTTTTACGTTGAAGGTTGTTAACTAATTTATTTATATTGAATTTAGCTTTTAACAGTTTGACCGTTCAACATTTTACTATTATTTAATTTTTCAATTCTCTCTTCTCTCAAAATATTTTGATTATTTTTTTAAAAAGCTTGAATATCATTTATATTTAACTCGCTTTGTATAATGCTTTGATTATTGTTCAGGTTAGAAGCCACTTCTTATATTATTTATTTCTACTCCTTTTTTTGAATAATTAAACTCCCATTAGCTGTGTCATTAAAATGGAATGATTTCATAATTTACTAGCTTCCAACTAATGAACCTGCTATCCTTGATTCATTAGCAAGGTTAGATTTTTATGGACTATTTGAAAACTGCTCTAATTAGTTAGAATCAAATTTTCCATTCTAAGCTAAACTTAAATAATATAAATAGAATTACAATTCCTCTTTATTTTATGGGATAAGCCATATTTCATAAGCATTTTTTTATCCTAATACTTTTATTCCATCTTTCCCTTTCTTGTCTTTTTCAATTTAATAAGTGCAGTTAACTAGATTTACAATTCCTCTTATTTTTTGAGATGTTTTTTCTTTGTAATACACCAATTGATTCGAATTAATAGTAAAATATCTCTATGAAATCATTTTAAATGTCTTTCCTTACTTTAAAAACCTACCTTTGTCATTCTAAATGGCAAGGTAAGTATTTAGAAATTCTTCTCTTTTTTATGCAGGTATAGTCGACATTTCTTTTAACACTATGCTAATTTTTACTCACCTGCAATATAAAAACACTAATAAAAGACTATTACTTTAATTTTTATAACAATTTGTTAATAATTGATGTTTAATTATTCTTTTAATTGCCAAAAATAAGTTAATATTACTGCTAAAATTCTAATGCCTACAATCAATCAATCAATGAATAAATAAATAAATTATTAGTTCATTCGATATTTTTTTGTTATAGTTATTACTGAAATTTTTACAAAAATATTTGATGTTTAGTTTTGTTTATTTATCATGTTATTGAAATTATATTTTATGTTAAAAATGAAAAAGTCGTTACTCCTAAAAAATTTTGATTCTGATTTGATATTTTGAATCTTTTGTTTTTCTAAATATTTTCTAGTTGGCATAATACTATTTAATATTTATGAGAAATATATTTTTTTATAAGAAAAATAATATTTAATTTAAAATAACAAATAATTTAAAAAAATATATTAATTACCTTTAATTTTTAACCCTCTTTACTTTATACACTAAAATTTTAGTTAAAACATCATATTATTCCTAAACTGATGAGGGTATAACCTCTTAATTATTTAATTATCAAATGAGAAAACACAGTATTTTGAGAAATTTTCATCTCAAAATTATTTTTTTAATAATTATTGCTTCATATTTTCATCAGCTGATTTAAAATGATTTAATATTCAAATATTTCATTTTAAAGCTAAGTAATAATATTTAAAAATAGAAGCAATTACTGTTGCTATTTATCATGAAAAAATTTACGTTTCAATTTCAGAATTAATAATTTAAAGTTACTATTGTAAATAAATTTTAAAATTCATTTAATTTAATTTATAATAATACTTATAATTTTATGCATCAAATTGACTAAATAATAAGATACGAGGACGGAGGATACAGCTAATTTATATTTTATTTTATTTGATATTCTTTTCAATTAAATTTGTTTAATCAGATAAGATATATGTTTGATAAATTAATTACTAAATCTTGAAAAAATAACATCAAAATTAATAAAATAAAGATAGAAGTTTTCAATTTTACAATATAGTTTGAATAAATATCATGAATCAAATTAGAAAATGCTTAGTAGGTGTTGTTTAGATGTGTTCTACTCACAATAAAAAATAAAATATGGAATTTATTCTTTAAAATTTAAAATAAGCTCATGAAAAATAAGCGAAAATATGCTTTTTTCCTGAAGCCTTTGCAATGATTTCTAGAAGTTTTGCAGAAACATTTGAAAACGCAGAATATATTGATGGTGAAATGATAAATTGCTTAAGAGATCATGCTAAAAAGTATAATTTGTGGCTATCGCTTGGAGGCTTTTAGGAAAGATTAAAAGAAAATGATAAAAAGATGGGAAATACTCATATCATTATTGATAATTTAGGAAACATAGTATAAACTTATAAGAAGCTTCATCTTTTTGATATAAGCATCGACACAAAAAACACAATATCTGAAAGTAGTGGTTATGTATTTGGCGACTAAGTTCCAAATGTTGTTGACTCTCCTGCAGGCAGGTTAGGATTATCTATTTGCTATGACTTGAGATTCCCTGAGCTTTTTAGACTTCTCGCAGTTCAACAGAAAGCTGAAATATTATTAGTTCCAAGTGCTTTTTTTAAAAAGACTGGCTAAGCTCACTGGCATACTCTACTAAAAGCTAGAGCCATAGAAAATTAATGCTTCGTTATTGCAGCTGCATAAGCAGGATAGCATAATGATAAAAGAGAAAGCTATGGACACTCTTTAGTTATAGATCCTTGGGGTGAAGTATTATTGGATATGGGACCAGAAAAGCTTGGTATTGATTTTGTAGAAATAGATTTGGAAAAAATTGATACAGTCAGAAAAGGTTTACCAGCTATAAATCATATTAGAAACGATATTTACAAGCTATCTAAAATTTGATAAAAAATATTTATTTGGATTTTTATAAGCAAGCAACAAATATAAATAATTATATTGTAATTTATTTGATATTAAATATATTTATTTATTTATTTTACTTTAACTAATTAATAAAATTTATAAAATTAATTTATTTATTTACAATATTTTTCTTATTTTATGAATTATATAAACTAAAATTTTGATTTATGATTCAAACCCAAATTTTAATTGTGTGATCATCGCATCCAGTTAGGATTGCACGTTAATTGTACTTAATCAAACAAAGAATTCCTGATTGATTACCAGAAACTGTCCCTATACATTTTCCATTATTAAAATTCCATATTTTTATTTATTTATCGTAAGAGCCAGTAGCTATTTCATTGGGAGATAATATATCTATGGCATAAATGGCGGCAGTGTGTCCTTAAAAAGATCTAATTTGCTGTCCAATTTGCCAATCCCAAAGAATGACTTAAGAGTCATCAGACCCTGAGAATAGTAAATTAGTCCTAATACCAACACAAAGAGATCTTACAGCTTATTTATGACCACTTAAATCTTTTATATGTAAAATTTCTTGCTTTTCAGATTAAAAAAGCCATATTTTAATCATTTTATCATAACTTGCAGTAGCAAAAACGCTCTACTCTTAAATGCAAGTAATTTAAAGAATTTCTTTTTCATGTGCGTTCTCTTTTAGTTACTTTAATTACAAAAGATTACCACTTATTGTTTCTTTTTTTTCGTCGTCCACTAAATATAAATGCTTAATACTACCCAAAAGAATATACCTTTCAGCTAATACTTCTAAGCATAATATACTTTTATTAACATCTCTTATATCTTTTTAATATCTATCAACATCTAACCAAACAAGTTTATTGTCTCTTCCACAACTTATAAATGTGTTTTCTCTCAACATTTTTATATCCAATATCTGTCTTTGATGCAAACCTTAAAAATTCTTTTTAAAAATCTTAAAATAATTTTAAAATAGAGAAAGTAATTTACAGCTATGCACTGGTTGTATGTGAAATTCCATAGCTTGATCGTAGAATCATCAGAAATAGATAAAAATGTCTCATCATCTACCTTTACCAATTTTCTTATGAAATCAGTGTGACCATCATATTAAAAGCTTATTTTACCCTCAAAGTGATCTGTATCAAAAAAACTCACCGGATTTTCATACTACTAAAATTTCTTGTTAGCTTGAGGTTATTATTTAATCTATGAGTTTTTTTAATGTTCTTATTCTTAAAAGTTAGGTTAATGAGAAATGTTAGAAGGCATTTGATTGTTTTTAAGATTTGAAGGCATTTCTTATGAGCCTCTTACTCCTTAATTAGGAGTTAGCTGCTTCTAAAATATCGTTCCTTCATCTTTTGCGTCTTCTTTAAACATATTTTTAGCTATTTTAGGCGATTGAGATATACTTGATCCTTATTGTTTCTATTCCTCTTTTTTTTTATTCAACTTTGGTGAATTGCTTTGTTTTGCTGGACTCTTGCCTTATTATTTCTTTTTTTCTAAATGCTCTGCATAATTTGGATGATCTACTTCCATCCTGCTTGATCCTCCTTCATAAAAATCATCGCTATCTTCGCCATTATTTTCTGTCTCAAAGAAATTCTCTCCTCTTTTAGATTTGCCATGATAAAAATCAGCTTATGTAAATATTTTGAAGTTGCTATCTAAAAAAAGTTTAACTTGCAATAAAAACTCTTTCATTTTTTTATTAACTCTTTTAACTATAAATTAATTATGTTAGATAACCTATTTCACTTTTTCATTCATAATTTTATCTGAATTTAAATGCAACAAAGCGAAAGCTAGCTCCTGATTAAGTTTTTCAGAAGGCCAATCATTAGAGTTCAAAAATGTCTTCAATTTTTCTTGCTATTCTTAATTTGTATAATCAATGTCAGAAGATCCTTTCTATGTGTCCACCTAATATAATATTTTTTATTTATATTCGTCTATCGCCTTGTTTATTCCTAATTTCATATTTTCTAATATCTCCTCTACTTCTGGCCTAATATTTAAGTACTTTTCACAGCCTTCATAATATCTTAGCGCATGGATAGCGCCATCTTATAATCTTTAAACAGCTTCTCTTCTCGATTTATATTCATGTTCTCTATGCTCACCTTTAATAACAATAATGTTAAATAGTATTACTCTTAATTTTATTACTTATTACCGTCAACAAGACATTCTGCACAGCAATCTCTTTGCTCTGAGTCACATTCTATATCTACACAAATATATTTTAGCTGGCAATTATGAATTTTGCAATTTTGATAGCTTTCTTCTGCTCCTTCTATTTTGTTTTTCTTCATGCTTTTCTTTTTGATTTTAATAATTTTTAATAAAATAACAAAATGATTCTCTTAAACTTTAGAGTGTTTTTCAGTTGAATTAATTCAATGGTATTTATTTTCAGCTAAAAATTATTAGCTAATTGATCAATAAACAATCACAAATAATTATGATTAATAATTTAATATTTTTTAAATATCTTTTGATGAAATCTCCAAACAAATTAGATCATTCCTTACCCGTTAATCAAACATAAATAACTAATTAATTAACATTCTACTAAATTGTAGCTTAAAAGTTAGCTAAAACATATTGATTTGATTAGCCTAAACCATCTAAAAAGATTTTTTTTGCTAATTAAATTTACTTTAAAAAGTAGAACTCTGCTCAAGTAAATTTCTAATAATTCTAATAAATAAATAAAAAATAATCAAAAAAAAGCGATATAATTAACATCCATGTCTAACAAAGGCCTTGTCTAAAACAATCCTAGGTTGAGATTCTTGTGCAACTATTACTAGGTTATGCTCCACAACGAGAAGATCTACAGCTATTAATTTTCTGTGGAAGGGATGGAAGCTGCAGAAGTGATGAAAAGAACTGGTGAAATCCTAAAAGCTTGCATCAACAAACTAAGAGAAGTTTTTACTAATAAATTCTTGTTTTAGCACTCTGTCTTATACTCTCCTGTACAACTACAAGCTAACTAAATGACAGAAATAGGAACTGTTGATACTAAGACTGTGAGCCTCAAACTTTTGGGAGAGGCAAATAACGAAAGAGAAGTTTAAAACATTTTTGGACGTCTTATCAAAACAGTATTTGCTAAGATTAAGCTCAATAAACTAGGAAGAAAGTACTTCGATCCAGCTTCTCGTAAAGAGTATAACGAATATGATTTAGCTGTTTTCAGTGGGTATGAGAGCTCATTAGAAAAATACTCATTTAATCAAAAACTTCTGAATATAGATAGTTGCTTTAAAGTCTAAAGAACCTCAAATCTATTGCAAGCTCTTCAATAAGTAAAAGATAGAAATGACCTTTCAGGATTTGTAGGTAATACTGTTATCACCTCTTACAATGGTAAATTTCACCGTATAGAATCTATTGAAAAAGATATGTCTCCTAATGATGCATTTGAAGATAGAAAAGGAACTAAAAAAACATATATGCAATACTACAAAGAAGCCTATAATATTGGTAACATCGACCCAAACTAGCCTCTTGTGAAATGTGTTGAGCTAAAAGGTAAGACTAAGACTCCTTTCACTTACTATTTGATTCCTTCACTATGCCAAGTCACAGGTAAAAAAATAATTATAATTTTTATGAAAGTAGAACTTAATTTATTCAAATAAATTTATTCACTTATAAATAAGGATTGACTGATTAACAGAGAAATGATTTCAATTTAATGAAAAAGCTTGCTGAAGTAACCAAACCAAAAGCCGGAGAAAGAATTGCTTAAGCAAGCAAATTTATTTAAAGAATAAAATAAGATGCAGATAAAACATTGAAAGATTGGTCAGTTGAAATATGTGAAAAACCTTAAACTATTGACTACAAGCAACTTGATGCAGGTAATATGGAAATGCAACAAGGAAAAAAAAAGATAAATGTTGCTACAGGTAATTTAGATCGTGACACCTAAACTTAAATGTTTGAACAACCTTCTCTCAATATGTGGGCTATTATTTACAGTGATCGTGACTAAAAAACATTTGACAGTCTTCTAAGAACATTTTAAGAGTGCTTAAAATTCTACAATTATCCATGCAAACCTCCTAATTGCATCAGTGTCTAAAGCAGAGGAGCCTAAGATTGGATAAATGCTCTAAAGAATGCTCCTGATAATGTTTAAATGGCTGTTTTCTTACTCCCAGGAAAGAAAAAAGCAGGAATGTATTATGATGAAATCAAAAGATATTTCACAAATGTTAAACCTATTCCAACATAAGTTATTCTTGCAAGCACCGCAATGAAAGATAAAGGGGTAAATATTGATTTAATATATAATGCTTAAACGTATTTTTTTATTTATATTAATTTTATTTTTTATTAAATTTTAAGCTGAGAAGTGTTGTAAATAAACTTTTGATGCAAATTTGTGCAAAAACCGGTGGTGTTCCTTGGGTTATGGATAATTTACCCTTTTAGAACTTACCAACAATGGTGGTAGGAATGGATGTTTTCCACAATACTCCTGGAAAAAAAGAATCAATTTTCGGATTTGTTTCAACAGTAGATAGGAATTTCTCAAAATACTACTCTCACTCCCACGTGCTACCAACTGGTTAAGAAATCACTCCTTTCCTTTAGCAAGTTTATGAATAAGCTCTTAAGGAGTTTAAGGATTCAAATGGAGTTTATCCTTAGCAGGTTTTAAATTTAATAATGAATTATTTAAATTTATCTGTATTTTATATTATTACAGATCATCATTTTCAGAGACGGTGTTGGTGAAGGCTAATTTAATGCTGTAAAAGACATTGAAATGCCTCAGTTAAAACAAGCTTGCCAAAAAATAAATGGTTGTGAAAATATTAAATTCACTCTCATTATAGTCAACAAGGTATTTTAATTAATGAAGATAAAATATATTTTATTTATTAAAGTAATCATATAATTAATAATTAGAAAGTTGGAGCTAAGTTTTACTAAAGCCAAGATGGGAATGTGGGTTCAGCTGAAAACCCACCACAAGGAGCTCTAATTGAAGATAGAGTTACGAAGGGAGTTAATGACTTCTTTATTGTCAGCTAAAAGACAAATCAAGGTACTTAAATTCATATTTTAAATATTAAGAAAACCTGATAAAATTTGTTATATATTGAAATAAAGGTACTGCTTCTCCTACTCACTACACTATTATCTATAACGATATGATTGATGAGGCTTTGCAAAAAGATAACTCTCCTTAATACAGAGAATTTAAGAGAGACCTTTAAGTTCTAGCTTTCAAGCTTTGCTTCTTGTACTATAACTGGACTGGAGCCATTAAAACTCCATCTGCAGTTAGGTATGCTCACACCCTTTCCAACTTTGTAGGAGACAGATACAATCCTAGAAAGAACGATGACACTTTGATCCAAGCTCACCCTAAATATGATAAATTTAGATCTCTCTACTTCATTTGAAGATTTTATTTTAGCTATTTATTTTAGTTGAAATTAATATTATTTTTTTGTATTCATTTATTTTCTTTTCTATAAATATATTTTGTAGTTCATTTTATAAAATTTTCTTTTGATAAAATTATTTGTCTCTAAAATCACTTTTTATTAAAAAATTTAAATTATTATCAATTGAAATTAAAATAAATTATTTAGATTTTATAAAATTAAAAAAAAATGTTTTATTTTTTTTGTTTTTAATAAACTTTCAAATTTTAAAATAAAATAAATTAAATTAAATAATTGATTCTTTTTTTTATTTTTACAGAGACAAAAACAATTTTTAAGCTTACTGATATCTAAAAATATTTCATTGAAATTACTTAATAATATTTTTTTTTATTTAAAAAACTTTTAAAGATGAAATGAAATGAGAAATCCTAGTTTTTTCATATTTATCGATTAGCTTTAAGAATCAACGATTAATTAACTATTTTTCTTTTTAATTAATTAATTGATTTAAATTTCAATTTTAAATATTAAATTTTTTTTCTTGGGAGTTTTCAGTAAATTTTAAGAAATAAAAAGGTAAAGCAAAGCGCGCCGCAGTATGATAAATTCATAATTAATATTAGGAAAATAAATTTTATGATTATAAATTAATGTTTATAATAAATCTTTGAAGATATTGACAAAAGAGGGACATTTAAATGTAATACAAAATACTATAATAGAATATAAACAAAAAAATATAAAATATAATTTAAAATATCCAAAATTTATAAAATTAAGAAGAATGTTATTATTATTTATCTAACCTTGATTTTAGTTTATACATATTTGATATTTAGTTGGTTTGGTTGTTGTTGTTGTTGTTATTGTTAGTCGTTTTTTTATTGGTTGTTTTATTTATTTATTTTTATATAAATTAGGTAAGTTTCTTTAATACCATCTATCATTATTTGGTTCATACACTTGTTCTATCTATATTTAGCTCGCTTCCTCATTTACAAAAGCAGTTTTTATATTTCCAAATTACCTTATTAGATATACTAGTTGTTACTTCTATATCATTGCACTTATCCCTTAATTTCCATACCTTATTATTTTTAAACAAAAATTTGCATTTTCATTAACTTAATAGCCAAATTCCAATTTTTTTATTATAAAAATTTAAATTTAAAATTTCATGAACCATTTTAGTTAAAGAAAGTATTTTTAATTTTACATCTCGAAAGTATTTTTGTTTTAATTTCCAAATACTTCCTTCAAATATATTAGAAAGTAAAAGAAAGTTACCTTTTTTTTAATTATATAGCTATCGTTTTATGTGAATTTATGATCAAAATATTATTCTATAACTTCTTCTTCCATCCAAACCACTTGCTTTAGCTGTTCAACTATCATATTGAAGTACTTTTCAGCTTTTTTATGTTAAAAAAAATTATAGTCATCAAATCTTTTCAAATGCTAATTTTTTTAGAAATTACCTAGCAAATCCCAATAAAAGTATTTTCCCACAGCAGACTCTTCATAGCTCTTGATATAATTAACTTTAACTGGATCAAAAAGTTTTTCGATACTGTGTTTATCAATAGGTATAGGGACTATTGCGTTTTAATTACAAGAAGGTCTTTAATGATAATAGATGAAGGACAAAGCAGATATTGTGAAAAAAATAATAGTTAAAACTATGAAAACGTTCAATTTTGTATTTTATGATATTTTGCTTTCTACGATTTCCTTTGGCAAAACTTCTGGCATTTATTTAGTATAGTCAAGTCTCTGCTAAACAGATTCTAAAGAATATTAACAACGAGATCTGAAATCAAATTTAGTATCACTATCCAATGATGCTGAGCCAGAATCTTAAGTTGATTGGCTAATCATGCTCATTTTGAATGCACTATTCCTCACTTTATTAGAATATAATGTAGAAAATGTATTATTCTTATTTCTAACTAGCTTGCTAAATAATAAATGATTGTTTACTTGAAAATTATGGTTTATAAATTCTTTAAGAATTGTTGAAATGATTTATTATTATATATTAAATTCTTTTGTTTTTTGTCTATATTTTTCTTAATAGCTTAAAATTGATAAAAATTATTGATATTAATAAGGATTTTGATTATAATTCAGTGATGATTAATTCATTCACAATTAAATAATAAAATTTATGTATATCCACTTTTTTTATCTTATATCACTAATAATTTTCATTTGTGGATATAGAATTGTCTTAAACAGCTTGTAGGTTGCATGTTCATATCAATAAGAAAAATATTAGAATATATTTTTACATTTTGTAATCAACTTAAATTAATTGCTTCATATTACTATTCAATTTCCTTTTTTTATACAAATACTAATGATTAGAATAAGATTTCACTAAAAAAATTGAAATTAAATTAAAAAATATTAAATCTAATAAATCATCTCCTTCTTAAATTTTAAAATGAATATTCTTTTCTTTGAAATTTTTATTTTTCTTACTAAAGTTAACATGCCATCAAAAATATATTTATAATTCTTTATTAAGATTAATTCGCTGTAATAATATTTATTCTAAAATAATTTAGAGTTATAAATGATACAAATTAATAAATGAGTATTTATTTTGACTATTCAATACTATTTTAAACTTTATATTAAAATCAAAATCAAAAAATTTTTGCATTTTTTGTTAAAATGAAGAGATAGAAAAATTATTAAATTCACAAATATTTATTTTTATAATTATATAATAACAATCAATACTAAATCAAAAATTAGAATATTATTTTTTTTAATAAAAAATATTTAAATATGCTTTCAGCTAGAAAATAAAATTTTTTTTGTTGAGATTTATTTAATGAGAACATATAATAGATAGATAGCTTAAAAAATAAATTTTACTTTTAATGATAATTAAATTTTTTAGTTTAATTTAAAATTGAATTAAAAATATTCAACTCAATTTTACTTTTTAAGATTAATTTAGTTCCTACTTTACCTTTAAAATTTCATCTCTGCATGATTCAAGTTAATAAAGGTCATAGCATAACTAATAATAGTTGATTGATTTGTTATAATCTTATAGAGTAGTATCTAATTAATAAAATAAACCCAGGTACAATAAGCAATATGCATTATTGGGCGAATTATTTAAACACTAATCCATAATTTAGATTGCTTCATTATATTTGAATTGGTGTTAATAGTAATTAGCCAAGTGCACATAACAGAAACCTTAACTTTTTGTTTTATGAAAGCACATATTAATGTAATTTCTTGAATCAGATAGAGGTTATTTTGAGTAAAAAATAGTTAAAATACTTTCATTTAAATGCATCTTTAAAATAGAATCTGCAACTCCAGTACTACAAATATATCCTACTTTCTCTGAATCTAAGCATCCTTTAAAAAAATGGTATTACGCAATATAAAAACCTTAAAGATCATCATGCACTTAAGCATAGCAAGCTTCAATTTATTGACTACAAGCTTAAATTGAAGCATGGGCTGTTAAGAAGGCTAGTAAATTGGCCATGATTATTAAAATGGCATCATAGAAAATCACTATTAAAATTACAATTAATCTAAACGAGAGACGACTTTTTTTAACTTCCTTAGAGTTATATGTAAATTCATGGCATAGATTTATAAAAGGATTGCCTTTCTCAATGCACACTTCAATTAGTTTATCTTTTTATAATTATTCTTAAGTTGATTTAAATCGATAAACTTCTAATAAACTATCTTAGCAAATTTAATTTTCTTTACCTTCTTATAAACACTTTTTGTAAGCTTAAGCTGAATCGTCATATTTCTAAATACTTTTATAAAAATCGCCAACAGCTTAGTAATATTGTTGATCTTTAGGATGTTGCTCAATACAAAGAAGTAATAAATCAATAGCAGCTTTAGGCTTTTCTTTCATATTCTAAGCACTTTTAAATAACTTTTTTGCTAATTGGCATCCATCCCAAATATCTGATTTTACTTTTTTTATACCTTTTAGGATGTCTTTAAGTAGAGGAGGACTTTAATTTTTGCTTTCAAAAATAGTCAAAAAAGTAGAAATAAGCTGTTCATCTAAATTATCGACAAGAAGTTCTCTATTAAATCTATCAACTAAATTAGCTCCTCCGAGTTGGTATATTACTTAAATTGAGGCTAATACATCAATTTATTTCAACTTTGTCTTATCTACTTTCAAAATATTCTATGTCACGTCAATCTCATTTTCACTTATCTACTAATTTACATTGTAAAGCAATGATATCTTATTCTTTTAATTTTATATTTGCAGACTTTAAACTCTTCTAAAAATATTTGCGTTAAAATATCCATTGCAAACAACCTTTAATTAATTGTTTTTATCTATCATTATTGTTGATAAATCAATATCCCTTGCTTCTTTTTTTTTAGAATGAATATGTTCCAAAGCTTAAAAGAGCTAATCACTAAAGCTTATAATTTATGGGAGAAATAATTGATTTGTTTGTCTACTTCTTAACCACTACTCTAAGCTAGATTCATACCTCTCTGTGACTATCAAAAAATAGTAACCTATTTCAAAGTAGTCAACGACTTTAAGTACATTTTTATGATTAAATGTTTTCATAACTTTTACTTCCTGCTATGCATTTTAATAAATAGTTTTATCTATGTTATTAACTCCGTCAAACATGTTTATGATTTTCAAGTTATACTCATTGTTTTTATCATCTGAAACTACTGCCCTGGATATATATGATTGATCATACAAAGTCATCTATAAAGTTTTATACCTTTATTCATGATACAATTTTTCTGCTAAATCTTTTATTTAAAAAAACTCTCTTTCTCTATTTTTATTTGAACTCATATTTATTTCTTTGTATGTTTGTTTTTATGTTTAGATTTAATAAACACTTAATCTATTTTTTTGTATAAATTCAATCAAGTATTTTTTAAAACAATCTAAATTCACTATATTTCAACATTTGGATATTCATTATTAAGAGATGAGTAGATATTCATAATTAATAATTATAATAATTCATATTAGCTAAATCCATCCATTTATTTGATAAAAAATATCTAACAAAAATAAAAATTTCATAAGGATTTTTTAATCCAAATTATTTTATTTTTTAAAGAAATGCTAATAAAAATAACATATTTTTGTGTTTAATAAATTCTAAATAAATAAAAACAATTTTTAGAAGCATTAAATTAAAAATGATAAATATTTTCTATTGATTGATAATAGAAAAAATATTAAAATCAAATAAATAACTTTTAAAGATAAAAATAATTTCAGGATAAAATATTTATGATAAAAGATATAAAATATATTTTTTTAATGACAATTTTTAAAAAAGCAAGCATAGTAAAAATTAAAATTTGCATAAAATTTTAAATGAACAAATGAGTAAATAATTAAATAAATAAAAATCTATAAAAAATTTTAATATATATACATTAATAAATATCAATTATATATATACTTAGTAATTTTTAATTTTATACATTGTAATGCTATATAAATATATAATTTATTTTATTATCATATTTATTAAATATTAGGATATTCAAGGTCCATATTATTAGAAAATAAAATCTTTTTTGTTGAGATTTATTTAATGAGAACATATAATAGATAGATAGCTTAAAAAATAAATTTTAATGATAATTAAATTTTTTATTTTAATTTAAAATTGAATTAAAAATATTCAACTCAATTTTACTTTTTAAGATTAATTTAGTTCCTATTTTACTTTTTAAGGTTAATTTAGTTGCTATTTTACCTTTAAAATCTCATCTCTGCATGATTCAAGTTAATAAAGATCATAGCATAACTAATAATAGTTGATTGATTTGTTATAATCTTATAGAGTAGTATCTAATTAATAAAATAAACCCAGGTACATTAAGCAATATGCATTATTGGGCAAAGATTTTAAACACTTATCCATAATTTAGATTGCTTCATTATATTTGAATTGGTGTTAATAGTAATTAGCCAAGTGCACATAACAGAAACCTTAACTTTTTGATGTTTTATGAAAGCACTATTGAATGTAAATTCTTGAATCATATAGAGGTTATTTTGAGTAAAAAATAATTGAAACACAATCATTTAAATACATCTTTAAAATAGAATCTGCAACTCCAGTACTACAAATATATCCTACTTTCTCTGAATCTAAACATCCTTTAAAAAAATGGTATTACGCAATATAAAAACCTTAAAGATCATCATGCACTTAAGCATAGCAAGCTTCAATTTATTGACTACAAGCTTAAATTGAAGCATGGGCTGATATGAAGGCTAGTAAATTGGCCATGATTACTAAAATGACATCTTTGAAAATCACTATTAAAATTACAATTAATTTAAACGAGATACGACTTTTTTTAACTTCCTTAGAGTTATATGTAAATTCATGACATAGATTTATAAAAGGATTGCCTTTCTCAATGCACACTTCAATTAGTTTATCTTTTTATAATTATTCTTAAGTTGATTTAAATTGATAAACTTCTAATAAACTATCTTAGCAAATTTAATTTTCTTTACCTTCTTATAAACACTTTTTGTAAGCTTAAGCCGAATCGTCATATTTCTAAATACTTTTATAAAAATCGCCAACAGCTTAGTAATATTGTGGATCTTTAGGATGTTGCTCAATACAAAGAAGTAATAGATCAATAGCAGCTTAAGGCTTTTCTTTCATATTCTAAGCACTTTTAAATAACTTTTTTGCGAATTGGCATCCATCCCAAATATCTGATTTTACTTTTTTTATACTTTTTAGGATATCTTTAAGTAGAGGAGGATTTTAATTTTTGCTTTCAAAAATAGTCAAAAAAGTAGAAATAAGCTGTTCATCTAAATTATCAACAAGAAGTTCTCTATTAAATCTATCAACTAAATTAGCTCCTCCGAGTTGGTATATTACTTAAATTGAGGCTAATACATCAATTTATTTCAACTTTGTCTTATCTACTTTCAAAATATTCTATGTCATGTCAATCTCATTTTCACTTATCTGCTAATTTACATTGTAAAGCAATGATATCTTATTCTTTTAATTTTATATTTGCAGACTTTAAACTCTTCTAAAAATATTTGCGTTAAAATATCCATTGCAAACAACCTTTAATTAATTGTTTTTATCTATCATTATTGTTGATAAATCAATATCCCTTGCTTCTTTTTTTTTAGAATGAATATGTTCCAAAGCTTAAAAGAGCTAATCACTAAAGCTTATAATTTATGGGAGAAATAATTGATTTGTTTGTCTACTTCTTAACCACTACTCTAAGCTAGATTCATACCTCTCTGTGACTATTAAAAAATAGTAACCTATTTCAAAGTAGTCAACGACTTTAAGTACATTTTTATGATTAAATGTTTTCATAACTTTTACTTCCTGCTATGCATTTTAATAAATAGTTTTATCTATGTTATTAACTCCGTCAAACATGTTTATGATTTTCAAGTTATACTCATTGTTTTTATCATCTGAAACTACTGCCCTGGATATATATGATTGATCATACAAAATCATCTATAAAGTTTTATACCTTTATTCATGATACAATTTTTCTGCTAAATCTTTTATTTAAAAAAACTCTCTTTCTCTATTTTTATTTGATCTCATATTTATTTCTTTGTATGTTTGTTTTTATGTTTAGATTTAATAAACACTTAATCTATTTTTTTGTATAAATTCAATAAAGTATTTTTTAAAACAATCTAAATTCACTATATTTCAACATTTGGAGATTCATTATGACGAGATAAGTAGATATTCGTAATTAATAATTATAATCAATGAAATTCACTATATTTCAACATTTGGATATTCATTATTAAGAGATGAGTAGATATTCATAATTAATAATTATAATAATTCATATAAGCTAAATCCATCCATTTATTTGATAAAAAATATCTAACAAAAATAAAAATTTCATAAGGATTTTTTAATCCTAATTATTTTATTTTTTAAACAAATGCTAATAAAAATAACATGTTTTTGTGTTTAATAAATTCTAAATAAATAAAAACAATTTTTAGAAGCATTAAATTAAAAATGATAAATATTTTCTATTGATTGATAATAGAAAAAATATTAAAATCAAATAAATAACTTTTAAAGATAAAAATAATTTCAGGATAAAATATTTATGATAAAAGATATAAAATATATTTTTTTAATGACAATTTTTAAAAAAGCAACCATAGTAAAAATTAAAATTTGCATAAAATTTTAAATGAACAAATGAGTAAATAATTAAATAAATAAAAATCTATAAAAAATTTAAATATATATACATTAATAAATATCAATTACATATAAACTTAGTAATTTTTAATTTTATACATTGTAATACTATATAAATATATAATTTATTTTATTATCATATTTATCAAATATTAGGATATTCAAATGCACAAAAAAATTGTTTGAGTATTAATTTATTAGAGTGCTAATTTAGAGATTTGCAATATATAATAAAAATTGTATGCAATTTAATTAATTTAAGAAAATAGAATTTATATTTGACTTAACTTTTGTTTGATTTATATGTCTTAATCTTTCAAAGTTTTCCCTAATATTATGATTAACAATATAATTCCAGTAATTTTAAAGACAAGTGATAAGTTAATTAAAAACGAATTAAGATATTTATTAATTATTTCTTAAAAATTAATACAAGGACAAAAGATACATTTTTATAGGGAAATAATATACTTTTTTTTTTAAAAAAATTATATATATTTTATAATGGGAATTATTTATTTATTTATGAATGAATGAATGAATGAATATTCATTTTCAAGCCTTTTAATAACTAACAGCTTATAATGTATTTGTCCAGGATTAGTAAAATACATCAACACTCCAGTTTTAGTTACCTACTTTTAAAACAAATCTGTACTTAACACCTGAGACAACTTGTGAATAGACACCAGTGAGTTGAGGATTTGAGTTAGAATTAATGACATTTTTTTATTACAAGTAATTGAGACCTACTTAGTATGCTTATAACAAACTTAAATCAACGTCAACCTTATTAAATCCACCTACGATCTATTTGTTTGTAACTTTAGCGTATGCAAAGCTTAGACATATAACTAATATGCACAAAATTAGTATTTTTCTCATTGTTTTTTTAATTTGTATTTGTTTTTTAATATTTTTTAAATATTTATTTATTATGTTTTTAAATTAAATTTGTTTAATTTTAAATAAATTCTTAACAAAGGTTGATAAATAAATATAATCCAGTTTAATTGAGGTATAATTTGAAGCGTTTTTGATTTCTTCATTTTTTGTTTTGAATTTAGAAAACAATTTTATTTTTTGAGAGTATGCTTCGTATTTAAATTTTTGTTAGTAGTCGTGAATCAATAAATAGAATATTAGAAAAAAATTAAAGCCTAAACCTGCATAAATTCTCTATGATCCATTTTTTCGTTTTTAAGCATCAGCGTTTTTAAATTTTCTTAGATAAATTATTTAATAGATCTTAAAGATTTTATTCTATTTAATTTTTTTGTTGCTTTTATTAAATAAAGTAAAAACTTTAAAATGTGTGCTTATATTACCTAAAGCAGATAAATAAATCAATTTTAGAATCTATATTAACTTTAAATCGCTTAAGAATGCTTTTTTAACCTCAAAATTAGTTTATGAAAATAATATTTACAAACCGTTTTGAATTTTAATTTATTTTCAGTTCGAACATAATTTTCTTTTAGCTGATATCTTATTTTTTTCCAGAAAAATTAGAAAACAAATGAATTATTATCCAATGATTAATTTACGTCATTAAAGTGATCAAATAATTAACAAAAAAGAATTTATTTCAAATCAAAAAGATTTAGATATATCTTAATTTCTCAATTTTCACTTTATAAATATTGTTTCATATATTTTATTTTAAAATCATTATTTTGAGATTTTTAAAGAAAAATTATTTTTAGATTTTTTTTTTTTAAAACAGAAAATATATTATATAAATAGAAATAAGAAAATAGTTAAAATTTAAATTTTATAATAGTACTATTTTTCATAGTTTCTAAGAATTTTTCATGAATCAACCATACTGAGTTCAATTTTGTGAGTATAATATCTATCACTCTAATTCAATAATTAGCTTGTCAGGTTTTATTAAGTTTTTTATATTGTAAATTAATCATTAAATAATAATTTTTATTTTTATTTACTTTATCTACAAACAATCAGTCTTCAAATAAATCGTAAAAGATAATAATAGGATGAAAGATCAATTCGTTTGAAATAAATTTCTAAAATGCTAGCTTTTGATGTAAAGTGCTATTTATTTAACTTAAACGCTAATTATTCAAAAAATGAAGCTACTTTTTGAGATCAGATTCTGTTTCCTAAATATTTTCAATAGCCAAAAATATATCCTTTTCAAATAACACTTTTATTATTTTATATAAATCAGCTGTTTTTGTGATTTTTGTTTTGAGTAATTTAATCTAAGGAAGTACTGTTTTAATTTACAGAATAAATTGGAAACTGTTTACTGAAATATCAGCATTTAAAACTACTTCTTGAAAATATTTAGAATTTAAAAATTATTTTCTTTCATAATGAGCTGAACATATTTCAGATTTACCAAACGAACAGAGCAAAGTATCTAGAAGATCAGTTTAATTTATAAAAGTTTCTGGATTGATATAAATATCAACTTATTTAACATTATCAAAGTTTATCAAATTTTAACTAATTTCTGTTTATTCTTATTATTGAATATATTTTCTTAGCTAGTTAACATTATCTGTTTCAAGAAATGTAGGATTTTTTCCATTAATTAGATTCTAATACTCTCTATATTTTACTATCGTTAAAAGCACAGAGAGTCCAATTAAGCTCAAACAAAAGTACTAAAAAGTGATAATATCATCTAAGTTTATCAAGTAGAATATATATAAAGTTAAAAGAAAAGTTTTTTGGATCAGAGAATATTTAATAGATGAAATTTAACATATAGATTTCAATTGATTTTTTTCAAGTCTAAATTTTAAACTTTAAGTATCAATATGAAAAATAATTTAAGCTAAGCTAGAATTAGGATGGAAAATATTTGTTTACAAATATTAAAGTCTCTTTCTTATGCTTAAAAAATAATAGCAAAGCACCATAATTATGAAAAACACAGAGTAAATAAGTAATAACCAATTAGGAAACTACATTAATAATGTCAAACAAGTCATCATATGAAAAGCTTAGATCATTGATTATTTTAGTAAAAACTTTGGTTATTATAGTAATGAGAAGTCCAGTTGATTTAAAAGGTTTCTCTGTATGTCAGCGTAGGGTGCCTGATCATTGTATCTGTGAATTAATTTATGAAATAAATCTAATCCGATAGAAAATGTCATCCATAACAAGATAAATTGATTTTCACATATTTATTTATGATAGATGAACAAATAAGCTATTTTCAAGAAATAAGTAAAAGAATTTATATAAATTATTTCATAAGAACTTTTAATATTTGAGGGAATATAAGTTAAAAGATTTTAATATTAATCATCTTCTACTTTGTTTAAATAGTAGTAAGCATCTTCTGATAGAATTAAAGTGCTAACAAAATTAACAAATTTGATATTTTTGCGCACATGATAAATAAACGCTGATAAGATTAACCTCTTTATTGAAAACCAGAATATGAGCAAACCATTTGTTAACCAATTAATTTCCTATAAAATAATATTTATTAACAAAATTAATAGTAAATGTGAGTTAATCTAAATTTTTACTTAAAAATTTTGAATGAACAGATAAATCATCATCATAAATGATATTTTTTAAAATACCATTGCAAAAATTAGTAATTAAGCATACTCTTTTTCTCTAGCCATATTCTAAATATTTTTATTATTTTTGGTAGAATATATGAGTTATCTATCAACTTGTTAGCAAATAAGTTTCAAGCGTTAAGTGAATTTATCGTTGATTATTTTATCTGTTTCCTTTTTTATGCATATTTTTAAATAGGTTATTTAAATAATTTTCATTTTGCAAAATAAGCTAATTCCAAAAATTTAAAATTTTAAATCTAATCATCCAGTAAAATATATGAAGTAACTTAGCTATGGAAAAGGAAAAATGAAAAAATTGATACCTTCTTTTATTTAGTATTTAAAAATTGAAGTAGCCTTAGTAAATCTTGAAAAATTAAAAGTTAAAAACTCTACTTTTATATTTAAATATTGCACTTAATTTATTATTATTTTTTTACTTTTTGTTCTTGCTTAAATTAAATGTCATTTGATAAGCAATTAATCTCTAGTTAGTTAATAAAAGGAATCGAGAATAAAGTAGATGTTTTTTAAATTTTAGTAGAATTAAAAGTTTCAGAGAAATCAATTGGGATATTAATTTATTATACATTAAATAAATTAAAACACTATATTCAATTTAAATTCATTATTAATTTTATTTCATAACTATTAATAATAAATTTTTTACATTTAAGAAACCTCCTTTATTTATATATTTAAGTAAAATTGAAAAGTTATGTGAAATATTTTATAAATTTTATAAGATATTTTTTTAATTTATTAAAAAGATAAATGATAGAAATAAAAAGCTTCTGTTTTACATAAATTAAAAAATAAAACAAATTCGACAAAGTAAATTTAAAAATAAAACAAATTTCTTTTTATTTTTTTGGTTTTTTATTTTAAATTAAACCTTAAATAATTTAATTATAAAATTTAAAGTAATTTAGAGGGGTTGGGGTTGGGGTTGGGGTTGGGGTTGGGGTTGGGGTTGGGGTTGGGGTTGGGGTTGGGGTTGGGGTTG